TCAGCGTGCTCTCCTGTTGCCGTTGTTGCTACATGACCTTGTCCTAGCTTCTTCCTACGGGCAGTGTTCAATGATGTGTTGATACTGCCACACAGCAAGTTCTCGAGCAAGGTTCATGACCCTTGGCCGCAAGGTGAGCACCAGGTCTCGACTCCGCGAAACCGTTGAGAGGCCGCCGAAACGAGCGATGCGAACGCCCAGAGCCAGTAAGGATCAACTCTTCCCATGCCATGTGATTCTCGCCCAATGATCCAGTGTGCAAATGTCGCCTCAAGAAGACCACACGTAATCGATTACTATCGTTGTGTTTCGCAGTCCACCACGGGTCCACGACTGATCGTAGTAAAGTACAAGGATACATGTAATTGCCTTACTAGGTTACGAGCTCTGAAAAGACGCTATGCCATGTCATGAAAGCCCTAGTACGCCCGGACGCTCGGACGCACATTGTTGCCTTTTGCTTGGCTTTGGGGTTTACCGAAGCGCACCATTGAGTTCGCGTCTAATGATCCTTCTTGCTCGTAGGTACAGTACCCCAACTCAACAGGCCGTCCATTGTGCAGAGCCCCGTCCTAGTCATCATCTCATCATCTCATCATCACAGTCGTTATCATGCCCTGTGAGAGTTTACGAGACACCACGATCTGATGAAGCAAAGTGTCTTGTCGTGGGAGGATCCACGGAGTCGATGACGCCGCGAGAGATCCGAGGAAGGTTTCACACCACACCACTGACCGAACACGTACCGGAACCTACCGAGTAGCGGCAGGCCGGGTTGAACAATCGCCCATGTCAACTCACACGGCCGCCGACGTCCGCGCAATATGTTGCCGGTTACAAGCTGCGAAGTCTACCCATCCGCGACCTGTCGCCAGGTGGAATCTGCCAAACTTGACCGCCTGGCATGACCAAGCCTAACTTACCTTATGCTGTGCGCCTGCCAACAGAATCTCAAGAACGCCTTCCCCAATGAGTCCATGGCGTAAAACTTGAAGCGCATGCGAATATACTAGCAGGGCGGAGTAAGGCGTGGCCCTTCCCACGAGGTTATCAGGGATTACAGTGTGCGTGCTTTTGCTGGCGTGCGCGGGATGAGCCTCAGCATATCGATGACTCCAATGACCGACGGATTCGGTATGCTTTCTTGTGAGTTTGGGCCACTCTCGGTGCTTCGCTTGGCCATTGGGGAAGATCAAGGGAGGAGGGCTTACGAAGATGGGGGGTTGGTTCTGGGTTTGCGTGAAACGGCAGGACGCCTGAAAAGTGAAAGGTGGGTCGAAAATTGAGGACTGACAGAGGTGAATGCCTTACAGAGTCTCGACTGGGAAGTTGGTGCTGTGCCCATCTCGCGCCGCAGTGCTGTCGTGCATGCTGCGCCAACGCGTGGGATAGGTGGCGTGCTCTTTGACTCTTGACAAGGCATGAAGGCGGATGATGCATAGTGAAGGGTCATAGATTGGTCCCTCGACTCTGCCTTATTGGATGCCTGTTGGCGACTAGGTATAGAGCTGCATTTCTTGATGCAGCCCTATCGGTTGCTGACCCGTCAGATGAGGATGCGAAGCAGGATGCCTGTATCTATGCTGAAGCCGGACATTCGCATGGAGGAAGCGAAGGGTGGATGGGAGCTGATTGACCCTTTGCTGTCTCGGAGGTTCTCGCGGACGTGATTCGAATCGAGTCGCTGTCGTGGACTGTTGTTGTTCAGCTTCGAGAGATGGGTGTGACCTGAGGATGAACGAAGAAGAGAGTTCGGTGCGTTTTTATGTTCAGAGGAAGGTTGTGGCTGGCTGAACATTGAGTTCAGCATGCCAACAACGGTAGTAAGGCAAGTACCATCATCGTTCGAATATATGCACCTCAACCTCACGCAGCCAACATGACACACTCAAAACCACCCGTCAACAATCTTCCCGAACCATTGCACGCAAATGGAATCCTGAGTCCTGTCAGATCATGTCCTAACACTCCTACTGTCGAAAATATTGATCGACGGGACCAATGTAAACACATTGTAACAAAGGCTAGTGCGGAACGTTCGGAGGGAACCGTAAGCGCGACCAGATCTTAGATACCTTAGCTACTTAATGCATATACCAGGGCTATCTGTCTGCCTTACCATCCATAAGCTCACAGCACAAGGAGTAATGTTCAGTCCAATGGGTAAGGGGCCTGCACAACAAAGACGGCCTGAAAGCAATGAAAGCGTGACCATAAGCGAGCCGGCTTTAGAGGACGGCTTTTATTTCGCATTGGACTTGGTGTAGGAGAATAATAACTCTTGGCATCATCGTATATGAGTTGATAATCCGGTAGGTAGACCGCCCAGGTGTGGTTCGTGAATGCGGCAAGCAATCTCCTAAGATGACAACCATCTGTGCTTTTTGACGTCTGTCCGGCTCATCAGATCCGGATCTTCTGAAGCCAGGCAGCACATGGTTCATGCGACGGCGGACATGGTCTCGCAATAGGCAATCGTGCGAGAACGAGGGCACGCACTTGATAATGCTGTGTCGGATCCTTCATGATGACAACCATGCAGTTCGTGGAATCTCATCGCATCCATGTCTTGGTCTGGTACAAACGAAGGATTCTGGGTAGACTACACGGTAATAGAGAAGAGCTCGGCCGACTCTACGGCCGAGGAATGGTCCAGTCCATCAGGCTGCTAGGGCAAGTCGACAGGTTATGCTTCTCCATTATCAAGATTCAGGTGCCACGTAGTACTTGTCTCGCGTTGTTCGATTGGAAAAGCCGTATCCATGTGCACGACCGGCGCTCGATCTCGCGCGCAAAACAGTCGTCTCCCTGGTGATCCTGTAGGAGTGGTTCGAGAAGCTAAATCCACATTGCGGTGTAAGTTCCGTGAGGACTGTTCGTAGGTAACCGTGCTGATGCATCCGATCATGCCATGTTCTATATCCGGTGGATGTTCTGATGGGGCGGCATATCGAATGCAGGGCGGGCGCTCGCGCCAATGTGGGCAAAAATGCGACGGCTTACCCTAATGATCCTGCCATGCCTGCCTCCCTGGTCGCCTGTGTACCCCGCAAGAGACGATATCGGCGGATCCTGCCTCGGAAATCTGGTAAGTATGCCAAACGGATACGGCTGTATTATGTGGTTAGCGCATCGACCCCAAAGTTCTGCTGCATCGCAGCCCCAGTTTCCCAGTGACGCCGCGCTTTTCTATCGTCAATGAGGAAATATTGAATGCCAAGTCGAACGTCAAGGCTGGCATAGTAATCAGAAACGGTTGGCAGCGACGCCCATTCCTAACCATTCACAGCAAAGGCAGCAACCAGTTGAGTGGCATATGATATCAACCTACCCGGCACGGTTGCTTTCGCTTCGCGATATGTAACACCCGTCGCCAACAAGGCTCTCGTTGCTAGGGGGCTGGGACCGTGCGGCTTTACATGCTCGATATGTACACCTTTCGTTCATGAAGGGTCTTTCTGCCGATCAGCTGTGATGCTTTGGCGCCTGTTGATTGTAACACTGAGCATCAGCCAAGCGATCTTCGGGAGAGGCATGAAGCTATAGGGGCCGTTCGATCTCTAGCTCTGAAAATACGGTCAGTGCATAATGAAATAGGTAACAATTCTAAAACAGGCATGGAAAGAGAACAGCCCTTGGCAAAATTTCAAGCAACGAGCCGCTACCAGGTCGAGTCAAGGAGCTCCCTGCACATATCACTCATCATTATAAACCCAGCGACGTTTCATCGGGGAGCGATAGTTCTTGTCAGTAGAGTTCAGATTTGCCCGCCCAAATACGAAGAAAAATTAGAGAATACGAAGCGCTTGACACATTCAGTAGGTCGGAACGTTGGCAGGGCTTAGTGCTGGCAAGGCGGTGGTTCGGCATTTGGTCCTTCCGTTGAGCTTGTCTTGCCTCTGGTATCGTTGTAGGGACGTTTAGCATCACTACTGGCATGCAACGCGTCCTCGTGTTGGAATATTTTATGCAGAAGCCGACTTAGAATCGCGGATTCGCGGCACGATCAGAGTGAGGTAATTCAACTGACTGAGAGATCCAAGCTTAACGGAAAATTGCTTGACATATCGCCTAAGGTTTTCGCTTGTTCGATAGGCGTCACGTTCTGCCGGCCACAGCGGAAGCTATTAGGAAACCGTACTTTACTGCGACGACAACGATACCTGTCGCCGCAGATCCATCATCGGAGAGTAATGATGCTATGGTACCCGCCTTCGTGAGGTCAGATCCTTGCGCGCGACGAGTATGATGTCGTTGTGCTACTGGGCCCTGCTCTGAAGACAAGCAGCTCCGGCAATGAACCATGTCCTCAGCAATGCCGCCACCGTTGCGAGGTGCTGAACTCGCATTACTTTTCAATCATATTTGGAATTCATTCTTGTCGCAAATGTCTCTCAGCGAGGCGATGTATGCGCTGCGCAGCATTTGCAGCTGCGCATGCATCTCCGTGGGCAACGACATCGGTCATCGGTTTTCGGCGCAGGGCGCCTTCCTTTTCCGTCATTGAGTCCACAAATCAAGTCATCGCCCACAGATCGCCCGGAATAAGGTCTCACGCTGTACCTTAGCACGATGCCTGATCGTAACTTCCGTTTGCCTGCAGATGACTAATAGTGCTCCACGAGCTCTATTCAGGTAGCAGGTACGAAGGCGTTGCGGCTTCCTGTGCGCTAGTCATGAAACAAGTACCGGCATAGAACAGTCCAGTGGCTAGCTCTGTGCTCGGGCCTTGCACCATGCCCTGGAAGGCTGCAGGTTAAACATCATCAATCTCTCGGACCGTCGATGCAGACGCCGAGTGGCACAGACTAAGACAGCGGAAGCATTCCACCACCTTTGCCATCGCCGCATCTAGCAGTGGTTCAGCATACCTCCACTGCGGACTGCTGGCTGGATTCGCTCGCAGATTGAGCTCTTTCAGCTTCCTCCGAGATGGACCCGCCGTGCGTGTCAAGGTGAGGCTGGTCATCGTGTGAACCCCGAGGACTGATAGCACAGGCTCACTCGGTCACGTTAGACTCGCCTGCCGCGCCCAATATGTGGCCGTCACCGGTTTTCGCCTCAGACACCAGCATGTTCGTTAGTCGTTGAGCTCGCCTCCTACCACCCACCCACATCATGAATTCTCCGTAGCTTTGCGGAAGAACGCTCACGTCTGCAGGTGACACAAACGTGTAGAAGAAAGTCCCGGTGGACTTCCGCTCGTTCTCGCCATGCTCAACATTTCGAACATGCGTTCGGACCATCACTTGGATGCGAGTGCCTCCGCTTGGCTCTGGCTCGCAGTATGTGACGTTGGCAGCTGTGTAGAGAACCGATCCAACGGGGACTGGGTTCTCGAATGTGGAGGGATCGAGATTCACGAAGCGCGGACGTGTGTGGGAGAATGCGGCAGCGCACGTGAAAGCCAGCTCGAACGCTATCTTTAGAAGATAGCCACCGAAAATCATAAAATGATGCCTGTTCCGATTTTGCGGCTGCATGATTTGGGTGGAGTGAATTCTAGAGGTTGACATAGAGAGAGCATTAGCCGGTCGTTTCGCCGGATTTCTGGCGTCGTCGTATGCGAGACCGTCTGACCACATCTTGTGAATGAGCGCAGATTCTTCCTCGTTCGGAGACTTTTGCATGATGTTGGAGGACTTCAGAGCTTTTTTGTTCCTGTAATTTTCTTCGCCTCGCGCGTACAGTGCGCGCTCAGCTGGCGTTGAGAGCGTCAGTGGTGCTATGTTAACAGGCTACATCCAATATTAGCACTCTACAGGTCTGAAGCCGGACAGTTAAAGGGAGCATAGGTCTTGTTGCGTGGGTGGCAGGCCCACATTGTAAGATAGGCAGGGGCTTGTTTTCCAGACTGACCTTCTTAGTTTGTGGATCTAGGGAGACCATCGTCATTGCACAAGTCATGAAGACGTCCTCCGGCCTGACTTGCTGGCCAGGACCTGGCGCTTTCGCTATCTGCAAAGTCACTTCCATGCTGGAGCGTCCTGTGGCAAATGTGACTTGACCCGAAAGCTCCAGATTACAGATTTCCTTCAGTGGGTTCTTGATGGTGATTCGGTCAACGGCAGCAGTCACAGTGGACACTCCTTCTCCAGTGTGTTTATAGGCCACAACCCCCGCCAGTGCGTCCAGGTCCATGAGCAGGGACCCCGTGCGAAGTTGACCAGAGTAGTTAGCATAAGTATCCAGCATCCAGGGGTCATCCTGCAGAGGCAGCACTATCCTCACGTAGCTATCTGACATTCTCTTGGGTGTCAGGTCTGGTTTAGGAGGGTCTTCTGGCCCAGCAGCTGACTGGGAGCCCGTCTCCTTGCTCCTGCGTAGAGCCTCAATCCAGGGCGTCCGCACCCGCATTTCTGTCAACTCTTTATAGACGCCATCAGTTGGACGTACGCCAGTGGCATGGAAGTAGCGAGTTCTTGGGACTTTGGGAGCACGGCTTCGCAGCTTGGACGCCAGTCTCGCCGGCATGGAACTGCGAGCAGCGGCCATGGTGTCTGGGAGTTGACTGGTCCCAGGCCTGGCTTTACTAGGAAGTCTGTAGCAAATCACGTAGTGACTGCTTCATTCGGTAGCCTTTTAGGGCGTGACATCGCATCAAGGCTCAAGACATAATGCGTAGGCCACAGGATGTTGAGCGTATGTATAGTCGATGTGATACACTAGGTGGATGTAGGTCAGAGGAGCCCAGCGCCCGCGACTGCCCGAGCTTCGGGCCAAGCCCGACTGTCCAAAACCCGCATTTACCCGTCTCCCTATCAATGTTGGAAGCTTCGATCCAACAACATTCATCAACGAAGTCCACCTCGCGGTGGTGTTCGGGTCCCTTCTCTTTCTGTGTTCGTCGTCGGACACTTACCGAGTGCCAGCCTGGCCAGATGAGACTTGTGATGGGCGTCCCCATGACTCGCCGCAGCCGCCTGTGGACATGAGCTCGAGAGATGTACAGGTAAATCTTGGAAATGCGAAATTGAGCCACCTTCAGGCAGGTCTTTCTGTGTCCTGTGCAGCGGATGCTTCGCTGCAGTCTGGGAATGATGTCTTGAGCCTGAGCTCTGCTATCAATGCGGATGGGTTCACAAGCAGTGAAATATGGCTACGGGTTGCCGAGCCTATTCGCTTCTCTCTCGAGCTCAAAGACTATGATTGTCTCGAAGATAATGCTTCATCCGACATCAGCTTGCAGCAAACATTGGTTGAGTTCCTGCAGTCGTCCGTTGTGAGTACACAGCCCCTTGTCAAGAATACACTGATATGAATAGTTCTGGGCTCAGTCCAACCTATGTGTCCAAGCGATTCACGTGAGTACTAATACAGACCTTTTTCATCACCTACGCTACGTCTTTGATGTATTCTTGAAGCCAGCCAGCATCAATGTGTGCGCGCGCCCCGGTCAACGTAAAGAATCACCGAAAGGCATCTGGACAATCAACGATGTTTCTCCGCCAGCAAGTCTGCCAACCGCCCAATTGCAGGCCGTTCGCCTGGAGATGCATCTTCGCTCAGCGCAAGCAGAACCCCTTGACGGCGACCACTTTGATGGAGAGAAACATCGACCACTCGATGGCTCATGCTTCGGTACCGAGACTAAGAGCTTGGAAGTGCCTGAAAAGCGGAACAACGGACGCTCCGCGAGCACGGACGATATCAGACTTATTAAGCTAGAATTGATCGAAGGGGTGTGCAAGCAGTTCTGCTTTGGCTCACAGACTCGCTCTGATAAGCAAACAACTTGGCAGGAGTGCTTCGAGCACAGCTTGTGCAGTGCGTTCCCTGCCGCATTTTCGAGCATTTACCTGAAGCTCGTGATCGAAAGAGCACAACTCGCGCCCTCAATCCAAAGAAGCAGGTCGACTTTTGTTCAGCGTCGTGCATCTCGCGGGACAGACAGCGCGGCAAGAACTTCCAGCAACGCTCCGAGCCACAGCATAGAAGCTGGTTTGCCCACGGGGCACTCACAATCCGTTGTCTCGCACGACACGCAGATCTGGCTATGCATACTGGCGGCGGCCGCGAAGTCCTGTATGGTCGATGACCACCCTCGAGATTCTCTGACAATTCGAGATTCTGCATCAGGTCACTCTGAGCTCCGTCGAGCAGCCATGAGCTCAAACAACAATGATTTTGCGACTCAGTCGGACAATTCTGGGTCGGTCCAATCAGTCATCGAGTCGTTCTGCGATCTCGAACAGATTGGTGCAGCAGACAGAGACGCCAGCGAGCACCAACATCTGATCACTGAAACGCTGAATGGATCACTGTCTCTGGCAAACGACCAGCGAAGATTTGACACGTGCTTTGAAAGCCTTTCAGAGGAGGTATGTGGAGGGGTGCCTTTTCTCCGAGTTGGCGTTGATGATTTGCCATGCAGCACACTCATCAGTACCGTCAGCAGTCAAAGCTCGGTCGCTCAATCAGAAATACCAGCTAAGCAAATGAGAGCGGGCTTGGGCGAAAGCTCCGAAAGGTTGCCTGCTAAGGACGAATGGGAAATGCAGATAAGCGGATGTCAGCGGCTGAGTCAGAGCTCAGGCAGTACCGCATCGTCAGAACTACTCACCATTGTTGAAAGTTGCCCAGAGCAGCATAACAACTCATCGTTCACATCACTCGAACGCTACTTGGAAGAATCACAATTCTTGGATCTCAGCGGTCACAACACCTCGGAGACACTGGAGTCTACGGGCGAGGACTTGTCGACTACGGATCTATCGAATTATCTAGAATCTGGTCCTTCTACACCCGAGCTGCTTGAAGAACAAGAGATTGGCGGCGAACACAAGTGTATATTTGAAGCACACAGCACTAGAACGTTCAGTGCCTTGCAGAACATGCCGGAATCCACGTCGTTGAGGATGGCGACACACTCAACTCCTGTCACACCACATCGGTCGCGCAGATCGTCAATACTAAGCTTCGGAAGCATACGGAGGAGCAATTCTTCGAATTCGACAGACAACGACGACTTGCGTAACTCAGAGCTCAACACATTCAGCCTCCACTCGGGATCGTTCACGCCACCCACAGATGCCAGGCCATGTGAGCGGCGGAGCTCTCTTCTACGGCGGCTTACACGGACATCCGCAAAGTCTGCCAACGACAAACTGGGGACGAAAGTACCTAGTGGATGCAGGCCACAGGACCGAGACTTTGAGGTCAAGCGGAGGAAGACTCTGGACGACTACTTGGTTGCAGATGATCAGGACGACGAGGACATGCTCTTATTTTAAGCATTCTTTGCGCGAACCGGTCTTGCAGTCGACACTGGGCAAGGTGTCAAGTGAGACATTGGAGGGAGTTCGCAGAAACCTCTAGAGGTTGCAGAGGACGAGGATCATCCAGACTGATTGGCGTTGACGGTCCTGTTGGAACAAAAGTTTGTTATAGTGTATCCTTTCAGCGGCAACAGAACGCCACTATATTCGAGAATTTGTCTCTTTGAGAGACGCTATCATCACTTTTGCCGGTTCAAGACCATCATGTATTGGGGACATGATTGCCCGGCTTTGAGCGACATGCGGTGTCTACCGCGACTTCGATGTTGCCAGATGTTACTCGCATAGGTAGAAATGGCAAGGCTCTGCCACAGCCTTGGCGTGGTCGGTTGGCTGCCACCAGAATACATAGAAAGAACAAGTGATAATCAACGAACAGCACTCTTTCCACACATACCCTCGGGCCCTTTCACGCGGCAATTATGAGATTGCAGCCTGCAGTATGGTTGCTGACCGTACTGCTGCACACAACATCTGCTATCTTCTCCGATGATGCCTTCGTAGTGGACTATCATCACGCACTCGTTGGTACTCCCCAGTCCCACGCAACACTATTCCACAAGCCGCAGTCATCCTCGAATGCCTCACTCATATACACAATCTCCGACAAGCACGTACTCGCTGCGATCAATCCAAAGGATGGAACTGTACTATGGCGGCAAGTGCTCGAGTCGGAATCGAAGCATGAGCACAGCTACCTGGCCGTTGGCGAAAGAGATGGTCAGATAGTTAGTGGATATGGCACCACAGTCAGCTCCTGGGATGCGCTGGACGGCAAGTTAAGATGGCAGTACGACGTGGAAGCCGGATCAGTGGTCAAAGGTCTACAGCTCGTGCCTTCTGCAGACTCGATCAACACAGATGCGCAAGACGTCGTAGCGGTCGCAGGAGGAGAATCTGGACCGTCGGTCGTCCGTCTCGCAGGCGATGGCAGCGGCAGGAGATGGATCCACCAAGATTCTAGCTCAAAGGGCGACTCTGAGGTAACAGTAGCGGCAACGACGGGTTCCATATTCTACATTGTGAAGTCGAAGGGTATCCTGGTTGGCGAGAAAGCACGATTGCTCATCTCGATCTGTCAACGGGCAAAGAGAAGACTCATTACTCCGAGACGATCGATTCTGATTCGCTTGTTGGCGGCGCTCAACTTGTTGCCGGATCATGCACCGGCGCCCCATTCGTGGTTTCTGCCGAGAAACCATACAAGACAATCAGATTCAACCTTCTCGGGAGTAGCAAGCAGACGTCCTTGACACTAGAGGATAAAGCGGGCGAGATCCTGTCGTTGAAAGTACTTACGCCTTGTGGAGAGCAGGCTCCACCACACTTCTTGATCCATGCTCAGACTGGTACTAAGCAGTGGGCTGAGATATATCACATCGACGGCAAGACAGGCGAAGCCAAGAGAGCATATTCTCTGCCAGCCACAGCGGAAAGCAGCGCTTTCGCGTTGCAAAGCTCTGGCTCGGATGCCTACGTTGTAAGGACGACCGATACAGAGATTACTCTCTACTCCAGCTCTTCTCACGGCGAATTGGGCCGCTGGAAACGCCAGATCGCTACGCTGTCTGCCTCGTCATCGATTGGTCCGGAATTCGTTGCTGCCGAAGTAGTCAGTGGCGCGAAAGGATATGCTGTGAGAGTGGCAGAGATTGGCAAGGATGGATCTCTGTCCCTCCTTCGAAATGGCGAGTTGCAATGGTCCCGTCCGGAGCAATTGGCGTATGCCACCCTAGGAGCTGGATTGATGCTCCGTCCCAGAGTGCACTGATCGACGAACTCGAGACGGAAGCATTTGCTTCTCCGGTAACTGCATATACGCACAGGCTACGCCGCCATTTCCAGGACCTACAAAGCCTCCCGCAATTCGTCACAGGACTAGTCAAGAACTTGATCGCGGCGCCTACGGCTGGTGTCACTGACGCAAGACGAAGATTGGTCGGTGAGAGAACAGTCGTGCTTGCTACGACCAAGAACGAACTCATCGCGGTAGATGCGAGCAGCGCTGGGTCCGTAACGTGGCAGACTGATCTGAAGCCCCACATACCAGCGAGTGTCGGTTTTGTTCATCTGGCCGCTTCTGACGGCAAAATTACGGTCTATCTCTCCGACGGATCACTTGCCGTTGTCGATGCAGCCACAGGTGTGTTCATCGAGTTCTTGCAGGGCACCGTGCCTGCTAGCAGAATCGTTGAAGTCCCCTCTTCTGGTGCTCCTGTCATAGCCAAAGTGGATGCCAATGGCAAGCCGCATCTAGCGTCCGACTTTGCGCCGGCCGTTGGTACCGAAGGCAACATTGTTGTCACACTCAGCGAGGCTGGCAGCGCGTTTGGCTGGACCGTGGGCAAAGACGTCCGCCGCACCTGGACCTTGCAAGCAAGGAATGGTGAGAAATTTGTCTCTGCTGTATCTAGGCCACACAAAGATGCCGTGGCCTCTATCGGCAAAGTACTTGGTGACCGCTCTGTGCTCTACAAGTATGTCTCACCAAATCTAGCTGTGCTCACTTCAGCATCAGCTACGACATTCTCTCTGTACCTGATCGATGCAGTGACTGGATCGACTCTCTACACCACCTCTCACTCTGGTGGCTTCAACAGGGCTTCACCATCAGTCGTTCTGTCAGAAAACTGGTTTGCGTACTCTTTCAGCTCGCAGGATCCGGATACATTGGCTTTGAATACACAACTGATCATTGCCGAGTTGTACGAATCGGCTAATCCGAACGACAGAGGTGCGCTAGCGGCTCAGACCAACTACTCTTCATACTCGCCATCGGCCGGCACTCTGCCTCATGTCATCACCCAGTCATTCACCGTGTCGGAGCCGTTGACCCATCTTGCAGTCACACAAACTTCACAGGGCATCACAACCCGCCAGCTGTTGGCAGTTCTTGCGAACTCGAACGGCATAGCGTCCATTCCGAGGGAGATCTTGAATGCACGGCGGCCAGTAGATCGAGATCCCACGAACAACGAGAAAGAGGAGGGTCTTTTCAGATACAACCCTATCTTGGAGCTGGAGCCTAGAAACCTGCTCAGCCATAGCCGAGAAGTTTTAGGCGTCAAGGAAATCATCACCTCGGACTCGCTGCTGGAATCCACCAGCTTGGTATTTGCCTACGGACATGATGTCTTTGGCACGAGTGTCACACCTAGTGGCGCATTCGACATCCTCGGCAAGGGCTTCAATAGGATCCAATTGTTGTTGACAATTGTTGCCTTGTTCGGCGGTGTGAGTTTGGTACGGCCACTTGTCACCAAGAAAAAGGTAGAGGCCGGTTGGAAAGCGTAAGGGAACTTTCATTGGCTGAGTACCTCTGGACACTGGATAGACATAGAAGCACCATCGATCGCTTCGAGACTGAGAGACTCGCTTTGCGACTTCCGAAGAACAACATCGGTCTCAGCTCCCGCCAACATTTCCGTAGCCTCGACGGGCGCCAGATTGTGCCCCAGCCTCATCGTTGAAGGACCCTCGAATATGGCCACCACACCATCTAAATGCTTCAAGGACGTCAACGAAATAGCAGCACCACCACATACAAAACATCTAGCACGACTCGATATTCTTCCCACAGAACTCAGACTGCAAATCTTCAGCCACTTTCTGCCAGCCAATAGCATTCTCTGCGAGGTGCGCACAGCGCAATTCCACTTCGGCGACGACCAGACACGGAGCGCTTTCCACGAGACCGTCACTATACAGCTTGTGTGCCGCCTATTCCATAACGAGATGAAAGGACGACTTCAATTCCGTCTCGAGATTCGTCGCTGGTCTTCTGTGCTCAACTTCCAGGCCCAATTTCCGAGTTTGGCGTCGGACGCTATGAAAAGTCTAATGGTGGAGTGCACAATATCTCAAGACGGGTTAGCGAAGGCTTTGGCTGCTCTAACACATTGGAAGGCTTGGGGCTCTGTCACGTATCTCAAATACCGTATCACGAACGGGAGGCCACGTCGGAACAAGTGCGTTAGGAAAGATCTGCTGCAAGTGCTTGAGGATTTTGAGGTGGAAAGACCCTCATCGCACAGAGGGGTTTCAAGTGATGGTAAAGGGATGAATGGAAATGGTGGCAAGGGCGCAGAAGGCTTGCTACTTGGAGCAGCAAATGCACGGACAATTGTAAAGAGCACATGAAAGACAACGTGATCCACCCGAACTCAGTGTGGATGAGAAGTGCAATGCATGAGTAGACCCGTGTCAAGCAATGTGATAGACCCAGAGCCGGTTGACAGCCTTGCAGTGCGGTACTTGCCACTAAGATGAATATTAGCGAAGCGCGCACTCCTTGAAAATATATTCGAGACTTTGAGCCGACCGGATGACTAATATCGGACAACAGAATCTTTGGGCAGCAGAGACCGCTGACCATCGCTACTAAAACTGTTGATCGACGTCGAGAAGACAAGACAGTGCAACACTTGCATGGCACAGAGTCAGAAGTTTGGCACGGAATTCAGTCTGACTGGGGACGGGAGCTTGGGCGAGACCGGATGACAGGCGCTCGAGGTGCCTCCAAACCGGTTGACAGCCCTTTGCACGAGCGACTTCCTCTCCTAGATCTCATGGAAGTATCGGCAGCAGGAGCACATCAAATCGCACCCTTCCATCAGTATTGCTCGACGACGCCACAAGTGGCAGGTGCGTGGCTTAGCACCTTCCACAACTACCCGACTCGTCGACCGGCAGGTACGTCGGTCAGTACCTTCCTCAACTGCTCATCTTGTCAACCGGCAGGTGCGTCGGTCGGCACCTTCCTCAACTGCTCATCCTGTCAACCGGCAGGTGCGTCGATCGGCAATTGCCTCACCTACTCGTCTTGTCAACCGGCTAGGGCAGAGCTATAAGTCAGACCGGATGACGCCCGTCCGCCCCTCCATGGCACCCACATCCCCTTGCCTGAGCCATGCGTTCATACCTCACGCATTCTTCCCACCAAGACCTGCTGCACATCGGAAGTCATTCGTGCTTGACAACAGTCCTTCGAACTTGAAAGTGATTTCATGTATATTCCTCTACGCATGCAATGCAAAAGACTACTCCTTCTCCTCCCCCTTCTCCTCCTCCTCTTCATATTTTTCCTTGTGTTTCTCATGATCCCCTCTATATCCCACCACCTCACCTTTGTCATTATGCACAGGCACTCTGTCCCTCTGCGCATCCGCCACCCACCCAGTCAGATGCGCATCCTGCCTCGCCGACAGAATCGAGCACTCGAGCAAATCTGAACTCTTCTTGTGCATCAGTTCCCCATCCTTCCACGTCTCGTTCTTCAGGGTACCTTCTCCGTAGACCGCCTCCTGAATGATCGGCAGTCCCAGAACTAGATCTAAGAAGCCACGCACACGCAGAATCTGCACGGAGGCGTCATCCACCGACATGGTGAGCGTGAGGATATCGTGGCTGGGCCGGCTATCCCAGTGTGCAATACTGTTCGGTAGCATAATGCGTCCTTTGACGCACGGATCCTCATCAGGCGCCAGATCGATGACTGCATTCCCAAAATCCGTCGGCGCGCTGATATACGCGATATGGAAGGCGCCATTGATGCGAACCATGACGAGAAATTCGGGTCGGTAGAAGCGGGTCAGTCCGCAGGTCTTGTCGATGGTTGTGCGTGGGAAGGCGGCCCATGCCTGGACTTGGTTCTTAGAGAAGGATGACTCGGGGAGTGGTATCGGGACGAAGTTCGTGCCGCCGCGCATGAGGCTATCGTTGTTGTCGGTGCGGTCTTCCGGGTAGACGTGCTCGCAGAGGCCGGTCTTAAGGTGGCAGCGCGCGATGGTCAGTGGGTCGAAGGTGTGTACGAAGTGCAAATACTCGTTAGGCTGTCGCTTGTTGGATTTAGGGTCATCTGATGGAACAAAGAAGGGTGCCCAATTCTTCTCGGTTCCTCTCCTGCCGGAGTCTGTGAATTTGGCGACTGTACTTGTTCCGGAGAATGGCCGGTATAGATACATGGCGCGATTCCACTCGAATTCTTTCTTGATACTGTTGTATAGAATGACGGGCTCTGCGCCATCTACACCCTCCTCGATGATTATTCTAGGGTCTTCAGGGCCGTAGAAGATGCCGCCTCGGTCGTAGTCGGCGTCGACGTCGAATATGGTCGGGAATGTGAAGGTCTGTCCGCCCCATTGGATCGAATGTCCGTCCAGGTGGTTCCAGTCTTCATCGTAGAGCTGGCCGCGGAGCCAGCTCATGAAAGGCCAATCGATGTTATTTCGCTCATGGAACAGGACACGTGTCACCACGAAATACACCTGCTGATCCGGCAGCCATACTGATGAGCCGGACAGCCGTGCCCAGGCCTTGTGCACCTTGCGCTGCTCCTCCTCTGGCGCGTCTGCATACTTCTTATACTCATCAACCACGAGAGGGTGCGAGCCAACCGCGGCGGCGATCTGGGGAAGGTCGTCGTACAGAAATTTGCTCTGCTGGACTGAGATCGTTGATTCTCGACGTAGTTGCTTGCATGTCTCCTTCCCAGCCTGGCCGCTATTCGCAAAGCCGGCGAACGGCAAGTGGGTGAAGGCACCCCATTCGGTGGAGTTGGCGGGATTCCTCGAGCGAGGCAGGCGCTACACGCATAGGTTAGATGTATTCAGGTTCTTCGCATTGATTCCCAATCGTACCTCGTCGTCTCGTATTGATGGTGGTTCAAACCAATATGATGTCGTCAAATAATGAATCAGCACGAGAGAAAATACTGCTGTCAGCAATATCCTCGTCCATCTGTGCGTGCCAACGAGCATGGTAGGCCCCGGTGTCTCATGGCACAGGTTTTCAGAGCACACAATACAGCGGCATTTTCAAAAATCACAGAAAACACGTCGAGAAAATAGGTAGGTACAAACCGCAGGCGCCGCAGGTGGACATGACAGCCAGGAGGCTATATTAGCCTCCATCTCAGGGCTGGCGGCGCTGAAAAGATAGCGGAAGGTCACGACTCGCAAGTGGCCAAATCTCGAAAGAAGGCCCAGGTCAAGGTGGGGCGTGCTCGCGCAAGATGAGATGAGATGGGGGTGATACGCGACAAACATGAGCAAAGCATAAGCAAAGGCTGCAAAGCACAACAACGGCCTGGAAGGGTGTCGCGCGCACATGGTTTAATGTAGCTGAGTGGCCACATCCAGAAGTAAGATAGCCGTTGAAGTCTCGAAGGTCGTCCAAGAAAATTTCTGGGCTAAGATTAAAAAGATAACATCAAATTAGACTTATCGGAGCCCACACGTACTTTGAGATCTCTGAAGAAGGTTTGCCTTTTGAACTCTCTCTACAGGCCTACGCGTCCGAAAAACTTGTGCTGAATCATTACTTCAATAATACCACAAAGCTCGCCGCATTATGATTGCCGCACTTCATAAAGGAATCCACAGGCATGGTCGTTTGCTCCTTTACCTGTAGGGGCCGTCATACGTAAGCGACACCCCGGGAGCAAGACGAGATTAGAAGCTCGACCTGTTGAGGTTGGATTTCGACCGAGCCCTGGGCCCTCCAGCTGAACCTAATCCAGTAAGGGACACAACACCATCACCACACCCTTCACCCACCCACTCGGGTATGCAAACCTTTTGGAAACCTCGAATATGCAAACCTTTCTAAACAATGAACATTCCTTCCCCGGAAAACCCTCTCAACACACCACCTGGCGACCTGGAGTAAAGACATCAATTGCAAATCCATCCCCACTTCTTGAGAAAATCCCTACTAACAGACCAATCCCCCGGTTCCCACCCAACACCCCCTTCCCTGATCCGGAAACAGTCCATGTTGAAGCAATCACACAGGAATTCCTCGTCGTTGAATTCCAACTGCATCCTGATCATATTATCCCTCCAACTAGGAAACGGAAACCGATCAATCCAGGGTAAGTGCACCACTTCCATCTGCAGCTTCGTTGGCTGGAGCGCAGGCGGCGCATTTGGCGCTGGTGGCGATCTCTGAGGCACCACAGTCGCGCACGTCAAGCCAAGAATCATGCCGTTATTGAACATTGCCTGATATACAGTGACTGGCACCTGACGTGCAATTTTGCCGTTGGTCGGGCTGTGGAAGATTGAATATACTGCGGATGTCAGAGGCGTGCGCTCAGGCGAGTTGATGACTTCCTTCAGAAAGGCTTTCGAAGCCTCTACATGGCGCTTCTTCAGCGCTGACGGGTATGCCGGTTGCAGATCTGATCCTGACGAGCAATAAGCGTCTGCGTCCGCTGCGCTGCTGTCTGAGCTTTTCGAAGACCTGATCGATGGCGCAGCGGCCGTGGCCTTGAGCCGTCTACGGCGAGCTCGTTGCGCCAGACGATCTTGAATCTGTTTCCTCTGCTTTGGGTCTCTTATGTCATGCCAGCAGTCTTCTTGTGCGGTCTTTGTCATCCTGTCCCGTCAGAAGAGAGCACCTGAATCAAGCAGCATGAGCAGAGCATCTGGTACCTCGGGTCACTTTTTGACCAAAGAGCTTGCATTATTCAGCCGGAATAAAGTTGCTCCGACTTTTCCCGGTCTCACGTTATGAGCTCGACCAACATAAGCCAGGACCTCGACTGCCTGACTTGCCACGACAGGCACCTGCAAAGAAGCAGCATTCTTGAAGACTCGGGAAGCCGATCGCGGAACCATGCAACGACCAGCTCTCAGATTGTTGCACATTCATTTACTGAACCGAGTACAAGCCGTCACTAAGCAATGGTGCAGGTGATTCCAGCGCGCCCGGGCTCGATCGCGATCGCTGTTTAGGCAGCACAGCTGGTGTGCCATTGCTTGTGCTGCCATCTTCCTTTAGCTGACTAGGGAATTCGACAGAGTGCCCAAAGATAAGGGTACTTGTGTCTCCATGCGTTAGAGCTACCGGAATGGAGACGACCAAGAATGCCACATTGATGGCCAGGGCCATTGTGACTCCCTGGCGAGGCGACCTGGATGCTTCTGTAGGACGTCACGATGGCTTTTGTGGTGGCTTGTATTTCTTGTTGTCCATGTATATTTGCTCGTAGTTCCTCACTTTGGACACTTTCAAGAATGAGTGTCGCACCAGAATATCTATTTACCATGTTACTGCGTTCTTGATGGCCACTATACAAGTTCTTAGCACCTCCAGCTACCATAAACGTGCTAGTGACACATAGTTGCTTCAGCTGGGTGGCTATACTGGCAGTTTCAGGTCGCTTAGGATCTGTGCAGCACGACGCTTACGAGCTCTCGCCTAAATGCTTCTTCGAAAGCTTAGCTGCCAGACCGTGAGCAAGAATGACCGAAGAATGACGCCGTAACTGCCTCTTCCGGCTAGTTTGCGAGCCAAGTGAATCTGGTGCGAGGGTTCCTTTGGTCGCCGTCCGACCTGTTTGTCAGCTTAGGAAGTTGGTATTTCAGGAATGGCTTGAAATAAGGCTGAAGTCGGCCATGAGCTCGAGCCGCTGCGGTATGGACTTCGTAGACCAGTGCAGAGATGGTTGGCGGTGAGTCGCTCGGTTGTCGGACTTGCAAGCAGCGACGGATCAAGGTTAGGACTGGAATCATTTCAAAAGATATTGGCTGATGCTGGGGATCTAGTGTGACGAGCGGGTACCGATATGCGTTCGATGTGAGAAAAGCAAACGCCATTGCTCCGGCCCAGAATCACGCTTTCGATTCTACTATGGGACTTCGGCTCAGAAAGCTGGAATTGAGATCGCGATTCGAGAGTCATCAACCGACAGCCCACGCGAAGATGACTTGTACAACGTAACTCAACTCGGACGCGGGAGAGTTCCGCGGTCGCAGACTCTGCCCACAGCAGTGCCCGACAGTCCCATAGAGTCTTCCAGGAAACTGCTGATACAAATCTTGGCATGCGAGAAGCCTTCACGTGGCTGGACGCTGCAGCAGCTTGGGCCATACTTTAGCAAAGTCCCTTCCCGACTTGGTTGCAATCCGGCTCTGGATGCCGTCACAGGATGCTTGATCGCCTCGTACGCTCGCCGTTACCTGCCACACTTGGTCCCGAAGATAAGGGCATCCTGTGAATTCATTGCGTATGGCGAAGCAATTCAAGCTCTCCGCAACGCGGTCCAAGATGTGTACGTGCAAGAGTGTGAGAACACCCTCTGTGCGTCATTGTCTTTGTTTCTGTACGAGTTTTTTCTGCAGAAGCCGTCCTTGCATTGCATAACGCTGGCTGGTGGCGTTTCTAGCATCTTTGAAGCATGGGGACCATCAAGGATCACGTCGGATTTTGCCCTGTCACTATTCGACTCCCACTACAAGACCATGATCTCACACGCAATGCTATTCGGAAAGGACTGCTTTCTTGGCGAGGCTGGCTGGGTGGACGTGTTTACCAAATGTCCAAGTGTAGAGGCCGATGATCGAGAGTTGTGGCCAGCTCTGGCTCGAATATGCAACTTTCTTCAGACAGTCCGTCAAGTCCAGGCACGCGATTGTTACCAGTGTACAGACGTGGTCGCAGAAGGCCGTCGCCTTCGGAAGACTGCCTTACTGCTGGAGAGTTCGATCTCGAAACGCTTATCAAGGCCCGAAGTCTTTGAACTTGCACCAGAGTTGTACTCAGGGCCGCCGCCAAAGGTCGAAGGTGGCGCGATATGTACAAAACATACGCACGAGCTGATCGAAGTGCTGGTATATGCTCGGTCTGCCGTGCTCATGGTCGACGGAGCGCTCCAGCGGCTAGGCGAAACCGACGGCGAGATGTTGAGCGAACAGTGTTCGCTTACAGAGTGGCTGTGCGCAACGATGCCGGTTGCCTTTCGTCTGGGTGCAGGAAAGGGCTCGTTTAATACCGTTTCTGGCGCAGCAGCTTTCGGCTTGAGCTCAGAGAGGCAGCGGAAACTTATTGCCACGTATTGTGCGTGTCTGATCGGTAAGGGAGCACGGCCGGAAGATCTCACGCATGAGCAATTCCTCAGCTCTTATCGTGGACTGTGCAACATGAATGATGTTATGACTGGAGGACGTGTCTCTGGACTGCCGTGGAATAGAAACGGCTGACGTGCTGGGCGTGTGGAGTATGAGGTAAATGCCAGCACGGTCAGACGAATCTTGTAATGCCCGATATGTTGCTCGTCAGTAGGCAGTCGACCGCCAGGGGCAGGCTTACGAAGTTCCAACGATGAGTCATGGGCAGTTGGATCATCGACAGCGCTCAGAAGCGATGAGTCGGCATCAACGAAAGACTGAGTAACAAAGCACTGAGGGTAGCAAGAGAGAACAATTGGAGAAGGAGCTAAGGTCTGTCAAGACGTGGAGAAGAAATGGTTGCAGAAGGCAGAAAGGTCGATCAAGATATGGAGGACGAATAATTGCAGAGAGAGCGACAGTATTCACGCTAGAAGGAAGGAACAACCGCGGCGAACAAACATGAGGCAGGCAGGGCTGATGAAAAGTCGCCAACAAAAGAAGGAACGATCCAGCGAAAGAGGAAGAACGTACGAGCAGGAGTACCGATTGAGCAGCTGCAAGGTGATAGCATGACATCAGATCCGAGTATGCGAACATAGTAGTGTGCGGGCGGGCTCTCAGTGCTGCGGATTGACAAAACTTAGAATAATGGACGCAACATGAAGCGGGCAGTAAGTTGAGAACTTGTGAAGTAGGGGGACATCTCGCATTCAGCGGTCACGAATGACCGAGGTGTATCTCTGTATCATCTTCTGCACTCCAGTCTAGAAGAAAGCTGTCAAGAACCTGACGACAGGATTGCGCTTCTTCTCCGGCTCCAAAGTAGCCTGGATTGAACCCCGACGGATACCACTCGTAACATCCATGTCCGCCGCACTGACATACAGCTTCCAATCCTTGGCATACACCTTCCAGAAGAGGTAGCACGCAAGGATGAGCGGCGCAGCGAGGTAGTTGCTGAAAAAGACTTCCGCATCTGGGCTGCCGCCAAGAGGCCAGACAGAGGTGTAGAAGGTGGCAATCAGGGCGAGAATGCACAAGCTCAGGCCAATCCACGAGCCAATGACACCGAACTGTGCCTGGAACGGCAGCTGGTCCAAGGTGTAGCCATGCGCCTTCCAGCCTGCGCGGAAGCGGATGTGGGCGAGGTTGATTGAGAGCCAAACAAAGAAGAAGCACAGGCCGGAGAGCGCAAGGAGCCAGTTGAAGATGACTCCTGCCTCGGCGGCCTCGCCAAGGTATCCGAGAAGACCGAAGGCTAGCTGGAGGATGACACAGTAGATTGGACGGCCGTGCTTGTCGACGTGGGCGAAGAAACGTGGTGCCATGCCCTTGGTGGCGAGAGCTTGGATGGTGCGGGAGGAGCCGTAGGTGCAAGAGTTGGCGACGGAGATGACGGAGACCGTGATGACAGCGTTGAACACGCTGGGAAGACCCTTGACACCGGCTTCCTGAATGGCAAGGACGAAGGGAGAGGCCTTAGTATTGGCACCGGAAGCACCCATGAGGCTCTCATTATCCGAAGGCAGGATGATCCCAACAATGAGAAGAGAGACGATGTAGAAGAAAGCGATACGCCAGAAGACTTGCTTGGTCGCCTTGGGAAGGGCCTTTTGTGGCTCAGCAGCCTCAGCAGCAGCAAGGCCGACAAGCTCGGTACCTCCGAAGGCAAAGGCGGCGGTGACGAAGACAGAGCAGAAGCCCTTGAAGCCGTTCTTGAATGCACCGGGATCCTTCCAGTAACGGAAGCCGATGTAGCCGCGGTCGTCGCCTGGAATGCCACCAGTGTTGACGATGATACCGAAGATGATGAAGCCCAGACACGCGCAAATCTTGATGACTGACAGGACGAACTCGACCTCGCCATATCCTCGGACACCAAAGATGTTGACGGCAGTGAGGAAGACGAGGAAGACCGTGACCCAGACAGCCATGTGGATATCATCCCGCCAGAATTCGATCGTGATGGAGGCAGCGATGAGCTCGAACGGTAGGACAGTCAACCAGGAGATCGCGTAGTTCCAGCCAACGGCGAAGCCGAGCGACGGAGAGACAAAGCGGCAAATGTAGGTGAAAAAGGCGCCATTGACAGGATACAGCACAGCCATCTCGCCCAAAGCTTGCATCGTCATCAGCAGCATTATGCCGACGATGCCGAAGCCTATCAGCACGGCGGCGGGACCTCCGCGGTAGAGAGCACCACCAGAGCCGACGAAGAGACCAGCACCGATGGAACCGCCAATGGCAATCACTACAGTCATGTTAGCCACGTTGTGACACAGCACCAGCGTTGTAAATCTTACTCTGCATATGGCGAGACTTCAGCTTCTGGTGAAGTGGTCGGACGCCATCTTCTGGTTGCTGCTCATCAGCATATGTCACATCGTTGGCGAGCTTGTTCTGTCGGGCCTCGAGGTCGACACCGTGGACATCGTTTCCGGAGAATCCTTTCTCTGCCATGGCTGCTGTGGGCTGTCAGGCTCTGGACAAGGAAAGAATGTCGATGGTGCAGCCGCACTGAATATGAAACGACAGAAGTCGGACGAGAATGAAGTAGGGCAATATTCTAGAAGCGAGGGAATGTAGCAGGTATTAAATGCTTCTGAGATCTCGGTGAAAGCGTGAGACAGAGGCTGGATCTCGGTTGCATGCGTTGGAACTCGCTATCGACTGACAACAACCACTAGTCTGGCCCTTGAACCATGTGGCGATCCTTCACTTGCACCCTGTAGTCGATAAATCGACCGGTGCAAGCGAGTGGCGGAACGTCCGATTACAATCACTGGCCATAGTGAATGCGCCAAGGCGGTACTGCGATAGTCTATCATGGCGGAAAAGCGAATGGTACTTTGCAAGACCGCGACAGGCCGGTTGAGTTAGCGATTAGGGTCGCCGCAGTGGTTGCATGGTCCGTGGCCAAGCGAACAGAAGAGGATGCAATCATCAAGGAAGTCGATGCTGGCCCAATCGCATGCGCTCAGAAGCCCGATTTGAGTTGTTCTGGAAGAAAAAAGTGCTTCTTGGTGCCTCCGCCGCTGCACGTTAATGCGACACTGATATCGCGAACCCCGGACGTTATGCTTGAGCTGCGCCAATCCGACGCCAGCAACGAACAGATCTGTGCGAGGGTCCTTCCGCTGCCAGGAGGGGCCTCGTATCTCTCCCGGGCCATGCTTTCCTCTTGCAGAGGAATGCCCAGAAAAGATCGGGCCTGGCCTCCTGTGGCCGCTGATAACTTCCTCGGCATCGCCTTAGCGTAGTCTTGGGTTGCTTCGAGCTCTTTGCGCTTGCTTTGCGCGAGCTTCCAGCTGAAGCTTGCTGCTTTGCCCAGCCAGAACGATTATTGCCAATTGCATGGTGGCTTTCTTGATGTTGCGAGCAACAGTGTTAAGTTCCGAGGATGACCTCCTCGAGTATCCTTTCATAGTCGCGCTGCGATAAGAGTCCTGAAGCTGGTTAGCCACAAGGTTCTCCAAGACCCTAGAACAGAAGGTGAAAACTCGCATGTAGATATTCCACATCAGGCCTATACAGCTAAAGAACAGGATTCGGCGATGCACCGGCACCAGAGCGAAGCTGATGAAATTCGCTATCGGCCAGACTTTGTAACCAGCAAAAATTATTGGAAAGGTTTCCGTCAGCAGATTGAGTTTGATCTTCGACCAGGACTGTCCTCTGAAGATCCCAAAGATAACGAGAAAAGCACAGGTGTTAGCCAACGCGCCCAGAGTGATGCTGTCGAGAAACCACTTAATCATCGTGTTCTTGAGGTTCAGCTTGCCGATGGTACGCCGATTGCGGTTGAGTCGTGCTGGCCACCATTTCGATCCAGCAGTACGTTGATCGTGGTCTTCGGTCTCCGGCCGTTTCAGATGAATGTCGTGTAGCGGTAAGGTGGTGGGCTCCAGGTACTCCGTTCGGGCGGGAAAGTGTCTATCAAGGAACTCTTGCCACCGGTAGTTGGGTGGAGCGGTGCAAATATGCAGGCAGAAGAAACGAAGAACATCGACGACATTGAGCTTGAATGCATGCTATAGGCAGGTTGTCAGCATGTCCTTCCACCATGAGTCTCGCTTCGACTGACATTCGCAATTCTTGCGTCGAGATACTGCCCGAGAATATTGGAGATGGCCGCCAGTAATGAGCCCTGCAGCACAGCTGCTAACATCGGCCCCATCGCGCGATGTGGCCACAAGGCCGACTGTCGAAGGTATGATCGATCATTTACCGCATCGTAGTTGCTTGTACAACAGATCGGATTGAATGTTGTACTGTGCTGGCTGGGAAAGTGATGGGCTTGGGTGCGAATCTGAAGCCTGAAGGTCTCGCCTTGCAGGTCAGGGTCGGGGCCAGTGCCGAGGGCATCTTTTACCTGTAGCCAAGCCCTTGCATATCATTCCAACACCAGGTTGACTAGAGCAGCTGTTCTACTCCTAGATATCGGAGTTCGTTGCAGTCGACTCAGCAGAGCAAAGAAGCACCCAAAGAGGACTGAGCGAGGCTCACATGGGATGTAGTCGTAATTAGCTATGAATGTGCTCATTTGGATCACTGTCTAGGTACTCCATCCTTTGCGCCCTTCGCGCAATTCGCACAGCAATCCGAATTGGGATGCTACCAGCTAGACCACAAACAGCCTACATGCCATTTCAAGTCCCATCAAGCGCTGTCTTGTATGTTCTATGTCATGAATCATGTCTCGTGTGGCCGTCGACGAATGCGACCGCCCATAGTCCTGGACCTCTCAAGTAATAAACGCTATTCTACACTGTGTCCACCCAAACTTTTCTCCTGTGGTTGGATCCGTAACTTCTCCATCAACTCCGATGTCTATCAGGCTAGCATTAGGATCTCCTGAAGCCATCAACAGCTTCTGCTGAAGTTCTTCCAGCCTCTGTCGGCCATAGATGCGTCCGTTTGGCAACATGATGGGGTTATCATCGACCTTGCTGACGGTGTGGTGTGCGTATGGGACGTGCTTCGCGAGATCGTTCAGCTCCACCGAGCATATTGGGCATAGCGATGTGTTCGTTGCCATCTTCGCATGTCCCGGTGTACTGCTAGATGTGGGATTGAATGCTGAATGACATGCAGGTGTCTTGAGCGCTGACAGCCCGGCCGAAAGGGCAACGTGCAGCAGCGGCTGTTGTGGCAGACTAAGCATCGAGTGGTGGGTCTCGATGAAGACTTGGGAAAGGTACGTCCATCTTCTGGCGCTGAAGAATGATTTATATGGCTCTGTCTCGGTTTCGGGTGATTGTGCAAGCAAACCTGCTGCCTCCATGAGAGCGCCAGGTCGAGTCTCCTGCTGAGGCGAGAGGTGGACAGTGGCGTGTTCTCGTGCTTCTATGATCTTGTTCGCCCTGACCAGCTCGATAAATTGCTGCAAGTGTAGCTCGTATTCGAGAGGTGTAGTCTTCATCGGCGCCTTAACCAGCTTTCTTAGAGGAATGCGGTTATTGCTGACCCATGAGAGTGCTGGCTTTATCTCTCCTCGATCGAGTGATGCGGCAACTTTGTGGCAGGCCGCGAAGACGTCCATGTCGATCAGGTGTGATATTTGCTTCTTCTCCGTCAGAGCTTGGGCCGTCTTCGAATAGCCCGAACGAAGCAAGTAGTCCACCGTCAGACGATCCAGCCTCGTTCGTGACCACTGGTCATGCGTTGGATTCGAGAGTGGCGGGACCTCGTGTAGCTCCTGTACGTGCTTCATCCGCTTCGACGTATGCTCATGCAGTGTCTCCTCTTCCGCATGGAGCGTGTCCAGCTTCCTCTTGAACGTCTGCATTTGCGCAATCATGGCATCTAGAGCTTCCACCGTCTGTTCCGGAGTATGTCTGGAGTTGAGCGAGGCATTGGCGGCATCTTTGAGTGCATTTGGGATTGACCCTTTCTCATACTCTATATATCGTTGCGTGTTCTTGAAGTTGGCTTTGACCAGCTCGAAGGGGAGCCGTAGTAATGGTTGTTCGAGAAGAATATGGCCTTCCGCAGCACCGTCTGACGAGCCTGCTTCAGGAGCCATCGGTCAGCGTCGTGGAAACACGACAGCACCAGCGACTGAAAGTCCCTATTCGATAAGCGACCTTCAATGATGTGAGCATAAGAAGATATGCCAGGCGACAGTGACAGCAGTCGGAATGGATCTACGTACTAGGTCCTGTCTCCAGACTTGAGTCCACCCCGCATGGAAAGGTGCCAAGACTACAACGCCTCCGTGTTACATGCCTTTAAACCCTGGGAGCTCAGCTGAATGTGCTGTTATCCGTAGCTATCAATCCGTTGTCTACTCGTCAAGTCATGCCTGCAATGTCAGCGACGCCTATACTGGATGCGCTCGAGCGTGATGGATACGTAGTTGTTCCTAATCTCCTTGGCAAATACATGCTCCTTGCTCAAAAGGCTGCTAGTAAGTACGTTACAGACAAAGCCCGCGCCGGCAAGTGGCCTTTCATTCGGACAGTAGGCAAGCAATACCCTCCGTGGCCAACGTGGGAGAAAAGTGAGGATCACTACAACATATGGGGCGTGCAACATCTCTTGCATCCAGATATGGGCGTCAGGGATACCTTTGCTGAGCTGTACTTCTCGGATGAGATTCTGGACGTGGTAAAGGAGCTTGTCGGACTGAAAGACGACCCTGAAGCGGACGACAAACTCGTCATGGAGCTCTTCAATCTGCTCGTATCCCCATCAGAGAATGAAGACTTTGAGCTTTGTTGGCACCGAGATGACATACGGCCTGACGTCAGTACCGAGGAAGAGCAACGGCTGCTGGACGAGAAGAGCCCAAATGGCCATCAGTTGCACGCTCAGTATAATGTTGCGCTCTTTGACGATGCCTCGCTCATCGTCGTTCCGGGAAGTCACAAGCGTGTGCGGACAGAGGCAGAACGGAACATAGGTCCAAATGAGGACTTGCCCAACCAGCTTGTTGTCGAGTTGAACTCAGGCGATGCTGTGTTCTACAACAGTAACATCCTTCACCGAGGGACGTACGAAGGTATCCAATACGGTCCAGAGCTCGGTCGCATGACATTACATGGCTCTGTTGGACTCGCTGGCCATGGTACAGAGCGTGCTCGACAGGTTTTGCAGCATGCAGTTGGTGACTGGGTCGATAGGGCCGAGTTCACGACAATAGAAGGTCCGAGAGGCGTTCGAGCGGAAGCTATGCGGAAACGATTAATGGCAATGGGAAAGGGCAATGAACTCGGCTATTCATTACAAGGTTGACGTAGCCGGAGCAGCAAACACCGTACGTTTGTACAACACTCGAGGTCCGCCGGATGAAAATGCTATGGCGTAACGAGCCCTTGAAGCTTCGTCTAGTCCTGCGCGGCCTTATCGGCATCCTGATACATGAAGACTGCTACCATTAGCTCGTACAAGCCTTTTCGCCGAAGCCAGTGCCGAATCAGCAAACCTTACACTCGACCGGTACACTAAGACCAATAAGCGCTTCCCTCTGGAACTCAGGAAGCGCCATGTGGCAGGCTAGAACCACAAAAGCCTCTTACTCAAGCCGCTTTGCCGGAGAGAACAATAGATCTGGCAGCAAGATCGTAAAACTCTACCAATCAGCATTCTGTCCTCCAGGCATAACTGGAGTTGCCTCGTTGCCTTCTGGAGTAAACTCTACCCAGTTGCGGCTGTTCAGGTTGCGTCACTGCAAAACACGTGGTGTAATTGATCAAGTCTGATCTCCGCACTCTTTCGTCCCCATCTCCAGAGGTTCGTGAACAACCATCCTGCATAATGTGTGGTATATCGCGCCCGCAACGTAACCCACATCTCCTTCTCCACGACTGGGCCTCGTGGAGAATTGGGGAAGCGGTACTCGCGATGGAGAAAGCACGAGCTAAGTACCTCGTTAAAGTGGTATCTGCTGTCTACTTATGTCTTCTACGTGTAACGATATCCTAAAGGGCACAGTATACCACCTCGCTCCGACATAGACGGGAACAGTCGAGGCACTCTTGCCTTTTCAGCATACGGGACTGGCCCCCACAATGAAGATCTCAACAGAAGACGGACACAATCTCGTCTCCTCCGCCCTACAGAAAATTGGGTACACGCCCGAGTCCACCAAGATCATCGCCGACCATCTCATAGACAGCGAGCTCCGCGGCTACGGCGTCGCAGGACTCGCACGTGCTCTCAGTATCGCTGACCGCCTCGCCGGCAAGCCACCCGCTCAGACAACGAAGACCACCCGCTCGGCACCCGCTACGGCTCAAATCGACGGCCAGGACACGTTGGGCTACCTTGTCGCATATGAGGCAACCCAGGTCGCTATCGCCAAGGCAAAGTCAAATGGTGTATCCGCCGTAGGCGCTTCAGGGACGTGGTATACGGGCATGCTGTCCTACTACGCCGAGATGGCGGCCAAGGAGGATCTTGTGGCCATCATAGCCAGCAACTGTACCGCGTGGGTTGCACCGGAAGGAGGCTACCGACCTATCTTCGGCACGAACCCTTGGTGTGTTGGCTTCCCTACAGGCGACGGTCAGCCACCAGTGATCTACGATATTGGCACAAGCAAGATCCTTCACGCAGATGTACTCCTCGCGAATCGTTTGGGCCGCGAGCTGCCGCCCGATAGCGTGTTCGACAAGGACGGCAACGACACTGTCAGCCCGCAAGATGCGCTGAGCGGCGCATTGAAGGTGTGGGGAGGGCACAGAGGGAGCGGCTTGGCGATCACGGTGCAGTTGTTGGGTGTCATGGCGGGCAGTGCGGCTTTCCCACCCGATCTGGCTGGCTTTGGTTATATGATTGTGATGGTGGACCCAGCACAGTTCAGGCCGATAGAGGAGTTCAAGGCTGAAGTTGATGCATTTTCAAAGGCTATGAGGGAAGGTCCAGCGCTGGACAAGGGGAAGAAGTTGCGGATGCCTTTCGAGAGGAGCTTTGGGATCCGAGAGGAGGGACGCAACAGGGGAGAGTTCGAAGTCGAAGATGGCGTTGTGGAGAGGTTGAAGAAACTCATTGATGGGTGAGTCCGGGGCGGCTGGTCGTGTCGTTGTAGAAAGACTGTCGGCAGCTGGGTGCCATTCATGAAGAGAGCGTGGGATACATGAAGCATAGTGACCGTCCACCGCCTTCCTGGGTGTCCTCCCTGTAGTGTACTCACCATACGAAAGCCATGGATTGCACACTCAAAAAGCAAATGGGCAATTCCTGCCCCACCTAACATTTGACCTCGGCATCAGCTTGCCCCTCCATTCCTCTCTCGAGTCCTACGCATGCGCGACCACTTCAAGTCCTTCAGCCAAAGAGCAAAAAGCAAGAAGTCATAGGCAAGTCGTTTGCGATATGCGTGAACCGTGACTATTTTGGGATCAGTTAGGTCTGATCCTCCATGCTTATTTCGAAAGCCGGTGCAGAGAGTCTTACCTCGAACACGGGCCTCGAGCATGGGAAGCTCGAATTCTACCCTTAAACTATTCACGCAGTCCCAATTTTTGGAAACGACAAGTTTGTGAGCAATTTCGAGAGCAAAATTTGAAGTTGGTAGGATATGATGGTGCAGATCAGCAGAGCCTGCAAGCGCCTGGACACACCCGCACTCAGGGAGCTGGAGAGCTGGCGCACTCAGGCAGTGAACTGCGGCAGCCGATTTCGCGATCGCTTCTCACACCATGGGTCTGTATAGCAGATGCTCGACGACGTGTGGCGCGTCATAGGACCGTTCGAGTCCGCACTGTCCCTCTCTGATCACACCACAATGGCGAGCAGTGAAGAAGTTTACCCCTGGAAGAAACTTGCAGTGAAGACATTCGCGCCAAGCCAAGGCGGTATCTCCGGGCCTGCCCGCCAAAAACTTTTCCAAATAACAAACCGTTCCTTCCCACCACTTTGACACCAATTTGAATCTCAGACGTACCTTACATAGGAGGACCCGACCTGAGCGTTCCACGCATCATCTGCCAAGCGACCGCGTAGCGACTCATACCCCGAACGCATAACGAATTCGTGTGTCAGTGCGAAACTCGTCCACGCTCTCCAACTTACCGCCACTATCATTCGGCTTCGACCACAATCACCCCACGAGCTTCCACAGCAAGCATCAAGTCAACTGACACAACCATGGGCAACGGCGCACGAGCACAGCAGAAGCGCGAGCGCAATGCGAAGGACACCAAGAAAGGGCCTACTTCGCAGCTCAAGTCGGTACGCTAACTCTACCTCATCCGTCTTTTGTCCATGAAGTACAAGGAGCTAATCAACACATCAACACGCCTCCAGAACCAAGCAGCAAAGTCCATCATCTGCAAAATCTGCCGACAAGATTTCCAGGTCACCACCAAACAGCCTGCTCTGATCGAGCATGCCTCATCCAGGCACCCTGGCAAGGCAGTGACTGAGTGCTTTGATGGTGCTTGAGATGGCGAAGCGAGTGCGAGTGCGAGCAGGGCAAGCGGGCGTTACGACTGGAAACAAATTTGCACTATCTTTTACTGAACCAGATCAATCAAGTCAAGTCCGTGAGATGCGGATTTTGATTCTTCTACCATAGACCAGTAGCCATGGATCGATTGTCTTCTCTAAGCAAAGTCCATGCGCCCACCATCTTCCACGAGACCAAAGACCACTGCTAATGCGTGACTTCGGCCACCTCCCACGGAGCATGAGTACGACGAAGCGCACCGAAAGCAGCTGGAGGCTGTAATCCTGCGACAATATCCTGAGACGAGTATGAGGAAGCAGCCATGAATGCGTTGCGTTACCTAGACAAGGCTCCTCGACTAAGCACAGCAGCTACTTGAAGACACTTAGGAGATACTGTATCAGACACTGACCCCTGACCAACTCAGAACTGCCTCTTCACCCTCCTCGCCCCCCTCTTATTGCCAATCTTCTGCCCAAGCCCTAGCCTAATCTGATAGACCTGAATCGTACTACTCTGCCCACAGTTCTGCGTCACATTCCCCTTGCACGGCATATTACATGCCAGATCTCCCGCCGGCTTCAACTGCGCATTGTTCTGGATACCGGCCTTGTTGCAGAAACACTGGCTCCCGTACGTGATGCCTCCCCACGTGTATCCTCCACTCTGACAGAAGGCCAAGCAATTGTCAACACTCGCCGTCGTGGTCAAGTCCTTGTTGGCCGCGTCCGGAACCTGCCCACCGAGTGTCCTCGCGCCGCCATTGTCGACGTAACACCCTTTGTAGTCGTACGTGATCTCCGTACCGGGGATCTTGACGCTCGGCGGGATGCGAGGCGTGTATGCGGTGTTATTGTACATGCTCACCGCGCCACTGCCACCGCACTTCTGGTTCGCGTCGGCCGTGCAGTTCATGTTGCATGAGTTCGCACCTAATGTGTCCGCCGCATCCAGGATCACGTCGCCGACGAGACACTGCTTGCTGTACTCCAGCCCGAAGAATGCATAATTGTTCTTCTTCGCGTACGCGGCGCAGTAGTCGACATCCATGATGCCTGCCCTGTCGATCTTGGGTAATCCACTCAGGGGTTCACCTTTGGCGGCGGAGAGGCACTTGAAGTACGCCTTGTTCGGGGCTGGCTTGACGACATCCAAATTGTCGCTACTGCCGGGGTTGGTGGTGGGTGCGTTGGGGTCTGCGGAAGTTGTTGGGGTTTGGCCGGCGCTGGAGGGTATCGTGCCGTTGGTGGTCCAAAGGGACAGCTTGCCACCATTGCCGCAGAACTGGGTGTTGTCACCTTTGCAGAGGGTAAGGCAGTTGGATTGGGCAACAGGAGCGGTGGAGATTGTGTTGCCGCAATAGCATTCTGTGGGGCGTATGTTAGTGATGGACGGCATGGAGAAGGGATATGGTTTGCTTACCATAGGCAAATTCGGTGCCAAAGAGGTTATACTTGTTCTTCTGGCAGAACATGCCGCAGAGCTCATTCGTCATGCCGGTCTGATTCGAAAACGACATGCCTCCGGTCAGGGCTTTATACCCGCTGCCTTCGGCATAGCAGCCGGCATAAGTGGCCTCGATGGGAGATTTGTCGACTGCAGAGTCAAAGTTGATCTTTGTCTGTCCCGGTTGCGGGGTGCCTCGGACTTTGACGGTTGTCTTGGTGTTGTTGTACACGTAGGTATATTGGTTTCCTCCGCAAAAGTTCAGTATGTCTCCGGTGCAGATGATGGGGACTACTGCTGCTCCACAGATGCCTTGGTTCTGGACTGGCTTGACTAGGGCGTTGCCGCAAGAGCACTGGGATCCACCCGTCAGGCCGGCATATGCCCAACCTTTGTCGTTGCAGTAGTTTAGACAGCTCTCTCTCGTCATTGTGTTACCGTCCTGGAAAGAGTCGCCTTGGAGCATTTTCGGCGCGTCCTTATCACTCGCACATCCCAGGTACTGCCAATCCGTGTTGTTTACGAAGTCGCCAACGACAGGGGGCAAGCGAAATGTGTCGTCGGGAACGTCATACGAGTCAAGGCCGGGCTGGATGGGGCAGATAGCTTGTGCAGCGCGTCCCGGGCCTGCTGTAGGAGGATTGCAGCCCGGGAGGGCCTTGAGCAGGCCTCTTGCCTTCTCTTTGACCAGAGGCTTCTGCTCTGGACAGTTCTTGACGGCTTGATCGTCATACGACGCATTGAGCGGAGGACACAGCTGGATGGAGCCTTGATTGATGGCGCGGTTGTCACCCATACACTGCTGAATGGCATCCTTCATTACAGAGGTCTTCCAGCCGTTCTGGAAATCTCCGTGAAAGCCGTAGCCGGTCGCGTCGCCGTTGGAGAAGACAAAATAGCCACCAGGCTGCTTCTGGATGTTGTTGACGGAATAGATGACCTCAAAGAAGATGTGAGGGAATGTCTTGGGATGCGTCGGCGGGCACTGGCCAGTGTCGATACCGGAGAGATACGTCACATGGCTTTGGTCACTCTTGTACAGGTTGACTCCATCCCAGCAGCTGGGGAAATGGATCTGTGCTCTGAGACCGCCAGGGCAGTCCATGTTCGTTATGCGAGGAGTGTCAGGGCTGGGCTTGTCGTAGTTCAGACAAGCGAAGCTCGTTCTTTCAGCGATGTATCGCGAGTTCTTGTAGGTCTTCGCGGCAAAGTTGAAGGAGCGAGCAGCAGCATCACCGGCGAGAACCTTATAACCCTCCGGGAAGGGGACCATGTTGAGGTTGTCATCGCCACGGCTCAGGTAATAAACGACGGTACCGCCCGTTGGAACATCAACATATGTGCCGTTGCGGAAACGGTAGTAGAGCTGCGGCGTCCAGTATGCGCTCTTGTCGTCCTGAATACTGCACGACGTGCAAAGAGAGCTCTGGTAGCTCTGGAACGTTGAGGTCGTGTTGAAGTTATTAGGACCTGAGACAATATGGGCATGGCCTGCAATGGCTCCAGGGTTGATAATGGGGTCGATTCTACCCGTCTGGATTCTGCCGCAAGAGAGACGCCAGAAGGCTTCCGTCTGGTGAACGAGAGCGGCGAGCACGAGCGTCAGGACGACGTTCATGTTGGAATTGTGCATGTTGTCGAGGTCCTCCAAGCAACGCACGCTGCAGGATCAGAGGAGAGCACAAGCCTGGAGGAAGCGAGGTGTTCTGGTTCGTGATCGCCATCATGTATACTCTTTTGTTCGACCATTCTAGTCTTTTGTGTACAGACTGGTTGCATTAGGAAGTAATGGCTCGGCGGATTATTGCACGCAGACTACCGATTGGGCAGCGCCGCGTGAGCTTGTAGCCGGAAGAGTAGTTCACAAAGGATTGTAGCGATGCGAACAGTCCGGTCACGGTCAACTTACAGCTTGCTCGGCACGTCGGAGCCATAGTCACAGCCAGACACTCTGTTATGAGCATCCGTGTCCCGCAACCGGCGGCATTGGGGCGAGACTGTTCGAAAACGAAGCTTTGACCACCACATTCTCATTGTTCTGAACGGATAGCCACGTGGCCGATGGCTCCTGTGATCGACGCACGATTCACCCTGCCCGTGAGCACACGAGGTGAGGAGTTGAGATGCAGGTCCGACAACATTTTGCCCTGCAGTATGGGGCCTGCATGGTGATGGTAGGAGGAAGAGATCGCTGGAGCGCAGAACGAAGAGGGGCATGCTGCCAAGAATTCAATTAAGCCCAATCCGGAAAAGCCAAACACGAGCACGCGTTGTCGACGCGTCTCGTGAAATTGCTTCTTCTTCTAGCGAGAAGAACGCTGACTCTGCCGTTCAAACGGCTGGAGTTGGCTGGGAGTCTGGGAGTAGAATTCTCCGACCGAAGCCAATCGATAATCATCGTCGATATCGTAGAAATACCTGCATGAGTGCCGTCATTATGGAGTGAATGATGCAGAGAGTTTGTGGACCATGGCGTTGCACATGGCGTAGATCGGTACTTCAGTAGTTCATCGAGGGGATTCTGGTAGAAGATGGTGTGCTGCACGGCGCTAAATGGAATGGTTCAGGAATAACTGGGAGCTTCCAAGACAGGTTCTACTTCGATCAGATGACAGCCTGTCAGGGCATCGAGGCTGTTGCACGTTCCGTCTCTCGTTTTCGCTACTCCCCCGGTTTCCCCATTTCACTGCCTCTCTGTCGCATCTCTCGTCTCCTACCACACACCGCTTCATCACATTCACACTCGTCACCACCACCAAACACAGTCGCATTGGATATCAGACCGATCAGAACAACGTTGCTATCGTCTCCGGACGTCTTAGAGCTCTTGCGACAGCGATTCCGACGTACAAGAACTGCCGGCGCAAGTCGACCCACCATGCTACTCCCGTCAGCCTTCCCATGCGAAGGCCTCAAGGCCACCACATCTCGACCGACCCGACCGTCGCTACCTTCATTCGCAATCTTCACTCCAATTGTAAAGCAAGATGAGCCCTCAACAGAGACAACGCTTTCTTCTAGCTGTCGTGCACTACATACAATCCTCGGAAATCCACTGCGCTCATCGCGCCCAACAACGAAGACGACCAAACCACATTTGCGCAACCCGTTCGATGCCAATCTCAGAGTCACAAAACCACGCAACACCCGCGCAGCATGCCAAGAGGCCTCAACAAGCGCACCCGTGACGACTTCGAAGCAGATCTACAGAACACACACTACGGCGCAAGCACCTCAGATCTCCCACCAGACACAGACATCATGTCAACGCCTAAACGGCGCAGGCGCATACCACTGGACATGCCACTAGGCTTATCAGCCGACGACTTCGCCTCACTCGAGCCCATGCCGCAGATAGCAGAAGACCAAGACGGCGACCTGAACATGCCAGAACTGTCCCACGACTGCCTGTCGGACTCAGAGGACGAAGTAGACTCGGGCTACGGCACATCTAATGGGCCATCGCCCAGCACAGACCCAGTCGAGGATCCACTATGGACACTCGATGACGATCGCATATTGGTGCAGACGGTACTCGAGAAAATGCAGATCAGCAAGCGCGCTTGGAATGAGTGTTCAAGAAGGCTTGGGAAGGATAAAGACAGTATTGGTCGACGGTGGAAGCTGCTCATCGATGAGGGCGAAGTTGGACTTAAGATCCGACGAGGAGGTCCCGTACGGAGAACGCTGATGGAGGTGCCCGGATGGTGATGGCTTCTCTTCTTTCTTTGATCTTCGCTTCTCTTCTCAGATTTAAGGATACCCATATTTCGAAAGCGCTCTTACTTTGGACATAACGTCAAGATGCCTTCTCGGTTAGGGAGTGTGCTAGCATTTCTCTACTTAGATAGAATGAACTGCTCTGTTTTTCAGATCCCATGATGAATTTCCCGATGTATTGCTTGGTCCCCTGCATTCATTGGAATTTTGCTGGTGCCGCAGTGTGCACCTACACACGGCCCGGGAGAACTGCTGTTGATTCCTAAGCACATCGATCTGAAGAAGCGCCGAACGTTCTCAGCCTTGGTATGCCGGCTCCTGAAGAGTGCTTCGTACTCAATGCAGCGAGATGACGCCGAAGAGCTGGGCATGATCGATGACTTCAGGTTGATTGTGAAAGGCAAAGTCAGTGCTTGGAATCATGGCAATGCCAGCGTCCTTCTGGACCTTCCGTGTCAAAGCCTGAGTCTTTCTCGCTCCCGATTCTCTGGCGACAATGGAGAGCTTCAAGAGCTTTCCTTCGTTCACTCGCTTCGAGCTCAGCAGTGCCATGCGTTGCAGCCATCTGCATTTCCAAACACCGCTTCACTGCACCATCTGGCGTCAATCCGAGCATCTCAGTGAGATCAGCAACGCCCGAGCTCCACTTCTCCGGGATCCTATGCGCGATCTCCCGCGGAGCAATATGTCGGTGCAGCATCTCAGTGGCCTCGTACGCACCAGCCTGCCGCCAACGTAGGAGACCGTGTTCCACAGTAGGCAAATTCCCTTGCAAGCCCGCGATAGAGCAGCTTTCTTCGCAATAGCGGCTGGATTTCCACGGTGTCCAGTGTTGAATAAGGTCGAGAAGCTGTTCAGCTGTCGATCAGGCAGAGCAGCGACCCTGAGATATGGTCTTCGGCCTGCTCATACGTTATATCAGGCACTGCTGTGAGATAATTCCCCTTGTCGTTTCTGCGGGCGGCATCATCACATGGCGGCAATCTGAGTATGACCATTATACAGCAGCAGTACCGTGGAAACACCCCTGCTCAGCGATGTCTTCGTGCCTTTGCCTCTGTCTGTCGCTTCTTCCGTGCTAGCAGATCCGGAAAGACGACATTATTCCTTGCCTTCTTGACCTTGGTGGTGCGGTGTTTTGTGATGCGATTTGGCTTATGTGTAGTAGAGGGCTTCTTGACTGGCTTCATCTTTGCACCTTGAGCATCGATGTCCATTTCTGCATGATATGTTAGTGGTCGTGGCTCTGCACAGAAATCCTGATCGTGGCTCTCTTGTACCTTGGTCATTTGCACCTTGGGTAGTGCTCTGTGCTTTCTCTAGCTCGTCTTTGAGCGCAGCTGGCATATCGTCTATGTCCATTGCGCGCTCCTGGTCGGGTCTAGGCTTGGAGGCTAGTTCCTGCAGCTTGGCCGATAGCCGCTCCGTCCTCGAGTCCGAGGCAGGACCGTAGAGCTTTGCCCTCATGGCGGCATTGTTGCGCTTTGTTGACGAGGCTCGCGCACTTTTCGCCATGTTTGATAGTAGTTGTGTAGTAGGCAAGAAATCGAGGTCACGAAGAACTTCGGGTCGTTCCTTGAACTTCACTTGATACTTGCGTCAAGTGACTCGTACGCTGACTCCGGGATCAGTGCAAAGAGTCCAGAAAGTAAATAATAAAAAGCCAGGAGCAATCCTCAATAGTTCTTCAAGTTCACCTCTTAGACTCCTCAATCTTTTTCTTTTTTGGAGAAGGATCAACCCCCACCATTCCGCCATCGCGGCTACCACTGACGCTGCAACTGCCCATCGACCTCCACCCTCATCTCCACTGACTGACGTGCAGACGACGCCCTCCTCAGCCCTAAAATAACACCCAGCAACCTACGTCTAACGACCACGACGGCAGTCACCTGGACAACTAGCACATCCTCCCAACACCCGTATCTGTGCGCAAAGACTAAGGCTGGAGTCCTCCTCACGTGCGTCGCCGCCGATTTGCGGCCACAGCGATGGCCTCGAACGGCTACTCGACTCAAGCGCAGGACCAGGGCAAGTCCATTATCGCAAAGATCAAGTCCTTGACGGTAAATGAACTTAAGAACCTTCTGAAAGTCCTTGGTATCGCAGTCAGTGGCGTCAAGACCCAGCTCCAACTGAGAGCAATAGCACGTATGTGAACACACACTCTTTCTCAGCCTCAGCCAGGCAATACGCTAACATGTCGCTTCCTGCCAGACATTGAGCAAGCACAGAATTCTGGTCGCATGGAAATCCTCGACATGGCACGCAAGGAACTCGGCCTCAATAGCTACACGCCCGCTCCTTCATATCCCTCACCCTACTCAAATGCTACGCCTGCACAGTCCGCATCGCCTCAATTTACCTCGCCCGCCAACAGATACGGAGCGCAAATAGGTGGCTACGGCTCTGCTAAGGCGAGTCCTTATCAGGTGTCGGGCACCGTCCGCTTCGGAAACTCGCCCTTCTATCAGATCTTGAGACCACTGTCGCAGCAGCAGGAGCTGAAGGCCAGAGAAACCACCAGAGATGCTGCAAGAGTATCAGTCGTGCTCCCACAAGATGTCGCAGACCAAATACAGAAGAACACCAGATATAGGGTCATGGTCTTTTGCACCTCGGATCCAGCAAGCTATAAGCCTCAGACATCGCTTTCCCACACCAGGTCGAGTTGAAATGTAACGGCGAGGACGTCAAGGCCAACCTACGAGGGCTGAAGAACAAGCCGGGCTCAACGAGGCCCGCCGATATCACACATCTACTGCGCAAGAAGCAGCCTGGATATCGAAACGAAGTCGAGATGGTCTATGCATTGACCAATAAGGTATGCCCTTTTGACGAGTGTTGTGTTCTTACACGTCTCCCCTCCATTCCGTTGCGTGTCCGATATCTAAAGGTGGAACCGCCTACTTACAGGAGAAATCAATTCAGAAATTCTGGATGGTCGTCAACTACGTCGAGAAGAAACAAGTCGACGATCTTGTCCGAGACCTGAAGCACGGCAAAGCCTTGACCAAGGACCAGGTCATCCGAGAAAGTAAGATGCCAGTCTTGTTTGGACCACACAGGCTCTGACTCGTGCACAGTGAAGAAAGAGGCCGCCGATCCCGACATCGAGGTCAGCTCTCGATCGGTAACACTCAAGTGTCCTATCACCTATGCTCGTATGAAGACACCCTGTCGCGGAGTAGGGTGCAAACATAATCAATGCTTCGATGCTGCCTCGTATCTTCAACTACAGGAACAAGCACCAACCTGGACTTGTCCACATTGTAATAAATCGGTGCCATGGGAGCAATTGGTGGTCGACCAATACATCCTCGACATTCTCACCTCTACCAGTAGCGACACCGATCAGGTTACTGTCGAGCCGGACGGAAGGTGGCACATGGACGACACCACTCCTGCACCAGTGAACCGGAAACGAAAGGCAAATGCCACTCCGGACTCGGATGATGACGATGATATCATCGAGTTGGACGCCGATCCGCCAGTCGTGAACGGAGCATCGCTCGGGTCACCGCAGACACTGACGCCAAGGTCCATCCAGACTCCACCAGTCAACGGACGAGAAAGCTCTGCTGCAACATCACACCGGTCAGCCTCCACGGGCAAACGACCCCGACACAACGAAGTCATCGACCTCACACTCTCGGACGAGGACGAGGACCAAGATGCCAGGCCACCTGTAAAGTCACGACCCTCGTTGCCAAATGTCTTTTCCACCACGTCCACTTCTAACCTCAACCCGAATACACCTGCATACAGGACTAGGCCACCAGACTTACCATCACTGTCACCTACTTCAAGTGTTAGTCCTCATCTACAGCACCAGCAGCCGTCCAACGCCCACGCCTACTCTCATCGGTACCAGTTCCAATTACCCCCCTTTGACGCGATACATCGATTTAACCCTGACAGCAGTTTCGGAAACGCCAGTTCGCTCAACGGTAGCGGCAGCGGCTATGGTCCATCACCGTTGGGTGGGAGCAGCGGAAACGTAAGCAGTAGCGGAGGCACAGGGGCTGGTCAACCAAATGGCGCGTTCTAGGAGAGCAGCGCAGGCACGAATGATCAACAGGCGCAGGAAAGAGGGAGGAGATTGAGGTCCTCGTGGGTTCCTACGAAGACGCAAATAGCCATCGAAAGGCTAGCAGCCAGAATCAAGGCCGACGAATTGCTCAGGGCGGAGGCGACTCACATCGAGGACGAGCTGGCGGAGACCAGGCGGGTAGGAGACCTTTGACGAAGTTCTATCGCATGGTCTTGTCATTCAAATGGGAACAGAGGGATTCGGCAACGAGCATCGCAGCAAGGAGTTGGGGATGCCACGGCACTATTTTATGACCCATAGACTACGGCCTGGGTTTGGATGCGGTATGCATACTATTCTGAGGCCTTCGATGGGGCGGGCGTGCGCACTATTCTAGGCGCTCTCTCTCACGGATGCATATAATAATGTTATGCTAGAGCCCTCTGCGCTTTCGTTCCGTTTGATGGGGCCCGACTCCAAGGAGTCCTCGTGTCCGTCCCCGCCAAACCATCCATGCTCATGTCGTGCACCACAGCACAGTTCCCCGTACTCTTATTGCTAGACTCATGTCCTTACGAGGACCCCGACGACACACCACCGCTTCGCCTCCCACTTGCCCTCTCCCTCTCTCACATCGTCCCAGATCCAGTCCCGTCGGTTGCCGGACGTGTCTGTTTCGAAGATCGTAGCGAGCTTCAGGTGGGCATCGTTGTTGATGTTTCCGTTGGCGGGACCGTCTTGCGGTGGAGAAGAGGGAGAGGAGGACTCTGTGGTGATCGACGGATGGTCTGTAGCAAGCGCGAAAAAGTCACGTACGATGGCGCGGCCGGTGTGGAAGCCGGCGACGACGAGAGCGCAGGGGACGGTTTTTGCGTCAGTGGTGGTAGAATTGTTAGAGGTCGCCGGATCAAGGAAGTCCAGGATCGTTTTCACGATATTGCCGTGCTGGCTCGGCATCCACAGACAATCGGCGACGATGATCTTGTCGACTGTTGGGTAGCCCCCAGGCGTGAGTGCAGCAGTCGGTGGGAGAGATGCCGCCGGCAGGGGTTGGACCCGCTTGCCGTAGCTCTTCGGATCGTAGAAGTCATCCGTGCCCCAAGCATAACCGTAGATGTTGATTTCGGAGCGTGAGCGCCGCTGGAAAGGGGAATGTTCGTCGTTGGGATCCTGGTAGATGAAGAGGTTGGAGCGGACGTTCTTTTCGATCGAGCCGCCGGTCAGGGCCGGGCTAGAGGGGTGGTCGGTGATGGTGCATGTTGAGGCGCCGCAGAGGATGCATATCAGAGAGGGGAGGGCGGTTGCTGTTGGGATTATTAGTGGTGTGGGCGATGCTAGGGGCTCAAGCAAGGTATTGACCTTCATCCTTCACGTACCAGCGCCAAGCTCAAGCACACGTCGGCCCCTGATGTCCCAATACCGTGTATCCCATTCACCTGGAACACGAGGCGCTTCCTCGTTCCCTAGGTCATTCTGCTGACCAATCGGGTCACCGTCACCGGAACTAGCACTTTCAATGGCATCGGCAGCCACAACACCGGCATTCCACAGGTAATGAGCGAACAACTTCCGTCCTTGCTCCTCGTCCGGATGAACTGGTACATTCAGCTCCAGTGGGCCGAATGTGGGTGAGCGGTAGGTGATTGAGCTGCCAGGTGAGCCCCATGAGTTGATGGCGTCGTCGGTGAAGATGGTGGTGAGGGCTGAGGAGAAGATGTCCTCTGCTTCTGGGGAGGGTGGAGCGGGGACGGAGATGCGTGTGAGTAGCGACATCGTGATGCTGAGAGGCTTCTCATCTGCCCTGCTTAGAGATCGTCCTAATATAGTGGTGTCCGGCACCCGTGGACAAGTAGGAAGTTCTGTTCTGTGGTGTGATGCCGCTTATTCGCTCAGCACATGGCCTACCTAGCTCTTCAAGGAGAGCCCATCTCTTCAGCCAGCCTCTCAGTAGTGGTCCGAAGCCCACCAGGCAGCACTGTCGCGGTGATTGAGTACTTCGTGGTTGGTTTCAAAGTGAAAGGATTTCTATTCGTGGCCGCCGGGCCATCGCTCAATAGGTGCGTTTGGACACGAAAAGGAAAATCTTGGCGTAGGACATTCGAGTCGTCCTTGCCAGGGGCGAGGCAGACTGATTCGAGCTTCTTGTCCTACACGTATCTGACAGACCTCGCTCAAGCGCTCCGTACATGAAAACCAGCCATGAGACCTCACACGTCACGAAACGCCGATTGCATCTTCCCCCTCCAAATATGCTATAGGCTCAGGAACGGCATCCCCCAAAAAAGTCACTAACTCTTGCTCTTGCCTTTCGGACAGCCAGAATCGTACATGCTTCTGCTGTGTTGCCCAAAGCGCAAGTTCGCTCGGCTCATGACAATGAGGCAGAGGAATCTTCTCGTTCGATGGATCCATCGACGACGCGGTGGCACCGGTAGTGATATGCGCACGCTCATGGTAACGATGGCTCTCCACCCCTGCTGACAATTAACCTGCTCCCCAAGCAAAGAGCTTCTGTAACGCACACGCAGATCATGCATGAGCCGATGGGCAAGTCGAGAGGCAAATGGCGACTTGCCAGCGTCGTACTCAGCATCAAAGACGCCTCTAGGCAGGCGCTGACCAGAAAAGACGACACCTACTAAACCCCCGACTGAGATGAGTCAAAGTCCCAAGTGCTGGCATCCGGCGCTCGATGCAAGCGCAATCCAACAAAATCCAAACAATACTCAAACATCTAGTCGGATCCTGGCCTCAGCCTCAGCGACGCCTGCGAAGCTCACACATCGTTTCGTCAAACAAAGCAATACGGACAAGCTCGGCGCTTGCGGAGCAGTGCTTGGTCTGGAGGATGACAATGCGAGGCGACGCTGGATCAACAGGTCAAGATGCTGTGGATGAACGTGTTTCGTATCATTTTCGTGGGTCTGGCAGGATTACCTGAGGTCCTAGATGGTGTTGTGGGATGCTCTGTCTGACCCCCTTGCGAGTTCTGGCAAGTCTTCGCTACAGTGCAAGCAAAGCTTATGAGGCCAGAATATGCTCAAACAAGCAATCTAGCCAAATTGTTTGTCTGGACCAGCTGGGATCTGTTCAAAACTCACATATAAGCACGTATGAAACAGGTGGGTTGTGATCAGACTGTGCTCCTTCAGAGCAACTTGGCCAAGGGCCGTTGGGCTCACCTGTTGCCTCTGCCTTGTCAGCAGCCAATGTCTCGCTGCGGATTCCTCAGCGGCGGCCCTTGGTGGTTGCTCGGAGCAACTGTGAAGCAATGTTCTCCTCAAACCTCACTGCCAAGACGCTAACAGGCCTGCGTTTGTCATTCTTCTGTGACGTTCAGTGCACAGCCTCAGGATTATGAGGTTGAAGCACAGTGTATATATCATCTAGCCATCGACATCGACTCCCTTCTGCTCGACGTCGATCTCATACTTCGAGTTCATTCACAGCCTAGACATTACCAACAAGTCTCAGCGTCCCGCCGACGATATGGCTTCCATCTCCAACAGTGAAGGGTCTCGTGCTTTCTACAGCCACGGCAAGCCGGTGTACTTGATGTCCAACGACGTCGAGGCCGCGGAAAGTTTCGAATGGTGCCGCGACATGCAGAAATCGGTCTCAAGCTACGGTAACGTCATCAGCGGACTTCGCGTCGGGAAATTGGCCTCACCACACGAGCTCATCGACCACTCAACCATCTGTACTTTCATCACAGATCCAAAGTGCAAAGAAAGCACGATCATGAGTCGCGAGAAGATGGTCAGAGACGCGATCGAAAAGAAAAGAGTCATCGGCGTTCTCGTTAGCAAAGACCACGCCAGCTTGGTCGAAAAGAAGATCGTACTCCCCGAGGGCGAAGAATGGGCGCTGATGGGCGCTTATGTGATGACCGATTGCTGGAAAGAAAGACGGACCGGCGAGACAGAACCTCACCTCATGCTACGACTCCAGATGGTGAACACGGAGGACACCTGGTGGGAGAGCAAAGCCCAGTCAGGAGCACCCACCATTGGTGGACAGTATGGAGACTGTTCATCGTGCAAACTCCCACTGCAGAAACGATATCGGGAAAGAGAGCCCTTTTGCTGCCGCCTCCAATGCACCAGCGCGAGCAATCCGATCGACGCTTCGAACGCCCCATTCACCTACGCGCCCGAATTCCTCGCCGCCACTGAAGACGTCAGCACTGTCAGCTTAGATGACTTCGAGATGCTGCCACCTGAGCCACAACTGTTCTCCGTCGAAGAGCTGGAGCGGCGCCTCATCCCCAGAACCAAGCGACCCAACAAGCCGTCTGCCCGCAAAGAATACCAAGCAGGGCAGGCCTCGACGAGAGAACACGAAATGAGCAATCGAAGTTGCGGATACGGCATAAGGCTGGAGGCCGAGGGTATTTCTGCAGCATCTGCCACCGGGGAAATCAACGCCTCAACTTCACATGCCTGGAGTGCCGTCACTGCCGCAATAGATTGCCAATCGCCATGATACCGAACGTGGACTTCGACCGTCTAGTCGACAACAAATGGCTACAAACCATCAGCGAAGAAGCACTTATTGCTGAATGCTATTTCGAGATGCCATTTGTTGAGCAACCAACACCAATCAACTTCATGAACACGCCTTGGGAAGGCGCATATGTTGGCATAGTCTTCAATCTGGAAGATGGAAATCAGATATTTCTTATTGTTCCGACAAAGGAATCTACCAACGGCTCGGGAGGAAGTCGGAGCAGATTCCAGTCCATCTTCAGTTCCCTCCAGTCAGGCGCTTTGCCTGTTGGTCGTGAATTGATCAAGAAAAAGCAGAGTCAGGTCCCTGGTCTCCGTTCAAACCATTTCGGCAAGAATTACGGCGAGCCATATAACACGGTCATGGAGACCAAAACCACGCCCCTGAATCAGCAGCCTAGAGTGCTGAGAGAAGTCATGGACGAGACTGTCAAGATCGCTGCTGAGGTTTCTGGCAAAGACTGTCGCGCGAACGAGAACTATCTGGTCGCATACGGCCCTAATAACTACATGGACTTTCATCAAGATGGAGAAGACGACATAAAGGGTGACGCTATCTTCTCGGTTTCTTACGGAGGCTCGGCCACCATGACCTTCGCACTCACACGCGACCGGCTGAAAGGGCGCATTATTCTCCAATTTCCCATTCACGGCAATGGTACGATCGTGATCCAGAGTGGTAAGACTCTGAATCAAAAGTATAGACACCGGGTCGACTGCGACGGTATCTTCAGAATCGTTATCACCGCGAGAATCCTCCTATCGGCGGCGGAGAAGGCTGCGCGAGACGCCCAGGCTAAGAAGAAGCCGAAACGAAAGTCGAAGGCAGATGAGCTTCCGGATGGTAAAACAAATGCTGGGCACGAGAGTGAGTCTGAAAGAAGCGACGGTGAATCGAAGTCTGAGGCGAATCTAAAGCGAAGGCGAGAGGCAGTCGAGCCAGCAATGCCCTCGGAGAAGCGACGCAGATCAGCAACGGATGAGCCGAGCGCCACGCCTGCTCCGGTAGACCCTCCCATCGCTACAGACCCAGCCAGAATGTCTGCTCAGACTAGCAACACGCCCTCGTTCTCCACCCCTACAAATGGACATCCCAAGATTGCATATGCACATCAGGGTCCCAGGGGCGGCCGTTCCAGAACCACCACAGTGGTCAAGCTCGGCGACGGAAAGTGGTGCCGTCGTAAACGTGCTGGACAGTCTCAATAATCCTCTACTGTATAGACGACTCCGAACCCAGATCAATGTTATGTCCTACACCACCAGCTCTACTCTAGCGCGATAGGAATCAATCGAATAATTTTTCACCAAGTTTAGGAGTAACAACAACTCTTACAATTCTATCACTGATACTATGATATTTCCCTACTCGAAGCCCACTCGCGCCCCTCTCAGCTATTCCACAAATACTTATCACTCGCAACACACTTGACAGCCATCCACGGCCCTTTTGTATCGTTCCCCTGCACATGGATCTTCTGACCAATATCGCTGACACTCGTCAGGTTGTTGTTACCCCCCAATCGCAATGTCTGCACGATAAGGTCCTTGGCGCACATGTAGTCCGGATAAAGCGTGCACTCGGTCCAGGGCCCGACGGCGAACGACCCTGTCCAGTAGGGGAACTGCATGCACTTCTCGAAGCCGACCTCCCGACCTGCGCCCTGTGTGATGTGGGCGGAGAGGACATTGTTGCAAATGCCGGTGAAGTTGGCTTGGGTACAGTATGTCATGCCGCTGGGTTTCTTGGGGGCGGCGGCTGTTAGAGGAAGGAGGAATGCGAGGCCGGTGGTGATGCATGGGAGGAGCATGGTTGCGGGGCGGTATCTGGTGGAGAGTGTGTGCGGGTTGGTAGTTTTCTATGGTGGGTGTGGTGATGGTGATTGGGCGCTGACTCCGATGGTTTGAGTGGTGAATGACCAGCCTCGAGGAGGGGATTGGCCATGATAGCGAGACTGGTATTCGTGCTCGCCAGCTTGCAAAGCTGTGGCACATTTAGAACAAAGCGACAATGGTCCGTCAAGCATGGTTCGATGGAGGCTTTGCTGTCGAGTCCGTGCGGTCTGATGGTGTCTTGTCACTGTGACAAAGCGAGGACAAAGACTTCCAATATCTCCCTGTTCAACGTTATTGGCAAATCGTGCTACGCGGACAGCAGGCTGGCGAAGAGCCGACGACTGATGCTCAGGAGCTATATCAGCTTCCAGGTCGGGGCTGCAGATTGGAGGCTGACTACTCTTGCCGCATGTGTCAGCCAAGACCGGACGACGGATTTGTTGGCGCACCGTAGCGTGCAGGGTTCCCAATGACTACTATAGCTAGACTTGGATGCGGACCAGTTTCCCAGCAGACGCCGGATGACGTGTGGTCCTACACAAGACCGGGTGATTGCATGTGTATCTGTCGCCGGTTGACGAGAGTTGCGCCAGCAGAGAGGTAAGTGCTCCTGAACGTCTTGCATCGTTTGTGATTGCCGATGTACAGCTGAGCCAAACGAAGACTTGGAAAGTGCGATTCGCCTAGGTGCCCTTGCCCTCAGTGATCAGCTTCGAGCCTTCTGCTCTCAGCAAGAACTTCTGGATTTTCCCACTTGCCGTCTTGGGGTATTCGTCCACCCAGAAGACATATTTCGGCACCAGATGATGACTCAACTTCTCTCTTACCCAACTTCTCACGTCTTCAGTCGTAAGGTTTTCGCCTTTCCTTTGTATCATGAATGCAGCAACGACTTCTCCGTACTTCTCGTCTGGCAAGCCCACGACACTCACATCGCCAACTTTCGGGTTTCCGTACAGGCAATTTTCGATCTCAAGCGGATGTATGTTCTCACCGCCACGAATGATCAAGTCCTTGATCCGGCCCGTGATGGAGACATAGCCTTCAGCGTCCATGATAGCTTCGTCGCCTGTATGCATCCAAATCTTGCCCTGTTCATCTGTGAGCATGGCTTCATCGGTTTTGTCTGGCTGAGCCCAATACTCCTTCATGACAAGGTAGCCGTTCACGGCGAGCTCACCACGCTCACCGATGTTAAGAATGCGGTTGTGATCGAACGGATCCACCACTTTGGCTTCCACATGTGGCAAGAGGCGACCGACGGTACTGATACGCTTCTCGAGAGGATCGTCCGTCGTGGTCATACAAGACACTGGACTTGTCTCGGTCATACCATAGCAGATCGTCAGCTCTGTCAGATTGAGGACCTTGTGCAGCTTCCGCATCAACTCGGCTGGCACAGACGAACCAGCAGCAATACCAGTACGCAAGTATTGGAAACCCTCGTGAGGCACGGTACCATCTGCAATCAAGTCGAGACAGGCCAAGAACATTGTTGGCACTCCATACAGAGCGGTGCCCTTCTCTTCTTGCACAGCTTTCAGTGAGGCCAGCGGATTGAATGCTTCTGTTGGGAAGACTATGGCTGAGCCGTGAGTAGCAGTTGCCATGTAGCCGAGTATGCAGCCAAAGCAGTGGAATAGTGGTGGTGGACAAACTACGACGTCGGAAGGCGTGAGTAACATTCGGTCACCAATTGAGTTGCCATTATTCAGAATCGATCGATGTGAAAGACAAGCAGCTTTGGGCGTTGAAGTCGTGCCAGAGGTGAACTGTATATTCACGATGTCTGAATTCTTTAGAAGTTCAGATGGCGTCGGAGCAGACGTGGACGTGTCATGAGCGATCGTGTGCCAGGGTGTCAGTGCTCTTAGCGAAGACGTGTCCACGCGTTTGGCTGAGTTGTCCAGCAATATGACGGACTGTAAGGACGGAATTGCAGAAGATGCCAGCCTCGATGCCGTCAAATCCGGTACGAGAGCTTCCAAAATCGGGATGTTCGACCTTGGAGCCTTAAATGGCAGATTTGTCTCCGCACCTATCACCAAATGTGTCGCGGTCAGGTGGTTGAGGGCCGAGGCAATCTGCGTTGCGTTGAATGCCGGATTCAGCGGCACCAGGATAGCTCCAAGCTTGAACAAAGCATATGTGATTGTGGCGAACTCGAGATTGTTGCCCAAATGTACGCAAACTCGGTCGCCTTTCTTCACACCGAGGCTTTGCAGGCCTTTTGCGAGCACATTGCTGTTCAGGTCCAGCTCATGGTATGTTACCCGCTTGTTCTGGTGTCTAGAGATGACAGCCGGTCGATCTCCATGGTTCGATACTATGCGGGCAAAGTTCTCGCCGACGGTTTCTTCGAGTAGCGGAGGCTGCTTTGGCCCGACGGTCCTGGCCTGGGTCAGAGTGCTCTGGTGTGCTCGAGCGAAGAGTGGCCGTGGGATGGACCGAGGTCGAGTGAGTCGGCGCATGGTGACGGGGGCCAGCTCGCTTGCGCTTCACAACATCGAGTCAATCAGGCTTGCGATGGGAGCTACGCACTTTCAAGAGCTCTGCAAAGCTCAAAACCCAAGACATGACCGTGGGCGCATACAAGGAATGCTACCTACCTATGAAGCTGATCTGAGATGAGCGGCTTTCCTCCGCGATGAAACTGCGGGGGAAAGCTTCTGGGTGCCTGACTAGAGCTCCGATCTTCCGGGCCTGGTCAAGAACCAAAGGGCCTCGTTAGGTGGTGCAAATAAGGTTGGTCTAGCCGGATCACGCTGATTTTCAGTGACTGGGCGGCTCAACTTCTTCAATGCCTTACACTCACCAAGCTACGATTGTCTGTTTGACACAGGCATCATGCGCGCAAGCGAAAGTCCCATTTAACGAGAACAAGATCCGATCTTCGCTTCCGGTCCTCAGACCCATAAGGCGGCGCCATGATTGGATGCATCAAGCCTCGCGAAAGGTCCTCGTGTTGTGCTGGGACGAATACGAGCACTCAGCCTCAGGACTTCACCAAACAAAGATGTCAATACGAAGGTGTCTCGGCTTCATAGGACCGCCGAGACAAAGGCGTCACACAGCAGCCTAAGGCTGAGTGCAGCTTGTCTCGGCGGTCCTCTCAAGTTGAGACAGCTTCGTATCGAGACCGGTGCAGGCAGCATGCCCAAATCTCATTGCAGACGATGAAAGGCGAAGGGAAGGGATTGATGAGTATATCCCAGCCATCGTGGTCCTCCCTCCTGAACCCTCCCCTTGTTACCTCCCTGATACTCTGAGATAGCATGAAGACATGCCGTTGTACCCCCCAAGGTCCCGTTTGAACTCCTTCTTCAAGCAATTGCAAGCTCACAGATCACTTGTCCCACTTAGCCATGCACGGAAGGGCTTAGTCTTCAAAGCAGCATCGGCGACTACAGCGACTGTTGCTGCCACCACCTTCAGCATGGCTTCTCCAACTGACACTCCTTCACTAGCAGCACCAGCAGCACCAGCAGCACCAGTAGCAAATTCCTCATCGACGACCACATCTGCACACGCCCGCAGCCTCCCCGGAGCAGTCCTTCTGTCCCTTGACGGTGGTGGCGTTCGTGGCATCTCCACTCTACTCGTGCTCAAACATGTCATGGCTCGCGTCGCGGAACTCGAGCAACACGCTAAGACCAACATGTCTCCCGACCCACGTAAGCCAAAGGACTACTTCGACCTCGCCGGCGGTACCAGCACTGGCGGACTGATTGCTCTCATGCTCTTCCGCCTCGACATGAACGTTGACACTGTGATCCGGCACTACGATGAGCTCGCAGCGAAGGTATTCAGTCCCACTATCGGCCCGATTGAGATCCATAGATGGCCTTTAGGGTATTATATCGGCAATGGCTGGCTCAAATTGAAGAAAGTCGTCGGACTGAGTGGGTTTTCGGGGAACCGACTGGAGCAGGCCATCGATACCGTCACCAGCACGGTCTCCAGCGAACTCGCCAGTAACAAGGGAGATACACCGTTGCAAGGTGGTCCGGGCCAGTACGGCAAGATGCTCATGTGTGCAACTGTCGCGGACAAAGGAGAGACGATGCTATTCCGGTCTTATGCCGTGCCACCCGACAGCAAACCGCAGTCTGAGACAGCGAAATCGATCAATCATGCGAGCATAACTATCAAGCAAGCATGCCGAGCGACGAGTGCCGCCCCAACTTATCTTCCACCAATGGACATTGGGGGCGTCGAGTATTGGGATGGCGGATTGCTGAACAATAACCCCGTCGATCAGGTGTGGGATGCACGATTTGATCTCGACGCTGCCCAGGAGCAGGTGACCCGTCCAGATGGGAGCGTGGAGGTGAAGTATAAGGATCCTAGGGTGCTGGTGATGTTGAGTCTGGGTACGGGCATCTGTGATACGAAGGTGAAGAGAGCGTGGTATAACCCGATGAGATATATTGTGAAGCTTACGCCTGAGGTCCTGACGACGGCGGGCAGAGTCTTGGGGTTTTCAACCAATACGCAGGCAAAACATTGGGACTTCAAGGTCAATACCATCAGAAGGAACGAGAGGTTGGACGGAGACGAGCGGGCGAAGACGCACTATTTCAGGTTGAATCCGGAGGTGTCGAAGGAGATTAATCTGGATGATTATAAGCAGATGAAGATCCTGAAGAAGGACACTGAAGACTGGTTGGAGGAAAATGGGATAAAAGCGAATCCCGATGAGCCCGTGCCGCCTGGAGAGAAGTATGACATCGAGAGACTTGCGAGATTGCTTGCGAAGACAAAGAAACTGGTGACCGAGAGCAAAGAAGGAGCAAGGCAAGATGCTGCTGGATCGAGGTCGGATTCGGCCGTTGAAGTAAAGTGAATGGCTCATGGAAGCTCACAATCTGTGGGTCTAGGAAGCTTCCCGAGAGGGGTGACTACGGGAAGCGCTCCTGACAAGTATTTCAGGAAGATCTTTCCTCGAGGAGTATGTGGTTTGAGTATGGTATTGTCAAGATTCAAGGCAGGTACTTCCACGGCTCGAAGGCATTTTCGTGTGACAACAAGAGCTCGCTACTGTCATCCGGTTCGGGGGAATATACAGTACATGTAGTGATGCAGGCAGTCTCTTTCTGTTCCTCCACAAAGTTGGACAAGTGTTCAACACTTCACTCCTCCGGCCTTCTCTGATTGATACCGAGGCTAATGTTTTTGACTGAACGCTTGCTGATTTTCCATCTCTCTGGTTTGACGTCGGCGATGTGGCCGGTCGGGCACCGCAATATTTCCGCTGTGGGCTCTACTCCGCGTGGGGTGAGCTGTACTTGCCGTCGTGGAGAAACCTGGGGAGATCTCAGCAAAAGGCGATTCGTGGAACAGTCCTTGACCTTGCACAGACCACAATGCTTGTCACACGCTATCTGGCATGGCGCACGAAGATCGGCAATGTTCATTGGCGATCATTGGGCATGCCTTGTGCTGTGCCGAAGCGCCATGGCATCGGCAGCGATGCGCGTCGACCGTCGCATGACCTCCTGCAACGTTGGATGACACCTGGCTCGGTGGAGGATGTGGCATAATTGTATACTGCCCAGCCCCATAGCCAGAACTATTCCTTCATGATATAATCTGCTCACGGGAACGCCCAGATCACTGTCTTTCCTCAAGCCATCGTCATGGGCCGCCGTTACCTAGGAGGCTCAGGTCAACGCCTCACCGTCTGGATTTCCATCGCCAGCTCAACCGTACTGATCTTTTATGGCTACGATCAGGGTGTCTTTGGCAATGTCCTTGTCAGCGAGGACTTTCTTCGCACAGTCGGCTACCCATCTGTCACGGCACAGGGTACGATGACTTCTGTCTACAATCTCGGCTGTTTCGCTGGTGCTCTAAGCACACTCTACACTGGCGACAAGCTTGGTCGTCCGCGGACCTTGATTCTAGGGAGCTGTACGATCGCTGTTGGCGCTATTGTTCAGGCAGCTTGCATGAACGCTGCTATGCAGTATGCTGGCCGCGTTATAGCTGGTATGGGAACTGGAATGAACACGGCCACTGCAGGCGTCTGGCAGTCCGAGACCTCCAAGATGCGCAGTCGTGGCAAGCTGATCATCATACAAATGGCAAATTGTATTACTGGCTTCGCCATAAGCAACTGGCTCACCTTAGGCTTCAGCTTCGCGCCCGGATCCGTGTCCTGGCGCTTTCCTTTGGCCTTCCAGATGTGTAAGCTAAGCCCTGGGCTTTCGTCAGAAACACCAGCTTACTGACTTCCGCTAGTCTTCACAATCCTCATCTGCCTAATGTGTCCATTCCTACCGGATTCACCGCGCCTCTTGATACGCAAAGGCAAGTACGACGAGGCGTACGAGGTCCTTGCGGCACTTGAAGGCAACGGCGCCACGGTAAACTCGCCTGTTGTGCGAACACAGTTTGCCATCATCAAGCAAGTCCTCGATGAGGAGTATGCGGTGAAGTACACATGGTGGCAGATCCTCACAGGGAAGGGTCCTTCCGGCGTACTACGCAGAATGGTACTTGGTGCGTGGATGCAGGCTAGCAACCAGATCAGCGGTATCAGTAAGTGCAACTATCTTTTCGCAGAGCAATGGCTTCGGAGCACTCCCTTCCAGCTGTGACCATGACTGAAACGCTCAATCAGATGTGACGTCCTACTACATGACCTACGTCTTCATCAACGCAATCAACTTCAGCCAACTCACCGCTCGCATACTCGCTGCCGCCGGAGCAATGGACTACCTCTTGTGAGTACCCTCGCAAGCCTGTATCGGGAACTGAGCGATGACTCGAGCTTTGGCTTGAAGAAGATCACAAAGGCCTCCCGAGACATGACTGCCGCCTCTCCCATGCAATCTTCCATTTCATGGTCACTTCCTGGGACAAAGCTAACCAAGATGCCCTGAAACAGCTTCTCTTTCATGGCGTACTTCGTCATCGAGCGTTTTGGAAGGCGATCAGTCATGATGACCTCCGCTGCAGCCTGCTCGTAAGTGTCGTTTACGGCCACCGCCACTGATCACTCGATTCCCCGCTAACATCGTACCCAGAATCTGCTGGACCGTAATCGCGATCTCCCTGGGTCTCTCTGAAACCGGTCGTGCGGACTCTTACACGATGGGCGCAGTCGCCGTATCCTTCTTCTTCCTTTTCTTCGCCTCGTTCGCGATGGGCGTTCTGGGAGTTCCCTGGCTGTACCCCACCGAAGTCAACGCCCTCGCATTCCGCGCCAAAGGCGCCAGTCTCGCCATGTCTACCAACTGGATCATGAACTACATGGTAGCGCAGATCACGCCACCAGGCATCGACAACTTGGGATATAAGTTCTGGATCATTTGGGCCGTCATCTGTGCGGCGTTTGTGCCGATCACGTACCTATTCTATCCAGAGACAGCGAATCGGTCACTGGAGGATATCGACCGGTTCTTTCATAGTAATCATGGCATTCTGGTGTTCAACAATAAGGTGGCGACGCAATTGAAGCGGCCAGAGATCTATGAGGAGGCGGATCGGAGGGTTGCGGCTGCACATGAGAAGGTTGGGGCAGGAGCAGACCAGGCGGACGAGGGCAAAGAGGCAGGAGCGACGTTGGTCGAGGAGAATGGCGCTGCTCGGGCTTAAGTGGCGTGCTAGAAGACTGGCTATATCAACTCGGAAGGGAGCATTGGCATTGGGATTGCGAGATTCACATACAGAAAAGAGGGATTGGAAGACAGAGGGTGATTCGGGGCATTAGAGCGAGGGACTTTCTATGGGATACCATTGCTATAGAGATGAGTGTCTGCACCAGTCATGCTTACTCTGGGTGATCTTCAGACCACCCGTCCAGACAGGCCGATGCATCACAAAGGGCATTCGGTCGCTACTACAGTCCAGTGAGCGGTGAAGACGGTGACTGTGTCTGTGATTGCTTTCGTGACGGTAGCGGTCTTCTGACCACCAGCCGAGAGTCCCGTCGTGATCGTGACGGTTTCGAATACCTTGCTGGATACCGTGATAGTATTGACCTCGGTCTGTGTTACTGTTTCGGTGTTCGTAACAGTTGATTTTGCTGTTTCCGTAATGGTGGTGATTAATGGGTGTGCCCGCACATCACTGAGTTGGGACTCCAGCGACTGATGCATGCTGTGGGCTGCTGCGAGGTTCGAATGCTCCCGGTAGTAGAGGTACGCGAGCACACCGATGCCGCCGAGAGCTATCAGACCCATAACGAAGAAAATCACAAGAAGAAGCTTCCTCTTCCTCCACCATGATTTGGGCTGAGGAGCTCGATCAGGTAGATCTTCCGGAAACGGAGCAGGCGGCGCCGGCCGAGCAATGAGCTCTTTCATACGCTCGGCGTGGCTCATGTCTCTCGCTTGAATATCGTTCAGCTGAATGTCGTGGAGTGTTGCGTCGTTTGTGAAAGGCATTTTAAGGTCGTATCTTGTAGAGCAAGCTGGTCGGTGAGACAGGATTCAGAGGCCGATGAGCAGGCATAAGTAGTCGAACGCGTAGACTTGTGCGTGCCATGGTCGTTCAAGGGCGTTGACAGTCAAAGCGCTTTCGAGGCTTTGTACATAACAGACTCGTCGTTGTTGGATACCGACATGCCCGTGGAGTGGCCTTCGGTTACGGAGGCCTGGCGTTGTAACAGACAAAGAGCTTCGTGTCTTTCGCAAGGTCGCTGACGTCTCAGTAGTCCTGAATACCGGTCTCGCCCTCAAGCTTGGCTTCCTGTGACTTTGTCCTTTTCGCACCGTCGGCACCAACTACGAACTCTGGATCCTCGTCGTCGAAATATGACTGCTGCAGCTCTTGCTCTTCTAATGCCTTGTCGTCGTACGCCTCATTGTTGTCCACGGTGCCGTAGTCAAAGTCATCGTCGCCACCACGCAAAAATCTTGCTTCCATCTCCCACTTCCACCGAGCATAACCCTCTTCCTTGTTCGAGGGCACTTCGTCTTTCTCCTCCTGCAATATCTCACCTTGAGGTCCCCGATTGTACGAGAAGATAGCATTCTTGTCAGGATTGCGCAAGGCATCCATCTTCGCCTCCGAACGCCACAGGTCTGCCTCAAGCGTACCACTGTAGCCCTTCTCGCGACCTTCTTGTTCGCGCTGAGCCGGCGTCTGAAAGCGTCGGACCAACCGGTCATACAGGAGAGGATCTGAGGGTCGTCAATCTCCTACACGTTAGTTTCACACATCACAGCCTACCTGCGAGTTCGAGCTGTGGCCCGAAGTAGGACGGGTTGGTGTCGAGATAACGCTTCCTGCGATTCTTGACGCGGACCTTGTCCGGGACCCGGTCGCCGCTTGTCTCACGCATCTCGGACTGGTCTGCTAGTGGCTGCGCATCCGCAGCATCGCCCGGGGCCGATGCAGAACTCATTGTTGTATCATGGTTGAATTCTGTGTATTAACCTGTCAACCGGTCACTGGTCATCGAGGATGCTGGGTAGGTAGCTTTTGTCCGTGTCCTGAATTGGACGTCGGAGTTCATTAGAGCTTTTTGGCAGCACAACCAAATCTCGTTGTCACGACCTTGAGCCCCAGTTTCCTTCTTCTCGAGAGCATGTCAACCTCATGGACAGATTCAGATCTCGTCAGACGCGGCACCTGTGCGTGGTCAGAGATCGATCGGACTCCTTTGTCACCGTTGAGCGTTAGACAACAGTACATTGGTCGCTTTCAGTAGGACTACGTGCGGGAGTGCGCGCTGGACACACCAAATTTGCCCTGGTAGGTACCTTCTGAACCCATTGCGATGCTGCAGTGACCACACTGCCAACGTGGCGAGCTCACCAAAAGTTCCCGCGGAGATCTTAATGTTGTTGTATCCCAAAGTGATTCGAAAGGCTGGCTGAACAGGGCTGAGAGTGACCCTTGGCCATTGGTTCGCTTCTGGTCAAGTCGTACTGCGAGCAAGCGAGTCCATCTGGAGTACAGCATCAGTCCTCAGCTCTTGCGCCAAGAAAGCCACGGGACGTTCCTTTTCCTCGGTCATATTGGGAAGACATGACCATTTGGTAAGCGCAAGCGCAAGTGGTTTTCGCTTGCCTTGCACTTGCCTCAACGGTCGCCAGTCGGTCCTCGCTTAGTATCGGTCGTCTTGATGGATATATGGGGACGTATACTATTCTGGAAGAGGTCGTTCTTTTGCATCGACGATAGCATTCGTCGAAGGAAGGTCCATATGGAGGAAGGTCGAACGCTACTTACCCTAGAACACGAGCGTCCCGGAGCATTGGTCACGGTCGTGGTTGCACAGGCTGCGCCTTCTATATATGCCTGAAGTCTGCCTCGAGGTAGGAAGAAATTTTTCTGCTCAAGTCAAGCACTCTCAAGTCTCTCTGCTTTTTTTGCGCTCACTGCTTCTTTCGTTGGGACGGCGTTGTCTGTTGCGAGTTGACCAACGTCACTGGAGTCTTGGATAGCATACAGCATTCGGAAACATGTCTACATCAACAGATTCACGACGCTCTTCGCTCTTCTCACTATGCTCAACAGCAGCTACTTCGGTACTATCGGACGACTGTGACACGCTATTGGAAAAGTCAGATCCACAACCTTCTCCAGTTCTCAACTGGAAGCCTCTTCTCTTCTCAACAGCCTTCACCACAGTGACCTCCACACACCTCCACTTCACTGCCTTTCCACCTCGAGATCTCAAGACACCTTTGTTCGAACGGCTCAGTACAAACGCCGCCGAAGCGATGCTCTGCAACTTCAGAATACCATCAACATTGAGCTTCTTCGCCCAACCTGGGTCGAAGGTCCGATGCGTCGATCACATCCCATTCCCTGCCAACCTGCCGTGTGAGCTTATCCATCTCCTGGGTACGCCAGACTGGGAGTACTTTCACATCACCGAGAACAGCGTTCCCATTGGACTCGCTAGCCTACAAGTCCCCTTAGACCACCATGTCGCCATCAGAGCACTTCGACATGGGCTGGAACGATACATTTTCGGTCCGTCGGGCCTGTCTGTCCACTCTATCTGCCAGGTTGAGGACGTCGGAAGTGCTTTCGAAGACTGCGTACCACGAGAGACGCTATTCCTGCGCGAAGAGACGGAGACCGTCTGCAATAAGTTCTTGAAACGCTGGGCACGATCAAGCGTGGTGGCCGAGGTCGCAGCCGCGCATCAGAGACTTCGAGAGGAATGGGACGAGGCTGTATGCATGAGTTGGGAACGGATTCGCACACAAGAGAAGGACTTGTTGGCCTGAGCTGATTATGCAGTACTCACGCTCTGCCGTCCAGTTTTAGGAGGTTGATGTTGTGACCTGCATTTCTTGATTGTTCATGATATTGGCAGACTTTCTTTCAGAATTGGGAAGCATGGCGCTGGCAGGAAAAGAATACTCCAAGCATAGCTCAGATCTCATTTGATTCAGTTCCACAAGATACTAGCTGCACTTCTCCATTCTGCCCTCTTTACTCTCACGTCCCAAGCCGCTTCACGTACTTGCCTCGTTCGATGCAGCGATCGAACATATATGGCATGCACCAGAATGTCTCCCCAAACGCACTCCCACGAGGAGCACATAATCATGATGCTACGAAGCCACCATAGTGTAGTGGTTAACACGTCCCCTTCCCAATCAACAGCGAGCATTTGTTCTAGACATTTGCTCTGTCGTGCCAGCGACCCTGCTTAGAAGCGGAATTGGTGCTGTTTGACTGATCAGGGGGAGGCATCAGTTCGAACCTGGTTGGTGGCATGCCTTTGTTCCTTTTTGCATTTTCCCCTGCGTGCTACAGAGGTTGGCTGAGAGACACTCAGTACTGGCAGCACCTATCCACGTCATCTGCGTCTCGGGCTTCGTGATCTTGATCGCGACTTCGATCGATCGTCCTCGCGACGTGTCCTGTCTCTGCGAGAGCCTCGATCTTTTTCGACCGAATTGCCAGATCGTGGATATTTACCGAAATCCGCCTCGTCTGAAGCCTCACGACGCCGGGGTTCTGTCTTCGACTCATACCCATCATCTCTACCACGCCTTCGATCACGTTCATCGCCACTGTGAGGCTCGTCTCGACGATGATGTCGGTGTCTGGTCTTAGACTTTTCGTCCATCCCGTCCGCATCTGTTCTGTGTTTGTGCTTGTGCTTGTGCTTCCGCCTCTCCTTCTCACGAGCCTTCGCTGTCTCAACCTCCTCCCTCTTCTCCCGAATCAAAAAGTCGCGCATTGGATCCTGCTCCTCCCCATCCGCCGGCTCGATAGCCAACATCTCCTGCAACTCGACCTCCTCCTTCAACAACTTCCTCCTCTTCCTCCGCTTTCGATCTCCATCGTCCTCGGCCTCCGTCTCCTCATCCTCCGTCTCACCACCAAACTGCTGCCTCTCCCTTATCTCAATCCTATACGTGTCCTCATCCTCCTCATCCTCTCCATCCCTCTTCTTCTTTTTCTTATACCGACTATGATCCACCCTTAACATCCTCCCCATCACCTCCGCTCCACCCAAATTGTCCACCGCCAAATCACAGCTCCGCTGGTCCTCATACTTCAAGAACCCAAACCCTTTCGACTTGCCCGTCTCCTTGTCGCGGATCAAGTTCAGGTGTGTGGGATTGCCGAATTGGCTGAATATGATGGACACGTCGCCCTCGGAGAGTTCAGGGAGCAGGCCGCCGATGTAGATCCAGGCAGTGTCGCGGTAGTCGGCGTGCCAGGAGGCGGAGGGCGGAGTGGCGGATTCGAGCTCGCGCTTGTTGAGGAGTTGGGTTTGCCGGATGGCTTGCATTGCGCCAGCCGCAACGGTCGCGGGTGAGGAGTGTGGTTGAACGGGGTGGAAGTGGGCATATAAGGAATGTGATATGGAAATCTGAACGACGTCAGAAAAGTTGCAGGCAGAATTGGAGATTTCTAGTTGAGCCGCCTAGAAGCGGAGAATATTTTAGGTAAGACTGGGGATCGTCAAGGCTTATTTTGGCCCCTGCAACCGTCGAGTTGGGGGCTTCAAATGTTCTTTGATTTCGACGCGACTCGCGAGCCACCACCGTTCCTCCACATAACGTCGCACACTCTGCTACTGTTCGCCTGCGAAGTCAAATATTGCCGCTCAGCGTCATGTCTGCCTTCGTGCGCCCCTCCGCGCCTCCTCGAAAGTCCCTACGCCCTGTGTCCAAGGACGGTGAGAAGCAGCAGATATGGGTGCCCATGTTGAACAACGCGTCCAAGGGGAAGGATCTGGCCGAGAAGCAGCTCTTGATCCTCGGTGGAAGTCCAGAGCAGCAGCAAGAATTTCTCGAACATCTCAACCCGGCGCCCTCTCGAATACGATTCAACGACAGACAACAAAGCCGTAAGGCACCAATATCCAACAGATACGCCTTGGGCTATACATACCACAATGTGCTGGACGCTGATCAGGAAGATGTACTTGCGCGACTCAACATATACATGCTCTCTAATCCATCGGCGGCATTTGCACCACTCCTGAAACCACTCTTCGCCCCACAGACAGCCAAAGAAACACTTGTCACAATACTGCTGGACTGGTCGGATCCATTCAGGTGGGCGAGGCAGCTACGGCAATGGATTCGTTTACTGCGCAGAGTAATAGCCTCCTTAGATGATGAAACCAAGATCGCCCTGGAAGAGAACATCAACGACTGGAAGGAGAAGCGAGTCGGTCCAGATGCACCTCTCACGCAAGCGGCAACTGAGGGAGCCGACAAAGCACAGGCGTCCTCCAAGGACCAGGAGAGTGGGACGAAGCACTCGGCGTGCCGCTGTCAGTAGTATGCATACAGTCGGAAAAGAGCGAACGACTCGAACGGGATCTGGGCTGGCACGACGAGCACTTTGACTTCCTCACACAATGGCTACGCTGTGTTCTGCTGAAGCACGGTGCCTCACTGGTCTATACTGCCACTTTCGATCCCAATAACGTCAGAACACTGCTACACTCGAGCCTAAGTATACACTCGTTACTGAAGCGAGAAGTGGCCAAGCCGAACTACATTGAACGAGAGAAAATCCTCATACCGCCGAATTGGGATTCATGGGGCAAGATCAGACCGCTTCGTGAGGGCACAGATCTCGAGGCCATAAGCGAAGCTTGGACTGTTGAGATACAGACCTCTCCAGAAGACGAACCCAACCTCGATTCGAGTCAGCCGACCACGGAGACAGACACTGCAGTCAGTGTCTACGAGTCCACTCTACCACAACCGCTAGCAGCCACAGCTACCCAGCAAAGCACCACACAAGAGGACGAAACACCCTTAGCCACCGTCCAGGAATTCCTGGCCTCACAGCTGACCATATTGGAGTCACTCAAAGCAGACGATGAGAAAGCGGCGCGAAAAGCGGCCTCATCAACCACCAGTCGACGCATTGCAACGACAGGCACCTCGAGCATCACCTCATCCTCAGACGCCGGCCGCATGGCAGACCAGATCGGCCCGTATCAGATCAATGTCAACGGTATTGACTTCGACGCCGAGGAAGCAACCCGACGACTCAAAGAGCGGGAAGCAGAGCGCAACGCGGCGGCTGCGGCTGCGGCTGTCGACGACGCTCCTGTCCAGCAGACACCGGTCAGCAGGGCAACAGCAACAGGCAGTGGCGTGAGTACACCAACTCGGAGGACAGGTGCTGCTGCAAGTGGGGCTGGCGAAGAAGGCAAGGCGAGTAATGAGGCGATGAGTGCGTTCTTTCAGAATCTGATCAAAAAGGACAGGAGGACTCCTGCTGGCAATAGAGATGGCGGCGTGAGTCCTTCTAGAACGGGCAGTCCTGCGCCCGCACGATGACATTGGAAATTATTGCGACGCCTGGAGCAATGATGAAGTGCGTGCATAGTAGGGGGTTGTGATGTCTGTGTGAGGCTTCGCTGAGTCGAGCAGTGCCCCGTGACCAGAAGATAATCGCCAGCATTTTGATCCGTCCTAGCAAGACGTCCGCGCATGCTTTGCCGTCGGCACTCAAAGCAGCGGCTGCCCTGTCGGCTCCAGGATCGATCTGAAACTTCAGAGATGATGACAGTGTCGGTGGGCTGGTCTTCTCTCCTCAAATGTACTATTGAGAAGAGATTGAAGTTCCTCATCCTACTAGGCAGCAGCGAGTGCTCTCAAAGCATGACAAGTAGCTTACTCATGGCGGCGTATGTGGAAAGAAGAACCTTGCAGAAGTCGAGATGAAGGCAGATGTTTATACCTCTGCACAAAGTATAAACCTGAACCGGTCGAGGAACATTCACTGCTCGTTGCACCTGGCATGGTCCAGGACTAGTCACTGCCCGGGAGCATTGACTTCGACGGATGCCATTCATGGGTTGATTGAAGAGTCACGGAAGCACTTCAAGCGTTCCATCGCGCCAACCATAATCAAAGCCCGGAGCGGCCTTATGAGGGTCACGGGGAAGTGCTGTCTCGCCGCATACCACCGAATCCATCACTGTGTCTGCTACTCCCAGCTTCCCAAGCGAGCCAGATGTTCTTCTTCATTTTGTGCAGGGAACCTCGAACGCGTGACAAGCTTCTCAGACGTGATTGACGCGTTGATTCTTTGACTTTTCAAGTCAAATTCAGGGCAGCCGGGGCCGAGGTCCCCATTCTTCCCCCACATTCATTGGAAAACACTGCCTCCCCCTTTAGAAGTCATTCCGCCTCAAGGAGACCTCCTGAATTGTAAGAGCAAGACCATTGTCACCGACCTGTGATATCTCCAAGACTGCCAGGACACGCTTGGTGTGAATACCACTGGTCGTCCTTGACTCGACTGCTAGCGGCCCATAGTCAGTCACGCTGATCTAAGATCAACACCAGGAACGGCAACCCGAGCATCGACGGATTACTTATGGTCGATTTCTTTTCCCGCTGCAGCAGTTGATCAAGCACAAAGCCGTAAGCAATCAAGGAGCTCCCCTACCCGCCAGCTTTTCAGCGCCCAGCCATGGCCTCAACACCCCCCTCAACGTTCATCACCCCCGCCTCCCCCATCAAACAGTCCACAATCGACCCCTCGGCCAACCTCCCCCCACAACGCCAATCCGTCCTGAGCATGGCACTCTCCCACCCAAGGACTTTGTCTCTTCTATGCCTGCAAACCTCCCCACCCCACCCTTCATATTCGTCCCCGGCATCCCCAACTTCCGCGACCTCGGCGGCTACGCCTGCCCGCCACCCGCCCAGCTGCACAATACCTCCATCATCAACACCACCGGCACTGCCCCACGCTTCCAGATCCGTCGGAATATTCTGTTCCGGTGCGCGCACCCTACACAGCTCTCTACGCAGGGCCTGATGGTGCTGGATCATTTGGGTGTAACCGACATCTTCGATTTGAGGTCTGAGCCGGAGCTGAAGAAATTGAGTGCGCCGGAGCCAGACGCCGAGACGCCGTTTCTCAAGGCGGGCGAGGGATGGATTGAGGTTCCGGGGATAACGAGGCATTTCACGCCGGTGTATCAGAGTGAGGACTATGGGCCGGTTGCATTAGCCAAGAAACTCAAATGGTACACGGCGCCACTGGACGGCAAAGGGGACGGCGAGAAGGACCTGTCGTATAGTGAGGGGTTCGTGAGTGCGTATCGGGATATTGGTACTTTTGCCGCGACGGGTGGGAGTTATGCCAAGATTTTGAGGCAGACGATACGAGCAATCGATGCAGAGGAGCAGCGAGAGAAGGAAGTGGAGGCCAAAGTGGCGGCAGATGGCGCGGCACGACGTCGGCCTGAACGACCTGGAAGGTCGCAGATCAGACCGGTGTCAGCGTACGCTGATCTGAATGGGATACTGGATCATCATGAGCGGTTCCCGAGCCCAGACCCGTCGAAGCTCTCCCTCAACGGTAGATCCTCAGGCACAGCGACACCACCTACATCGACGTTATCGCCTCAACCCCAACAGCAACTCCAACAGCCAGAAGACGACGGAGGGGACCCGATCCGCACCAACGGCGGCCTCATCTTCCACTGCACGGCTGGCAAAGACCGCACAGGCGTCCTCGCCGCCCTCATCCTCTATCTTTGCGGCGTCGATATGGAGGACATCGCTTGGGAGTACGCCATTACGGAGCCTGGGTTGGGGAGCTGGCGGAGGATCTTCATCGATCGGATCAGCAAGTCTGGAATGGGCAGTGGTGGGTCGGGCAAGCCTGTCGAGCAGCAGCAACAGCAGCAGGAGCCATCTTCTGAGCCACAAGCTGCCACCTTCAAAGAAGGGTATCTGGACGATGACAAAGAGAAGAGTGCCCCAACAGCAAACGGCAGCCCCGACAAGGTTGCCCCCGCGCCCCCAACAACAGCAGGCGGCGTCGCCGGCGCACAAACAGACGTCCTCACCCGCGCAGAAGCAGCTCGGATATGCGGTAGTCGCGCTGGCAACATCCGTCGATTCCTCACGCAAGTCGTGGATGGGGAATGGGGCGGCGTAGAGGCATATTTGACCGGGATGATTGGGCTGAGTCAGGAGGAAGTGGAGAGGTTGAAGAGCGGGCTGGTGGTTCGAGTAGATGACGAGGAAGGGGAGGACGCGATGGTGCGGCGGAGGGGAATTGAGGGGTGGACGTTGGAAGGCGGGATGGATGACGATCGGGAGGGCTGAGCTGGGTCCAGGAGGTCAAGGGGGCGGTGTGGAGTGCGAGCGTTGTCTACGATTTGAAGCCGTGATGTCGGTATGTGCCTACACGATTCTCAGCATTAAGATTTCAGATGTTATTCCTCTCACTGCCAAGACCCTCGTCCATTACTCCAGCCTCGCCATACCCGCAATTGTCCAGTTGCTAGGCAAGTCACTTAAAACACAAGGTATATATTTTAGAGAACAACAATTTTGCCTCGACAATCAAGCACAAATTGATAGGAACGAGTTCGCAGAAACCCTTCGCTGACAACGGAGTGTACTTTAACTAGGCGTGGAGTATGGTTCTCTGACTGTACTTGGTGAGTGGTTGGTTGTCTTTTGCTTTTTCATTTTTGGCTTATCGAGGAGGGGATAGGTTGCTTCGTGTCTGTGTAGTTGCATTGATTGTGTTTGGTGGATTCTAGAGCTGAGATCTCGCTCGCCGAGCGATTGAAATGCGAAGTAATGCGTTGTTCACCTGAGTACGAATTCTGCCTTGCCTGATGGAAGCAATATAACCGTGTCTCCAGTCGCTGCCCACCATCATCAAGTCTATTCCCATCTTCTCAGACTACTATCGCAAGCTCGCCCCTCTCCGTCTCTCCGATTGCTTGGCCAGTGCCATTATTGTCTCCATGCTGCCAATCAACTACCGCCCCTCCAGATGCCTCGCAATGAACGCCTCCACCGCCGCCATCCCCTCCTCCGCCCTCGCTCCCTTGTTGTCCCTCGGGAAGAAGATGAACCCATGCGGCACCCCCGGCACAATCTTCACCACCGCCTCCGCCCCCGCAGCTCTCCACTTCGCACTCATGAAGATCGTGTCGTCCAGCAGCGGATCCTCTGTACCGCACGTGTACAGCGCTGGTGGCAATTTGCCCCGCAAACTCTCAAGATCTGCGTATATGGGGCTCACCTTTGGGTCTTCTAACGTGGCCTGTGTCCAATTGGGTAAAAATGCGTCGCGGTAGTGCTCCATCAAATCCTTATCAAGCACAAGACAAGGTCCCTCTTGCCGCCAATTGTGCATATGAGGTAGCCAGGAGAAGGTAAAGCAGCCGAAATGCAACAGCAGTCCTTTGAACCGGAAGGAATTCAACTCTGAGGACTCGTGCTGCAATAAATGCAGCGCGACAAGCATGGCCAAGTGCCCACCCGCCGACTCGCCACCCGTGAAGCACAGTGGGGCACCGAATTGTTCGGTCGAGTGGCGGACGAGGTGCTCGGCGACGTCATAGCAGTCATTAGGTCCAGCAGGGAAGGGGTCCTCTGGCGCAAGCCGGTAACCGACACTTAGGAAGAGGAGGTTGGTGCTGTTGGCGAGTTGCTGAAGGGGTGGGTCTTGGGATCGCTGGTCTTGCAGAACCCAGCCGCCGCCGTGTATATGGAGGAAGACGCCGGCGATGGGCTTGGATGTGCTCTGGGGCCGGAGGACGCGGCAGGGAATAGAGCGATTGGCGTCACGGGAGGGAATGTCGATGTCCTCGGCGGTGTCGAGGTAGGTGGCTGCGGGGAGTGGGGTCTCGCCAGCGGCTCGCATGGCGCGATACTTCGGTGCGCCGACTTCGTACCACTTGGGCGCGCCGATCATCATGTCTACGGCGGCCTTGTTGAATTTCTTGGTCTCTTCAGTTATGCTGGCTGGGTCGAAGACGGAGGGGTCGATATCGAGGAACGCCATGGTGGTGGTAGTCTTGAGTATGCCGCGAGGTGTGTATGCTGTTGTCCACCTTACACAGCGGAGTGCAATTGTCAATTTGCTGGTGGCGTTCAGTAGTGATTCCGGTCGAGAGGATGTAGTTTCTGGCGAGAGTGAGGTCACTCTTGATATAGATCGAGGTGGGGGTATCCCGGCCAGATCTCGTGGGAGCTGCCCACGCTGATTGCGTGCGTTTACTGATAAAAGCCAGGGGCCCTGCAGTGATTCGCCGGGTGTCCTCCGTAGATCTGCATGTACGCGATACGAGGATGGCGGCAGATGGATACGAGCGCCTCGGTCGCTCGACGACTGCAGTGACCATGACTGTAGGTCAGCATCTGAGATTACTCTTGCCGTGCGCACATACTGCTTAACGGCATCAGTTTCAGGAAATGCCTTCCCATCATTTCATCAAAATGCAGAGCTAGCCATGCTGCGCGACGGGTCCGGGTAGGTTCGCGGACGATAAAGGCATAATAATTGAGCCCAGGAGGACATCTGCTCTGATCCTGGTCTTTGGCAGAGAGGATTGTCGAAACGAAGACCTGTCGTCAACAAAACTCTGCCAGCGTCCGAATGAAGGTCTCATCTACACTGACGGAGGCTGTCACAGACCGGCCTAGCTGAGCAAGACATGAATGATGTCCTGGGTGAGGCTTCCTACCGCCTCAACAGCTCCCACGAATCCCTCTTCCCCAACGCACCCAGAAATCCCGCCCTCGACCTTGACACTCTCCACACTCTACCTATGCCCCTCCTCGGTGCCCGCCGCACACGCATCTTCACCAACAAGCACTCAAATCCCCAATTATTACCTCTGTCATAGTTCTCGTCACGCAAGAATATCCGTTGTAACGCCACAGATGATCAAATACTTGATCCCGTGGTTGCGGAGGATGAATTCGATATCGGTGTTCGTGAAAGCGCTGCGGAAGGGATCAGGTAGCGCCGGGCTCAAGAAGGTCGCCTAGCATGTAGATTATGAGGACGGCTGTTGTGAAAGGGGGGATTGGGACTTGGGGTAGGGATGGGGAAAAGGGTCGGGTTGTGCTGGATTCGTAGAGGTGTGTGGTGTCCTGCCATGTTTATAGTCTCCGTGGTAGTGATAGGAGAAGTTGGGGCAAGGTCTGGTGGTATGCATACTCCGTAGGGCGAAGAAGAGGCGTCGGTGCCGTAGAGTCTGTTGATGTCAAGACACGGAGTATAGGATGCGATTTTCAATTGGTGCAAGTCGACTTGACATAAGAAATCTCACTATCTGATATGCTTCCCGGTAACGACTGCTCTCATCAAAGTCATAACGAATGCTCCAGCCAGACTTGGTCCATCATGTGCTTTCCATTCCTTGAGAACGCACTGCCACACCCACCCCGAAGGGCCCCTAGCTTTTCCAGAATCAACACCCAACGCGCGAGCTGTTTCGTCATACCTGACGGCTCTCAAGCAGCGCAAGCGTCCTTGAATTTTTTCATGCTGTCCTTCAATTGATCACATGGAAGTCGACCCGTGCCACAGTCATCACATTTAGCAACACAAGCATAACTGTTGGCAGTATCCATCAAGGGTGAAAAACAGGGCGGAGGACTGTCATAGCCGTGGTCCTCCAGAGGTTGATAGTGGCAGCGTTAGCTGCTCCAACATCTGCTGTAGTCAGTCGTGCTCTAAAGCAGTAAAGCGCATCTGGACGTCAATGAATGACTCACTGCTCGCGATGGTATTGGCACATGTTGAGATCTTATCGAAGGTAGCCGTGACCTCCCGACCGGTAGCGTCAATCAGAGCCTTGAGCTTTTGGACAGTCTCATCCTTCAGATTCATCCCGTTGGTGGTGCCCCAATCGAGGTCCTTCTGGAGATCTGCCTGATAGGCCACAGCACACGCTTTGATAGCATCGACACCTTCGGTAAGCTTGATGCTTTGCTCGTTAAGGTTGGCCACAACGGTGATTGTGGCAAGTTTACCTGCAAAGTTAAGATGTGGATCCCAACAAAGGTGGATTTCTAAAGGCATACGTACTGAAGTCATTAACGTACGGCGCCACACACTGTGCCCAGAACTTCGTGTTGTCATCAGTCGCCATCTTGACAGCGACGGAAGGATCGACTGGAAGAGTCGGTACTGGCACTGGTGCGTCTAGAGGAACAGCAAGGACTGCGGCTGCATAGACGGTAGCGATTGCCACGCTGAGAGATAGAGCATGCATTTCGGGCGAAATCTGGAGATAGATTTTCGAGGTTGGTCGAAGTGGTTGTTTGTTGCTGGAAGGTCTTGCTTTGTCGAATGATGGAAAATCGTCGAGGCATGAAGGTGGTTAAATAGTTGCTGAGACAGACACTCGAGCTCCCATCATTGTCTGAGAGCTGTAGCATATGCGGAGTCTAGACCTCCAGAGTCGCAGTCAATCTCCCTTCGGACCTGTCAGGGCGTCGCAGAAGGTGACTTAGAGAGCGTGAACGCCTTGATGGAGGGCCAGAGATATGAAGTCCCGTTGCGGGTGCGACAACGAGCTACTGGTCAAGCTGTTGTGGCGTGTTCTGGACCTTGACGTTCATCGTAAGGACCCCTCCTTCGCAGCCGTCACCACTCTGAGGACTTGATGCAGACATTGCGTAGGCAACAGATTCGCAGGCGGCATGGGTAAATGAATGGGAAATAGGAGTGGTGACTTGAGGGAGCCTACAAATCTTCAGATGTATGTCAGAGCAGGCTTTGCCCGACTATGTTAAAGTCTGTCCGCTTCGATGTGCCACCATGCCATTGCGGACCTCGAGCTCTCTGAGATACCGAAGAGGTCTGACCCGTCACAAATAGTGTCAGCACTGATCGAGACCCAGGGTGGACCACGGCGTCTAGATGCGTTGTGGCATGGAGCAGAATAGTGGCATGCAGTATGAGAACGGGTGAGCCGCTGCAGGCGCGGACAACTGTCCATCTTGGCAGGGGTGACAAGGAGGGATGAGTGTGCGAGTGTGCAGGGGCAATATTGACCAGCAGTCATTCTGAGCAGTGTAAGGCGTACGAAAGATCGATTATGCACGTGCGGAGTTTGAGTAACCTAGCAATGAGGAATGGTTCGTGACACCTTACTTGTCGCCTGTGGCAGATTTGGAGATCAACAGCTCGGCCAGTCTTTGGATCTCTCTCCAGACCGGCTCAAGTGCTTGTGATGTCGCGAATTGAATCTCTCGCCTTGCTGGGCCAGCAGGAGAGACAGTCCTGCAGCCATGTTCTTTTGGTAATGCCTGCTCTGTTAGCAAAGATTGAAAGAGTGCTTTGAGCATACCTTGTAATGCTGTCTAACCCGCGAGCAGAAGCTGGCGCAGCTTAACGATCGTGGTGAGTGGCGGAATTGAACGGCACCGGATCACACAAAGCTCTGCTCCGAGGACAGCCGCAACACGGACAAAAACGTACTGTGACTTGAATGGCGAGGCTTGGAGATGCTCCCCGTTGACTCTGCGAGCAGAGAAAGGCCCAACTAGACAAGTTTTGGCAAACCTCTGGACCGTTGCTGTTTGCGTGACATGGTCGTTGATGCGAAGCATGTATTTCAGATAGTCACTTTATATCTGAATGTCGTAGCAAGTCCGCAAAATCACGCTTGAAGTTGTACTCGGACAATGGAAGCCTTGCATCTGCTGGAAGGTCACAAGTTTTCGAATGTCCTACCGCTGATTGTTCCTATTGCATTGATAGTCACACAAATTCGACTTTGCAAGCACTTTGCAAAGTGGCTAGAGATTTGCGCCGACCCATCGAACTCGCAGCGGTGAGCAGATTGGGGCCATATTGATCGCGATTGCCCTCATCCATGATCAAACCGCAGTGCAGCCGATGCAGCCACAGCTCGCAAGGTATAAGGAGAGGGAGGCAGACTTATCGCTGGCCGAAAATGATCGAAGACATTTCTGTCCTGACTGTTCAATTTGACCGGTCGATAATCGAGCAGGCAGGTAGGCAGAGATATATGTTCGAAACGAGAGCTTGGCATAACACCATCTGGGATCTGTAGACGTGCCGACCTGTGTTGTTGTCTTCATTGTATCGAGTAGTCGTGAAGACGCCTGACAGGATCAGAGCCGCCGTCTAATGACGCACAGCTGTGCTTCGGTTTGAGAGGCTGGTTTGCTCTCGAGTCTGGAGTCTAGATGGCTCTGGCCAACGCGTTGGAAGCAAGAAGTCCCACAGACGTGAAGGATCCTCAGCCTTAGCAACATCACGACCGGTCAGTCACTCAACGAAGGCAACGAGCGCGCTAAACCTCGGAAGAAAGCCGATTGCTTATGCTGCGCCGCAGAATCATCAACCGTGGGATAGGTCCTTTCGTTCAGATTTGGAGGCAGTGCCAACTTCTAAAGTTGATGGGCATCGAGATGCCAAGACCCAATTTAAAAGGCCGCCCCCGAAGGATGAAGGTTTGGCTATTTGAGGGTGCAGTCGGAATCTCTACTGCCACTGACAGCGATTCTTCTGCGGCCACCATGAAATCGCAACTAAGAGGCGACTGGCAGATTGACGACACGGCGCCGACTATACGGCTCGCTCGAAGGTCCCTCTGCGCTCTAACGGCCGGTCCGTAGCCGAGCTACGCATGTACACTTCCCCAGGATCTTGCCTGTGTGTGACTGTGATCAATGGAATCAGGCTCGTCCACACATGTCGCTGATTACCTTCCGCGGCTCGAACGAACAGTGCTTCGACTTCCAGGCTCTCCAGTAACAGAGGTGCAGTACGAGCGTCTTGCTCGCTAATCCACTCCCAACTGCACTCAATTTGGGGCCAGAGTGTTAGTCCGACATGAATCCTTCGACAATGCATATCACCTTATGCGGGTTAGGCTCGTTGCCTTCTTTTGTCATCCTGGAAGTCTGGACAAGCCATCGCTGCCGACTCCATCGAATAGACCTCGTGAGGAATCACTAGCCCTTCGCCACTGGTAAATGGCTACCGCAGAGCCGCCACACTTCGAATCCTTCGACAGCAGCATTAATGAGATGATCCTGACCGAAGTTCCATAGCCTCAACGATGCTGCAGGCGTCCTGCGACCTTGACGGCAGATGCCGGTGCTGTCGAGTGGGATCGTATTTAGCAACTTCGTGTCCCTCACGACTGGCGGTCTCAGAACAATACTCTCCATCGATTCATCACAATGGGCTCTCTCTTCAGCTGGGGCTTGCTTGCACTGGCTGCGAAGCAAATATCGGCTGTACCTGCTCCCACAAGACGACAGAGCGCATCAGTATGCGAGCGAATCTATAGTGTGGCAAGTCCATATCTCCAGTCTGGCCGTAAGTCTTCCGATGGTGAGTCAACTCATGCTGATCTCGACAGAAAGCGTCAACTTCCCCGCCGAGGATGCGTATGCTTGTCTGAAGGAGATCCCGTTCGATGCAGACCGAGGTGTGAACTTCGTGGATCAACTACGCAAGAGCATTGCGTGGCAGTCGACACTGGATCTTCTGAAGAGTCCGCCCGACGGCTCGAAAGGCGTCGACATTTTGGGCGGGCTCGACGATATTCAACAGAAAGCGAGGACGAATGGCTACTCAGGCCAGCTCGACTTTGATACCGACCTCAAAAATCTGATTGACTCAGCCAATGATGGGCACTTCAATATCGCCCCTTGCTCAATGGCCATTTTCAGTTTCCAGTTCGACGTCGGTCTTGTTTCGGTCGCGGAATCTACGACATCCCAACCCAAGATCTATGAAGCGCGTACGGACATATCGACCCTCTTCGCAATGTCCAGCAACTAACGATGACAGAATCTATAATTCAGGACCTTCCGCTGGACCCCATCGCCACCATTGACGGAAAAGACGTGGTCGAGTTTCTAGAAGACATGGCCGCACTGGGTAACTCCCAAGACGCCGACGCACGGTATGCTGCATCGTGTAAGAGTCAAGACTACTGCTCACTTTGCCTACAGATACAACCAATTGTTCACAAATATCGGGCGTCTTGGAAATAACAACACTCTGGTGGGGACATTCGCATGGCGAGGCGGCTACTACACAGGCTACAGTTCAATCAACTACACCACTGCCAATGGCACAGAGGGAACGTGGGTTGGGAAGGCGCTGATTGCTGACCCATCCACTTACACTTACTCCAGCGGGCAGCAGCTGTATGACGCATTCTGCCTGCCTCCCGCGTCGGCTACGGGCGGACCTCCTAGCGATGTGCCTACCTCACTGCTTACGGACACAATCGAACCGACTTCACTTCCAACGCAGACTGACGAGCCGTCGGCTGTGACTACGATTGATGTTGTGACGAAACGTCAAGAACCTGCTGCACCTTCCACAACAGGGGCTCCCACAGTACCAACCGATCCAGCATATGTAAGTTTTCATTCCCTCCACAGCCCAATGATTCAAAGTAGTCCAATATGAGGCATCTGCCGGCCATGTTAGATTGCCCACACTGTCCCTCGCCCATTGGCGTGGGCCCGCCCCGAGCTTACATTCTCGCTCGATTCAGAAGACGTCAAAACGTGTCGCTGACCTGTATGTGCATCACAGTTCCCGGCGGCAGTCGCTCGCGATCCGTACAATCTCATCGCAGGTTACTTTCTCGATGGCTCTCGTGAAGATACAGCTGTACTGAACATTCCGACCTTCGACAACAACGAAGGATTCCCTCAGAACGAGACTCTCACCGGTTTCATACCAGCGGCCTCCTCTCTGATAGAGCAAGCGAAGGCAGCCGGTAGAACAAAGCTCATAATCGACCTTACCGGTAACGGTGGTGGAAACATCATGCTGGGTTCGCCTTGTTCAAAACACTGTTCCCAAACCTCGACATCCAAACCACGAGTCGATATCGCAGTCACGAACTGATTCGCCTGGTGATCGAATCGCTCAAGGACGCAGCTGCAGATCAGTTAGATCCCAGTCTGTCCTACGTGTTCGAATTTGCCTGGCAATATCAGCTTGCTGCTCCTGATGGAGGGCCTACCAACTGGAAGAGTTATACAGATATGTTGGGCCCGGACGGGTCGGGCCTGACAGCACCTCAATTCTTCGAAGACTTCAGCAAGACCACCACCCAGATTCCAGGCATTGCTGGAGTACCGCTGCCATTCCAAGAGCCTCCATTCTCCGCCGACAACATCCTCCTGGTAACAGATGGCGTTTGCGCCTCGACCTGCTCCAACTTCGTTGCACTCATGATGGAGGTCGCCAAGGTTCAACACACTGTAGCATGGGGTGGAAGACCCAACACCAACGCTATGCAACTCGTGGGTGGCGTTCGCGGCAGCAATGTTCTCAGCTTCGACACGGTAGCAAACCAACTCGGCGGTGTACGAGATTACATTGTGAATAAGACACAGGAGGGCAAGCCTCCTCTGACTGACGATCAACTCCAGACCGCCCTCAGCCTACGACCACTGACCACAACTGAGTATCCCATTCGCCTGTATAACGGACACATCAATTTCCGAAACGCATACTACAACGGCAGCGACCTTCCCTTGCAATTCGACCACCAAGCTGCTGGATGCAGGCTGTTCTACACTGCAGAAAATATTCGTAACCCTGCCTCAAGATGGACGGACTCTGCTGAGGCTGTGTGGGGCAATGGTAGCAAAGGATGTCAGGCTCCGCCGTTGAACATCACTTCGACGGCTACAACCACGTCTTCAAGCTCGCCCACTGAGTCTTCGGAGAGCAGCACGGCGTCGGCAACGAATGCTGGTACGAGGGCTGCCAGTGCGTCCATGATGCTGGCGGTGGCGTTGACAGCTGCTGTTGCGCTGCTGTAAGACTGGATTTCGAGTGTCGCCATTGTTATGCTGTACACTTTCCCATTCTAGCATCGCGGTTCATACATTCATACCTTATGGCTACTTAATGTATACCATTGTTCTATCACTTTGTTAATTCAGAACTGCTCTAAAGTCAGATTACTAAATTCTATGTATACTGAATAGAACTCCCCAATAGTACTGCACGAGCGTGGGGCTGTTCTCTGTCCTCCCTCAAGCTCGAGGCAAAGTAACAACAAGCTTCCTCGCCGAAACACCCTTTTTCTGCATGTCCATAGCCTCTTGAAGCTTCTCAAGTCCTGAGCCCACGACTTGCGGCTCGGGAGAAGGGACAAATTTTCCACGAGCGAGCAGCGTCGGGAGTACCTCCCCATAAAGCACTTTACCCAGACCGTTTTCAACAATGGTCGTAGCAAACACAAACTTCCAGCCCACGCCTTTCAACAAGCCCTTAATAGTCATCTTCGTGTTCCAGCTCAAGAAGCTGATGACTCTCCGCACAACCAGAAGTGGGCCTGTCTCGGACTCGAGCTGTGGATATGTGACAATAGCGACAAATTTTCGAGCGTGTGTACATTGCGCAAGCACGTCGACGCAGAGCTCTGCCGAACCTTTGCCAATTGCGACGGCGCCCACGACCTCACGGTCTTTCATGACTTTCAGAATGCTTGCTTGCAACGACGAGCTGTTGTAGTCGAAGGAATGTGTGGCACCAAGACGTCTGACCATGTCGTAGTTCTTGGGTGAGCAAGTCGTCACGACCTCGTAGCCAGCTGCAGCGGCAAGTTGGATGGCGTTAGAGCCACGCTGCTCGCGCCGCCGGTGATGAGAACGATTCTTTTTGCCGCGTCGGTCTGAGTGAAGCCCGGCGATTTCGCCGAAGGAGGTTTGAGCTTTAGCATATCATCCTGCCACAGGCCAGCAGCCGCAGTTGAGACACCCATTGGCACCACTGCCGCCTGCTCAAAACTCATATTCTCTGGTACTGGGCAGCACATGATCTCCTGTACGACCACGAACTCCTGGAAAGCACCCATGGCAGGATCATTGCGCTCCTTGTCGGTGCCTGTGGCGTGAGCGACCACGCGGTCTCCGACTTTGAAGCGCGTCACACCAGCGCCGATCTCCTGGACGACGCCAGCCAGGTCGCTGCCCAGCACGAAGGTAGGTCAGCCAGTTGTACATCAGGGCGGTCCCTTGGGTTTGAATGAGGTGATCAAGTGGATTGATGGCGAGAGCATGGGTGCGGACGACGAGAGTACCAGCTGTTGGTGAAGGGTATGGTCGTGTGATAAGCTGGAGTGGACGAACTCCTGAGGAGGGTATTATGGCGGCCTTGTTCGTTGGCATGGTGTCAGAGATACCTGCAATAAATATTTTGCTGGTTATGAGAGTGTGTAGTTGATCTTGGGTCGGTCAGGTATAGCAGCTGTTTGTCTCAAGGAAGATTATCATCAAGCAGAAGCAGCGGGACAGACTACACATATACTCTCGACCGTCCATGCCAATGCGCCACCAGCATGGCCTCCAGCACGCTCGCCATCGAGCTAGCCTGCCGTTGTGAGAGCACCACGGCGCCGAAGAATGGTTCGGGCCAGAAAGTCTAAGATTTGTGTGACAGACTGACGGCGCACGGAACGACTTCGGGTAGCGATCAAGCTTAGGCGAAGAAATACGCCAAAAGTCTTATCTGCAATGGGAATGGCAAGAGCGAGGTGGTCAACTCATCAAGTTGCAGCGGATGAAGATGTCGCCGAACTCAACCAAGGTTTTGGCCAGCAGTCGCGACGTGCAGTCGAAAAGAGCGTAGCTCAAAATGACTGGGAATCATGATCGATTTTCTGTATCCAACCTAATTCATTACGTCATCCCTCGTGTCGCTATGCCCTTCATCGTATACCAACAGCCAGAGCTGTCTGAGGTCGCTTCCCTAAACCTTCCTCAAGACTTGATAGCTTCCGGTGGAAGTCACTGTGTCAATGAGTGTCTTTTGCGCCATTAACTCCGGTACCAACCAACGAAGTTCAGGAACCGACGGCGACTGGGAAATCACCTCGCTGTCAAAGTACATGTTGGGCGTGTGACAGAGGCCCATGGGTCCTCCAAAGTGCGGCTCGTTACGCCCTCAAGTACTCTGAGCGCCAGTACTGCCCACATGTACGACTTGTGAAACAGTGGTGCTGTAGTTCGCGTCAGGTCCGCAAGCAATGGATCAAGTCGATGAGACTTTTATGCTGTGGTGATGCGCAGCACCTTGTACCGAGACAAAAATCATACCAACGACAAGCGCGCTGGTAAGTGCCCCAGTGAACGCAGATATCAACATGATGCGAGACAAAGTCGGGGTATGCGACTTCGCATGTCAGAACATGGCGAAGAAACAGCGGCACCGTTGGCTAAGGCTACATGCCCTGAACCAGTCACAAGTCTGGCACATAACTGGAATCTGTATCAACGCGGACGGGCTGGAGCTTTGCCATAGAACGCCGAAACGGTACACATAGAAGCATGATATTAGGTCAAGGGATGTACTTATACAGTATATTTCGAACTACTCCCTTTGCCACTAGAGAGCGCATACTTCGTGGTGCGAAGTCTCGTATGCACTTATATGCAAGCTCCACCAGCTATACCGACTCCGACATTATTCTCTGCTGCGGAATGCCACGCATTTAGACAGCACTCTTCTCCCTCGACTCCTGGATCACACCCGACTCGTCAGAGTCACCACGAACGATTCCAACCGAGCTCTTGCGATGTCCAGCAGAGTCCGGATCGTAGTTGGCAGTACCCGGAACTTCACCAGCGAGCTCCTCAAGAGTCTTGCGCTTCGTCTCCGGAATCAACAGTGAGGTGAAAACACCACAAAGCATGAAGAGCGCGAAGATCTGCATGATATGATTGAGCCATGGCGTTGGGTTCTGTGAAAAATGCATTAGTCATAAGAATGGTACAACAAAAAAAGGAGTCTGCGAAGAGAACTTACGGCCTTGGTAGGATGGCCCTTGGTTCGGAGAGGGCCGAACACAGTCTGAGCAATGATGGCGCCGACCTTGCCGGAGGCAGCTGAGAGACCGTGCGAAGTCGAGCGGTATCGTGTTGGGAAGCACTCTCCTGGCACAATGAAAGTGGTCGCATTGGGTCCGAAGTTAAAGAAGAATTGGGCCAACACATAGAGGGCCAACAAGCCGCCCTCGCCGAGGTGGCTGTATGCGAAACCAATGATGATGAAGAGAATGGTAAGCATGATGAATCCCATGAGCTGGATGGGCTTGCGTCCAACGGTGTCGACAAGAGCCACGGTGACCCAGTAACCTGGAATAGCACCAGCACAGACGATGATCAAGTTGCCAATGGCAGCACGACGGAAGATCTCGTAGACGTTGTCACCCTTGGCGAAGCCGATGGCTTGCAGAATGATACTGTTGTTGAGACCGAGACCATAGAAAGCCACATCGAGGAAGAACCATGAGCCTGCTGTACCGAGCAGGACTTTGCCGTGTCTCCACTGACGATAGTGACGGAAGAAGTCGCCCCACGATGCCTTTGGCGGGTCGAGACGTGCGCGAGAGTCCTGGAGGACACCTGCTCTTGAGACTTCATCTGGGTGACCCTCAGCCTGTCCAGCCTTGTACGCCTTGACGTCCTCGACAGCCTTCTCGGTATCTCTGGCGACATCGAAGGTGTAGCGGGGTGTTTCCGGAATGGTGAGACGGAAGTACAGCGCAATGCAGCCAGGAACGGCGCCAAAGCCAATGATGACACGCCACATCTTATCGACAGCAAGACCGCAGACACCACCGCAGGTGCCGTAGCCCTTGGCTGTCTGGAGTGACTCCTTGAAGCCGGAGCTGACAATCAGTGCAATCAAGCCAGCGGCCAATTGACCCATTCCCTGCATAGCAAAGACACTGCCCATCATGGCGCCGCGCCACTTGGTGGTTGCGAACTCGGATGTGATGATGGCCGACAAGGGGTAGTCACCACCGATACCAATACCCATGAGGACACGCCAGAAGATCATCAGTCCGACAATCGAGACGGCTGGAGAGGACGCAGAGAGAGCCTGGGCGAGAGTCGCGAAGATGATGAGAATGAGCTCAAGACCATACATCCGCTTGCGACCGACAACATCAGCCAGCCATCCGAAGCCAACTTGACCGATGACGGTGCCACCGGAAGTTGCGACCTTGATGGCGGTATCTGAGTGGGGAGGAATGACTCCGGCGTTGGCGCCCTTAGCTCCTTGCCAGTAAACGACACCAAGCATGTTGGTCACTATGAAATCTGTCAGATCTTGTTGAGGACTGTCGAAATGAAGGAGATGTTACCAAAGTTGATAGCAAAGATATCGTAGGCATCAGTGAAGAAGCCAATACCAGCGACCACGATAGCTCGAACATGATACCAGCCGAACGGTGCCTTGTCAATCTCGGCCAGAGCAAGTCGTCTACGCTCATTCGGATCCTGAATGTGTGCGAAGTCGTTGTGAAAGTTATGGAAAGCCGCATTGCCGCCATCCGTCTTCATGCCAGCGGCGACAGCCTCACCGGTGTTGACCATTGTGCCGGTAGTTGAGTATCACTTTCGAAACAAGCAATACCAAGAATCGGTAAAAGGCTTGACACGGCCCAAGAATGCTGAAAGAGTAGGAAATGCTCGCAAAGTAAGCGTACCAAGGCGAGCCTATATATCTTGGACGAGTCTTGGGAGACAAGGGCTGAGATATCAAGCCTGTTGGTCAATATTCGTGCAGAAAATTGATTCCATTTTCCCGTTAGTTCGGGCTCGCAGATGTAGGTAGCTAGCGCGCGTGGTCACACAGACCAATAACGGACTCCGAGAAGAGCACATGGGGAGTTGAAAGGGGAAGTGAAGTAGAACTTTTAGGTGGGTACACGGTCACGGTGGAGAGTTGGAAGGTAGGTTCGGATATGCAGGTCTGGAAGGGGATGGGCTCGATCGTTCCTGTCGTTTCGAGGTATCGAATCAACGTTGCATGCTGCCATTCTAGAGTGGCAGGTGCCCGCCTCGGCGAGTCCGTCTCAGCGGCGAACACGATGATCTTTGTTTCTTCGAGATACCGGCACACTGAGCCGGATGCACATCACGTAGTCGAGTCGTTCGCAGGCGGGGTGCTTGGTCAAAGATTGTCGAGACTATGTGAATTTCACACCTCCAGAGAACCGCATTGCCCAGACCTTGCAGCAGCGGCTTGGGAAAGCATCACGTCCCATCAATCCTAGAAACCCTAGCGAGCACTTTGCATCGCAAGACCCATGCCTCTATGCAGCAGCGGCGTCCCTAGACAGAAGAAACTTCGGAGACACTCATAGGCTGGATAGTTCAGACCAGAGGCGAACCGCAGAGCCAAGTCCGCGGCGCGCAGACAAGCTCAATGAAGCATGTGGAAGCAATTGACGAAGAGCTTGGGTGCAGTGTTGTCTGGAACGACCAATAAGATGACGCCAATTCAGCACGTGTTGCCTTGCGGCACCCGCGAAATAGAAAAGTCTAATAGCCCTCTATGAAGACCCGTCTGGATTCGCGAACACAAAAATTGGATGACACCCGCGCATCGTGGAAAGAAAGGCGACCTCCGATTCAGTTCGACTTCAGCAATCATGTCACGTGATACATGGCACAGATTGAACTCGAACACAACCTTTGGTCAGATCTATGTTGATCAGATCGTCTCGAGTGCCACGCCCAAGCCGCTGGAGCAGAACACTAGGTTACTGCCCGTCTACCAGATGTCCTGGTTCAATCGCGTCCGTGAACGCATCGCCATTTATGACATTCTCTACATGAGATGACCACGAGACCCACCGGTCCAGTCTCCTCACTGTCGATCTGCGGCGATCCGGTGCGCAGCGCCAGACCGAAGTCCTTCCAGTGGCGAGCTGTAATCGATCACGCGTCGCACGGATCCTAGTAGTCGCTTCGCAGAGCCGCCTTGACAGTATCAGCAAGCGGAGCACCCGTCCCAGCCAGCCGTGCCCGACCCGCTCTCAAGGCACCCTCTAGCCCGAACTGTGTGTTCACACCCTCGATACGGTGAGTGCTGTTAATGTTCTTGACCATCGTGATCTGCCACGCTGTGGCGGAACCCTGGCGAGAGGAAATAACAGCCGAGGCCAAGAAATACTCCCAGATACGATACCATCGCACTCCATACTTGGCCTTGGACTTCTCTGAATTGGCAAGCCAATTGCGATACCATCTCCATAGGGTTGCAGAGTAGTGGACGCCGATTGTGTCGACTGACTTGACCTCGAAGCCGACACCCTCGAGCGTGCCGATGACGAAGTCGATCGGTGCTGATGCATCGGCTCCTGGGAAGACATACTTGTTCATGAAGAGACCCCAGATGAGATCTTCGTACTGCCACGACTTGCGGAAACCAGCGATCTGCAGGAAGAAGACCCCATCGTCATCAAGCATGTCGTACACTTGTGTCAGGAACTTCTTGAAGTATCGTACGCCAACGTGCTCGGCCATTTCCAAACAAGTGATTCTCTTGTATCCACCCTCCGGCACCGGAATGTCACGATAGTCCATGCATAGGATGCGACTCTGGTCTTCCGGGATGCCAGCCTTGCGAAGTCCACCGTTGCCCCAAGCAGTCTGGTTCTTGCCGAGAGTGATACCCGTAGCATGGGCTCCATAGTTGACGCTGGCATACTTGGCGAGTGTACCCCATCCACAACCAATGTCCAACATCTTGTCACCTGGCTTGACGCCGATCTTCTCACAAACGATAGCAAGTTTGTTGTCCTGCAGCTGCTCCAATGTCTCTTCTCGCGAAGGATCTGAGATGATGCCGGAGGTGTAGATCATTCGCGGTCCCAAGAACCAGCTGTAGAAGTCATCGCCACGGTCGTAGTGGTCTCTCACTTGCTCCTCATCCTGCGAACGGCTATGCCACAGCATCTCTGGGCCGAACCCAACGAACACGTGCTTGAAGACGTCCCAGGTGAATTTGAAGTTTGCCCAATCATGTCTCATCTCCAGAATCTCAAGCATGTCGCCCTTAATGTCGATCTCCTGATCAAAATACTTCTCGAAGAAGGTCCAGATAGGGATCTTGTTCCTTCCGTAGTATCGCTCCTTATCCGACGCTTTCTTCAGGGTAATGTATTCTTCGACTGGACGACCGGGCAGCTTGGCCTTCTCGTTCTTGCGTGGGGAGATGCGGGACGAGATGAACCAAAAGCCAATCAGGACTGGGATAGTGGTGAAGATGCCGAAGAAGATGCTGGTCCAAAACCCGCCATAGACCTGGCGAGCTAGCCACCATGGGATGAAAACGAGTAGGGCGAGGAGGATATAGTTGTTGAAAGTGTCACTTCCGGGACCATCGGCTGGCAGAGGAGCATTGTGAATCGTAGGGGACTGTCTAGATCAGTATCACCCACATCTGAGCTCTCCCCTGGGATACTCACTTTGGTGGTCCTCACCCCACAGTCATGGCCTTGAGGCTGAGGTGTAGGAGCTGCAGGAGTCTCAATGAACTCGTAGTCCTCCGAAGACTCGGAGTGTGACTTCGCCATGCTGACAGTTGCTGCACTGCCGGAAATTGAAGGCCAGCTCAACAAAGGCACGGGAGCAAACAGAAGCAGAAGCAGAAGACTCCAAAATTCCAGATACCACTAATGCAGGAACACCAGAACGCCTTGGCATCTCTTATCGATAACCCAGGCAACCCACCGTGCCATCGTCGCTTTCTTTCCATCATCCGTATCATGTGCATACGGCTGGGACCAAGCCTCCATCATGGCTACTTCCCAAGCGCTGACGAAGCGCGCTGTAGAGTCTGCCGTGGCTCTGATGCCTCCGCCGCCAGTGAAAAGGATCAAGCGCCCCCCGAAGGTTTTGGACGAAGACGACTACACAGACGCCTTATCAAAGATCATAGCGCGAGACTATTTTCCAGGTCTGGAGGAAAGTCGTGCGCAGAATGAGTATCTTGCAGCACTAGAGTCCGGCAATCAGGCATGGATCGCGGAGGCATCTCAGAAACTTCGGGCCACTATCAGCGAGAAAACGGCCCAGGGTCCCCGGGTGGCGAGAAACCCCAAATACGACAGCACGGCTGGGACTCCGCGCAGAGCTTCTTCAACGGCAGATACTCCTCGAGGGTATGATGGCAGCCAGACGCCGATGAGTGTCATCACAGAGCCCACTATGGAGTCAGGCGGCACGGCAGAGATCGACATCTCCAACCATTCCCTCTCCTCTTTCCAATCAAAATACACCTCAGAAGACAACGCCTCCTTCAACGACGTCCTCGACAACCAGAACAAACGCCGCCGCGAGAAGCATGCCTACATGTGGACCGAAGACCAACGCATCCCGACCGCCCGCCAAATCGCCCACCGAGCAGAACAGCAACGCCTGCTAATCGACAAAGCAACCTCAGACGCTGAAGCCGCCAAGCACGGCGACAAGGCCCTTATTCCACTCACCACCGGCGCGGACGGCACTCGCTCTGCCAAGCCTGACGCCTGGAAAGTCAAGCGGCCGGATAACACGTTCATGTTCTTCCCGGATGACGTTGCTGAAACAGACCCAAACCTCACCACGACTCAAGAGCAGAAGGAGCTTGACTCGAGAGCTGGGCCAAAGGAGACCCTGCACCAAAACACTCGCTTCCCACCACTATACGCACTTGCCTCCCAAAATAACACACCAAGCAGAGTCCCCGCCTCACCCAGCCTCAACACCGACATCCTCGCCCATCGCGAAGCCGACGACTACGACGGCGCCGCCACACCTCGCGTGAACGGCTACGCATACGTTGACGAGGACGAGCCCCAGCCAGAGCCCCCCACCACAAAAGCACCCTCGCCTTCCTATCGAGACCTTCTCGCAGGGCAAGCACCCTCGCCTTCACCTTTCCACCTCACCACCCAACCAAAGCGCGAAGCGCTACACCACCGCCTCGTAGAGAAGACCGCGAGCGCGAAGCGTAGTAAGGAGCGGGAGGCGCTGCTGGATGGTACGCCGCTTGCTGCATCATCGCACACAGATAGGTCCTCCTTTGGTGCTACTCCCGGGACCGCCATAGGCAACAGTAAGAAACAGCAGCAGCTAGCAGGTAATATGACTCCCGCGGCAGCGCGGTTGCTGCAGCGGGTCGGCAAGACGCCTGTTCGCAGCAGCAGTACCGCTACTAGAATGAGCAGTAAGGATTTGTGGACGCCGACACCGCGCAGGAAAGGGGCGAAGTAGTTTAGGATGGTGTCTATCAGCCTATGTTCTGGGGATGGTACGTCATGATATGCTACGATGATTATACGAGCCACGAAACATAATGTATGTATGCATGCGTTAGTGAATGAGGACCTTGACTCAACCTCAGCTATAGCGGAAAGCTCACGCAAGAGACCACGGTATGTCCACACACCTGAGGTACGGATGAGTCTCCTCGCAGTATAATCCAACTGTAGTATAATGCACAAGGCAGATTCAAAACACGATGAAGAGAGAGAGAAGTGAGATAAATACCCACCTCCCACCGCTATGGCAGGAAGCAGGCTCTCGTTTTCATTGCAAATTATTTCCTCATCTTGGAGGCTACCTAGACAAATTCACATTTTGATCCGGGAGTGCCCTGTGCTACTATAGAGCGGAGCGACATTGCCAATCGTTATTCAATCAGCCAGCCATATTAAAGACAACTCCCAGATTTGTTGACGCCTGTTAGCGCCTTCACTTGAAATTCGCAGACCTCGTATTTGGAGTCCGTTGTGTGGATAAGAATATTCGCCTGAGCCATTTGCTGTTGATCAATCGCCACTCATTCCTCGTCGTCGTCGTCGCTGGGGTTGGTGTTGGCCGGGGACGGGACAGTGGGACGAGCAGTGCACCAAGACGGAGTAGGCGGAGCGGGACCGATGACACCGTGACCAGTCGGCACGGCAGCGCGACGGGCAGAGCCAGCAGCGAAGCTGTTGTCGAATGCGCCGAAGCCGACAGGAGCGGGGTGAGGGTGATGACCGATAGGACCATACGGATTAGCGCGGACCTGGTAGATGCTGTTGGCTTTGAGCGCCTCGTTATCACGCATAGCGGCACCTTTCTCGGACTCGAGTCGAGCGACTCTGTTCTGGAGGTCGGTTTGGCTGGCTTGGAGGGTGTGGATCATGTCGATGAGGATAGTCTTCTCTTGCTGGTTGGTCGCAGCCATGGTCTTGTAGAAGCCGAGCTCGTTCTGGAGGGCAACAATGTCTTGCGGGACGTGCAGAGGTGCTGGAGAGTAGGCGCGAGAGAGCAGGGAGGGAGTGACTGGACGGGAGCCAGAGGAACCGACCCCGCCAATGCCGCCGACACTACCAACAGGAGTCATCGGACGAGAGCCCATAGGAGTGCCAACGAGGCCCATGCCGAGTCCAGCTTGCTGACCAGAGATGCTGAGGGATGACAGAGCGCGAGCCAAGTTCTTGCCGGCTTTTGCGGGTTCGTTGGGGTTGACTTGACGTGGGGCTTCGGTATAGCGACCTTGCAGAGATGTCAGTCGGCTTTTTCAATTTCAAGAGAGCGGCTGTATGCGGAAAGTGATAATGCGAAAAGTGTTGCAGCCAGACTAGAAGGCACCGACATTTTCAGAGCAAACATACCTGTGTCATGATGCGCATACAGACAATCTTCGTCGGAGTACTTGCAGTCGCCCTTTTCCTTCCACCAGAAGCAGGTGAGGTGCTTAACGCTGCGGCTGCGAGAGGTGTCGGTATTGGTCAGAGGAGAGACATCGACAGAGCGATCGATTGTAGGTGGCAGTGAAGCTGAACGAGAGCCGCTGCGGCCACGCTCGGGACTGTTCTCTTCGGACGCGCCCGCGGACTCGACCGGCTTAGGAGGAGACTGAGACATGGTGACTGGATCTTCGGGAAACGAGACCTGTCGAGTGAGGTTGGTGTTGGTGGTGCCAGAGAACTGGCGGCGTGAAGTGGTCAAGTTGGAGGGTTTATCAGTAACAACAGACGCCCCAGTGACAGGATTTAGCTGCGACGGAATGATGGCTTTGCTGTCTCCACACATGATGCCTTCCTTACACATACTAGTGCTGAGAGTTCAGGTGACGTTGGGTTTGATTTGAAGAAGTTGCAATCGACAGTTTGCAGAAGAGAGGCAAGTGCGGTATGAGATTGGGTTGACAGAGGATTGCTGAAGAACATTGACCAGAGCAAGCAAGTGACAATGCTGGTCCCTATGGTTTATACCCGCCACCGCAGAATGCGTGAAGAGCAGCAGTCCAGGCTGAAGCTGCTGTTGCTGGTTGCGACAGTGACCATGTTAAAGTGACGGAAGACAATTCCGTCATAACTATAGTGAGTGGCCTACTTGACTTCCTCCTTCGGATGAGATTCCCGCCACTGCTTAAGGCCTTGTTGGTACCGGTCATTGTCATTGAACTCTTGATGGCGAGGCAGGCCGTCGTCTGGGATCTGAAACCACGCAGGTTTGTCCTTGACGAAGATATGGTACTTGGTCTCTGGCACAAATCCGCAAACCCGGTCCAGGGAGCCAAGTGTCACTCCTAGTGAATCCTCTTGGAAATGGTATGTCATTGTCAAAGTCGACCCACAGACCTTGCAGAAGCCTCTCTCAGCATCGCCGCTGGAGCTGTATGTATCAGGTTTGGTGGTCCATTCAATATCCTTCTTCTTGAAGTCGACAAATGGCAAGAACGGGCCGCCGCTGATGCGTTGGCATTGAAGGCAATGGCAAAAGCAAGAGTGGCCCGAAGAAGCCTCTCGACGAGCTGAGTACCTGATCCGCCCACATTCGCAACCGCCAGTCACCCTTGCACTATCAGCCATGCTTACAGTGATTGCCAACAGAAAGATGAACAGCGCGGTACGAAGGCTCGGAGGTTTAAATAAGCTGCCGAACATGATGTTTTAGAGTGGATTGCCAACAGTCCCCGCAAAATGCTAGGCTCTGGCCCCTGAACGGATCCCTGCTTTGTCAGCGGTGGCCTGTGGAGTACGGTTATACGCACTGCATCCGATACCACTTGACGCCGTCGGCATACTTTCGATGAACGCCAAATCCCGAAGACTACCAAATCGCTGAAGAAGGTAGTACTCAGTCTTCGCCAGAGAGTGTTTAGCTATGTACAAGTTATGAATGCTGACCAACATCACCACACGACCACCTCCACGCAACTGAGCACCATGGCCCGGCCCTTTAGCTACTCACTGCAGCAGCGTGACCTTGTGTTAAGCCAAGCAGTCTGGCCTCAGAGTCAACCAAAGCTGGGATAGTTTCAACCAATTTCGGCCTGTATGGTGACCAGCCAAGCAGCTTTTTTCCTCGCTTGCTCACTCCTCGAGAATTTGTTCCCACGTAGTAATGCGCACGAGGGAAGAAGTGCTCTTCGAGCTCGTCAATATTGCGACCAATCAACTCATTGGACGGCAGGAAGCCCTTCTTGTGAGCGTCGTCCACAGCAGCCTGAAGAATGTCGCCCCATACAAACTCTCCATTCTCTGCGAAATAGTAGCCTTGCTCGTTCCACGTCGCAGGAGCACCACCATTGACAGCGGCCTCGGTCAGTGCAAGGTAAAGGTCGGACAAGTCTTGTACGTGGACCTCGTGCCAGAGATTCTTCCCGTTGCCAATCTTCGCGCCCTTCTTTGTCTTCAGAATCGCTGACACTGCTTTCGGAGCCTGGATAGATCGCTGATTATCGGGGCCACGGCCTTCGCCGTAGATGCAGGGAGGACAAACTATTGCTGCCTGAAGTTTCTCGGACCAGCTACCCTGGACAATCCTGTCGACAGGCCGGTGGAGGGAAGAATCTGGCAAATTCCACATCTCATCAATCTTCTCCCAGTCGTCGAATTGCTTTGGAAGCTCGTCGCCAAACTTTTCCTGCGCAAAGGTCTCTCCAGTCAAGATTCCTGTTCCGGATGTATGGATGTAAAACACCTTAGGTTTGGTGGAACGCTGGAGGCCTTTGATGAGGGCCGCTGTACCGGCTTTGTGGTCGCAATTGGCGAACTGTATTTAGTCAGTTTGTCTCGGGAAATGATCATGCAATGGAAGGTTGCATGGGAGAGGCGGCAGTCATGTCTCGGAAGCACCTTGTGTGCGTGCTCAAGCCAATGCTCATGTCATCGCTCACTTCCCGATGCAAGCTTCCCAGGGTACTCACTTGGTAGACGATGTCAGCCTTGGATGCTTCTTCCTCAAGCACATCTGCAGAGTCCAGGTCACCATAGACCAGTTTCACTTTCGGGTACGCTGCGGCAACTTTCGCCCCCTTGTCAGAGTTCCGCACGATGGCCGTAATTTCGTACTCCGGATGCTTCTCGGTGACCAAGGACAGGAAGTCGCCTCCAATGTAGCCCGTCACTCCAGTGAGGAACAGAGATGGTGCCATGTCGTCGCACGAATAAAGGTAGTCGATATATCGTCGAGGCTGTTGGGTTGGGCTCTAGGAGATTTTCAGGATATGCTGGGATATATATGCTAGTGGTCGTTGTTCAGACGGCACCTTTTTGAGACGGTGACTTTCGATTCGGTGACTTCGGGGACCGTGACGATTATTGAATCAGTGAATACTAAGAGGGGCGGCTGGAATTGATGCGCCGGCAGTAGAGCTGCGATCGTTACGAGCTTATATATTCCCTCGAGCGACAAAGAGGTCTGCAAATATCATAGCTTTGCATCGAAAAAGAAAGGATATCATTATCAAGCGGTCGGGTCTGTTGCCTGTATGGGAGCTGCCTTCGCTACAGAATTCCGGGGTGCGGTGCAGTGGTGTCATAGGGAGCAGGAACGATTCAAATGATGTAAGCAGGAGCGGCTAACCCTAAGTGCCTGATTTTAGGCCCCAGACGAACCATTTCTGCACGGCTTCTGCAGCCGCGACGAGGCTGAAGTCTTGGTGCCGGTGAATTCGGCAACTCCAATCTTCCACCTGCTTCATCGCGTCGACTTGTTGACCATTCGATCACATATCACACACGACCAGCGATCCTTCACTGACAAATCCCTGAGGCCCTCCGCCGGTCGATTACTGATGTGCATGGCCGCCGAGATCGATGGAAGTCTGCTTGTGAGCGAGTGACTGCCACGCCATGTTCACATTCACACCCTTGCAGGGCGCGCAGAGCCAGAGCCGTGTATCGCAGTCTCTGCTCGAGCTCGATGGCGGCGTCAAGGTGCTGGTCGATGTTGGCTGGGATGAGAGATTTGATACGCATCAGCTAGCAGAAATCGAGAAGCACACTTCAACTCTCTCATTCATTCTCCTCACTCATCCTACCCTCTCTCACGTGGGTGCCTACGCCCATTGCTGCAAACATATTCCACACTTCTCTCAGATTCCGGCCTACGCTACCTCGCCTGTCATAGCCTTTGGCAGAACCCTCACACAAGACCTATACTCTTCATCGCCAGTCGCAGCCACCTTCATCCCTGCCTCAGCATCTCCAGAAGATGATACTGCAGTCGACAGCAAGCAGAGGACGAATATCCTACGACAGGCCCCGACAGTCGAAGAAATCAACAAGTACTTCACCGCCATCACTCCTCTGAAATACTCGCAGCCCCTACAGCCTTCCGCCTCGCACTTTTCTCCTTCCCTCGAAGGCCTGACCTTGACAGCTTACAATGCTGGACATACAATCGGTGGCACAATATGGAGAATACAGCATGGCATGGAATCAATAGTGTATGCCGTCGACTGGAACCAAGCCCGAGAAAATGTCATTGCTGGTGCATCCTGGTTTGGCGGAGTTGGCGGCGGCGAGGTCATTGAAGAGCTGCGTAAACCCACTGCGCTGGTCTGTAGCAGTACAGGCGGCGATAAGGTTGCCTCCCTCTCCAGACAGACTCGGGATGCTACTTTGCTAGGTCACATCAAGAGCTGTCTTGCGAAAGGAGGCTCTGTCTTGATACCGACCGATTCCAGCGCCAGAATGCTCGAGCTCGCTTGGATCCTGGAGAGGGCGTGGCATGATGGCTTCCGCGAGAGTCCCATCAAGGATTCAAAGGTGTACATGGCAAGCAAGTCCGCCAACGCAACACTGCGACATGCTAGAAGTCTACTCGAATGGATGGATGACAGCATTGTCCGTGAATTTGAGGGCGAAGAGGAGACTGCAGCCAAAACCCATCGCAGGTCCGGCAGCAAGCAGATCAATGGGAACTCCAAGCCCTCACGGCCATTCGAATTTCGTCACGTCAAGATCGTCGAACGCAAGACTCAGCTCGACCGCTGTCTCGCAGGTCAAGGAGCTCGAGTCATCCTTGCCAGCGACCTGAGTCTTGATTGGGGGTACTCGAAATCATTCCTAGATCACATCGCACAAAGCACGTCGAACCTCATCCTCTTGACAGAGAAAAGCCACAGTTCCCACGTTCAAAGCACAGGTGCAACGATCTGGAAGTGGTACCAAGAACGACAGGATGGGGTGGCAGTAGAGCCATCTGCAGAAGTCCAGCTCGAACAGGTTCATGGTGGAGGCAGGACTATGCAAATCCAGGTCATCGAAAACGCACCACTCAGCGAACAGGAGATGCAACAATATCAGCAGTATCTGGGAACTCAACGGCAAATGGAGTCGACAATGGCTGGCGATGCAACTGGCGATGTTGTAAATGACAACCTCTCCGAAGAGTCAGAATCATCGTCCGAGGACGAATCGGACGATGAGCAACAAGGTAGAGCTCTTAATGTCACCAACGCTCTGGGTCACAATAAGTCCAAAATCACACTGACGGATGAAGACCTGGGCGTCAACATCCTAGTTCGGAAGAAGAACACTTTCGACTTTGACGTCCGCGACAAGCGAGGTCGTAACGCCATGTTTCCATACTCGCACTCCAAGAAGCGAGGTGATGATTTTGGCGAGTTCATCAAGCCAGAAGACTTCCTAAGGGAGGAAGAAAAAGAGGAACAGGACACTGCTGGCTTAAAGAGCGGCGATATTGGTCAGAAGCGGCGATGGGACGACAGACAAAAGGCCGAACCAGCCCGCAAGCGTCGGCAAGGTCCTCAAGGCGAGAAGGTGGAAGTCAACAACGACGACTCCTCAGATGATTCTGATGAGTCCGATGTTGAGGAAGTCGAGCAAGAAGGCAACGATGGACCATCGAAAGCAGTCTTCTCCACAAAAGAAGTCACGCTCAACTGCCGCTTGGCTTTCGTAGACTTTGCAGGTCTTCATGATCAACGCAGCTTACAGATGCTAATTCCGCTCATCGGGCCAAAGAAACTCATTTTGACCGGAGGTTCGACAGAAGAAACACTGGCGTTGGCAGCAGACTGCCAAGAACTACTTGGTGTCAAAGTTGCGGGCGAGGAAGAGTCATCATCGTCCGAGATCTTCACACCATCCCAGGGGCAGATGATCGATGCGAGCGTTGACACGAATGCATGGACCGTGAAACTCACCAGGAATCTGGTGAAGCGACTGCATTGGCAATCCGTCAAGGATGTCGGTGTTGTCACCTTGCAGGGTCAGCTCAGGGCGGAGATGGGTGCCCTCAACATAGAGGATGATCCTAAGCAGAAGAAGCAGAAGCTCGATACGGATGTCTCAAGACAGGAGACGCCTGAAGTTACAACACCAAACGCCGTCCCAGTGCTTGACACAATTCCATCGGCTCTCGCAGCATCGATACGGTCTGTGGCGCAGCTATCCATGTCGGCGATATGCGACTGGCGGAGCTGCGGCGCTTGATGAACGTGGCTGGTCACAACGCCGAGTTTCGAGGCGAAGGTGCTCTGCTCGTCGACGGCATGATTGCGGTCAGAAAGCTCGGCTCTGGCAAAATTATTGTCGAGGGAGCGCCCGTCAGTACACTGACGCGCAACGGTGATAGCTTCACTCAGGTCAAGCAACGCATTTACGAGAGGTTGGCCGTGGTGGCTGCAGGCTGAAAGGCATTGCGCCCATGTGTGCGGTCATCATAGTCGACGGTAGCACTCACTCAGACAAAGAGGAATCCTCATGCTTTGCCGCCAGTCGTTTGGCATACCCAGGTTACTGATCCTACGCCGCCCAAACGCCACTGCTGCGTGACGAGATGCGGCCTTGCGAAGAGCAGACCTTGTCCTAACGTGTTTGGCCGATTCACAGCTTCTTTGTCCTGCCGTTGGCTCATCCGATCGACCAACGCAACGTGAGCCTCGATCATCGTCTATATAGGTCTCGATCCCTGCCGCCACTACTGCTCCACCTCTGCCACTCGTTCAAGGTTGGTAGTTCGAAGCAAGTCCTCCAAGATGAACCCCTTCTTTCCATGTTCTGCCCAGGCGCCGCCGCCTATCTTCAATCAGCAGACACGCTATGTCTACAGAACTCGCGACGGCGGTCCGCCTGACATGGGCAAGCCGCCAGCACCCTCCGGTCCATCCTTTGGATTTCCAGGAATGCCTCCGCCGGGAATGATGCCGCCAGGTCCTCCTCCCTTTGGCTTTCCTCCCCCTCCTGGACCGCCTCCTCCTGGACCGTTCTGGTCCGGCGCCCCACCTCCGCCACCAGGTCCGCCAGGATGGACTTTCCAACCACCGCCGTCAGCTGCTCCTACCCCGTCACACATGTGCTTCCAGAATGCAAGCGGCACAACATGTTTCCCTACAGGATCAGCCCCACCAGCGTCGTCGTCTGCCGCCGTCTCAGTCACGACAACGACTACGCCGGCTACCTTCAATGCTTCAAACTACAAGGGACCCATCTGCACAGCTGGAGGCACGACCGCGGCCACAGGATCAACGCCGAGCGGCCCAGCTCCAGGCAACCGCGTGAATGAGCGGCTCGTCAAAGCCGACGACGGTCCGGCGTTCTGCTCAGCCCTGATCAAACAGGTTTTCACGTTCTGGAGCCTGGACAACGATTTGGCCCACACATGTCACACACAGCCCTTGTCGAGGACGTTGCCTACAAGGTCCAGTACGCCGACAGCGATTGGACCGTCGAGAAAGTCATCGAACTGCTTGGTGCGGCCAAGATTGAACGCACTGGCCGAAAGTACTATGGTCATAGGGAGCTGGTAGGTATCCAAGAATGGATTCCTGATGCCAATCGACAATACTTTCAGGAGGGGTCAGTGATCATGTTGAATGACCCGAAAGCCAAGCAGACATTGAGGGAAGTTGGTTGGGGGCCGGATAGGGGCAGGGCTGGTCAGAGGCCGCCCGTGTGGGTGATGCTGTATCCGTAAGTCGTGTTCGCATTCTCTACTTACTGTATCAATGGCTGACATGTGCACTAGTGTCAAAGAACCTGGCGATTAGTGGCTGGGAGTTGAGGAAACCGCGGTAGGAAGTTGCGCATCGAGGACTTTACCATGATGGTCTGCTGCCAGTGAATTAGCGCGGGACAGATCGTTGTGGGAACAATTCCGCTGGAAGTATGCATATCTACGCAGGCAATGCGCCGGTCCGCGAGGCTTTCGACAGAGCCACCAGAGCGGAAATCAGCGCTCGGGAAGCCAGACCAGACCAGACCAACAACAAATTCGCTTCGACTTGTCGCATTCGCGCATGAAGTCGATCCCTGACCAATGAAATTAGGTGTTGAGCATCGCTATCAACCTTTTCCTTTGGACCCTCGATCCTGCACTTGCGCTGACCCAGAGCCTACCTGCGCTATTCGTTATAAGTGGTGGACATTCGCTATCTTGGAGAATTGTGTCGCGAGTTTCGCGCGGTAGCCCGCGTGGCACAAATCGTAATTTGACCTTCCCTGTGGCCCAAGGCGGGGTTCCTGAACGGCAGTCTCGCTGAGACTCTTTGATATTTCTGTGACTTCCGTTTCAATCGTTCCATCCTGCTGGGCCTAGTTTCTCGAGTGATTTGGATCTCTTTATATCATGGCGACGCAACAGATTGACACGCAGCAGGACTATGTTGTTCCAACAAAGCAACAGGCAGTTGCCCACCCGCTCTGCCCACTGAGTGGCGAGGAAATCAGCCAGGCCTCGGCAATCATCAGAAGCAGCTGGCCTGCACACACTGACCTGCGCTTCAAGACGATAACGCTGAACGAGCCTGCGAAGAAGGAGTTTGTGCCGTACCTCGACGCCGAGCATGCTGGACAACCGCTGCCTAAGCTGGACCGCAAGGTCTTTGTTGCGTACTACATACGGAACACTGTATGTATCGCCCTCATAGTCGTTTGGAATCGCTGTTCGTCTGACATGCACAACAGGATCGCTTCCATGAGGCTGTCGTCAATCTGTCCAACGGCAAGATCGAATTCAATGCCAGGCTTGGTGCAAACGTGCACGGAAATGCAGGTACGGACATGAGACCACCATGGGACTCAGCACGACCTAATGCTCTGCAGACTACGATGAGATCCTCCAGGTTGAGGAGAAGACACTCAACAATGAGCAGGTCAAGGCAGCGATTGCCAAATTGCAGCTTCCTAAAGATGCCGTCGTGACTTGCGATCCTTGGATCTACGGTATGCCTGAACGAGGATCTCCGCGTGGTAAGATCAGACTGCTGACTTCGTTCAGGTTCCGACGGAAACAAGGACGACGACCGCCTATTCCAGGTCTTCATCTACATGCGAGATCCGCAGAACCCAAATGAGCTGGACTCCAACCACTATGCATTCCCTTTGCCCATCACAGCAGTCTTCGACGCGGCCTCGCTCGAGATCCTGAGTGTCGACTGGCTACCTACCGGAGCAGATGCTGAAGTCAGGCAACCTCCGACTTACACCCCCGTCCCGGCCAATGAGTACATTGGCGAGTACCAGACGCCACGGACTGATCTCAAGCCTCTGAGCGTGATTCAGCCTGAGGGTGCTTCTTTCACCTTGACTCCTGTCGGCACTACTGGCCACACGCTCGAATGGCAGAAGTGGCACATGCGCATCGGCTTCAATCAGCGAGAGGGCCCCATCCTTTACGACGTCCGCTATGACGGCCGACCGCTGTTCTACCGCGTGTCCCTTTCCGACATGAACATTCCATACGCCGACCCTCGCGCACCATTCCACAAGAAGTCCGCCTTCGATCTGGGCGATGCCGGCGCCGGAGCCATGGCCAACAACCTGCAACTCGGGTGTGACTGCCTGGGTCACATTGCCTACCTTGACGGGACGGTCTCCGACGACAAAGGCTCCCCCGTCCTCCTCGAAAACGCCATCTGCATCCACGAGCAGGACGGCGGAATCGGCTGGAAGCACACCAACTACCGTACCGGCCGCGCCGCCGTGACCCGCTCGCGCGAGCTCGTCATCCAGACCATTATCACCGTCTCCAACTACGAATACATCCTCGCCTACCAATTCAACACAGCCGCCGAATTCCACTACGAGGTCCGCGCCACTGGTATCCTGTCAACGCAACCCATCGACCATTCCCTCGACAAAGTCGGTGTCCCCTTCGGCACCGTTGTGCACCCCGGTGTCCTCGCCGCCCACCATCAGCACATCTTCTCCCTGCGCATCGATCCCATGCTCGATGGCAGTCACGCCAACCGCCTGGTCTACAGCGAAGCCCATCCCATGCCGCTCGACCCCAAGCTCAACGCCTCCGGCCACGGCTACACTGTCACCGAAACCCAAGTGACAGAATCTTCCGGCCTCGACCTCGCGCCCCAACATAACCGCATCTTCAAGATTCAAAACACGCAATCCCGCAATCCAATCAACAATCAACCCGCCGCCTACAAAATCATGGCCCCACCCTTCCAGCCTATCCTCTCGCATCCCTCCTCCTACAACTTCAAACGCGCCGAGTTCGCCGATCACGCAATCTACGTCACTACCCAACGCCGACCGCGAGCTCTACGCCGGCGGCTGGTACACGAATCAGTCGCGTGGCGGCACGGGCGTGCGCGCTTGGGCCGACCGGAAAGACAACGTCCTCGACCAGGATATTGTGGTGTGGGTGCAATTCGGAATCAACCATGTCCCACGCATCGAGGATTTCCCTGTGATGCCGTGCGAGGTGCTGAAGGTGATGCTGAAGCCGGTGAACTTCTTTGAGCGGAACCCGGCGGGCGATGTGCCGATGAGTGAGCAGAGGATCAACAACAGTACCTTGGTGGGTGGAAATCATCAGCAGGGTGCGGGTGTTACGACAACGGTGGGAGACTGCTGTGCCAGTGATGAGGAAAAGCCCACTTCGAAACTGTAAGGCGCTTTCGCCCATAGGGTGGCATCGCAGGATAGCCAGAAGAGATTTGGTCCAAAGCAGTGAACAATGGTGAACTCGGCAGCTCTCAGTTAGTTGCTAAGTTTTGCGATACGCATACAGCCATGTCAGTCACAACCATTGTATAGAGGTGTCATCGAGATTCTTTCGGGCTCTGTTCTTTTGTCAATACTTGTCGAGCTCGAGGGCTTGCTGAATAAGTATATCTATGTTGTGAAATCAGTAAAATCCCAAGCAAATGCAAGCCTACCCGGTTTTGCTGTTTGCCGTTTGCCGTTCCCTCGTTATCTCGCTACTGCTCGTTCGAGGGCGAGGGTAGTTCCTGCCTTCAGCAATGCAAGACCTTGATTGAGGTCGACTGCTCCTTCCCAGATCACAGATTCCCACTCATGCTCAATACCTACCCCAGAGCAACACTTCTGCCAAGACCTGTACTCAGAATTCGATTCTTCATTCCACCCGTCACAGACCTGTCCTGCACTGGCCCCTGAAGCAGGATGAATTCCTCGACAGTCTCTATCCAGCCATACCAGTTCTAGGATCATACCTATAATATTGCAGGATCTCAATTTAGGTGTTCGGAAGAGCTGATTCTGAGCATCTGCTCGCGCCACGGGGTCTTTGTCTCCCGGAGCATGAGAACTCGCGAGCAGAACATCGCTCGGATTCCTTGTCGAGCCCCAGGGATTTCATGATGGGGCAGGGTGAAGGTGAAAAGTCGATATCTCCGTCACCTGGGCAGCTCATGGCACTAGTACTGGTACTGATGGCTAGGTATGTGACGTCACCTCACATGAGGATCCAGCACGGGAAAGAATGTACTTTTGAGAGGCTGCTCTCTCGCCGATACAGGCACTCGTTCCCTACAGCGGCTTAATATCAAGCAACGTAGATCAGGATGAGAGCGAGGTGACCGTTCGGGAGTCGACATTAGGCAAAGTTTGTGGCTTCGAGACTCAAACAGACACGGAAGGAACAGGACACAAGTCGGCGGAAAACGGGATTGAAAGCCGGGAGCTCCTGGTGGCAAGAGCAATCAGAACTGCAACCTTAAGAATGAGCTGCGTGTCGGAGGTGGCAATAAAGCAAAGAAGCGAAGACACGGCGTTCACTCGGAAGCGCGCTTAATCGGGCTTTGTTGCTGTGATGCCTTGTTGCGAACATCAACCATACCTTGCATTTCATACTTCTACAGCAGTGACTATATGCAGTGTGTGCAGGACCGAACTCGAGAGATCTGACAATCGAGTTGCTCGTGCTCGAGGCCGTCAACAGCCAGTCTTTTTTGTTGGCATTCCGGTAGCCGAGTCTCCCTCTGGCACAGTACTTGGAACCCTCAAGCACGTCCGAAGTCTTGCTTGTAGGAGCCAATTTTGTTCAGGTCTGAACGCTTCCGTGCCCTTTCCGACCCGGACCCAGGCTGTGCTCGGTCAGATTGCCCTGTAAGTATAATCCGGGGTAATTGAGGGCATTCAGTGGCTAGAGTGCGTGCCGTGTGTTCAGCTGAAGTGCTGTTGATTAGTTGTCTTCGCGCCGCGAGCAGGTCTGCTGCGGGTCGCATAGAAATCATGCATTGAAGCTTTAGGTGTAAGTCTCATTGGTACACGTACTGACCGGTGAAGGACTTTATGTCTGTATAGCATGGATGTCCCCTTGAGAACGAGCTTTGCGGAAGACCCAAAGGACAGTCGTGGGGTCCGGTCATTCGCTCGCTAAAATGGTCCAGGATAGGACCTGCCCTCCTTCGTAATATCCGGCTGAAAGACGTCCATGAGCGCAATATCCGCCGGCACATGGGAATGAACAAGCGCAAGCTCTGATTCGCGGCCCGGTAGCGCCCGAGACCATGCGGCTCTGCGATCGCTGTTCGCGCAAGCCCCTCGTAGAATGCGAATCGCTCACTTCAGCTACATGAGGTGGTCCTTCGGAATGCGCCTTGCATCCGTGCTGCAAGTGCGCCTCTTCTCTGAGAGGAACTTCTGGACAAATCTGCCTTGCGCAGCCAACCACTCTACCCTGAACACGCGACAGCGCAGAACATCGCGCACAGTACTTCTGCACGAGACCTGAGACCTACACGAATCGGTTAGTGTCCACCCAATAGGTGGCGACTCCACCAGGAAATGCCGGAACGAAATACAAGCGACCGCGGGCATACAGATCGCCGGGCCAACGACAAGTGTACAGTGCCCTCACGTCCCCTGCTTTCGGATCGGTGCTGATACACTCCAGCTGGCGCTGGCACAGGAGATCGTGGAGGCGATGGACAGTACAGCAAAAGCAACAGTGGCAAGTCCGAGGGGAAACGAAAGTCCACGAGTCCTCGCAGAGATGGACCGCCAGGCAGCGGCGGACAACACGGATTCCAGAAGGAAAGCGTGTCGAAGAAATACAAATGAGGTCGGCAGAAGTCCTCGAACCGTTCTGCGCAGTGCTTGTGAATGGTGATGCGATCGTCATCGGTGTTGTACGAGTCTCTTAAGTGGGTTGCAGTTCCTTGATGGCGTCGGCGTACCAGGTCCAGATATCGCTCGCTTCGTGCTGCTTGCGCTGTACTCTCAGATAGCGCTTGAGCAATTGAAATGCATTCGTAAATTGCGGATTGCCTGTTCCGAGATGAACACCACGCCAGAGGAGCGCCTCTTTCACAAGTTCTTCGCCTATTGCCCAAGTCTCAGGTGTTTGTCGTTGTCTTTTACCTTCCTCGGCAATGTGAAGAAGAAACAAACCAACTCGGTAGCGCACCTCCCAGTACAGTGGATGCTCCTTGCTGTAAGCTTTCTCTGTGCGCACTAAAACAACCTCCTCCATTAAGAGAACAGCAGTCTCCAGCTCTCCAAATGCAGCATGAGCCCTTGCTAAGGTCGCTGTCCAGGTGATTGTATCGAGCGCATAGGGCCCGAAGCATTCTTCGCACTTAGACTTCTCGCTGTTCAGCATTTCCAGGGCTCTTTCATGCTGCCCAGCCTCGAGAAGGGTCCAGGCAAGGTTATACCGAGCCGCGAGTGCGAATGGCGAATACTTGTTACCAGCCGCAAGTCGAGCCATGTCACAAGCTTCAGATAGCTTGGCAACATTGTCTCTGGCCTTCGCCTGGTCCCAAGACGTAGTGTCAAAGAGAAATCCTAGAGTCTTCTGTAGGGCGGTCCACTGTGGCTTGCTTGAGCCGATGAGGCGCAGCTCGAGATGTTGAAAGACGGTGGCTTTCAATGGTCGATGGCCGTAGACTTCGAGCAGGAACGACACCCTGTTCAGTGTCGAGATGCTTTTCGTGAAAGACCCGGGGGGAGGTCCATCCATGAGTGTCTGAAAGGCAACAACGCCACAGTCCAGAGCATGTTCAGCATCCTTGACGGCACCTTGGCCATAGTGAACGCAGGCCTCAAAGCACGATCTTATAAAAGTCTCTGCAGATGAGCTCTCAAGACCCCCATGTCGGCCAAGGACCTGATGCAAAGCATGTGCCAAGGTTATACTCGCGGACAGTGCGATGGGTGTCGCCGACACGAGTCCGTGCAACACAGAGAGCGGACTTCGCGTTGAGCTTTCGGCTGCGGCAGGTCCAGGGCTGTCCATGTCGCCGTACAACTGATCGAAAGCGCCACCACGTAAATTTAACACAGCCGTGAAGCCCTGACTGTCTTGATCTTCTTGTTCAGCAAGCACAGGCGTCGCGAGCGCTTGCGTCGAAGCTTCAGTGTGTAGATTCCTGATACTATTGGACTCATCATATCGTCCGCTCCAGCCGCTAGCGTCATCCGCGGATCCTTTGATCTGCATAGAGGAGTAAGTAAAATCTGTCGGCTCGAAGGTGGTGTTGAAGTCTGACGATGCGAATGGGCCCAAAGATATGTGTGATGCGACCGAACTTGCAAGGTATGTGGCCTGGGATACTGCTGGCGGTCTCGATGGCTGAGCATTCCCCGATAGGTTTTCTGAGAAGAAGCCACCAGGCCCACCGCGCTGATCCGGCGCGAAAATATTGGTACTCGGGGGCTGAGAATGTGGCAAATCCTGCCAATCCACGCTTTTAGGCCAATCAGCGCGGTTCGGCGGAAGGCTTTGGCGCAATTCGGCAGGTGTTGATATACCTGTGGTCTTACAGATGTACCTCTGGACGTCTTTGCGAGTTTTGGGCTTGCCGTTGTAAAAGACTTGGCGTTCGATCTGGCGCTGTTCAGCCTCATCCAGCAAGCACTGGATGACGGCCACCGCTGGTCGGCTGAGGTTTCGTCTAATGCTTTCTCTGCTCAATCGGTCTTTCCACTGCTTCGTACTATCTCTTGTCAGCCTTGGTAGACGCTGGAGAACGTGATCACTGACGTTGCGTGGAACCCGTATGTTTCCCGGAAATAGGTCTGTAGCTCCTTCAGCGGCGTGTTCTCTGTTAAGTACAGCCTGATAATCTCGGCATCGTAAGCGGCCCACACCGAATCGGGTATCTTTCGCAGGTGGTGCCCTCCTTCCCGCCGTTGGCCGGGGCCTGCTGCTTGCATTGGTAAGTTTACCTGCATATCCATGCTGGTGTTTGGAATTTGACGTAACATAACGAAATTAAGGACCGTGCATGACCCTAAGAGGTTGTGTCACGTGTGCCATGGCTTGGGCGTGTCATACGCTACAAGAGGTCGATGCTCGAGTAGCACAAAAGGGAATTGAAGACATCTTATATTGGTGTCTCTCAGATAGCCACCTCGATGTTTGTCCATCGTGAGGATTTTGGTAACAGTACATTGATGTCTGTGATTGTGGATGGTATGCTCCTAGATCGTGAAGCATCAGGAGTTTTGGCACTTTGGTATCAGGTGATTCGTAGCTTCACCATGGATGCATTCTGTGGACAGACTTTGAAGTTGCAGCCTAGGGCAGAAGTTCCGACTAGTCACTAGTCAGTCAGAAGATCTGAACCTGCCTCATGATTCGCCGCGGGTGCGGGAAAGCACGCTGAGGCTTGCTCGCAACTTCCCGTCAGGCGAAGCTTGGGCACCATCGCGCACTGGCTGGTCGGGCGTCGATAGCTGAGCAGTTGGCATGTTTTGCTGAGGGAATTTTCGAAAGATCATGGATGTTGGGGGTGAATTTGGATATCGAGTCGCCCCAAATGACAGGTCAAATGACCAACGCTTTCGGATTAGCCTAGAATGCTGACCCTCGATTTCCAGCAGCGCTTGTGCCTTTCGTTACCCTCGTCAACCCCACTTTCGGTGTTCAAACGAATGCTTTAGAACCTGCTCATGCTGCCCAAGCTTTGATGGCATTATTCGGAAGCCACGATCGGGTGATCTTACTTCAGAAACACACCGCCGCTGCTGTGAACTACAGTCCCAGTCGCGTGCTTGTCCTTGAGCAAGTAGAGATATGCCTCGGCCACATCTTCGAATGTGCCAACCCTTCCCAGACAATTAGCAGCTCTCACGCCCTTGAAGAAGTCCTCCTTGCCATCTCCCATGCCGTCCCACATATCAGTCTCTACCACACCCGGAGCCACACAATTCACCCTGATCGGAGCCAGGTCAAAAGCTAGCTGCCTCGTCAACCCTGTGAGGCCCGCACCAATGAATGCCAGCAGCGACCAGCCACCTGCAATCGGCTTCTCAGCGATCGACCCTGATGTGATCGTGATCGACGAATTTGGCGAGTGCTCAAGGAGAGCGACTCCGTGTTTGGCAACCAGGAGTGGCCCAATTGCACGAACTTGGCTCTGTTTGGCAAACGCCTCTGGTGTGAAGTCCGAAATTGGCATTGTGGGAAGACGATCGCCGGCAAGATAGATGATGTGGTCTGGTCTTCCGGTTTGCTTGAACAGGTTGATGATGTTTTGCTCAATGTCCTCCTCGCCGAGATCACAGACGTATCCGTCGATCTTATCCCGTGAAGCCGGATACTGATCCTTGAGTAGCTTCAAAACCGAGTCGAGCTTTTGTTGTCGCGACGACGTCAGGAAAACTCGTGCTCCCGCCTGGATGAGAGCGTGCGCGACTGCAATGCCGACTCCTGCCGATGAATGTGAGGATAATGCCTTTTCGGAGTTGGAATTCGACTGAACTAACCTCCCGTGCCTCCAATTAGGAGGACAGTTTGATCAGCAAGCTTGCTGTTGAAGTCTGGCACGCCTAGATTCTGCGACATTGCATCTAACAGTCGACTGATGATGGGGAAGCCGGACTCTGCTTGGGTTTTCTTTCCGTTATCGACGTCGCCCGGTGCTTGGTGCTCAAGACCTTGTACTCCTGCCGCTTCTTATTTTCTTGCTCCAGCAAGAAGTCGCAGTACACGTCGATGCTCTTTTTGCGACGGTTGTCCTCTCCTGCTGCAGTCGCAGTCGCTCTTGGCTCTTTCTTTGCTCCATTTTGTATGTCAACAGCGCCTTCCTTACATCCACTAAAGCCGGAGCAGCAGCGACGAGATCAATGTTTACTGAACCTCAAGATACGTTCTTGCCCGAACACCTCACTTATCTCCATCACAACATGTTCAAAATGCACGGGAAGTCGTCGTCTTCAAATACTCCCAATACGAGAGAGAGTAAAAGCGCATTGCCCCATTCCGGCTAAGCGTTGAAGCCACTATTGAACCTCTTACAAGCACACTTGATTGCCTAAAACTGACTGCAGCGTCATCCCAGTCCTTCCTTCAAACGGTATATTTGGACTTGTTGGCGATTCGTGGAGACTACTGCGAGAACTACCTAGGCATCTTGTTCTCGTACGGAGGCATAGATACTGCATCTTGTATTGCGTACGATAGACAAAAGCGCGCAAAACGATTTGTTGCCTAGGTAGGTATGCACAGATTGCCTTACATGAGGACTATGCCATGTGGTCTGCCTCGGCCCCATCTGAATATAGCAATCGGTTGGGGCCGCGAGCATGCAATGTCGTTCGCCTTCAGCACTTAACGCGGGAACGACTGCGACAGTAATCCGCAAGTATAGGCGAATTCTTGACCGTCGCGAGAACAAGCGACGTTTATGCTTACGAGAAGCTGTCGCGATGCCGTCCTCAGAAAGCCGAGGATCAAGTTAATGACGAACCAACGCCGTGTTTCTTTGCCATCTGATCGGAATTCGAGACCGACCCGGAACCCATGCTCATCGCACCTTCCCTATCCTGTACGGGCACCTTCCAGGGACGGTGTCGGGCGATAAATCTACCACTACTGCCGTACTTACGGCTTTGGCGGGGACGGAAATAGCGGCGTTGAGTGCCCTGTTGTGGGGTCCAGACGGCTCAACATGTCGACCGACGGGTGCCATCGCAACGACCTCACGCTGGGCGTACATACGCCCTTCATGCTGAGCGCATTGTCAAGTAGTCGCGTCCACTTCGCCGAACTGTACTCCAGAAGCGACAAGTCAGCGGAAAGGACTTGAGAAAGGATGCATGGCCACCCCTGCCTATCTGCAAGCGCCGTCTTCCTAGGCTTCTGTGACCTGCAAGGCAGTCCATGATTCTTACTACTCAATCCAGCAACTCCCTACATCTCAACGAAGTTCCCTTGAGCAACTGATGCTATATCCACAACATACGTCTGCTTTAAACCTACAAATGGTAGCATTGCTGCCAGGTCATCCTCGCAAAGCAGTCGCACATTTATTGGAGATCTAGGCGGGCTAGGCTACCTACGATAGGATCAAACCACCTTATTTGATTACAACTCAAGGTGAGTGAGGTACGTGGCCGACATGCTAGGCACCTGGTGGCGTTAGTCCCGCTTCCGACCGAAGCAATGACATGCGCGGCGAACCCTTTCGGAGGAACTGTAGTTACGGGAGGATCCGATATCAGCGGCTCGCCATAACTCACTCAGCGGTGTACTGTACACACGTGGATCAGAGCGCTCACACAGACAGAGTGATCAATTCAATGGACCGATCGCTGCGCATGCGAAATTTGATGGTCATGTCATATCAGTCGTGTGATCGACTGCTCCGAAGATCGAGCTGAGCCACACTGCCCATCAGAGCCTCGCGCGAAGGAGCACTCTGTCCATCGCCATTGCTTGGGCCGGACGCATACTACCACTGGTAGTAGCTACAGGATCACGCCGCCTCTTGCTCCTCCGCGAAGAGACCTTCCAGTCCAACCTCTTCGTCCAGCTCCATTACACCTTTCCGCTCTTCCATTTTCTCCTTCTTTCCCCGCCGCTTGGCCTTGATCGCCTCCTCCGCCTGGCACATCTCACAACAGCGCTCCAGCTCCAGCTTCCGCCACGCACTCACAAGGCCGCCAAGGCATCTCCGTCGTCTGCAACTAGGCGTCCAGCACATCGCACACCGGACTTCTAACCTGTCGCGCGGTTTCTTGTTGGTGGCGTTGAGTGCGGGATCGTTAGCGCGGTGGTGGACGATGTTGTAGAATGGGTGTGTGGGGTCCGTGATCTCGTCTGTTGGTCGCCAATCGCGCCTGGGTGGGTTCTGGCTGTTCTCGATGAGTTCGCCTTGGGAAGGAGGGTGACGCTGCCGCTCGTATGACAGCCTTTGGGATGTCTTGAGCGGTGACTAGGAATATCGACGCCGTCGATCTCGTCGCTGTCAGCCGCATCTTCGCCTCCTGCCTCAACGATTGAATGTCCGGCTCCGGAGCTTCCTTGCAGTCGCTGTGCTGCTCTCCGCTGATAGCTCTCCTCGAGGTGATCAACCAGGCTCTCGACTCTTTCGGCCCAGGATCCCTTCCATCTCACATCGATCCCCATCCAAACGGCATACCGTCGCACGTTCCACCACTTCCCACCAGACTCTGCACGTCTCGCGAAACGTTGTTTCCTCCGCTTATCCCTTCTGCCTGTCCACGACTCATGCTTCTGGAGCACCCATTTGACCCAACCTTCCAGCTCCTCCGTGTCTTCGAATCCCATCATGGACCACTCTTCCCGTCGTCGAGTCAGTTGTTCTTTCTCGAAACACATTGCGCAGCCCCAGTACAACTCGAACTGGCCGGTGCCGCATTCGACGCAGATGCCAACCTCTTCGCCCTTTGCCACTTTGGGCAACGATTTGCCACGAACCAGACGGCTGACATGGCGTTCCACAGCGCCCGCCCGACGCACCATTTCGCTCCGCCGTAGCCAATGCTCGCGCCACCAAGTCCCGGCGATGAACATGTGCTGGCGCATACAGTCCTTGCACCTCCTTTGCCGTGCCAATCGCCCACCTAGACCTGTGCCCTTGCAGCTCATGCGCTCCACGAACATCCGCAGTGGCTTGACCTCTAGGCAGCCATAGCAACGCAACTCACTGACAGGTCGTTCAAGGAGCTGCCACTCAAAGGCTATAGAGAAGAGGTCCCACAGGGTGTCGCGGCCGTAGCGTGGGTGAATCCGACGATACTCGGCTCGCTGAACAGCTTCGTCGGCAAGACAGTTGAGGATAAAGCGGGTGCGGATGGTGGTGACGTGATCGACCGTGAGGACGTTATGTAATTTGTGGCAGGTCGAGCGGAGAGCGAGGAGGGTATTGTACGTCAGATGGTCGGAAAGATGGTAGATGAGGTCATCAGGTAGATTTAGGAATCGGGACTGCGGTTGTGTCATAGCTGTGGCAGAAGTCGGTGCTGTCTCAGTCTGGGTGATTGGCTTGTTGCCGACCGTCGTTGATACATCTGCTTGCTTGTTTAAGTTCGGCACCAGGTCCGAGGATGGAGATCTTAGTTTCTCGCACGTGGCTTCGTTTCTGCTCATGAGGTTCACGTGGCTGCCATTCAGTAAAGATGCTGATGTAGTCGCAAAATGGTCCTCTTCGAGCAATGTCACGCCTGTGTCCTTTGCCGGGGCTTGTCCATCACCAGATCCCTTCCGCAGCTTCAGAAGCCGCATTTTGTCCGTCGCATCCACAAACAGTTGGCGCTTTCGCGTGCACGGGACAAAGCTAGGAGCCTCCAGATGGTCGTCGTCTTCGTCGTCTGTTTCAATGTATTCGAATACGTCCCAACCGTCGAAGTGTTCCGCACGAGTGACGAGGACCATTTAAATCCCGTAGCTCGGAGGGATGGTCTTGGCAATTTCGGTAATTGGATGTTCAAGTGATGTTTGACAGTGAAAGTCCTTAGATCTGAAAGGCGCTGGTGAGCAGCGTCGGTCTGACGACTCGTCGTTCAAGCAGTGCTTGCTTGGTAGTTCGCACCCTTGATGACTTGGGAGGACTTGGGTAGACTGGCTGGTTGAAGCGAAGCGAGTGGGTTGATTTCTCAGTTACACAATCTGACGAATCGTGGAGCGCCCTGATCTATTGCGAGGGGATGAAACGGTCACTTAGGTCTTGAGCAAATGTGTACTGATATACGCCAGAGACATCTCGGATAAATGCGACAAGTACAACTGAAATGTGTCAATGAAGGTCATGTGTCAGCTGAGGTAGAGGAGGTCAAGGTTGAATCGAGTTGACTTTCACGGTAAGGCAGCCGCGGGGTCTGGCGCGGCGAACAGGGGTCTTGCCAGCGACAGCCAATCAATCACGGCAAGTGCGCCCGACTTGAAGCTACAGGTACAAAAGGTCCTGCAGGTGCTTTGGCCACCGAGTGGCACAGCCAAACCGGTCGCGGTTTCTGTCCTGGTCCGCACTACAGCCACGTTCGCGACTCGTTGGATGGTGAAAGTGGCGCCGACAGCAGCTACGGAGACGCACGGGATGATGAGACGAGGTCTTGCTGCATGCATACATGGATGACCATGAAAATTCATGCACTTCTTGGGACCTATGGCAAGAGACTCTCGTGCTTAGCCTTGAGCCCTTGACGTGCTATCCGTGCGTTTTGAAGTAATGGGTATCAATACCAAGCCGTCCCTATCCTCTCTTTCGCTCGGCTTCTTCGAAAGCGTCGCAGCGGGAGCTGGCGGGCAGCATATGGACTCGTCAAATACGTTGCTCTTGCTTTCCAACAAATCATCCCGTTCGCTGTCATTGCGTTTACAGTGCACCATTGCGCCAAAGACAGCAACAGCAATAGCTCCAAAAGTCGTCAACCCAATCCTCGTCGAAACATGAACCACAGTCGATCCAGCATTACCCGAACTCTGCGCCGCAGCCTGGACGCCAAACGTCGTGCCAGTCACAACCTGACCATTGATCGTAGTCGTGACAGTGGCAGGCACAGGCGCATCAGTCGTAGAGCTGCAGCCCGACCAGGTACCAGTCCAGCTGCTGAATGGTCCCCAGCCAGCTGTCCACGTAGTCCATGCGTCGCAGTTGATACCAGAAGCTTTAGTTCCCCAAGGACCGCCGAATGGGCCACCGCCGCCTCGTCCACCAGGTCCACCGGGACCACCCCAGCCGTGGTTGCCCCAAGGACCTTGCCCTGACGACCATCCTGACGGCGGTCCACCTAGTCCATTCGAACAAGAGCTGACCCACTCGTTCCAGTCCCCACCAAACCGGCCACCAGGACCTCCCGATGGACCAGCGGTGATTAACGAGCCACCTGATGTGGCAGAGAAGGTAGCCTGTTCGGAATTGGTGACGGTCACGCCGTTGTTGACGCACAGCTGAGCAACAGCGCCGTAAATGGCTTCCTGGTCGGTCTCATTCGTGCATGACGTTGACACGCAGGTGTTGAGTTGTGAGATGAGGGTCTGATTGTTGCAGAGACACGCCCAGCCAGTGGATTGGTCGCAGGCGCCGAGGTCGACGCTGGACATGCAGTCGTTCCACTGGAATGAAGTTAGTAAGCTTGACCGGAAGCAAGAAAGAGAAAGCGAAGGCAAATGGGAGGCCTTTGACGGGCACCGCTATTTCGGGTGATGTGGAGGACTCTGAATCAATGCTAGGCTCGCGGACAGGACTTACAGCGCATTCTGGAATCCATGCCAGCGAGCTGCCGGCAAAGAGGGCAGCGGCAACGAAATATGACTTCATGTTGGTATTGGCACCCTTTCGTGTACTAGGATTGATGTCGCAAGTTAATTGTATAGTTTGACAGCTTGAAAAGGAATGGAGAGAGAGCGGCAATCGCTTCACGGGATGTGTCACAGATAGATATACGCAGGGACATTGAACATGTATCACAAGTTGAATTGCAGCCCCATTCGTGCGGTTGCTGCGCCCACGCTCCGGCCTGCTGGCTGCAGAGACCCGACAACCCCGATATTGGATCGTCGCACTTATCAAGCGGTAAGGCTGAGCTGTGCTGTGAAGTCATTCTTTCCCTGTCCTTCGGCCTAGAACAGCATGGTATCAACAGCGAGAGTTGCGCGTCGACTCCATCTCTGCTGAAAGAGCCAACCAGAACAGTAGCGGAGAACTTGGCACGGAGTTGCGGGCCCCGCGCAATTCTAAATCGGGCTGCAAAGCTTCCCCTCGTAGCCGTGATCAGCCTAGGTCCTGAGCAGTGCTGGCGTTCGTTTCATCTTTTATTGAACCTCAAGCCGCCCCTCACTTCGATAAAGTCTTCAGAATCATCGTGAAAGTGTTCGCGATGTGCTTTGTTGCACACGCGTTTGCACCTTGGCCCGTCTGCAGTGTGCTGCGAGCGGTCGTATAGGCTAAGACCGTGCAAGTGACACGCAATGAATCTGCAGTGACTGACGTGGACAATTTCCCCAAAGGCCTCCCGGGGAGCTGATCCCCCTCGAACGTCGGTGCTTGGCATCGCCGACTGCCGTGGCTTGGACTGCTTGGTCGTGCTTCACTGCTTCGTGTATTTTGGGGGCGCGCATTTTGCTTTCCTGTCCCAGAATTCCTCTTGTCAGGCATCCCGCTGCGTCCTTTGCGCACATGATTGTCGTGCCGTAAAGTCTTGTTCACGCTCGTGGGGCGGACATCAGACTGCGCTGCCCTCAAACAGCTGCGGCTTCATGTTGATTCTACACAATTTCGCCAAGCAGCCGCTTAACTGCAGGAATGTCTGAACGCCCTCCAGGATTCGCATATGCGTGAAGCCAATTTCTTTGATGAACTCAAGCTTGGAATGCTCGCTGAGCGTCGGTATCGTCTTGGTCACTCGGAACATTGTGCTTATGATATCGTGTGACGAATAGCCGAGATCCCTGCTCATTGAGGTCCTGGTCAGTGACGCGGCTTCTTCTTGCGAGGTACTCTTTGGGACTTACCACAGCTCTCGCAGGATGTCGAGGGCGCTATCGATCTTGCCTTCCCAGCAGGCCTTGATCATAGCTTGGATCTTGATAGGATGCGGACTGTCCACGACGCGGAAGACGTTGTCTCCATTGACAAATCCAAAACCTGCCCATGTGCTCTGCAGGTTGTTGATGGCTTGTCGCATGTCGCCCTCGGCGCTGAAGACGAGAGCCGCGAGTCCATCTTCTGAGTGTTCCACCTTCTCTGCTTCGATGATTTGCATCAGACGCTGTACGACTTGCGCGTCTGTCAGTCTTGCATATCGGAGGATGGCGCATCTTGATTGCAAAGGCTCAATGATCTTGTTGGACTGGTTGCAAGCAAAGGCGAACCGTGTGGTGTTCGCGTAGATCTCCATGGTGCGTCGCAGTGCTTGCTGAGCGCCAGCAGTCATGCTTCGTCCGTGTCAGTCTAGACCTGTATTTTGGGTGAGGTCATACCTGTCCGCCTCATCGAGAATGACCAATTTGTGCCTGCCAGCCGGCAGTGTCACTTTCTTCTGCGCAAACCCCTTGATTCTGTTGCGGACGACGTCGATGCCTCTTTCATCGCTAGCATTCAGCTCTAGCACGGCTTCCTTGTATGCATCACCTAGCAGTGTCCGAGCGAGACACAGTATAGACGTAGTCTTGCCGATACCAGGCATACCACTGATGATGACGTGGGGCATGTTTCCATCTTTTGCAATGATCTTCAGTCGCTCGATCGTTTCGGAATTGCCTACAACATCATCAAGATAGACTGGCCGGTACTTCTCGACCCACGGCAATTCGTAGTCTACTCCGGCACCATTTGAGCTGGCATTGGCAGTTTTCTTGGGTCCCGTCGACGAGGACGCCTTTGCTTGACCTGACATGGCTCTGCAGGCAGGCGTCGGGTCGATGACGATGCTGAAGTCAGATGCGAGGCATGTACGAGTCCTGGACAGCGTGAGTCAGTCATACATCTTTTTCAGACGCGTTTGTGAACCGCGTCGTCAATTAATCCATTTCTGGAACTGCTGCCGGAGTTACATTGCTAAACCCGCTGGGAGGGCAGAGTCGGACCGGATGACTGAATGGTCCCTGTCATCCGGCTTCAAATAAGTCCAACCAACATCAGCACAATACTAAATACTCATCAACACCTTCCTGCAGTCGGAGTCAAGGAGCGCAACCTTAACACGATACCGCAGAGATAATACATGTGTCAAGACTGATTCGCACGGGCGGTTTCGCGGTAGAGCCCGCCTCGCATGATCGTCGTCTTGTTCACGATCACCGAAAGTCTGGGGATATATATTCAACAGTGGGACTTCAGCAGAGGGGGAATAGGTCGGCGTCTGGTGCATCATTGACGATCGTCACTTCGTCTTCTTTCCATGCGCGTTGAGTGATGTCATTAGTCTAGCGACATCGCGTTGCTGGCATCATACGTGCCAGCCTGCTCCCAAGAAACGCCATTTGTATGATCCTGCCCTTGTGCTTCTCGGCTTTTCCGCTTCGCCTTTGTCTCCTTCTTCATCTGCCGGTGACTCTTAGGCACCTCTGCACTGATCTCAACCTTTCCGCTCCACTTCCTTGCCTCCTTCTGCTCATCTTCTTCGGTCCATTCCTTCGGCAACACCGCAAAGACCAGATATGAAGTATGCGTCTTCAGGTCCGGCTCCGAGCGATGTATCACCTGACCTTCCTTAAACATCGTGCTGTGTGCTTCGGTCTGGGCATTCTCTATCCTCTTCACTTTTGCTGATGGAGGTAGACTGGTGCTTCCAGCATGGAAATCCTTGGCTCGCCGGTCGATGGCTTTGAGATGGTCGAGGGCGGCTGAGACGTCCTCTGGGTATGGATTGACGCCACGCATGCCTGAGTATGATAGTGATGTGTATGATCGAAGGACGTTGAGACGCTTGTGGTTGACCTCGACCATCTGAATGTCGAGCCAGGAGTACTTCCGGAGGTATGAGATGGTCTTCTGTGCTTGTTCGATACAAGGCGAGAAGGTACAGATGTAGACAGGTGAATCTGGATCCAGAGCCGAGGGGCCTTCCTCGGTCGTAACGCGGGTGAGGTGCGGTAAAGCAGACCATGGTGCTGGTAAGTCCAGGAAGATGGCAGACGCTCTCGGAGACTGAGACCGAGCATCGCCTTCTCCGACAGGGAGCAAGAATCCGTCCTTATACGCATCGGCGTGCGTGCATGTAACGAGAGAAGACAAATTGTGTGTCTTCATCTCCTCTGACACTTTCTCATGTCGCTCCTTGTGAAATTCGTAGCTGAATACCCTCCCTAGTCCAGCGCTTTGATCGTGTCCAGAAGGATAGCCATTGAAGACTGCCCGAGCTGCGGCGTGTGTGAAGCTTCCACTTCCACTCCCGGCCTCGATCAGCCTTGTTCCTGGCCTCGCTCTGATACGATGAAGAATGTAGCTGTAGTCGGGCGTGTAGACAACCTGTGTCCTATGTGGTAGAGAGTAGGTCCAGGACTCCGGCGTTGGTGGCAGAACGTGCAAGAAACCTGAATCGGCGGACTCTGCTTCTTTGGTTTCATCATCCTCAGCACCTTCGTCGTTGAGCTCGCTCGCTTTGCGCTTCTTCGAAGTGACTCGCCCGCGCGATCCTGTATCGACCTTGCTAGCTCTTATTTGCGAGCCCCAAGGTGTGCCGATAATTGTTGAGTGTGGAAAGGATCCAAAGCGGGTGTTGGTCACCATACCCTCTGCGTAGCCTGCATCTTGTTCTGTAGAAGGCTTTGATGCAAGCACTACGGGAATTGCAGCATCACGGCGCAAATGTAAGGAAGCAAGATGGCCCTCCTGGGCAGCGAGCCCAGGTGTCAGGAACGACGACGTGGCAGCCATGTCATCAATGTTGCGTTGATACCATCTAGGCCTTCATGACCAGCAAGCATATCTGGGCGGATCTGTGTGGTCAGTATCGCTTCCAACTACGCTGAAAAGGCAGATGGTCTTCACTGCCATCGAACATCGAAAATTTGTGGGTCCCGCATCTGTCGCCCCGGAAATCATTCCCGCATCTATATGTCATGGATCTTAGATCGTATTCGTTCATCCATAGGTAATACTGGGTGAGCAGATAGCCATAGTTATCTCGTGGGAGACAGCGTAAAGGCATGGACCGGAGGACTCTCGCACAATGGGAGTTCAAGGGCCAGCATACACTCTTGCTACAGATATCAGAGTACCTCGTTGTGTTCTACAGTCGAGGAATACACTCCGATTGGCTGAGCGGCTGCATTTATGCAGGAACTTGTCAATGTTCGATGAGATCGCGTTCGTGATGATGTCAAAATTGTCATATTTTGGTCGGGCACTCTCAAACGTCATGCTGCTCGTAAGGCACACGACCTATGCGAGGACCGCAGTCAACCTCTTTTCCTTCTCACACCTCACATTTCCTCCATAGATCTCAGGTCTCACTTCAGAAGCCGACGAGCTTTATTCCAAGGGTTTACACACACCATTCCAAGCATGTCTTCCAAATCGGGACCCAACAGTGGGGGAGATCTGTTTGACATGGCCAAAGACGGCACAACGGTATGTTGAAGGGATATGTGCTCCGACAGACTGGTCTAATGATTCAAATAGGTCCCCGATGATGCCGCCGCGCCCAGACTCATCCCATCGAAACCAAGACCAGACCAGATTGCTGATGGGGATGACCCAAATCAGCTCGGCGGGACTACGTTAGCTGAGGCAGCAACCAATGCTGGAGACATCCCAAGAGTACGTATGCTGTTCCAGTTCGACCGACATAGCTAACTCCAATAGTCAACGAAGGATGTCGACCATGCCACTGTTTTGACTGGTACGGGCGATGCCCTGCCAGCGCAGGTCGATTCTAAGCGGCTGCACCAAGTTCCAGGTGGTGTCACGCATGATGACCAGGCCAAGGGCAGCACGCGGTATGATAAGCACAAAGCAAATACCAGCTTGGAGGACCGAGGGTTGTCGGAGGGATCAGCAGTCGAGCGAAACGTTCCGGGGCTTGAGGACCTCACGCCAGAAGAGGCAGCAGAGAAGGTTGGAAGCAAGCAGTAGTATCGCGATGATAGTCAGCGCTCCTCAAGACCGTGGACATCATTGAACATGACATCGTTCTGCAGCGAGATCACGTCGAAGTAATCGTCGCCAGGCTCCGTCTTCAATCGTCTTACCCTTCGTGAGATTGGAAGGCGTTGCGCGTTGAGCGATTGCGTTGCCGACGTAAACAGCATCAATGGACGTCAGCCTCATGGTAAGAAGGGTCTCATTCGTAGCACACGCGGAATGTTGATGAAACAGGAAAGAGAATCAACGACTGACACCGGATGAGAAGCAGATACCGGGCCGGTCGCGCTGATTTCTTACCCAATTCGAGCTAGCCTTGAGTCGCAGGTGGGGCAAACTTTGAGGGTTGTCCCTGCCGCAACTGGCCGTGGGCAACGGCAGCAGGAAAGAGTGATAACCTGCGGGCAAGTGCGCTCGAGAGGCCGCCCTCTGATGAGCGGAGGCAATCTCTGCGAACCTCTCATAAAGTCCTCCCAGTAGAGCAGACGACATTTCAGTTCCTCCCGCGAAGAGGCACACCTATCTGCGACCCCGCGTCGAATTCTCAGGCACACTTTAACCATGGCTTCCGCCCTCCGAGCAAGCAGAGCACTGCGGCCACTCACTCGCAGCCTCAACCTCAGACCCTCTGCCCGAACGTATGCCAACGTCACCGAGTCCCGTAGTGCTGCTGCAGCAGCCGCTCAAGTACAGTATGACACAACGCCCATCACAACGGCATTCTTCCCCGATGAGCCCAGTGGTCCACAAGTCAACACCGCCATCCCAGGACCGAAGAGCAAGGAAGCAATAGCCAAACTACACGAAGTGTTCGACACTCGAAGTCTGAATATGATGGCCAACTACCAGCAGTCGTACGGCAACTATATCGCTGATCTCGATGGCAACGTTCTGCTCGACGTGTATGCCCAAATTGCGTCCATCCCCGTGGGATACAGCAATCCTGCTCTGCTCCTCGCAGCAACCTCTCCAGATATGGCATCTGCCATCATTAACAGACCTGCGCTTGGCAATTTTCCACAGCATGACTGGGCGTCCATCCTGGAGACGGGCGTCCTTCGCGTGGCACCGAAGGGCTTGAATCAAGTCTTCACCGCAATGGCCGGATCTGATGCGAATGAGACAGCATACAAAGCTGCATTTATGTGGAAGGCGCAGCAGAAGCGAGGTGGACCGGACGTCGACTTCGAGCCAGAGTCGATCTCTTCGTCAATGGACAATAAGGCTCCTGGCGCTCCGAACATGTCGATAATGTCATTCAAGACTGGCTTCCACGGTCGCCTGTTCGGCAGTCTGTCTACCACTCGCAGCAAGCCCATCCACAAAATCGATATCCCAGCCTTTGACTGGCCACAAGCCCCATTCCCAATGCTCAAATATCCTCTCGAGGAGCATGTCGCTGAGAACCGTGCCGAGGAACAACGCTGCCTAGACGAGGCTGAAGATATCATTAAGAACTTTCACAATCCAGTTGCCGCTGTTGTTGTCGAGCCTGTCCAATCCGAAGGCGGCGACAACCATGCTTCTCCATTCTTCTTTAATGGTCTGCGCGAGATTACACGCAAGCACGACGTGTTGTTGATTGTCGACGAAGTCCAGACTGGTGTTGGTGCCACTGGCAAATTCTGGGCGCATGACCACTGGAACCTCCAAGACCCGCCTGATATGGTCACATTCTCCAAGAAGGCACAAACCGCTGGCTACTACTTTGGCAACCCAGAGCTGCGACCAAACAAGCCATACCGCCAGTTCAACACCTGGATGGGAGATCCAGCCCGAGCCATCCTCTTTCGAGCTATCATCAACGAGATCGAACGGCTGAATCTGGTGGAAAACACGGCTCAGGTTGGTGATTATCTGTATAACGGTATCGCTGGTCTTGCTCAGAAGTATCCGCAACACTTCCAGAACCTGCGAGGCAAAGGTCAGGGAACGTTCATTGCGTTTGACAACCCAAAGCGTGACGAGTTCCTGGCGAAGATGAAGGGCTTGGGCATCAATATCGGCGGTAGCGGTGCCACTGCTGTCCGACTGAGGCCTATGTTGATCTTCCAGAAGCACCATGCTGATATTCTGCTCGACGGGCTGGAGAAAATGGCGAATCAATTGTGATGAAAGGACGATACATATTGGCGTTGATCGGAGAACGGAAAAGCATGACTATGTCTGCTCGCATATCGGCGTTTGATGGGGCATCCCAGATTTGCGCTTTTATGATAGCCAGAATTTTGATGGCCTTTTGTCAATTATTGGACCCTTGATGGCCTTTTGTCAATTATTGGACCCTTTGTCGCTTGTTGCTGGATCAATTTCGTAACTGCGACTCTGTGTCTTGAGGGACACCCCATCGCGCCTTCGTGTTTGCCTAGACGCCTGTGCTGAATGAAACTTCTGACCACTGGCTCTCATTAGCTGGGCCAGAGCATGCATCTGTCGCCCCTCATCCCATAAGCTCCTAATCCACCATCGAGAAATGCCACCCACGTACTTCCCTTCACATCGCTGTCATTTCTCAAGCACCGCCAGCGACCTCCCCACCACCCTCCTCATCTGCGTTCGACCCATCTCTCGGAAAATACCTGATCCCCTGATCCTCCAGCCCCTGTATAACATCCTCCGGTAGCCTCCCTACCACTTTCGTCGCATAGGTCCCCGGCACATACCCACTCAGCCGCTGCCATTTCGCCACCCAGCTGGTCGATGGATCATGTAGACTGATCAGACCTTCGAAGACTTGGGAGGTCATTTCGTTGATCACTTCGGGCGAGCCGCGGAGCTGAAGGAGTTCTTCACAGTTCGGACAGCCCTGCGATGTGAAGACGGTGGTGGGCTGGACTATGGAGCAGAGGAGGCAGGCGCGTTGAGCGCGGAGGGGGGTCGTCATGGCTGAGGATGAAGCGAGTTGCGCGTCGTAGGCTATGCCTGCGTGAGTGGGATCGAGGGTTTGGTAGGCGATGGCTTCTTACGTTATGCGGATCGTGAGCGTTGGGGGATTCGTCGAAATGCGATCGGAGGGTTTTTGAGCGATGCTTCGTGCAGTCGATCTCAAGGGGAGCAGTGAACGTGTGGCTGGTCTGAGGCAATGGCAGTGGCTAGCGGTCGTAGCGAAGGACAAGTCACGAAGGAAAGAGTGCAGTGCAGACCAAGCCGTTTGTCTACTCGCGGTGACTTTCAAATGACCCGATTTTGGTGTCATTTGGATCCCGCCTCAGTGACCAGTGTCGTGGCACGTTCATCCCACCTTCCTCCAAGTGTCGTTGTGTCTCCTCGAACACCACCAGCCTCACTTCTTTACGGCCCTAATAACCCCCGAGTCCACATTCGACCTCTCGATAATTATTGTCAGCCCACCACACCGCCATCATGCCGCGCGCCGAGGTCGGGTCGACCAAGCACATCGCAAATCAGATGAAAGCGAAGGGCCTGCAGCGTCTACGATGGTACTGTCAAGCCTGTCAACGGCAAATGCGCGATGAGAACGGCTTCAAATGCCACGTCGCCTCCGAGTCACATGTACGTAACATGCAGGTCATCGGCGAAGACCCACGCAAAGCCATCAACGAGTTCTCACGCGAGTTTGAGCGGGATTTTCTGACGCTGTTGCGCACTGGTCATGGGGAGAAGAAGGTCAATTTGAATCAGTTCTACCAGGAGTATATCAGTAATAAGGAGCATATGCACATGAACGCTACGAAGTGGACAAGCTTGTCGGAGTTTGCGAAGCATCTCGGCAGAAACGGTATCGTTCGGGTCGAGGAGGATGAGAAGAAGACCGAGCAAGGTGTAGGCGGCGCCAGTGGCCTGACGATTGCCTGGATCGACAACAGTCCAGAGAATCTAAGGCGGCAGGAGGCCGTCAAGAAGAAGGAGCGTATGGAAAAGGGCGACGAGGAAAGAGAGCAGAGGATGATTCGTGAACAGATCAGGAAGGCCAAGCAAAATCTCGAAGATGGACTGGACGATGATGTGGAAGATATGGGCGACGAAGGCGCTGCAACGGAAGGTATCAAGCGCAATAATGGCGAGAAGGTCGTGCTGAGCTTCGCCGCAAAGAAAGTATCAGAGCCCGAGAAGCCCCCTAGTCCGCCCTTGACGGACAAAGATGACGCTTCAGACAAGTCTGACAAGGAGGCTCTATCAGCCTCAAAGCCGGCTGCCGCCGCCAAACCAGGATTCTCGTTTGGCGCAGCACAGTCGAAGCCAAAGAACGTCTTCGCGGCAGCCTCGAAGAAGAACGTACTCGGCGGCGCAAAGAAGCCTGCAAATCCCCTGCAAATACAGAAACCGATGTCCGAAGCAGAGCGAATCATGAAGGAGGAACTTGAGAGGAAAAGACTGAGAGAGAGCTCTGGAAGCGCATTCAAACGACAACGTGTATCCTGAGCATCGTCCACTTTGCTCTTTGAGGGCGGCATACTACTCCTAGGAGCTTCATCGCACAACAGGTGGAGGTACGACTGGTGGCTAGTGCGACCAACTTGCTGCACCAATATTTGGATCCGGACGAGATGTTTGCCAGATTCGGATCTCCATGATGACTAAGGTCTCTTCTATAGTAGCTTATCAACAGCTAAACCTTGTCAGTGGCTAGAGATCTCTGTTGCTACTCAATATGCTACGACGACTGCGAGATGGACTTTACTGAGGTTCTGCAACATCTTTTCAAGCCAATGACAATCGACAACTCCATACATTCAGCTACTGCGCCAGGTGGATTTAAGTGCATCCCGCTGCTTGAAGTATCCGGATCTGTCGTCCAGAGGCGTCAAAAGTGAAGCAAAACGCACAATCCGTTCTGCAGGCCGTATGATCTAATTCGACAATCGCTTACCCAAGTCTCCCGCCGAAAATTTACATGATGATGAGCTCGTCTACTCTTGCCAGAAGAGGCCCTGTCTCAATCGGCTGCTTGCCGAATCAAGCTCTTGCAATCGACGTTGCAAATTCACGGCGCAACATTCCCGAGCGTCACAGCTCGGGGCAACGGCATGAAATTCGTTCTCTTCTCTCCAGGAACAGGTTCGACATCTACCAAGAATAAGCAACTGGTCAGATCGTACGCTACTGCTTAACAATGGAAGCAGATGCCAAAGAGGCGACCCAAAACGTCATGTCTCTCGAACATCCCCTCGGAAAGAGCTCAAATTGTACCCAAATCAGCGACAAACGTGCAGATCGATACGGACCCCCATGGCGAACCAGTGGAGCTTCAGCCAGAGCCTCGTAGCGTCCTCGGCGCTTTGAGTTGGAGTGAGGATGCGAGCATACATGAATGGCATGTGCAACAACAGCCTTCAGACACACCTGAGCCGCCGGAGCTGAGTTGGGGTTCGTCATTATCGTCGTCCAGCGAGACTCTGGAGCCTGTCCCAAGCTGTGGCTTGCACGCGGGTGAGGCCGAATATCTTTCAGTGCAGCAGGAAAGCTTCCAACCACAAATCTGGGAATGTACTGGTAGAATATTTCGGCGACTGATTGGTCTGAAGCAGAAGGACACGCTCCGACGGCTGTCGGGCTACTCGAGGCACTCGTTATATGAAAGAGATTGGTTGTAGTGTATGTGAGCATTGCGGAAGGTACACTTGTACTACTGCCTTCCTCATTGCAGCCATCTGGCGTTTAGGCTCAGGCTTACCAGTGACACCTTCCGTACTCTGCACAATGCAACCTTTTTCATTCGCTACTACTGGTATCCGTCACAGGGATCCGTCTCAGGCGTAACCAGCCGTGGAACCATTGGATAGATACTCACGAAAGCTTCAGGCGCCGATGATGGAAGAATGTTCCTATCTTCCTTTGTTCACTCCGAAAGTAAGGAAGGAAGACCCGAGGCTGAGCCGCGAAGGAAAATCCGAGGTCAGACCACGAAAGAAATCCAGAGATAACCTTGAAAGGTGACCTAGGTACGGCTCTACTGTTCCACGCTTAACGTTCCTCGCCCAGTCCAACAAGTGTGAACACGTGATCTCGCGTAGGACCGCGTGCACACGGGGAAGCAAATTCTGTAGAGCTGAATGCTTTCCCAACGAGCTTCTGTGACAAGCGCCTGTCACCACTCACGTACCGCAACTCTGCGAATCTTCATCTCCACCATGAACGCGCCTGCCATGAGCGCGCGATCTACCATGAAGTCGGAAGGCGCGTTCCTGCTTGTAACGGGGTAGCTCCTCATCATGGACGTAAATAATTGTTGTGATCGGCTCCGTTGTGTCGAGGGGATCTGGCATCAGAAGGAACAACACCGAGGCTGCTGATAAAAGAAACACTCTGCCTTGGTAGGGTCGTTGGGTGAAGCTTCATTTGATGTACATCTTGTCACGGGTTCGATGTTGTAAAGCAGCGGCATTGTCTTATCGTGTGAGTGTTGGATTCGAAGGTTTCAGCCTGGCCAACATTGAATTGATGTGATATCGATTGACGCGATAAGGGTGTCTGCTTCGAAGTCAGCAGAAGCCGAAAATGAGGTCACCCGAGAGAACGAATTGTCCTGCAAGCTCCTTCCGCGGCAGGAGACAAAATTGCCGGACCAGACATTGTCGTCTTCGTACTTCGCGCTCGTCGACGCTTCCTCTCATGTAGCATCCTCTCGAGCGACAGCTGCGTTACGTCTTGGCAGTGGCCCTGGAGACGGTCGTCGAGTTGACACAGGTTCCTTCCGCCATTACCTCAAACATTGGTAGCTCCTGCTTCGAATCCAGGTCTATCCCACCTGGGACGGAAGCCAGCAGTGACTCCAGAACCGCATCAGTATTCCATCGTGTCCAGAATGCCTTCTATCACACACTGCTCGTGAGCATCGCGATCAGTCTCACCAACATCGGTACCCCAGAGTCGAATTATCTTTCAGTAAATTTATCAAAGGTTCATATTGCTTTCGAGCCGAGTTACAACATTCCAGACCTTGCGTCGCAGCAGCACTGCAATTGCGACCCAGAGACAGTCCTAAGCAATCACACAATATGTCGAACACGCCGGTAATGAGGCCAAGCTCAGGCGCCTTTCCTGGACATGACAGGCCAGCAGTAGTGGTGTCCGCCGAACAGGGGGGCCTGCATTCACCGCGGCAGCCTCTAGCCTTGAGCAGGCAGCAGAAGCACACCTCGTCAGGGTAAAGCACGACTTCATTCGCCAGTTTCTGTCATCAGGCCAGTGTTCTCTTCCTCTCACAAATCACACTCTGCGGCCCACACGTCGCGCGACCGAGGCGGATGTACACCCTTTCCCTGTTGATTCAGCGCTGCGGCGATATAAAACCAAGGCGCGTAGCCATCTTTGGCCTAAGATACGAACGTACATGGCGATGACGTTGGATCACCACTGGGCGCAACTCCCAGCAGAAGTCGCTACACTTTTGAGGCGGCAGTGGGCTTATGCGAAGTGGAATGCAGAGAAGCGTACAGAGGCCTTCTACCTCCAGCGTGCGCGGCTAAGTGCGTTGCTCACCTTGGCCGAGTTGCATGCCCGTACTGCAGAGGACGAGTTAGACGACAAGTTGATCCGGACTGGGGTAATGCGCACGAGATTCTGGAGGTGGTGGGCCACGTGCCGGGAGCACGAGAGAAGAAAAGGGACGTCGCAAGGCCAGGCAGCTTGGTGCGCACGCAGTTTTCTGGTCATTATTGCTGGACACAGTTGGGGTTCAGCCCGGGTTTTGGATCTGTTCTACCAAGATCTGGAACAGAAAACGCGCTTGCACCGATCCCTGGTCAAATTTAGAAAGGGGTTTGAGGCGATGCGCAGAAAATCATGGCTCAGGTTTGAGGTGATGGCGATAGTTGTCAGTGAAGATGACGTCGAGAGCAATGCTGCAATTGACGTTGGCAGGAAGACGTCAGTGGCAGAATCTGATGCTGCTCAAGACCACCGTCATCCGCCTTTGTCAAACGATACCGGCAAAAGCAGAGGCAGGACGCAGGCAGGTTCCGGTGCGTCCCAGTCCGATCATCCTGGTCCCGCGCCCACCAGGATCAGTAAGGGCGAGGGTCGGTTGGCGGACTAGTACCAGAACCTTAGTATTTCGAGACGCAGCCAGGCTGATATAAGGCGAGAAGGACCTGCATCTTGAGAGTCAGGAAACTGGATAGCGTATGGTAAATGCGTTGTCGTTGGGGTTGGGTTGGACCTCTATTCTGCTCGGACGACGAAGCCGGATTATTTCGTGAAAAGAGAATGAACGACTATCACGACTGCGCGGCCGAGGCCTTTGAGCGCGAATGGATCACGCAACAATGAAGAGGATGCGAGAAGCACAGCAGGTACGACTGCGGCAAGTTGCTAGCAATGTGTTGTTATGAACGTCGAATGAGAAGGAGCATGGTGCCAAGCGGGCTCGTTCTGGCGATAGCTTTCTGTCTGGGGCAACCAGCGTTAGATCCATAACGCACCTAATAGCGGCAGTGATATTGTCCTAGCGGAAATGCAACTTCCGGGCAGAACTCGTTTCTCAATAATACCTCAGTACCTGCAATGGACAAAAATACACGTTGATGATTAGGCTGGTTTCGCTGTGACTCTCCAGGGCTCTCCCCCCACTATCATTGCACTGCATATGGTGCTATAGCATTTCTTGTGATATCATCAGTTCAAGACCACACATACTAGGAAATACTTTAGTGGCGTGCGTAAAGATCCTGCCACCACCAGATCCAACATATCGGCAATTTCGCTTCCACTATTCACGACTAATCCACCGGAGACCTGGCTGAAAGCCCCAGCATATCAAGCATATCCTGACGCTTTTGCATTGTCTATAGTTCCTTCACGATCTTTGCCTACCTCCACCACCTGACCGGCAACAACGCTCCTCTTGCACAATCTTCGACTTGACTGCCGCAAATCGCTGTCTCAACACGATCGATTCGAAGACTCTGAATTTCTGGAGCAACGGGTCGGATCTACCTCCCGACTCAAAAGCGCTTACAATAACACCATCGACACCGACCAGCATCTACTCGCCTTTTTAGTCTCATCCGTGTTCCAGAGTCTCAGGCAGCTTCCCACAACACATTCACCACTCCATCACCATGTCCTCCTCAAAACTCACCATAACATCCACCCTCCCCCTCCTCAACACCCCCCTCCAAATTCCGCGCCTCGGCTTCGGCGTGTACCAGTCCCCCACCAACATCTGCGTCGCCTCTTGCCTGACCGCCCTCAAAGCCGGCTACCGACACATCGACACAGCCCAGTTCTACGCCAACGAGACCGAAGTCGGCGCCGCTGTCACTCAATCCGGCCTCAAGCGCTCCGAGGTGTTTCTCACGACCAAGATCCTTGGTGCCGCGGGTAGCGTGGACGGTAGCTATCGGAAGTGTGTTGAGAGTGTACAGAAGCTGGATCCGGAGTCTGGTTATGTGGACTTGTTCTTGATACACAGTCCGAATGCGGGCGGGAAGGCAAGGAAGGAGATGTGGTTGGCGTTGGAGCGGTTATGGAAGGAAGGGAAGGCTAAGGCGATTGGGGTGAGCAATTGGGGCGTGGGGCATATTGAGGAGATGAAGGAGTATAAGCAGGAGGTGTGGCCGCCGCATGTTAATCAGATTGAGGTGAGTTGTCTGCCTACTTCAACGTGATCACTGGTCTTCTTCGCTTGGATGACTTCTCTCGAGTGGCGGTTGCTGACTCTCTACAGCTCCATCCATGGTGCCAACAGCGCGAGATCGTCGACTACTGCAACAACCACAAGATCATCGTCGAGGCATACTCACCACTTGTGCGCAATTACAAGGCAAACGACAGTACACTACTGGAGCTGGCCAAGCAGCACAACAAGACCACCGCTCAAGTATTGATCCGGTACTGTCTGCAGAAGGGCTGGGTGCCGCTACCGAAGAGCGATACACCGGAGAGGATTGTTGCGAATGCGGATGTCTATGGGTTTGACTTGAGTGAGAAGGATATGAACACGTTGGACGGGCTGGACGAGGGGGATGCTGGGAGCATTGTGCAGGCTGTGACGAACACGCTGTGAGGTCGTCGAACTGCCGCGCATCCACTTTGAGAGATGTACTGCCTTCCGCTGTGACTGGGCCGAATGGTTCTCATACGCACGCTCCATCACCACATGGTGTTGGGAAACACGGACCCGTTGCGCGGTTGGGCCCTGTCAGTACATACTAGAGACGAAATGTATCGTGTCAAACCTCAGACGCCCAGGAGCTCACTATCACCAGGAAACTAGATTGCATGAACAAAATATGTTGTGGGTATTGACTCTCACTCGAGACCTAATCACCGGCACAGTAATATTGATAGTACATTCAACTTTCTCAACGCCAGGGAGACCTTCATGTCTGATAGTCGGGCCTGTCCGATGCGCAAACATGTAATGCTCAAGACGGAACTAGCACCATCAATCGCTATCATCCTTAGGACCTCCTTGGTTGCGCACTTTTGTCCTACTGGGCTTGAAGTGCTTCTTCTGATCCATTTTCAGCTCACTCGGATCGATGCCTTTCTCCAGAGCCGCCATCGTCTTCGCTTTTCGGCCCGAGAGCTGCTTCTGCTTTCCCTGCTCTGTGTACTGGTGATTGAAGGGCATGGTGGCATGCCCTGCATTCCTCGCTCCCGCTCCGAAGAAGCCTTTGTCCAGCTGTTTCGAGCGAGCACCAGTCTCTTTCTGGGTAGCTGTCGGTAACGGGATCTCTGGCGCAACCTCTGATTCCGTCAAGTCGTCGGAATGTGAGATGAGCACGCTTGCCGCTTGGCAGGGAGGTGTGCGAAGTCGTAGAGGTCTTGGTTGAACTCGTGGCCATCGATCTCGGGATCAGCTGGTGGTGGGTGGCAATACAGAAGCTTGCCATTGACGTAGTCCTTCAGGATGTAACGTGCTGCTCGGGACTCGTCAGGCTGGCCGTAGCCTGTGGTGGCAAATCCTCTCGCTCGAGCATATGCTCGCATCACTTCTGATGCGGTGGGAATACCTGTGCCGCCCTCTTCAGAGGCACGGATGCTGATCTTCATGCCATAGACATTCTCGAGGAAGCTCTGTGGTATTCTGTTCGCCACGAGGCCAGCAGGGCCGGTGAATTCGCGAAGCTGATCGATGGGCAGCACACCGGCACAGACAAGCTCGGCTTTCGTAGTGGCGAAGTTTGGGAATACCAGACCTGGACAATCGCACAGAATGACTTTGTCGGAGAGGTGGATAGTTTGGAAATGCTTGGTCTTGCCCGGAGTGGCTGAGACTGAGACTTTCTTTGCGCCGATCAGAGCGTTGATCGTGGATGATTTGCCAACATTAGGATAGCCGACAAGGCCGATCGTCGTTTTCCGGTCTGATGTGCTGTCCGGGGGTATGTTGGCCAGAAAGAGTGACTCGAGCTCGTCGACCGTAAGGATGCGTGTTTTTTCGTCGTCATCGTCGACCTCCTCTTCGGCGTCACCAGACTCATCTTCTGCTTCTTGCATATTCTTCGAATGTTCCTGCTCTTGCAAGTTCAGATCCTGGACATCCTTGACCATGTCTTTCTCGGGTTCATACTGCTGTATAATTTGTTGTTCATCACGCTCGATCAATTCGTCCAGACCGTCCCGCTCCTCATTTAGCTCCTTGGCTAGGTGGGCAGAGAAGAACTTGTAGTTGATCTTCTTATCGACAAAGTAGTCAGCCCAGGACTGTCTCTGCTGTTTTGTCATCATGTCGGTCTTGTTGACCAGTAAGAGATTGTGCTTGGCTGAGTCGACTTGGGTGACATAGCGTTCCAGATCCTCGCTCCGGAAAAGCAGTGGATTTCGAGCGTCGACTATTTGTACAACCAAGTCCGAGCGCTCTATGACTCGCCATAACTGCCTCCATACCTCTATATTTCGCTCAAAGGGAGTCATAAGCAGATCATCGTTCTCCTGCAACTCGGCCAGTCCTCTTCTCCACTCGAGTAGACTTGCTCGTTCCATCTCGTCCAGCTGGCGCGGTGTAGTTGACTCGTCCCATTTGGGCCTTCGAGGCACCGTCAACCTCCCTCTGTTGCGCGCATGCTTCTTCCGGACGCCCTGCTCCTCAGTGGCTGACAAGAGATATGGATTTCTCTGGTCGGCGTGTATGATCTTGACACTGTTCATCTTCTCTGCGGTGAAATCTGTGCCTGCCAATTCGGCTGTGGACAGGAACTCGTCGAGGGCGCCTTGTTCAGTGACACTCCTCATCTTGACCCAGGAGGCCTCCTTGGCCGCGTTTGTAACATAGCTCTCGCCGGTGGCATGGTTCGTCCTGACGACGCCCTGGTTGCTGCTGACCTTCTTGCGATCTGAACCTTTTCCTCTTCCAAACCGATCATTCATAAGACTGTTGCCGAGTCCGACGCTGTTCTTGCTCTTTGGTAGCACCATATTGCCGCGCTGTGTAAGGAAGTGACAAGGAGGGCTTTGGCAGTGCTTGGTCGGTAGAAAGCAATGATTTGAGGCAGTACTTGAAGGCTGATAAATCTGTGTACTGGTGGGGCGACATTGATATTGCACGACTCAGGTACCGCTAGATTCTTCTAGGCGCCGACGTCACTCGCTTAGTCCCAGCCTTACGGGCGCCTCTGACGCCTAAGATACTAAGGGTGTGTCACTGACTCCAAGTCAAAAAAATTTCCCCGCAATCGTTCAACTTTTTTTGAATCTGGAACGGTTCAGGAAACGACAACTACCTAGGTACCTGCATATCCTAACAGCAGAGCCTTCCGACAGGCGCACTCACTCCCGAACATCCTCAAACATGCCTCGCAGGAAATGGATCGACAAGAAGAATGCGCAGACATACAAACTGCTGTATCGGTCGCAGGACGACCCTCTCATTCACGATGAAGGCGAACGTGCACTGTTCCCTGTGGGCGAGGTCGCCACGTCGTCGCAGAGGCCGTTCATCGACAGCGGTCTTCACATCGACGATCTTGAGCAGGATGTCGATCTCGAGTCAATGCGGGACAACGAGGGAGAAGCCGCCGAACATGGAGTCTTCTTCGACGACACAAAATACGATTACATGCAGCATCTGCGAGATCTCGGAAATGGCGCCGGAGAGTCACACTACATCGACGCAATACCCACAAAGGTTCAGTCGAAAGGCAAGGGTAAAGCGAAGCAGATGAGGCTCGAAGATGCATTAGCTCAGGCCACTATCGAGGACGATGAAGAAGCAGACGAGGACGAGGCTCCGTCGTTGGTGGATAGAAGCCTGTACGCATATTCGAACTACACCGCCACAAGCAAGAGCCGGCAACTCGAGAGCCAGCAAGATGTGCCAGACGAGATCGCTGGGTTCCAGCCGGACATGGATCCAAGACTAAGAGAAGTCCTTGAGGCGCTGGAAGATGATGCGTATGTAGACGAGAAGGACGACGACGATGTGTTTGGTAGCTTGGGCCGCGATGGGAAGAACGGCGAGCTGAGTCTGGACGAATTCGAGTACGACTACGGCGAAGATGACGAGGGCTGGGAATCAGATGCTACAGAAAAAGCGCCAGAGCAGCCCACAACATCACAACCGTCCCCATCTGGCCCAATATCACTCAGCAATGAGTTCTCAATCGAGAGCGCCGAAGCAGCAGCGGCCGAAGACGGCGACTGGCTCCGCGATTTTGCTAAACACAAGCGAGATGCTGCAGCCGCCGCACGAAAGGCACCACCACCAGCAGCCGCATCAATAGTAGCCGCGTCTGCTGTGCAAGACCAAGCGCCATCCTTGTACACGCTAAACGGCACACCACTCCGTCAAAAGAAGCGAAAGGGTGCCCTGACAAACCCTTCCGCTTACTCCATGACCAGCTCCTCCCTTGCACGAACCGATGGCCAGCAGCTGCTCGACGCTAGATTCGACAAGGTCGAGAAGATGTACTCGGTCGATGAGGGCGACGAATTCGATGAAGACGTCGATGGCGGCATGTCACTCGCATCCGGCATGACTGGCCAATCCAAGATGTCACAGCTCTCCACTACAAGTTTCGCCGACGAGGGCGCTGTACGGCAAGACTTCGACAGCATGATGGATGGCTTTCTTGGCGACTGGAATAAAGCAAATCCCGGCGGCGGAAAACGGAAAGGCAACAAAGGGAAGAGGGGCAAGCATGGGAACGAGGCGTTTGGCTTGCAGCAGCTGGACGAGGTTCGTGCTGAGCTGGGACCGGCGAGGATGTACACGCGGCGAGCGGCGGCGGCACAGAAGACTTGACCGCAGAATCCTCCTGGCGTGTAAGACGTAACAAGATGTGCTTGTGCAAACGTGGCCCACTGAAGACATGCACTGCCGTGAGCGATCCGAGATCCGAGACACCAGCATGCAACGTGGTGTGTCTTCGTGCTATGGACATGCTTCTCTGTCAGTCCTTCGATTTGCCGGCGGAACATTCGTCGAGCTCCACCCGCGAGCTCGACATGAGACCGCCTGCCATTGCTGAGGTATACCAGCCGTTCTTCTCCCTCGGCTAGTAGTATGCCCCCCAGTCTCTCAACCTCATCAACCCACCTCGTCCCCTCCATCTACGCCGATGCCTGCGCACCTCTCGCCTTCGCTACCGGTTCCCACGCTGAATATTTCGGCTTCGTCCTGTCATCACACGCGGATCAGCACGTCTCCCACCATGATAAACCCCCATCTGCTTGACCAGGTATCGTTAGGTGGAGCTCACGTCGAATAAGGCTTATAAGCACCCCGACTCTGCGTATAATTAATTCTTGTGTTTGGACTCTCCCACGGCCGCAGCCCGATCTTCATTATGCTGTCTTCGGATGGGGGCTTGTCGACCAGGTATGAGATCCATGCGTGCCAGCCTGGGTCGATGTGTGAGGCGTCGAGCTCGTGATTGGAGTATTCGATCCACCGTGTCTGCCAGAGGCCAGGCCTCGCTGTCAGTAACATTTCACATCTCTTTCTCCGCTTCACGGGAGATGTTAGAGCTGCTCACCCGTAATGGCAGCTCCTCGGTTATGTTCTCGTAGAATTTGTTGCCCATGCGGTCGGTGCCAACCAGCGTCCCGGCTCTGGTGTCGCCGATGTACAGCATTTGCATCTGGTCATGTCATCAGTCGCACGTTCGCGCGAGGTGGAACTCTGTGTAGCGTACCGCATACTGCTTAACCCCAATTCGCCGCAGATTGCGCAGTGTGCGCGTTATAGTCGACATCCTGTGACGGAACAGGTGAGTGTGGCGCTTTGCGAGTCGCAAAGTGCTCTGTGTAGAGCTCGACAACAGAGCAGCTCGCCGTTATTGGAGGTTCGACGTTAAGGGTCACGTGAGTGGGGTGAGACCGGATGACGATAATCCAAGATTTAGCTCATCAGTCTAAGTCTGACCTGCCTCGTCTTATATACCAACGGTACCACCTGCTGCGGGACGGCGTGTGCCATGGCTTGATCGTCCCTTCCTTGCCCCAGGCTTGTGCAATGGTGCTTCACCAGGCTCTTCGTTGTCGCTTTCTGCGCTCTGCTCCTCAAAACAACCTGCTAAGCTAATGATTGCTCCTGTGCAGAATATCGAGTCTTGGTCTCATGATAATCATACAAGCTGATCAAGCTGCAACTGCGTTTATTACTCCCATCCACGTACCGCAGCCCACCAAACATACGAACGGCATCTTTCACAATCAGACCCTTTGTACCACGATCTCGAGCCTCCCGCTCTGACAGCAGCCACGCTCTGTGTCCAACCTCAGTGCCCTTGCATCAATCCATGTCCTCGAACTTCCATTTATATTCTTCACAGATCTTCATTGCTTCAGCACCGTCGCCCTTCTCACCCTTGTATTTCTCTCCGATCGTCTCCAGGCGTTCAGCGTGCTTCTCAGTCCGAGGCACCAATCTCAGTGGTGCAAGATTTGGGAAACTTGTCAAGCCATCCTTTGGTGTCGGAAACGATGCCGTTCTGTCCAGCTCGACTCCTTCAGGTGGGACGACGGAGAGCATGGAGAGAGCTTTGGCCATGAACAACCAGCCTCCTTGATCCGCGAGGGCTTTGCCTGGACAGACTCTGCGGCCGAAACCAAACGCTCCAGCCTTTTCTGGCTCCTGCTCCGGGTTGGGACCCAAGAATCTCTCCGGATTGAATTCTCTTGGATTGCGATAGACCGCAGGGTCATTCGAGAAGGCCCAGACATTGGGAATGATCATGGCACCCTTCGGAATATACATGCCCTCGTACCAGTCATCCTCAGAGGTGGCATGAGGAATTGCTAGGGGTCCAGTTGGCGAGTGTCGTCGAACCTCCTTCCAGATGGCGTTGACATATGGAAGTTGCGGTCTGTCTTCTAGAGTTGGAATTCGGTCACCGAGGACTCTGTCGATCTCTTCCTGCGCCTTGCGCTGGATCTCGGGACGACTCAGCATGAATCCAAAGAACCAACAGAGAGTGGCAACAGTCTGAAGAGGTCAGTCGACATCCAAATCGAACGAGCATCCTCCTGGACTTACTGTCTCTGCTCCCCCGCCGGTCAGTGAAGCACCAACTTTGTTCAGACGAAAGTACTCTTCCTTTGAGATCTCTTTGTGCTTCGTCAAGAGATCGGACATCAAACACGGCTCGCTTCGCCCCTGTGCTACCCGGTCCGCGGTGAAGCGCACAGATATGGCTGGCGCATCTACCATGGCTCGTTCATACTTCCTTCCAGTCTTCTTGAATCCGCCGCCAGGCGCCCATTCCGGAATATAATGCATCCAGTTGAAAATGTCAACAGCCCATTTTCCAGCGACCGTGCACAGGTTGAAAGCTCTGATAGAGTCTTTGTTGATGGATGTAAGTGGATCCAACCCTTCAGGTTCTGCTCTATAGCTAGACACTTTGTTAGCTTGATTTGGGACGTGTGTGGAAAATCAAGAGCTGTTGACATGGAACGGGAGTGCGAGGCAAAAGCATGAGAACGATCTCACGAGACCTTCAGTCTTCGCTCCGTTCCCGGTCCAAGTTTGGGAAGTGACTCACCCATATCCTATCCACAGGACAATAGCCGAAAAGGTCTTCGACAGGTTCTCTCTCCAAGAATCCGGGTCCTTCGCGCAGCGAACGATAAACTTGGTTATCTCCTCGTCCTGGAAGACTACTGCTCTCCTCAGTGCGTTGGTCGTGCCTGCAACACTATGGATGTCTTTTCTTGTTTCCCGCAGTTCTGGAATGTTTGGCTGGAATCCAGGCCACTCCTTCAGCTTGCACGTGACGGTTGCGAAGAACATTTGCGGCCGGCTGGAGTACTTTGTCGCTCGCTTATCAAGGAGCTCTGTGGCGACGTCAAGATCATTGACCATGACAATGGTCTGACCCATGACGGTGATGCTAGAAATCGGACCATATTTCTCCTTGAATGACAGCCAATGTCTGAACTCTGGTTGTCCTGCAGGTGGCAGCGAAGCGATGTTCCCGAGAATTGGCAATCCAACCGGTCCCGGCGGCAACTTGGACCTTTTCCTGACATGTAAGAATGTCTGAGCCACAGCGAGAACCAGGACGAAAACTCCGCCCAGAACGAACTGGCTTTGTGTCAACGAGAACATGATGCTTCGATGTTGCAGGGCTCTGCTGGACTGACTCTGGTGAAGCTCGGTCTCGCACAGTACTTGTACAGCAAACTCTACAATTGGATTGTGAACAGGCCCTCTTGGAAAGGAGCAAGGCCACCCTCACACCTGTCCGTGTTCGAGATCGCATCACTAGCTCTTGCACATCTGGCACGGGCAGCTAGGAATGCAGGCTCCATTATGGTCAGCTTCTGGATCTTGACATCAGCCAATGGCTGAAGATCACCATCTCGACCTGAGTGTGCGCCAACCCACGAGATGACGAGCGGCTCAGCGGCCGCAGACCGTGTTCAGAACGCTGAAAGCAAATGCGCATACTGTGCACCGGCAGGCACCGACACACAGGTAGCCATTGTTCCTGCAAGGGATTCCTGCTTCTTGCAGAGGTCAATCCTGAATCTTGCACCCAGTCTGGTCAGTGCAGTACTCTTCCGGAGATGCGGACATTACTTCGTATGTTCATTTCGGTCAAAGAGTCGAAAAAGGCATGCAGTGTTCCCCGTGAGTGATTACATAGCGATCTGACATCTTCGCATTTTAGCATGTTGACCAACGCGCGCTTCGCTTCACACTTGGGCACGCGAAATTGGAAAGCGCTACTTCCTCGTTGTGTTGGGTCTGGGATTATCCTTGTGCTGTTCTCCTATGTTACAAGTTAGGTATCCGGTCACTGGCTTCATACATATCTTCGATCAAGGATGCCCATTACACTTTTCGCAACAAGTTTCACGGCAAATGGCAGTCGTATCCACCGTATCTTGCGGTTGCCGAAGCGCGTGCGTGCCTGAGCTGCGGGATGCAAGGTCACAGACCAAGCGACATTCACTGTGTGACACAACCGCAGACAGCAGCACTCGGAAGGGGATATATCTGCTCGTGTTCGTACGACGCATGCGGAGCCTTGGCGCGAATGGCTGCCTTATTTGTGTTTTAGAAGGGTTATGTCTGGCGCTTGCTTACACAATGGGGCCCCCTTACGCACGAGGCAGACTGTTTTGCAAGTCCAGCTCATTGGATGATTCACTGACTAGCATTGCCTCTCTCATGAGTCGTCGCACTCACAAGTGTGAGGTGCGGTGCCTAATCGTTGAAGCAAAAGGACGCATGACTAAGCTTTCCGGCAAACATTCATCGTCAGCCTAACCGAACAGAGAATGCTGTAACACAAAATGAGAGGCTACGTCGACGACCTGAGCAGATCCCTCTGCCACAGACTCGATTCCATCATCGCCATCAGCAGTGAAGAAGAACTCTCCGTTTCTGCCATCAGGAGGAGGGAAGAAGTGCCCGAAAAATATCGGGGATAGTGGCCAATTTCCCGTCACCTTCGGCCTCACTCAGCCTTCCCTCAACTGAAGACCTCATCCTGCCGTCCATTGCGCAACAACGGGACCCCCTCACAGTTCCTCACAATCCATCAATCAACCCTCCAGTGCAGCATTGATCCCACCCTCCAGCTGGCCCCAGAGGCCCATGACCTTCAAATCCCCAAACGGCAGGATCTGCGAAGCAATCATGCCGCCGACTCCTCGTGTACGGTCACACCACCAGAACAGGTTGGCCAGTCCAGCCCACCACCCGGTGCCTTTGCTGTGCACGGCGCTGTCTTGTAAGTGCAGGAAGAAGGTCAGGCCCCAGCCTTGAGCTGGGTTGCCTTCCTCGGGGTAGAGGGCTGGGAGTGCATTGGAGAAGTCGGGACGAGGAGGGGAGATTGGCTGTTTTAAGGGATGTGATGTTAGCGGCGAATTGGGTGCAAGAGTGAGAAACCGAAAGACAATGCGGGAAGGATGGAATGGGCGGCGTGAACTGCACGCTGGTCAGTATACGTACCTGTCGCCCAAAGTCTGGCATATCCGGGATCTGGTTAGTGAACATCTCGTCCACTGTTTCCTTCTTCAGAATCTGTTCGCCCGAGTATGGACTCTTGCCGTCATTCTATTCCGCCACTGTCAGCAAGTCTTCACATACATGACACGTCAAGTTTCTCGACCGGCAAATCGTTTCCAGGCAGGTGGAGGCCTTGGCGAACTTACCAACAACATCGCAATGATCCGAGTGTACTCAGTCGGCCGCGCAAAACACCCATGTCCGCCTGCATTGAACACTCTTCCCTCCTCGCTCTTGTCACCAGCAGCCATCAACTGTTCCCTGACGATATGTCCACCTAGATTCAGGCCCAACTTTCCAGTCGAATTGTCCCTGAAGTTCATCCACGCGAGCCGACTCGCCATCTCTGGCGTTGGGAACATGCTGATGTTCTTGATCTCCAACGGCTTGAAGATGTGGTCGTGGAAGTAGTCATTAAGGGACTTCCCAGTGATGCGCGAAACGATCAGGCCAGCCCAGTCGATGTTGATGCCGTATTCCCAGCGGGAGCCGGGCTGGTTGACTAGTGGTTGGGTGAGGAATTGGGAGTAGCTGCCAGTGAACTCGTCCAACCCTGAGGCGCCGTAGTGGTTGAGGAGTTTTGAATTGAAGAAGGAGTAGCCGAAGCCAGCTGTGAGAACGTCAGTACCGAGGCCGTACGAATAGCAGATGTCTGGAGCTGGGAGCAGGTGCTAAGTGGGAAAAGGTCGAGCAGGTGCTTACCCGTGTGACTCAGGAGCATGCGAAGGGTGATGCCTCTCTCCTTCTCGACGAGTTTACCATCGTCTTGCAGGACCTTGACGGCTTTGAGCTCCTATATTGGCACTTGAGTCAGCTCTGGTCCGTCTTTCGCGCATTGCAAGATTCCCAGGGACGATGTTGGTCAAGTAAGTCAGGCATCTTCGGCGTAGCTCAGAGGAATGTTGTCTCCCAAGTGAAAAAGGTGCCATCCATCTACACTCTACACCCAGACAGATCCCCGGGCAACCGCACAATCATTCGGATCGCCAAAAAGCAAAAACCAATTCCCCCGAGGGAGCTGTTGGAAACCTAACTTAATAGGTTTTTTTGGGTTATGGGTTATTTTTCCTGAGTTCCACGCCTTTAACGCTATCGATCGATCGGAGGAGGATGAGGAGGAGAGGGGGTTCAGCTGTTCTGTACCTAACATAGCAGGGTGGCCCAGATTGAAGGGAGTATGGTGGTACCCAACCCTGCTACCAACCTGGACGGTCGTGGCTTAAGAACTCGAATTGCTGAGCAATCGCGGTCGATTGTTGACCGAGAATTCGGAACAACAATATATAAACACCATCCATGAATGTTGGCAAGTGCCAAGACTGAGCTCCGGCGTGGCGAGTGGCAACTGGACTGGCCGAGGGCAACGCGAAGTCTCCAACGCCGTTGCTCCGAAATAGGGTGTACGAACTTGGGAAAGACAAGCTTACCGGACAGATCTTCTCTACCTCCTCAACACTGTCCAGTGTTATCTTCCCCTGCTCTACCAACTGCATGCAAGCGACTCCCGTGATCATCTTCGTGCAACTCGCAATCCAGAAGATGGAGTCGAGTGTCATGGGTTCTGGTTTACCCACGCCTAGGGTGCCTGAGGCATGCTCGAAGATGGTCTCGCCTTTCTTGTTGATGGCGGAGAAGACGATGCCAGCGGCGCCATCCTCGGCGCTGGCGGTCAATTCATCTATCTGGGCCCGCAAGTTGGGGATAGCTGCTTCCTGGATCTTGGCCATTCTTGATGTTGGCAAGAGGAATGTATTGGTCGGTCTGGTCTGGACGATGCTGGGATTTTTGTCGAAGGTCCTGAGACTTCCACGAAATTGAATGCGGCGGTGCTGGCGGTGAAGACTCGAGAGCAGTTGCTGCAAGTGATTAAGGGTGACGCCCGCTTTGAGACGGATCGTGAACTACCTGAATCAATACGGGCTCGTGTGCTGGCTACCTGGTCTCTGAATACCGCGAAGACAGACCAGATCTACTGTAACTTCTGAAGCTGTTCAGTAGTGTCGACGTCTGTAAAGGCTAGAGCTGTTGATTTACAATGACCTCAGTGAGTTGAAACAGACACAAATAGACTTCTGGGGAACATGTTGCTCTGTTCTTATACCTACTGCCCAAACGCCAGGAACATGTCATCCAGCTCGTGTTTCAAAGCGGGGGACGAGGATCTGCTTCATCATTGCGCCTGGTCTGACTTTCCTGGCGTAGGAGTCTGGACCATACTTGGAGATTTTGATGCTACGGAATACCTTTGCATTGGTCAAAGGGTACGTAGAGTACGAGTCAGCTGGCCAAGCCGTTCCTGGGGCGAGGAGGGGTGGCAAACAGCCCCAGAATGAGATAGAGGTGGACGCCTGGATGCAAGTAAAGGCTTCAATTGCTACCGGTGAAGGCATGCGTCGAAGCATCATTGAGCCGTAGGACCGAGCTTGGCGAGGGTACCTGTCAAACCCGAGAGCTTCGATGTGGAGGAGCTACGTTATTGCCCCGCACTCCGATTCTCCCTGAACCTCGGGAAGGCGCGGCTGCTGTTGATGAACTTGTCACTAGTCGATCATGCTTACCTACGCACAACTCTGGGACGCTTTGGGCAGGACATGTGTGGATGGAGAATTTATATGATTTCGTCTGAGCAGCAAGTTGCTCGGCAAGCGTCGAGAGGATGCCTGACAGATGCAAAATAAGGCAACGAGGCACGGACTCCACCCCACAGGCCTATCATTGATAGAAGCTGAATGCTCGATTACCTATCAGCCGCTAGTGATAGCGAGGCTGAGTTGATCTAGGGGGTGACTTGGTGTCCCACAGGGATAACGGCGCACTTTGATGGCACCAATATGCAACGCTCGCACTAAAATCCGAACGATCTGGCCTCAAGCTTGATAGCTGCCCACCTAGACAACTCACATCACAGCACACTCCCTGTCAGGATTCTTCTGCTTTCCACCATGCTTCGAGAGGCGATGTTTATGCCTACCGCCCTCATGCTTCTGCACCTGCTGGCCTGAGTGACTCGCCGGGACTCCCAATGTATTTGGTTTCGGTTGCGCAGCAGATTGCTTTGCTACCACGTCCGTCGTGGTCGGGGTATCGACAGCAATCTCGCGAACGTGTACTTCCGCAGCCTCTGACTGATGTTGCTGATGCTCACGGTCCTTGGAAATGTCGCGACTGTGACGCTTTGTGAGTTTCGATAAGCGACGGCTTATTCCGCCACTACTACCAGCATCACTTCCTCTTCGATTTGGAGACAAACTCTTACTGATGGTACCGCTCTGTGCCTTTGACGTATTTACCCCGGCTGTCGAAGTATCGGAAAAGGATATGACACTAGGTCTTCGACCCTCGGCAGATGAACGCCCACGAGGACTCTCTGGCCCGGTAATCTCAAAGCTGGGTCGACCGGACTGCACGTTTGCTGTTGTGACTCGACTGAGCGGTAGTGACGTTGTCGAGCGGCCCAGATTTACTTCACTAGCGCCACTCTCAGACTTCGTTGACTCCTCATCGATTGGCATGATCTGGTAAAAGAGCAAGTACGCGGTCTCCTGATGCAGGGCGACATCTATATCGACGGGTGTGATTCGTTGTGGTGCTAGATCGTCGAATCTGACCCATTGGTTCGAGACGCCGGACGAGGTGGCGCCCTCATTCAGTGGACTTCTCACAAGAGCAACGTAATGTCCTGAATCCACAGAATTGCCACGGTGACAAACCACTGACTGCAATGACAGCTTGAAATTGCCAAATATGGCACCATTATCAGTAACAGCATCGTCTTGGATGAAATGTGGTAAACCGATCTCAATGGGAATGTCGATATATGTGCCAAGTCGCGCTGGTTGACCGTTCTTGAAGGTGTAACGTTTCAAGCATAGACCCAGAACTGGTCGTCTATCGGAGAAATGCGCCGCGATCTGAGCGTCGTTCGTTGGAGTGTTATCGGTATACCATGGAATGAGGCTGAAGAACTGCCACCCGGGCATCATCACCGTCTTCCGCACGCTCCCCGCCCGTGACCGGTTGCTGGCCTCCGTTGGGACCTCCGTGAGGGTGTCTTGTCCACTTGCTGATTGTGACGGCGTGAAGCGGTCCTGAATGATGCTTTGTTGCCGAGGTCTGGCTGGCATTCTTGGGCGTGATGGCATTGGTGGTCCCGAGCTGATAGGCGTCGCTGGAGAGCTCGATTCTGGGTCGATCTCAATCGTTTCGACGTGTATCGCTGCAGCCTTGATACTGGGCTCGACAGGTGATTTGACACTGTTCATTGTCGCTCGCCGCTCCAAATATCTCCGTACCTCGATCTTATTGTTGAAGTACTCCTCAAGACAGTCTTCAAGCCTGATCTCCTTCCTCTGTCCCGTTGGATCCTCTGGAATTGCAACCTCGAGCAAACGTTCATTGATGAATTTGTGGTCGTCCGTCTCATCTTCTTTGCCTGCATGGAATATGTCCATCTTCAATGTCAGCAAAGGCAAATCGAGCTTATCAGTGATGAACGTGAAAGCCTCGGATGCATCTTGTTGTTGCAGCTCTGCAGCATCAGCCCACCCGCAGTCAGCTATAGCCCCTTGAATCCTCGCCGTTATGTCGGTCGTGATCAGTTGACCCGTTCTCAGCATGTTCACCCACAGTCGCAGTAAGAAGCTCAATTTTTGCCTTGGCAGATCCGGGAAGGGATTGTAGAGCATAGGCTCGAAGCTGTCGAGGTGGGAGAATATTGCGAATAGCGTGGAGTCAAGGAAACAAGTCACCGCTTGCCTGTTCACAGCGCCTCTCATATGTGTACCTGAGCGATACGGCGACACCATGCTTTCGGAGGCGTCTGAGAGGGCTAGCAAGAAGTCGTAGGCACGGTCATCGTCGTTCTCCGAGACTGGTGAGTGCAGGGCCCATAGTATTGTGCTGTCTCGTATCTGGATTCCTTTCTTCTCCGATAATCGAAGGCGAATCGCTTTGATCTATCTTCGTTAGCCTCGACTGGTGGCGTTTGGGGCGACAAACCTTCTGCTCTTCCGGGCGACCCTCGGCTGTCGCTTTGGAATTGAACAGTCCCTATCGATGTCAGCGACACCTTTTTAGGGAGCGCAAGCGTCTTTCACAGAGGGGAAAACGGCGGCTGCTGATGTACGCACATAGAAATCTGCAACGGATTCCGGATCAAGTGGCTCCAACTTCGGCTCGCCCGTACCCTGAGATATCCTCGGTTAGCATGTTTGCGTCTCTCAACCAGGAACAACGCTCGGTCACATAGACAGACAACACCACGTTCCGCCACTTCGTGCAATGTGCTAGTGACAAGGCGCGTACCTTGCAACAAAGAAATCTGAGCATGACGAGGTGGACTCACTTGTGCTTCTGTTGACAGGGAGTCATGGCCGATTGATTTGTGAAGAACGTGATGGCCGTGCTTTCCATCTTTCGGTCGTGGAGACTTGTCGCGACTGCCATAGTTGAATATCAGCGAGCTAACTTTACCACTGCGAACCGCGACAGCCGTCCTGACATCACAAGGTCCCAACACATCGGTCCAACTTACACGCTCAGAAAGCGACGGACACCGCTCATTGCTGTCGGTCGTCGTTTGCAAGGTCCTGCCTGCGCTCTACATTCGCCGCCACAGCACCTTAATCAGGCGGATTGTAGCAGAGGTCAGGGCGACATCGTGCCAATCCTGAGGGGTACGTGGGGCCGCCCGCGGCAGCAATCTGATCGACCTCTACTTCAATCGACGAGCACGGCAACTGTGGTGAGATGATGCGTGTAGGTTCTCGAGCGCGAAATATGTTGTCTCTCTATATAGTGGCAAGTCTTTAACTTACAGGACTGTTGTTGAATTCCCGAACGATAAATTCACGTCGGCACTTATCACCCGCCCACGCCCTCATCTCGGCCCTCACTCACTCCACTACCGCGTTTCTTCAAACGCCACATGCTCCCGCCCAATCATTTTTGTCTGACTTGCGCTCCTGTCTGGGCACCATCGTACTACACCGCATCGGCTGCGTACAACCAAGACGAGCTATTTGCCATAAGTGCGGCTTACTGTACAATGCTTTTACCATTTGGATGATCAAAATCACTCAGTCCTTCTGCGCTGACTGAGCTCGATACTCAGGCATGTACGTCACAAGGCAAGAGAAAACGCAACAGCAGTAAGTGTGAGTTCATTGCTTTCCATTCTTGTCCAGCTATGCTAAAATCGCAACCTGGGATCTATCATGTCGTATCGACTTGTTCCCATCCTTCTCACGCTCAGGCGTCACAAGTCGGAAGGAAATAGTCCTAGCAAGCATGCTTTGCGCGTGGTCGTCGATGCATGTGAAACCCGTCGTCCGTCCACCGGGAGAAGCCTGCCCACGAGCTTTTCGTGACTCGCTAGGTGCCGTGTCTAGAGCGACTTGCAGCTTCCTTGGGCTCGTTGTTTGTCTCTCATATGTGCCTTTTGTCCTCACCTGCGATGTCGATTCCTCCTTTGGCAGGATCGAGCGGCCAGCGTGAACCTCGTAGTAGCCCGTCTTACGTGTCTGGTCTCGACAACTTGAGCTGTGCAGTTCAACTCGTGATCTTTGCACTGGCCGCGTACAGTGTTCAGGGTCAGTGAGGGCTTTCACAGAGACGCTCTCACTTCGAGATGTTCATTTGCTTTAGACATTCGATCATCGACAAACAGCTGAGCTTCCGAAACTCGTGAGCAACGACCGGATCCAAGTCGTATGGAGGACCACCACTGACAACACCTTCGGTAGGCAAGCACTTCTCCCTTGCAAGTGCAACGCTAGTCACGACGTCGATCCACTTCTCGAGTGAAAGTCTCATAGGGCTGTCGACCGCCAGAGTCTTTGCAAGCAGCGACCGTGGCAAAGCTTTTCGCTCCTCGAGATGCTCGAGACACATCATTTCGAACAGACCTTGCGATGTCGTGCTAGTCGTCTTGATGCCGGGATTGCGCTTGTCTTTGTTCTTTCCTGCCTTCGCAAGCGGCTTAGCCCACGGCATGAACTGAGTCTGCTCAGGCGACAGAAGATCTTGCGCAAGTTCGTCCAGAACAAAAGTGTAGAGGTTCTGTAGCTGCTCCTCCGGAATCTTCTGTGCGATCGTCGTGTCCGAGTACAGAATTGAGACCCAGCAGAACAGACGCCATCGTAACATGTTGTAGTCTTCGCGAACCTTGGTCGAGGACCGATAAACACGGTACACCAACACTAGATATTCGACAACAAGCTTCTCAATCTCGATTGTTCGGTGTGGCTCAACTAGAGTTATGCTTTGCAGCTGGAGGTCTTGTATTATTACCATCTGACTTCGGAGTTGGGCCATTGGATACTCTTCGATCGAGCTACCCTCTCTTGCCAAAGCAGCGAGGTTGAGCTTCAGTGCTGCAGCATATGTCTTTTTGTGACACTTCACACTGTGTACCATAGTCATGAGTTGCTCGTCTGTGGTCTTGTGATCTCTGTGGAGCAATAGATCTGCTAGGGAGCTCGCGGCAGCTAGCTAGAATGACTTGGTGTTGTTGGCTCAGTGGCCTCGCACGAATTGCATGTGCACGTGAAGAAATACCCATACTGCAGGTTCGTCTGGCGAATACTCGTCGGATATACGACTGGAACGTAGCCGTTGCAGATCTCTTCTCCCTTGGCGATGGGCTTGCGTGCATGGACGGAGATACTGCCAACAATCGGATTTGGTGATGAGTCGGGAGAGAAATGGTTGGAGACGTCGGTCCTGATCAAACCATTCGGGTCGCAGTTGTGATTCATCATGGCCGGCTCTGGATCAAAGACCTTACCCAGAATGTCCATATCGGGATAGCTCAGAGAGAATTTGTTTGCTTCGAGAACACACATTATACGTTGAATAGTTGAGATGCTTTCCTCGCTACCCGCAAGCTTTTGGAGGGCGTGCGAATCTCTGACAAGGCGAGGACCTCGTATAAGATCTAGAAGCACTTTGTCAACGTGTGCCTCGAGGTCAAGAATCTGCTTCCAAGCTTGTCCGGAGAGCACGCCATTCTTTCGCTGCAGAAGGATTCGCAGAGCAGCACGACGGTCGGTGAAAGCGTTCTCGTTGCTTAGTTCTTCCAGGCTACTGCTCTTGTAGACCGAACACTCGTATCTGTGGTGCTCGGTCCAGGCTTGCTTTTCGCATGAGTCGGAGCAGTATTTGACCCGTCGGCAATTGGAGCAGTCCTTCAGTTTAGAGCCGGGAGGTCCGATTGCAATATATTTCCAGGAGCCATGGAGCGAATTCTGCTCTGTTCTGAAGCACTGATGACAAGTCGCTGAACGTGACAGGTCAGCAGACAGGTCAATGAGACAGCTTTGTTGAACTCACAGTCGAATTTGTAAGGAGCCACGAAGATACTGATGGGTTTGTTGATGAACATGATCTGCTCGCCGATTTCGAAAGCTCGGGTGGCAATGAGACCTCTCCCTCGGCCTGGGATTTCGGTGACGACGTAGCATGATTGGTCACTTCGCGGTCGCCCACATCGATCAAGGTGTCGACTTTGGGAAACATTGCGCCTGCCATGTTCAAGCGATGTGCCTGCGCTGGTGAGCGCAGGAATAATAATCTACGACCACTTCAGTCGTCTCCCAAAACAAAAGGCTTGAAGGCAGTGTTGAGAACGAAAGAGTGCGGCGCAGCCGAGTCGCAAGAGGATATATTGACGTTGAGCGAAATGACGCAAACGAAAACGCCAAGTGAAGGACGCGGGCGCCGACCTGAGGTGAAGCTTGTCAGATGAAGTGGCCTTGAATGGTGATCATCTGAGCTTGAGATGAGATGCTGGCGGGCTTCATTGTCTGGACGTTTTGTCAAAGAGGAAGACTTGCTTCCCAATCAATCATTCCATCAGAACTCCAGGTGTTCGAGCACCTCCTCGAAAGCACCCGCCTTGTTGTCTGATGGCCCGACACCCTCCAGCCCCTGTGCCAGCGCATAGTAGACAGTCATTTCGACAGGGGCACAAGTCGTCCTGTAGACACCCAATGCCGTGGCTCTTTTTGCATTGACGCTCATGAACTCCTCTGGCGACATATAGCCATCCGCAATCACAGAACCCCGAGGATCTTTCTTGCTGGATTTGTCCTTCTCGTCGGAGCTTCTCGAAGCATTCCTCCGTCTAGACCTGCTTCGCCTGCGGCTTGAGTCACGCTTCCGATCGCGGCTGCGACTGCGACTGCGGGACCGACTCCGCCGCCGGTCGTTCTTACTTTTGGCGTCGGTAGGAATGTCACCGTCGATGGCTAGTTTCAAGCCCCATTTGCCTTCCTTAGTGACGGCGTAGACGAACATCTGCCAGGGGCACTGTTTCCGACTTGGGAAAACCGGCCAGCCTTTCGGCACTTTCAGTGATCCTCGGTCTTTGAGGCTTGCGAAGTTCCGCCAATGGACTTCTTTCTCATCTGATGTCGAGGCCTCCAGCCACCGGCGCTTTCCCCTACTGTTAGCAGCTGCGCTGAGGTGGAGTGCTTGCAGCTCCTTGGTTCCAGAACGCCGTGTCAGGTTGCACCTGTGAAGCACCCACTTCGAATGCGAAGTCGCACTGTCCGCGTACATGCAAATGGAGGCAGGCGTAAGAAGCAGAATGTTGGCGAGATTCATGACGATATCCGTACGATCAATGTCGGAGTCATGCTCCAGCCAGATGGATTCAAGGAGCAGCTCGAACGGGGTGAGCTCGTAGTCGACTCGCAACGAGTTGCCATGGGTGGACAGCGCCATGATACCGTATACCCGGTCCCTGAGATCCTGACAATGCCGAACGCCAGATAGGGTGGTCCAATCGGCGTCTTTGTGAACACGTGAGCTCTCACGCTTGTACGAAAGCCGCCGCTGCCACAGTGGATGGATGTTCGACATGTAGTCGTTGAAATCATCACGACGTTTAGAAGAGAAGACCACGTTAGTAAGGGCTCCCCTGTAGATCTTGTTGTCGAAACGTCGGATCGTGTCTTGAAATACATCGAAGGTGACCCAATCATTCCCCTGGATGATTCTGCCATGAGATGGCAGTGTGAACTCTTGGATGACCCATACCCGATCCCAGTAGAACGCGCTATTGATGTCCCGGAATCCCCTCCAGAACTCATCATCGCTGGCGGAACTTATCGCCATTGACATGTCGTTAGTATCTGCATACTCCTTCATCTTCTTGATAGCATGCTCAATATGGTCAGAGTCCCGACTCGACGGGCCAAGCCAGACAAGGACTTCCTTCGTGAAAGAATAGATTTTCCACATCATACCTACTTGCTGATTCTTTTCCTCGACATCTTCTTGATTGATGCCTCGGAAATATTAGCATGAGATCGAGCTGGGCGAATGGTCTCAACAGCGGCGACTCACAGATAGCGTCTACCCATAACGGCTTGTTTCTCAGATACTTTCTTGCATGCCTCAAGAATGCAAATAAATTCTCTCTCACAGGAAATGGCTTCCCGTTCAACAAGATCAGCTCATTGCTGTCAACACCAGAAGACTTTCCAGACGAAGCCCATGTGTAAGACAGAGCCGAGTAAGTGGCCTTGATGTCACTACGAGTCAACTCGCAAGAAATGAGTCCGTTCTCCTTTTCTGGTCGAACGCGTAGGATCCGGATTCGACCTTTGACAGATCTATCCAGCGGTCCGTATCGGAATGAAGCGATCTTCTGTCCGCCGTTGCCGCCACTGCCAGCCTCGCTCGCATGCCGTATCGATGGCGGCGGCCTGATGGATGCTGGTCGCGGCGATGAATCTCCAGATGGTGAACGTGGCCGCGCTGGGTTACAGGCAGATGCGATGTCAATATTCGAGGTCCGTCTGGTTATCACATCAACCTCGTAGACAGGAACAGCCTGGCGTGTGGCGGAACTCGATCGGCGGTAGTCCCCACCACCCGAACGCGGGATGTTCAAGTATTGGACCTCACGATAGCTGCTAGAGTATGCCCCTCCTTGATCCGGGAGTCGTAAACGGTCATCATTGTCTATATCGCGTGAGCTGCTGTAGCGACGCGCGCCCAGCGACATTGGAAGAACTGTGTCGAAGGTCAGGCTATTGCTTGAACTGTGGGAGGGGAAAAGTACAAGACCTATGTAATAAGCCATCCTATGTGCCGAAATAAGCTGGGCGTCAAGCTTTCAGCGCCCGCCTCGCCCGCTGTCTCGGTTGCACAAGCCAACGCATCATCGACAGGGGCCAGGGGTCTCGAATTCCCATCTGGGGGCCTGATCTTCCAAAGCCGTCGTCGGCATTTCATTCGACGTCGTCATACGATAGCTGAAGTGCTTCTAGGAAATGGCACAGTCTTCCAGATCTCGCCCTTCACAATTTGAGAACGGCCGACATTGTCTGAGCTTAATTGTGAGAAATTCGTCGGCCGAGGAGGAGGCAGGTCCATGACACACGACCGTAGCACACCCTGGGAGACGCGATGATCGAAAGGTCGATGAGCCTGGGCATAACTCGAAGAAGGTAGGAGGCCGGTACGACGTGGAAGACGCGTAGAGTTCGCCAACTACTGGTACCGTGAGTCAATATCAGCGTTGGCTGGCGTCTGGCAGGGAATTTCCAGCGGAGAAACAGCTCAGCACTCTGGAACATCTGACATAAGTTCACCACGTGTCTCCGTTCTCTGTCCTCTCGTCTCACAGTTCAGATTGTTCTCTTCTGACCATTGCCATCGCTTGTTTCACTCGGCACACGGCCTTGGGACAAAGGCACAGCTTCGCGCTTCATTGGGATTCTCATCTCAGGTGGAGGACTTACCAAGTTCTGAAGGGACCAAGTCCCCTCTGAAGAAAGAAAAGAAAGATTCAGTGCGATGAGAACGAGAGATTTATGGTGGTCGGACAGGCTCACGAGGCAGGACCGCTGGCGGCAGGTACGTGCCACTCCCGCCGTGACCTGCAGGCACTGCAAGATATGCTAAATTTTGGCAGGTAACACTCACAGCCACAGACATGCCGACGCTGCACCAACTCTGAGATCTGGCAATGCTCAGAGACCACTTTTCTTTCTCAGAATAAATCAGCAAAGCTCGCCCAAGCAGCTCCTACAGATCATTGTTCGAGCAGCAGTCGAGCAGTGCTACATGTCGTGGACACAACCAGCCCAGCTCATTTCCCACATGCTGAGATCATGCTGGAGCAGGAAGCAGCATTGGTAGTTCACATCCTTCCTACCTCCGACGTCAGTTGCCTCCTGATGCCCATGCTCGGGCCAGACTGCGTCGCCCGGCTGCTCATTTTACCAACGGTGGTGATGATAACCTCAAGCCTCGAAGCAGAAACAGCAAGGGAGGACGTGAGACCCTCCTATGTGAGCATCAATATCATGACTCATGGAGTTTTCTTCTTCAGATCAAACAGCATTGCTTGTCGAAGCAGCTCCTAGATGACATTGTCCGAGCACTGTCGAGCAATGCCACATCTTGTCGATGGCACTCCTGCAACAAGTTCTTCGACGCCCACCGCGGCGAAGACTGTCGCACTCCTTCGGACAGGGACGTACGTGTGAAAGGGAAAGATCATCCAGCAACTGACGAGCGTCTGACACGACCATTTCTCCATCATGTTCTCGTTTACCCGGCCTACTGCACACAACCATCTATAGGGCCCCTCAGCCAGATGCATGGGCCGCTCATGGCTACGTTCGTTCGTCCCAAAATCGACACAGATGCTGGTCTCCCCAGAAGCAGCGAGATCAGGCTTGTGTCACATCAACTGGAGGAGAAGCAAGAGCACTTAAGGGCCAGACTCATAATCCATTGGCTAGGCACTTGAGCAGAAACCACAAGGCGGAAAAGTTCTGTCGCAAAAGTTGAGGCTCGTATGGCCGTAGAATGCTATCGATGTTCAGACGCTTTCGAAATGCTACCAGGAGCTCTTGGCTCATCACGTGGTGCTCAGCCTAGGACTCCTCGTCTTCATCATCATCGTCCGCAATCAGTCGCTGCTGTTTCCTCGGCGTAGGCCTCGGCTTCCTGACCGCATCACTATCATCCCCGTCCTCATCCTCGCCCACGCCATCCGCGCCATTTCCGTTCACGCCATTAATAGACGCCACTGCATCCGGCATATCTTCATCAGCGTCAGTGACGGGAGTCGGCGCAGCCTCTTCCTCGTCTGAGTCATCCGAATCGATAATTCGCTCATCAGACTTGTACTTGCTGTTCGTCTTCTTCGGCGCTGGTGCGGAGCGGGCTTTCTTGGCAACGGCACCACCCTTCCGCTCAAGCCGTCTCCGCTTCTTCTTGGGCGGCGCAGCCTCACCACCAACTTCACCATCGCGATCACTATCACCAGAGAAAGGCGTCCGTGACACGCTCCGGCCAGACGCGCCCTCATCCTCGTCGTCCTCGATAAACCCATCCTCAACCTCGCGCTGGGCTTTTCGCTTGCGATTCTTGCCCGACGCGCGATCACGCTTCTGTTTCTCCTTACGCTTGATCCGGTCGCCTGTCTCTTCGTCATCGGTGTACTCGAGAGCTTCCCGTGCTGCAGCTTCAGCACGTGCTTGCTCCCCACGCCGCTCGGACTCCTCCTGCATCTTTCTCCGCTCTGCTTCAACAGCTTCGAGCTGCTCCTGCTCTTTTCTGCGGAGCTCGGCTTTGAGGGCGTCTTTCTTGGCCTGCTCCTCCTCGCGGCGTTTCCGTGACTCGACAAGCTTCTCTTGGTTGTTGCGCTCGAACTCGGCTTGGCCGCCGCGAGCACGCTCGAGCTGCTTCTTCATGGTGTTGCGACCCATGGCGGCACGAGACTCCAGCATGCCACGTGGTAGGGAGGAGCCTTGACCTGGGCGACTTCCTCGAGAGTGGCGATCGCTTCGTCGAGACCTTTTATGGCGCTTTCAACGTCAACTAGCGATCGGTCTGTTTCCTTGGCCTGGGTGACTATTGTTGCGATCTGGAATTGGATGAACGCCACGTTAAAGCGGAGATGTGGTGAGTCTGGTGTAGCATCGAGGGCTTCCTTCATGTATTCGAGTGCAGTGATATGCTCCAGGATTGAGCGCTCAACTTTGGCCTTCAAGAGGTGAGCCCGGGACAGACAAGCAAGGAGATGCGGGTTCTGTTTCGACCGATCCAACTGCTGCGCTGCGTTGTAGTTCTCGATGGCTTTGGGATATTGCCGAAGTTCTGTGTATATGTGTCCCAGGTTCGTGAGCACGTTTACGTCGCGAACAGTGTCTTTGACTCGTGCGAAGATCTGCAGAGCTTCCGAATAGCTTCTCTTGTCGTCGCAGAGCATAATGGCAATACCTTGTGCGGCGAAAGCATTCTTGGGATCCAGTTGCAGGACCTTGTCAAAGAACTCGTAGGCTTTAACGTACATGCGACTCCGTTTCTCTTTCTCTGCATCGTTATTGCGGGGCATCTCGCGAGCAATGTTGAGATGAATATTGCCCATACCAGTTAGGGAGTATAGATCATGCTTGTCGTGGTTCTGCAGCGTGTGTTTGTACTGCCGATACTCACTGTCTTCGCTGACATTGGGTGTCTTCTTCTTGGATCCATGGTAGAACCAGCCCATCAGAGCCCTGACATCGATATTGCCAGATTCTTCTGCGTACAGCTTCGAGATGGCTTTCGGTCCTCTCTCTCTGGGTGATTCGACCAAGTCCATGAATGCCAAGCGTGCTTTTGCTTCAGTGTAGTCTGGGTGTCGTGACAGTAACATGTCGTATGTTTCTCGCGCATTCTTCTCGAGACCCAGGACTTCGTAAGTGCGTCCTAGGTTGTATGAAATGGTCGCAAGCAGAGCATCCACGTCGGTGTCGTCGACATCTGCGTCGTGCATATTGCCCTCGGCTGCGAGTTCGCGTTCTGCTTGCTGTTTCTGAGACAATTTACTGCATGCTCCCATAGCGATCTCCAGCATCGAGCGCGCAGAACTGTAGTCCCCGAAGTGATAGTAGTGACACGCTCTGTTGTTGAGCAGTGATGGAGGTAGGTTGCTTCGGAGAATTTCCAGCTTGGCTTCATCGGTGGCGGTCTCTTCTGGCAGCTCGTCTTCCGGAATCTTATCGAATTGAAGCTGCTCGACTTCATCAAGGTATTTAGCGCTCTTGATCGGATCTTCTTGCTCGTACAGCCGTGCCAAATATAGCAAGACTGTCTCGTCCTTCTTAGCGCTCGTATTGATGCTGCCATCTTTGTTCTTCGCTTGCGTCCATGACTTCTGCACGTTCTCGAGAAGCTTGATTGCCTGTAAACACAGGCTCTGCGCTTGTTGTCGATCTTTTGCTTCCTTACTGCCTTCACTTGCGACGGCAGGCAGGGTCTTCTGCATTTTAAAATACTCTTCGGCTGTCAGAATACCAAGCAGCGTGCTGGCCTCGACATTTCTGTGACCGGTCAAGGATTCGAGGACCTGTTTTGACGTCTCATAGTCTTGTCCACGCTGGATAGCAACCTGAGCCTGGGCGAATTTGGCTGGGACGAAACCTTTGCCGATGCCTGGTCCACCTCTGGCCGCATCAGCGCGACCATAGTATTCGGTAGCGGTTTCCAGGTTGTCTAGATTGTGCTCTTTCCTGCCTAGCAAGTACCAGCCATCGCTGACAATAGCAACCACGTCGGTCTTCTCGATTGCGTTTCTTGCCAATGGCTCGACCGCGTCGTGTCGATTGGTCAATAAGAAGTAGCTTGCAAACACTGCACAAGCAAGTGGGAATGCTTTGTCGATTTTGTAGGCCTTGCTGATGTGCTCAGTCATGGCTTTCTTGTACAGCTTGTCGAATTCGGGCAAAGATGCCGGGTGCTTGTTGCTTTCCCGAAGATAGTAGACACCCAGCAGAGCGTGCGCCACTTTCGAATCAGGGTTTACCTCGAGGGATCTCGACCAGGCCTTGCTCGCCCTCTCATGCATGCCGAGCTGCCACAGACATGACCCAATGCCAATTCTTGGATCAGGGTCGGACATGGAGGGCATGCGCATCAGCACCACCTGATATGATTCGAGGGCCTGCGCATATTTTCCTTGCATATAGAGCACTCTTGCCTTTCCCAGCATGGCCATCATATTTCGATTGTCCGATGTCCGCAGAACATGCTCAAAGTTTGCCAGCGCATCTTTCAAGTTCTTTGACCGCTCCTGGTCCGCTCGATCACCCGTCTGTGTCGCGGTCGCCAATGAAGCACGTAGTAGAGACCAAACGCCGGACGTGAGCTTGACTGGTGGGAACGACGGGTTGATTCGGCCAGCATCGTTCAACGTAGCAATGACATCCTTGAGATAGTCGTCCTTGACTTTGACATCGATATCCGCACCCTGAGGCTTCGTCCGAGGGGCTTGTCTGCTCTTGAGAAGTTGCAGCCATGCCACACCAGACAGAAGATTGAGTCGATCTTTCGAAGGTAGGACCTCAATACCGCTGCGCAATATACTGAGAGCTTGGTCAAGTTGCGACTGCTTCGCATATGCCAATGCGATGGTTATCCACAAGTTCTTCGGCGCCTTCTCGTCTCCGAGCAGTTGGCACAGTTCGGTCGGGTCGTCGAGTTGTTCGGCGAGATGAACCTCGACGGTGTCTCCGTCGGCAAGCGGCACCTCGACGGCGTTGGGGATATCGGCGAACCGACCGTGTGCGACGTCGCCATTACTACTGGCACGACGGTGGGCCGCCATTGTTGACCAAGGGGATGTTCCAGAGGAAGAAGGGCGTTGGATTCTGAAATTGTTGTTCCTTTGGATCACAGGCGAGTTGGAGATGCACGCGCAGTCTGCGCTAGTAAAGTAGGCTCACACAAGACCGGTAGACTGGAATCTGGCTCTGGACGCAGTTGAATGCAGTATTTCACGTGACTGTCAGGGCCAACATCAAGCACAGTGCATGTGAAGGAATTGGGTGAATTCGAGGAGGCTTTCGCTCTATCCTGTCCCCAGTAGTAGCATAAGTCGGGATTCACTCCGGGTCTCATCCATCGTCGTCTCGTCGTTCATCGTTCATCCCTCATAACCGAGTGCCAACCAGCATCTCCCACAGTTTGACCACTACGTTCGCAACCATGGCCAGGGCTAGCAGGACGACGAAAATCTGTACAATCTCCAGCCACGATGACAATCGCACGTCAGTCTCAATGTAGCCCTCCTGCTTGTCGACGCCCTCGTCTGACGGAAATCGGCCAGTGTTGTAGAACGTTTCCAGCAGCTCATCTTTCTCCCTCCATCTTTCCAACACCCAAGCCTCGAAAGCTTTGGTATCCTTAATGGGGATCTCCGACACCGCAAATCGCCTCCAGTACATATTGACAGACTTCGGAGGACGCCCCTGGAAGTACGTCGACCTAAGCGTAAAGTATTCAGGAGCATATCCCCCCTTTCTGCTACGAATGAGCTGCTGTTGATGGCGACTTTTAGGTATGGGAAGTACTTACGGAACACCTTCATATGCAAGGGTACAGTCGTAGACCCATTCTATCGAGTCGCCGAGTTGCTCCAGGCAGAACTGCAGACCAGTGCTACGTGGCAGCAACTGATGCCGAAGGTCTGGAATTCCCGATTTTTCGGACCAGGCCACACTTTGCTTCTTCGTGTTTCTGGAAAGATTGGTGCCTTCTGGGAAGATCAAAAGCCACATCGGATCCAACGACGCGCTCCCTGATAACGGGCCGTGGTGACGCTCCTTCAGCTTCTGTAATCGATAGGCTATCCGCGATTGATCAGAAGCCCATTTTCGAGCCATGAAGATAAAGCCATAGAACATTATGCCAGGGCTGAGGATCGGCATGTACTTCAGGGACTCCTTCAATATGATGTAGATGTGACCATGCATCCGGTTCGCGTACGCGGACCACCAAAGATACAGCCAATCGGTATAGATCTGATGATTTGCAAGCATAGTCAGGCGCTCAGGAAAGCTCAATTGCAGCCGCCCGTCAGGGGTCTTCTTGAGTTGCCCTCGGACACTCTTGTCCCAACTCACACGAATGACGGTCGGACTGAACCATTGAGTAATTGTGGTGATAAGGATGCCGAAAGATTGCTTCGTTAAAGCCATGTAGGCGTAGTAATAATCCTTGTTGATGAAGTAAAGCGGACAGCCGATGATTTGCGTAGCGTTGATAGCAACTGCAACGCACATGAACCATGATGTGAAGAGCAAGACGCGTAGAACCTCGACGCCAACTCCGTGTTTGACCTCGCCAGCAGGATGGGGTTGTGGTGCAGCCTTGGCCTCATGAGAGACGGCATCGACCGATTCTTTCACGCCCTCGGTGGTCCGCTTACGGACACCGTTGGTCGCCATCGTGATGATGAAGATGCCTTGTGGAAGAAACGAAGTGGTTCGAAGGAAACGATATCTTTCTATTAATGGGGTTATACTTCGTATCGTGGGGTGATGATTAAGTCATGAGATTGCCGGCTTGTGATCATTCTAGGTAGCCGTACTCGCCGTGGTACCTAACAAGGTGCAAGAATAGACCACCAAATTGAACGTCCATTCACCAACTGGAAAAGACCGAGCCTGCAGTCATGGTTGCCTAGAACGAGAACGAGCTGAGTGATGGCCAAAGTTGCGCTCAGGCCTTCGGCCGGCTCGGATCAGCGTCACGTCATATGTGCCTCTCGGGGCCGCCGTAGCGAAGTCGACGCTTGTGGATTATTTATCTCGCCGTACCCATGTCTTCTTGATCCTCTTAAGTTGCTGTTCCATGGTCGCCATTTAGTCATTGCTCTGTGTTGGTTTTCTGGCTGTTTCGGTGCTTTCTGCTTACTGGCGCCTGCTCTGGAGGTCTGAGATAGACCTTCGTAGATGATGTACAATACGCCATGACATTTGTACCCTGAGCGCTTCGGTTATAAGCCTAATGACTTTGATATGCCTAACATCTGGGCTAAGGAACGCTACCAATATCAGGAGGAGAGCGACACGTCAAATCAACATCGTTTCGCGCAGACGCTTTCAGACATCGAGATCAATACTAGACTCGAGACCGTTGGATGTTCTTCCATCCAGGAGCCATGCCGCATATCAAGAACGACCAGGCAACGACCTCTTGTCATTAGAATGGCCTTCACCACCCCGGAATGTCTTTCTCATCAAGAAGGACTATGCTACGGAAACTAGTGCGGCTCTGACGGAGTTTGCCAGTCATGTGCATTCAACGTATCCCGGCACAAACATAATCGTTGAGCCCTCCGTCGCAGAGGAGATCAGCGACACATTGCCCTTCACCGTCTACGCCGCAGCCCACAACACTCCGCACACAGCCTACCACTCCAAAGTCGACATGATCACAACCTTCGGCGGTGATGGCACAATCCTTCACGCCGCAGCCCTCTTCGCCAACGCAGTGCAAGTACCGCCAATCCTCTCCTTCGGCATGGGCACTCTAGGCTTCCTGGGCGAGTGGAAGTTCTCCGAGTACAAGCGTGCTTTTCGCGAAGTCTACGTCTCCGGCGCACCCTCCTCTCGGCACTCCCTTCTTGACAGTCCAGCTCACTCTGCTCCCGACTCCACCGACACATCATCTGCCGACACTGGTCCAACCGGCTGGTCCTCAATTCGTGGAAAGTCCCTTGGTCTCACGCGAAGCGCCAAAGTCCTGATCCGCCAACGCCTGAAAATTGGCGTCTACTCCGCCAACGGCCGGCGGCTGACGTGCACTCCTACGTCCAATGGTGACTATCAGGCCCCCATCTGCTCAAGCAGAGGACGGCGACACCCACGCCATGAACGAGATTATCCTCCACCGCGGCGCCGACCCGCATCTCACCATCATAGAGATCTACGTAGGCGGACGCTTCCTCACCGAGGCCGTCGCCGACGGCATGATCATCTCGACACCCACCGGCAGCACCGCTTACAGCCTGAGCAGTGGAGGCAGCATCATCCATCCACTGGTTCCTTCGCTGCTGCTGACTCCCATCTGTCCCAGGAGTCTGAGCTTCCGACCCTTGGTGCTCCCTGCGAACTCGCCGATTACGCTCAAGCTGAGCGAAAAGAATCGGAGTAAGGAGATTGAGCTCAGCGTGGATGGGAAGCGGATGAGAGGGGGCGTGGGCGTCGGGGCAGAGGTGAGGGTCAGTGGAGAGGAATTGGTTCACGGGGTCAACGGAGGGCATGTCAATGGAAGAGGATCGAAGGGCGAGTGGAAAGGTGGCATTCCGTGTATACTAAGGCAATCGAGGAGTGGTGGTGCCGAGGGCGATGATGGTTGGGTCGGGGGTTTGAACGGGCTGTTGAAGTTCAACTATCCGTTTGGAGAGGAGGACTGAGGCTTCGCAGACTCAATGGGTCCTCCGGTTTGTACACGATGTGGCGGCTGTTCTCAGCGTTCGGGAGAACCGGTGCACGGGCACGTAGTGGGCATTCTGCATTCCCGCGACGTTATTCTGCCTTGTCTCCGTTGTCATTTAGCCGCGCTCGGGAGCCGGGGACGAATTGGAGTGCGGGGCCGCCGATTGCGAGCACTGAGGGTCGGGCAGAGTTGCCCAAGTATTGTTATTACCCGACAACTGCCGGGCATGTGCAGAAGGGAGGGTAGGTGAGGACGAACCGGGGGCTTTGGCACCAGCAGGGAATATCACAAGCATGCAGATCGATAGCGTGTGATGGGAATCTGGGATTGCTGCAGGGGTGGCATGCCATTTGTATCTGTACCTGTCGATCTTTGTCGTTGAGGATGAAGGTTATGCGGCATGCCGTTATTGCCGTTCATGGCTCATGTTGAGTGATCGGGGCGGACTTCATATGTACTTGGCTGATCAGAGGTCGAGTGCGCTCTCGCGACATTCGAGGGTCTAGTGCCATGGGTTCGAAGTGGATCAGAGGTCAGTGGTATGTGTTTCTCTTGGGACAGCACCTGCGGCAGGGATCTGCGCGCACAGATGGGTGCCATGCAGAAATAATGCCAGCAGAATGTCGCCGAGCATTGAAGACATACGTACCCTCCTGAGTTTCGCGGCAAGTCATGGCCTTTGGTATACTCAGGGGTAAAAGTCGTTTAAACCCAGAATCAGCCGTTGGATGATCTCTGGATGATCGACGAACATGTTGCTGCTCGAGCAGGGGTGGTGCGGAGATATGTGTCCGTGTCGAAGTGGGCGAATTCCAATGCGAGAACTGGGGCACAATTCCGATTGTCGAGCTGAGGATCGGTTGTGCTAAGGAGATGTATTTGCGACAGGACGTCCCTAGGTTGTGCAATGGCAGATCTGCCAGCTGCGCCGAAAAAGCAAATGATTTATGAGCAGAGACAGAGCTTGTGTTGAGCGCTGGCTCGGGTACTCGACCTCGCTAAAGTCAGGCCGCGTTGTAGCAGTGTGTGCAGCACCACAACTGCAACGCGTTCATCTTGGGTGACAGAAGGACCATTATACCACAACAATGCGAAGCACAGGGCAGATGCAACGGCCAAGAGAGAAGCCAGTGTATCCATCTGGCGGATCTGCACGGAGAAAGGCGAGCTTCGCCGTCGGTTGCCAGACTCTGGAGAGCACGACAGACACCTTGACCGCCCAAGTTCGCTTGCAAGTCGTGGCAGGACAAGCGAACTTGGAACGAAGTTTTCTCCCGAGGTGCCATGGAGCTCCAGGTAAAGTGAAGCTGAGCTATATTGTAACCGGAGTGAACGGCAAAGGGATGACTATGCGAAAAATCTAGAACTACAAGCATGATGCCGTTACGTGAGGTTGAAAGTGAAGCTCTAGTAAGCTCTGGTGTGGCTGCTTCCAGGCAAATCGATAGCGTTCTTGCCGCGGAAGTGAGCATGCAGGGCATCAGGGACAACCCTCCCGGCAAACTTCAGGAACTTGCTGCCTCCCGAACCCATTTTTCGGGAGTCGTCTAAACCTACTGATCCTACAAGAGAATTGAAGCACATGACGCACATTATTGCCAGACAAAAGTCTCGACGAGTTCTAGCTGAGACCGCTGAAGATGCAGCAGCAGCTGGCAGGTTGTCCGGTGGCTCAAAGTTGCCAGGCGTCACTGCTAACACCCAGTCGATGTATATACTGCAAAGGATCAGAAAAGCGACCTGACCGAGTGTACATGCCCCTCGGCAGTCGATCAGGAAGACCCTGTTCGCCTTGCATATCAGGCCTTCTTCGGTGACCACGGGCCTTGCTATTGCGGGGTGCTCGCTTAGGCAGGTACCTTCTAGCTGCAGGCAGGTACACGGTGTAGACTGCATATACCCAGGTTGCCCTGTCCAGGCACATCAAGCTATAGCTGCAGTGGTAAGAACGCGCAGGTGTCAGTCGTGCGCACGGGCACTGTCGCAGTAGCGGCAGCATAGCACAAGCGAGGTGACGGAGACGGTTCAGGAGGACACAGCGAGAAGTTTTCGTCGAAGATGGAGATGCTGCCTCGAGACATGTGCGTTGTCTAAGGTTGACTTCCTTCTCTGAAACATCAATCCATCTGGAGGAGCATGGACCTCATAAGAATTGTGGTCCTGTCCCTAGAACTGGGCGAACTGTGTTCTCGTGGCAGTCGAGCTCCTGCGGTAGTATCATGCATTGTTCCCTCGAAAATTCTGTTCTGCAGATTCAGGAGCCCCTCTACTCGGTACAAGTGTACACCCAAGATGACCCCACGAATTTGAGTCAAAGACATCTTGTCATGATCGGCATGGTCGGGAGACCGCAGACGTCGTAACGGGGCTTCACCGCTTGCTCAGGCATTGTCTTGGTCGCAATCATATGGCCGTCGAGTCAAAGAAGCAATTCCTTATCTAGACTTGGTACTTCAGTAGAGCATTGCTCAAGTACTAGCTACCTAGATTGGCATTCATGTGCTGCAAAGCGAACACTAGGTACGGAGGACTAGAGCCCGACGTCGCCCAACTAGAGTTGTCGTCGGATGGATTGGCAACTTGATATTTTTGCCTCCAGCTCCTGGACGCGTACCTTCAGATGGGTACGATATGTACCTACAGTAGCAGATCTCCAAAGAATGGGTACCAGTTTGACGGAACATAGCAGCCAAGACCTATCCCACTTTGGACCCATCATTGATCCTCATAACTGGGAGTCTTCAAGTTTAACAATGTCAACAACCTCATTGTTGTTGTCATGAGCCCCAGCAGCTTCTGAGAGTATCCATGCTGTGAAATATCTTTGACCCACGAGCAAAGCGTCAGCGTCCTAAAGGCAAAGATAAGAGACGCCATACCGCTGTACGGTTTGCATCATGCCCCAGAAGCTGCCGTCCGCTGTTCGTGGGGTCGCTTTATGAGACGCTCTAAGCGAAGCCACTGACTGACCTTGATCTGTTGCTACTGTCCCAGCAGGCTGGAAGAGAAATGTCGGCATCAAACATCCACTGGACTGGTCTCTGCAGCTCACAGGACCTCCACAAGAGCGATGATGATCAGCGGTGGATGGGATGTGCTAAGAACGAGTCCAACGTCATTCAGCATGGTGTCTGCATACACAGTAGTTGAACTCCGGCCATACTATACAGGAGGGGCGTTTCAAGTTATGTAGGCAGTAGCTTTCCCGGCTGTCTGAGGTCTGCTTCACATCCAATCTGTCACAGCTGTCAGGATCCAGCAATCAAATCGACGGGCATCTGTCGTGAGTAACACCCGATCAACGGCTTTGTTGACGTCCGTGCTGTTGAAACAGCAGCTTTCGAGCAGTTTGCAAGAATTCATCCCCTCGCTTGAGCAGTGTTTAAAGGCTTGCTGTGCGGAGCAGTCTTCTTCGTCGTAAAGTGGACTGCGCTTGTGCTGACGCACCTAACTGTCGGAGTCACGGCCGGGTCATCGTGACTTTTGTTTTGAGTTAAGCCTGCCGCGGCTTTCGGGAGATCCAGCACCGTGGGATGAGGCTAGACCGCCTGAAGCAAAGAGCATGCAGACCCCTGCTTCTCCTCGACCTTGTCACCCCTGTTGCCATGCGTCGATTACTTCGTCCATCTTTTCGAGCTCTTTCTCTCGCCGGCGGAGCCAACATAGGTGCCTGACTACCGTGTAGCTAACGAACCCAAGCTTCGTTCTCTTGCAGTCCGTCGAGGTATGTCTTTGCGCTTCTCCTGTCTTGTAGTATTCCACAATGCGCTTGTTATCCACTACCAATCCGAGTCTTGAGCCAGCAGCATGGCGTCCTTCCTCATGCGACGCCGCGACGAGGTCCTCATCGCCAACAGTAACCAAATTCGAAAGCCCAGGAAGATCCATCGTGCCTGACGACGCTAGCACTGATCGGCTCTATACCATACTGATCCCTGTACCTTGCTCTGCAGTCCGATCGTTTCCTGTTCGAGGTGTACCGGAAGTCCACTACCTTGCTCCTTCTCAACGGCTTCAGCAGAAAGCGGTATGATGATAATGGACAGCGTTCTCGGTAGCCCCCCTACACTCCACCTCACTATTCGCAGTCGTTAGGACTTCTACCTGGGCACTTCTCTTGAGCAGTCAGCACGGACCTGTTATTGTTGTTCTCTGTGCTCTTCATTACCATTGTGTCCTTCTTGTTGTGTACGATCATCCTTCTCGCGAGCATTCTTATTCGTTCTTGCCCACGCAGATCACGTTGCAGTTCTGGGTCGCTCCTGTCAATTGAACTTAAGTGCAACACAGGCCCTGCACCACTTTCTTACGTGCCTCGGCGAATGCTTCACGGCAGCAACATTGTAACGTCAACTTCATGGTGGATTGGACGTCATGGGCCGGTTCGCATGGACACAAAATCACCACAAACAGCCGAGTGATGGCAAGCACGTTCTGCCAGACTGGTTCAGCAAGTCCACGGGCGAACCATCGCGGCAGGCACTCGTAGAGCTGGTGAAAGAACACAACAGTCCACCGGGCACTACATACACCAGATCGCGGACCAATACCCTAATATCGACACTCTCACACGGCCACAAGTCATCCTCTTCTCATTCATCGAGTAGTCAACGATCTCGACCGTCGTCACGCCAAAACTCCTTCGATGGTTTGGATGTCCATCCTGGAGCACAGGAGAAGACCGGCAAGACTCTCCTCAGCAAAGGCAGCAAGATTATGCGTCGGCAAACGAGCAAATTCAATGTGCTAGCATCGCATACGAGCGAGGACCCATCAAACAACGATAGCAGCCCTCGATCTTCAGGATTACAGCGGGTCAGGTCCGCAGGGCAAATGCTCAACATGCACACCCGACGGGCTACAGTAAAGCCACAGATATCAGGTCCGTTCGACTTCCAGCACGTCTCGCACACCGATCAATCGCAATATCAAAACCTCAACAAATCCACCAAGGTTGAATTGGTCGAGTCCTTCAACTCTCTGCAAGCTAGTCAACGACCCAAAGGCGACATCCAGGGCATCACTGTCGCCGACATACAGTCCACAGATGCTTCTTTCGAGCATCGGTCGTCCTCGCCAACCTTCTCAATTGTGCCTTCTCTCACGGACGAGACATCGAAGCCGGCACCACCACCCAAGGATCATCTCAGACTACCGTCACTTGGTGGAGACGTAAGGCTGTCGCAATCTGTCGAAAACTTCTCTTGGCCGAGTCGTCTGTCGCTGTTACCGGGATTTGAAGTCGGTGACCTTGACTACGGGACTACCGACAGTGTCGAACAAGCTGCAGCGGCAGATGATCCAATCACCAGTTTCTCCTTTAGCACCGACGAGGAAGCTCCCGAAGACCAAAGTCGGCCCTCGCCGCAGCTGGCTCCATCAGCAATGCTTGACAAACCTTTGCCTGAGGCACCTGGCATTGTCCATGCAGTATCCACGGATGATCTTTCGGCGCTGTTACTCAAGACTTCGCCTCTCCCCGAACCACCGTTGCACCAAAAACAGATGTCAGCAGGAACGGACTCCCTCAACTCGGTCATGACCAGCCCGCATCGCAAGAGCCTCATCCGGCCCATGCAGTCTGTACCTGCCGATCTTGGCCAGTATCGTCAGAGTCGGCTCGTGGCGCAGGTACCACTAAGCTCAACATTTGTGTCAACTTCGGATGTCCTGGCATCTCCGCCGCGCCCAGGCCCAATAGAGAGGAGAATATCAGTGGGCCTCAAGACTATCGACGTTGATGATTGGGAAGATGCTATCGATTACTCTTGGGATCATGCTTTGGAAGATGAGGATGACGATGGTCTCACGATGAACGCAACCTCAAGCATGTCCAAAAGTGACATCTTGCCACAGAGATCATTTCCACCTACTCAGTCCTTTGCATCATTCGCACAAAGAGCCCCGATGCATTCGCGAGCAATGCGGCACAATGCTCCGCAGTCTTCGCTGCGCGGCCTCGGCATCAATTCAGGCGATAGATACAGTGCGGCATTGAGTCCTGACTCGCACGTTCATGTCAGCCAGCGCGAAAGTCTGCGAGTGCCCTACCCACAGCGAGTGTCTGGCTCACCAATCAGCAAGTCAAGCTCGCAAGAGAGCATAATTCTGTCTATCGCCTCCTCAATCATCTCGACGAATCGCTCGAGCAATACTTCATATGGTGATCTCAAGCATTTTTCTCATCCCGAGGCCGAAAGCCCTGTTCTGCAAACGGCAAGCCAAGATGGCAGCAGCTCAAGCGTCGATACTGTTACCTGCGAACAGAAACCAGATCTACACTCGACTGATCAATACGAAGATGACACCATCGTCGAGCTCCCGGACATCGGTCATCAAAGGGGAGCTTCCACCTCCCGTGTGCCATATGTGCCAAGTCGACGGTCTTCGATGATACCTGCAGCTCAATCTGCCGTCCGACAACGGTCTAGCACTCTCCAGGGACGTCCCAAGCTCAATACACGAGCTTCATACTCGCTGTTCCCGACATCTCGACCTACTCAACCTACCTCACAATCGTAGATCCTTGTACATTCACCCGAGCAGGCCCTGCCAGCTCAAAATCCTGCTGCGACCTGCGTTCATTTGTTCGATAAATTCCACTCGCAACATTATTCGATTATGACTTAATGATTGGGCAGCCTTGGAAGCTGCCATGAACGATTACATACGAAAAGCGATGTTTTTGTTGGGTTGGTGACATCGACCTAGTTGGCCAACAGATAGTATGGTCACGGTCTTCTCATAGACTTGGCCGGGTTTTATGGGAGTGCAATCCTGCGCCGATGCATATACATGCGCAAGCTGGAGAACCGCAAGGTTACGGTATGCTAAGTACTTAGATCTGGAATTTCTGAGAGACCCGTTACACGAGGCTCATGTACATATGCTGAACGATCTTGAGACTGCTCATAGTTCATCTTATCGTGCGAAAGTACTGCACCCTCATCGGCCGTGAATCGTTACTTAGGTGTTTGCGTCTCGATGCAGAGGAACCAGTGAGTATACCATCGACCCAGCCAATGACCCCGGGGATCAAATGATGAAGTGAATACCTAAGTACTAAGTACTCTATCACTTGCCCAGTGCTGCTCGTAAACGCCTCACTTTGCCTGTGCACCGCCACACACCAGCACCGGCGCGTACTTGACCTCATCGCGTTCTTCACGCCCAACCTCCCATGGCCCACTACTACTTACCTGTACCGCCTTGCCGCTTACACTGCTGCGCCTGTAGCGGTCGTCTGTAGCAATATGATGTGTTTGATCGCCAGACACCAGGTAAGGACCGTCACTGAGTCTCAAACCACCCATGTATAAGTATCTTTCCCACCCTGCGCTGCACTGCACTCCGAGTCCTGCCTTATATAACCTCCCCTACATCGAACATGATACTCTAATCTCGAGTTACCACCCACAATGAGTTTCTCCGGACGAACGCCCGAGTCTTTTCTGCCGCGAACTGATTCGAAAAACCCTTCGACCACCTGCAAAGGCCTCACGGCCAGTGGGCGTCCTTGTCGAAGAGCATTGGCCAGCAGCCCGACTGGTAACAGTAGCAGATCCTCTCCAGGTCCTTCCTCGGACCGCAACGATGCCGTCGTCGGCGGCGTCCTCGCCATTCTCGAGCACAGCGATGCGGCTGCGTTCTATTGCTGGCAGCATAAAAGCCAAGCGGAGGAACTAGCCGCGGAGCCGGAACAGAAGACCACATTGTTCCCACTACGGGGGAAGTCGAGTATAGATTCGATCGCGGAGAAAGTTGGGGTCGTTGACCTGGATTCCGAGGTAGGATCACACAGTGGCGGGAAGCGGCATAATGCGCGGCGTGACGAGCCGCGTTTGACGAAGCGGGATACCATGCCATCGGGATGGCAGCATATGCAGGGACCTTTGATGACGGTGCCCGAAGAGGTACAGCTGCCCAGTAGGAAGGACGACTATTTGGGCGGACGATCCAATACCAAGGTGTCATGGTCGTGCTGTCTACAGGCGGATGATCATGATGAGCCACCACAACGGCATCGACGACGGCCACAGCCTCCGCCGGCGCAAGGCTATGAGAGCCCCGCGCCCATGCAGGCGGCGATGGCTCGTCCGGCTCCGGTGGTCCAGCGGAAGCCTGTGCCGTCCTCGCAGGTTCGAGGCCGAGCAGTCCCTGCGCCCGACCGTCGCTCGCCATCAATATGGACTGAACCTAGACTGAGCGCTCAGCGACCTGCAACGTCTGCCTCGCATACGCAAGACCTGCTGGCACTGATCCCCTCCAGGACTTCACCGCAGACCGCAGCTCTTCTGCTCTCCGAGCTCAGCAAGCCACTGTCTCCGTCAGACGACAGCGGGTACATCTACATCTTCTGGCTTACTCCCGATTCATTCGACTCGAAGCCAGACGATGAGACTGCCTCGAGCCTGCTCGGTGACGATGACGAGGAGATGGATCTGGACTCGGATTCCGAAACCGAGCCCACGACGGCTCAAGCCACCAGACGTCGAAGCGGACCTGGTGCTCCAATAAAGCAGAAGAATCCTCGCCAAGCTGCAGCTATTCAGCGATACGCCTCAGTCCGGCGCATTGAACCTCGTACTTCCCGCACTAAGCACACAGCCAGCACGATCGCTCCTACAACAGAGGAGCAACGAACGATCCTCCTCAAAATTGGCCGCGCCAGCAACGTCCACCGACGCATGACGCAGTGGTCGAAGCAGTGCGGACAGGACATCACCCTTGTCCGCTTCTATCCATACAGGATCAAATATGCATCTCCAAAGCCGGCAACTGGCGCCAGGTCCGCACCTCGGTCCCCTTCCGGCGCCTCTTCCGCAGCCGCATCGACCGGAATCACGCTCAAATGCCCGTACATAAGTCGCGTAGAGCGTCTAATCCACCTCGAGCTCGCCGAGCAGCGCATTGTTGACCCCGGGAAGTGCGAGCAGTGCGGACGCGAGCATAAAGAGTGGTTTGAGGTACCAGCGACGCGGAAAGGGCTTCGGCGCGTGGATGAAGTTGTCAAGCGCTGGGTTGGGTGGCTTTGCGCCAAGAGTCGGAAGAACCATGGGCGGCTGGCGCGACGCCAAGCCAAAATTTGGCCGTGAGGCTGCAGCAGAGACCGGTTGGTGGTACTCCGCAGGACGGTTCTGATGCACTGGAGAATGAGGAGCCCGGCATGGCGGTTGATCAACGTCGACCGCGGCGGAAGAGCGAGGATCGTTATCGTAGTGGCTTCTCAACGTCGATGCCGCCGGTTGGGCAGCCGCGGGCGGTCAGCAGCCACGAGCAGGTACGTGTCCGTCCGCCGGAAAGAGCCAGCGTGAAGCAGCAGGGGCGCATGAGCCTGCCCGTGACGGAAGGGTATTACTAGTCGGCTCAGGCCGATGATGACCGAGATGAACATAGCATATATGCGTCCAGAAGTATAGAGGCAGATAGTCCTCATTTCAGTTAGCCGTGCGTTTCAATACCGTTCACGTTTCCGGGTATCTAGAGCCTGACAGCCGATATACGCAGGCTGATTTGCATTATAGTCTCAATCGACGAAATCTGCAGGGAGACTGGGGCAATGGCGAAAAGCGAGTGCGCCACATCGAGACGATGTGACTATGATCGTGTCAACGAGCACGAGCAGTATGAGTCGAGAACACGGCCCCAGAAACGGCGGCAGTTCCCGTGCCTAAGCAAAGGGGTAACGGGAGTCATGCCGAATACATCATCAATTTGTTTGATCTAGTCTTATTCATTATGCTGCTCTTGGTTCGCAGTAGCACGAAACCCTAGCCGATGTGGCTTCCACGGGCTTGCTCTGGATTGACCTTCTGCTCTGCCTCAATCATACGTCGGCCAACATCAAGCATGTTGCCCTATGGGAGCCTCACCCCAGGCACTACCAAAATTTGTGCTCTTCCGAATCTTGAGTTCTGGAAAGGGCTCGTCATCCTTCTTGTTTGCCTGTCTAGCATGTACGCCATTTGCCGGCTTGTCCTCCTCTTCATGCGAGGCCGAATCTGATCGATGGTGCGACGCGGCTTCCATCAGCTTCGCGTCAACCTGCTCGAGGAAGACGTTTGCAGCTTGCGACTTGGCTGAAGGATCGAGCATCAGAGGGCCCTTCAGTGCTGGGTCGTCATCGGTCTCCAGGTGAACTTCCTCGTCGACAGCCTCTTCGGGAATATCAGCTACTTTGACCTGCGGTACCGAACGTGACTCTCCCGAGAACGAGAAGTATGAATCTGCAGCCTCCGACGGACGGACTGGCGGTCTGGCGGAAGGAGCAGGAGCGGGAGGCTTCTCGGTCCTTGGTGTCGGAAGAGTGTCGGTAGTATCTTCTGTAGAGATGGCGCCATCGAAAGCCATTGGGGTGTGGCCAGCATGACGCTTCAGTTTCTCGTCAAGTGGCGACAACAATCGGCCCATATTGACGCGCAGACCATCACTTACGTCATCTTTCGTCTCTGGAGATGGTTCACGATTCGGAGATCCAATAATCGAGGGACTGCCGACTTTCTCGAAGGACGAAGTGACTGCAGGCCCGGTTGACTTGACGTTGATGCCATCTAGTTCTTTGTCGATCTGCTCAATCGGAATAGTGTGAACTTCCTCTTTGTGGGACGGCGACACTTGCTTGGACAGCGTCGGCATTGGGCCGTCTTCGGATATACTAGGCAGATGACTGATATCATCGTCGTGCGAGAAGACCCGAGTCACCGGCGGTGTATTCTCTGGCCCTTGCCAAACGGGTGCCGAGCCAGGAAAAGCGGTTTCAGAGGGCTTTCTGGATGTGCCGTTACTGTGAGATGTGGTTGAGGACCTGAGATCGCTTCGGAAGGAGCGAGCACTGTCGAAAGATGACTCATTGCTGGATCTGCGGTTTGGATCGCGTGCCTTGTTCAATTTGAACTCGAGGTCGGCTATGCGTGCAAGGAGTGCGGACTTTTCAATCTCCCAGGCTTTTCTGTCATTGTCGTGAATCTGTCTGAGGTGTTGGGCAGTGCTTTTGTGATACTCAATTGCAGCGTGAAGGTCGACGTTCGGTGCGGTCTGGGAGGCTCGTCCAGGTAGGTGAGGCAGTTGGCTGGCTGAAGGCACGGACGGTAGAAGTGGGACATGAGATGTGGCTATTGAGTGTCTCGCTGCGAGTGGCATAGCCGGCGGCTCAGAGAAGTGCACGCTCCTGGGCTGAGCATCTGTATGCGCGAGATGATTGAATGGCGAGTAGTTATCTGCGTTGTGTTCCAGTGCTGGCGTAGACAGCTCGTAGGTGGGCGATCTGGGAGCATCGTGTGCCTGCGGAAGCGTAGCCAGAGGGCTGCTCAATGCAGCCAAAATGACAGGAGAGGCGGCAGGCACTGCGACGGCCATGCACCAGCAAGTCGAGTGTCGTCAAGCTCACCGCACACAAACACCCGAGGTGCAGCGTCCGGCGCCGATCAAATGCTCGAAGCAGAATCGTGCGGAACGAAGAGCCGATCTATCGATCCAATGCGCTCATAAACTCCAAATGTATGCTGGGCAGGAAATGACAGGAACAATAATGAGTAAAGATGCTTCAAAGGCAGTAACGGATGAGTGTACAGTGAAGATGAAATAGAGAGAAGTCGTCGGCCAACCCACGGTGACAAAAGAACGACCTGCACAGGGAATATCTCGGCACTCAGGGCTGCCTATGACGAAAACTGCTGCTCATCGCCGCTACCCACTTCGTTCCGATCGCAGAAAATTCCTTCCAGAAGATATTACATTCTCTGCGCACGGGAGTGGCCTCTTTGACCGCACATGAGGGTGGAACACTTCCAGGTAGGGCTTCTCGCGTGGGATGCGGCTGAACGGGTTGCGTCGGATCTACTGCAAGGGACACGCTCCTGTGGCACATGGTGCCCATGGCAAACTCGAAGCTTTTTTCACATGGCAAAAGTCAAAGCACCTCATACGAGACCACACATCACATGCCTCGACCAGGGCTGAAGTTGTCGGAGTCTTACGCCGTGCGTTCGCGGCAAAGTCGATCGCTTGAGCCACGCGCGAAGTCGAGACACACATGAGGTCGCCAAGATTCACGCATTATGTCGGACTCATGCTTTGTTGCTACTGCGGAGAAGGTTCAGTACGGAATTTGCCACGTCTGACGATGCAAGGACGTAATACTGCGGAAATCATATATGCTGGACACAGACGGCGCTTGAAAAGCAGTACAATGCACTTGTGCCTTACTCAGGTAAGTGGTACTTGATGTCAGAAGCCCGTTGACTTGGATAGCAATGCGATCTTGCCTGCTTCGTCATCCTGTGAAGTGGACTGCACAGCGTACATTGATAATTGAGGCCTCATACGCGACATCCCTGCGAGCGAAATGCGCCCCGTCGTCCGGAAGATCTGCAAGTTGCGTGTACCGGTGGCACTGAGGCCGCGCCTCGAGAACCCTACGTGCTGTCCTGGCCATAATCGACAACTGCTGCTTTAAAGCCCAGCACGGAAAGGGCTCGTGACGTCAGTGTCCACTGACCTACCACCTTAGTGACAACGTCGTGTAGTATATATTGTGGCTCAACTGCTCCTGTCATCAACTTCCATGCGAGTCAAGGTTGACAACACCTTATCTGTGGACGTTGGGGTGGTGGAGTTCCTCAGATGGGGGACGAACACTTTGATTCGCCATCAGCCATCCCCCACGCTTCCCCGCGATGGGGGTGAAGCACAGACCTTCCAATTCCTGCGATAGCAGCTGGAGGCTCCTCGGTGATCATGTACCCTTCACAGCTGGCTTACGGATAGCAGCAGCGTCACTTCGAGGAGCCAGGCTTGGCGATGCAACTTCACTGCTCACGTTGCAGTAAGACTCGGTGAAGAATCGGAGTCGGAGACAGCATATCTGCATATCCAACGCCATGCCTCCGTCTCGGGCAAAGCCATTGACCCGCCTGTATGCAGTCAAGTCTCTCGTATGGCTGCCACCATGATATCATTCACATGGCTTTTCGTAGGACTATGCGTGGGTCTGCAAGCGTTGCCACCACTACCGGCGACGACCAATTCGAGCAGTAGTACATCGACCATTGGCTTCGACTTCGTCCAAGCACAGCCAGCGGTCTTCATCACACAAAATGTCGCTCAATACCGGGACCAGGACGGCTTGACTTTAGTCCCGCCATCTGGGAAGGACTTCGCAACGATTTTCGTTCAAGAACTATGCAATATGACTGGGCAGGTCTGGTCACTCGAAGTCATTGATGAGGTGCCAGCAAATGCCGTCGGAGTATATCTGACACAGCTTACTGATGGAGGGTCAGACCTGAAGTACGAGAATGGCAGCCCAACAGAAGAGGGATATCAGCTCGACGTAACGGAGGCTTCGATAGTCATTAGTGGAACAGGTTCACGAGGAGTCTGGTGGGGAACCCGAACTGTTCTGCAGGAGCTGTATCTGTCAAACTTCACTACGGTCGCTGCCAGATCGACTAAAGATGCGCCAGCGTACAAGACGCGCGGCTATATGCTCGACGCTGGTAGAAAGTGGTACTCGCCGAGCTTCCTCAAAGACCTGTGCACGTATGCGAGCTTCTTCAAGATGTCGGAGTTCCACTATCATGTCAGTGACAACTATCCACTGAACCGAGGACACAACGAGACCTGGCAGGATATCTACTCGCAGTTCTCTCTACGACCTGAGAATCCAGAATTGCTTGATGGGCTCATCGAGCGAGTCAACGAGACCCTCAGCCGTGAAGAATACGCGGATCTGGAGCTACACTGTGCAAACCATGGGATAGCTGTCATCCCAGAGATCGAAGCGCCTGGACACTGCCTGACGATCACCAAATGGAAGCCCGAGCTAGCTCTACCAAAGCGGGACCTCCTCAATCTTTCACATCCGGACAGCATTCCAACAGTGAAGCAGATCTGGGATGAATTCCTACCTTGGTTCAACGTCAAAGAGATTCACATTGGCGCCGACGAATACAATGCCTCCCTCGGAGACGTCTACGTTGGCTTCGTGAATGAGTTGGCAGACTACGTCAAGACCACCAACAACAAATCTGTACGCGCCTGGGGCACGCCATTCGACTCACCGGCCGGCGAAGGCCTCCGCATATCTCCCGATGTTATCATCCAGCACTGGCAGCACGGCCAGTCCGACCCTCTGCAACTAGTTGCACAAGGCCACCAAGTCATCAATTCAGAGGATTGGTGGGCCTATACATCCATCAAGTCAGATCATATGCCGATCCTCCCTGCTAAATACCCGCAATTCTTCAACAACTCCCGAATCCTCAATTTCGCCGACGAAGAAGGCTGGCAATGGGAGCCAAGCCTCTTCAATCAAGTCAATGTGACCGATCAGCTCAGCCCGAATTCCATCCAGAACAAGGGCGCGATCATGGCTTCCTGGAACGACAACGGTCCTGATGCTTCCACCCAGCTCGAGGCTTACTACATCTGGCGTCGTGGTATACCGATTGTCGCAGCAAGAGCGTGGTCTGGCTCGCGTGGCGCCAAGCTTGATCCGGAGACAATCGATCAGTCTATCGATTTCCTATCCGCGCACGCACCGGGGCAGAACCTCGACCGGACCACTCCATCTCCTGTCAACGCTTCAGCACCGCTTCTCACCTGGACAGCGCCACCTTCGTCCAGCAATATATACCACCTCAACAAAGGCAGCAAAGGTCTCAACCACACCCTCCACCTCAAGTATACCGGTCCCTTCACCCTCTCTGGCCCAGACACAATCCTCGCCCTCGACGGCTCCGGCCACCTGATCTACACTTCCGACGGAATTGCTTACCCTCTGCGCTCCGTGTCCGCCACTGATGGCTTCGATCCCGGCCATCCGGGCCGCATCTGGTGGAATGGGACCTCGAGTTCACATGAAGAGGTAGTCCTAAATACTACTGCTGACTGCAGCGAGGAGCACGATATAGTGATCACGACAACAGCGATCGATGGTTCAAGGGTATGGATTGACGGGGAATGGGCAGGGAGGTTCGAGGTGTTTGTTTTTGGGGGGCGGAACACGGTGTTTAGCTGGAACCAGATGGCGTTTGTGGCGCCACTTGACACAGTAGAGGGGACGGGGTTGAAGGCATTGAGGGTGTGGGATGGGGTGAGAGAGGTGGATGACGTTAGGGGGTGGAATGATGATGGTGCGCCTGTGGTGTACACGCCTGGCAGTGGAAGTTCGAAGTTACGGACGGAGGGATGGCTCATGGTGTTGATCGCGGAACTCCTGGCTTTTGTCGTTATGGCTCTGTAGGCATATGTCCAGGTGCTGCTGATGGTCAATGTAAGGTAGCGTCGCTGGCCCAGTATACACACAAAGTGGCAGAGCATATGATTGGCCTTCTGCACCGGACACAGGGTATGCTTGTACTCGGAAACCTGATGGTGGATGATTTCTCTATGCTAAGTATGGATCTGTATGAATATTCTGCAGACAAGCTCCATCACGTAGAATAGCACGATGGAAATTCTCTGAAAAGGGAATTTACAGCCAGCCAAAGCAGGTGCTGCTGTAGATACAGAAGCTATGACACGATTGACTTTGTCCCACGCTCTTCTTCCTCGTCAGGACTGCAGCAAATATACACATGTGGTTCTCGTCCGCTTGGTGCCTCTTCGAAACCGCCACGGGGACCCCCAACTCGAGCCATCAGCACTGTTGGTCCGGCTCTGCGACTGCTACCCTTATGTTAGGTGAGCAACTGCCGCATTTGGCGACTCAAACGTCTCGTATGGTGACGCGAGTCTATTCGGTGCTGTGCCGCCACCAAGATTGGAGGTTGAGAGCTCAGGGGCCGGCGTAAGCCGAGTTGACTTTGACAGAGTCCTTGACCATCAACGACTCATGCTCTGAAACTGCGATGCACTGTCGCCAGTAGGTTTTCTTCCGAGTGCGACGTCGTAGCTCGCGTCCTGGTGGCGAGTCTTGTGGCCCATGGTGATCCACCGGGCGGAACGTCCCACTGCTTTGATGATATCATACGGGTTCAGAGCGTCGAGGATCGCTTTGATACCCAGGGGCCCGCCGAGGTACTGTTTTGATTGGAGTTGGTAGGGCTGATACGGGAAAGACCAGAAGTGGAACAAGGCAAAGACGGCCATCTCCATACAGAGCAAGAGCACGGGAAGACCTACACGGAGGTCGGGCTCCTGGATCTTGTTTGAAGGCTTGATGGCGTTCCCAGCCGTGAGCAGAGACAGAATGATCGTTTGCCAGAAGGACAAGAAGATGACCAACTTGATGGCGGCAACCTTGACCAGTGGTCTGTGTTCAGTGATGTCCTCCTTGACCTGCGTGTAAAATTGTATGAGGCAGAACATGGCGATCGTAACTGAGATCGTTTGGAAGATGATGATCCATACATGAGCAAATGCCGGCTTCAGGGTCTCGATACAGTAGCGGTGAGTCGCCTGCGTGATGAGTGCGATTATGGTCAGTGCTACCTTGACCGTGCAGTATTGAAAGACGGCAACCCAAATTATCTGGTACACGGTGTTAGGAAGGCTGACTCTCGGATAGGCGAGGAACTAACATTGAACCATGTCAGACCGCTGCGAGGCACTCGAAAGCATCCTCTCTTATCCCCGCCGAAGCATTTTCGAAATGCGTTGGCCGGAAATATCCATGGTTTTGGGACGATGTTTCGGAAGTAGTCTTTTTGGTCGTGAAGGCTCGGAGCTGTGTACGCACACATCAGACTGAAGAAGCTGGCGATGGCGAATGCTTCGTAGCAGTCACGGATGACGTTCAGGCTGTGTGAGTGTTAGTTGTGGTTGGCATGCGGCAATAGGAACAAGGACAGAATAGGTCCAGGTCGTTGAAGGATCTTGGACCCCCTTCAAGATTGTTTCTCTTGCGATGATACTCATGGCAATCAATACTGTGCACAAGAAAATGTGATACGTACTAAACATAGTAGGTATAGAACCTGAATGAGAGGAACGACACCAGCGAGTAGATTGGTACCATAAGCAATACCCGGATGATATGCTTTTGCTCGTACGGTTTGGAATAATTGGTAGCGTGAAGAAAAATCAGCTGCAGCGACAACACCAAGGCAGTGAGCGCGAATGCGCCAGACACCCATAGACCGATTAAATGGAAGGTGTGGCCATTGTAGATGGGTTCCTCATGCAGCCTCACATGCTCGATGGTGTTATTGCACTTGGGCAGCATGGTGGGAGCGTGGTAACGATGCAGAGGGTGAACCAAAGACAGGCTTGAAACGTTGTAGTTGAAGGCATTCGAGAAGAAACGAACTGGCATTCAAGGCACATTTATTTTCTGGCATCTCCGCCATCTTCTGGTTTGGTCGAGACCGGAGGAGCATACGTGGAAACTGCGAAATTCTCCTTTTCTGTCCTGTTTGTCGGTAAAGTGCTGTCGATCGGCTCGTAAGAAGTTGTCCCTGGGGAACTTAGTGAATCCTCACAGACGTGGTTCCAATTTTAGCCGAAGTATCCAGATGGATGAAAGTCAAGGGCCCTGCGAAAGATCCAATGCTTGGCGAAGCTTGGCCAGATCTTGTCGAGGCTTACATTGGGTGCATCCTTCGCCAAACTCAGATCAACCAGAGGAATCGCGAGGGCCAAAACTGCCAACCATAGATCTTGCTCCAGCTGCGGGGGCCATCACACTTGTGGTCCAAGGGCTTGAGAGGACGCTGAAACAGTCACCGCAAAAGACTGCAAAGATGCCGGTCGCCGCTGTGGCACGGGTCGTTGTAAATGAGCTCCGAAGGATTTCTTCCCGTAGCCTCATGTTGCATAGGCAGCGCACCACCAGTGCAGTGCAATGGCAACGTTTAGCCGGTAATTCTGTCTCAGTGTCAAGCTCATGTTGAGCAAGAATATGAGGGATTAGCTGATGAGGGCACCATGAGCTTGAAGTGACACTGAAGTAGGGTAAAGTCAGACAGGGCCCTGTCACGCTGGCTGGACAGATAGAAGTTGAGACTGCCCCAAGATGGCGAAAGGCCTTCCTCTTGGCTTAAAGCAGTAGCACGAGGCAACTTGGCCTCACTTCACAATTGTGGATCTAGAGATCCAATCTTCTCAGCAATAAATCCAATGTCTGCGTTAAAGGCCGGGAGAAAGAACAGCTTGGCCAAGAAAGTTGTCTGTAGGTCTGAACGACCGATTCGATTCGTCAAGGCCGTCCTCGGCACGCACAAGCACTTTATTTGCGGCATGCTGCGTGCTGCTGATTCAGCTCATTCGAGCCAGACCTGAGCAGTGTTGGATCTAAGGATCTCTCCTTCCTCAATGCTATGACGAAGTTGCTGGAGAAGGACCCAAGCAGATACTCGGAATCACAATTACCGAGCTCAAGCCTCCGCTTCCTCTGGAGCCGCACTCGTGCCCTGCTGCCGCTCCCGTCTCGCTCTTGCGCCAGCCTTCAGACTATCCCATTTCTCCTTGTACTTGTCTACCGTGACCTTTAGCTTCTCGTTCTCGGCCTCCTTCTTCTTGAGTCTGGCGTCGTTCTTCCGTAGAATCTCTTCTAGCTCAGTGATGCGATCGTCGGTCGTGGTCGTGCTCTTCGCCGAAGACTTGTTGAACGATGGATAAGGTTGGTGCTTGTCGGTTGCAGTCGTGGGAGGTTTCCGAGATCCAGCACCGGCTCGAGATACGTCTGGGCTCATGAGCGGAGAGCGAGGCATGCTGCGTATCGACTGTGCGAGCGCAGCAGTGGAGGTCTGCGAAGCCATTTCGAAGGCATGCAGGCGTTTGGACATCTTGTCTGACAGGTGCCGGAGCGTGGCGTTCTCGAGGGAGAGTTCTTCCATTGTCTTGCCCTCGAATTGGGCTCATTTGTTGCGCCACGGCGTAAGGGCCGGCCTGTTTGCTGTTGGGATCGCTGCTGCGGCTGAGCTGCGTGTGAGTTCGCTTGGGCGATGATGGTACTGCTAGCATCGACGAAGTCATCATTCTCGGAGATATTGGAGAGATTGCTGGTCTGGCGATGGTGACGGAGAGTACGAGCCTCTTCGCGGTCGGCGCGATTGACCATCTCCGCGTAGGACATGGTGCCGCCAGCAGTAGGGACGTGGTAGAATGAGTCCTCGATGCGAGATTTGGCAGGAGTGTCGTTCGTCGTATTGGTGCTGACAGCGCGAAAGGCTGCATTGGAGATGAGACGGGAGTAGTCCATTGCGCGGTCTTTGGCTGTACTTGTGGGCCGTTCGGTTTGCGATGAGGCTTTAGGCACAGTGTTCTGCTTCTCCTCGGGGATGGCCTGGGCAAGCGGAAGGCCAGCGAAGGCTAGAGGAGCACTCATCTTTGAGACGAGGCCCTGATAGGTGTTGTAGAAGAGCTGAAATGGTGAGTCGCTAGCGGTGTCGTTGTCGTGGACGTCATCGACGTTTCCAACAGGTGGCGCCCATGACGGCTTGGAGGCCGCCGGTCCAGTTGCTTGCGAGGCAGCTCGTGACTTTGGCATGTCGTGGGACAATTGACCATCGGCATGCTGATTCGAGACTAGAGGTGAGATGGGTGCTGATCGCTTCTGCTGAGCACCACGTATACCTCGAGCAGAGGCCAGGTTGCTTGCAATGGACGAAGACAGCTCTCTGGTCGTTTCCCTGGGCGTTCGCGACAAACGAGGCGGCTTCGAGGTGCCGCCAACAGGCGTGCTCTCGATTTGCTCGTCGATGGCCGGCTTCTCGTGTGCCGTTTTCAGGATGTGGCCTAGTTTCTTGTGGTGCTGCTCGAGCAAGTTCAGTATGCGCACTGCCTCTTGGTCAGATGAGCCTTTGGCGGCTGTGGCAAACTCAGCCGCAGCGAGATCATGCTCTTCGCTGGCTGCGACTGGGTTCGATCGCTTCGTTTCTAGGGCTGCATTCCGGGCGTGTGTTTGTGCAAGACTCAGTGGCGCTGCTTCCATCTTGAACGGCCGGGCCTACGATATGGGTCTGGTCGACGCTTGAGCATTATCTGACGTTCGCTACGTCAGCAGAGATGCGGCGATGTAAGTTTAACAGCCGAGCCAACATGCACAGAGCGTGTCTCGCGCGTTGCGGTGTAGTGAAGGCTACAAGGCTACCTATTGCAGACGTGCATAGGCTACCGCGGTGGCATGAAGGTTCACGGGGCTGCCAAACCGGCGGTAGAATCAACCGTAGTACCTAGGTAGTCGGCTGATTTCAAGGGATCTCGGCGCCGGGAGATGCTTGCGGGCTTCCTGTGACCCCTGAACCTGGCTATAATTCTTGCCTAAAGTGGCTGGCGAGCTGAGCTTAGGTCGTCGTCACCACGAGACCAATGCAGTGACGGAGCATTCGGCCAAGGCGGAAGAGTTCCAGCAGACTCAAGGTGCACGCTGTGGTCTGCATTGAGTGTGCAGCGCCCTCATAAAGGAGGCAGGCCATCGTAACAAGATTGACCAGCATCGGCTTGCAATATGCAGCGCAATGTGCTGCTTGGGGCGTAACTTTCAGGTTCCCCTTGAACGCGGTGCGATTACGCGAGCCCTCGCTGTCAGCAGCGCGGGGGCTATTTTGATGCACAACTCAGGTAGACTTTTGTACACGAATCGAATCAAGGCAGCGCAATTCATTCCAATCTGCTTTGCATCTTCAGCTTCGTCGCATTCTTGTATTATCTATCCCCAGTCGTCGCGTCACGGCACACATATACGAGTCTCTCGCTCTTCTGGGTGCCGTTGTTTCCGGCAGCAAAGATCCCGTGTACCTACGACCGCCGCCGTAAAGTGGTCCATGCGTTGAGTTGACATCACGCATGCGGATATAGTACCAGGGCCAAGCACCTCCGCAAGGCCTGCTTCCAACCAGATCGACTGCAAATCCGTACACTATACTCCTGTGGTACCCTCTTTGAGAAGCGAGCCGAGTCGTGCTACTCCTGTAGACTTATGATCGTTACATGGCCGCGGTCTCTGTCCAACCCTCCCCCCATGGCTCACCCTCCTTGTCCTCACCCCCCATGAAGGGTATCAAAAAAGTCTTGTCACATCCTCGACGGTCCTCGGAGGCCCAGAGTGAAAACAGCCTGGGACGCCACGAATCTATCGACCGCCACGAGTCTGTAGACTCTCTGAACCTGGAGAGGTCTCCCGACAGAAGCTCACGATCCAGTCCAAGTCGGGAATCGCAACACAGTGGCTATAAGAAATTACTGCCAGGCCATGCGAAGCGCAAACGAAGAAAACAGAGAGAAGAGGAGTTGCGCATTGCCGCAGAAGAAGTCACGCGTGGTCGTACACAGTCAGACCCTGAGCTACCGGTTCCCACTCTCAGCCGGAAAGCGAGCAGTGTTGGTGACAGTAGTCTATTGACGGACGACTCGACTGATGGCACGCCCGAGAGACCTCCTCTTCTCACTCACGACTCTCACGCCGGCCTTCTCACGCACTCCTCGCCTCTAGTCAAGACTGAGACCCTCACAGACACCAATCAAGGCGCGTTCACACTGAACCACGCGCAAACGTTGCCTGCGGTGCGAGAGCCACCACGAGAAGATGGTTCACCATCTCCGAAAAGTCCAGACAATGCCTCGACGCCGGCTCTGCCCTTCTTAGGCTTAATCGACAAAGCCGACACGTTGCGACCCGAAGGCAGACGGAACAGCATCAGCAGATTACGAGCCAAGTCACCTGCCCGCAAAATCCGCGATGTCTTCACAAAAGGCAACAAGAGTCCCAGGGTCAGTCCGGAGCGAAGAGCTGGTGAGTCAGTCGAGGGGGTCAACAGCCCACTTGGAAGAAGTGCCAGTTCTGTAGGGCTAGGCGTCGATGTATCCGATCAGACGAGTCTGCCGAGCCCCCAGGGACTGCAGAGACCAAAGACAGTGCCAAATCTCGAAGCTGTGCGTCCGTTCACGCCGCCTGCCGCCATCACAGAGGCTCCCTTGACCACCGTCACCCCTCCAACCCCGACCGATACCCGTTTTGATAACTCGAAAGACTCTGATAGAGGCTCTGTGAAGTCGGAGAAAGACGATGCAGATCCAAAGGCAAATCCCAATATCACCGTCAGTCCCTCTGGTAACATGATCTCCCACCGACGCGTCAGATCCACCTCATCTGTTTCCAAAGAGCCTAGTAAACTCTCAATGTCCATGAACCCTCCCTTGACACCGACCGCCGAAGAGGTCAAAACACCAGGAGGCAATGTGGTCACTGGGAACGGAAACGTGGTGACCGGGAATCGAAACGTTAGTGGAGGTAGTTTCTTCTCTTCGTGGGTGTCTGCTGCTCAGAATGCCGCCAATACCTTTTCGAGTTTGACGAACCAGAACAGAAGCAGAGCTGGAACTACGGCCTCTGATCCCGCGATTGGCAAAGGCATCAATGGATCCATCCGCGAAGAGCCCGAAGACAGCGAGGATCAGGTGCCGGCAAGGAAGTCTGCTATAGAGACAATGGGTGCTGGCGATCTGAATTTCGAGCATTTGGGACTAGACGATGCGAAGTCCGACCCCACGACGGCCACCTCTGATTCGCGAGATAAAGCTTCAATGCAGCGAGATGTGGCGGCCGCCAAAGAAGAGGATGCTGCAGCAAAAAGAGCAGTTTCTGCTGCGTACGAGAAGCCGGAACCAACTCCTGTGGCCGAAATTCCAGATCCAATGAACAGCTTGCAGCAGGCAAAGACAGTGGCTGGGTCCATTCATGGCGATACAACTCCTCCAAATGGCAGCCTCTTCGAGGGTGAGTACACTCATGTCAAACGAACAAACAGTGTTCGTAGCCGCCTTGCGAATAGGAGAAGTCGAGGCTCGACAGCGGCGTCTGGCCAGTCAGCAATAGGAGCTCTGATGGGCGCCAGCACCTCAGCTTTAGCCAATCCCGCAAGCGGTCCACGATTATCAGGATTTGCGATTGCGCCTAAGCAGCGAAATCGAACCTTTCACCAGCAGTTCCGAAGTGTTCCAGAAGACGACTATCTGATAGAAGACTATTCGTGTGCTCTGCAAAAAGAAATCTTGCTCGCAGGACGGATCTACATCTCGGAAGGTCACATATGCTTTTCGAGCAACATTCTAGGCTGGGTCACCACCATCGTCATCTCGTTCGACGAGGTCGTCAGTATCGAAAAGGAGAATACCGCTCTCGTCATACCTAATGCAATAGCCGTACAAACTTTGCATGCACGTCACACCTTCCGCAGTCTTCTGAGCCGAGAAGCGACTTATGATCTTCTCATAGGCATCTGGAAGGTCAGCCACCCAGCAAGCTTCCAGAAGAGTCAAGTCGGCAAGGAGATCATTGCAGAAGAAGCCACGAAAGAGGCAACGGGCACCGGTAACGACGGTGAGGAGCATGATGAAGATGATGAAAGCGGCGAAGACGAGTCTGATGGTAGCGCGGACGAGGAGGACGATGCACCAAGTTTTGTTGGAAGCAGCAGAAGTGGCGCGGGCAGCGAGCGACTGGACGAGAAGAGCATTTCGCGTAAGCCTTCGGGCTTTGGTCCGCCTCCCACGGCGCCCTCGCTCGTCTCCAAAGACTCTGACCCGATTGCGCCTGCGACGCTTCCCAGCGGCGGTACCCTCGACACCACCCAGGACTTTCCTGGCCCAGCAACACACGCGCCTACCGATTGTAATGATGCTTCAACGCATTACGAAATCGTTATCAAAGACGAGGTCATTGCTGCTCCGCTCGGCAAGGTCTACTCCCTACTCTATGGTCCTCAATCCGGCGCTTTCATGCGCAAATTCCTCATTGATGAATGCAAGTCGCAAGACCTGGTACTCGAAGACGACAAGAAAGGTCTCGGAGCAGAGAAGACCTCGCGATCATACAACTACATCAAGCCGCTCGGAGGCTCTATTGGCCCCAAGCAGACCAAGACCATCACCACTGAGGACCTCGACTTCTACGACTTACAACGCGCTGTTACAGTCACCTGCTCGACTCAGACGCCGGACGTTCCGAGCGGAGGAGCCTTCACAGTCAAGACACGCTATTGCCTTACCTGGGCAGCAGGTAATCAGACTCGATTGCAGATGAATTGTGTGATCGAGTGGTCAGCGAAGTCGTGGCTCAAAGGACCAATCGAGAAGGGCGCAAAGGATGGCCAGGGACAGTACGGCGACAGCCTCGTGAAGTTCTTGAAGACTGCCGTTGGTCGACCCAGAGGACTTACCAAAGACAGCAAAGGCCCTTCGAAGAAAAAGAAGCGCAGAAGCGGTCTCAAACGAGGCGAGAGCTCCGAGAAGGCTCAATCCGTCGCTGCGAAAGATGAGACTTGGGGTCTGCTCGAGCCTCTGCACGGGCCGCTTGGGCCTGTCGTCGATCTGCTGCGCCCTGTGCTGAAGACGAATATCTTGATCACTGTTTTGTTTGTGCTCGTTATCATGCTGTGGTTCCGCACGCCCATCAGCTCCGGATCTGGCCTGGCCGCTCGCCCGGATCGCCTTGCGGCATATGAGGAAATGTGGCGCAAGGAAGAGAGTGAGCTGTGGAGCTGGTTGGAGAGCCGTGCTGGCGTCGACACAATTGCATACCAAGCCAAGTCTTCTGGGCGGAGCTCGACAGGTGATGACAGTGTGCTCCAAAAGCAAAAGCAGAAGCAGAGACAAAAGGTGCTGAAGGGTCAGGACGTGGAGATGAAGTTGAGGGAGGAGACGATGGCGGCCAAAGAGGTCGAGGAAGCTATTCGTGTGACAAGAGAGCGATTAGAAGTGCTCGAAGAGGTGGTCAGCCAGAAGAGACGGGCGAAGGCGGACAAGGCAGCGAAGTGACCAAGAACCTGATGTAACAGAGCTTTGACGCTGAATCGGTTGTTCGACACGTTAGCTTGAGCGTTCGGAGCGAGTAGCTCATATTGATACCAATGTCATGTGTTGAGATCTTAAGCCGCGGGAACAGCGCGTGAACGATGCTGCTTCCTCGTGCAGCTTCGCCCAGGTGTTCCCATGGCAGTGCCTGCATTCTGGTCTACGGGTACTGCACTTGCTAGCTGACGAGGCGGGAACGTGTCACGGCCCGTGTGCCCTCCCCAATGTCGACCAAAACGTGGGAAAGAGGCGCTTTCTTATCACATTTACTGAACACATATCCATGCAGGCGCGACCTGCCCAGAGATTCGGATCAACCCCAACCTCGGGCACAAGGACATACCTACTCCAAGACTCCAACAACGATAAGAGCGGGCATTCCCCGGTGGGTCACTCCTTCCAGCACACGCTCGATGTGCTTGCGAGGGTGCGGTACACACACAGCACCTGCAATGCTTCCAAGGTTTGCGGTACCGAACGCCTTTGTGTTAGCATCACTTAAACTGGCCTACATAATCCTGTTCTGTTGTTGGATTGCGGTTAGATTTGCATTTGCCTGCTCATCTTCTCTCGGCTGCAGTGTTGCCGCTTTCGGCAGAAGCCAAGGAAGGTGGCTTCGTCAACTTGAATTCACATCAGACCTCTTGAGTGTTGACTGATCTCAACCATTTGGCACCAACTCTTCGACAAGGGCACCGAGGTCTACGGTCTGGCGATCACAGACCGGCATTCTGGTGAAGTGGTCCCCATTCGCTCGCGATACATGGAGACTCCAAACTGGCGCGAAAAAGGATCCCCTCTTATCAATGCCCACGCTGGTAGCGTACCCACGAAAGTGCTTGATCGAGCACTGGCATCCAGCATGTCCGCCTTTGAGCTTTGGCTCTGACTCCATCTTCCAGGGTCTCGGTCCAGGGCCAGTATCGATCGCATGGCGATGGACTTGAGCTTTCAACCGCCGACTACGGGACACGTATAGACACTCTCCAAGTATAAATGCTTCTCGAGCGATAACACTTTTCCACTCACATCAAGTCTTAGCTGAAGTCGGCCCACGAGTCAGCGCAGCATGGCGGACAACCACAACCCAACTCTCGTTGATGAGAAGTTCGACGATCAGAACATCAAAGTCGATGCCGTCCGTGATGACCACACCACAGGGCCGACATGGGATGCCGCCGCTGAGAAAAGACTTGTGAGGAAGATGGATATTCGAATCTTTCCGATCATGATCATACTGTTCATTCTGAACTTTATCGGTAAGTGCTGTTACGATGGCTGCCGGTTCCCTACCATCCGAAGAATCAAGCAACATCTGCTGACGTGGTGTGCTTTCAGATCGCAACAACTTCGCCAACGCCCGCCTCAAGGGTTTGGAAGCTGACCTGAATCTCAGCGACGTGGAGTATCAGACCTGTCTGTCCATCCTCCTCGTCGGCTATGTCGCCATGCAAGTGCCCTCCAACATGTTCTTGACGGTCATCTCCCGGCCCAGCTGGTACCTATGCGGATGCGTTGCCACTTGGGGCGTGATCAGTGCCGCCACCGGTGCCGTCAACAATGCTACGCAGGCTATCCTATGTCGCTTCTTTTTGGGATGCGTTGAGGCGTCCTTCTTTCCTGGGAGTCTGTACTTCCTCTCGCGATGGTATACTCGCAAGGAAATGCAACTCCGTGTGACCATCCTCAACGCCGGCAACCTCTCCGCACAAGCCTTCGGTGGTCTTATCGCCGCGGGTATCCTCAGCGGCATGGAAGGCAGCGCCGGTATTCGCGCCTGGCGGTGGCTCTTCATCGTCGAGGGTGCTGTGACCATCGCCTTTGCTGCCATCGCCGTCTTCATCCTACCGGACTATCCCACATCCACGAGCTGGCTGTCCGAGGATGAGAAGCGCATCGCCACAGGTCGGTTGGCTCTCGACGCAGGTGTTGGCTCTGAAGGGGGACTTGAGGCAGACGAGCACGTCAGTGCTTTCCAGGGACTCCTTCTCGCTGTCAAGGATCCCAAGGTCTGGCTACTCGGCATCACGTATCACGCGACCATCATGGGCTTAAGCTTTGTCTTTTTCTTTCCGACCATCACGCAGGCATTGGGATATAATACGACCATCACACTCCTGCTGACAGCTCCACCTTGGATCTGGCTATGCTTGTATCGCTGCCGAATGCATGGCATGCTGATCGCACCGGGGAGCGTTTCTTCCACTACGCTGCGCCCGCGGCGGTATGCATTACGGGATATATCATTAGTGCGACGACAAGGACAACCGCCCCGCGGTATTTGGGCATGTTCATGATGACCAGTGAGTTGTTCCTGCTTCCATCCTTACGAGATCGGTCACAATGAGAGGTTGAAAGATACTGACGAATGTCACAGCGGGTTTTGCATGTGGCTTCGTTATGCTGGCTTGGATCAGCAACACCATCACGCGGCCTTTGGCGAAGAAGGCTTCTGCTATTGCGATTGTGTACGTACTCTTGCCTTCCTCTTTCCTCTCGGTTCGGAAGATCAAATTGGCTGACCATACACAGCAATTCCATGGGTAACATCGGCTCTATCCCAGGGTCCTACATCTGGCCCAAGACCTACGGGCCGTTTTACGTCAAGTCCTTTGGTGCAGAAATCGCGATCTTAGGGTTCGCTGTGTGTCTTGCTTTCGTCCTGCGGACGTATTTGAAGAGGGAGAATAGGAAGCTGGATCGTGAGGAAGGCACTGAGAACGATGGAGTCGCAGAAGGCGAGAAGGGCTTCAGGTACTTGTACTGAAAGGCTATTGATGGACGGTGGTGATGGAGAGGCGAGCTGGGGCGCTCGAGGGCAGCTAAAACCAGGTCGCTTCCAGCTCGCGTCGCTCGAGCGTTCCTGATCAATGGGGTTAACTGCAAGCCCCGGAGAGCGCTGGGCCAAGGAGTTGCTGGTTCTCAATGGATCAGCGGCATTGCAGTGTGGCCAGTAGACGTGTGCTGACAAGCATGAATGTTCAGAGGAGCTTCCATCTCGACAAAACATCTTATCATCGCCTGCCAGCTCATATCTTTCAGTTTCCAGTCTCCTTGCCTTCCATCACCAACCTGCCCAACTTCCCCATCTCACTTCCCATCCACCCCGCCAAAGCAACCAAATCCGCACCACAATTCACAAAGTCCCAACCCTCCTCCCACCGCCTCGCCGCCTCGTCCGCCCCCAGCGCAAAACACCCCATATACTTCCCCTCCCTGTTTCCCACCTTCAACACTCGTGCGATAGCATCCTGCACTTCCTGTATCTGGCCATGCTCGAAGGGCACATACCCCATCGAGGCAGCGAGGTCATTGGGGCCGATGAACAGCGCGTCTAGGCCGGGTGTGGAGGCGATAGCTTCGATGTTTGCAACTGCGAGGGCTGATTCAATCTGTGCGATGATGATGATTTCAGTGTTGGCGTGCTGCCAGTATGCGCGGCCGGAGGCGGACATTGGGTGTGATGAGGGGAAGGCGTGGTGTGCGAACATGCCGCCTGCGCCGCGGGTCCCATTGAGCGTGGTGGCGGTGGTGGTAGTGCCGTCGGAAGAGCGGAGATTTGGGTACCGACAGCCCCGCACGATCGCCTCGGCTTGCTCGCGCGTTTCGACCATGGGCACCATGACGGCATGGCGCCGGCGTCGAGGGCGCGTTTCAGCATCCAGTGGTCGCCGGAGCCGGGGATGCGGACGATGGGGGAGCAGGTGTTGGAGGCGGCGACACCGGCGATGGAGAGGAACATGTCTGGTTCGGAGATGTGGCCGTGTTCACAGTCGATCAGGACCCACTGGCAGGGCAAAGGGTGTCAGTGAAGGTGCTTCCGTTGGTATGGCGGGAGGGTTTTGTAGTGATGCGTTGTCTGACCACATCTGCAAAGCGAGAGTCGTTTACTTACGTCTTCGCCCAATGAGGCAACGGTTCTGGCGAGGTGATAGCCAGGGAATTCGAGCCATTGGCCTAAGCTGGGTCCTTCGCGGCGACGGGCTCGCTCCAGCGAGGTGATGAAGGGCGTTCTCGTCATGTTTTCTGCTGGTCCTGCCATGGTTGCTTCACTCGTTCTGTTCATTGCGAGCCGTCGTCGGCGGATCAGCGACTGCTCGTGGCCTTCAGTGATTGATCCCGTGTTTGAGAGCAATATGGCGTCGTCCACGCGAATGCTCAGCTAGCTCTTGACACGTGCTGATAGACTTGTCATGGTGTCAGTGGTCACTACCATCTCATGGCACATTAACAGAGTGACTAATGCATCTCGTCTTTGCCAAGTAGTGGCGCGATAAGCGTATGCCCACGCGCACGGAACCGGACCGAGGGACAGAGGTGGGCATTTTGAGCCGTGAAGATGCAGTCGTGTTCTTGGCCAAGATGGGATTTTGCAGAGAGGGTGGAGAGATCGCAGTACATCCATATGTGTGCCTGTTTGGACCTGCCTTGGACTCGGATTCCCATAGAGATGCAATGGAAAGGTGCGGCCGAGCAAAATCCGATGTGCCGTTGGTGATGAGCTGTAGTGAAATGGACCTGCCGAGAAAGTCGAATGAGATATGGGGGCTTGCCTTGTCTGATAGTCTGATTGCGGCCTTCAATATGTCAAAGGAAGTTGCGTTGGATGTTCGTGGTTAGTCCGTGCTCTCGCTCTTTCGCGCCTGCAGCAGATTCTCGTTAACCGGTCTTGAGATCGCCGCCTCGCCTTGACGGTAGCTCTTGCCACTTGGTGTTCCACACATTGCATTAACATACCAGCTTCTGCACGGCAAAAAGCTGAGCCGCAGCTAGGTAAGTCGACGCAGTTCGGGCCTTCAACGTATCACAGTCTCAGGTCGGCTCAGTCGGATCGGAGGATCAGTAAGAATCATGCAGTCGGGAGGCCGCTGGGGTACAATTCGCTCAATGTACAAACTTCATTACCTGTACAACTCACGCCGAACGCTGTGCAGTGTGTTTCCAAGTTCAACAAATCCAACGTCCATCTGACCGTGACTAATTACCGCGACTATCGCCGTTTCCCCCCATATCCTCCCTCCTCTTACCATATTTTCGGTCACGATCTCTCGATGAAGAGCTCAACAGCCCCCCGAAAGTTTCACTAAGACTTCGTAACCTGCTCTTTTTCGTGTTCAAACTTGCCCGATCGTCCTGCATGACGCCTACAACGTCTGGTGCTGAGCTTCGTGCCTCTTGATGGGTCGCATGTTTTCTAAGCGTTCCACCCATAGCGCCCTCCTCGTCCGAGATATGGACAGCACTACGCCGCCTTGCTGGATCGCCATGTCGTGACGAGCGATTCCGCTGTAATCGGGCACGTACTGAGAGAGGTGAGCCCTCCCCACGGAGGAGAGATTCGGCAACAATGCCAGAAAGTGATGAGGATAGCGTGGGCATGAGCGGACCAGGGAGTAGCCGCGAGATGCTATCTCTCGTTCGGCGAATAGTCGAGGGCGGCGCGACGTTTTCTGCCGCTGCGGCGGCCTCTGGATCGGGCTTCGGTGGACTGGCGGCACGAGTGGAGCGGCGACTACGTGTCGGAGTACCCTCTACGCCAGCGGGCGTTGATGGCGTGCGATGAATGGGATGCTTGGAAGTTGACGGAGTGAAGAAGGGAGTGTCTCCACTATCGTGTCGTGTGCCTGGTAGCTCGGACTGAGACCGCATTGGCGTTTTGGGACGTGACGTCTGGGAGACGTCCGAATTGGACTCGCGCCAGGGATTGGAAGCCTCCTCAGCTGGAGTCAGCATGATAGATGGAACGCGTGAAGAGGGCGTTGGTGATCTTGAGTCGATGGGTGTGCGAGGTCTATGCGGAGCACCATTGCCGTTGGTGTCTGGAGCGAGTTGCTTCACTAAAGGAGTCCGCTCGTCGGAGGCCTCCTCGTCAATTAGACGGATTGTCTCGTCCTGGGTTGCTTGGTTATAGTCGTCGATCTCAGGATCGTCGTTTTCGCCGCCACGTCCACTCGTGATCAAGTAGACCCCGAAGAAGGTGAGCAGACAGCCCGCCACGAACTTTATTGCTTGATCGGCCGTGGCTGATTCAAAGTCTCTGTACAGAACGGCTGAGCCGATGATGACTGAGAGGGTGAAAATGACAAATTGCGTGGGAATGACTTGTGTCGAGTCAAAGTTCTGTAGGGCTTTGTTGAGGTAGCGGATCTGCATGATCGCTGAGGCTACCAGGACCAGAACCAGCGGGTATAGTATGGGATACGTGAAAGCCTTGTAGAGTGACGTCGACAGCAGCGATGCCACACCTTTGGTCGACAGAGCGGTATAGCCACCATAGAGTCCGACCAGGCCCAGGTCAACGAGTATCGTCCGAGTGCCGTATCTCGGACTTAAGATAGTCAAGGTGACTATGCAGACAATGGTGATGATGACATACACCAGAAACTCCCAGCGCTTGATATAGTTCTGCCACAATTCATCTGGACCGAGTTTCGTTTCGTTTTGTTTAGCAGACAGGACGACTGTCACAGCACCTCCAATGGCAACAAGAACTCCCCAGAAGTCGCGCTGGCGAAAGCGCTCTTTTAGCATCATTGGGGCGATCAAGCAATTCGAGATCAACGCCACAACACCGAGTGGACTGACGATGGAAGCAGGCGCGAAACCATATGCCAAAAAGTTCCCCGTCTCGCCAACGGTCATGAGTACTATCCCAAGCCACCACGTGGGTGATTGAAGGTAGGATTTCCTTCTGTCCGCCTCCTCTTTCGATGATCCAAGGGTCGCATCGGAATGGAAAGACTCGCGCAGGCCCTCATCTTCGTCGGCATCTTCTGCAGGTTCTGGCTTGCCAGGTCCTGGGGCGGTCGCATTGAGCTTGGAGCGCTCTTCTGCAATCTCCTCCTGCTGGGTCCCGTATGTCGTTGTGCCTGAGAACGACTGTTCGGCCAGATCTGTGCCATGCCTCTTCTCGTTGTACTCCTTGTCTATTCGAATATGCGCATACCGCTGTATATTCAAGGCAAACGAGATCAACAGGTTTCCAACGATTGCCGTCACAATGCCAATGAGTGATGACCAGTCGGCGTGATCGAGAGGCGAGCCCACATGATGCCCTGAGCTAGTATTTCGCCATGTATGTGGTGCCATGCTCGGTAGCGTGAGCGAAGTACAGGTACTGTATCGGCCTAGATGAAGGTCTGGTATGAGGGTTGCCGCGCTGCTTCTTGGTCGAGCAGCCGGCACGCGCGTCACCTCATTGTCGTCGCCGCGCAGCCACGAACTGAGGCGTCCAAGGAATTTAGTGATTGCTCAAGGGTCACGCTTGCAAGTGGTCGGCGTCAAGTGAAGTTGGTAGTCGTGTAGTCGAGACACATGTTGCATGTGAAGCGAAGCGGGACGGCTCGAGTCTTCGTGCGTCACCGGATTTTCTGCAACCTCTTTGTGCCTGACATTGACCACCGACAACCTCTCCCTTTGTTGCTACCCATACAGCAAATCAAGCCACAGCATTCGTCTAGTGCCCTTGAGAAGGCTACACAGCGCTGTAATCAACAAAATTGCGCCCATCGGTATATTTGGTGGTTGCTTCGAATATGGACCGAAGCCTCGACGAGATCGTCGCTGAGCGACAGGTGTGCACCAGAAGATACTAGTGCTGGATACATGAGCTGACAGCCACAGCGTAACTACCCTCCTCGCGGCGGAAGAGGTCGTGGTGGCCCTCCCAGAAGAGGTGGTCCCAGCAGCTACCCTCGCGACGGCGTCAGAAAGGTTGGTCTACATCCCTTCTCCGCCAGGCTATGCCCTCTAAACAGCATTGTCAGGTCCGAATCCTGCTCCTCCCTCCTCTATGAGATCCTCTTTATGCCATGTCGAGTCCTCGGTCGACATCACCCCACGACCGAACGACAGCCTTCCACGGCTTCGGCAGCCGATCGAGCGACATGCGGCTACACCCTTGAATTCAGCTAATCTAACACACATATCATACAGTCCACCAGAGATGACAGAGCCAACCTGGACAAGTACGAAAGCAACCTATGTGGTATTATGATGCTAACAATCGCCAGCGACTGGGTCCACGATCGATACGATGACGACCCACCTAGCGGTCCCCGTGGTGGTGGTGGGAGATCCAGAGGAAGACGCGACGATCTTTATGACAGAGATGACCGTCGAAATGATCGAGACGATCGAGATAGCGGTAGAGACCGGTATGTCGAAACTGGACTGGCTGAGAAACACTGCTGACGAATTCCAAGCGAACCGCCTCCGCCCGCCAAGATTCGAGTCGAAAATCTACACTACGACTTGACCGAGGACGATCTCTACGTATGTGAAACAGACGCTGTGACTGAACCGTACTGACTTTGTGTAGGAACTGTTCAGCCGCATCGGCCGCGTCTCTGATGTCAAACTTCGCTATGACCGAGCCGGCCGCTCAGATGGCCAGGCATTCGTCAGCTATGAGAGACTCAATGATGCCAACAAAGCTATCCGCGAGTTCGATGGTGCAAATGCCAAAGGCCAACCAATTCGCCTGGTTCTCATGCCACCACCACGCCGCGACAACCCTTTTGACCGTGTTGAGAACCCTCGCAGTCTATTCGACCGCATCGAGGCCCCACGTGCTCGAAGACGCTCAGAAAGCCCCATCTCCGACTCCGACGATAGGAATACTCGTCGTGGCAACAGACGTGGTGGTCCCAATGATAGTAGGCGCAGCGACACCACCAAGCCAGCTCCCGACAACATCGACAGATATGTGCCGGGCCAGAACGGCGGTCGCAGTGACAGCAGACGAGGTGGGAGGAGACCGGGAGAGCGCCGTGAACGGGGCCGAGGACGTGATGATGGCGGCCACAAGCTCGTTGGCGGTCGTCCAAGAAAGACGCAGGAAGAGCTCGATGCCGAGATGGATGACTACTGGAATGGAAATGCTGGAGCAAATGGTCAAAGCAACACTGCTGGCGCCAACGCTTCAGCTACAGCTCCAGCCCAGAACAATGCTGCGTCAGCCGATGCAGAGATTGACATGATGATTGAATAGGCGTGTCCTCGATTAGCGATGGCATCAATGATCTCGTCAGGATGGGTTCTGGCGTGCTGCCGACTCTTGGGGAAACAACACTAGTGGGTTGATGGGGAGCGGGTAGTCTTGCCAAGAGCCTTCGTCGCAGAAGTGCAACCTCAGCTCCTGCTCTAGTCGAGTTACTGGGCATCCTCCGAATACGATTGAACTGCCTGTAGGAGGCTCCCCCCACCTGTCATGTGCCTGCCGCAACAGCGATCGGAGATCTTCAACTGCGAATGCCCAGCCAGATCTGCTTTCGCCTAAGGTAGGCTGCAGTTACGAAGTCCGCCTCGCGCCAACACTGCCACGATCTGCCTTGCACACTTCCGTTCCTGCATTGAGCCTCAAACACAACAATAATTAACGACAGTTCTTCACTGATATCGCCATAGATTCTGATAAGTGTGCATACCTGAATGCACTATCGACACGATGCGCGATGATTCGGGATGGCCAACAATGTCGACGGGGGCCAGCTTCTGGTCTTTGACCCACGGAACACAGTGACAAACACAGCGAGGGAGTACAAGATACGTCGCAGTCACAGAAAATCGCGCGCAGGATGCCAGACCTGTAAATTGAGGCGGGTAAAGGTGAGCAACCCCTACGCTTGGTATCGAGCAGGCCTTGACGACGGGAGGTCTGTGATTGCTTCTCCGCCTTCACCTTACGGCAAGAGACGCCTTACTGACTGCCTCAGTGCGATGAGGCTCGTCCGGCTTGCGGGCAATGCACTCGCAGGCAGATACAGTGCTCTTACGCTTCAAGTTCCACCAAGGACAACAACAATACTCGGATCGAGCTTAAGACCAATGAAATCAGTCTAGCACAGCATTTGGCAGTGCGTACTCGATCCTTCAACCCAACATCAACAGAAAATACTTCCAATAGAGACTTTTTTCGTTTGTGGCCAACTACGTGGCCAGGTATTGCCACGCTCCCGATCTTGACCGACGACCCAACAGCATTCACGTCTCGGTACGACCTTCGCATTCTACACCATCTCTCTGAGGGAACCCTAGGACCATCTCTGGTAAGCTATTTCCTCCAAGAATCGTGCCAAGGTGGCTTAAGCTGGCGTGCCTCTAATCATGCCACCACTAAATAGTTCGCAGAACGTGCTCCCGACTTCCACGTCGACGTCATTGGCATCGGCCTCGCAAACAGGCATGTCATGCACGCGCTCCTCGCCGCATCAGCGCTTCACATCCGCTTCACCATGCACCCGACCCTTGTGGCCTCCACAGCAATCGATTCCGCGCCCAGCTCACTTCTTTCCTGCTTGACAACTCCCCCTGGACTCGACCCCTTCGCCTGCATCGAAGCCGGCCACCATCTCTCCGCAAGCCAGCTCTTCCGTGAGAACCTTCAAGGCTTCAATGCCGCCGTGGCGAGAGAGAGCACAACCTTCAACATCGATGCGCTTCTGACGACATGCATGCTACTGAATATGCTGTCTTTCGCGGGCCTGCCCGAAGCTGGTCCACCTACCTCGCGCTGGCCGTTCGTTGTTCCTGCTCCACCTTCTCCGACGTCGTCACGCCCATTGAACTGGCTACGCATCCAGCTCGGCTTCGGACCTCTCCTGGCTGGGCTGAGTACACAGATGCGCGAAGGATCCCAGTGGCTCACATTCTTCATGACGCTGGGCCACGAGCATTTCTATGACGACAGAGGTGGCACGATCGACATACCTTATGCGTTTTGTGCGTTCTGGGGCATTGATCAGTCCAGCAACGCAGACACTCATCCATACCTGAAATTGGTCCGCAGACTACTCGCCATCCTGAATGTTTGGCAGACAGTGGAGGATGCCGGCGGCGGCCCAGATCGGCACGATGAGCAAGTACTGCGATACTTCCAGTTCATGCAGGGCGTAGATGAGGCGTTCGTGACAAAGCTGGAAGCGCGGGATATCAAGAGCTTGGTGATTTATGGGTGGTTCATGGCTATATTGGCTAGTGCTAGACACTGGTGGTGTCGGGTCAGGGCTGTCAGGGAAGCGGAGGGTGTAGTTCGGTGGCTGGACGTGTGGTGCTGTGGCGATCACGAGGTCAGCAATGTCGCGATGGGCAATGGATCAGCTCAATTGAGGGCAGAGGTGCCGCCGTGGCTACCGTTCATTGCGAAGGCTGTGGGGTATGAGCTGAAGAGCGGTGCTGATACCAGACAGCGAGTGTCGGTGAATGTTCAGTAAACAGTTGGGAGCTGTAGTGAGCGAGCTGCGGGTTTTGCGTGTTCCATAGGATCATAGAATATATGAGTGCTGACAACAAGGCAAAAATGGGTAAATGGCATCCAGGTGCTATTGCTTGGCGTTGGCCGTATACCTCGGTCTTACATCATGAGGGATCCATGGATGTTTGACTTCACTTTATGTTTCTATATGATTAGTACCTACTGAGATACTCTTGCAGCCCAGACCGGTTACTGGATCTATTCAGAATGTTGGTCGATGAAGACACTTGATGCTGCCAGGTTCTAGGATCGTCACACGCGCCTACCGCTCCGAAATATAAATGCTGGACGAAATGCTAGCTGTACAAGTGCAAGCCAAATACCCCGGATCTTGAGGAGTCCAAGGGTTCAACCAGTTTTTGTGGTTCAGTCAAACGCCGCCATGTCGCCCACTTCCACAACTCTCACCGAGGTTCGGACAGTCGATGTCCTCATAGTTGGCTCAGGCAGCGCCGGCCTCGCTGCCGCAACATGGCTTTCCGTCATGGGCATCCCCTCTTCCTCCACTTCTTCCAACGGAGGCGTCACAATCCTCGAGAAACGCAACGCTCCACTAGCTATGGGCCAAGCCGACGGCGTGCAATGCCGCACGGTCGAGATGTTTGAGAGTTTTGGGCTGAGTGAGGAGTTGTTGCGGGAGGCGTATCATGTGCTGGAGGTCAGCTTTTGGGATGATTCTACTGGTTGGGGAAGTAATGGTGAGAATGGGGAGGGAGCAAGGAAGGGGAAGAAGTTGAGGAGGACAAGGTATAGTGCGGACACGGAGAAGGGCTTGAGTTGGCAGCCGCATGTTATTCTGAACCAGGCGCGGATCAATGGGTTGCTGTTGGAGAAGATGAGGAGGGAGGGTGGTGGTGTCAGTGTGGACTATGGTTGGGAAGTGAGGGAAGTGAAGTTGGTTGAGGATGGGGAGTGGGTGAGGGTTGTGGCTGCTAGTGTTGAGGATGAGAGTATTCGTGAGTATAAGGCTCGGTATGTCCTGGCTTGCGACGGCGCTCATTCGGCTGTGCGGAAATCGATCGGGTATAAAATGGTGGGTGACTCGACGGATGTGGTCTGGGGAGTCTGTGATGTCTACCCTCAGACGGACTTCCCTGATATACGCAAGAAGACCACGCTGCATTGTGACGCCGGTGTGCTGCTTATCATCCCAAGGGAAGGCGATAGTCTGGCGCGGTTCTACATTGAGATGCCAGCGGGAACGAAGCCGAAGGATGTGACTATGGAGGACTTGCACGACACTGCGCGCAAGATCTTCACCGCGGGCGGATTCAAGATGGAGTTTGCGGACACGGCGTGGTGGAGCGCGTACAGCATTGGGCAGCGCCTGGCTGAAGCATTCAGTATGGGCAATCGGGTGTTCCTAACAGGAGATGCATGCCATACTCATTCTCCCAAGGCCGGGCAGGGCATGAACGTGAGTTTGCAGGATGGGTACAACATTGGATGGAAGCTGGGTATGGTGTTGAAGGGACTGGCGGAGCCGAGTCTGTTGAAGACGTATGATCTCGAGAGGGGAAAGGTGGCGGCTGATCTGGTGGACTTTGATCGGCGATGGACGAAGATTATTGCTGGGAGAAAGAAGGGACCACAGCGAGAGAATGGCCATAATGGCGACAGCAATTCTGAGCAGGAGCAACAATCCTTCAGCGACGCTTTCATCAAAGCAGGACGGTATATGGCGGGTCTCACCGCGAAATACGATGATTCGGAGCTTACAGATGCAGCCTCAAGCAAGCAGAGTCTAGCCACGAACGTGATCGTCGGAATGCGATTCCCAAGTGCTCATGTCGTACGATTCTGCGATGCAAAACCTATGCAGCTCGCACGCGCCCTACCAGCCGATGGGCGCTGGCGGGTTGTGATATTTGCAGGTGACTTACAGCGGCAAGGCAGTAAGGCGAGGCTGGATCGATTGGCGGAGTTCCTGGACTCTGAAGGAGGGCCGGTGAGGCAGTACACGCAGAAAGGTGCAGACATTGACAGCCTGATCGAGCCGATCGTTGTGCTCAGTGGCAGGAGGCATGCCACTGAGCAAGAGCACATCCATCCCTACTTTTGGCCGACGACCGGGAAGTGGAGAATGCGTGGTGAGTGACTTCTTCTGTTGACTCAGTAATAGCTCGCACTTGACACAGGTTAACCTCCTTTAGATCTGCACAAAGTCTTCGTCGACGACAGAGACTATAATGACATCCACGGCGAGATATATCGGCATTGTGGTGTCAGCGTCGAGCATGGTGCTGTGGTAATTGTGCGGCCGGATCAATGTGAGTACAATCTGTGAATGTAGCCGCACAGGAAAGCAAGCTGACTGAGTCAAAGATGTGTCGAAAGTATGCTCACTCGACGACTTTGGCGGCATTGAAGCCTCCATCTGCGGTGTCTTCCTCAGGACCGACAGTGACAAAGGGTTACAGAATTGACCAGTTCGCGAGTCTGTGTTAGTATGCCAGAGCACGGCATGCTGATGATGCGAAGCATTGATCGGTATACTTCACCAAGCCAGACATGCGATGGGCGCCTCAATGATTCGGTCACTCGCGAAACAGCGTGCTCCTAGCAAGGGCCTATCGAGAATATGTGCATCTGCTGCTTGCACTGGCCGGACGGGATTATTCCATAAAATTTCGGTTGTCGTCTGGTCGAAGACTCGGGAATCCGCAGTCAGATGGAGTCAGACTAGGCTTGGGAGCCAGGCTGCAGCTATAGATCGCCCGGTAGAGCCCAGCGACCACTCGATAACACTGTATTTGGATGACGATGATGGTCACCTGCAAGCAAGGTTAACGTTTCGGTTTGAGTGAAGTGGCCGAGATGACCACGCTAGGCAAATCTGCCTCGAAAACAGATGGATTTGGCCTTATGGACCGATGACATGAATAATAGATGCAAATAAATTCACCCAACTATAGTACCTCAGTCGTCGACCCAGGTAGGTGCTTACGCCTGCATCTAGCTCCCAAGATTCACATACACACAAAGCACGCCGCTCTCGAGTCCATCTCTTCATTAGTTTGCAGCCACCGCCCACACCGGCCCATTTGTAGTACGATCGCCAATCCTCCCAAAGTCCTTCTAACTCTTGCACGCCGTCCCCCGCCTTGCCATCGCGTCTTCGCAATCCTCCTTGTCAAACCCCGACTTTATACATTTCGCGGCATTCGGCTCTCCTAGCCCCCAATCCTCTGCATCACAACAAGCCCTATTGATGTCGCCTGCGTTGCCATGCCGCCTTCGCCCACCCACCGTGCCGGTGAACGACTGGCTCGGACTAGAAATCAACAAAAGCCCCCTCCCACTCATCTCTCATCGCACTATCATACCTCCCCCTGCCCCCCTCGCTCTCCTCCCCCTCCACGGGATCCGGTACTCATCAAAATTCCCACTATCCCCAACCCACTCCACCCGCGGAATGATCGGCCCCCTCCTCCGCCTATAATAGATCTCATCCCAATCTAACCCATCAAAGAAATAGTGGCTCATCACCCGCTTGCTCCCGCCCGCGATATGGCCCAATCGCTGCGTCGGGTCAGTCTTGCACAGACTCAGTATGAAATCCCTCGCGGCGCGGGGGACGTGCAGGCTCGGCCTGTGCCCACTGCTTCCGGAGTGGGTGGAGTGAGAAGTGGGGAACCTGATATGGCCCTGCACGATCTGCTCGTAGATGCGCATGGGGTTCTGGTCCCAGAAGGGAGGTTGCCCGATGAGCATTTCGTAGACGAGAATGCCCAGGGCCCACCAGTCGACCGCGGTGCCGTGGCCGGAGTTGCGTATTACTTCGGGGGCGAGGTACTCGGGGGTGCCGCAGAGGGTGTACGTTACGCCGGCGCCGTGTTCGGGACCGGGGGCTTTGGAGGGGTCGGTTGTGGTCTCGGCGGATGCCGCCGGGCATGCCGTTGGGTGCAGTGCTGGGATTTTCGGTACTGGTGGCGCCGTTGCTGTCGGCGGACTGTTCCGGTGCTGGAGGTAGGTACTTGGCGAAGCCGAAATCGACGAGCTTGAGGTGGCCTTCGGCATCGAGAAGGATGTTCTCGGGCTTGAGGTCGCGATATGCTACATGCTGCACGTCGTGCAGGTACGCCAGAATCAACGTGATCTCTGCGGCGTAGAATTGCACGGTCGCGAATGGAAATCGTCTCGCTCGTCGCAGGTAGCTGAATATCTCTCCGCCGGGCGTATAGTCCAATAGCATGTACAGCGATGTCGCGTCGGAGAAGGACGTGATCAAGGTGGTGATGAACGGGTGGCCCGCAACGGCGGCAAGGACGTTGCGCTCGTTGCGCACGTGCTCGACTTGCTTCAGCTTGATGACGTCGACCTTCTTTAGCACTTTCAAAGCGAAGACCTTGTGGCGTCGGCCTGGTTGGTCGGATTCGAGAGGCGGCAGAGCCAGACGCGCGCGAATGTGCCGGTGCCTAGTGTGCGCATGAGTTCGAAGTCATGGATGCTTAAGTGTGGGCTTGAGACGCCTAGCTTCTGCGTCTGTGGGTCCTTAGGGATCTCCTCCGCTGGCGTGACCTCTTTGCTGGCGACATGCTCGGCTTTCTTCAGCAGGGCTGCGCGCTCCTGCTGCCGCAACGCAGGCGAGCCCGCCCGTGGATCTGGGTGGGAAGCGCTCCTGGCGGGCGATGAGAGGGCTGGATTGGATCGCGAGCGTAGGTACTGTCGGTGGCTGCCTTGGGCAGAGTTGGCGCGACGCTGTTGATGCGCCTGGGCGGCGTTGTTGTCTGTGGGTGGGTGGAGCGTAGTGGTGCTCATTGGGGTGGATTGTGGTATAATCGCATCTTTTCGTGTCGGTAGCGCCAGCTATTGCTCTGCGTCAGAGTGCATGCTCCTCGCCCCGGCTTTCTGGTGGTGGTTTGTACGTATGCTGGGCTCTTGTCGTTTGTACCGCGCAGCGGGGCTGTACAGCTTGATGTATTTTGGGGCGGTGTTCTTTGGCGATGATCAGCGCTGGGTGCTGCAGCCACAGGTGATGTCTGCCCAGACTTCGGAGATTCCAGTGTTCGAAGGAGACGCGAATGTTGTCGATGTATACTATATTGTCAAGGAGCGAAGAGTCGTGAGCGCTCGTCTTGGGAGTCCTTTCTGCTGCAGAGAAATCTCAGCCTAACACCTTAGCAGCTGAGCGCGGTAGGACGGAATAGGATTGCAGATGGAGTCAAATATTTCAGGCGTTTTCCAATTTATTCAAATATACCTACACCCCTCTGGTCAGTCCCCAATTATGACGGCTTGCGGGATAAGAGGAAATTGGGATGATCGCTGGTCTGGTTTCTATAAGTAGTAGTGGGCGTTCTTATTCAACATTGCAAGGCCCTGATCTAGCCGTTGGGCTTGAAACTCGGTAACCTTGAATCAGCAGCATTAGGCGGCGTCGCTGGCTGCTGAGTACTCAACTAGAGTATTTCGAGCCGCGAAACGTTCATCCAACTGGTCCAAATGGACACGAAGAGGAATTTTGAATGCTGACAACGGCGTGCTCCAAGTTGCCCTAAGAGACAACTCCCTGACTCCCCGCGAGTTCACCTAGCCTCGCTCGTGCTCGCTTACATGCTGTCTTAGGCTCTTAGCCGAAAAGAACGACAGCGCTGGACAGCCTCAACAGCCGACCTGACACTGACAGCCAGCTTGCAAAGACGTCAGATTTGAGTGCATCGTGTTTCTATATGTTTATGTGTGATGCATGATTGTGAATCCCCTGTATCCTGGTTGCTTCGTGCATGCAGAGCATGGATAGTAGGGCAATGTGGGCCATACCTAGGTAAAGCTGGAAGCAGAGAACCTGGATCTCGGCACAACCCGTTCTGCATACTCCGTGTACTCTGGTCCTGAGACGCAGAGGATTCCTCTTCCGCTCTCAGCGCAGCGAGATGTCGACCTTACCATCGCATGCCCAGGACGTCCCCGACTTGGCCGCACGAGGCTGTCTTGGGGCGATGTACGATAGCTGTAGCCGACGCATTTACTGTCTGGAACCGCAGCCAATGTCTAGGCTGGCGCGAGGACTCCGTGACGCGGCCGTAGGCAGTCCTCTGCAGCTTCCAGCAGGGTTTCACTGGCTCGATCGCGACAAAGTCGTCCGATTGTGGACGAATGAGGAACCTGGAAGCGGACGTTGCTGGTCTTTCCCCTTCGGAGGGACCAAAAACGCCCATTCGTGTCACATTTCCTCTTGCAGCTGGGCTGGAGCTGCGGCACTGCCTCATATCCTTCTCGACCTGGCCGGACAAATGCATGGTCCTTTTCCATATGCTGTTGATACAAAAACACACTATATTCAGTCGTGCTTCTTTCGAGTCTTGTCGTCCTCAGGCTTCCAGCTGCCTATGCAAGACATCAGTCTCGACAGTCACGTCAATTAGGGAGGAAAATGTCAAACTGACCATCAAACTCATGTTTGACAAACGCCAGCGGGTGGTCTGTATCCTTCGCGCCCATCTGTCCGACCCCAGGGCTGAAACTGGTAATAGGCAACACAACCACATCGCCAATCCGCTTCTGCTCCTCCAAATTGAAGAAATCCGAATATGTTACATTTGTCTTCCTGTCCGAGAAATCGAAATAGTCCTTATTATTCAAATACCTGAAGATGGTGTCCGTCCAGATTCCTGGACCGGTGTAGTCCATGATGCTCTTCTGTAATGCGTCGCCCTTCAAAAATGTCTTGCTCGACTGCATCTGCAGCGTCTTTTCCGTGATGGTGGCCACAATATCGAGCAGGACCGGGTGGCCGGGTTTGGACTGGATCGTCCACTGGCAGAATTGAATGCGCCGGGCATACCACTCCGCCCAGTCCTCGCGATCGGGATCAGCTTCGATGCCAATGACCAAGCCCGCGGATGCTTTGTCGAAGTCGGCCGGGAGCCAGTCGGTGGCTGGCTTGAGTGCCTTGGTATCGATATCAGAATATATTCCGCCTCTCGCCAGCAAGATTAGGTAGCGGAAGAAATCTGCCTTGATGACAGGCAGCGGCATGGCGCGGTACGCTCTTGCGACTTCGGGCACGGAGGCGTAAAGATAGTTGATGAGATGAGGTGCGGCATCATCAGTGATGACTTCGTGGACGAACCCGGGGTGTTTCTCTGTCCAGGATGCCTCGAAGGGCCGCAGTCGGTCTGCGAAGTCGCCCGAGCCCGGTGCTGCCTTCCATGTTTGCCAGACGTACGCTGGAAACTTTGACTCGATGTCGTAGGGGAAGTGGTATTTTAATCGTTCTCGGAGAGGTTTTGTAGAGACGTCCTCGATAGGCTTTTGGTTCTTAGCTGGGGGTGGAGGATATGGTCGGCTAGGTTTGGAGTCTTTGTGCTGCTCGAACGAGCTGTCCGCGGGGACAGCAGCCGGAGGAGGAGCACTCACGCTCCGTACTGCTGCCGGCACCAGGAAGAAATAAAGTGCGAGTATCACCGCCGCTATCACTACACCTTTCCTAGCGATAGGCGACAGCGCCATAGTACTCGTGCGCAGCTTTGATTGCTGGGGTTTCTTTTATGCTGTCGGAGCTCGATGCTCGTACTCGTGTAGGGATCGGAATGCTGCCCCTGGCGGTGGCAGAACTATTTCACCGGATCATATTTACACATGCGCTTCGAATCTGATAACGACGATGTAAGGGGTGCTGATCGTGAATGACAGGCGCCGGATTCAACGAAGAAGCCAACAGCGCAATCTGAACGAGGCAGTCTTTTGATAACGAGAGGCAGATGTCAAGTGAAGGAAGCGCAAGTTTGACAAAGAAGTTGAACACTTGCAGAACAGGAGACGCGTACAATGAGATTTAGCTTCGAAACAGGGCCACCACTGCCGCATGCATGCATCCATCCATCCTTGCCAGTGCTACTACTACCACTCAGAACGAAGGCTGTGCTCGATCACGTCTCGCTTGCGTGTCAGGTCGTTTCCACCGCCCATACCCAAGGCCTTCAGAGTATCTGAGAAGGCAGAACCATGTCGCAACTTCAGCAGAAGTTTTGGCCCGGTGCCCTGGATATGTCGGTATGTTCGCTCCGGTTCCGCGGAGTCAGTATCCGGCCCCGTATTCAGCGTCAAGCCACGGTGAACAGCGGCCAAGCATTTCTTAAAGTTGAAGGTGACAATCAGTCAGCACGCAGGTAAGAGCACATCGCCGCCAGCATCCCAGCTCCTCGAGCATAGGCAGGCTGCATAACCCTATCTCACCAACATAGGCTGGAGACCACAGCGCGAGAAACGACAGCTGTCGCGTGGTGCCAACGTCTTTCAAATTGTTCTGATGCTACCTTTGGAAATCAATCGAGAGGCTCGACCCGCCAGGTGGCAACGGGCATTATTTTGGCATAACAAGTGCAATAACCCTCTTCCTCGTGGTTGTAGAAAGAGGAAAGAGCAACTTCCGACGGCAGGGCAGTTACTTATACGCTTTCCAGAGAGTAAGGACCCGGTGCAAACTCAAATGATCACTTCACTGACTTGGGTACGAGGTACTTACTGTTTATTGCACGTACTGGAACAAGAGCTGCTGCCCGTTGTCAGTGAAACGATTGCGTTGTCAGTGGCTGCGTCTAATCTCACTTGACTATTGCAGCACAAATCTGCGCTTCTTGAGCTCGAATTTGCTCAGCACATCGAGATCATCTAACGGCACCAGCAGTTCGAGTATTGTAACTCGCTCCGCCGAGCCCGATCCAACCCATTTAATCCACATGAGCTTATGCAAGACGACACCGTGACGTGATCACGTGCCAGCAGGACAAAGGTGTGCTTCGTATCACTGGCTTCGCACTCCCACTCTTCATCAATCCAGGAACCAGACACCTGATCATCCATGCTGTAGATTCTGATCAAGCAAGAAGTGTTGTCCACCTTGAAAGCAAAGCGTTGAAGCTGTCCCTGTGCATACGTTCTGGTCTGTGGATTTGAAAAGTCCGGCGCGAAGTGAAGGCATACTGCCGTCACAGACAGAAATCCTTTCTCTTCTGCGTTTTGAAGGACCGCCGGCTCAGTTCGAGTGTCTTCCAGGGGTCCTTCCCATGTTGAGTGTACGGGATCGTTAAGAATAACAATTCTGTCGCCCGAGTGATTCGTGGGATCCGCAGGAACAGATGTATAGACTGGTACGAGGTTGCCTGCTTCGAAGCGGGAAATTTGTAGCCAAGTAGGAGTCCGGCGAGTTTGAGTGACATCGAGCGGCTGTCCAAAGAACACTACACCTTTCCAGCCAGCCCATGACCATGAAGGGAAGCCTTCACGACGGGACACGGTAGCTGAAGCAGCCCAAGTCAAAGCCCAGTCGAAGTCCTCGTAAGGGAGACCCCAGAAGAAGCCCTTTGGGTAGATCGTCAGGAGCCGCTGGAGAATTCCAGAAAAGGCTCGGATGGCGTCTGTCTGGTAAGTCATGTCTCGACAGGAGTACAGATTGAGCTTCGTTCCCCAGTATTCTAGGCGCCTGGAAGGCCAATCGAGCGGAATTCTCAATGCTCCGGCTCCAGCTTGTCGTAGCATCCATGTGACGAAGCCTTCTTGCGTTGGGTTGGAAGCTGGGGTCAAATTGTGAGCCCATGACCGCGTTTCTTCGAGAGACTCTGAGCATTGCATGGAAGCACAATCGAAATACATTTGCTGCGCGGTCACGTACAGGCATCTCGCGGAAAGCAAACCTTCTTGGAGCGTCCAGGCACGTTGAACCCAAGAAGAGGTCCAAATCTGCGTCGACAAAGTCGGGAATAGGCTGACAACAGTCTTGTCCTGAACTTTGAACCGGATCTGTATTGGTATGGATCGATTGTCCGAGGACGAGGAAACCGCATCTGCTGAAGCGCCGGACAAGGCAATGATAGTGAGCCATGCACCCCGATAGATGCTCCACATCCTGTCCACTTGATCGGCAACGTCTTCGGGGTCGTTCTGGTTGATGCAGATGGAGTCAATCCATATGTAGCGCTTTCCAAGTTTCCCTGTCAGTGTGATCGCGTCTTCTAGTGTCTTCGCCAGTGTCTTGACCTTATCTCCCTGTGCGAACCTTTCATGCCCAACCTTGCCCCATACATAACTCAAAGCCGTATACTCGCAGCCGGTGCCGGGATACTGTACAATCTGTCTCGTCGTAACATCAAGGAGTTTGACGGGCAAAAGAGCATCGGTCGCCATTGGCAAACACGAATCGTCATGCTTTCGTTCACATTGCTTCAGCCAGTCATGAATCAAATTTGTATTGATGCTTGATGAGTGGACAAGTCTTCCTCCTAGTGCATATGGAGGGGAAAGATCGTCTTCAAGGAGACACAAAGCATCACCACGATGAGCAGTGATTCTGACTGGCAACGATGTACGATCGGGTTCCAAGACGACCAAGAGGCATGTCGTGTATCGTTGCTTTTCGTCTGTATCCATGGTGACGTCCCCCGATTCTCCGGACAGTCTCGATATCGTCCAATCCGGGACTAGCAGAATTTTCTGCTCCAAATCGGTCGGCATAGGAGTGATGGTCAACAAAGCACAGCATGAAGGGCAATCTGCACGAAATGTAACCGTGCCAGCAGTCCCGAGATTCCTGAGATGCATTCCGTTGCCAGAAAGGTCTGTGTTGAAATCCATTTGGGTCTTCCATGGCGGTGGTGTCTCAAAAAATCGTATGAGATCAAGATCTTTACACCGTTGACAGAGATCGCCTTGATCTTGCAGCCAGTCCGATCGAACGGGATTTTGATCTCTCAGTCTTTGCAGGCTCGCCAAAGTCATTGAGTCGTCGATCACAGCACGACATTGAGATAGAATATGATTGCCTCTGCAAAAGAGACACGAAAGGCGATAATCTGTCATCAGGCGCTTGTGTCTGTGTTTCGGACGGAATAATGGTGACACCATCTACTGATGTGCTCGGGGAATACCTCAATTGTATTGTTAGCAAAACACCGCCAGCACGACAGATTCCTTGCTGAAGATCTGGTTCAGATTCGAGGGATTGAGGGCCATCCCATCGTCTGTGAGGGCTTCTGCTAAGCTGAGAAGCCATAACAAACTGACAGGCTACCCCGATCTGGAAACCTGCAGGAAGATGAGCCCATTGCTGCAAGGCGTTGATGTGGCGTGTCGTGAGGAAACCCATTGGTCTGTTCTTGATCAGGAACCATGTCAGCTGCACACCGGTCGGTCAGCGGACTTTGGCTCATCACTTTCAAGCCAGGCGGACCAGACTGTGAACATGTCTTCTGTCCCAGTCGATAGCAGAAAATTCGAGATTTACGCGAAAAGGACGATCAAAGTGTGAGGCCAAGATCAAAGTCAGAGGTGTCTTTGTATCGACCTGGAATTTGGGGTAGGTCCACACGGGTGTACTCAACCATCAAATCAGTCAAATAACAACGATTTCGTAAGGCCTGCTCTCCGTAAAGCGGAACGTGTGTGAAGGAAGACCGAAGAGTCACACTAGCATCATAGGTAGCACCGAAGGCGGAAAATGGGTAGCAAGCACGGACCTTAGGAAGGTGAACAGCGGCATCACCTAGAGCAGGACACTGGTGAGGTCGAGGCGAGATGTCCCGTGCTTGGCATTGTAACGGCGCTAGCTTCTCCGTCTCCAATTTCGATCTCGAAAGTTGAACGTCAATTGAGCTTTCAGACGCATCGTTATGTCCTCTCCTTTGCAATTCTCTTTCATCATGTCTCTTCCACCGACCTCGTAGGCAATTGCTCGACGCAGCGCGTTGCTGTCTCCCTGCTTGCGTTGTGGAGGTCCTATCTGTCGTTACAGCCACCGCGACGAAGTTCTCCTTCACACTCACATCACACATCATGCCTCCACGAATACCACCGCCTCCGGCGAGCCTCGCCGTCCCTGTTCCATCACTGCACACTCATTGCCATGCATGCCTCCGCCGAGCCTTCAGTGCGACTCCGGCCGCCGCCGGCCGCACGAGACCCAAGACCGAGATGTACGCCTGGCTTGCTACTGCTGGTCAGAACTTCAAACAACCTCAGTCAGGCTACCAGACCAACTATCTCACACAATACGCGAAGACTTCCAACTATGCCCGCCGCAATCCTGGGGACAAGAAGGGAACGATACGCACCAATGGACAGCAGAGTCGTCGAGATTCTCAAGAAACCGATGATACAGCTGCTCTCAACGAGGCCGCCGAGGACGACTCACCAGCGAATAGCGGGTTTGAAAAGCGGCCCTTCCCCTTGAACAGGGACTTCTACTCGCAGAGCGTCCTCTCAGAGTCCTTGCGGAATGAGGTCTACAAGCGAGTAGCCAAGGACAAGCAATCTGTGCGGCAGGTGTCAGCGGAGCTTCATATCGACATGCGCCGAGTCGGTGCCGTAGTACGTCTAGTCGAGATTGAGAGGCGGATGCGCGCTGAGGTGAGTTGCCTTCTGTTTCCGTTTCTCCTACCACTTCATTCAAATGATGCTTTACCAAACGATTAGTCTTTCAGACTTTCCAACCATGTTGACTCAAAAATAACAAATTACAACTCTCTGATACGTCAAATTCACTTCTCGCAACCTACGCCAATGCGCTGGGGAACAACACGCTAATACTACATTCATAGCGAAAACCACTCGCCCTCCCCTACGCCGCCTCAATTCACACCATGGTCCCCCTAACCCCCCTAACCACTCCTCCAACAACCCACGAAAGCATAAACGACCTTCCCCACCACCCCCTGACCGCGCCCCAAATCTTCTACCCAACCTCCGAATCCCGCGCCTTCAACCGCACCGACGCAGGCCGCGTCTTCTCCGCCGCCCCGCGCCTCCCAGACTCCCACGACGTCGGGCAGGGCGGCACCCCGAAACAACAGCCCTGGCAGGACACCACCGTCGAACTCATCGGCAAGAAACGCTTAGGATTGGAAACCCCGGTCCTAAAACCCGCCGACGCGCGCATCCCGCATGGCCACCTGGTCAAGCTCGAAGCCGACATCGCCGCGTCCCGAAATCCCGACCGATTCTTCGGCACCGGCACCGCACTCGCACAAGCCACCGAAGGCCAGGATTCGAAATTCACCCCAGCGCAGATTCAAGAACGCTACGAGGCGCGTCTGAAAGCAGACGAGGACGCGCGCGCGGCGATGTTTGCGCGGAAGGAGGCGAGGGCGGAGGCGAGGAGGACGAGGGTTGAAAAGGGGAAATGGGAGTTTGTGGTGACGGATGTGGTTGCGGATGATGGGCTGGGGGCTAAGATGGGTCAGGATGGGAGGGTGGGGATCAGGTATGGTGTGCCGAGTCAGGATCGGAAGAGGGGGAATGTTAAGATTCCGAGGCGGGTTGATGTGTAGTTTTCGTGTAGAGTATGTGTGTTTGTGTGGATGAGCATCATTACAGGGGTGCTCGAGGTTGTACAACACAGTAGTCAGCAAAACTTTTGCAGAAGATCGATGCATGGGGGAGTACTCTGTGGCAGGAATGGTCATTTGCAGCAGGCGGCTCTCGACAATTCATGTCCATGTTCATTTCGCTTCGTGTTCCAGCTAAAACAGCAATCAGGAATCCTCCGTAGTATTCTCGCTCACCTTTCGTAGTACACATACACAATTTGTCCAAAAATGGACGCTCACTTCAAGCTCACTTCAAACTCATTGCGAGCTCATCTCGAGCTCACTCGAATCTGCATCTCGAATCGAGAGCTGGTGGGTCTCTCCAAGGCTGCCCTGAGTACATCCACCCACTGAAGGCCGCCCTGGACTCTTCTTAGACTCGTATGACGACCGCTCAAGGCGCCTGCTGCCAGAAGTCCAGACTGGCAATCACGTCCTCTCCATTGTCGTCTTCGTACGCATAGAGAATCTGTCATCAGCACGTCAGCATCACCCGTCCCCAACCACATCACCCTGTCACCAGAAAAGATCCTCGACTTACCTCCCGCGTACTACTATGCAACATCCTAACATTCCTCCCCGTGATAATATGACACAACTCGCTCGTCTCAATATGCCTTATCTCAATAAAACTCGGCTCAAACGCCAGTATGTACGGATAATTCAGCGCGAAGCTCTGCGGCGTTCCCTCCCACACAATCTTCCAGTCCTGTCGTGCCCGCCATCCATTCCGATTCACGAAGAAGCTGAAATCAGAGTAATTGAGAAGAAATTCTCCGTTGAGGCGCTCAATGTGGATGGGCTTGACGTTTTCCTTGCGGGTGACGAAATCGAGGGACGTGTCGGCTTGGTCCAAAAGGGATTGGCGCTCGGTGGTTTCGAGGGAGACGACTTCGAAGCCGCGGGCGCAGCCGACGCAGAGGGTGGAGCGGAGGTAGTGGACGGAGGAGGACTCGGAGGGAATGTAGAATTCCTGGTGGGGCATGAATGTGAGTACGGGGGTATTTCCATATGGGTCTTGTGGCATGGGGGAGTTGGGAGTGTCACTCAGGGTCAAGGGGACGGTGTCAGAAGCGGGAGCTTGCTTAGTGTAGGGTTTGCGGCTGGAGGAGGAGAAGAATCTAGTTACCTTGAAGGGTTTCAGGGTTTCCTGGCCGCTGGCGAACATTTTTGAAAGGGCGGGCTTCTTTTTGCCTTCGGCGTTGTTGTTGATTGGCTCGTAGACTTTGATCGTCGTGGAGAGGGCGGACGTCTTGACGGTGCAGACCAGGTGGCGGCCGAGACCGATGCCGGCTTTGAAGAAGTTGGAGTGTCCTTGGATCTTCCTCGGGCGGATGGCCATGCTGTTCTGGTTCTGTGGGTCGAGAGCTTCGAAGGGGTATGATTGGAGGTTCTTGTTCGATAGGACCAGGAGAAGGCGATACTCTTCGAGCGTCTCGATCTGTGAGACTTGTGGGGCGTCCAGGATCCGCTTGGGCTTCACAGACTTGTCCTTTGGCCAGCGATCAGCAGTGTAGACACCATTGTCGGATCCGTAGACCAATTTGCGACCACCATCAGTAGGGACCAGGCAGTTAACGCGGTTCTGTGAGTTAAAGAAGTTCTCGCATAGGATGGTCTTGGTGTAGAAATTGCTGCTTCGCTGTCGCAACTTGGTCTGCTGCTCCTCGACCATCTCGATGAACTTCTTTCGCTGAGTGACGGACGGAGCATAAAGTTGAAGCTCGTATGCGCCCTTCCCAAGATGCTTGAATGTGATAGGATACACCTCCTTTTGACCCGCGGGCGGCGCTTTGACACCTGGCAAAAGACCTGACGAAGGACGCTTAGCTATCCCAAGCCGAGGAATGACCTCTCCCATCTCAGCGATCATCAACAGCTCGAGCGGAATAGGCTTGCGATAGACTCGTAGCTCTTCGCGCTTGCTGACCATCTTGTTTCGGCACATGAGAACTGCATGATCGAACAGATATACGATGACTTCGGCCGAGTCTCCAGGAGTCTTCTTGAAGCTCATTTTCGTAAGAATGACACGATTGTCTTCGGTCAGCTTGAGGTCGGTATACTCGCCAGGATTCCATTTGAGTTGCTGGCTGAGCTGCAACAAGTTGAAGTGATTCTCGGCCTTGCCACTCTCGGCGTTGACCTTTGCAAGGAAGTCGCGGATGATACCGATAGCCAATGGAATGTCCTTCTTGTCTGGGTTATCATCCTTGGTGTACTTCAGGATGCCCTCGAGGAGAAGCGGGTATCGAGCTAGACGAGTCGTAGGCTTGGTCAGATAGCCGTTCAGCTCCAATTTGCGAGACTCCTTGAGACGCTCGGTCTCGTCAACGAATCTCGAGAATGCGGGGTTTGTGCTCTTTTCTCGCTCGAACTCGTACTTGCCGTACATCTGATTGGCACCATATTTGATGAAGGGGTCGAATTGTGGAACCCATCGAAGGAACACATCACCAACATGGTTGACAACATGCTGCTCCTTCTGTCTCTTTGATAGCTCATCCGCGAACTTCGAATTGATAGCCAAGACTTCTTGTGAGTTGCCAAAGACAGTGCGGACAAACTTCTCTCGCTTCTCCTCGCGGATAGGTGACATGACTGTGGCACTCAATCCCCGCAATGGCCGTATCCAGAAATCTCGCAGGTACTCCAAATCTTTGACGAAGTCGCGCTCAGTGTACATGAGTTCTGAAATGACTTCTTGTCGCTTCTTCTCTTTGTCGTCTATCTTGTCGGCGACCTCTTTCGGCACACTGTTGATCCAAAGCTTCTGCTCTTGGTCTTCGTCGTGGAGACTGCTTTTTGAGGCGCTGTGTCGTAGACCCGGCTGAGGCTTCATGTTGAGTCGAGCTTGTTGCTCGAGGCGTCTTGGACAGGCGATCGAATAGCATAGCTGGTCTTTTGTGCAGGTAGGAGAGTAGCACTCGGTGAGCAGAGTGAACACGCCATCTACAGTGCCAGTCTTCGAGGTGTTGTCATCTCCAATGGTCTCCTTGAATTGGTAGACCTCGCCTTGGGCGTCTCGTAGACGGTGCTCGTATGTGACATCGTGGAAGAACTTCTGCGCATCCAGAGCACGTCCAAGCAGAAGCGCCAGGTTGCGATCGGTAGTCTTGATGATATACGCGATCAGGTCAACGGCTTCCGCACCAGTGAAGGCACTCTTGTACTCGAGATCGTTCTTGGTGCGAGGGCCAAGAGGAATTCGTTCTTGGAAGGCTTCGGCGACTCGCGACAAGAGTGCAGGATAGACCAAAGGTGAGCGACGTTGAGCGACAGGTGCAACTCGTACCATGGCGTCGCTGCCGCCGCTCATCTGGCTCGAATGTGCCGCTCCCATTGTCGGGCGGTTGGACCTCATGCTGTCTGCGCGGCTTGGATCTTGACCATTGGTGAGAGTGTTTGAATCGCTGAAAGGATTTGAGTAAGCAGACGCGCCAGATGCGGCAGAAGCAGCGGAAACACTTCTGCCAGGAGTATTCAAAGTACTGCTACCATTGCTTGGAGGACGACGAACTGGCAGACTGTTTGTCGAGTTTGTGGAAGTGACAGAAGTCGGGCTGTTGTAGGATTGTTTCTCGATGAGTGGGGTATGATGGTCCGAAAAGGGATCCGAGCCTGACTCACGCCGTCGCCCGGGCACGATTCTGCCGCTAGTCAATTGCGCAACATGATCACCATCAGCACCACTCGAATAGCTGCCCATGGTCATTGCTCTGTCTGAGGATCGATCTGGAATAGCCCTTCCTTGTGAAGTTGTCCTAGGACCCATACTCTGGTAAGGTTGCTGACGAAAAGCACCAGCAGTGCCTTGCATTGGTTGCGGCGGTCGTGAGAATTGCGGCGGCCCTGCAGGCGCACCCTGGACCATTGACCGTGATCGATAGGAGTCATTGTTCATTGCAGGAGGTGGCATCCTATTTGGAACCGGCTTTCGCTGGTATGGCGGCATAGGACCTCCAGGACCGGGTGCCATGCCCTGCGGCGGAGGGTATGGTGGTCGACCCATATAAGGCGGATTTACAGGTGGCGGCATCCTTCCAGCCCCCGTACCACTCATGCCGTTCGACATATATGGCCCAGGTGGACCTGGTGCCGAACCATTGGTGCGATCATAACTTGGTTGCACAACACGATGTGGCGGCGGTCGGTCCGGGTGATAGCCTGACGATGTCAAGCTCTGCAACCGCGGATGCGACTGCTGCTGTTGCTGTTGATCGATCAAGTACTGAGTATCACTTGTCATTGTTTGCGATCGTCCCGGCGGCGGCGCACCGCCAAAGATGTTCTGGAAAGCAGCATCGCGCTGCGGGGGCTGGCGCTGAGGATAGCCAGGTTGTCTGCCACCATAATATCGGTCTGCGGAACTATAGTCTGCCATACTCAGTCAAGAGATGACATGCCCGACCTTGAAGTGGCCGGGACTCGACGTTTCTCTGGTGGGCGACAGTATCAGCGCAAATCGGTCGAATGGGGGCTGCTCCCACGTGCTCGATCCTTTCCTCGGTCAGCCACGGTATGGTGTTCCAGGTTCAGCTGGTAGTCGCTCGGATATGGAGTGTTCTGGGTGATCAAGAGGTGCTTCGTCGAGAGCCACGCGGCCAGGGGTGAAGAGGCGAATGTTCAGTTCGGGCGCATTGAATCATTCTCTCTCCATGCCACAGGCTGATGTGATTCGACCGCGGGTGGCTCGCTCGCTCGCTAACGACAGTGGAAACAGGCTACAAAGACTGCTAAGATCAAGGAATGTGACTGCAAGAGGTGTCGAATACGAATAGCGCTCAGAAGGAATGGATTCGTTGGGCTCAAGGAGTTGTTCAGATGCTTCATGTGCTGCTCAACTTCATGCCGGCTCTTGAGGTGTTGATCGATACGGCTACGCATAGGGGAGCGCAAGGCACTCAGGCACTCTACGGTGAGCCATACATGCCATATAACTGCAGTATCTCCATCATCATGCAGAACATCTACTATCCACTGAGCACATAGACTGCTGCTGAATACCTCTTCTTGTTCTCTTCACAACATTCTGGGTGCAGTGAGCTCCTAGCAGAACCTGAGCCTCATCTTGTCTACTCCTACCAGACCTGCGATCACCACAGCATCTCTCTGAGCACATCTACACCACCTATCACAATCATGGCGTCCGCCTACGCAGATGCTGGCGAGCCCAACGAGTACACTCCATACTTTGCGCCCTTCTTCGGCATGGTAAGAGACAGCAGATGTTCTTTTCAGCGCAAACGATCTGACTGAACGACAGGCCGGCATGGCTTTCGCTATGATATTTGGATGCAGGTCTCCCATCTCCGCGGCACATTGATCTGCCACTACCACCGAGCAAGGTACTGACGAGAAGCTACGCAGCGCCGGTGCAGCATATGGCACAGCAAAGTCAGGCATAGGCATCGCCAATGTTGGAACATACAGACCAGATTTGATCATGAAGGTAGGTCAAACTCTACCTCATCGTACCGACCAGCCACACTTCTGCACACGCATGCAGAGTAAGGAAGCTGATCAACACACCGCAGTCATTAATCCCCGTCGTCATGTCCGGTATCATCGCCGTCTACGCCCTTGTCATTGCAGTCCTCATCTCCGCCGACATGGCGCCGAACGAGTCCTACTCGCTATACACTGGCTTCATGCACTTGGCCGCTGGCCTTTCCGTGGGTCTTGCAGGCATGTCGGCAGGCTACGCGATCGGCATTGTCGGAGATATGGGCGTGCGAAGCTACATGCAGCAATCACGAGTATTTGTCGGCATGGTCCTCATCCTTATCTTCGGTGAAGTGCTGGGTCTATATGGCCTGATTGTGGGGCTGATTCTGCAGTCGAAGAGTTGAGAATCAGGGAACAGAGAGACCACGAAGAGATGCCAACAGCTCCTGCGAATGGTACAGGCGGGAGTTCTTTGCGCAGAATTGTCGTAAGAGAACACACGGCGAGGACCGTCTGGTTGGGTGGCGGTGACGTCCTCCCATTGTACAGCAATGAGCATTTACAAGTCTAGCATCATTCGTGCCAGTCTATATGTCCCAATCTCTCGTCTCGCACTCCCCACTGTACTTCACACCTCAGCCCTCCCTCGCCACTCATTGGCGAGGAGAGCAATGACGAAGCGGAATACGCAACAAGGAGAGTAGTAAGAATCATGTCTTTCTTGATATGGATATCCGATAAGCACCCGGCCTGTACACTGCCCGCAACAGAACGCTATGCAAAAAAGAAAGCACCAGTTCCTCAATCCACTCACAAGGCATGAGCAGCAGCGCTTCCTCTGCATCATGGACTTTTCCCGCTCCATCAAACCCCACTACCAATCTTACTCCTCCCCTTGCCCTTCTCCCCATCGTCACTTCCCAGCATTGGACTCGTCATCTCCGTTTCTCCACTACCACTGCCACTTCCCCTGACCTCCTCATCTTCACTCATCAGGCCTTCCAGCTCAAATTCCTCTGCGTCCCGCAGCTGCTGGCTGTCGGTCGGTCTATGGCCCTTAACTATTCGCTGCGGGACAGGCAGGTCCGAGTAGGTCAGCGTGCTGGCCTTGCGTGAATGCATTCCCGCTCCTCCTCGCATATGCATCGGCAGACCGTTCGGTGCTGCTAGGCTCATGGCCCTCTGCCCCGACTGCTGTGCGTGTGCGCCCACAGGCGACGGGCCGCCAGGTGGGTAATAACTCGCAGCGCGTGCCTCAAGCACGCCATTCGATTCATCGTCTGGCCAGGTCGCGGTGGCGTAGATATGCAGGAGGATGTTAACGAAGAGGTACAGCAGGAAGGCGATGGAGTAGAGGATGAGGATGTAGGAGACGTGGGTGACGTTGTTGGCGGCGAGGAGGGCCATTTGCTCTTCGGTGGCGCCCATGAAGAGGAGGCCGGACGCATAAAGTAGCTGTGCGAGTAGTTAGCGTGTGGTGCGGGCTTGGGAGAGGGAAAAAGAGGGCCCAGTCGTCGGAGGGGTGGGAAAGGGAGGACTTACGAAAGGAGGCAGATGCTGCCACGAACTCGGCTCACTTCCACCTCGCGAGTCCTTGAGCGTGAAGCAGATCTCGATGATGCGCGTTGCGCCAGCCGCCATGAGCGTATACCCGAACATCCTGTGTACCATGGTGCTCAGCTCCAGTTCTTGCGGATGCGCGCTCATCCCCCATCCCGTCATGATGATCACGATTCCCGGCAGGATATTCCTTCGCGGTGCGCCTCGTCGACTCCTACTAAGCCACACACCGAGTAAACCCGCACACCACCACACAATCCCCATGCTCGTATGCTGCAAATCATTCTTCACCCACGGGCCACCCCACCGATGCTCCGTAAACGTATTCACACAACCCCACGCGGCAATCACAATCGAGTCGAAAAACTCCTGACTCCTGCCGACCCTCCTCAACCACGCCTGCCCCACAAGTAGCATAAGCGTCATCACGATCCCATACCCAACAAACGCGCTGCCCATGATGAAATGCGCCAGACACTGGCCCGTGTGCTCCCCTCGACAAAACCCCAGCGCCACAATCCCCCCAAACAGCATCTGCGTCCACGCCACCACAGGCATGAGTTTCCCAATCCAGCTATGCACAACCACCACGATCCTCCGCCCGGTCTTGCCGGATTTACTCCCAAAAACCTTACCCAACCACCCCTGCTTCGCCTCCAGGTGAAGCTTCAACCCGACCCCGATCCCGACCTGCACAATCGTCATCAACACCAGACTATTCGCGAAACTGGCATGGATGTGCGGCTTGCGGAACTGGCGGCCCTTGTGCATGTGGCCCATGAAGTATGCGGGGATGGCGATCAAGGTGGCGAGGATCTGGAGGGGGACGTGCCAGCGCGAGTGTGTTATGCCGAGGACCATGCCGAGCGGGTAGAGGATGCCGAAGGCGAGGATCATGAGGAGAATATGCAGCCAGAGGATGCTGTCGAGAGGATCTTCGCTTAGGGCAGCGCCCTCGGGGATGCGATCATGGCCGCCGTGGGCGTATGTTGGGGTCGGGATTGCGAGGAGCAGGACGAGAACGGTGGTGAGGAAGGAGGTGGGGAAGCGAGAGGGCGCCATTATGGCTTTTTGACGTGTAGTGCGAACGATCCGTGAGTCGATCTCGGCGCGTCTCGTTCGTGAAACTGCGCTGGCGGGCGTCTGTCTTTGATCAACGCAAGCGATGTCGTTGGCTTCGAGCGGACGCTTCTTGCTAGCCAGAGCGCATTTTGGCGTAGTAAGATGCTGATGCCGTTGATGGAGTCGCGTCGTCGTAAGAAGGGCCGGTGAGAGCGTCGTTGGCGACGAGGGAAGGCTGCTTGGGACGGTTACCGTTGATGGTGGCCACGCCTGCGTCTCGGGGTTGTAGTTGTAGTTCGGCCTTAATTTAGGTACGCGGGTTGAGCGGAATCGAGAAAAGAAATAGTGGGGCAGGCGACGAATAGGGGTCCTGCCATTTGCTCGTGCTGTTCTACTTCACGAACCACTACCATGTTACTATGGTTGTTGAAAGAACTGAGCATCTTTGTCGACTATGCATGGACATTCTCATTAGTTCATGATCGACCGTGACTTCCAAGCGCCGTCCTCGCCTGGGTCTCTGGTATCCAAGAACCAAGTACATTATGCATCATTTTTCGCAGCGAAATATGCATCGCATCAGACCTCATCCCAAGCCTCCCTCTTCCGCTCCCTCGTCTTAGCCTTCGCCCGCACTTTTGAGCTGCCTCTCCCACTACTACTAGACTGCTCCCTCCGTAATGATGGCCGTCCCGGAGTGGACAATGTGCCAGTCTGGGCGACTCGAACCTCCTCGCCAATCGGCCCTCCGCCTGTAACATACGGCCCTGCACCAAATTCCGTTGTACTAGTAGGCTGCCGATTCACCCACACCTTCTCGCCTGTCTCGCGATGGACCTTGAACTTTTCTCCCGCTAGCACTTTCTTCCTCGTCAACCCGCCAGCCAGGCGGTCTTTGATCCTGATCAAGCCTTGCCGGAGCTGTCTCACACCGAACAGCAAGAACAGCAAGGCCACGCCCACTGCGGCTGGGAGGAAGCCGTAGATGTAGTGCCGAGAAGGTAGAAGCTGGCTAGGTAAAGCGAAAATGAGGCATGCGAGTGATAGTGGGACGTAGACTAGAGCCAGTACCGCGAGTAGACTTAGATGTGACCGAGATGTGTTGGATGTGGTTGCGATCCGGTCGAGGGCTTGCGTGTGTGTACTGGTCAGGAGTGCCGTGAGATGGCTGAAGGTGGCATCGGTCGTGGAGCGATGTGCATGCAGACTGCTCAAGAGCGTGCGGTACGTTGCTGCTATGTGCTCATTTGGTGCTGTTGACATACACGCAAACTCTTTGGTTTGTGACAGGGATGTTTTCATAGTTGTGAGCAGCGCATCCACGAAGATCGTCCGCGATAAAGCGCGCTGCAGTGTTGTTGTGTTGGGGATTGGGTGCTGAGTACAGATGCTGGCCGGACTCGAGGAGGTGAGAATGTTCGAAAGGAAAGTGAGCGTGTTTGATGTCTCCGCGGCCGCCAGCTGCAGGCATGGTCGAGCTATCGTTGCCAGTGCCGGAGCTCCAACATCAGCTGGCTTCAACGTGAGTGGAGGAGAGAAGAGGCCATCTCTCGCTTGTATCTGCCAATGCCGAAGAAGCTCATCGAAAGTGTTGCCCACACTGTATTGGACGTTGTGAGCACACTCCCGATAGTCGTTCTGCTGCATGCTCTGAGGCTTCCTCATCTCCACAAAGTCAACATACCCACCTTGATACGGTAGTACAGAGAATGATTGCGGAGGGCCGGTACTGCTGAAGGATGTTGGTCCGGCGGCAAAGTTTGAAAGCGGCGGATCAACTAGAACAACGGCAAGCCATGGGTCGGTCGCCTGTTGGGTTCGACTTGACCGTAGCCATATCGATATCTTCCTCCGAACTACAGCCACTTTCTGGCGTGGCTGTTTTGGAATGACCTCAACGCGTCGGTAGTAATTACTTTTGCTGCTGAGTGTCATTCCCTCAACTTCTTTCGGACAGTTGACAGGCACAAATGCTGTCTGATAGTCGATTGTGACTTGGTCTCGAGGGCCTTGAACAGTGCAGGGTTCTGCACCGCCTTCACCAATATGGTTCGCGAAAAAGCTGGGATCGATATTGAGCAAGCCTCCGAGTGTGTCGATGAGTGCAGGAGCAGCATTATCCACCATGATTATGCGGCCTGATGGCTGTCCTGAGCCTGGCGACGAAGGCTCTTTGCTGGTCCTCGTCCATTCTCTAAGAAGCAGTCGCAACTTGTTCAAGTCGGACAGATCTGAAAGTCGTGTTGAGCCCTTGTTAAACTCGAGTAGCATTGTTCTCGAGAACTCCGGCTGCCTCACATTTGGCGACATTTTTGCTTGTAGCCCCCATTGTAGGTACTCGTTGAGTGTGTTGAGATTGTGAAAGCCGTGCGAGTTGAGAAAGCACGCGTAGTCGGTGTATGTCCACTGCGAAGGATCCGTCGATGGTGCCATGGCACACATCCTGCAAGGACCTGATGCCGAATGCATCGTGGTTCTATTCCTGCTGGTGAGTACAGGTACCGTCTAGCTTGGAAGAAAGATACAAAGCGGGAGGTAGAAGCACGACAGCACGATAGCACGTCACAGGGCTCGGTCCACAGCTGATTCATGGCTTGCTCTGGTACGAGTTAGCAATGTCCCAACGTGGTGTGGCAGCCGTCAATAATACGCGAGGCCGCGCACTGTCTTGAGCAAGCCCCAGACCCTGAAGCGGGACTGATCAGGCCACGGATCAGGCGAATGTCGGCGGTACTGTACGTAGAGGGGCAACTGAGGACCTGCGTGAAGTCCAGCCACCGCCCAAGTACAACACAATTCGCAGACGCATGTCCATTATTCCATGCATTATTCGTGTCGTTGCATCCGAGCACAAACATGTGGAAAGCACAACGGCCAACGTGCGGTTGTATGCCAGGATGATCAAACACCAACCTCTTCTGCAGCTATGGCGTGCAGTCGGATTTGGATCTGGAGCTTGTGACTCGTGATTGATAAAGCATGAGCTCGTGTTCGTCCTTTTAGCTTCCGAGCCCAGCCACCCCGCACGAAAAGCCGTACATGAGGTTTAACCAGGCTAACCAGAGAAGGTGATGAGGCCCAGACGAGGTACCGAAGGGTACGAAGGCCCAGAGGTAGGCCGTCGCTGCTCACGAGCGAGTTTCGGGTCGGCAATGTGGGAGTCGAAGGTGAGCTCGACCTGAACACAGAGTGGGTGTTCGATGTCTCTCACAGAGTTTCGGGGCGAGCCGCATGAGCGCTTGGCGCGTCTCGGTGGGGTCACAGTCGGTGCGCATTCGAGGTCTGCACTGATGAACTTTCGAGTAGAAGATTATCTCTCCGAGCACGATGCGCGTCCTCGAGGAACATACGCAACATGTGAAGTTCCAGTAGCGCTGATTGCGTAATTATCCGACCAGCATGGCTCTAAGTACCCCAGAGAACTCGAGCGACACGAATGCGTCTCTAGACCTGCTGCAAGTTAGATTACGGCGGCTCGAGTTCCTACTTTCAGGCGCGAGCGATGTTGATGGAAGTCCGGCGCCAGCAGTCAAACCACTTGACGGGGCTGCTACAGTGATCGCACGCCTAGAGAGTCTCAGAGCAGGCTTCAGCAAGGTGAGGAAGGGCGATGATACTGTCGCAGCCATACTCAATGATGTTGAAGCGATATGTACGTGTTAGCACAAGAGAAACCAATCTGCTACTGATCCCGTACAGTCAACAAGTATCCCGAGCTACATAAAAATGCCTCCGACGCGACGTCGCAAGATCACTCGACGCAAGCATCGGTGGTGCTTGCCAATGCGACCCTCTATCCCGAGACTGCTTCACGACTAGCGTCGCTACAAAACCTGCAAATACCGCCAGCTGAGAGCAGTGGCAAACTCACGGCTCTGCGCGCAGACATAGAAAATTGTCGCGCAGAGCAGCAAAAGATTGATGCAGAAGTCCAGGAACTACGAAAGCGCAGCGCTCAATGTCTGGAGTGGTGGGTCAAGACTGGCATCGTGGGCATGGGCGACTTGTGGGAGGATTGGGAGTATCGGCTGACTGAGCTCGAACGTCAAGTCACGCGGTTTGAGAGGCTTCAGAAGGACCGAGCAGGTATATGTGATGTAATAGAGTGTCTGGTGTACCTAGACATCAGACCAGGACGACATGAGGGCCAGATGGCGCCCACGACTAGACGCGAGACCGCAAGTCACGACTCCGAACGTCGTCGTTACACGCATGCAGAGCCATCAAGAGCTTTGTGTGACACATTGGCAGCCGACGTTGTACACGACGGAGACTGAGAACGTGTCAGTAAATGCCGGGTCACGGTTGTATGACACAGTGCCACTGTGGCATTCCGCACAGAACAATTCGTGGCGGTGCGAGAACGGAACGCTGATCGGCCGGGCCCAGACGACCCGCAGACCTTTTGATCATCGCTTTAATGTCAGCCAATCGAGGCGCCCCAATCTGGACATTTCATTTCGACTTGCACGAACAGCTGCAAGGATTGGATGCAAAGTGCTGATTATCGATGTATGGAGTCAAGTACTGACGGCGAGCTACAGCAATGTCAGTAAGATGACAATAGATTGTTCATTGATCGCTTGAGAACGATATCAGCATCCTTCAAACATTATCGAAAAAGTCTGCCCTGCCGTTCCTGCATACGGGGTAAAGAATCTAGCAGAGACAGGGGTACGCAAGGGCCAAACTAGTGGTCCGTAGGCTGGAGTCGGCAGCGTGGCTATCTTTGTGACCAGACTCGTGAAGCAGTTGTCATATGGCTGCATGGGGAGAACAAAGACATGGCGATCCGAAGCGGCAAGGAGGACTGCAGAACAAAAAGAAGGTCCTTCTTTGATGTACGGCATGACAGCGGCAAGGACCCCAGGGTCGATGGATTTCTAGATGTGCTGCTGGTGAAAAAGATCGTGTCGAAATTAGAACTTTGAAACGCGTCCTGAGCTTGAGCGGACCTGAACGAATCAATAGGCAAGAGCGCTATGAATTGACCCCACTCCACCCCCCAGTCGCCGCTTCCTCTCTGGTTCATCCCTTTCGCGCCTTCCAGCACCCGACGACCAGTTCAGGCTGCGACACTTCTGCGTTGAACATCCCAGCACCAACGCACCAGGCCTCTCCCTTTCCTTGCAGTGCTCCTCAGTCCATTCACTACCTTGAATCCTGTCTCTTTCCCAACCGGACACTCGACGCCATTCAACGTCTGCTCGTCATTCTCGACGTTTCCGACTCAACAACGACTGCCACCGAGCCCCCCTTACTACGGTACACGCTCATCCGATCAGCGCCCTGTCGACGCCCGGTACCTCCACCACGCTCGTCATCAAGAGATATCCGTAACTCATTCTGCTTCGCATCGATCGACACAGATCCTCCACCAAACCCTCATACTTAGCACTCAACACTCCTTCACGATCGCGCGAGTCGACGCGACCTTGTATGCCAGTCTACACTTCGAACTCGCCCTCGCTGCAGAAGTACAACATGGGCTTCATGGACGCTAGGAAAAGCAACATGTCGGGCGGCAACATCATCGGTGATCCGTTCGCTCTCGCCACCATCTCATTGTCGGTCGTAAGTGGTGACAACGAGCATTTGTGGATCAATACTAACGAGATCAGTTCGCGTGGCTCCTCGCCTTCATTCCATCAATCATCGCAGACATTAATCAACCATATCCCAAATATGCCTGGTGGACAATCGCTTACATGCTATGCAATATTGTCGGCATTACAGCAGTCTTCGCGACGAATTCCGTGAACCACTATCAACTAGCTATTGTCGGCTACCTCGCTGCTGGTCTCGTCATGACCACATCCGCTGTCAACTCCCTCATCTATCAGAGCGAGGCCGCGATGCAAGCTGCTGCTGCTGGCTTCATCCTTCTGTCTATCATCGTGGTAAGTTCGACTCCTCCTGTACGCATGTTACGTTACTGATCTGTCGCTAGATCGTCTGGATCTTCTACTTTGGGTCCAGCCAGAATTCATCATCCCGTGACTTCGTCGACCAATTTGCTATGAACAAAGAGAGATCATCGATGTATCGTGGAAACAACACCAACTACAATGCCCCGGAGACATCATTGGCACAACCTCCTCAAATGTACACATCTGCTCAGCTCAATGGTTTCGAGACTTCATCTCCAGTATCAGGATATCCAGGTGGTCCCATGGGTGCTTCAGGCCGCGGCTCAGCAGCTCCACAGATGACCACTGCGGCTGCCTCAGTCGTACCGAACAAGGAGGAGGGAGCAGCTCCAACCGAGTACCCTTATCGAGCAAAGGCCATCTACAGCTATGATGCGAACCCAGACGATGCCAACGAGATCAGCTTCGCCAAGCACGAAATTCTAGAGGTATCGGACGTGAGCGGCAGGTGGTGGCAGGCAAAGAAGGAGAACGGCGAGACTGGTATCGCTCCTAGCAACTACCTCATCCTCTTATGAGGTGTTTGACTTGTCTTGGCGATTTTGCGACACGAGGACGACGCATTAACAGTCACGATATTTCATAACGACCCTTGATGACGGCAGTGGGAATTTGATCCTTTCTTGAAGAGCACAGCACTTCATTTGACAGCCAGCAAGTGGCTACCTCAGCACACTTACTGGACGCAATCACATTGGTCCAGCACCTTCCTGGTCGCTCGACCTGAAACCTTTCTGGCGTTGGGACGGGTGACCAGGAATAAAAGCTGGTCCACGGAGTTGAGGCATTGTTTTTGGCGGGACTCGGCTATCGGCTATCAACAATACCCTTTACTTTTCGCGACACTGCAAACTTGCAGCAATGTCTACTAACATTTTTGCAAAGAGCTATTTCACCACGAGTGGACGTGGCCAGAAGAGCAATCTCGAAACCAGCAAGAAGAGAAGAGCTTCGAATGAAGGGTGTGAAGCGGGCACCCATATGTAAATCACCTGCATCTTGAGAAAGAGAATTGAGCAAATGAAGCAAGATCATTCACAATTGCGCACTGCACACCTGCTACTCCGAGACTACCAGGTGGGGTAGCTATCCGTGAAGTCTGCTAACTCTACAGGACGTTCGATCAAGTCAACTCGGCCTAGACTCACAACCACAGCATCAAGGACCTGAGCCTGCTTCAATGGGGCGCAGTAATATTCTGCAACCCAAACGCCATCCTAATCTCGTTCACAGCCACAGGATCGACGTTCCGCCACTCAAGGTCCGCGTTGCCCATAGGGATCGGGTGCGGACCATACCTCGGGTCAGTGAACACGGTCGCCAGCACCATACAGGTCGATGGGATGTTTCCTACTCTCAAAGCTGTGCGCGCCTGTGAGTATTTCAACCGGACCAGAAAAGCAGCTGGAGAGGACTTACTGGTAGGTTGAGGGTTATCTATCGTGATGCTCTTCCTTGCGTGCCCATCAAGATGATGTCGTTCTGGCACATCCTGAAGTTATACTCTGGAACACCGGGCGGGATCTCTTGTGGTTGGTATTTCTTGTATCTTCGGGCGAGACGGTGGCTACGGGGGTGGCGGGGGGTGGTGGGACGGTCACGCCTGGGGCGTTTGGCGCTATAGAAAGGGATGCATGTCAGCTTGCAAGCGCCACAGATAGGGGGAATGAACGAGAAGGACGGATCCTCACCTGTTACTGTGGCTGACGGCGCGGTCGTCGCCGGAGGCGCTCTCTTCGACCAGCTGTATTTGATCGACGCAGCGCTCATTTTCGCCTCAGAGTACTTCGACTCAATCGATTTGCTTGCGGAGTAGGCTGCATCGTGGATCATTTTGGAGAACGAGGACTTCGCCTTCGACTGCGACTCGCTTTTTAACGACGCGGACATGGCGGCGCGGCCTTCCGACCTGGATTTGGCGGATGCTTCTGAAGCCACGCTCGCTACGGATGCTACTGATATTGAGGCGACCATGGCGGAGCTGATTGAGGCGTCGGTCACTTCGTAGAAGCCGGTTTCTGTGAGGATGTCTGTTACTGTTGTTGGGTTTTTGTTAGTTTCGACTGGTTCAGGGAGAATTGCTAGGTGTTGGAGGTGGATGCATACAATCGCCTCCAAGGACTTTCGAGGCTGCTTGGTTCTTGTTGTCGACCGCCGCTGCACCAGCAGCACCTCCGCCAATCGCACCCGCGCCCAGCACGCCAGCACCGACGATGTTCGCGCCGTAGTACAGCTTCGCATTGACGATGACATATCCTCCGTACCAACAGCTGCTGGCCTCGATGCCGAAGGCCTTGGAAATGGTGGCGCCAGCGATGCGCCTATAGATCTCATCAATATGTCTGCAAGGCCGAGGGTGGCTGAGGTGTGGACTTACGTTGCCAGGGCTGTCTGGCCGGCGGCTTTGGCTAACCTCGCTGCGCCTGCGATGGGGCCCGCCGAAGACTGTGAGGAGAGGGCGAATAGCAGGAGGATTATCTCGAGGAGACGCATGTCGGCGTTTCTTGCATTCCCCGTCTGCCGCGGGTATGGAAGTTGCCAGTCGGGTGGCAGTGGCTACCTCAGCGAGAGGGAAATAGGACCATTCCGCATATCAACTCGGACCTGCTTGCAGCTCTTCAGAGCAGCAGCCTTCCTTGTTCGTCCTTGCCAAGACGTCACGGTATGGTCATTGCTTTGTTGGAGTCTGTCCATGACGGCGCCCTTTGTTGCAACGACTTGGCGCTGTGGGAGACGGTCTATGCTTGGGCTCGGCTGTTCCGCGCTCGGTCTCGTGGCAGGCACAATTATCTGCACAGACTGAAGACATTCCACGACATGTCTGCGGGCGTATTGCCAAAAGGTCGGGCAGCCATGGAGTCTCGTCGATGTTCCATGGCAGGCTTGACGGTGCTAGTGCCGATCCTGGCATTACTGGCACTCAACGTTGCTGGTAGTGTGCTTGTGACTGTGCCTGCTCGACACCGAAGCTACCTCCTCCCTGCAATACTGCTCCCAGCTGCAGTCTCACTCACCATGAGTGAGCACTTGGAGGTCATCACAGGGCTTTCCGAGATATGGGCCCTCATCACCTTGATTGCTTTGACGCATTACGTCTCGCTTCTGTACATCAGGAAATGGAAAGTGGATATCACTCCCTCTGACGTCCAGCAGCGTAAGCTGTCGGAAGGGACTTCTCACCTACATGCTCCGAAGCTTGCATGGTTATTTCGCAGAGATGCTTGGACGAGAATCCACCGGGTCGCGAACAATCCTCGCTGCGTCCGTCTCTCGCACAAGGACATCACCTTCCGGACCGGGGATCAGAGAAGCTCAGCAGCGACAAGGCGTCACAGAAGCCGATCTTCATCAGATCGACAGCCATCCATGCTGCAACGCCACTCAAAAGCAGACTCATCTTTCTCCTTCTGCGCTTCTTTACCGTTACCGTCATCCTCAACGATGTCGCAATTCACCCACCTTTTCTCTCACCATCCCTAAACCCCGACGACTTCTCGCCGTCCAGTGGGCGCACTCTCCTCGCTCGCCTGCTTCTCCGTTCCAGGGATGCAGCAACAAAAAGAGAAATCTACATACGCTCCTGGCTCACAATCTCCATGTTCATGCACCTAAGCCTCGTTCTCGACGCGCTCCACACAATCTGCGCGATTGTCTTCATCTACGTCTCTCGCATGGACACGCTGCAGGACTGGCCAGACATGTTTGGCTCGCCGCTCCAGGCGTTCACATTGGCGAGATTCTGGGGAAAGTACTGGCAGAGGGTGCAGGTTGTGGCGTATCGGGACTTTGTGGATGTACTCCTCCCGAGTCGCATGCTGAGCAATCCTGCGGCGCGAAAGGTTGCGAACGTGGTCTTTGCGTTTCTTTTCTCGGCGTTGTTGCACCAGACTGTGGCGGCAGTGCTGTACCCGCAGTGTGCAGGTATCAAGGACTTGGCGGATGTGAAGTTCTTTGCGTTAAACGCTGTGGGCGTACTGTTGGAGTGTGGATTGCTGGCGGGGTTCGAGGAGATTGGAAGACATTTTCTTCCGGGATCGAGTCGCCGACGTGGAGCTGCTCGGCTTCAGGTGCAGCAGGGGTGGCAGGTTGGCAGCGACGTGTATGGGGCTTTCCAGCGCGCCTCATGGGATATGCCTGGGTGTTTGCATTCATGTTCTGTGTACTTCCGGAGGTGTACTTTCCGAGATTGCACTGCAACCTGAGCCAAGAGCAATGAGCTGGCGATGGCCAGCTAGTTGGACTCGCTTGAGCTTGCAAACCTGGAGGTGGTCTAGAGAACGAGGCTCGCTCCGAGTTCGCAGTAGACAGCAAGGACTCCGTGCAAGATGGAGGCCCAATTGTCGATTGTTGCAGCCTCGTCGGTCGTCCCTGGACGCGTGTTCAGGCGTCCGTCTTCAGACACAACCTCTCATCTTTGACTGCAACGATCGTGATGGTCGGAAACTTACAAGAACCCGGCCCGCATACCGATGTGTGCTCACCGTATTGTTATCCTCGTTCCTGCAGCCATAAGGAAGTTGGGGATGTGATGAGTTCAGCTTTCTCGTATTCTTTTCAGGTGGCCAATAATGGGGTGCCTCAACTGGCTCGAAGTTGCCGAGATCGATTGGACGACTGTGCAATCCCGTCTTCAGGCCCAAGCCGTACAGTGAGGGATCTCCCGAATGCATGCGAAGAAACCTTTGGCTGGTTGCGCGGGTTGTTGATTGGTTGTTCGAGTCGGATATTCGCTGTGTCTTCCAGAAAGGGTCCGTGCTGGACTCAGCTGGATTTGCATAAGTATGAGGGAGGTCGTGCGACGTCAGATCTGAAGTCCCGAGGAGCAATCTAAACAGCGTCAAATTTATGCGAGGAACGAACCACATAACAAGAGTGCCATTTTTCAACAGCGACCAACTTGTAGCTCCAAGCCACTGCGACAGCCTCGGCTCGATACCATCGGCAGGTACAGCTCTTCACAACCTGCGGTCAGTAGCGAGGTACTACCGGCATTAGCCAGCACAAAAGCCCCTGCTTGAGATACCGAATACGCAAGCACCCAACAGTCAAAATGCCCAGCAACGAGGAGAACATCGCAATGATGCATCGTCTCGTCTTCGAAATCCAGCAGGACGCAGACTACTCACTCATTCCCACCCTCGTGGCACCCAATTTTATCAACCATACGGCTGAAGCAGGCCTGCCCAATGACATCTCTGGCGTTGCTATGGTCATGCAGTACATCCACGCAGCGTTCAGTGACATCAAGATGCAGATCGATAGCTGTATTTGTGATAGTGATCTGATTGCGACGAACAAGGTGCTGACGGGGAAGCATGTGGGTGAGTTCATGGGTGTGAAGGGGAAGGGCGAGAAGAAGAGGGTGAGGATCATGGACTTTGTGAAGGTGAATGAGGCGGGAAAGATCGTGGAGCACTGGGCGTGTATTCGGCCAGCGGAGCTGTTGGGAGAGTAGGGTCGGGAGTTGGGTGGTTAATTTGCGAAGGAGGCGGCTGAAGAGTCGGGCACAAAGGCAACAGCTTGAGAACATTGCTGTTGGACAATTCGAGACGGGCCAGTGGACTCTCGATCAGCGTACGCGGAGAAGGAATGGCCGGTGATGTAGTGTTGCGGATACGTAGGCTGAGTGTGTTGTGACTGGAAGCTGCTCGGATCAATCGTACGTACCTGAATCAACATAGCTGAAAGTCCATCGAGACCAAGCAAGGAGAATTTACTCCTCCGAACGGTAATCGCGAACGAAAATAAGAGAGCTCTCGAGAGGTCCTTCGAAGTGATGTTCTGAGACGAACGACACCCATTCCCTCCAGGTTTCCTGTAGGCAGACTGTCGAAAAGCGGAAGGAACAGGGATTGTTGCAGAGTTCTTACTCGACGTTTGCGAGGCCAGGCTCAGTCCTGCCAGCGCCATGCTACCTCTCCAAGAGGAAAGGGTCCGCTGTGGCATGGCGAAGCCTTGTACGCGTGACTTGATGCCTCATCGGTGATGCAGAGACCCGAACGAAGGCAGTGTTGAAAGGTGACAGCGTCCTCCGCCTCATGAGCCACGCGCCGAGCGTCATGCGTGGAGTCCGATGTGAGATCGTCTCCTCCGCAACGTCAACCCAAACAGAGACCGACCTTCTGTTGACATCTTCCTTCCATTTTCTCATGATACCCAGGCGTCGATTTCCTTCTCGTCATTTCCTTCCTGTGTCAAAGTTCTGTCCTTTCCGAGCAGGCGTGCGGACCTTTCCTGATAGACTTTCGCAACTTGGACAAATCCCCTCTTCCCAAGCCGCTTCCGCTGCATGAGCCTTACTGTAGCGGAACATCCTCGAATTCTGTATCATAAACACTTCACAGGCGCTCGATAGATTCAGGAATTCTCTTCCCAGCATTTTCTTCTAGGCAGTATTCCGAGCGAACATGAAGCTGCAACTCGACGCGTTCGGCCAGTACAAGAATTATGTCCATATTGGGCAGGCCATTATATTGTTTCTGGCATGGGCATTGACGATAGCCGTGCTTACCAAGCCTGGCGACAACGATGGACGTGTGGGATGGTACTTTGGCCTGGTATGAAGCCCCCTCGAGCCCGGTATTTACTCCACTAACCCGAGGAATGTAGTGCTGGCTAACGATCCCGATCCTCATCTACCTAACAATGGTGCCAATGTGGTCACGAGCCCGCCGGTTCGCCAATGTCTATGCGTTCGCGGCACTGGATATGATCAGCGTGATCCTATGGCTCTCAGCATGGGCCAGCACTGCTAGTTACGTGGCTCAGGGCAAGAGCGAGGGCAATGCGGAGAACAAAGATCAGAACAAGAGTGGATGCGACAACTTCAAGTACGGTTCGGCGGGACGCTGCCAGCTATCGACTGGCATCACGATACTAGGAGTGTTCATCATGCTTGCCTTCATTGCTACCTCATGGTTCTCCTTCCGCGCCCTGATGGAGTACAAGCGGACCGGCATAGCGCCGAACAATGGCCTTGACAACGACCGGAAGTATGACTTCCAGGCACAGACTCAGGGCGACTTTGACACGACAATGCACAACAATAGCTTTGATGAAGCAAATGCTGCTGAGCGCCAGGACCGGCAGAGTCATAGCTATGGTGGTGGCAGTGGTCCGGGCAGGTATGATGGGTCGGACGACGATGATGCTTATGCGCCAATACACCAACGAGATCCGTCGGATATGCACGCTCAAGAGCCGTTGAGTCCGTTGGGGCCGCAACCGACGGCGCCATATGGACCGAATAGCTATGGGACTGGTGGCGGGTTTCAAGATCAGCCGACGGGTTACGGAGGTGTGGGCGGCTATCGATGATGTGACGAGTCGGTCCCCCAGATGTGTTACAACGTTATTCCAGCGCTCGACGGTGTTGGGATGGCAAAAGATGAATTTCAGCAAGCGAACAATATCTGAATGACAACAATATTGGCAGTGGTATGTCCTTGATGGCTCTGAGCACGCCTTCCGCTGCCAGACGGCACATCGAAAGATGCATTCACAGCGCGGGACGGTCATTCAGTGACTTAGTCCTCAATGCAATGATGCTTGATGTACCATCAATTGTACAACGGTAAGCAATTGTTTGATCAGGTGACGTTCGCAGCACTTCTTCTTGACTGACGCCTACTTGAGCGAACTTGACCGAGCCCGCTATGCGAATAAGGTCAAGGACGAAGTGCAGGCAGTATACACAAGTATTGGGCGTTTCTCGTGAACAAGCTTGTGTGCTACTCATTATGGTTTTCGAGGTTCAGGAGCGCGCTGAGGGCCTCTCGTGCTTTTGCTGATCAAGTCGACGGTTCTGAGATGACCCTCACATGGGCGTTCAAATCCTAGGGAAGGCTTTTGTAAAAATGCTAGCTAGAGAGGGCGCTGATAGCCTCTCGTGCTTTTGCTGATCAAGTCAGCAGACTTTAGATACGCCTCACATGGGCATCTTCAATCCCAGAGAAGGCGCCTCCAGAAATCCAAGTCCGGGAAGACGCCGAAGGACTCTCGTTCTTTCGCTGATCAAGTCGACGGAGTGCGATGAGCGTCGCCTGAGCATAACTTGAGCGGCACTTCGTACCAACAGATTCATCGTAGAAATCAGGCCAGGGAGGGCGCTACAGACATGGACTCGTGTCGCCGACCAGGCTGGCAGGCTTGAGATGAGCGTGATTTGAGTGTCATTTAGTAGCAACAAAATCATCATGAGAAACAGGCCAGGGAGTGCGCTGCAGGCATAGCCCTGCCTTGCCAGCCAGACCGGTAGGCCTGAGATGAGCGTCACTGGAGCGTTAAAACACCAGGAAACTTATTGAGAGATCCTAGCCAGGGAGGGCTCTGTACTAGTAGCAATCAATTGATCCTCGTGCCGCCGGCTCCTGCTGAGTCGAGTGCCAAGCCTCTACTTCCTGGAGGCAAGTACGACTGTTGCTTATTCAGGTTTCTGGGTCCGGGTGGGCGCTCAGGGTCTGATGTATTCTCGTTGAACACGGCGATGTGTTGAGATAAGCCTCACTCGAGCGTTGAATACCGCGAAGGATGGGTCGAGAAATCCTGGCCAGGGAGGACGCTGTAGAAATCTTCATGCCGTATTAGAGAACACGCTGGCTCTTGCTTGACATTGTACAGGCACGGCAGGTGAGGTCCAGCGCCAAGCCTCTGTTTGCCGGAGGCAAGCACAAGTCACTCCAATCTGGACCTACGAATAACAAAGTCAAGGAACAGGTGAAGTCGAGCAGGCTGTTTGCGCATAGAAGGGGCCTTGCCAGCCCTTGTTGGTCAATTCCCAAGATGCATGGATTTCAGGTCAGGGCGGGCTCTGGGTGCTGGCACTGTTTCGCGGACCGAGCCAGGATGTTTGAGCGGAGTCTTACTTGAGCGTCAAGTCGTGAAATCGAATTTCTATGAATTTACTTGCCAGGGAGGACGCTGTAGGGCAAATCATGGCATTTACAGCACTGTACGAACAACTCGGTCGAGCGCCAAGCCTCTACTTACCGGAGGCAAGCGCGATTTAGTTACTCCACAAAGGGGTCGCCGCTGCCGTACTAAATAAATTTATTTAGAGGCCGCCTGGCATCAACATTCCTTTCACTCTCCATCACCGTCGTATCTGATTCCAATACCCAAGAACCCAATCCATCCCCAAACGTATCGGGCACCTAGCTCCCCATCCTCATTGATTCCCACGGCAGCCTTCAAAGCTACCTGAGTCTACGTCTCAGCCACAATGTCTTCTGCCGTCGACAACCTCGCCGACAACCTTCAGAACGCCTCTGTCGAGGACACCCACACCCAGGCTCAAGCAGAGGCCATCTCTGCTTCTGCCGCCGAAGGTCGTCGTCTGTATATCGGGAATCTCGCTTATGCGACTACTGAGGAACAACTCAAGGAATTCTTCTCTGGCTACGATGTGTGAGTTGTGCATGCCAGCATCAAGTGGCCTATTGCTAACGAAAACAGCGAGAGCACCTCCATTCCTGTCAACCCTCGCACAAACCGTCCTGTAGGCTATGCCTTCGTTGACCTCAAGTCCGCCGACGAGGCTACCAAGCCATCTCCAACCTCTCGGGCAAGGACATCCTTGAACGCAAGGTTAGCGTGCAGCTCGCTCGCAAGCCAGAAGACAACGAGAAGAAGGCTGAGGGAGGTGAGAACAAGGAGCGAGGCCAGGGACCTCGTCGTGGCGGTCGTGGCGGCCGTGGTCGCGCTGGGCGTGCCCGTGGTGGTCGTACAGGTGCAACCACGACCGAGGCTGCTCTTGCCGACACCACCAACGAGCCTGCCAAGGAAGCTACACCTGCCGACAAGACTGCCACACCACGTGCTCCCAAGCAGCGAGGTCCTCCCGAGGACGGTATTGCCTCAACAACCAAGGTCATGGTCGCTAATCTGCCTTACAACCTGACCGAGGACCAGGTACGTTACACAGAGTCCTCCCTGGACCCCTTTTCCCAAAATCTGCGCAGCGGCCTCCCTGGTCCGATTTTCACGTTATTCTCCGTCAGCAAGGTTTGCTAACGTCCTGCAGCTCAAGGAACTCTTCTCTGCCTACGAGCCCCTCTACGCCAAGATCGCCCTTCGACCTATTCCTCGCTTCATGGTCAAGAAGCTGCAAGCCCGTGGTGAGGCTCGCAAGGGCCGTGGCTTCGGCTTCGTCACCCTGGCGTCCGAGGAGCAGCAGCAGAAGGCCGTTGCCGAGATGAACGGCAAGGTCATCGAGGAACGTGAGATCGCCGTCAAGGTCGCAATCGACAGCCCCGGCAAGGAAGATGGTGCAGAGGCCGCCGAGGGGGATGCTGCCACCAATGGTACCAACGGTGCCACCGAGACCGCCGCTGCTGCCTAAGCAAAAATATCTCCAGGGAGGACTCTGCAGCGCCGAAGTGGGTGCAGAAGTGGAATGGAAACGACACAGAAACCACTTTCGGAATTTGCGAGCTGGCCGTGCTGCAGGCTTCTAGGCGGGCTCTGGCCGCGAACGTCAACCCACTCTCTTACAAGGCATGTCTTGCTCAATATCGACAAACTGTGGCCGGTCGGCTTAGTTGCCTGATCGGTTCGTTTGGGATGCCCATGCACAACGGCAATTTTCGTATCGACGATCCAAACCGCGTCGTCAATTCAATCAAATACCATTACTAATTCTTCTTCTGCTCCTCTTCATAGAGGCCTCCTTGTGTGATATTCCCTTGCCCTGCTGTGACCCCAAGTGATGGATATTTTGCATTATTGTGTCGAACTTTCACAGCGCCCCCCCAACAAGAAATTCCAATACCAATCTTCCTACAAACAAACGCTCGAGGGAGGCTTATCTGGAACATACTTACTTGATCTACGAGCTAATTCTAGAGGGTCAGCGCCCTCCCTATCGGCTGCAATCCCTTTCTGCTGCCACGGCTACAAAACCTTGTACTTGTGGCCACAGCCTGTGGGCCCCCTCATCAAGAATTCGGGCTGCTTGTCTCAGTCAAACGGGAAGGGAAGGCCAAGCAAGACACTCTATCGTTCAGCAAGCGGAATGAAACATGCAGGTCCTCGGACACGGAAGATTATGTATCGGATATTCGTTGACTGTAACAAAAGGCCCTGTCGGAACTTTGGTCTCGCTCGCCTCCACCCATGCACGTCACTCACACGCGGGCGAATCATTTGACTTCGGAGACAGGAGTCGCAAGGCATCGACTCCGGTTGCCTCACTTCGGAGATGCTTGGGCGGCAAGCACTTACAATGTTGTTCAAAGTCCCAAGGCTAAAGGCTCAGAAGTAGGGCTATGTTGGCCCTCCTGCCTGCAATTTTGATTTTTGCTTCACGACCTATGCTCAACCCACGGACTGCATATCAGCGTTGACGGACACTCCAACTGAAGGACCCGTCGTCAACGACATGAGAGGCCAGCCCAATCAATCCCTGATGCCATGAGGCTGAGATCTGGGGCAACGACTTTCACCGCTCCGTCTGCCTCATCAACCTCAGATCCATTCTATAAACCGCCCAACGATAAATTCTTGCAAGCTCGCCACTACACCGCACTTAACGAATCGCGCCTCGAGATCCGTCTGATCACAAACCTCTGGGTCGATGGTAAGACAGTGCGCTGTGACCTCGCGAAGCCAATCGCTCTGAGGACTACGGAACCCCTCCCTCGATTCTACGCACTCTCCTACGCCGCCCAGGACGTGCAAGATCAATCGTCCATCATCGTCAACGGCACCAGATTCAACGTGTATTCCAGCCTGGTTCGAGCCCTCAAGGAAGTGGCGTATTTTCTGGCTGGCTCGAGTACGGGCCTCTGGGTCGACCAGATCTGCATCAACCAGCATGATCTCGTCGAGAAGGCTTGGCAGGTTGCGTCTATGAAGGACATCTATTGCAGTGCTTCGGGCACATATGTTTTCCTCGATCTGCCAGACGACGACAATGGAGAGTTCAGTCTGAGCTTTCTGGCAAGGACCCTTGAGCAGCGATGGGAAGTCGCACAGTTCGAGGGCCACGACTCTCACCGCGGCGATGCGAAACTGGAGGACCATAGAGTGCCAGACAGGCGTCAGCTCCTTCACGCAAGTTTCCTAGCCAATGTAGCGAATGAGCTATGCCACCAGCTCTGGAACCACGAATTGCCATTCTCGGTGGTGCACAACGTCAAGCGACTGTGTGAGGCGACGTACTGGTCTCGGTGCTGGACGCAAGGGGAATATATCGTGTCTCAAAGTCTACGCTTGCTTCTTGGTGGCAGGCAGACCACAAGTATGAATCGAATTCGATGGTTGTCAGAAGCTTTCTTCGGCGTTGCGACTTCTCTGCTTTCTGACTTACCCAAGACTGCCCGACTCATCGATGTGCCACTCGAAGACACCAAACGCTGGCTACAGGACATCCGTCTATCGTGTAGCTATGGCTTAGGCCTCGCGCAGCTGCATATAAAATGGAAGTTTCAGGAAACACCTGATCTCAGGTACTTGGTCCATCGAAATCGCTACTTGTGTTCCACTGATCCTAGAGACGGTGTCTACTCGGCATTGTCAATGCGGAACGGACCAGCTACGATCAAGCCAAATTACGGATCGGATAACACCGTGGAGGACGTCTTCATTGAGTTCGCAAGTTTCATGGTGGAACAAGACCGCTGTATCGATATCCTCGGCGACGCAGGAGAGTATTTGCGTCTAGAATCGTCGCAACTTCCGAGCTGGGTTCCAGATTATGGCGTCCACCAGGGTAGGGGGAACTTGTCTGATGTAATGCTAGGGCGAGTTAAACATCTGACAGAGAGGCGGAAGTTTCCAGCAGGCGAGATTTCCGGGGATTGTAGCGTCCAAAAGCGGTCGTTAGCCAAGCAGCAAAGCAAGATCTCTGTTGAGCACCTGAGCCTTCAACTCAGCATCTGGACTAGATGGTCGTCGTTGTACTCAGAAGATCTCCCAGGAACGTTCTCGGGCGATGACGCCGTAGCGGCCAACGATGCGTCATGGCGAGGCCTCGTCGACCGGAGGATGCAGGGGTCTGGAACTCGAGCATATCAGCCAAAACCACAGTATGATTGCGAAGATATGTACGCACAGACGCTTGATTGGGGTGATCTTGAACACGAGCGGGCTCTGAGAAGCCAATATGGGGGCATCGTAATGCCAGGACTGGTCGAGCGCGGCTGTAAAGTTACCGAAATTAAGATTGACAACAAAATTGACACCAGCTGGTCGAAAATTCACAAAGACGAGTCTCTAAGTGGCAAATGGCAATTCTTCTTCACACGTGCCGACGGGATAATGGGGCTTGTGCCGACCACCACAAAGCCTGGGGATTTGCTGTGTCTGATACCTGGCGGGAGCACACCCTTCGTACTGCGTCCAGCAGATGATCTGTCCGATCCTGAGGGTTTGTCGCCTCCGCTGTATCGGAACATTGGTGCGGCGTATGTGACCGGATACATGCACGGGCTCGCAATCGAGGAGAAGGCGAGAGGGGAGTGGCGGAAGGAGGAAATCTGTATTGTTTGATGAGAAAATATGGACATGGCTTGGACGCGACTGCGGAAGGGAAGCACCTTCCTTGGGACACGGTGCGGACGCATCTTTGTGTAGGCGCAGGATAATCATTTGGTGTTCAGACTCCAAGAGGTTGGCAGGTAGAAGATATCGCGTATCGTGTTCGTCTTACCTTGTTTATGCACATCAGGGTCGTTTTCAGAGAGTTTGATACTCATAGCAACGGAGTGCGATTCGTTGTGGAGTGAAAACGCACCAGAGAGCACAGCCTGGCTCTAGCACTCGAGCTGTCCCCCTTGAACAGCACGCAAGTGGTCCAGGGTTCTCCTAGCCAAGAACCTACCCTAGAGTTGCTAAGCCGACCAAAACCATGGCATATCACATAATGATCGAACCCCCCAAGAAAGCAAAATGCACTCAAAGCACGACTCGAACTCGCCATCCCCAAAAACGGCAAAAACGTTTCCGAGAACACTCGCATCTACCGGTGTAGATACAAGGGCTCTCGGGCGTGAAACTGGTCCTGCCTGGACCAAGCCTGTCCAGTTGTAGAGGACAAGCCTGGAGCCAACAGTATGTGCAATGACCAGTTTTTTCCGGGGTTGTAGGACCGCACGCCTACTCGATCGTAATTTGAGATGCCGGGCTGTTGATGAACCCGACTCACAAGCAGGCCGTTCGGGTTCGCAGAACTATCGGGGCCTTTCGTGCGTTGTGTGCGTGGTGTGTGCGGTTGTTGGGGTAGATTCCTGTTGCAAAAATCATATAGTTTCGTTTGCAGAGGTGTTTAGGGTTGCAGAGGGGTTTTGGCGTGCAGGTCGGTAGGCCCTTTGACGGTCCTGATCTGACCTTCCACTTCCTTCCAAGTCTGTGTCGATGCATTTTGCAGTTGCGGTGAGTCGCTCTTGCCTGTGCACCATTCCCTATGACTGCATCGGCTATCCCCGGCTCCGATTTCAGGCGGCTCGCTCACCTGAGCTGTAGCCCGACCAGGTACGACGGACCTTGAAATGAGCTTGCTTCCCACTGCCTCATGACCGCGAACACAACGGGCCATCAGCTTCCTCACAAGCGTAAGGTCGTCGTCATCCAATCTATGAGCATCCTCGAAAGCTGCTAGGCCGAGCCACGCCACGCAGCACCATCCCAGATCTGACGCCAGTCTTGCAGTCCTTTGCTCGTCACTCGTGCATCGTCTGAGCTAGAGCACGTCCCAGCGGTGGAGTCGACCGTGGATGGATCTCAAGGGCGAGGGAGCCAGCTACATATCTGGTTTCTGCATCTACTGCGCAGAGCCCGGGCCATTTCGTGGCCCAGTATCGGGCTAGCCCGCGAGCTGCAAGTATTGTGGCCTTCGCTGCTGATCGTCTAAAGATGAATACGGACGATGATGGTGGTTCACCGATAACAAATATACGGATTGGTGATGCTCAAGCAAATTGCAGGGATGGATGGCATCATTCACTTACTTCATCGAAGGCAACAGTAAATTGATCATTGCGGACATTCCAAGGCCAGATCTAGTCGATGCGAGCTCCTGGAACGAGTCACAAGATCCAACTGGTGGCATCAAGCTAGAGAAGAGCTTTCAGGGCCAGTATGTAACGTGGCCTTTTCGTCGGGATAGGACTCCTATCTCCACCGTAACACGAGCTTGGTTGCCTTGCATAAGGCGCTGCTTTAGTGGTTATGGCAGCCATGATCATCGTCATCTCGGATGCAGCACGATGCCATCTACGGACCACTTGTAAAGTGATACTGCGTGCAGCCATTGCTTAGCGGGTCCTATAAGGCGATCATAGCAGACTTAGAGGTGCTGTTGCCGTGGGCGACAACATGATACGTCGCCCAGGTGTGAACGAGCATTCTTGTCTTCTTGATTGATAACGACATACTTCAAGTCTGCAAGCTGGCAGGCTGCGAATTCGATGAAGCACCGCTCCGTGGTAGCATCTTTCTTCTTCGGTCCACCGTCATCTTCGGAAGGTATCGCACGCAAAGTCGCGCTGTTCCGTCGCTCGCATCATCCTAACGTCCGGTCATATCAGTAAGTCATGTGCACACTGTATACAATTCCAATCCGCATCAGCACCCTCCCTGATCAGCATATGCACCACCACTTTAAAACTCAGTCGCTCATACCTCGATAGAGGCAAGCTAGCGCCAATTTCGGGGAGCATTGACCATGGAGTCGACTCGTCGCCAGTCGCGGCCGCTAAGCGCGAGATCCGCGAGGAAACGCGTCTTGATCCAGATCGTGATTTAAGGCTTGACTTTGTAGGTCCACCGTTCTCCTTTGCGGACGAAGATGCTGGACGAAGCTGGACTGTACACCCTTTCGGTTGGACATTGCTTGCTAACGAGGATTCAATTGTGCTCGACTGGGAGCATGACGAGTGGAGGTGGTATTATGTTGGAGCAGTGCTCGGGACTGCGGACAAGGCAGGTGGTCTACTAGATCAATGTGTTCCACGAATAGAGCAAAGTCTACGGAGGGTATACCATGGTCCTGGAGGCATCTTCGGCCGTGGTGGGATCTTCCATCCGACCAGACCTGCAGGTGAGGTATTCTGCAATGGAATGAATCTTCTTCGAGACGACCGCGATAATGGAGCCAGTGTGCTTGCGACCAATGCGGTGAGATGCTTAAAGGAGTTTGCAGAAGCATACATCGCCAACGAGTCATCTATCTATCTAGAAGACAACAGAAGACTTGTTGGACGGCTGCGCATAGCGGGATACCACCTCGCGTATAACGCTCGCCCAAGTATGTCCGCGGCGATTAGCTCAGCCGTCGTCGATGCGTTAGATGCAATGAGCACAGCCATGGCTCAGGAGGACAATCGGCACTCTGCAAACATTGTCGAATCTCTGGCGTCAAGCGCCAGCCCACAGTCGACGCTATCCGAGCCAGTCGTCGAGTCGTTCGAATCAGGCATGAGCCGAAAGGTTAGGAGGTCCGACCCAATTGTTGAGTCTCTAGCATCAACCATCAGCCGACGCTCCAGGATGTCCGAGGAGGTATGCCAGATCTTCACAAAATACGTGTGTCAGCCAGACAGATTGAAAGACGGGCACGTCGATATCGTCACGCTGTCATCATCGTCAACAATCGAGAAAGCGTTCATGGACCTCATCACCACTGCAAGTGCAGGGCACTATTTGATCGGTAGAGCTGCAGATCGAGCGGTGGCACTGCCAACTGTCATCAATATCTCTGTTCTCGAATCACGACCGCGTTGCGAAGGAGCTGCGCTGGCTGCCAGACTAATTGACTTTGTTCAGCGTCTCGGACCGCATCGATCTACAAATCCCATCGACAACCATGATACTGGCTCTAAGCAAGCAAAGCTGACAGTGAACATCAAGCTAGTGCCTGATTCCCACATCATGGGGCTACTTCTTGCACACGAGACACAACGCTCTGGTCCAAGTGACACTTCAACACAGCAATACCTTATTCTCGGCGCAGATCGCATTAGCGAGGATGGCAGTGTGCTGAATAAGACCCTTTCGGCGTCCGCAGCAGTGTTAGCGAAAACGCTTTGTCCTGATACTACTGAAGTCATCGTCGTCAGTGACACAGATAAGATTGCACCTGCTTTCATCAGTGGGAGAGCTGCTACTGCCGCCAATCCTAGTGACTTTACTGACCAGGAGTCAAAGGCTGGTGAGCAGTCGGCAGATAATGCCGACGCATACAACGGCGCTACGAACAAGGCCGCCACTCAGGAGCACACCAATGAGCAGGGTGCTGTGTCAGATGTGCTAGGCGCATACGCAGCAACGGCTGGCTTCAAAGGAGCTGATAAGGCCCTGCTTGAAGGAACGGCGGGCGTCACCCGAGCCATTGAGGGAGTTCCTGGGCTCAACATGAGTCTCACGGTCGAGAACTCTGTCTTCGAATGGGTATCGAGCAAGTACATAGATACCTACCTGACGGAGCACGGCGTCATGGACAAGGCCGAGATCCATGAAAGGAGCAAGGCCAAAGCGACACTGGAGGCGAAAGCGTTCGATGGGCTTTACGACGAGATCTCGATGAGGGCGATGTATTAGCTCGAGTCTGTTGCCGAGGGGAGGGATTACGTGTTTAATGTTGATGGCGATGCCATGAGTGACAGTCTCTTCCTTGATCGTGTTCTCATGCCCCGAAGCTTCAGCCGTCTCTACTTGTGTTCACTACGCACCACGCGATCGGGCGAGGCGTGGCTTCGCCTCTTTGTCTTGAATGATCTTGTCATCCGGTCTTGCGTCGACTTTAGCCTGCGCCGGTTGACTAGCCACACATTATTGGAAGGTGCTGCTGGAGAAGCACCTTCCGCACGTGGTATCGTCAGGGAACAAAGGAAGGTGCGATAACTGTACGCTCTTGCTGTGGTGCTCTACTTGACGGGAGCGAGGAAGGAGCTATAGTGTCGTGGACTCACCGCATCCGGGCTTGAGCTCATAGACAATGCTTGTCATCCGGTCTGGAGTAGAGCACTCGCCAGACCGGGTGACAAGACAGTAGAGAGAAGATGGACGATCGCCTCACCGTCGCTGGACGCGGCCGTCGAACAATACTCCACAGCCTGAAGTGTCCCCGTCGATCGGTGCCTTTGTGCTCGTACTGCCGCTATCTGCGTGAAGCCTCAAGGCAAGAGGCAGGCGTTGGTGTGCAAGAGTCTTGCCATCCGATCTCCTCGACACATGGCAAGCATTTGTCCACCGGTCTACTATATATGTGTATGAAACCTCTCTCCTCCCCCATCATCACCACCCTCCTCTCTTCTCACGAAGCACCCTTCTGCTCATACAACTCCATAACCTCCCAAGCATCCACAAAATTCCCATCCTCCGCATCCCGATCCAGCATATACCCATACTTCGCCCCATCCCTGACCACCGCCCCCGGCACGTCCTTATTGTTGTCCACCCTATACAACTCCCTCTCCCGCCCCGTGATATCAAACCCTGCTCTCACGCGCTGCAGAATTTGCACGGGGTCGATGACTGCACCCACCCCGACCAGATCCTCCGGTGCGGACGACGCGGCGCTGGTGCCGGAGGCAATGTTGGAGATGATGTCTTGGATACTGCTGAAGCAGAACCGACAGCGCCAGCCCGCGGCGTGGATGTTGGTGTTGGGTTTCTGGTTGGAGTCGCGGATCACGCTGGGCCGGAGGGTGGACTTGAAGCCCGTGAAGATTGTGGCGTCGAGGTGGTGTTGTTGTTCGTACGCCGGCTCTCCACCGTCAGTAACGCTTGCTTGGCCTGCGTCTCCAGAGCTGCCGCTGCCGATGCCGCCCACCAGCCACTGAAAGCTGTAGAAGTATCCCCTTGTCCACAAGCGCACGTGCGCAGGCATATCGCAGTTGCGCATCGCGGTGAGCACTTCCGGCCGGATAATCTCATCCACATCCCCGGAGATCAAGATATCGCCGTGCGTCGGAATCATCTCGTCCTGCAGCACCGGCAGAACCTGCTCGAGCGCTGCGTCCCGAGCGATGGCATCCCTCAACCTGTCCCCCTCCAACCTTTCCCCCAAACTCGAACTCGGAACATGCGTCTCATTCAACACCGCCACAACCATCTTCTCCCTACTCGCCTTCTCAAACATGCCCATGTTCTCGCTCACATACCTCACACTCTCCCCTCCCTCTCCGTTCCCCACCGCGCGCTCAATAACAACAAACCAATCGACCCCATCCCCCATCTCCGCCATTCTGAGTCCTAACGTCTCGAGCTCGGAAACATCGTGTATGACGACGAAATCATAGATTTTCCGGCGGTGGTAGCGGTCGGCGAAGGGGACCCAGCGGTAGTGTGCGCAGAGGGACTCGACGGCCGGAGAGAGGGGGAGGAAGCCGAGAGAAGTGAGCTTTTCGGTGGATTTGGACCAAGAGGGTAATTTTAGTTTGGAGAGGGAGGGTCGCCATGAGGTGTGACGGGACGAGTATGACGTGCTGACCGTGGAGTGGGAAGGAGCGGAGGAGGACGGTAGGAAGAAAAGTTTCAGGAGGATGATGGCTGCGACGATGGCGATGCTGATGCGGCCGGCTTGACTTGAGTTGAGGGAAGCGGACGCCATGGTGTATCTCTGTGCACTGGGTGTGGCGTTGGGCGTGGTCTAGGTGGTGGCCCAGGCGGTGGGACGGCGACGAGCAGGGTGCGGCAAGTCAGGGGAAAGTCGCGATACCGACTGGCTTTTGAGGTCGCGGCTCATTTCGAATTTCATGGTGAAGGTATCCCACTATCCCTTGCAGTGGAGTCATCTCATTCCTGAGGCAGGGGGTTGAAGCCCTGTCAGAGATACCCCTTGACTTCGTGCCAAGACCGAGGTTTCCCGGACTCTTTGAGAACAGGTCAGTGTATGCAATCGGGCAAGTATGTGAGGTTGCAAGTGATCATAATTCGTCTCTTCTGCAGAATCGTTATGGCCCGACGGCCTTCAGAACATGTTCCCCTTCCCACCCAAAGCATCGCCAGGACCAGGTGGCCGGTACTGGGGATGTTGATATGGTATTTTCGCGCCTACCCGCGCCTCTCCAGTGTATGCACCATAAGCTGGCGGAACGCTCGCGCCTTGTCCGACTGACTGTTGAGGCGTCATAGTGCCAGACGAGTTGTAAGACTGGTAGACTCTGTTATCAGACGTTGCTGCGACTCCTATATCCGCCTCTGGCTCATATCTGTAATCTGATCTTTGAGGCGCGCTCTCGTAGCGAGTTATGCCTGCACTTTGCTGATTTGATAGTAATATCTCGGTGTCGTCGCTTATTGTGCCGTGTGAGCTATGGTATGCGGTAGAGTTGTAGGGCTCAGGATGACTTGGCAAGGAGTCATTCGTGGGCTTCCTGCCCAGCGAAACGTCGTAGCTCGGGTCTTGATGTCGATTTTTGTGACCTACCACCATCCATCTCGCTCCGCGACCAATTGCTTTGAACATGTCCCATGGGTTCATCGAATCCATAAAAGCCTTGATACCAAGAAAGCCTCCAACGTATCGCGGAGGAGCCTCGCCGGGCGTGGTCTCGGCAAGTATGTTCTTCGATCCGATCACGTAGGGACGGTAGCTGAAGGCAAAGAAGTGAAAGATGGCGAAGAGAGCCATTTCGATACACAGTAGCATGGCGGGTATGCCGACCCTCAGGTCAGGGGTCTGGATGGTGTTCGATGGCTTGACCGCTCCACTTGATGTCAAGAATGAAATAAGGATTGTTTGCCAGAATGACAAAAAGATCACAAGTTTGATAGCCAGGACCTTGAGCAGCGGCTTGTGCTCGGCGATGTCCTGCCTGATCTGATAGTAGAACTGAATGAGGCAATACATAGCGATTGTGACGGCGGTGGCCTCGATGACCATGACCCAGACGTGTGCGAAGGCTGGATTCAGTGACTCGATACAGTATCGGTCGAAGAACTGAGTGATGAGCGCTGTTATGGTCATGGCGACTCGAATGAAGCAATATTGGAAGATGGCGACCCAGATGATCTAGAAAAGTCAGACTTGCCAGACTCGTGGGTGCCTTGAACTCACATTGAACCACGTCAGACCACTTCTAGCGTCCTCCAGATTCCTCTCTCGCCGCCACAACATCGCTTGAACCATGTCAACGGCCAAAGCCAGGGCTTCACCGGGCTGATACTGCGGAAGTACTGTTTCTGCTGGTGCAGGTCCGGCGCGGTGTATGCGCACATCAAGCTGAAGAAGGAGGCAATCGCAAAGGCCTCGTAGCAGTCTCGGATGACCTCAAAGTAGACTGAATGATTGTAGTATTTGAACGAGAGGAATGAGACCATTGCGTAAACAGGCACCATGAACAGGATCCGTATGATGTGCCTTTGCTCGTACGGTCTCGAGTAGTGTGAGGCGTGGAGATATATAAGGACGAAGGAGACGACAAGCGCGATGAGCGCGAATACTATTGACAGCCATAGCCCGAGGAGGTGGAAGGTGTGACCGTGCCATATCTGGGGAAGTGTCAGTGATGAAGTCCTGCTTCCATGGACCAGCATCGGCTCATGGGGCACAGGTGGACGCGGGACCTACTGGCTCTTCCGTTATCCTCTCATCTTCGAGTGTTGTATTACAGACCGGCCATGCATGATCAGTGGGTGGCACGGTCAAGCGCCGTCGCTGGGGAACGAGAGGTTGCGCGCAGCACCAGTCTGCCAATGGATGTGCAGCGTGTGCAGGTCTGAATGAGAGGTAACGGCGCTTCGAGACGTCTTTCACGGTGGTCGACGACAGCATAAAGTTGGCAAAGTCAAGTCAAGTGGTGACATGCTCACAAAACTTACATTCAAGGGGAGGCGCATCTGAATCGTTGTTGCGCGGTGGGGAAGCCCTCCTCGTACTGTAAACGCCTCACCGCGGCGCAGCACTCCAAAATCTTTTGCCCTTCGTGTCAGGTTTCCAATCACGATCGGACCGTGAAGAGAAACCTGCAGGGATCGGCAGGGCACCCCAACATTCGAAACATGCCCAAGACACCAAGAATAGTGCTTAACACGTGAGCTTGGGCGGCTTGTTACCGCTTGGAGATGCTTGTGGCGATTGCAGATTCGCGGGGCAGGATTCCAAGGTTATAACGAAAGTATTTCCGTACCTGCGTCGCTTGAGATTTGTCGCAAGCCTGCATCTCTCGGCATATATCCACCGCATAAGCATCAGGAAGAGACCACTGGTTGCAGAATGACCTATGATAAGCGCGATAGCCACGAGAGATCCCGCTTCAGCTGGCATGAAGAGCAGCGAACTCATTCATTGACTACTTCTGCAGAGGATTCGCCTAGTTGGGGAGGACAAGCCTTGCAGTTGGCTACTTCAGCAATTGCCAGAAGGTCCTGGACAATGGGACTGTTCCTTCCTTCACTGGCTCCTTCCTCTGACCTCGCAAGCGTGCTTGCACAACGTCCTCCCGATCCAGCCTGCCGAAGCCGTGCTATTCGAGGTGGCAGCTAAGCTTGCTTCAGAATTATCTCTCTATCGTAAAGAGTGAAGGTCCGGCTCTTCGCATCAGACAGCAACTTCTCAGCTTCCGCAGACGACTCCATCTCCACACAAGCATGGCCAGTAGGTTTCATGAGTAGGTAGGAATTCATCATGATGACTGCTTTGACATTGTAAAGCGCAAACAGGGCTCGAATGTCACTTTCAGTTGCCGAGAGGTCAACCTGCTCAAGTATCAGGTGCACCCCCGGAGCACTGGTGACATCGGTCACAGCCGATTGATGCTCGATTGCTGGAGGAAGGCTGACAGATGTACCGGAGGGAGGATACTGAAATTCGGACAGAAACTTGTCGGTCTCGCTCAGGACTTCGGAAGGACTGGTATTGATCTCGATTGCGGAGTCTTTGCGGTCACCATACTGGTATACTTCTGTTCGAATGGGAATGGTCGATGATTTCCCAGCCTCGAGACGATTGAATGGCAGAGCAGACCCATTCTCGCCGGTTACTTTGCGGTAAATTGGCTCGACATACTCCTCTACCTCGTACTTGGTGTCTTGCTGCATCATACTCATTCTTGCAGGATGAATCTCCATCGAAGCGGCTGTTTGGGGCGCTGAGTCTGCTGACGACAATTCTAGCAGTGGTACACCGAGAGGAGACTGTGCTGGTCGCTGAAGGTTGAACTCGGGTGTTGGTGGGTATACCGGCATTGCAGCTTTCCGCTCAAGTCGCCTACTCTGTTGTCCACTGTCAGGAGTCTGTGCCAATACAGTTCAAGTCAAAGCTCCGACCTTTCTCGTAGGCTGTCCGAACCCTCCTGTCGAGTCTGGCTCCGCATCGAACTTGTGCTTCTTCTTCTTCTTTGAGGGCGGCACTATCTTGCCAGCATTCTCTAGACCCTTTGCCTGAAGATGCTTGTGTACACGTTGCAAGACGCCGTCTGTGTTCAGACTGTCAGCATTCCGACAAAATGTTGGCCAAGGCCTGGGTTCAGAAGCCTCCTTGGTGTAGCATAAGTTTGGGAAGGGGCAAGGGTCGCGCTCGAGGATGAGGTTATACAGTGACTTACTATCCAATTGGTAGCCCTTTGTGGAATTGTCGATGATGAGGGTAGTGTTGGCGAGATTCAGCAGACCAAGGTCTTGTAGGTTCCCAATTGCTCCATGAAGGTGAATGTGAGCTCAGCTAGAATGAGACCCTGCAAGTCCTTGATCTCAACGCCATCGCAGACGTACGTCTTGTAATTCCCTACAGACATGATGGACCGAGCTACATTGAGGTAACCCGAAGGACTGTAGAAACGCGAGCAGTACAAGGTAAAATAAGTTGACTGGCGGATGACGATGATAAGCAAAGACGATCGCGTTCAGTCGAGGAATCTCATAGCTCACGTCACGTAGCAGGAAGGCGCGTACTTGCTGGTCGTGGTTGCCATGGTCAACGTTATCCTACCTACCTAGCTATACTTCAAACGACATTGACTGAGGAAGGCACAACGCAATGCCCAAGGTTATGAGGCTCTTGCACCAGTGTCGCCACATTATATCCATAACTCTGTTCCTCTGCGACGAGGTAGACAACAGGAAGAGATGAGGTCGTGTTGAGACAAGCTTCAATTTATATGTGGCTTCGCCAAGCCTAATCTTGGACTTCTCGTACAATTCTTGAAAACGTAAGTGCATGTGCAAAGCATCGGGACTCGAGCAATAATGCGAGCTCTTGCTGCAGCGAGACCATAAGAGCCTCCTGAGTTATGCCTGCCTCACCTTCCCTGCAATCGCTCACTTCATGCTCCCATCCCGAGGCTCAGCTAATCCAGACGCTCGCTGAAAGCGCAGACGAGCGACACAGCCATGGCGAATCCATACGGCGGACATGACCAAGCGCAACACTACCAGCAATATGGTGCTCCTCAAAACTCATATGGCGGGCATGGTCAACCGCCACAACAGTATGCGCAAGATCCACAGCAATATGCTCAGCCATCCGCACCAATGGGGGACTTGACGGCGCAGATGAGCAATATGAATGTGGCGGGTACGACCAGGCGGAAGAAGGAAAGACATGCCTACCACGACTTGCAGCAGCCTCCGAGTGCGCATCCACAGCCAGCAGAGACCGCTTCGCACTTCGTCAGTAACGCTCAGGGCACTCCAGCACAGCCAGCCAAGATGTTTGTGAATCCGGCCGATCAATTGAGAATGGGAGAAGAGATGGTCACAGCACAAGGTCGGGTCGACCCCGAACAGATACCAAGCGTAGCACGGGCGAGAGACGCAGCAACACAGCAATATCAGACACAGACGTATCCCACCATGGAGAAACACCTGCCTCCTCCTGCCGCTATTCCATTCGTCGCACATGATCAGGGGAATTCGTCACCAAAGTATGCCCGGCTCACAATCAACAGCATACCGAGTACTGCCGAAGCACTCGCGTCTACAGGTCTACCACTTGGTCTGGTTATGCAGCCTTTTGCTGCTCCCCAGGAAGGCGAGCAGTCAATACCATGCCTTGACTTTGGCGAAGCTGGACCGCCCAGGTGTCGGCGCTGCAGAACATACATCAACCCTTTCATGACCTTCCGGGCTGGCGGTAGTAAGATGGTCTGCAATATGTGCAGCTTTCCCAATGACGTAGCGCCAGAGTACTTCGCACCCACAGATCCTTCAGGAATCCGGTAGATCGAGCACAGCGGCCCGAACTTATGCTGGGGACATGTGAATATCTTGTACCGAAGGAGTATTGGGCGAAAGAGCCTGTTGGCCTACGTTGGCTTTTCCTTATCGACATATCGACTGACGCAATTGCGCACGGATGCGTGAGCACAGTATGTCAAGGCATATTGAAGGCACTCTATGGTAGAGACTCGGAAGAAGAGGCTACGGAAGAAGATCAGAAGAAACTTCCGACAGGCACGAGAGTCGGCTTTGTGACATATGACCGAGAAATACAGTTCTACAACCTGAATGCAGAGCTCGCGTCGCCGCAAATGATGGTGATGACCGACCTGGAGGATCCATTCGTGCCTATATCTACAGGATTGTTCGTCGATCCGGCCGAATCCGAAGACCTGATCAGGTCATTATTGCAATCACTACCTACGATGTTCCCCCATCCAAATCCTGAGCCAGCGCTCCTACCAACTTTGAACGCGGCTCTCGAGGCGCTGAAGCAAACCGGCGGCAAAATTATCTGTACATTATCAGCATTGCCCACCTATGGTCCTGGCAAACTAAAAGTGCGAGACGCTCGAACCACCCGGATTCAGATCTTGAGCGGAAGTTCTTCACAACTGAGGATGCTGCCTGGAAGAAAACGGCCCAAAGCATGGTCACTGCTGGTGTCGGTATAGACTTCTTTATCTTGAAGCCATCGACGCCGACTAGCGGCATGTATATGGACATCGCCACGATCGGGCACGTCTCGCGCATGACAGGCGGCGAAATGTTCTTCTACCTAACTTCATGTCTCCTCGGGACTCAGCCAAGGTGCAGTTCGAATTGGACCACGCTTTCCGGAGGGAAACAGGCTACCAAGCACTGATGAAGGTGCGCTGCTCCAACGGCTTGCAGGTGGCATCGTATCACGGGTCCTTCTTGCAACACTCTTTCGGTGCAGATCTTGAGATTGGCACTATGGACGCCGATAAAGCTATCGGAGTCATCTTCTCCTACGATGGCAAACTCGATCCCAAGCTCGATGCACACTTTCAAGCCGCGCTGCTGTACACATCGGCCGATGGCCAACGCAGAGTACGGTGCATCAACGTGGTCGCGGGCGTGAACGAAGGCGCCGCTGAGACCATGCGAACCGTGGACCAGGACGCGGTGATCAATATCATTGCCAAAGAAGCATCGTCGAAAATCACCGAGAAGTCCCTGAAGGACATCCGGAACGGTATCACAGAGAAGACTATCAACGTGCTTGCTGCATACCGGAAGAACTTCTCAGGGTCACATCCACCAGGACAGCTTGTGCTGCCAGAGCACCTAAGAGACCTGTCGATCTATATGCTCGGTCTGATCAAGTCCCGAGCATTCAAAGGTATGTACTATATAAATTGTATGTGTTCAGCGCTGATTTGAACAGGTGGCAACGAACATGCCGACTGGCGCATTCACTCCGCTCGTCTACTTCGTTCTTGTGGCGTGACCGAATCAGCACTCTACCTCTATCCACGCATCTACTCCTTACACAATCTCACACCTGAAGACTGCTTCGCACACCCAGAGACAATGCAGCTGGTCGTTCCGCCCACTGTTCGCGCCTCTTTCGCATATGTCGAGGAAGGCGGCGTCTACCTTGTCGACAACGGCCAAGTAGTCCTCATCTGGTTGCACGCACGAGTTTCGCCCAACCTGATCGAAGATCTCTTCGGTACGGACAAGCAATCACTACACGATCTCGATCCCCATCTCAACGAACTCCCCGTCCTAGAGACGCACCTGAACGCCCAAGTACGGAACCTGATACAGTATATCACGTCAACACGAGGCTCAAAAGCTGCGACTATCCAACTTGCCCGGCAGCAGATTGACGGCAGCGAATTCGAGTACGCACGTATGTTAACGGAAGATAGGAACAACGAGGCCCAGAGCTATGTAGATTGGCTGGTGCATGTGCATAGGGCGATACAGATGGAGCTCAATGGGCAGCGGAAGAAGGACGAGGCTGCTGCTGAGGGTGACGGTATTTTGCAAAACTTGACGGGGTTGAAGGCTCCATATTGGACATAGCGTATGACTTACGGGATGACAGACAATCGTGTAGAGCGAAGTACTGTACAAGCAAGAATCGTTGAAGGTGATAGCTCTTCGAGCCAAATCCCTTTTTCTGAGTGGGTGGCACTCTTTTGCAATCGTACAAGTGCTGTTCGTTGATCGCGCCTACCCGAAGAAATGCACCTTTCTCGAGACTTCCATCTGTCGTATCCCCAGGCTTTGTAGAGGGGTTTTGAGACCTTTACCCGTTGCGAGTGAGAGTCCCGAAGCTGTGCTAAGGGGTCTTAATCCAGCAGATCACCTTCCTTTTTGAGACTTCTATCTATCGCGAGGGGGAGAGCATAGGTATGTCATCCGGTCTTCTGAAATCCCCGGGTAGCCCAAACGTCAAGGTCCAGTACATGTCGTCCTGTCTATCTCTCATTCTCTGATCCTTTCTTGACCATTGCTAGACTGGCAGATGTAGCCAAGGGTTCTCGGCAACAGCGAGGCCCCGACCATCAGCGGAAACACAAGTCTTGTGAAGTCGCTATCGGGAGCACGCTGCCATAGCATTGATATTGGCGCTGCTTACATGAGCAAGTATTCGTCATCCGGTCTAAGCCCGTGATCATGGCCACGCCATTGTCTCTATTATTCCAAGCTCCGTCGAGTCTTGACAGCAGCATGTCGACTCGAATTCATCAACCTGAATCGCGTTCTTAACACGTGAGATGCCGACTCGGCCACAGTTCGATCAGACCTCCGTCCACCTTACGTGTTCAGCCGTCAGGCAACCAAGGCCTACGGTCCAATGTCCTCGAGACTTTAACTACGACTCCGTACACTGCAATCAATCCGGGATCCCATTGGCGCAACGCGGCTTCTAGTCTTTCACGAGCCGTGCATGGCTAGAGTGAAACAAGCTGTATGCCATCATCTAGCGAGTTACGATTGACCCGGAATGGCAGTTGCCAACTACGATACGCTTTTGGACGATGACCGCAAGGTAGGCTGAGCTCATACTGCTCTTGTTGAAATACTCCCTACGTAGGCATCGAGTCTATGCACCATTGATCCACACATATACAGGTAGGCCACGAGGAAGCACTTGTGCATCAACGCTGCAACAACCATTGAGTGTTCAGCGACCACTGAACGGTCCACTACTGACCTCCGAGTGCTTGCACACCGTCCTTCCCTCATCACCACAACACAGCATCCAAGCCACGTTATTCACGACCAAACTCACACCTATTCACCATGGCGTTCACCGCCCTCGCCCACAAAATCCTCACCGCCGCCCAAACCCTCGACACGTTCATCGAAACCAACAACCTCCCAACCCCAACTACAGGTCCAAAGCCCAACCTCCCACCAGCCCAAAGATTCAACACCCCCCAAACCTCCACCGCCCTCGCCACCCTCCTCCACAGCACCCATCTCCTGTCCCACCTCGCCACGGGCCCCGCCCACGCCTTCCTTGGCAACGCAACCGGTCCCCTCAGCGATGCCCTCACCAACAGCCTGATTGTCGAGTTCGACATTGCAAGCCATGTCCCGCTGCCGGAGGACGCCCCGGAGGGTTTCCCAATGGAGAAGGTTGCAAGAGCGTGTGGGTTGTTGTTAGAGGATTTCCAACTGGTAGTGCGGTACGCGATGACCAATTTTGTATTCACTGAGACGAAGCCTGGCTGGATTGGGCATACGGCGGCGAGTCGGGTTCTCAGAGAAAACAAGGTAGTCAAGTCCCTAGCAGTGATGGGCGCGAAGGAGCTGTGGACGGGATCGGGCAAGGAGGTTGAGGTTCTGAGGCGCGCTGGTGCTGCTGGGGGAAGGGGAACAGCGGTGGAGTCGGTATGTTGCTCTGTTTCGCAGTTTCATCGCGCCGTTTTGGTCGTGCCTTGCTTGCATTTATTCTTCCTTCGGAGGCCCTATCTTGTGCCCTCATGTCAATGCTGATGGACATGATCTTAACAGGCATGGGCGCTTGCCAACAACGCTTCGACACCGTTGTTCCAGCACCTCGACACCCACGCGCCGGAGCGAGCAAAGGATTTCGCATTCGCGATGGAAGCCCTCGCATCCTTGGCTCCGCCCAGCTTGACATTGAACCACTACCCCTGGCACACCCTCCCACCTAACGCCCTCATAGTCGACGTCGGCGGCGGCAAAGGCTTCGTGCCCCGGACGCTTGCCTCTGCATTCCCACACTTCCGCTTCATTGTCCAGGACCTCCCTGGAACCGTCGCCGCTGGGCGCGCGCAATTACCGCCTGAGTTCGCAGGGAGGATTGAGTTCCAAGACCATGACTTCTTCAAGCCGCAGAAGCGATTGGAGGGGAGAGGGGACGATGGGGCGGATGTGTTCTTTCTGAGAGCGATTGTGCATGATTGGCCGGATGAGGCGGTGGTGCAGATTCTCAGAAATCTGATTCCTGGGTTGAAGAAGGGGGCGAGGGTTGTGGTTGTGGATCCGCATACGCCTGCGCCACGGTATACGAGCGAGGCGAGCAATGATAGTGCTAGTGGGGAAGCGAAGAAGACGAGCTGGCTGCAGGATCGCCTGGCAAGGGGGAGTAATCTGCGAATGAAGGTCTTCTTCAATAGTCATGATAGGGAGGAAGGAGAGTGGGAGGGCTTGTTCAATCGGGCGGATCCTCAGGGGAGGTTCAGGGTCAGGGTGGTGGAAGTGTATGATCGGGAGGAGGGAAATGTGGAGGGACAATTGTTGGTGGCTGTTGAGGCTATCTGGGAGGGCTGAGCCAAGCACAGGGAAGGGCGGATTGAGGGGATAAGAGCGCTTCTTGTGGGGAGTCTTGTCGGTCTGATAGTGTGGTCGGTGTTGAAGAGGCTGTTGTTGGGCCCGAGACCTCATAATGAGAAAGAGTCTTCCTCAAGCTTGCATTCGAGAACATGTGAGAAGAGCCCCAGTCACGTACTCTCGGTAGTTATGGTTATGATGCAAATGGAACGACAAGTTCTTGATTCGCATGTTTCCGTCTCAATAGATTCGTTGTTCGTGTAATGCCTCATCCTCGTGCTCTACCTAGGTATCCATCAACTCGTCGCAAATCCCGATACATCCTGTCATCCGGCTTGACCACAGCGCGCGTAAGACCGGATGACAATACCTCCCAACATCAGCGCCTGCTGTCTCAACCCAGTGCGCAGCGGCAGCAGGAGCACAGCCAGATCGCTCTTTCTCATTCACACGCACTGACAATGCCACGAGCGGCAGGTGCCTCGCCTAGCAGCGCCTTCCTCCCCACTCTCTAGTGAGCAGTAGCAGCAGGAGCACACGTAGATCGCAACGTCACAAGCGGCAAGTGCCTCACCCAGCAGCACCTTCCCCCGACTACCGAGCTCGCCAACCGGCTCGGGATAATTCTGCGCCAGACCGGATGACGTCCTGCTTGTTCAAGTTTACCATGCACGAAGGCCTGCCCTTACAAGTCTCTCAGCGGACTATTGCCTACCTCACGCATCCCACAAGATCTAGAGTGTCATGGTTGGAGTTGAGGTCAACCATCACAGCAATCGCCGACAGCATGCAGCTGGCGCCACCTCCGTCTAACCCCAGCTTTTGACCAGTGCATCTACTCAATCACCCTGCACATACCTTTAACGACTATACCTCATCAGGCAGTATCATCCCGTCAGCCTGAAGCATCATTCATCTGCAGGTCAGCCTGCAGTGCACCACGCCTCACCCTCTTCCACAAACGTACTTCACCGAAGAACACAATGATCAGGTAAGATTAACGACCATAAAAGATGCATAGCAAGAGCCCGGTCAGCCACGACATTAATCATCACACCTGTTCCACCACTAACGAACGGCCTGCCTAGATGCCAACATCCGCCATCCAGCAACTCTAGCAGCACCATTTCGCCGCTGACAACGCCGCCCCCGGTTCTTGCGTGACTTAGTTGCCACACACATGCGACGCTCACTTCCGGTGTCCGGCACCGAGAGTTCCGCGCCCAGAGAACCGATTTGCACAGCTGGCGATTGTATCGCATGTTCTGCTGATTCCGTTCTCTCACTTTTTCCCCCAGGCCATCTTCCTTCCGCGTGTGCTCCTAGCTCAACTCCCACCAAGTCTCCAAAACATCCAGACCCCCTCTCACCAAGCCCAACAAGCACTCTCCCCAACGCCTCAATCACCTTCTCCAGCACAACCCCCTCACTCGGCACAAAATGCACCCCACAATGTTCTACCACCTCCCTCCTCCCCTCTCCCGCACCCCCCTCGAACGCACACACCAACTCCATCGTCTGCCCCCACGTAACCATGGTATCATACCTACCCAGCACATGCACACTAGCCGTCCGCAACCCCCCATCCAACCGACCTTCAACCCTATCATAGAACCCCCCGTACAACCTCCTCGTCCCAGCATACCCTGAAAAGCATACCACAAACTCCAATTCCCGATCTTGCGGCCTCTCACTCAACACATCGCACAGCTCCTCTACCACTTCCCTTCTCCCCGACCCCGACCGTGCTTCCCTCGCCGCCACCATCTCACGACAAGGCACGCCCTCACACCAGCTCGTGAAAATGCCACCAAGCGCCGCGCCCTGCGAGAACCCTACAGCACCCACAAAAGGCCCATACAGCCCGACCAGCTCCTTTAAATACCGTAACGACTCCACGAGACCGGGGTAGTGGCTCACCGTATCAAGATTGCGCCACCAGGCTCGGAATCCAGTCTCTGTTGTTGGCCCTGAATGTGCGTCGATGGAGGCGGCTTCGGTATGTGGAGAAGATGGCTCGTGCGGGAGTAGCAGGAACGGGGCGTCAGGGTATATGAACTCGATGAGCGTCGCAGGGACTTGGTAGTGGTTGGCGAGGAGGCGGCGGAGTCGTGTTGTGAGGGCGGCTGTTTTGCGGCGGAAAAGGCATGCGTTCTGGCCGAAGCCGTGCAGCATGAGGACGCGCTTGGGGGTTTGGGCTGGGTGAGGTGTAGAGGGGGGCATTGTGGGCTCTGCCGATGTTGAGCGTTGATTGTTGCGGGGGTGGGGTTTTTGCAGACACGATTTGATGACTTACGAGGAGGCTGTTGATGGGTATTTGCTAGGGACGGTGTAGTATTGTGCCACTTCCGCTGGATCGTAGAAACGAGGCCCCATATGACCGCAGTGATGGCCTGCACGGGCCACAGCGCTTTGTACGATCGTCGCAGAACGTGAAGTGTCACGGTCACGTCCATGATATCGGTGACCATAGAGACACGGGCGAAATCAAGCAAGGGAATGAGGCTCAAGGCTTGAACGCAGTAAGCAATTCGGCAGGTGTCGGCGACCACGACGTAGGTACGCGACATTTGCAGGCCATGCAGCTCAGACTTCGGGTTAATTCATCTGTGGCTCGACCCAGGTGCCGAATCGTAGCTTCTAGTCCGATCTCACCACTGACAGCTTGATGATTCGACCGAAGATGATCGTCAGCCCCGAAGACGATCTGGAAAGGTTTGCAGCCCAGTCACCGAGTCCGGCTTTGTCGTCTATGCATGGATGCTCCACGCCGAACCAGCCGTAACTGATCTGTAAGACATCGAGCCGCACGCTCTTCCGGCCTCGCCTTGCGATAGCGAAGTAAGCCTCGTGCATGAAACGTGAACTGGCAAAGTCAGCTCTTACTTGACCTGTCAAGGACGCAGCGGCACGTTCCTGCCTTCCTGCCGTATGCATGGAGAGGTCTGTTTCAGAAATCATCGTGCACAACTTAGGGACCGTGGCGTCCTCAAGGCGCGTTGCATCCTGTCTTGGGCAGAATGGTAGGTCGTCAGCACTAGCGGCTCGTGAGAACACCGAAAAGGTAATTTGTTCGATATACCTATTCGGGCGATTCGTCTAGTTCGTCATATGCCACCGGCTCAAGCAGTGCTGCCGATCCGTGTATACCAATAATGGCACTTGTATTGAAGGGGCTGTGATCTTCGTCGACTGGGTATGCGAGACTCTGATCTTGCTCTGACATGCATGAGCAGTTGAGACCATATGCAGGCGAATTCTTCTTTCGTGGCGGTGGTATGGCTGCCGTTGCAATTGGCGAATATTGTATATTAGCTGGAAGTAGCACTCTTCGCAGAAACATTGTGGCCCTACCAAGTCAATATTGCCTGTCACCTGAATAGTCTGAGGGATGAAGAGCTTCTCGTCGAGTGCCAAATGATGAAGATGTATCATTCATCAAAGACCACAAAGCAAGAGGAGAAGTCTGCTCCATCTGCTCCATCCGCTCCATCTGCTCCGCCAGACGGAGGTTTGGTTGCGTGGGCGCAAGTAGCCGGGGCATTCTTCATTTGGCTGAACACATGGTCAGTACCTACATATTGAAAGACCCAGAGAAGCAAGCTGACCTTCTGTAGGGGCTTGGTCAATGCTTTTGGAGCATGGCAGTCCTTCTACGAGACAACGCTTCTTCCTCACGAGTCTCCCTCAACAATCGCCTGGATCGGCTCGATTCAATCTTGTCTTCTTTGTGTAGTCGGCGCCCTCACCGGCCCTCTCTTTGACGCAGGACATCTCAGATTTCTCTTGTTTGCCGGAACGATACTGGTGTCGCTAGGACTGGCAATGGCAAGTCTCGCCGACAGCTTTTGGCAGCTTCTGCTGGCCCAGGGATTTTGTGTCGGGGTGGGCTCTGGGTGTCTATTCACCCCGAGTGTTGCCATTGTGAGCACGTACTTTTCTTCGCGAGTCGCGTTTGCGAATGGGATTGCTGCGTCTGGTAGTGGTCTCGGTGAGGAGGACTCTGAATATGTTGATAGTCCTTGACTGACTGACCGACTTAGGTGGAGTAATCTTCCCTATCATGTTTCATCAACTTCAACCCAGGATTGGTTTTCCGTGGGCTACTCGCGCCGTTGCACTGGTCGCGCTGGTGACGTTGAGCGCATCATCGACCCTGATGCAGATGCGGATTGTGCCAGCAAAGAAAAGGAAGCTGTTCGATGCAAAAGGCTGGCGAGACCGTGCTTATTCGCTATACGTGCTCGGTGGCTTCGTGGCTTTCCTGGGATGCTGGACGCCTTTCTTCTTCGTCAGTCTGTATGCGATTGAGCACAGGGTGGGCTCTGATACAGGCATATTCTACCTGTTGCCAGCGATTTCAGCGGGCTCAGTTCTCGGTCGAGTCCTGCCGAACTTGATCGCGGTTCGAGTGGGAATGTTCAATGTTTTGGTGCCTTGTACTCTGATGACGGGTGTGGTGGCGTTAGGCTTCATTGGTGCTCGGGCGTACTCCAGTCTGATGGTGCTGTGTGTTCTGTACGGCATTGTCTCGGGCGCCTTGGTGTCAGTACTTCCAACGATTCCAGTGCAACTATGTCCAGACCGATCTGTCATCGGAAACAGAATGGGCATGGCTTTCTCGACGATATCGCTAGGTGCGCTTGCAGGAACGCCAATCGCGGGCCACTTGGTGAGTCGTTACGGCTTTCACGCAGCCTTTGAATTCTCTGGAGCATGTGCGGCGGCGTCAGCTGTCATCCTGGCGGCGGCCCGGATCGCGCACAAAGGTTGGAAAGTCAATATCAAGGCCTGAGGGATTGTATGGGGACATCAGTTGGCTGAACGATTCTATGTACATCGGCATTAGCAACAGCATAGCGACCTTAGCGTTCAAACAACAACACCTTTCCAAATTGTTGGTTGGTTTTGCTTTTTGTGAGAGCAGTAACAGCATGAAAGCTATCGCTATGTTCAGAACAGTCGTGATCCGGATTCTTCGTCCGTATGCACATTGTCAGCGCTATAATCGAAGCCATTACCGTTAGTAGGAATTCCTCCAAAAGAACATGAAGCCCGGTACTCCTCGCTTGAATGTCGTTTGATGCCGTCAAAATAGCTCGACTCCAGTCTCTGGAGATCCAGCCCTCTGCGCTCAGAGCACTGAGCACTCTGCAGAGTACTTGCAGTGGCGCATATTCGTGGTGTCAGCATAATAGGAATAAGCAACTTTCTGCCGCCAAATCTCAGCCGCACCGCACTAACGTGTGTCTCGTGTCGCGTCGCGAGTGGGCTCGTTACCCCAGCCATTTCTCATTCTGGAAGAACATAATATAGAGCCCGCCCTGGCTCTTTCATCGTGGGACACATTTGTTCTTCGAATGCTCCGGCACCGCCTCGTTGCGTACCGTGTCCGACTTTATCGGCGGTTTCGCCGCCTTAGACGGCAGCATGCGACCCCTTCTCCCTAGCCTTGATCTCCCTCGCCTCCTTCAAGTTCAGGTAATACTGTTCGGCGGTGGTACTGGGCTTCCGCTTTTTTAGGGCATCGTCTTCGACGACGCGGACGACGCTACCGAATTCCTTGGTGGTGTCTTGGCCTGCGGTCGCCGCAGCTGGGTGCACGAACACGGGCCATCGTCCTGTACGCAGCTTGATCGCTTTCTTGTCCTCTGACGAGAGCTCGGCATCGGCGGGGATCATGGCAGGTCGGCGTTTGGCATGATGGGTATGTGATTTGGTCGCTGTGGTCGTGGTCTTGGTCGTGGTCGTGATAGTGGTCGTGGTGGTCGTCGTGCTGGACACGCTCGAGACGCGTGATTTGGCTTCCGCCGCGACTGCTTCAGGCATCGTGAGTATGCAGGCTGTTCAGGTACGTCGATATCGTCCTATGTGTATTCGTGACTGGAGAAAGACTGGCGTGGGCATGCAGCGACATGCATTTCTCGACTTCTGGATAGGCGGGAATTTCACAGGCAGAATAGTGTCGGTCTTGGACGATCTTCACTGCCTAGAGGACGAGCGGGAGGTTTGTTTGGTCAGCGGACGGCATGCAAGCGAAGCGAAGTGTCGAATTGGTTCACGTAAACGCCGGGACAGAGGGGCATAAATGTGAATGGACTGGAACCGCGTAGTGCTCTGTTCGGCTGCACGTCGCACATATGGCAAATCGGCAAATGATGGGATGCAACTGAGGAGCACTTCAAGGATTTAGGTGAAGTGCTGAGAGTTCGGGTATCAGGTACTCCGATGGCCGCGTTTAGGCGAGGAACACTTCCGTACAGAAAGCAGTAGGCAAACAAAGGAATGATGAATGTGCCATTGCACGATGACGATTGCATTTCAGCTCAAAGCAAGTCGGCACCTTCATCGAGAACGACATTTTGTGACTTCAGTGGTACCAAGGATGGCAAGACCCAACGTCAAGGTCGGCTGATGAGGCTCAACCGCCCGCTACCTAGGGAGTCGTACCATGCCAAGAAATCGCTCGATGGTGGCTTGGTCGTTGGCTGAATGAAGTCACCGCCTCACCTTGACCCGCGAGTGCTGGAGTACCTTCGTCCTTGGATCGTGACTTGACTTGAATTGACATACCTTCCCTCCCGTCACGCAGACCATACATAGAACACTACAGGGCCCACCGTATAGCATGATCGTCTTGTCTCTCGCAGGATTGTGATCACCGGTACCAAAGATGCGTCCGACGAGGGCATCACCTCCTTCCACACTTCCGGTATACCGCATCTATGGGCCAGCTCGGTGACCTGTCGCCTGAGGCCGGCATCGCTGTCAGTCGATTCACACAGCTATTAATCCGCATTCACTGACTGATCTAGGTTGGCATCGTCGTCGGCCTCCTCTCCACCTCCATCCAGAGCTTGGGTCTTACCCTGCAGCGCAAGTCGCATCTGGTCGAAGATGCCAAAGACAATGAGGAAGAGCGTCGGCCAGCCTACAAGAGACGTAAATGGCAGATAGGCATGCTCATGTTCGTCGTCTCCAACGTTGTCGGTAGCACGATACAGATCACCACGCTGCCGCTCCCAGTGCTGTCGACGTTGCAGGCATCAGGCCTGGTCTTTAACACCGCATTTGCGACTCTGCTGCTGGGCGAGCCGTTCACACGGTTCTCCATCATCGGCACAGTTCTCACATGTGGCGGCGCTGCATTGATTGCATCCTTCGGAGCGATTGGCGAGCCGGCGCATAGTCTGGATCAGCTGCTAGACCTGCTCCGCGGCAAGGGTTTCATCATCTGGATGGTCGGAACTCTGGTGGTGGCGCTGGGAACCATAGTTTTCTCCCACATCCTCAAAGTCTGGTCGTCGCACAGGCACATCGAACACCACTACCTCAAATCCGAACGTCCCCGATCATCGTCGATATCTTCCTTGAGCCCGGGAAACATCAAGAGATCATTCACACAATCGCTGCCGAAGCAGCTACAACTTAGAGTCGGTCGGCTTCGTCTGCTCAGAGGCCTTTCTTACGGCTTGGTATCTGGCATTCTGTCCGCCCACTCTCTCCTTGTCGCGAAGTCAGCCGTCGAGCTCCTAGTGCGGACGATTGTCGACCGAAACAACCAGTTCAACCAGTTTCAGTCATGGCTGATATTGGTCGCATTGCTCTTCTTCGCCCTAACACAACTATACTACCTACACCTTGGCCTACGACTCTGCAGTACCAGCGTATTATACCCGTTTGTTTTCTGCATATACAATATTATCGCAATCCTAGACGGTCTGATATATTTCCGTCAGGCTTCACGGCTGAGTGCTCTGCACGGCGGGCTTGTTGCGCTCGGTACTGTCGTCCTACTAGCCGGCGTGTTCGCATTGTCATGGCGTCTGGACGATACGACGCCTGAAGAAGAGCCATCTTCTGCTGTCCCGACCACGCCTCTCGCGCCGGGAATGGGCATCATGCCCACCTCCGAAGACGAATCGCGAGAATCACTGCTCTCACGCCCCCGATCTCGAGGATCTACGAATGCGTCGCAAACAAGTCTGAATGAGCAAACACCACTACTCTCCGCGAACCGCCGACGGAGCCGCACTCCTACGCTTACTGTGCAGCCTCCGCCAGACATCGAGGCATCCGCAAGAGACATCTGGGCCGAGCTCGACGACGATCAGGATAATTCAGACTTTCTCGCCAGTCTACCTGGGGCATCGCCATTCTTGTCACACAAAGCTCTCCAACGTCGGCGGAAGCGTGGCGACTCAGCCAGCTCGTTAGCGATTTCGAGCACTTCCGACAGCGCAGAGCCCGCCTGGAGAAGAGCAAGTGGTGGATCAGCAGGAGGTGACAAGACTCCAGCGACGCCAGAAAGGAGTCCTACCGGAATCAGGAGGATCAGCGCCGAGCAGCCTCGGCGTAATCGCAGCTCCAGCGTGCGCTTTGCAGAGAGCCAGCATGATCGGAGTAGGTACGATGCGAAAGGGAAGAACGGGGATGTGGGAGAGAACGGCTGATGGAGGCATGCTGGAGGATTAGCGGATCTGTTAGAAGGAATGAATATATTCCATTAAAAGATGAACCGCGTACACCGTGTGCCTTGTAGCGACGTCCTGCACCCACACGCAACCTTGGAAAGTCTTTCACTTATGCCTGCCAGTATGTACACTGTACTGTATATGCGGTTTCTCAGTACCTTGATCGGCCCCTACTGAACAACCGGCCTGTTGGCAGCTTTTTGAGTTCACGGCGCATCATGATGTCAATGTTTACCTTATGCATCGGACCTCGAACGTCGAACTTCAAGCTGGGACGCGTCTGTTAATGAATTAATAACTCTCGCAGCATCCTTTGGTCGCTCTACTCGACATACAAGCGCCCTAGAGGTGGCTGGTTGCTCTGCTGTGAGGTCATGTTATAGAGGGTGTCTGTCTATGTAGCTCTCACGCTGACTTGGAACACTCACTACTTGTGTCTTGCTTACTCGAGGCTACTTGTTGTGACTGGCATTCGCTGGCTGCACACTGCGCTGCTCGTATCATCGGACTTCCAGCCACAGAAGTTATCGGACACACGCAAGGAGCAGACTCATCCGTTTGGCTGCTCGACCTGGGCAAGCCTTGAAGACTTAGTTTTGACAATCTGGGCATACCGTACTCAAAGCACTTCTTCACAAATATTTACCGGGGTGGGGCTGGCCACAGCTATAAAACCTTCACGTAGGCGCAATTCAGTACAGACAGCTTAGCCACTTCTGCTACAGCCATCCACACCATGGCATGGGCCCTTGTCACCCCGTCCTCACGCGGCATCGGCGCCGCCCTCACACGCCACCTCCTCCAGACCACACCACCCACCCTCCCAATCGTCGCCACAGCGCGCTCCAGCAACCTCGACGCCGTCCGCGAGTCTTTGCTCGCCGACATACCCTCCTCATCCGACAACCACTCCCGTCTGGACGTCCAACGCTGCGACTTGCTCGACGAGAAGTCGATCAGCGACCTAGCATCCTACTGCAAGGACCGGTACAACGATCGCTCCAAGTCCAAATCCGCACACTTGCGCATGGCATTCTGCCTCCCCGGCATGCTGGTGCCGGAGAAGGCGCCGGAGAAGATCGAGTATGACTCTGCGCTGGACACGCTCAAGTTGAATCTGTTAGCGGACATGATGCTCGCGAAGCACTTCACCCCTTTCCTCCCGAAGAAATCCGCCCAACTAGACCCCATAGACGGCTTACCCGCCGACAAGGCCGTGCTGGCTTTCATGTCGGCGCGCGTCGGCAGCATCTCTGACAATTCCCTGGGCGGGTGGTATTCGTACCGCGCGAGTAAGGCTGGGGTGAATCAACTGGTGAAGAGTGTGGATATTTATCTGAAGATGCGGGCGGAGGGGAAGGCGATGTGTGTGGGGTTGCATCCGGGGACGGTCAAGACGGAATTGAGCAGGGAGTTTTGGGGAGGAGTGCAGGAGGGGAAGTTGTTTAGTGCGGAGTATAGTGCCGAGCGGCTGGTTGAGGTGGTGAACGGGCTGGGGGTGGAAGAGGGGAGGGGGAGGTGTTGGGACTGGAAGGGGGAGGAGGTCCCGCCCTGAGAAATTGGGGCTCGGAAGGAACTCAGACGGTATCGGTGTGACGAGGTGGAAGTGGTTGAGTTTAGTGCTCACGGTGAATATGGCCATGGATATCTATCTTGCCACTTGGGAGTTGTCTTTGCGTGTATGGCTTCGATTGTCGGCAAGTTCTGGTCGTTGGGTAGAGGTCATGCTTGCGGTGGGCGAAGTGGTCGTGATTGAGACTTGCGAGAATGAAATGACCAGGACTCGTTCACTAACCGCTGGTTGCTCGAGTGTGTTGCCTGGAGGCTTGTAAAGCCAGGACATGAAGGTTGTTCAGCACAGGAGCGATACGTTGGAGTTGGAAAAGGGAGCTGGTTAGGCGTTGATTGTTCGTCTTCGAAAGTCGTGCTTGCGGAAGACGGTTGGGCCATGTTGAAAGCTCACCATAAGGTGTGACCATGGCCTGCCGTTCCAACGAAAGTACTTCGTTGAAAGCGATCATGCGCCACTATGCCATGTACTTCGACCATGGCAGGTCTTGGCAAGCAGGAAACCAAATCGAGCGACCGAAGAAGATCCGCACACCACGTTTTCTAACGAAGGTGCATGCGCTGAAATGCTCTTTTGACATGCGCTCGAGCTGAAAACAGTACATATGGTGGTGTGTCACTCTGCATTGAATAATGATGTCGCTACAACCGGCTGACACAAAACTCGAACTCAGGCGCCAGGGTTGCACAGGCACGAAATTGAACAGCAAGACATCCGAACTTGTTCCTTGGCCCCTCATCAAACACAGTAACCTGCTTACCTGTTCCTGTGCAGCATTTCGTTCGTCGCGCGAACACCGGATCTGCTTACGTAGAGCGCCACGAAAATGGACCTGCTCATTGCCTTGCCAGTGGTGCTTACCAAATGGTGAAGATAGGAGGGCCAGGGCAGGATCTCGAGGTCTTTGCTGACTGCGATGATATAATTTCGTCAGGCTGCATAGAATTATCGGTGTGTTGTGAGCGGTCTGCAGCGTGAGCAGGAAAAAATAGCCCTCAGAACCGTGGGAGACAGAGACGCGCAGGCAGTCTGACGGCGATGAATCAGCCGGGAGGTGGAATAAATCAAGCTAACGATCGAGCTGCATTTTAGCGTCCTCATGGTGCCGATCGTGGCGACTCGGAGGCTGGAGTGTGAGAACTCAGGTGCGTGTCTGGCTCGTTCTTTTGCAGTATATTCGCACGGAAGGCCATGAAGAATGAAAGCGGTAACCTGGTTGCTCATTCGAGTGTATCGACAGAGTCGACTAGCTCGTTATGAGAGTAGTGAATACTCGGCTTTGAAAAGGGATTTGGTCGTGAAAATCCTGCTGGAGATGCGGCAAAGTGGCTGTCTCTGGCTCCCCATTGAACCCTGGCTGTCCCAGAGATAGCAGCCAATTGTGTCAGCTGTGTGGATGATCTCCAGCCAGTGACAGAGCAGAGCAATTCCACAGTGCTCAACCACGAAGCTCCGTCCAGCTGATCATGTTAATAATGAAGGTCGGTCGCACCTTCCCCTTCTTGTCTGTCTTCCCCTTCTCGTCACGCTGCTGCATTGGGAACACAAGTCCTCATCTATACAGTGAACATACCAACAGAACCACGTCTTGCTCGACAAACTTGCTCAAAGGGTACTTTGACGTCGACGCTCTCCTTTTAGGCAACATCAGCACACCGAGAAGCACCATTGGTACGTGGAAGATCTCATATCTTGTTCTTTGCCTGTCATCGAGGATCTATTCTTTTTGCGGCGACGCGCTATGCTCGATGTGAATACCGGGCGTGGACCCGCCAAATTTGGCAGGAACGAATACCATCAGCACCATCCAAAGACTGGCACGAGCATCACGACGATTGGAGATGCAGTCGACGCGACTTGATGTCTTTTGTGTCAACCAGTGTCGCGATCATTGAGTCGCCCGCAAAGTTTTGGGGGCAAGCCAGGCCACCCGGAGCGCCAAGACTGAAGCTGCCCCTCCCAAAACAGGTCGGCAGGCGCAACTGAATTCACATCGTCGTTGCCAGCGTTCGTCGTGGCTGGTTTCATCAACCCGAGTGCTGCAACATCACTCATCGGCCATTGCACCATCACTACAACCGCAGAGGCCACCTCATCAGCTTTCGAAGTCACTTTCAGCGTGACGCGTGATTACCTTCAGGTCGGGTCCGTCGCGTTGAATCCGCTTCACTTGTATTTCGACCCTGCCTCTATATTACTGCTTCCATTTCGACGCGTAAAAGAAGTGTCGCTAACATTCTCGAAAAGACAGGTGCACTCGCAATCCATTCCATAAAGTCGTACCCAAATCAAGTTAGTGTCTCCATCGCCAGATTCAGTAATTACAATTCTCAATCGAGAATCCAGACTAACCTACCTTGAAAGACCAGATCAATCGCGACCAATATGGCCGATATCCAAGACCCCAATGCTCTCGATCAGCCCTCGCCAGGCGACGACCTCGCTGGCAACGACACTGGCCGTGGCAATAAGCGCAATAGGGCTTCTATGGCTGGAGATGATGACGATGATGATGATGAGAAGGGTGGCCGTGAGCGGAGAAAGATTGAGATCAAGTTCATTCAGGTAAGTCTACTGATCCAACACGTGACTCGCAGTACTAACCGTCGCCCTCAGGACAAGTCCCGTCGTCACATCACCTTCTCAAAGCGAAAGGCTGGCATTATGAAGAAGGTTAGTCCCATCATCACTTCACACTTCGGCACCTTACTGATCTATACTAGGCCTACGAACTATCCGTCCTCACTGGCACCCAAGTCCTCCTCCTCGTCGTTTCCGAGACCGGTCTCGTCTACACTTTCACCACCCCCAAACTCCAGCCCCTCGTCACAAAGGCCGAAGGCAAGAACCTCATCCAAGCCTGCCTGAATGCTCCCGAGCCATCCGGCGAGAACGGTGCCGACGGTGCAGACGACATCCCCTCCCCTGACGACGTCCAGAGCATGCCTCAACCCCCGGCTATGCCTCGTCAACCCGCCCAACAGACTGGCTACATGACCCACGAGCAACAGCAACAGGCTATGTACTACCAGCAACTCCAACAGCAACAAAACCAAGGTGGCCAGTACGCTGGTATGCCTCAGATGCCTCACCAGCAGCGTGCTTAGGCGGACGACTACGGCAGTGTGGAGCCATATGCGGCATCCCTGATTCCGCCAGCCGGGGAGGCCGCTGAGGATACTGAGGCGAGTGAGCACAATCGTCGCGCGAAAGTTTCATGGTACTCGATGCCAGCATATCATACCAAACCCAATATCCGTAGGGAGGACCTCAAGTGTTCATAGGTACGGATGGTCATAGAGGAAACGGGTACGGGAGTTCAAAGGTGCTTATTGCGAGCGATACATTCAGGTACTGTCAGAGCCCGCCCTGCCGCCCTCAATGATCCTCCCGGACGTCCAGTAACTCGCTATCGAGAATCACTTCTCGGGCGGGCACTGTAGGACAACAAGCACGAAAGCAAAGCAATCAGATGAAAAACTTCTTGGAATTAGTCTACCGAGCGAGCAGTATCTCTGGAATCGAAGTTTATCATGACTCATATGTCTTCGTGTGTCGCCGTAGTCGCCGACCTTCTGTCCATGCATGCTGACCTCTTCGTCGGATCGTCTGCTGCAGGTCGACTCCATCGATAGTTCGTTTTTCGTCAGGGAGGCCTTCATGAAATGTATTCCACACCGCGAATGGTAGCATCTTTTGCCTGTCATCCGACCATGGTTTCACGCCTGCATTCGTGTGCATTTTGGCGCATTTGTTCAGAGTCCTCCCTGGGATGTTGCCACTTCAAAGCTGCTGAAGCGGTTGTGAGATGCAAGTGAGAGTCAACTCAAGCCTCGGACTGCACCTTCTTGACGCGCTCGAGAACTTTGGGGAAGAGAGGGTGCTTCGAATCCAGGCCTGTCAGTTCGGTAGTAGCCTGCAAAAAGTCAGCCAGGGCGGCCTCTGGGAGGGAAATTTCAAAATTCAAAATTTCAGAATCTGGACTCACCTCTTCGGCCGACTTCTCCTTCAGGATCTTGGCAAGCTCAACGGACTCGTCGTCACCTTCGACGTTCTGGAAGCGGAGGGCCATCTCTACACCACGCATAAGAGCAGTGACATCGTATCCTTGCTCCTCGAGCTGAGCAGCAGGCCCGATGAAGCGCTCCTTGCGGCCGAGCTTGCGTAGGGGAGCACGACCGACACGAGCTGGAACATCCTCGAGAGAAGGGTTGGAGATGCGGTCGACGATGGTGTCGACGTACTTCTGTTGCTCCTCAGCAGAGATGCCGTGCTTCTTGACGACTAGGTGGGCGGTCTCCTTCAAAGCCTCAGTGACCTCAGCCTTGATTTCCTTGTCGGCCATGGCTTGATCGATGGTCTTGATGCCCTTGTTGTAAGCGAAGTATGCGGCGGTGGCGTGGGAAGTGTTGACGGTGAAGAGCTTGCGCTCAATGTAGGGCTCGAGGTCATGAACCCAGTGGATGCCATTGACCTTAGGGGGACCATTCTTGAAGCCGGTGTCCTCGACGCACCACTCATAGAACTTCTCAATGAGGACATCGAGACCAGCATCGGTAGGCTGGGTTGGGACGATGCGATCAATAGCTGAGTTGCCGTACTCAGCCTTGGAGGTGATCTTGTCCTTGTGCTCCTCAGCGGTCTTCTCGAGGATGTGCTCACGGAGAGCATCAGTGGCATTAATCATGTTCTCGCAGGCAATGACTGCGAGAGGAGTCTTGGACTCGCGCTTGATGATGCCCTCAGAGATTGGCTTGGCAATGAACTGAAGGACTCTCGGGCCAACAGCACAAGTGACAATGGTGGCTTTCGAGATGGCATCGATGGCATCATCCAAGTTATACTTGGTGTTGATGGCACGATAGTTCTTGATGATCTTGGTTTTAGTGCCCTCAGCACCGACTTCTGTGATCTTGTACTCTGGGGTCTCGTTGATCTTGTTGACTAGGGCGTCAACAACATCGCAGAAGATCACCTCGAAGCCTGACTCGTGGAGCAGCTCGGCAATGAAGCCTCGACCGATGTTACCACCACCTGAGATGTTAGATTATGAGCCGCAGACGTATCTTTTGAGGCACTTACCAAAGTGGACAGCAATTGGAAGGTTAGACATCTTGCCCGGACGTTGAGGCGGGCTCTGGAAGGTTTACGAAACTGCGGTACCAAACGTCAGCACACTATGCTCTTATCCCACTTGCGGGATGCTGCAAATCTGGTTCAAACTTACCTATTATCCCTCTAGAGTCCTCCCTGGCTGGCTTTTCAGGATATCTCAAGAGCGGCAAAAGTTGTGAACGATTCAAGTGTAGGTAGGTAGTGGGATGAAATAACGAAACAAAAGTTTGGCGGGGCATGAACGTCATTGGGAAGCTGCAACACGCTAATAAACGCTAGGGAATATGGATATAACTCCGGGAAGGTGCAGAGAAGAAGGCTAGCCGAGGAGGATGGGTGGGTGAATACTAGAATTGTCAAATTGGTAGGTTCAGAGTCCTCCCTGGGTAGGAAGATCCATACTGGGCACTCTCCCCCTGTGATTCACAAGTGAGGCTCATCCCAGAATCCCACATGGCAAGCACAGAAGTCTCAGACCTTCAGAGCCCTCCCTGGCCAGGAAACCCAGGGGCATGATGACCACTGGCACCCTTGTGAACACCCACTGAGCCAGTACACAAAGAACGACTATTTGGAGCCCTTCCGGGCTAGGAATCATGAGAAACACTTCCATACTGGTGATCCACAATCGAGGCTCACCCCGTATCTACCACTCAGCCAGTACAGAAGTGACAGATCTTCGGCGCCGGCCTAGATCACACAGTGATAGATGTTGTTGTTGTCTAGCATCTCTCATCGACATCATCGTCCTACTTGCCTTCCCCTGCATTTCTCTGATCGTCGCATATTCCCTGGGGAAAATGGACCTCGAGATCACAGCACATTGGGATACACGCTCGCAGAAAGCTCTTCTAGAGCAGACATCTTCGATAGTCATGAATACTATCACGATGGCTATACTCGAGACTTCGCAAGGTATGTTCCCACATTGCCACATCAAGCCCGCTCGGCTAATCACTGTAATTTATCGACACGCTGTTCCTCATCATCGGCTGCTCCCACGACCTGGGTCTGAGCCTGAGCATTGCGCACGCGGCTCTTGCCGCAGTCCACCAAGTCATAGCCTTCTTCCGTAGCCCTTCCGTCGACCCGTCAACGGTGTACGCATTTGAGTCTCACGTCCGTGAGTGGATCACCCTCAACGTCGCAGGTCCCGATGCCGAGAGCGCCATCGCCGCCGCCATCACTGGGCACGGACCCATCGATGTCCTTGTCAACACTGCCGGCTTCGCTATTGCAGGCCCTCTCGGGTTCAAATTCCTCGACTCCGCTCGTGCTGTCTTCAAAACCAACTCCTTCGGTGCTGTGTTGGGCTGTGCTACCTTGTATGAGAAGCCACAAGTCAGGTACTATTGTCAACATCACGTCCTCTGGAGCATGGGCGCCAAATAGCTTCTAACATGGCCTCCTCGCTACGTACCACTCAAGTCTATAGTGTGCACATGTACCACGCACTACATTGTGTTTCCGAGCTTCTTCGCTGGAACCCAGGACGCTGGTCTGACACCCATACGCGGGTCAATCATTGAGAAATTTGATCATAGCAGCTGAAGGACACCGACTCTGGACGCAAGCCTACAAGAAAACATGCCAGGATACTCAGTGATGTATCAAGCACGCACTCAGCCGTGGTCGTGACGCCTTCTTTCACGCCTTGAGTATTCACTTGCCTCGTCTACTTTTGGTTGCATCAGGGCAAACCCACTTCATTTGAGGCTTCACTGGTTGATATACTTTCGAGTCACAGCCCGCCAAGATCATCGCTACAGATTGCCTGACTCTCTGCATCTTTCCGGCACTTCAAAGTTCCCGCAGCTGACCGCTAAGATCGTCTCGTCTGTTGTCATTTCAACGGATACGTTGGCGGCTCTGCTGCTGTCGCGGTCTTCTATATCCGTCTCGCAATCGCGCGTGGTCGCTATGGCCAGAAAGGTGAGCCCACTACTCTTTGCAATCATGCAACAAGCTGATTGGCTCGCACAGAAGAGATCAAGGTCGGAAGCCCCTCGGAAACTCCAAGCAAGCCTCGACCAACTGCCGACCGAGGTAGTCGACATGATCGTACCACACCTGAATGTCAACGATGGTACCATGCTTGCTCTCGCGTCGCGGCGGTACTATGACATCTTCCTTCGCGTCAGAGGTACTGGAACGCTGTGCAACGTGGGGCGTATGTCGAGGAAACCCAGAAAGCGTCTTCTTACACGCCTATTGCCTTGGATGCTCAGCAAATATTTTCTCAGCCATAGCTACATCACGGGCCATCGGATCTACGTGGCTATGGAAGGACTTGCCGCTCGAGCCATCAACTATGAGTCATGTCATAGTTGGTGGAGCTCGACGTTTCAGGACTTCGAGCAGCATATTCGATGCTTGCTTGGCACAACCTTCCACGATGAAGCCACGGCTATCCATCAGAAACTGCTAAGGATTCGCAGAAGGAAGGCATGTGTCGAACGACGCGCTGAGGCGAGGTCCCAGAGGGCTCATAGCATCAGAACCCGGAAGGTGTCGAGCTTAGAGAAACGCCTGCTCCTCGATGACACCAAGACGTTTCTGAAGAGAATGAAGAATATGCGCCATGAGATAGCAGTTAGACTCGGCGGAATAGCGCCTGAAGCTGAGATAGTCTGTCTTTGCGGGCATTCGTTTCAGGTTGGATGCACGTCTTTCGAGCTCAGTATGGATCTTATAGATCCCGCATCTATCTTGAGGCAAGGTATGCGCGAGGCTTTGGCTCAGCTCACCGCCAGAGGAGTTTTTGGCACCCACAATTTCTATTGGAGGATAAAGAGCTACCATTACCTCTTGTATATTCGTGGTACTATTGGTAGGGGAAAGCGTCGGCGAGTGCGACACTCTGGGCTCCGTTGGCTGTCCTGCAGAGAATACTGGATGCTCTGGTTCAAAGAGTGTCATCAGCGAGGCCTGCGTCCCGAGACCTGGACTTGGAACAGATTTCCCAGGAGAAAGCGCATATCCGTGGGAACAGACCGGGTCCAATAGCCATCAGGTCGACAGAGACCACAGCGGACGATCGAGGCATTCGACGGAATATTCTTGGTCTGCAACCAGTTCATGGGCCCCGACATCAGTGCTGTATGCTCAACGCTTCTTGTCTTGCACAACAGTGATCATGGCATTCGTTGGTTATGGGATGCGTATTTGAGCCACAATTCATCTGTTACGACTTTACAGAAAGCAACACCAGGTGGACGTCCCGAAATATTGGGTTGTTCTTGACAGACACAAGCAATCATTTGATTTTGCTGCAGCTCTGTTCCTCTCTTGTCGCCCTGGTGCTTCGACTTCACTGGTCTGGCCCAGGCCGAGGATGCATACAACGACTTGATCGCAGCCGCAACAGATGCTATTGGTTCCTTTCGTGGCACCAATCACAATATTCTCCCCCGTCATCACCGTCAACTCGCGGCCTGCCTCACGAACACCTCCTCCAGGTCCGCCATCCCAACCACATCCGCAAACCTCGCCAACACCCTCTCCAACAGGAACTCCCCAACCACCACCTCCTCATCATCCATAACCCCCTCCCTCACCACCACAACATGAAAATCCATATCCGCCGCCAGCCTCGCACTCCCCAACACCGGCCCCACAGTCGTCAACCCACACAGCACCACATGCCTGACCCCCCTCGCCCTCAAATACTACAGCAGTTCCGAACTCGAGAAACACCCCGCCGTGAGCTCCGGCACCAGGATCTCATCTTTCGAGCCCCAGCCATCGGCGGGTTGGAGGGTTTTGCAGACGGCGTACTGTGGAAAGTTGGGGTCGCGGGTCGTTGCGGGGAAGGCGCCAGAGGCTTCGAGTTGGGTGAACCAGCGGGCGAGTTTGTTATAGGGGCTGATGAAGGCGTTGGAGTTGATGCCGGCGGGGAAGGTGTGGTGGATTATTAAGGGGGACGTTGTCGAAGAGGTCGGGTGTTGGGGTTTGAGGTATTGAAGCGGCGACGGGTGATTTCGTTGCGGAAGAGGGTCTGGATGTGGGAGATGTTGGTGAGGTAGGTTTTGAGGATATCGGGTGGAAAGCGGGAGGCGATCTGGTCTTGGATGTCGGCGGGGAGGAGGGCAGTGTGGCTGAGGTCGATTGGTACGTAGAACGGGCCGTTTGGAGTTGTTGATTCAGTTGGCAATTTGGATGGGTTTGTCTTGCTATGATCGTTCTGTAACGAGTGCTAATCGTAGATGAAGGTCTCGTAAGGCTTTATCGTAGAGCAGGCAGAATAGTGCGACGACACAACAGACTTGGGACCCGGCAATCCTCCAGCATTATGCTCATGGGCCTCTTATATCCCTTGATCGATCTATTTCTGGTGGCCATTGACACAACATTCAGTCAGTGACTCAGCGGGCAAACTTGGGTGGTATTCTCGCACTCGTATCGCTCTCGAAATCCTCGGCCGAGCTACCTCGTACTCGGCACTAAGAATACATGGAAATCTCGTGCACACACAGGTGTTCCAGAATCGGTTCCCTGTCGTGAGCTTCGGCGTCTACTAAGTAGTTCAATTCTCCAAGCCGTTCGGCGGAGTCGAGCTTGCATACATCGAATCTACCAAGTACATTTCTCTGGAAGCGCAAAGGTCGGCAACTGAGCGAGAGCCGTCGTCCTGTTGACCGCCGGGCAGGATAGCATAGACACCGTCAAGATGTTGTCCTCCGTTCTTCGTTCTATCGTTCCAATGCTCGCCTTCGGCCGTCGATGACAGATCCCAATCACAATCACATGTAGCCAATCGAGGGGGAGATGAGTAGGAGTGAAGGCCGTTCCTCACGGATTGGGAGGCCTGCAAATTGGGAGGCCTTTGCAGGAGGTGTTGCGGATTTCTGCTCTAGTGTTGCTATAATGCAAAGATGCTACTGGGGCGGGCTTTGACATGAGTCACATCGACGACTTTCTACCAATTCTCCCAAACCGCGCTTGGCAGCACAGTCCTCATGACATGCCAATGCCCGACCGCGCTCTTTCTGTGATACTTCTCTAGAATCTTCGTGTTCTTCCGCGTCAGAATCCCTCCAGCGCGATCGAAGGCTTCCGGAAGGATCTCATGCTGTGGCATCATATATGACTTCCTCAAGCTCGAGCCGAGGAAATCGGCAGTGACGGGCTTGCGAAACTTCACGGCTAGACCGTCTGGATGCTTGCGGCAGAAGAAAACCATGTTTGTGAAGTCTCCTTCGTTGTTGACTTCCTTGTTCGGAGCGGGCTCCTCGCGGAACACGCGGCACCCGTCTCCGAAGACAGATGTGATTGTTCGGTAGATGAGCGAAGCGCTCGGCGTCTTCAGGTCACCGGCATAGTTGATTGCGATGACGCCATCGGACCGCAACAGCATGTGTAGTCCGCTGAGAAACTCCTGGGTGAACAGAGGTACAGGTTCAGCGCCGCCCGTGAAGACGTCGTGAATGATGTAGTCGAACTCGCCGGCACGATGGTTCTTACGCGACTCGACCCAGCCGACAGCATCGCCGTGCGCGAAGTAGTGGTTTGTGGGCATGCTAAAGTACTTAACTGCGAAATGGTGGACTGCAGGGTCGAGCTCGAGGACTGTAGTGCGAATGCCGTGCGCCATCAGAGCAGACGGTGCGGTACCGACGCCTAGTCCGATGTTGAGAGCTCGGCTTTCGTTTCGCGGCGCTGCGAGGACAGGAGCTGGCTCCACGAGTCGGACAGCCTCCAGCATGGTGAAGACGGCGTAGATGGGTTCACCAACCAGCCGAGGTGGATCATTAGATGAAGGGGCTGGTGGGTTGAGCCATTCTCCACCTAGCAGAGAGTGATCGCAGCGCATGACACGGAAGCCGTCCTTATTCGAGTCTAGTACGGAGATATAACCAGACACGGACTCAGCTCGCTCGAGTAGTGTATAGTCATGCAGTGCGAGAGTATTGTTGAGCAATTCCGTGGTCGAGATCAACGGCGTGTGGGAATTGCCCAGGAATGTATAGATGACCGAAGGAAAAGCAGGCCAGAACAAGCTTCGTGGTAGAATCATGCAATACAGTAGTCCAGCTGCCAGCTGCAGGCCGATGCGCGAGAAGACGGCATAGGTGCCAACCCAGTGCGCGAGCCAATCTCGAGAGCTGCGCTGGATGAATGAGAAGATAGCAAAGAGCACACAGGCTGGTGTCGCCTCAGAGAGACCTGACACTGTATCCGGATCCTGTGTAGAGTAGAACAAATCAATACTAACGTAGAAGGCCAGTACTAGTAGAGGGTAGTAGGTGATCAGCTCGGTCAATACAGGTCCAAAGACTGGACCCAGGGCGTCACTGTAGCTAGTGATCGCGAACTGGACGGTAGGAATCCAGAAAGCCCAGGTTGGCACACATTTGTTAACCCAGGTAGGCAGTCGACGACGAATACCGAAGGCGAGGAAGATGGACGCTATGCAGCCATATCGATGATATAAACTCGAAGGTATTGAGCCGTATACCGGAGCTAAGTTGGACTGGGAGACCGTAGAATAGATGGCGGTCACTATGACAAGCTGCAGAGCCCTTTGAACGCTAATGTTGGTGATGTACTGAAAAGCTGTACTTGGATATCTGTGCTTAGCGAAGCTGTTGAGTGGTATGCCAGTGGCAGCAGGAGCTTCGGTGGCATCGCCTTCGGCTCCCTTTGTGGCATTCTGCCTCTGCCGTGCTTTTCGAGCCATCCAGGCTAGTCGATTCCTCCTGCTCGGGGAGGAGTGCTTCGTTGTGTGTACAGTTGCTGCTACCGCTTCATTATGATGCCTTGCCGTGTGCCGTCGAACATCTGCTGTCGTGCTCTGGGGAATATCCGGTGACGTTGCCCTTTGTCTGTCTCGTGAATTGCGGGCCGATCTGAGACTTGAAGCCTTAGCACAACGTCGAACAATACATGTAGCAGGAGCGATCGCGTTCTTGGCAGCAAGCAAGCTGTAGGGGCAAGCTCTGGGCGTTTTCTCCACGTGGCATGCGGTCGTCCAAGATCTCTATAGCGCCCTCCCTGTCCAAGATCTCTCAACCCGGATTTCAGTGTTTCATTGTTAAAGCGAGGCTCATCATAGACCTACTGACTTGATCAGCGAAAGAATGTCAAACCTCCAACGCCCTCCCAGACCTAGTGCTCTACGATGGCAAGCTCTGGGCCTCCAAGTCCCGCGATGTCGACCATCTGAAATGATCATCACCATAACCTCTGAAATAGGGCTAGCTTGAGGGCGGCCCTCGGCTACTGGAGATCTCGAAATTTATTTGACGTGGGGTTTTGGAGGGGAGAATAATGTCGTGATTGACGTACGGCAGTAACGCCGACTACGTTTTTGAGTCAAAATCGCAGCAATGAGAAGCTCGTAATCATGCATTTGTGCCATTCAATGCATTCGCAATCTACTTTCCAGAACGAGAATATCAGACCTGCTTCACCGCTACATCAGGCAGTTCCCAAGAAGCCGTAAGCTGCGCCAGATCCCCGCGAAGCCGCGAAGTCGTACGGCCGTGACCTCGTGGTGTTTGGTGTTGGTTGCTAGAGGAGGGCTACAAGCAATATGGTTATAAGAAGTAATGGAGGCACAACAGGTTCACTGCGTCAGTCGCTACCCAGCGTGGTCCTTCCTTGCCCATCTAGATCCTTGCAACGGCAGTATGCTAAATTCTACAGAGACGGTGTCTACTCAGCCAGAAAATCCATTTTCTGAATTAGTATCCGAGCAGAAGATCACAACTGTTCCTCATTCGAGCTCGAGTCGGGAGTGGTCCTGAAGAACGTCCCGGTCGCATACACCACTCGAGGTCAATTGTCAGAGAATGCGGACAACGTCTTGATAATATGCCATGCACTTTCCGGTAGTGCAGATGTTGCAGACTGGTGGGGTCCACTACTTGGAGGTCCAGGCAGGGCATTCGACATATCACGGTTCTTTGTTGTGTGTTTGAACAGTCTGGGCAGCCCCTACGGCAGCGCGAGTCCTGTCACATACAAAGATGGGGATCCGAAGAACGAGCGCTATGGGCCCGAGTTTCCTCTGACGTCTATTCGAGACGATGTGAGGATCCACAAGGTCATCTTGGACCATCTCGGTGTCAAGCAGATTGCATGCGTGGTTGGCGGATCTATGGGAGGTATGCTTGTCCTCGAGTATGCTTACTTTGGCAAGGACTACGTTCGGACGATTGCACCTATCGCAACATCAGCGACCCACAGTGCCTGGGGAATTAGCTGGGGTGAGGCACAACGGCAAGCCATATATTCGGACCCGAAGTACGAGGACGGCTACTATTCCTTCGATGAGCCACCGACCGCCGGACTAGGTGCTGCACGCATGTCTGCTCTCCTGACGTATAGAAGTCGGGATTCGTTCGAAGCCCGCTTCGGCCGTAACACGCCTGACCTTTCAAAGAGGCCTAATATCAACCAAGGACGAAATAGTCCACCTGGTCGAAACGAGCACTGGGAAATTCACAACCATGGACATTCACGAGCTAAAGGCTCACGACCAGCATCGCCACGCAACGAGCGCTCTAATGGAGAGGACAAAGTTGCAAAACAGCCCGTGGCAACTTTCACGGATCCTCAGTTTAGCGGAGACACCACGTTCGAGGTACCGGTACCCGTTGTGAGCCGGAAGACGAACAAGCCCACCAGTCACTATTTCTCCGCACAATCGTACCTTCGCTATCAGGGCAACAAATTCGTCGGTCGATTTGACGCGAACTGCTACATTGCCATCACCAGGAAGCTAGACACGCACGACGTGTCACGAGATCGTACCGAGACCGTCAAAGAAGCTCTTGGCCAAATCGAGCAGCCAGCCATCGTGCTCGGGATAGAAAGTGACGGTCTCTTCACGATCGCAGAGCAGCAAGAGATCGCGGACGGCATACCAAATGCTACGCTGGGTAAGATCGACAGTCCCGAGGGCCACGATGCTTTCCTGCTTCAGTTTGAGCAGGTCAACAAGTACTTACTCGACTTCTTCCGCGAGCATATTCCAGATATCATGGAGCGACCAGGAATCGAGATTGCTGGTGCGGAAGGTGACGGACAGGACGGCGTTGGACAGATGACGAAAAGCAGCACGTTTGGAGAGGCGGAGGTGGGAGATCTGACTGCGTGGTAAGTACCCAGGCTCCTCGGGCATAAATCGAGCGTTTTCAGCATCTGTCCGTTGATCCCCAGATTGAGGTCCGGGCGGGCTCTCAGGGCTGCGATTGATTTGCAGATCGAGTCAGGAAGTTTTGGAGGAGCCTCACTTGACTTTCAACTCGCAAATCAGTTCATCTTCAATTTGCTTGCCAGGGAGGGTGCTGTGAGGGTTCATGGTGAGTGTATCAGCAGGGCTGCAATGAGCGCTCATCTTTTGGCCGAACAGCTTGGTATCATGGCTCTGCCCCTAGTGGCTCGACCAGTTCAACTCTGGTCCGATGCCTTTGGCGTTCGGATGGATTCATTGTACACTATTGTCGCCGGTAGCATGTTGCACCGCATTCACAATACCCCGGATATCTGTTGTCAGCTTAAATAAATGCATACAAGCACTCCTCTTCAATTGCTATCTTGCCACATCTGTGAAATTGTGACCTGAGAGGTCACTGCCTGACTTTGACACCAATCAGGCAGGTACGTCATTGCTTGGCATTCTCGGTCCAAAAGTTATTGGAGTCGCGTTCGTTCGCTTTCAAAGAAACACTTTGACCACATTCCATATTCCCTCCGCTGGCTTCATATTGTGTATGCGATATCGATGGCGGCGCGTTTATCGACTTGATCTTTCCCTCCCCACTCACTCAAGTTGAATACGACAACACCGACAAGATGACAGACTGGTCGAAACTCACTGTCGCAAAGCTCAAGGAGGCATGCGCCGAACGCGATGTCTCCATTACGGGCTTGAAGTTGAAGCAGCAGTTTGTTGACAAGCTCGCAGAATGGGAAGCCGCACAGGGCGCTCCCAAGGAGGCTGAAGCGCAAGAAGAAGGTGCGCAGACAGACGGCAAGGGCGACCAGGTCGAACCAAACGGTCATGCCAACGGCGCAAGTACTGCTGAGGCAGGACCGGCGCAAGGAGGACTTCCCGAGACAAATGGCGCTGCGCATGGCGAAGATCATCAAGCTGCTGCTGTTGAACCACCCGCGGAAGTCGACTTTGCTCAGCCAGAAACGACGCAGGAAGCTACAACGGACATGGCTCCGGTGGAGACCGCACCAGACGCTGTTGGCGACGAGCAACATGCCTCGACCGCGCCTCAAGCACCGACCGAGACCAGCACAGATGGTCAGTTCGCCGAAAACACCACTACACAAGCACCCACAGAGAAGGATGCCTCCATGCCGCCTCCAACTGGGCAGAGCACTCGTAGCTCATCCATTTTGACGCCCGCAGAGGCCCAGGAGGACTCTCGAAAGCGCAAGAGACGAAGCGTCACACCGCCACCGCGAGCAGAAGAAGTTGCACTCAAGCGAGTGAAGGCTAATGATGGTTCGCCCGTCCTCCGCATGAACGAGGAGAAAGGAGAACAACAAGCTATGGATGCAAAGGTTGATTTAGATGCCAACGCGAGTCCCACAGAGGCCGCCCCGGAGAGCTCACAGAGTAGAAAGAGAAGACTCGGAAGCGTCACACTGCCAGAAGAGGCAGATGACTTTGTTGAGAAACGGGTCAAAGCCAACGATGGCACGCCGGTTTCCCGCGTGGTCGAGGAGAAACAAGAAGAGCAGAAGGCAATCGAGGAAGCTGGCGTAGATGCTGACGCTGGTCCATTGGCACACACCAACGAGCCTCGACTCAGCAACACTAGTGTTGCCGCCAGGTCGTTCACTCAGAGTCCCCCACAACAGAAAAAGCAGGCTCGATCACCAGAACCAGAAGGAGACCTCGACCATGATGTCGGCCCTTCGATGCACCCAGCAACTGCTGCATTGTACATCCGTAACTTCAAGCGCCCAATTCGATCACCAGATTTGCAAGCATACATCAGCTCGATTGCAAAACCGTCAGATCCCGACTCCAATCCAGTCAAGTACTTCTATCTCGATTCGCTGCGCACACATGCCTTCATCATCTTGGACTCTATCTCTTCCGCCTCGCGCGTTCGTGCCGCAATGCACAATACGCGATGGCCAGACGAGCCTACGAGGGAGCCTCTTTGGGCAGACTTCGTCCCGGAAGATAAGGCCGAAGCATGGGCAAACCAGGAATTAGACTCTTCCACCGGCAACAACTTCGGTGGGGCCCGCAGCGCTCCTGCTAAGCGGTGGGAGATTGTCTACCCCAAGGACGCTGAAGGAGTCGTCACTGCTGTTCTACAAGATGCGAACGCACCAGGCTCAAGACGACAGGACTCATACACTCAACAGTCGACTCCACAACGTGGAAGCTTCGCCCCGCCAACAGGCCCACGACAACTCTCGTACTCAAATGCAGGCGCTGCTGCTCCGGATGTCGCAGGTGTGCATCCAGATAGAGCTGCTATGCTTCCTCGTGACCGCAGTCCGGCTCGAAAACCATCTGAAGCCGATCGTGCTCAAGCAGAGCGCAATTTCGCACCTCTCAACTCGCTGTTCCCTTCAACCGATGCTAAGCCCAAGCTCTACTACAAGCCTGTATCTCAGGACCTTGTTGAGCAGCGACTTAAGAAGCTGCGCAGTCTCAGAGTCGGCCACGATGGTATGGGCAAAAGTGGACAGCGTGACATGAAGCGATATAGCTTTGAGAAGGATGATCAAGGCAAAGGCGAGTATTGGGTGGACAAGGGTCCCGAATTCGGCTTTGGCCAACGCGGTCGAGAGCGTTTAGCTGGTGATGATGGTCGGAGAGGCGGCGGGTACGGCGGAGGCAGAGGCGGTGGGGGTCGTGGAGCCCGCTACGGCTCGCACTCGCCTCCACCAAGAAACCGTAACGGCGGTGGTGGTGGCTACCAGGACTGGGACGCGCCGCCTGTGAATAGGCGTGGAGGCCGCCCTGGTGGTCGAGGCGGTGACTCGTACGTTGCAGCTGATGGCGGTCGAGATCGACGCTCTTAGGAGGACCCTGCCAGTTCGAAGAAGTTTTCTGATTCTCGCGCCCAGCATTTCAGGCGGATCAGACACCTATTCACTGGGGCAGAGAAAAGCTGGAGTCCAGGTATCTCCATCCCCAAGGACCGTCCCGATGAAATTCTACCAGACAGCACGCACAAGATGCTCCTCATTGCCATGGTTTGCCTGTCTAAGCGGCATTCACCAGAGGAGGCTGCACAGTGGGAGCGCTGGCAACTGGAGCATGGACGGCCGCAGGCGATGGAGGAGGGCCAGCGATATCCGACCTGTTGTGGGGGAGCACTGACGCTGCATGAGTACGGCTACGACTGTGCTTGTGCGGTCAAAGAGCAGAGCATGCCGCTTTCGATGAAAATATTCTCTAACGCGCAGGATGTCATCGAAGCTGGGGCTTGGATCTGTGATGGTGGGAACGTGGCTGCTGAGGCTGCGCCTGCTGTTGTGGCACGGGATACTTCTTGGAAAGATGATCATCTGGCTGATTGATTCCCACAGGAGCCATCGAGACTGTGAGGGACCTTGAGTCGTCGGTTTTGATGTCACGCTCGCTCCCTTAATCGGTTGCTCGAGAGTAGTGGCATGAAAGTACCTATGTACACACCTGCGAACGCGGTATGACAAGACAAGATAGCCATTCCCTGACGAAGTCAGAAGAAAACAGGGTACCTAGGTACTCAACCCATTACCAGCGATTCCACGACTTTGTGACTCCTAAATTCTATATGCTCCGCCGTGTGCGTGCGTGTGCAGGGTATCAATGTCGGAGCACTCAAGTGCTCGTGTCCCCCACCTCCTTCGTGCCTGAAAGCACCGACAGCGACCATCTGCCACTCACTCCCCCTCGGCCGCCAAAAGCAGATCCGACAATTTATCCATGTAAAACGCCGGCCGAGTCTCCCCCTCAAGAAGTCTTCCTTTGTACTCACACCCGTCAGCACCCCCAGCGTACCTCCAAGCTTCCCTTCTATGCCAAACCGAATATCCGTATTCGCTCGATCTCCCACCATACACGTCCGCACCCTATCAAATTCAACACCACCCTCTATCGCATCCATCATCGCCTGACTGGGCTTCCCAAAACTCACCGGCTCCCTCCCCTTCAACATCAGCGTCAACGGCGCAGCCATACTCCCCGCCCCAGGAAACAAGCCCCCTGCAGACGGTAGCGTGCTATCGACGTTCGTGGCCAGGAAAATTGCCCCTCTCTGTATGTATTGAAAGGCGAGACACATCTTGAAATAGTTGTAGTGGAAGTCGAGGCCGACGAGGACGACGCCGACGGCGGGGTCGATGAGTGATGGGTCCCCCGAGGCCATGAGCTTGTAGTCTTCTGGCGTCACGTCTCGACGGAGAGAGGCGTCGGTACCGCCTATGTACGGCACGCCACATGTCTTCAGCTCAGCCTCGATGCCGGCTTCGCCGATGACGAACACTTTATTCCGCCCCTCCTTCAGTAGCTGCGCGTATTCTTTGTTCGACGTAGGCAGGATTTTTGATATGTAGAGGGCGGCGGAGTAGGAAGACCCAAAGACTTCGGCGGGCGTGGCGGGGATGCCCATGGAGGTGAGTTTTTTGCAGTAGTCGGCGCGGGATTTTGTGCTGTTGTTGGTGACGAAGACGATGCGTTTGGAGAGGGTGTCGCGGAGGTGGGAGAGGGTTAGGGGGATGGAGGGGAAGAGGTGGTCGCCGGACCAGAGGACGCCGTCGCAGTCGAAGAGGAAGACCTAGTGGGGACAGTGTTAGGGGCCTCAGTGGGCGGTAGAGCAGGGGGAAAATGTGGTGTGGATGGAAGCAGAGAAGATGTTGTTGGTGGGGTGGAAGTAATGGTAGTCTCATTATTCATACATCGAACTTGTCGAGGAAGGCTTTGATGGCTGCCTTGTCGCCGGTGAGGTACTTGGGCGTCGACATCTTGGCGACGACCTTCTCAAGGAGGTCTTGCGCCCGCGAGGATGGTGATGGCGCGGTTGACTGCAGTGGGATTGAAGCGAAGACTGGATTGTTGAAGTCTCCAAAAAATCGCGACCGACGTCACGGCGGCTTTGCCGATCTCCGGCGGGCGGCCTCTGTCCCTTACGACCTGCGGCGGCTGCCCTCGACACTCTTCTCTCAATCGACCAGTATCGTCTTCTCAAGCGCCGAATAGTGCTGGAAAAAGCTGCTGAAGAGTCTGACGGCATGATGGACATCATCTGCACCACCGGTCTCACGGCATGAATGCATAGACAACTGAGGATTGCCCAGATCCAGTGTCCTTGCGCCTAGATGAGCAGAAAGCATTGGTCCGATCGTGCTACCACAGCTCGAGTCATTTCTGACCACGAAAAGCTGCAGAGGCACGCCCTCTGCATCGTCATCTGTAATTTTGGCTGCTTTCCGTGCCACCTCCTGCAGAAGCACAATACCTGGTGAATTGGTCGCGTACCTCGCGTTAGCGTTGACTTTGATGACAGGCCCTTTGTTTATTTCCGGGCGGTGATCGGATTCGTATTTGCCGCCATAGTTCGGATTGACCGAGTGAGCCATGTCGGCGGAGAGTAGAAAAGAGCTGGACATGCTCTGTTCGAAGGACGTGGACAGATCGGGCTCAGTGGTCTTGTCGTACGACTTTTCTGACGACTCATCGGCGAAGGATGATGAGGGCAAGACCGAGATTCTGCGCAAGATGCCTGGAAGCATCATGCCAAAGGCCCCCTGGCTGTCATGCTGCCAATTTCTTCGTGGTCGAAGCAAGCGATCAGGCGTACTGACGACTCGTCGTCGAGGGCGTTCTTTGCCCGTATCGACTGAATAAGACCTTCGGTGGCGCAATAGGTCTGGTTTAAGTTATCAAGTCGAGCCGAGAAGATGAATTCGTCCGTCAAGCCGCCCAGGCACGCTTTCTGGGTGTCGTAGAGCACAATCTCGAAGTCCACCACATCTGCGGCCTCCACACCAGCATCTGCTGCGATAAGCTCAACAATGTGAGAGTGATGTCTTGTCGTGATGGTCTTGAGGGGACTGAAAGGCTTGTCGTCCGCCTCTGGCTCCTCAACAGCATTACCCTTATTCTTCTCCACTCTCTTCAGCTCTGCTGTGATCAGACCGGCGATGGGAAACAGTTGAGTCTCCTTGTTGAACTCGAACTTCTCCTGGCGATCGAGATGGATGGCAAGAGTAGGAATACGAAGGACTGCGCCCTGTTAGAGTGGCTCCGACAGGAACCGGTTAGACTCACGAGGCTTGTGAATGTGGACGAGCTTCTGAACGACGTTGCCGTCCTTTCCTCTCACCATAGCTCGTCCAGCAAGACCCAGGTCGCGGTCGAACCAGGTGTGCCACAGACCACCGCCATACGTCTCCACGCCAACCTGAATAAAACCATCTCCTTGCTTCTTGCTGACTGGCTTGATCTTCAGGCATGGCGAGTCCGTATGGGCGCCAATCATGCAATGGCGTTGCCCGGCCTCCATTTCTTTCCGATAGCGAAAGCCACGATCGTAGAGCCATTCCTCGTCAGGTAGTACTTTCCGCCTGGCTGGCAGGTCGATGCCCATGACTCTTTCTCCTACGATCTGTTAGTGTGGCACTCCTGACTACACAGTTCAGCGGCATCATACTTTGATCTCTGTGAAGCCTGCCTTGCTCAGCTTGGCCTTGACCGATCTCACGGCATGATAAGGTGTGGGCGACGCATTTACGAAGTCAAGGAAATCGTTCGCAGCCATCTTCGTGGTAATGGGAGCCATGGTGGTCGAGTATGCTCTAGCTGCGACCTGCTGGGTGATGGCGAGCAAGCGAGTGGTCATGTATGGTTGTTACTGCCAAAGAGGCCTGCAATACCACTTCAAATAAAGGCGTGCGAGCAAGAGAGATGTGACCAGCGTCTTGCTGCTGCTCCCCACGAGCCCACCTTCCCATGCCGCGGGCCGGATATAATGTCCGCCGGCAACAGCCGCAGGCTTGCTTTCTTGCTTTCAACGTTGCTGGTGGCCTCCAATCAGCTCTGAGCAGCACCAGAGCAGCAGCTTGTCATGAAACACAAGACACTCCTGTCGAACATTCCTCCGACCTTGAAGCCCGTCGCAGATTGATTGGCATGAGAGACGATTGAGGTTGTATAAGTGACTGCTATGGGGTCCGAGAAGCGCAACGCCCTCGATCAAAACACCATAACAAAGCCATACGCGATGTGTTGATCGAGGCCGGTGGACGGTCGCGCCAAGCCAAGACCTTCATTGTCACTCGGGACAGCATTTGCAGCAGTGATTGCAAGCTACTGACAGCTGCGTGTGCTGCGTCCTTTGCACAGAAACAGAGTAAATTAAAGACGCAAGCGTGTTGTATACATCATATACACTGTGTATAAGTGAAGTTGATACTCTGGACCTTCACTGCCCAAGTCTCTTCCCAATCGAGTTAAACTCCAAATAACACAGCAGTCACTGCTGGCGTCGAGCAACTATTCATCCTTCACGTCCCAAAGACCAGCATTCATCTCCAAATTCCGCCTGTTTCACCTCCATTCTACTTCGACTTCGACTTCAAATACCCATTGAGCGTTCAGCTTATTCATTCAGACTCGCCGCGACTGCAGCCCTTGCGCAACCGGGCTACAAATACCTTCCCCAGCCCCGCAAACAGCATAGCAAGCGCTTCGTTTCCTACCTTCGACCTCGCACACGACATCACTTGGTCTCCGAAGAACAGCAATCTGATGTCACGCATGCACCTTTGACAACTTGAAGTCATTTCCTCAGAGTCCGCTCTGCCTGAGATCGAGCGGATATCACCTGCTCTGACCGCTTGCGGCGGAGGTGGCCAGGATGGAGGAACAACTGGGTCAGAGCGACAACACCTCTGTGCATCAGCAAAAGAGACCTGCCACTCCCGAAGTACCTGCTTCATATCGTGCGAGAACACCTCCTACCATCTCATCACGACATGTGCCCCGAAACTCCATATCTAGCCGTAGTGAGACCTCGAATCTGGAGTCAGGAGCGATGCAGCGCATGATGGAGGGCTCAGGTGCCGGCAAACAGAGAGAGAGAACACCAGGTCGCAGTCCCAGTCGAAAGCGACAGCGAACATATGGTGATCGCACCTACGGCGACCGCTTCATCCCAAACCGAGATGGTCAAGACCTTCAAGCAACATACAGTCTTCTCCACGACGATGGCTCACCCGCAACTCCCTCGAGATCGAAGAAAAAGGCACCACACGCCGAGCTGCATTTCCAGAAGACCGAAGAGGCAAACCAGACATACTCACAAGTGCTGCGCAATGAGTTGATGGGCGACTCTGTTCCTCAAAGCAACCGGTCAATGTCTCCAGATGCATTGTACGGCTCGAGACACACGCCGCCAGTTCAGTCAGGAGCGAACTTACCGCCAGCCACATTAACACCTACCACACCTCATCGCAACATGTTCTCGTACATGTCCTCGCCCAAAAAGCTCGGCAGCGGACACCCAACGCCATCATCAAAGAAGACCGGCATCACACCCGGGATCATCAACCTCAATGCCCGATCCGATCTCTACTCTGTCTCACCACTCAACTATTCCTCACATGCGATTCTCCAAACTCCGAAGAAGCAACCTCGACCAGTCTCAAAAGTGCCGTACAAAGTGCTCGATGCGCCTGAGCTGGCAGACGACTTCTACTTGAATCTGGTAGATTGGGGTTCGGCTAATATACTGGGTGTCGGTCTTGGCTCATGTGTATACATGTGGAACTCAAGTAGCGGCAAAGTGACTCAGCTTTGCAAATTGCCTGACAACGACCTTGTTACCTCGGTGGCATGGATTCAGCGAGGCTCGCACTTGGCAATCGGCACTCACAAAGGTTTCGTGCAGATCTATGATGCAGAGAAGCAGCGTCGTCTACGTACTATGACCGGCCATACCGCTCGAGTCGGCGCGCTGGCATGGAACGATCATATCCTGACTTCTGGCTCTCGAGATCGCAATATCTACCATCGAGACGTTCGCTCACCAGACCAATACCTCCGAAAGCTCTCAGGTCACAAGCAAGAAGTCTGTGGTCTGCGATGGAACACCGAAGATGGTCAGCTGGCTTCTGGCGGCAACGACAACAAGTTGTTCGTATGGGACAAGCTAGCTGAGAACCCTCTCCATCGATTCAACAACCACGTTGCTGCAGTCAAGGCCATCGCCTGGTCACCTCACCAACATCATCTCCTCGCTTCCGGCGGCGGCACAGCTGACCGCTCCATCAAGTTCTGGGACACCGCCAAGGGCGAGCTCATCAAGGAGATCGAGACGGGCAGCCAGGTCTGCAATCTTGCGTGGTCTAAGAACTCAGACGAGATCGTATCTACCCATGGCTACAGCCAGAACCAGATCTCGGTGTGGAAGTACCCGAAGATGGAGCAGGTCGTCAGTCTGACTGGCCACACCTATCGAGTGCTGTACTTGAGTGCTTCTCCAGATGGCACGACGGTTGTCACGGGTGCGGGCGACGAGACACTACGATTCTGGAAGGTGTTTGGCAAGAAGGGTGGTGACAAGGTCGGCTCATCGTCTGCAGGACTGAGTTTGACCAGTGGCAAGTTCAGCGATTGGGGCTCGATTCGTTAGGAACGGATAAACGACAAATATCTACGGGGAGGACTGCAGGACGAAAATCGCAAAATGTGCAGAATGAGCATAAGCATGGCGTTCAGGGAACTGATGATACCGGGAGCGTGGAGTCTCCTGCAAAGGACTACTTGTTGGATTGGCGTGGCGTGCATCTTCGAGATAGACACTGTACAGGTCACCTTCACGAAATTGCAGCTCGTCAGTTACCCAGAATCAGAGATAGAGCGATACGAAAACAAGCATCAGGATTCTACTACAACACAGCGTCCTCCATACGCCGACTTGCCTGACATTGTTGTGAGTCTTGTGTTCTGCCTTTGAAGTATTTCACAGACGTTGCGGTAGGTGAGGTAGCCATGTGCATGTCTCGGATCAGTGTTCCTCAAGACCTCGTGGTCTAATCGTGTGACAGAACTCAGACGGGCCGTTGCGAGATGTCAAGAACGTCCTCGAACGTCTCTCGTATATCGGAACTGATAATGTGTCTCACGGCCAAAGTGAGACCTCGATGTTGATCACCATGCACACAATCCGGATCTTCGTCTTGCCAAGGCTTCTGGAAGCGGTAGAGATGTTCATTCGCGAGTACAGGTCTGTGCTCGAGAATTGCGTTGCTGCTATTTATACGCGGGTTTACGAAAGCGTTGATGGCCCGCTGCTTCATACACAGGCTCACATCGTTAGCATTAGCAAGATCAGTACTCATGACAGACGGTGACCTGTGCAAAGAAGATGGTCAAAAGGACCCATGTCGATTCTCGAAGCCGCAAGCCACCACAATGCTTAAAAACGCCACGCGATTGCAGGCATGTTTGATAGGCGGTTGATTGCGACCGACGCGCCATCTCAGGGGCCAAAAATACATATTCGCTCGAGGGACGTTGCCTGCAAATCATTGTAGCTGTCCTTCTGTCGTGGATGGGAGCGAGGCCGGCTGATGAGATGAGGATACACGATACTAGAAACCACGACTGACGACTGCATGCGGGAGGATGGTGATGTGGTTCGTGCATTCTGCCCAGCCAGGTCCGACGGGGGACCAGGCCGGGGTGTGGCAGGGCATTTCGTTCCTCCAATTCTGCATCGTGAATGCTGGTTCCAGCCTGCAAGATGGTAGCTGAGGCGGTGTTTGCCCGCTTCATGCTGTGCAACATAGCGACAGCCTTCATTGTAGACCAGACGTGTCCTTCTCCGGCAGTATCAAAAGCACTCTGTTCCACGATGGACGATGACGGGCAGATCGAAATGACCATCTTGGCGTCAGGGGCAGCATTTCCGTTGACGACTTTTTTGCGAAGCTTCAGCAGATAGGAATAGGAAAAGGAGGAATTGATAGGAGGGCAAGGGACCAAGAGAGTTCTGCTGCTTCTTTTGCTGTATGCTGGTGTACTCGGGTGCTCCCAATCCCCGCCATTCCTGCCCTGCAGAAGAAGGTGGCAGTCTGTACAATTAGAGTCTAAAGAGCCTTTTGGCAGCACAGAAATTCTCCGTTTGCCTCTGGAGTCTAGACTGGCTCGCAAGGGATGGCATAACATTCATCACACTACCCAGTAGGGCAACATAAGCAAAGAACACGACAGACGCGTCTTGACGTCTTGATCGGAAGCCTTGGGCGATCTTGACTCTTGGACTTGCAGTTGGCGCATGCGGGAGGGGAGATCAGTGCTTGCTGTTCCCTGCTCTTCCCTGCAATCAACCCTGATCCTGAAAATACAACCACGACCATACTTTGCAAGCCGCTCTCCATTCAGCCTCCCTTTTCATTGTCCTGAAACCACCGTCTCGACCTCAATTTGAAGGTCAGAAGAACAAGCAGTCTATTCCACTCGCTTTCAGTCCCGACTGCTGTCTGTTTGCCTGGGCCGACGCATGCGGAAAGCCATTCGACGCCCGCAACCACCACGCTCCTTTGTCCGCAAACACTCCGGCGCTTACTTCCACTCCACGACTTGCGAGCCAGCGCCCTCCCTGGTTGAGTAATTGGCGTTGACGACAGACCTGAGTATCTCAATCACTACAGTCCCTCACCGCCGACAACCTGGCTGCTGCTACAGTCGCGTCACCGTCGCCCGACATGGCGGCAAACCCGTACGTACAACTTACTTCCAATTTCGGACATTCAACTCACATATCTCCCAGGTTTGCTTCTGCTTTCCGCTCGTTTTGGCATACTATGACCTCTAATGACCGCCATGCGAGCCATGATTCGCCCTACCGGACTGGCAGCCACATGCCCGTCAACCAGAACCGACACGCACCACTCACATCAGTTGCCACCGCTGCTGATTCACAACCAGACTTGGCAGACCATGGCGATGCGAAACGCCCTTCCATATCCGCAACGTCAGTCGGCCTGCCCTCGCCCGCAAGGCCCTACTCGCCTGGCATGAGATCAATGTCGTCTCCCAAAGTACCACAAACAGAAGAAACGCCCATCTCACCAGGCGAGATTCAGATGCAGAGCTTCGCAGACGGCGCACCTCCTCCGCCGCCGCCTTCACATTCATGGAAGAAGATCGACCGATGGGCAGAAAAGAATTACGAGGAGCTGTTTGATAACCTCTGCGAAGGCTGCACGCAAAACGACATCAACGAGCTCGAGCACGTACTCGATATAACTCTTCCACAAGACGTCCGCGAGTCATTATCGATCCACGATGGTCAAGAACGAGGCGGCCGGCCAACAGGTATCATACTCGGCTGCATGCTGCTCGACTGCGAAGAGATTGTGCAAGAATGGAACAACTGGAAAGTGGTCAACGAAGAGTACCTCTCGAAAGCCAACAAGCCTGCACCGCATTACCCGCTTAAGAGCCTCAATAATGCCGCTTCCTCCTCGAGCTCCTCCGCACCACAGAACAAGACCTTCTGGCGACAAGAATTGCTCGAGCGCCAGGACTCGCAGCCGCCCAAAGCCATCCAAAAAGCCTATGCCCACCCCAGCTGGATCCCTCTAGCCCGCGACTGGGGTGGCAACAACATAGCCGTCGACCTCGCACCTGGCCCACTGGGCAAATGGGGCCAGATTATCCTCTTTGGCCGGGACTACGATTGCAAGTACGTCATTGCGCGTTCATGGTCACATTTCCTCGCAGTCGATGCAGAGACATCTCCTCCGATCGCGTCATGGTCGACGAAGACACCGGCGAGATGAAGCTGAAAGAGTTCAAGACCGAGAACATCGAGCCTCCCTACATGGAGATCTTGCGGTGGAGAGCAGACCAGAAATACGGACGGAAACAGATCAACAATCGCAACAGCAGAGCCTACGGCCTCAACACGAATGTGAAGCCCGTAAATGGCAAAGGATCACCCTACAGCAGCCCGATCGCAGAAACCGACGAACAAGGAGCCCGCGGGAGAGGACCATCCCCGCAACGCTTCTCCCGCACCAACACAGGAAGCCCCAGACCGGGCAATACAATGGTCGGCAGTCCGCTGGCGCGCGTCCAAGAAGAGATTGCGCAGCCGCAGCCGCTGTCCATCAAGACTGGTGGTGATGTTGTCAAGGATTTTGCTCGGGACATTGAGGGAACTAATACTTCACAGAGTGACTACTTTCCCAGCAGCACTAGCCACATGAATGGAAGTGCATCTCAAGGGCGGAAGAGCAAGCCACAGAAGCTTGTTGACGCGCCCACGCCGATCGATACGAGTATGCGGGTTTATATCCCTGATAATAGCCGGAACGGGTCTGGCTCATACACAGAGAAGAAAGACAAACTAGTGGACATACCCACGCCCACGACCGCGAGGTCGGACGCAGGAGGGAGGAGAGATTTCCCGGCCACGAGCCTGAGCCGCGTTTCGACTTTGAATGACCTAAGCGAAAACAAGGAGAATCAGAGAACTGGGGAGAAGAAGAGCTCCGAGGAGTCGGACACGGCAGCAAAGACAAACGAGAAAGCGAATGACACGAAGGCGAACGGTGTCAAGGGGTTGGGCGTAGATACGCTCGAGGGTGAGATGAGGGATGTTGCTATCTGATCGTTTTGTACCAGAAAGGTCGTCTGCTGAACGATCCGGAGGATACACGCTTTCGCAACGAAAGCGATATGATGGATACAATGACCGTGGCATTGGCAGAGCTTAGAGCTGGACCGACAGGAAGTGCAACATGTATGAGTACAAAGTACCGGACACCCAGCATATTGTTTTATGGGTGTAAAGCAATGCATACCATTGGGCGCAACGCGCCATAGAGACACCAGGCACGGACAAGGAGCATGGTCGCGTTAGGCTCCTCGTGTCTGGCTTGGACACGGAAGTATAGTATAGTGTTGAGTATCCTGATCAGGCAATCAGTATCACCATCAGACTTCAAGCAACTGGAACTCGAGAGCCGTTTTATGTCTTTCCACTATATCGAAGCCGCAGAGAGCACTGGCGCATGCCGCTCGTGCTGCCACTGCTGCTTACACTGCTCAGACTGTTCATCTGGATGGACGGACCCCTTGAACGCTGATGTAGCATTTCGACGACGCCTGAGTGCCTTGGGGTCCAGCAGCAAGGTCCCGAGAAGACACGCAACGTCAAGCACTCCTGCTCGTGCTTCGGGCTAGGGAACTTCTTTCTGGGTTATTTGATTATCATTCGTTTTATTTATGGTGTCGCTCTACGTCTATGCAAGACCGTGTTGATCGGTTTGCTGGTATTGAGGTAGAATGCCCTGCCAGCTATCAGTAGCCGTCAATCTCGGACTGAGCAGTCATTTCGACGCCCATCGACGTTTATTGATGGCGTGGTGTGCTCTCCGTTGTCCTGGAAGACAATCCTGAGAGAGTCCGGCATCAGATGAGCCTCATCAACACCACTATCATAATGGGTTGTTTGGCTCTGCTCTGACCTAGCATTTCCACTTTCCGCTCTGCCTTCCTGAATGGTTCTGCCAATCCCTCCGAGGTACATTTTCAGAGGTAGTGAGCCGATCAGCGAAAGACTACTCCACCTTAGCACCGGTACCCGGTGGTGGAAGCGACAAGTTCTCGTCCACAAGACACATATGCCACTGAATACTCGCTCTGGTCGAGCAAGCTCGCTCGCCATGCTTCGAGTCGCCATCCCAGGTATACGCGTACTGGCACGGATTCTCCCCAGCCCGACACACAGCACCATAGCAAGTGGGAAAGTCGCTGTTGCGAGGCTCGTCCACGTACATAGTCATGCCATCATTGACGAACACAGCGCCCGCAACAGTGGAGAGGTCGAAGTGCAAGCGGCGTGTGGTGTCGTCGTTGCGTGTGAACTCGATCTGGGTGACTGGAGCGTTGGGGGTGTTGGTTGGCTTGCACATGATGGTGTAGCCGTCACCGTTGGGTAGAGACATGATATCGACGGTGACCTTGTTGCCAGGCCGGACTTCCTGGAAGTTGGCGACACCACCATTTTCCTTGACAACGGCGCAGTAGACGGAATAGGAGCAGTCGTTCCAGGCGGTCGCGGTTCCAGCGTAGACTTGTGTGACCAGAAGGGAGAAGAAGGCGAATAGGAGAAGGGCGACGTTGGCGGTGGTCTTTGACGAAGACATTGTGTCGTTCGCGTAGAATGGGCTGATTGGGTCTGAGGTATGCTTAGAGCAAGTCGATATACTGTAGCGTATTGGTTTCTAGGGGACTTGTATCGATGCGAATGTGGTCGGTCGTTGTGGATGTCGTCTGCCCATTGTGGAGGAGTGGAGGTATATACTTATAGAAAAGAGCATGGCTACCAGCCCATCAATAGCCGCTCAAGATTGTGCTGGAGCTGGAGCAGAAAAACGTGAAGTATGAACGTTGATCAGTGACTGCCCGCATAGCATCGGCCAGCAGTGAATATAGACAACTGATTTTAACATTATGAGTGACTCTGCGGCTAGCTCGGTGTGCCGTGAAGCTGAGAAGTAGGAGGTCACATCAGGTACTTGTAGCTTTGTGGTGACTGAGTGGTGGTGATTGCAGGCGCATCAATAGGTAACTGTGATTGGATTGAGTTGCTGCTTGATGGTCAAGATGACTTGGTGTTTGGCCAAATTGTGTAAACTTAGGTCACTGGCAGTCGTCTATCGAGGTCTTGACTGCACCTTCTGCAACCCATGTTTGTACTTTCCAACATCTGCTGCTGGACTGAGTCTTTGGCAGGAACTGCCTACCGGCAGTAGCTTCCATACGACGGATGCAAGGTCAAGCACGAATGTCTCTGACTCGACCAGAATACATGCCACGAGCTTCAAACTCCTTGTTAGCACTGGGCACCGTACTCAAGACTCACATAGGAGATCACTACTTCGGACATCCAGTCCGCGAATTCGTTCAGTCGGGATATCATTAGATGTTCTCGACAATGCGAAGACCTGCTCGCCTGGCATACTAGTAACGAGCCAGGACTCCAGCAGGGCAAAGCTCGGAGGCCGCGAAAGAGCACTGTTAGACCTGTCACAGCACATCACGTTGCCAGTCCATCGTCTTGCTCCCTTGTTTGACATCAAGCATGAGAATGCTGCATCCGCCACCTCTGCCAGCGACCTATCGTAAGCCCATGTGCGTCGAGAGGTCGTCGTCGGCGTGCCCCGAGATGCAAAAGCTTCAGGAACACAGTACTGGTGGAAACCCTTTCAGGCCAAGACCCTCCGCCTCCTTGGCAGGCGCGCGTATCGGCCTTGACCTTCTTCCTTCGTTCTAGCCACACCAAGAACAGCTGCACGCTCGTGTACACTGTCGTTCTGATTGGCCTGCGTCACGGATTGTGCTACTTGCGAAGGCGGCCAAAAGTCCGCTAGCCGGCATGAAGCTTGATTGAAGATCAACACTGCTAGACACGGGCCACAGCCCGGTAGTGCTACGTCGAGATGGCGACTGATAAGAGCAGCTGTCTTGCCACAGGGATGGGAGCTTCGAGCGGCTTAAATAGACTGCTTGGGAGTACTGATCGAGCACGCAGCCTGTGTCTACCTTTCCCTAGCATTGAATTTTATCCCTTCAAAGAACGTGCTGGAGCGAGACTGAGGGCCGGTAACCAGAGCTCGGCTTAAGCTACACGCCCCGTTCAAGTTTTGCAAGCAAGGTCTTCCTCCAGACAACATTCTCTTCCGAGCACGTTATGGTTCACATGAGGAATCTTGCCGCAGCTACGGCTGCTCTCGTGGCCACCGCCGCAGCAGAGGATGTGCTCTTCAGTCGGCGGTCACTCGAGAAGCGCCAGGAGAGTCCCGAGCTGTACAATGTGTCCTTCTTCCACATAAACGATGTGCACGCCCATCTCGATGAGTTTCGCTCTTCTGGTACGGACTGCGACAATCCGGCCAGAGGCTGCTATGGTGGCTATGCTCGTATCAAGACCATCGTTGACGACATCCGGCCGGGCACTGAGAACTCGCTGTTCTTGGATGCGGGCGATGAGTTTCAGGGTACCATGTTCTACAACTACTAGTAAGTCCCTTCTCGATCGATCGCGAGTGGACAACACTGACTTCAAGAAGCAAAGGTGAAAAGATCGCGGAGACGATCAACCAGCTTGGTTTCGATGGCATGACCCTTGGCAACCACGAATTTGATGGCGGAGACGATCAGCTCGGCGCTTTTCTCGAGAACTTGACTTTCCCAATCATCAGCGCCAACATCCAGTCCGACAACCCCATCCTCAACAGGACTATCGTTCCGTATCACATCTACGAAGACCTTGGAATTGCTGTCATCGGCGTGACTACGCCCGAAACACGCGGCATCTCCAGCCCCGGCGAGGGCACCACCTTCGGCAACGTCGTCGAAGCTGTGCAGCGCTGCGTGGACGAGATCCGCTCCACTACCAACATAACACGCATCGCAGCTCTCACTCACATTGGCTACGAAGAGGATCAGCAACTTGCCGAGTCTACAACAGGCTTGTACCTGATCATGGGAGGCCACAGCCATACGCCTCTGGGAGACTTCGAGGGTGCTGAAGGCCCTTATCCGACAATCGTGAACAACACCGACGGCGAGGAAGTTTTCATCGTTACTGCCTACCGTTGGGGCGAATACCTGGGCTACATTGACGTCCTTTACGATGCTGAAGGCAAGGTTGTCGAGTATCATGGCGCACCCATCCATGTCACCAACTCTACAGCTCAAGATGAGGACCTGCAGACACAGATCGACGCTTGGCGCGAGCCATTCGAGGCGTTCTCAGCTCAGGAGGTCGGTACCACGAACGTCGTTCTGGATCAGACCACCTGTCAGCAGATGGAATGCACTCTGGGTGACTTTATGGCAGACGCAATGCTCGCATACAGGAAGAATTTGACCGACGAGGTGGACTTCGCGATCATAAATGCAGGCGGAATTCGGGCCACGATCGATGAGGGAACCATCACGCGCGGAGAAGTGCTCACGAGCTTCCCATTCGGCAACTCGATTGTCGAGATCACCATGACTGGGCAGCAAATCTGGGATGTCCTTGAAGGCATTGTCTCAGAGGTCAATGTTGAGAACGGCGAAGAGGTCACGAGCTTCTTCCAGGTCTCCCGAGGCATACGCGTTGAGTACAATCCTAATGCGGCGAACGGTTCCAAGCTAGTGAGCGTCGATATTGGCGATCCGGATCTTGCACCCATTGAGCCAGAGGAGGAGTACAACCTGGTCACATTGGACTTCCTCGCAGGAGGTGGCGACAACTTCTTTACGCCCACCACCGACTTCGTCTCTCTCGACACTCAGGATGAAGTGCTCGTGCAGTACATCCAAGCTCAGAGCCCGGTAAACATCGAGCTCTCGAGGCGAATCGTTGAGAGTGATGGTGCGCCTGGCTCGCCTGGCAACAGCTCGTCTGTTGGAAGCGCAAACAGCACGGAGGGTGCTAATGGCACCGACAGCAGCTCAGACAGTGGTTCAGGAAACGCTGCGAGTCAAGCGACGGCCGGTCTCGGTGCTGTGGCATTTGCAGCGATGGTTGCTCTTGCCGTTGCAGCGTTCTGAGGGAACCATATTCTTACGTGGCCTAACGCACTCGAGTAGCTTGTGGTGAAACGTATGTATGATATGCAATATGGAACAAAAGTGCTCGTGAAGGCGAGAACACAGGGAGTGGCTTTGTTGCACTCAGTGGATGCAATAAGCGTTTCCGCCCGTGAGACCGGATGACAAAGATAGTATTGCAAGCAGCCAAGATGCGCCGCGCATCGATTCCGTGTACATGTACCTACGTACCACGCCGCTTTGAATCTCGGTCGGCATGCTATCACATGAGCTGCCTGTCTGACTATACTGTCACTGAGTAAGACCACGCGAAACGCCGAATCAGGAGATGAAGTCCAAAGCAGACTACTGAAAGAGACCAACGGCCCAATATGAACCACTCCGGGGCCGAAGCTTTGGCCACGCCGGCGCCAGTTTCGCCCTCAACGATCATTTGAACTCTACTATCTAACTGCTGCATATTCTCCAAGATATGTGTTGACATCATTGGAACATTGGGTATTGCTTCTTTTCGTTGAGCTCACAGCGCGTAAAGGTCCCTCTATACCTAGGCATGCTAGGATCGAATTTCATTGCTGGGGTAGCTCGCACAACATCACCACGGTATCGCTCCGTCGCTAACGTCAAGGCTCAGCTCCTGCCATTCCAGTCGATCCTCCCAGGAGCTCGATTTGCATCCAATATGAGCTCGCTTGCGACACTACAAAACCCCGACATCGCGCGTATACACGACTTCTGGTACACCCGACCCGTACTAGAATGGTTCGTGCCACCAGAGGGATTCGACGCTGATTGCAAAGGTCAATTCAACGATCTCGTCAGAGACGCCGCGAACTCATCAAAGCTGGATCATTGGGAGGAGACCAAGGAAGGCAGCCTTGCGCTTCTAGTGCTGCTTGATCAATTCACGCGCAATGTCTTCAGAGGCACACCTGGCGCGTTCAGCTCTGATGCCAAGGCAATGGGTGTTGCTACGCGGAGTATTGCGAAGGGCTTTGATAAGGAAGTAACGACCCAGCAAGCGTTGACTTATGTACGTATCACCCCGATGCCATATTTCGATGTCCACAATGAGTGACTAATGACGCAGTATCTGGTACTGATGCACCACGAATCACTGCTCGCCCAGATCGCCTGTCGTTCTCTACTCGAGCAGCTGGCTCTGCGGTGTAAGACGCCTGACGAGATCAAATTCATAGCGAACTCCTCGAGGAAAAGCTCACAAGAGCATCAGGACGTCATCGAGAAATTCGGTCGGTATCCCAGCAGGAATGAAATACTGGGCAGACAGTCGACTGAGGCTGAGCTCGAATTCCTGAAGGAGCACCCCAGTGGATTCGCGTAGGCACTGCAAGAGTGATTGGACTCTGTGTCACTACTCCGGCGTGCTTTACGAGGTTGGGAACAGTGGCCATCGAGACCTCATCGACGCCAAGCAGCGTGATCTGGGAGACGTCTACACTGGTCAGTTTCCTGAATGCACCCTATGCATTCTCCGAGTCCCCGCCAAGCACTGAGTACTCCCTGAGCTGGCATCACGTCTCGCGCAGCTCCTGCCAGTCTCAGCGCGACCTTGCGACCATTGACCAGTCGCTTCGAGATAGGAGGCAACTGCGATGAGTCTTTGGTCAGAATCACCTGCGGTGAGTCTCTGGTCACATCACTCGGTCAACGCCATGTGGCGACACTTGTCGCTGAGAACTGCTTCAACTAGGCATCGAGGGAGAATCAGCGGCAAGTCGATGCTGAGCAAACTCGCAGTGAGAGAAGTTTGCTTCTGCCTGATGTATACATTCTAGATGCCAAGCTGGCTCACGATCCCGAAGTGGAGCGGGGACGCGTAACCTACCCGCCATGCAGGGTAAATATAGTTACGAGGTAGCTTCGATCCTTCGAGGACACCTCTAATGACAGGAACGGCAGGCTGATCTCAGCTGTTGCTGTGCGGCCAAGCTTCCTCTGACCACGTCGACCATATCACCGCTTTGCATGTGTTCGCGGTTGCTAAGTGCCAACAGCAATCGCATCTTTATTCCTGGACATGACCGAGAAGGAAGACAGCAGGGACAACAGCGAACTCGTACTCACCCTGGCAGATTCCAGTCGACGGCACAATGACTTTTACGTTGTCCAATATGACATGAAAGATGTTGGTGAGCAGCCAACTCCTAGTCTCTTGTATTGGGCAACCATCGACTGACGGACATAGATACTAAGAAAGCCAAGAGCGATGTACTCCAGATCCTGGACGACACCAGAGCTGTCGGTCTGCAATCTGCAGTGCGGATAGGTGCCGGCTCGACACTTCTCATTGTGGTCTGGGCACCGACCAAAGTGTTGGGAAAGGCTATACATCGCTCAAGGTAGGAGAATTCGGCCCAGACTTCAGGCATCACTGACGCGATTCAGGATAAAGGAATGGCTGTTTGGCATCATAGATGATCGTCCCAATGGAGATTACAACACCATTGCTAAGGCCGAGACAGATACCGAAAGCCTTCGATCTGTCTACCACCTCCTAACATGGGACAAGTCTCTGGGCGGTGCAGGCATCATGGCTGGTCGCGGACCATGGCAGCATGTCGAAGCTGTCTTTCCATTGCATGAGAAAACTGCTGCTCGCTCGCTACTTATGAGAATCAGTCGCAAGCTGTTCCTTAGGCGAGTCGATCTGGACGAGATCCGAGCCATGTATGGCGAAAAGGCATGCAGACCCTCACAGGCGAAGCATACAACAGCTGACGCCTCCCCTAGACGGCCTTCTACTTCGCATTCATGCAGGCATATATCATTGCTCTGATGTTTCCTGCTGTGACCGGGGTGTTGGCATGGTTGTTCCTACACCGACTATCGATGACATATGCCATAACTTCGACCATATGGTGTATTGTCTTCCTCGAATATTGGAGGCTAGAAGAAATCAGTCTGAGTCTGCGCTGGAAGACACGAGGTGTTGGCAGTCTCAAGGTCAGTGTCCCATCGGTATCGTTCCGGATGTGTGCCGACACCCTCAACAGGTCAGCCGCCCCGAGTACCACTGCGAAAAGACTATAACAGACCCAATTACTGGAGAGAAGCACGACTACTACCCAAAGCACAAACAGGTCCTCCGCCAACTCCTATCTATTCCTTTCGCGATGGCCGCCCTACTGGTGCTCGGAACTCTGACCACCGGCGTGTTTGGCATCGAGCTCTTCCTCTCGCACGTCTATGCTGGCCTGTACAAATCGTACCTCGAGTATCTCCCCACGGTCCTCTTGGCGCTCTGTCTACCATATATCCGTGACTGGATGGAAGTCTTCGCCGTCAAGCTGACCGCGTACGAGAACTGGCGTACCCAGGACCGCTACGAGATGAGCCTGACCTTGAAGGTCTTCGTGCTGAACTTCATTACGTCTTACCTGCCGATCTTGCTGAGCGCGTTCGTATACATACCTTTCGGCGATAACATTCTATCCGGCATCCGCACGTGGCTGCAATCTACGACCGGCTGGAAGGACGCACTGGCTGCAGATATCCACGTTGATACGTCACGTCTGCGGTCCGAGGTCATCGCACTCACAGTAACGGATCAGATCTCTGGATTTGGCGAGGAGTTGATCCTTCCGGCGCTGAAGTTGCGTGCAGCGCAGTGGTATGGCAACTGGAAGGGCAAGAACAAGGGGTACAATTACAGTTCCGCGTCTGGCAGCTACGTTGCTGAGAAGGAGGTCAAGTTCTTGAACCAGATCAGAGATGAGGCGGAAAGGGAGCCTTACAATGTACATGAGGACATTCAGCAGATGGTGACACAGTCCGCGCTTACACTCAAGCATGAAGCATGGAGCCCGTACACTGACAAGAAGAACAGATTCGGCTACCTCGCCCTCTTCTCACCCGTCTGGCCACTCGTCCCCGTCGGCTTCCTGCTGAACAACTGGATCGAACTCCGAAGCGACCTGCTCAAGATCAGTATTGACCATCAACGGCCTCATCCCATCCGCACGGACGGCATCGGTGCTTGGTTGGACAGCTTGGAGTTCCTGACGTGGCTAGGAAGCATTGTCACGGCTGCGATCGTGCATTTGTTCCACGATGTGGAAAGGCTGCAGGAGGCGAGGACGTGGTGGATGTTGCCAATTGTGGTGTTTGGCGCGGAGCATGTTTATTTGGGCGTTCAGGTATGCATCACGGCCTCGCACCCCCAGACTAGGCCATTGCCTCGAGCATGCGGGAGTCTCAACACGGCAACTTCCCACATGTGCACATATACTGACTCGAACCCCTAGTACGCCGTCAGAATTGCCATGGAGCAGATCGGCAGCGTCGAGCTCCGGGCAAAGAAGTTGCATGAGTACGCAAATCGTAAGGAAGCGCTAAAGGAGTATGGCATGAACGAGGACAATGTCGAGTGCGCTGGCGTGGGAGTCAAGGAGAACCGAGACGAGGCGAGGGACGAGCACAGCAAGCTGGCGGAGAAGGCCCCGGAACGCTTGAAGGATATCGAGGGCATGATTGATTATCTGAAGGCGGACAGCGGTGCACAAAAGAAGAAGTGAGAGGGAGAGAAGGAGGGTGCTGTACGGCGTCTGCATACCATCTAGATCTGGTTGTTGGCAGTAGCTAGGTCGGTTGTTCTACAAGATGCTTGTGTCCGAGGTGAAGAATCCTCACAACGGGGACATTACTCTCACTCATATTGGTCTAATGATGCTTGATAGTCATTTGTAGAGGAACATCGCAGTAGGCCGCCGCCAGGTGTCTCTCGCCTACAGAATGGTACGCCAAGAATACCAAGAGGCGAGTCTTCATAACTTGGAAGGCAGTCTATGAATCGCAGAATCATTTACCATTTCACACCTGGAGGAATTGAATCGCAATCGCTCCATTTAACACAAAAGAGTCGCTGATTGATTCAGCTTGGGCACGGCTCGTCGACTTTGAGGCAGATCAGCATGAATCGGGCGTCATTCCGAGGTTGCTAGATCCTAAACATAAAGAATTTGTCTACGACGCCAAACCCACTCGTAGATGAATGCAGCACGAGTCTTCAATGTGCCACTCATACAGATGTCAGCGCGACGCCTCCTGCAGCACAGCATGACCGCAATCCCTCTCCAGGAGATACAGCAGTGCCATGATGGACGAAAGCCCCGAAATGCAGGCGTGGAAGGCCCTGGATAAACAGGCTTACAAGGCTTACAAAAATAAGGCCTATCCCACAGCTATCAAGTTGTATCAAGAGTTTGAGGAGGTCACTCGAAAGAGGCTTGATCCCATGAACATCAACGTCCTGTGGTCTAAATGCAACTACTGCCTAGCATTGACGAAAGACGGCAAATTCGAAGATGCGTACAAAGTGCAAGAAGAGCTCTTGTCAAGATTGTATCATACAAGGTCTGAAGAAGGCCAAAAGTTAGAACTCGTGCAGGAAATACTTGTTCAGCGTTATCAGAGAGCCAAGACGTTAAATGTACCTGAAGAAGACCTGTCCAAGGTCACTCAGGCTCGCGATCTCCTGCTAGCGACTGCCATAGCAAGTACACACATTTTGGGAAAGGCGCATCCTTCGACACAGAAGCTCAGGAGAGCTTACACAACGGCTGGTAATAATGTTCTTTACCGGAACACACTCTCTCCGAAGAGCATGTCATCACCACTACAGAACCAGGACCACACTCGGAACCGTTCTGCCGACGATTCTGATTTGCCACCAGGGAACCATCGAGCCTTTGCAGAGAGACCAAGTGCAGCCTTTTCGAAGACTACCGAACGCAGTCTCGGGCCAGACCAGCACGGATTTGCAGCTCCTGTGTCACTATTCCATACATCCAACGAGGATGGCACGAAAGACCAGAACGAAGCGTGCGTGTTCCAGGTCCGAGAAAATTGCACAAAGACCAATGCTGATTTGCACTCACAGTACCGATAAGTGGTTTCAACATCTTGCAAAGGCACGGCAAATCCTTGGAACGACCGGCGCTGACCTGAAATTTGGACCCTCTAAGAATCCTCGAATTGCGATCCTCGATACCGGATTCGACTCGTCGCACCCGGACATTCAGACGCTCCTCTCTGTAGCATCAGACAGTCTAAAGATCCGGAAAAGTAAGTCCTGGCTGTCGGACAATCAAGCAAGTGGGAAGTTGCTGCCTGGCGATGCAGATGACTGTGGCCACGGGACGCGTATGACGTGGATCGCACACAGAGTTGCTCCCTTCGCTGACTTCTACATTGCACGCATTTTCCGGGATGCGCGTCCCGAGCCAGCACATATCGCAAAGGTTTGTACTTTGGGTCATGACGTCTCGTCAACCCTTCCTTCAACACTTCGGTGGCTGACTGGAATACACTGTCACTAGGCCATCGAATGGGCTGTCGAAAAGTGGAACGTTGACATTATTAGCATGTCATTTGGTCTCGCAGACGAGGACGAGGACAGCATTGATAACGTCACTAAGACCATCGACAAGTTTCGTGGGAGGGTATTGTTCTTCGCAGCCGGGCACAATAGCGGGTTGACCATTGAGCGCAGCTTTCCAGCCCGCCACGACGCTGTCTTTTGTGTGCATAGTGCAGATCACAATGGTATAGATTCGAAGGCCAACCCCGGTGTGCCATTTAATGACGAGAGCCCAATCAGTGCACTGGGCGAATATGTGCCTGTACCAGCACCTCGACCAAATTGGGACCACGTCGGCGCTCCTGACCGAGCTCCGACTCGATCAAGTGGTACTTCGGTCGCTACTGTGGTAGCAGCTGCGATCGCGGCCCATGTGCTATATTTTATCCGGAAAGATGCCGTCCGTGACCATTTCACGGACTTGCCGAGAGTGAAGGAGAGGGTGATGACTAAGAAGGGCATGAGGGCGGTCTTCAAGTTGATGCGGATTCCGCAACAGGCGCCAGGGACCTGCCTGAACCTACAGCCCTGGCATCTGTTCAAGCGGTTCCATCGGGAGTCGGAAGGACACTTCCACAGCTTTATCGCCCGGCAGATCGAACGTGCTGTGATTGCAGCCTGAATTATGCGCAGCGGGTCGTCAGCAGTCGAGATCTCCACACGCCGGCTAGAGCTATGATTATACAATGACAGATACCCATAGATATCTAAGTATGCACAATGTCACTCGTCAGATTCGAGGCTCGATTGGGAATCCAGCGTCCGAGCTTTGATTTTCATCACGAATCGCCTGCCCCTGGGATCTATCCCGACCATCACCGGATCACTACCAAAGTGCCCCGGGACCTTGGCCGGCTTGCCAGTCTTTTTATCCTTCGGATTTACCAGAATCTCGATCTCCTTTTTGGCAGCCGGGCTCGCGCTGCGACGGGGCTTTTCGGATGAGACGACTGTCTCCGTACGAGTCCCAAGCTTCGTCTTGCGTCTCTCCAGAACAGGCTCTTTGCTTTTCGCTGGTTGCGGTTTATTCCATTCTCGAACCAGGGCTTTCACATCGCTCTTGGTAGGTTGCTTTCGGGTCTCCCTGACCTCCTTGAGACTTGTTGGCTTGCGGTTCAGTTCCTTGACGGCATGGTCGATCTCCCGTTCCTGTTGGGCTTCAACCCGTACGCTCCTCTCCGATCCAGCTCGTTGGCGTTCATGTTGGCGCCTTCGAAGCTCTTCTGCTGCAGCTCGCTCTTGTTCGGCGGCTAGTTCAGCTCGTCGCTGCTCCTGTTGACGCCGTCGACGCTCTTCTGCGGCAGTTGGCTGTCCTTCAGCATGAGATTCAGGCTGGGCTGGTTGCCGCAGATTCCTTCGGGAGTTGCGACCTGAGCCTGCTGGTCTATTCTCGATTCTGATCTCATTGTCGTAAACGCTCTCGCGGTGGATACTTCCGGTCCCTCGAGGTCGCCTGTTACGGCCTTGATCATGTTGCATAACGCATACTCGGCCTCAATATGCCATGCGGCGACTTCGCCGTGTCTCGCTTCGCTGGCCGCAAAGTCATCTTTTACACTTATGGGCTGCGTGCCCATGAGGCTGGCGCTATCGCCGCCAGACAACTGGCTCCGTGGCGACGAGAGCGTCAATGGCACCTGTGCTGGCACCGACCTGTAAAGTCGCCGCCGGGCTGATGTGCAGTATCCTGTCTTCTCGAGCATCGATCAGACAACATAAAGTGCTGGAAACAAAGGGTATTCACAGCATTGAATCCACGGGTGAAGTGCCATCCTCGAAGAGCTAGGGTGGCTGGGAGCTAGCGCGGGTTCGACCAGGCCAACAACCCCGCTCCGCCTATGCTATGAGCGTCCACGGCTCGTATTCTTCAATGATCGGCGTCGGTAGTAACGCTGGTCAACGCTGATAAGTTCCCAGTGGCATTCAATGAGAAACAAGTAGTCAGGCTTCCGCTGATAGCGCCCACACCACATCGCGAGATACTGTCGGTCAGATGCAATGACCAACATCAAGCCTGCGTACTTCTTTCCCCCGCAATGGCATTATCAGACGGGTGGCCCGATCGCTCTAGGTAGCATCATCAGCGACGCGAAAGAACCGCAGCGCGCGCTCAACTACGAGCCTGACGGAGTGACGAATAGACCAGCCTTACCACGTCTAACGGCAAACACATCGGAGCCGCAATTCGAGACAACTATTAGTGCCAACGTGTCGCACTCCGTGAATATTGACACCTCATTGTTGCAGATCTTTGGCTTTGGCGTTGGTCTGAAGGTCGAGCGCAAGAAGAAACGAATCTACCGGATACAGACCCAGAATCTGCTCATCCAAGAGTTCGATCCCAAATCAACATATGTAGAGCAGTGTTTTCAGCACGCGGAAGTGCAGAGATATCTCCATGACACCAAGTTCCGCAAAGATCTCTATATGATCATTGGAGTTATGTCTGCGACCAGCGCCACGGTTAGTACTGACATTGGCCGAAGCTATCTGTTCGGCGGTAATGTCGGGGTGGATCTTACGATTCCGACTGGCGGCGCAGCGCCTGTCGCCATCAACCTTGGCGGCGAACAGGGCCGCGGTAAATTCCAGACAGGTTCCTTCGGAAAATCAGACTTCATTCTTGGCTATCGGTTGCGGAAGATCACGTTCATCAAGACTATGCGAGTGAAGCGCATGGAAGACGTGTACACGGGCGCCTTGCTCGAGGATAGCGATCAAGCTCCAGCAGAAGTCGAGCATGAAGAGGCGGCCAAGTTTGTCCGGCTGGAGACTCAGCCTATCGACGGGGACGAGTTCTCATATATTGACTTGACTCCAGAGGAGAACGATGCAGCACCGTACACGTTTGTGGTGCCTGAGACGGTTCCGGATGAAGACGAGGACGAGGATTGAAGAGCCCCATGGCAAATGACTTGTCGTGCGACAGCACCTGATCTTCCAGAGCCGTTGTGTCTTGAGCATTCCGATATCTTGAACTGAGGTATTAATGACATTACTTTAGACCTCCGAGTCTGTTGAGCCTAAGGGGTTTTCGGTCCGCGCCGGTGACACGGACGCGGTCCACCCATTTTTCGACGTGAAGTCACCCTTGTTTTGTTCGCATGATGTAGCGACACCTAGTCCTATGGGTGGGCCTCCATGTACTGCATGTCTACTGCACAGACTCAAGCTTTGATAGAGGTCGTGATCAACAGCTAGCAACACGACAGCCAACAGCCACCACAGCGTACGGCGTGGCAGTAGCGAGTCGTCGCACATGGACGCTGTAATGCTCTTTCCTGTTGGCGGGAAAGAGCATCCGGGTCTCTTCTCCTACATTGGGCATGATGACGACTCAGTCGTGATTCTACTAACGATATGTATGCTCACCACAGTCTTTAAAACTTATCTCAGGCTAATATGCCGGCATTCAACCAAGAACACCCCACACCACCCGCTCACCCGCCATTCCGCGGGGCACAGCTCCTGCTACATAACACCTTTGAGCCAGATTCGGCATTCAACGTCTTCCCAAGCATACAACTTGCTCTGGTCCAGAGCCCTTCTGTTTCTCCTTGCGCCACAAGTGCACAAATTTGCAACCATAAGCAGAGTCGTCGCGCCCTGTCGTGGGCGTACCAACTGCTAACAGCATTCTGAACTCACAATCTGATACGACCCCGGCTACAATGTCCACCTCCAACAAAGGCCCCGTAAAAGTCGGCCTGATCGGCTGGGGCGGCTCCGCCAACGTCTACAACCTCCCCTACCTCATCCCCAACCCCAACCTGCACCTCTACGCCATTCACCAGCGCAAGGGTCCCAAAGACCCAGGTCTGGGCCGCTTCGGCCACTGCACCGACTCTGCCTCCCAACAGCGCCTCAAGGACTGGGGCTGTGCGACACAGCCGAAATGGTACCAGTCCCAAGACGAATTCTTCGCGGATCCAGAGATCGAGGTTGTGGTCGTGACGACCGGGCACGGGAGTCATTTCAGCCTGGCTAAAGCAAGTCTGGAGGCTGGGAAACATGTGCTGGTGGAGAAGCCGTTTGTGACAAGGGCGAGCGATGCGAATGAGTTGATCAAGTTGGCGAAGGAGAAAGGGTTGATTCTGACGGTATATCAGAATCGGAGGTGGGATAGCGAGTTCCTTACGCTGCAGAAACTGCTGAAGCAGGATGCGCTGGGAGAATTGACGGATGTGACGATCCACTATGACTTTGAGATGCCGGCGTGGATTCAGGGGTGGACGCAGCCAGAGTATGAGGAGGGGAGTGGGGCGGGGATGCTGTATGGGTTGGGTACGCATAGTCTTGATCAGGCGTTGTTGGTGTTGGGTAGGCCGGAGAGGGTGACGGGGTTCATTAGGAGTTTGAGGGTAGGTGAAGGTGGTGAGAGGGTGGTGAGTGAGGTGGACGATACATTCATGGCAGTCTTAGAATATGGGAAGGAGAGGCCGGTGGTATGTACGGTCAAGACGACGGTCGTTAACATTGTCGAGCAGCCGTTGAAATACTTTGTGAGGGGTCGGAAGGGGACATTTACGAAGAGAGGGGAGTGTGTGCAGGAGAAGCAGACTAACGAGGGGATGAAGAGTACGGATGAGGGATTTGGGCAGGATGAGGAGAGGGATTATGGGGATTTAGTGACTGTGGATAAGGTAGAGGGAGCGGTACAGAATTGGGATGAGGGTAGGAAGAAGTGGATTGGGAAGTTCCCAACGGAGAGCGGATATTGGAGGGGCTTGTATGAGAACTTGGCTAAGGCTGTCCGTGGGGAGGAAGAGATCAAGGTCAAGGCGGAGCAGAGTCGGGACGGATTGAGACTGATAGAGCTGGTGAGGGAGAGCGTGCGGAAGGGCTCGAGTGTTCTGTGGACTGATGCATGATCACTGGTGGGAGATCAAGCTGATACTGTATGTCGATGTCGTCCGCCTGACGGTTGCTAGGATGCGCTATGAATGGGTAAATGGGGAGGACACCGATTTCACATTCTGGGGATAGTTCAAGCATTGCCCATTGACAAAGTGTCAGCAGCGCAAAGCGAAGCTCTGTGAGCATTTCCAAACCTCGACTAAAATTTGACGCAGGGATCATGCTCCTACATATACCGCTTGCCCTCGAACATGAACCCAGTCTTCGCATCCTCCGGTCCTGCGGAGTATGCCTGACACCAAGGCTCTTCTTGATCTCTCTTCTCGACCTGATTTCCATTTTCAAAAGGATAAACTTGGTTCTCGAGATCGCACCAAGGCATGTCCAGTATCTCCTGTAACGTTGCGCGGTCGCGACGCTTGTCCGTAAGCATCATGAGCAAAACCTCCTCGAAGTCACGCGCCTCCCTTGTGCTCAGCTTGACAGGAGGCGGAGCGCCGGTGTCCAGCTCTTCGTCCGTTTGCGGTAGGGCTTGCCCATTGTAACGGCGCCTGAAGTCAAGCGCATCGCGAAGACGATTCAATGCCGCTCGTCGTTGGGCAACAGTTAATGCATGCCAACGAGTCCAGTCTCGGCCGATGTTATATAGCCGGCGTTTTAGGCTTATTCGCCTGTGTTTGTTGCGGAACTCGCTGCGGTCGTCTTTTCTCGCGCTCTGCAATGTTCCCCTGAACCAGTATCTCCGGCGCAATTCGCCGCAATCGCCGCAGGTACACCGCAAGTACCTGCGACCAAATCGTTCACAGACCTCTTGCGGACATGGGCCACCCAGCAATAACTCAGTGAATGTGGCAGATATAGTGCGCAGCAATTGCCTTATTATGGTGAAGCGGAGACGCCCAGCGAGCGCGCGACTGGCGGCGACGTCGTTCAATCGTTGCAACTTGCGCTCCTTCCAGACAGGCCTGCCCCCATAGAGCGCCCACCGATTCTGAAGCGAGACACTCTGCAGGACCTCGCCAGTTCGCAGCTCGTACCAGATACATGCTAGAGCAAAGACGTCAGACTCGCGTGTTCGTAGCCATGGGAACAATGGGTCTTCGGTCTGCCCGAAGTCGGGTCCCGAGTCACTGTATGTTGTGGTATGAGCATTCGTCTTCTTCCCATCTATGGAAACATAAGCAAGATCAATGTAACGGAGGGCCGGTTCCAGAAACTGCCAGCGCCTGTCTTTGGTCCAGTCGATCGCTTCGTACACGAAATCAGGCGCATGCTTTTCAGCGAAAAATTCCCATCCTTGACATGCAACAAGAGGCACTCGACGAGGGGGACCAAGACGTTCGTAGAGGGTCTCGATCGGCCAGTCATGGATCTCGTCGCTGACTTTGAAGACCATGTTGGCCGCAGATATATCACCTACAATTATGTCGACGTTGTGTAATTTTTGGAGACCTTCGGCGGCATCTCGAGCAAGTTTGCGGGCATGATCAGGACGTACTTTAAGCTTGCGACTCCTTTTGCACTGTTCGTCGGTGAAATATGCGAGGCTTGGACCGTTGAACTCGAAAACCAAGCAAAGATGCCGACCATTGCCGCTAGCTACGCCGAACCAGTCGAGAAGGGGTACAATGTGCCTCACCCTATCCTGTTCAGCGAGTCGCTTTTGTAAGGCCAGGTGTGCAGTTACTTCCACGTAGCCATCGAATTGCGTGTCCTTCGCCGATGTGACCTTCACCGCCACGTAGCGTCCCTTATGATGATCTCTCGCAAGCCATACGGTGCAAAAGCTGCCCCAGCCAAGTTTGTGGACAACCTCATATCTGGAATTCATAGAAATTCCTACGACCACAGGACAGAAGCCTTCAGGCCGATATTTGCCGGGATCTTCGCAGTTCACGCCCCACAGACGTCTGTAGTAGGGAGATTGGACTCCAGTTGAGAGCACTTCTCCTGTGCCAAGCTCGCTGACGCTGGGAACGCCGCCATAGTCGTCACTCGACGACGATGACGACTCATGGCTTCCGGATTGGGAGCTCAAAGGCGATGAGATGACTGAGGACGAGGAAGTCGTGGGTGTACGAGAAGGTTCTGAGGCCTGATCCGTGGAGGCTCCCACCGGCTTCTGTCCTTCAGAAGTAGGAGAAGGAGTGGACGGCCAGGCGCTGTGTTGTCTTGATCTGAGGTTGTATCGGATGGCTGGTGGTTGCGACATGTCGATTTCACTGACTGCGATGTAACCGCTTGATGCTGGTGTCATCAAGTGACAAGTGAAGCGCTGGTGAACGAGCTGCGAGGGCCTGCCCTTTGTACCAAGTCGCTCTTGGGAGTTGAATCCACCTTCTTTGTTGATCGGCATGGCATCGTTCTTTTTGTATCGCCACACTCTTTGTTGACAGTCTCGGATAACAACGTACGGCCATAGGAGTCCGGAGCACAGATCATCTCGCAAGTGCGGCACCTTGTTGTCGCGGACCGTAAGTGGTCGTCCATTTCAAAAGTTGCCATCTAGCTATTGCTCACAAGTTTCATCGCCATAGACATGCGATAAACACACCATGGCTCGCAAAAGCGAGAGACACCATCGTAGCCAAGCCCCATCAAGGCGCGTCCTCAACCCGCGAGTACAGAGAAAGCACCTTGACAAGGACTCGAGGCCACAAAATCCGCAAGCTGCTCGTGTTGGCCGCGCCGGCGCAAATCCATCCCGATGCCGTCCAGCTGAGCACTTTCGCAAACCTGCGACCTCAGAGCAACACACTTCCGTCCATCGAGCCTTGCGACGAGCACCAGCGACAAGAAATAGCGATGCTCGAGACATTACCCAAAACCACAGACGAGGCACCGAAACGCGCAATCGACGTAGCGACGACGCTCACACATGCCGCCGAGCAAGTTCGCATCGTGCTTCTCGCAACGAACATGTCGACGATCGTGACATGGCGCGTGATGCTACTGGTACTGAAGGCTGAACCCGGCAACATTGCAACGTGAACAAGTCGAGCGCTTGACTGCGGACAGAGACAGCGAGGGGTGCCTTGAGAAGGGACGCAGTGCGACTTACGGTATGCACAACACTGCATGACATGTATATTGCTAACGACCCTGAGACTCTAGCAAAGATTCGAGACCAGCAGTCGGAGACAATCGCGAAGCTCGATTGCAAGGAACGTCGTCTGAACCGCAGGAAGGCCCAAGTGCTGACAAATACGGGCCATTCGCTGATGGAGACCAACCTAAGGAGGTCGAAATCTTTTGGTGTATGGACAGCTCCTGGGTCAGTGAGCGGAAGCCAAGGAAGCCTGTAAATGACTTGGTGCTCAAGGTCGCCCGTGAGAGAAATATCGACCACCTGGTTGTACGCGAAGGACCGCATGAGCTGGAGGTGCCACACGTTACTGTTTGCTTTCGGTCTCGGAAGTATGATTCTCTGAGAGAACTGAAGCAGGATTGGTGGACAGCGCATCTGTACATCGACGCTCTACCACAAGGAAGGGAAAAGCTGGTGCTCACCGGCGAGGATTGGTGGAATGACAAGCAGCCATCGTACAAGGGCCCGCTAGGTCATTATCAGAAGATTCCCTGGGACGTGGAGAGCGAACAAGTGCCCAAGGTCGGTCGCAGATTGATCTCCTATGGCGACCACGGAGACGCCGGATCATGATGACTAGTATATGTTCACAAATGGCCGGAGAGGTGCACAGTACTGGGACCGTCGACTAGGCTCGAGACCAGCTTATTTCGGCCTTCCTTTTATCGCATGTCTTCGCCTTGTCGAAGCTGTTATGAGGTTCCGACCAGAATGATGAGGCAATCTAACAAAGTTCATTTGAGTGTCAGAAGAGTCTCGCTGGCAGAAGGGTTGCTGGCTCAGAGTGGCGACGAAAGGACTTTGATGCACGATGTGGTGACTTGGGATTCTTGTACATCGCAAGAACAGCTCAGACACGATGGAGCACGAAGATTCATTTCAGCGTGGAAGATACGAAACAAAGCCAGCGCAAGTGCAACGCAGGATGTTGAAGACAAAGAAGGACGCCGTCTTCAGGAAGTCACGTAGGATGGCAGCTTGGGGTTTTAGGAGACACCGTACTGCACTACGTTTGAGCGCAAGGCTTTACGACGTCAGTCTCGTGGCTCTAGGTATCTACGGGTCGCGCTCAGTAGAGCCTGTGATATGCAAGTAGGATTGACAACATCTTCTCGAGCTGACGCACTGAATGAGTACTCTCCAATTGACGATCTTGCGCCTGCGCTAAGCAGCGTCTCGTGCAAAACAGCTCATGAAGGGCTAGCCAGGTGGACGGCACCTTCTTGTCCTTTCAAAGCAAACACCCAGAACTCCTGGCCCTTCACCTCGCAAATGGCGTCCAGCCACAAGTAAGACCGCATTACCTCCGAGGTTTCCTTCCACGTTTTTCGCACAACACTCGAATGCTGTGCATGCAGAAAGTCGCGGAGGTAAGCCGCCGCCGATTCGTAGAGCCGCTCATTCTTCACCTGATCCTTGCATGCGGCGAATTGCGCGCAGACGCCAGCCCATATGATCACGCAGAGCGTCAAGTCTGCCGGCGGAGCACTCGCTAGAGGGCTGTTGTCCAACGACCTCGCAATCAGCTCCGCCGCCACGCGCAGAATTCGCTCGGTGAGCATTTCCGCCAACTCGGTGTTCTGGCTTGGCGGTATTGGGACGAGAACTGCGAAGGCATATGCTAGGAGGATCTGATGGTTGGCTTCCTGCAATAGCTCGATGTCGGTCAGCGTTTCTGCAGGGCCTGGATCGGGTATGCTGAGTATGTCGTGAAGGATCATCCAGCGTGTGAATTTGAGGAGCACCTCATCTGGTCTAAGTTTGGGGTCTCGCGGCCTTCGTTTCTGATTGCGAAGGACTTGAGCGTAGTCTGCTGTGACGATGGCTGCGTGTTTGTGCAGGTCTTGGTTCGGCGAGTCGTATGGGAGGCCGGATCCCTCAGACGGGCAGAAGCCAGTACCGAGAGTTTTGAGAAGCTCTTGTGATTGGGGTCCTTCTGTGTGCTGCCGCTGGACGATGTATGTGCTGACTGGTTCTGTGAGTGGGAAGTGAGGTGCCTGCAGATTCCGCCAGCCGCAGAAGATGTCAAAAACCCGAAGAGCTCGCACGAAGACGCCGACTTTCAAGGATGGAAGACCACCCTTTGCGTCGACGATGTTGAAGATTGCGCGCAAATGGTCCCAACCGGTCTGGAACCTCAAGTAGTAGTCCACGTTCTGTGCATTGTGGAAGTACGTCTGCTGCGCTTTTCTGTGCCGATCATCAACAGGCAGCATATCGGATCCATGCACCGCCAGTCGCAGCATGACCGCGAGCGTTTCCTCAGGAACCTCCTCTGCTGTCCGACCTTTCACTGCTTCTCTGACGTGCTCAATGGAACCTTGTTTATACCGTAGACTTAGGACGTGGTACTTTGGGGAGAGTTCGACGCCTGTCAGATATGCGCGACTGAGCATGCCACCATAGACACAGATTTGACTGATGCCGGAATGCCACACTGCTCTTGAGTAGACTTCCTTCTTTGCGATGTGCACGGCCAACTCGGTTCCTTCGGTACAGAACTCCATGAGTTGGTTGTTGACGAAAAAATGCAAAGACTCCTGTACCAGAGGGTCACGGGATGCAGGCATGCTGGACATCGTGTCGAATGGATCCATGATAGACGCTGCGAGACTTGAAGCCGGGGACGAGGTGATGTGGCGTGACGCCACGGCATTTTGAAAACGGCCACATGTCGAAGAACCGGGCGGGTTTGACTCTTCGTCCTCTGTTGAACCAGATCCTCCAGCACTAAGTCTATGCTTGGTGGGGTGGGGTTGTAAAGGTGCAAGAGGTCTCAGTCGATTTTGTCGGGTGGCTTGTTGCCGTCTATCCCGTTGCTCATAGTACTGCTTCGCAGCATGAGTGTGGCGAGACGACAATTTCGGAACCTTTTGCTGGTTACTCTCCCCGTTGTACGTTATGAAAAGCAACTCCACCATGACGTCGTTCCAACCTCATGGTCCTTTCTCCGATCTGAACTGCGGCGCATGAGGCAGTCGTCTTCCGTATGGTTGAAGATGACTTAAGCAGCCTTGTGGCTCTTGTATATCTGCGATGTGCTGGATGACTCGGGAGTGATTTCTCTGACAGGCTAGGCGCCCAGGACGCTTTCCGCTGATGCCGAGCATCATGGCACTCAAATGCAACACTGGTTTCTGATCTCGATCCTTACAAGCGAAGATCAATCATCGTGTGTAGAATTGTCCAAAGATAGCATACGGGCGGGTGCATGGATTCAGTTGACCTGCTTGTGGCAGATACTGAACAGACGCACATTAAAATGAATGCCGATGCTTATCTGAAGGTCTAAACGCAAGTGGGACGGGATACTGCAGACAGTACTTCACATCGACAAAGTCATGGCGTCCATGTACAGGTCATCTCAGGCGCGTGATAGCGAATGATCCGTGGGGTGTGAATGTCGTGGTTGTCAAATTGAGATAATTCGTCATAGGGTTTCTGAAGCCAAAAAGCTGTAGAACCCGAATATCTGAAACCAATTAAACCCCATTGAACTTGTCCTTGCCACGAGGGTACACACAGTTTTCGACTGAATGACTGCGGCAATTTGAATACATCTACATGCGGAACTGACATTGTGTGGGACTTGCCCTGCCCAGCGACGCACGACAAGCTCAACTTTCGTACCTGAATGGTGTACGGGGCAGGTACCTCGGTAAATCGAGACCTCTCTCTCACACCTGTCGCGATGACGGTTCTCATGGCTCTTGTGTCGTGGATCCAGCTACCTTATCACGGGAAACTCGTGCAACTTGAAGATGAGAATCTCGAAACGTCGCACCTACAGCAGACCTGTTAAGAGGCATGCTAAGGGGTCGAAAACAAAGGAGAATGGCGTGGATTTTCGAGGCCGAAAATGCATTCAAGCCTATGACAAAGACACCGAAATCTCATCTGTCAGCAATCTGAGTATGTACCTTAAGGTTCAGCGCGACGTGGGAGATGTCCACTGAAATGCCGAGGATAGGGTGAACTCCCCCTCGTGAAGTTTACCTTCACTACCATCCACCGGGACCAGGTGCACCACTGTATAAGGGAGGATCTTGAATCCGAGCCTCTCCTTCGCCACTATGCCCCGAACCATGCGATTCGCGTGGAACTGTGGAAATGATAGATTTTTGACAGGTTTTACCCTGAATCCAAACTCTATAGCTGCCATCATAACATGCGTCACGTTTCAACGTGATCGGCCATGCTCAACGAATGCCGACTATCTCCTCCTCGCTCTTGTGCCTCTCCTCGAACTGCCATTATGTCCCATGAGCTGCAGTCACCAGAGCATACCATAGTTTTGAGCCTTCATTCCACGCTTCAGTGAAAAAAGCCTGTATCACGGTCTCTGTTTCTGAAATGAACATGGTAACATCGATAAACAAATGGTTCCTATCGACGTGCGAAAATCGCATGCCTCCGGGCGCAAGTATCGATCGAAGAAGCAGAGACCTTGCGATCTTTGCCGCTCTCGGAAGATACAGTGCAAGGTTCCGGACGACGAATCAACATGCGACTGGTGCAAGAGGGTGGGCAGTACATGTACGTTCGTTATGAAACCATTGAGGAAGGAGCATAGACCACGGGCGAATAACGAGCTCGGGTACAGTCAGCCTCTACATCTGGCCGGTTACAATAATGATCATGAGTTGCTACCCCTGCAAGGCGTTGTCCCTCTCGAGGGTATGGATCAAGATATGACATTGGAGACCGCGGATCAGGATATAACATCGGAAGTCCCGAGCTTTTGGCTAGCCGCTCAGCAGTCTGACGAGTTTTACGAATCACCCGACAATCCGCGCCTACTCGACGCAGCGTGGGCTGGGATGGACTTCCCCATTGACACGAGACAAGATCTGGTCATGCAAAGTCCTACGCGACGGCCGTTTACGGGGCTCATGGCTCCCCAGAATGCAGCACAAGCCCAACACCCTAACTCAGAATCCATGCACAATGTGTCGCTAACACCTGCACGTACCATGCTGGATGGCATTATTCGCGCAGACCTTGATGGAAAGAACAGCAGTGCTCATAACCCATTGACTCAAGCACTCCCCATCCAAACTGGACCACCTCACTTGCGGATCTCTGCACGACAACGATCCTCGTTTGGCAGCCATAGCACCCATCGCTCAAACGACGTGCTTCGAGATGCGGTCTCGCCAACAACTCCGCGACTAATAGCCACTCTTCGTCTCCAAACGTAGTCAGCGACGACATCGATGCGCACGCCGATTCCAACACTACTTTTGACTGGCCGGCTGCTTATACTCTCGAAAACAAGAATGGTTATTCATACCAGGCCATCGGCCTGTCCTGCGAGACTGACCCATACGTACTTCGATACTATAATTACGACATGAACGACGCCTATCGCATGTTCCGGCTGGACTTCCGAAAAATGGTGGACGACAGTCATTCTCAACGAAGTACAAGTACTAATCGATGTCAACTACCAGTTGATCCTGTACCAGTGCAGTTTATGATGGTAGATGAGGAAATATGGAAAGACAGCCTCCATGCGGCTGAGCAACTCTTCAAAGGCCCGAGTTCTTCTGCAGGTGACTCTGAACTGCTCGATCGACTGGTTTCGCCGGATTTGGGGATCAAGCTGCTAAAGCTGTTCGTAATTCATGGCCTGTCTCTGACGAATATCTAACGTGATTAGGTATCTCCAGTTTGTCCATCCCCGATTCCCAGTTCTGTCTCTGCAAGATATCGATAATATCATGGACGATGAAGACTACGTTGGAATCAAAAGCGCCATCTTCGCTCTTGCTGCACCATTCACGTATCTCGATGATGAACTCAGCGTCTCACGGGGATATGCTCAACTACCCACAGAGAAGTTCTGGGGTATCACTCAAAGAAGTTATCGCAGATCGCTGGAATCATCAGGCCTTCCACTTCTGCAGCTTTGCTTGCTGTTGCTTCAGATGCCTCCGCTCAATTTCGCCGTTGCAGAGTCTCCACATCCTTGGGCACTTGCTTGCTCTGCTGTAGCCATTGCGGAGAGCCTGGGTCTGAATCTGGATCCAAGCGAGTGGCGACTGCCGAGGAGGGAAGTCCAGCTGCGAAAAAGGCTCTGGTGGTGGACATTTATCCAACATACATGGTTTGCTCTCGTCTTTGGGCGACCGTCTCATCTCAACGATGATAATTGGGACGTATCACCGCTCAGCGTTGACGATCTTGAAAATGGAGACAATCAGGATCCGATTATCAACACTTCGATCATTGCACAACGTCCATACTTACTGGCGCTGTGTGAGCTCAGCACGATCGCTGCGGATATATTGAAAGCATTCTAGTAAGGCCCGGATTAGCTTTTGTCGGCTCATACTGACCAGTGGTTTTCAAGTACACTGAAAGCAGCACGACAAGCAGTTGATCTCACTACATTGCTGGAGCGTGCCCAACCTCTACGTTTGCGTATTCAGAAATGGCGCGAAACTTTGCCGTCGCTCTCTAAAGGTGTTTCGGAGCTGAGCGACGAGGACTTGGACGACTGTGCTGACTTGCGTATGTCTCACATAACATTGGAGATTCTCATCTATCGTGCTCTCTTGCGTCCACTTGCCTACCGGTCGTTAGTGCCTGGAGATGAACAGCAGGAACCGGTGTCGACAATTTTCGACAATTGCCATGGCTGTGCCACAGTAGCAACAGCCTTTGTAAACTCGTTGAAAGCTAGACATTTTGCAGGGTTCTGGTCACCGTGTAAGTCCACACTTTGAAATTGCTAGGAGACCTCATCTCAGGACAAGGGCTATACTAAGCCACTCTACCCAAAGCAACACAGTCAACTGACAACTCACAGATGTCCGATATCAGTTGAGCTATATCTCTGCCTTCATCCTGATCAATTTCGCGCAGTCGCCCACCAAAGACGCCGCGGTCCAAAATCAAGCCTTGCTAGGTAAGTGGAGAGACGGTCTACGCTCACAGGCCCGGGCTTGGCCACTCGCGAGACTCGCCACTATGCGGCTAGACGCAGCCTTCTGGAGAAAGCTCTCATCAGCCGTGTATCACGCGGGGTCCGATAGTCCAGCTGTCAAATTACTGAAGGAGGAGGGCTCGCAGACCTCTGAATAGATTGAGGGCAACAAGCCGCACTCAGTCATTTTATCAAGGTCGATCTACACTTGTGGTATTGCAAGGAGATCTGGCAACTCGCTTACCCGCCCATTCCTAAGGATCATGACCAGTTCAACTATCATCAAGCTTTCGATGACGTGGCTGTCGGATGAGGGAAAACTTGTCCGCTATCCGTACCGCTCCATATCTCACCTCCGTGAGATCATGAGAGTGACCTGAGTATTACTCGCAATGTTGGTCTCCTTGCTACGAACGCGACGCCACTCTCGCTAAGGTCTGTCGACCCAGGAGTGACAGTATCTCTCGACGCCGAAAAGACCCACAGACAACCAGACAGAAACTCGGCCACGTAATGAACAAAATTCAAGACAAACAAAGACCACGCTCCAGCGTCTACAATACTGGCAGAAGAAATCTTACAACTTCATTTCATGGCGGTCCAGATTGAGGCACTGGCAGACATCTCCCGCCACTGTGAAACATCTTAGCGTTAGCAGCATAACTGACATGCTCATGGCTGGTGGGCGATTCGGTCATCTTGAATCACATCGGCTCGATCAACCTGACGGCATTGATCGCCTCGGTCGCCATTGCCTAGTCATTCCATGGTGTCCCAATTTCGAGGCCTCGGACATGGATTGCAGGCTGATCACTGTGGTGTCTGTTGTTAGGTTGCTCAACTTGGTGATGGTACGGCGAGGACAAGAGCTATGCCACCGTACGAAGTGAATTGTATCATAGTAGAACCAGCCGAACATGACTTAGTCGGCTACCTCCAGAATCAAAGTAAAACAATCGTATGCAAGATAATGTGTACTTACTTCTTGTGCGGTTATAAAACCCTCTTGTATTCTTGCGAAAATCGGCCTGCGTCATAGCGAAGCACAGAACCCAGCAACACCTCAGCACCGAGTATGCAATCCTCAGGCTGCAGTACTCGTTCGGGGTATGGCTCATGCCGTCCTTGGTCGGAACAAACACCATAGCAGTCGGACACCTTTTGCTCACATGACAGCTATCGTGGCTGGCACCGCTGGTCATCCGTTTCCACAAGCCCACTGGTTTGTGTTGTTGCGCATTATACTGATTGCAAACATCTTCGGCTGCGGCATCAACGGCTTGGACACAATCTGAGTGAAACTTGACGGCGTTGGATTCAGTCATGCCTCTCCATTTGACCTCAACACCGCGTCCACAGTCATTCTGAGCAATGTCTGCAAACGCGTGACGACACAGGTCTACAACATGCTGGAGTCTGTCGTCGCTGGGGTGCCGAACATCCAAAGTGAACTTGACTGTCCGTGCTATCGTGTTGACGCTACCCGGCTCAGCATGAATGATGCCCGTCGTAATAAGCGCTCCGTGCTGCTTCGCAATATGATTAGACGTGACGATCATTCGAGCCGCAGCAAGCAATGTATCTCTTCGCTCTCGAAGAGGTGTGGTGCCTGCGTGACTGTCTTGACCATGCACTGCGATCTCATACCATTGGTATGCTTGCGCGCCCGTCACCACGCCGATCTTCCTGCCTTCAGACTCCAGGATGGGACCTTGTTCAATGTGTAATTCGAAATGGGCAGCAATCTTCTGCGACTGCCAGTCGGCTGGAAGTTTCCCGAGAAATCCTATGCGGCTGAGCTCTTGTTTCACCGTTCGACGCTCTGCACCTGTACTTGGGTGCACTTCTTTGCAATCCCAGGCAGTATGCAACGGCACGGCACCAGCCCAGACGCCTGAAGCCATTGTGATCATCGGAAATCGTGCACCTTCCTCACTATGGATCGATAGTCAGTATCTGCCGATGATTCTTTTTGTCGGGTGCACCAACTTTGTCCAATTCACGAGGCCTACTGGACCTTCAGTCTCGTAACTGTTATCACACAGAGTGCGGAGCACTTCGAGGCCTGCTTGCATTCCGAGAATGCCGTCGTATCTTCCTCCTGTAGGTTGAGTATCGAAGTGCGAGCCCATCATCACAGGATCTGCTTCTCTCTTGCCTTTTCGTAAAATGAACATATTCCCCATTTGGTCGATAGTCGTGGTGCAGCGATATTCTTCGCCTGGTCTATAAGCCATTGGCGCACTCTTCGATCGTCATCACCAAGGGACAAACGGTTCATGCCTGTTTCTGTTTGGTGCCTTTCCTGAATTTATGAGTTTAAATGATGAATCCTCGTGGTGCTTCACATACTCGCCGTATTTATGGGCTTTGCCAAATTGGCAAGATGCGTGTAGGGCATCCATCATCCTTCCACCATTAATCCGCAACGATGGATGCTCATCGCTACGGCTGGGAAGAGTCGTAGAGTAAGATCTGGTGGCCAACGAAGAGCTCGCAAAATGCATGCCCGTGCCCGATCTGTGCTTTCGATGTACATGCTGCCTAATTCGTGTTTGGCATAATGAGCGGATGCCTTGCGTCAATGCCGCCATCTTGGACTGCCTCCCTTCTTGTGCCTTGTTGTTGTTTGTCGCGGTACCACGAAGAGCGATCAACACAGTTGCTAGCGCTCTGATGTCTTGGTCCTGTGCAATAGGTACACCCGAAGCGTGCCCGACCCTCGGGGGATATGATGAACAAGCAGTTGGCCGTTTGTCTATGATAAAGCGATAAAGCGGCAACGGTGGAGCTCGAATTGGCTCGCGGCCAACTCCGATAATAGCCTGCACGTAGTGTAAGAAAATACCGATGCCCAATTAGCTTCAAGGCTTGCATAAAAATGTCGATAGTACTCACATGACATTCCATGAGACAATGACGTTGAGAGACAAGATCCCCGGCTTGGTCTTCTTGCTTCCGACTGCGTGATCGGAAGAGCACAAGTCCCGATGAAAGCGGTCATGGCAGCAATGGGCTCATCGTTTGTATCGTACATGCGCTAGCAACAACACTCACTCTGCCTCCTCCAAACACAGTCGTAGAAAAGCGCAAGTGTCAACACAGATACATCACATAAGCCATTGTTGGTCGAAACTCGATCGACGGCGAAGCAGGGCGTTCAACTTGCAGATAGCTATCGTAGCAATGCCAGCCTATTTGACCGCACTGACGGAACGTGAACTAGCTGCTCTTGTGTGCGATGAAGTCAACACCCAGCTCATCAGGCTGTATAGGTACCCTTACAGCACATAGAAGGCAAATACTGCCAGACATTGTCTACTTCGGTCGAAATGTGCACAGGTGGACGAGCGATTTGACTCATGGGAGGATAGATAGATAGCTGAATCGTCTTATCAAGTAGTTGTTAAGCAGAACCATTCTCATGGCCACCGAATCGTTAACAAGGCCCTCATGACACTTCGTGGCCTGCTTCTGTTCCGCCAGCCACAACTTGGCTATGGTTTCATGCGTACAAAACTCAACACTATCCCCGAAGGACTTCAGCCATTTTATGATGCGGTCAGACATACCGATGATGTGCGCCATACCACTGGTATCGGGATGCATCAAAATAGGGAAGATGAAGTCAATGGAGCCCGATCCTTCTTTTGATCCATGCTCCCATAGCCACAGAAACTTGTCTTTCCACATCTGCTCTACTACTCTGGTAGAGACGTAGCCCATACTGTTTGCCAGATGAGGAAGATATTGTAGCGGCATCATGTCTTCGTTGTACCAGACGCATGGAAGCTCGACTAACGGGTGCAGATCGCCGGTCGGATAGGTTTGGGAAGCGATTGGTGTGGGAGTAAGCCAAGAAGACGCCGGCTTCGAGAAGTCAATGGTCTTAATTGGTGGATCATTGGGCGTGAAGTAAGGTTGCGAATCGTGGTGCATCAATGAGCTGTCGTAAAGGAACTTGTGCTTACGCAGGAGCTTGACAGTGGTTTCTCTGATCGTGTACATCGGGGCGCGATAGCCACGGGGCGGTCTCCCGACTAGCTTAGTCGCAACCTCAATACACTTCTCAAGCACTTCAATCTCTTGTTCCTCGGTCATCTGATATATGCCTTCGTGCGAGTAGCCGTGGAGACCAATTTCTGCACCAGACTCAACAACCTTTTTGACGGTGTCTGGAAAAGTTTCGACGGTGTGTCCAGGAACGAACCAGGTGACTTTGTCGTTGATTTTGTTCCTGGTCAGCATTTCCAGAAGTCGCAGAGCCCCAACCTGACCGGCGAAGATCCCCGAGCTGTAGTCTGCCATGTTGTTATCCGGATGGCAGCCAGTGCCTAGCCAGTGGGAAACCGCATCAAAGTCGAAAGAAAGACAGACCTTGACGTTAGGGCGGCGCGTGTTGGGGCTCCTCGGAACGGACGCCAGCGCCATGTCCCGTTCAGTCGAGCCCGATATCTCAAATTCGCAGTCGGTTGGCATCCCGGCATTTACGGGGTCGATATCCTGGGGACAAGCGCTCGTGACGATGATGAGGTCCGCCTCCGCCTGGAAAGAGATGAACTGGCCTTTCTCACTCGAAGGAGGACGGATGATGAGGTTGGAATGATGATCAATAGCGACGTTCATGAAAAGGTTCGAAGGATCGGGCACCCAGCCGTCTGCAATTTCAAGACTGGGAAAGCCATCTCTAACAGCAGCACGAAAGTTGTCGGCACAGTTGTCGTGAGGCTCCGTAACACCCTGCATGCGATACCGTTCTGCGTCACACGCGGACCAGACGAGGTCATGAACACCTTTGGTGGTGTCCTCCAAGACTGTAAGCATGGCTTTTCTGGACGTGCTATACAGTTTATCACCCGGACAGATGGCCACCCTGAGGAGTATTGTCCTAGTGTGAACCATGGAAAGGAAGTCGCTGGTGTTGTCAGGGTTAAGCGCCCAAAAGTCCACCACTTGTTTGCCATGTGTGTTGATTATCTTGACCGTTTGTCCTTTCTGAACACGAAGGGCCACAGCCTTGCGCGCTGGTATGAGACCCATGGTCTCCCTCGATCTAGATCAGGTGAAAGCTCTGCAAGCTTGTTTCTCGAAAGCGAAAGGATGCGAACAAGGGCAGGATATGCTTCGGAGCTATACATGCCGTTATTTGCCCCTAATGCGAACGGCCAATGATTCCGCCGTCGGGCAAGGTCAGCTAGAAAAATGACGGCATACCTAAGTATGTTATCACCTCCGCCTAGCTTCAATGGCCGGAGAATCTAACGAGCACAGGTTTCCACGTGTCGCGGAGTGAAAGCGACTTTTCGATTCATACATGCTCGAATGAGCTCGGCCTTGTTAGTGAAGCTGGTCAGACATGGAATGAAAGGGTCAAAAAATCACCATTTCTTTTACGTTGCCCGAGAAGCCCAGTGGAGCCTTGTCCTATCATTGAGCCGTGCCCACCAATGAAGCTACACAGTAGACAATCTCGCAGTGCTGTGGCTACCTAATACAGCCGTTGATAGATACGGTGGAGCGCATCTCCGATGAGCACTGATAGCGGCCAGAGGAGGTTGCCCGGCCAGGTCTATGAAGTTTTCGGTCGCCCGGCTGTATATCATAGAAGTTACGCACTGGAATACCAGAGACTACGCACAAAAATCTGGAACGCGGTTACCGACGCTATGGTAGGAATTCTATCAGCTGCCGCTGTGGCACATCAATCACCAACGGTACTCTTGGTAGCTGTTGGTGCGTTGTTTTTGCTCTTCGTGGCTCATCGATTACTCTTCTCACCCCTAGCGAAGATACCAGGGCCATGGTTTACCTCTATCACATCCCTGTGGATCATGTACCATGAGTTTCTTGGGGACAGGACTGTGATTCTGGATGCTCTGCATTCCAAATATGGTGATATTGTGCGTGTCTCGCCTACGGAGGTGTCGTTCAACAATGCAGAAGCCCTCAAGGACATCTATGGGATAAAGTCAAATTACTCAAAGAGTCATTTCTACGACATGTTTGTATACTATGACGAGAGAAACACTTTCACCAGCCTCGATAAACCAAATGTACGTTCTATACTGTTTACGTACCACGATTGCTGACCTGCCCATGCTCAGCATACCGCGAAGAAAAGGCTTGTTGCTGACAGATATGCCAAATCCTATGTCATGCAAGATGCAGTGGCCGAGAAGATCCAGGAACATGCTGCGAACTTCATGTTCCAGATCACCAAAGAACCCAATGCTCTGGACGTGTACACGTGGCTCCACTACTACGCTCTTGAGTAAGCTGTCCAATGGTCGAAACGACCGTGCTAACAGATCTGCAAGCTGTATCACCAACCACCTCTTTGGATCTCGGGGCACCAGCACTCTCACCAAGCCTGATCACCGCGAGCTTGTTTATGACCTGTCTGGAGTTAAGCATCGAACGAGGCTCTACATGATCTTCTACTTCGGGTCCTTGATGAGCCTGCGCGAACGAATTCGATCCACATGGCGCTGGATCCTCGGTAACTCGGCCCAATTCCACGTCCGAGGAAGTCGTTTGAACGATTACGGCAAGGACAGCGTTGTCGGCTTTCGTACTGGAGAGCTTGAGAAGGACACGATCTCGACTTGCGCCAAGTTGTTTAAGGCTGTTCCCAACAACGATAATCAAGTTGCTGCAGAGTGCATGGACCATCTTGTCGCGGGCGTTGATACCACGGGCGATGCCATGTGCATCACAATGTGGCGCATGTCAACACCAGAATATTCCCACGTTCAAGATCGTCTCTACGAAGAGCTCAAGAGTATAGAGCATTTCTTTGACCCTGTCACTGGGACTGCACCAATCGGCGAACTCGAAAAGCTGCCATATCTGGACGCTGTTATTCACGAAGGTCTCCGGTGGCGTGCACCAGTCCCTATGACTCTGTTCCGCGTGGTACCGGCAGGAGGAGCTAATATCGCCGGTAAAACGATCCCCGCGGGATATACGGTTGGTTGCCAAGCGTACAGCCTGCATCGTAAAGAGGATGTCTTCCCGAATCCGGACCTCTTCGACCCCACGAGATGGCTCGCGAAAGACCCTCACCAGCTATCTGCCATGAAGACCCATTTCTGGCCTTTTAGTTCTGGAGCGAGGATGTGTTTAGGCCACAAGTAAGTTCGCTGCGTGGTTGGCTACCGCTGAATTCCAGTATGTACGTGTGCTAACGAAGTTTGCAAGCATCGCTATGGTGGAAATGAAAATCCTCATTAGCGCCGTATATCGGCAATGGACAACGAGATGTGTTGCAGACTGTACCGAAGAGTCAATGAGGATGGACGATCAGCTGACCTCAGGCGTCCCTTATTCGTTATCTTGCAAGTTGAATTTTGACAAGCGGACTGAGGATTCCCTATAGAACGGAGGACGCCAGAGAATAGGTCATTGTTCGTGCGCTGGGGATGATGTACAAGAGTCACACCATAACATAGGATGTGGTTTAATGTACCGAACATGGATTTCCGGTATGGTCCAGTCCCTGTAGTGGATCCTAGGGAATCGAAGCTTTCAGCTCATGACTGCGGCCCAGTCAATACAGCGAGCAGGCCAACAGGTTGTCTCGCTTCACGTGTCCCGAGCTTCGGAGGCGTGTTTTGCCCTGTCCAGATTCACCTCTTGATCTATCCAAAGACGAGTATGCAATCTGATTTGGCCTACCGTTCTGTCATTTTCGAGATCGATATGCTGGACCTAAAGATATCATGCTCGGCTTCTGCGTATGGCTTGCTCTGGCAGTTCATTCACGAAGGTAACAGTTGCAACGTATACAATAAAGAGAATGGCTACTCACGGTCCGTATCCCGGCAGCGTCGACTCCCGAATCGGTCAGTGGTGGAGTTTTTTGAGCTCCCAGTTTCGAAGAAGACCGTATACCACTATTGCTAACACGAACGCCAACATCCAGCCAAATTCGGTACCTGTTGGTATACCTGAGCCAATCGAGTGAAATCTGAGGCAAGAGAGTCCGCCTTCTGGTGTCCGACGTTTCATGTTCACTTAGGACATTAAGACTGCAGATACTGGCCTGCATTTTCTGCGCTGCACGAAGGCCCTGCAGAAAGCTTTGTAGGCGATAGAGTTGTCTCGGTACAAGTGTTACAACTTGCGTCGGAAAGCTTGGCCGAACAAGGGGCCGGAGACTTATGATGTGGGGTAGACGACGATCTCCGTTCGGCTTCAGCAAGCACGGCTCACCTCTGCCTCTGCAACAAACAGAGCCGACAAGGGTACGGGGAGCTGGTGTCAGTACTTGAGTAGTGATAACGACCACCTGCCATTGAGAAGAGCCCCGAGTCTCGGGTCGGAGACGTTTCCGTCCTGCCTCAGCAGTCAGTCCTGGTGAGTCTCTCTATAGCTGTGACTTTTATTGTTATAGCATGATCAGTGATGTGATTGGTGGGCTCCTCGCCCGACTTATCCGCCGGGCTCGTTATCTATCGGCCAGATATCTTCAGCCAGTTGAGGAACTCCACTACCGAGACCCAGTGTGGAGGAAGCGAAGTCCTCCGTTCCGTTAGCGATACGCAGAATGATAAGATAGCAAACCTTCCAAGCCCGAAAACACATATCAGCCAACAAAGCCACCACCTACCTAGGTATTTTCCACAACCCTCGTTTCCTGTAACACCTCCGAACTACTCTGCAACAACAGAAAAATCTTACCTATGTTACGTCCATAGAAGCTCATGAAGATGTATCAAGATCAGAAGCCCGTATTCAGAAGGCATGACCAGCCTGAAAACGTCCTCCGTCCCGCGGAGACCACAGACGAGGGCCAAATGCTTCAGGTTGGTTCCTAAGTTGCTTTCTGTTTCGCTCACTTACACGCGACACAGGTAATGGGCTACGAACAGCAAACCGTTCGTAATTATTCCATTCTATCGCTGCTGGGGATGGGTTTCGCTCTGACCAATTCGTGGTGGGCGATATCGACGTCCATGGTATGGCTAATCTCTACTTCTCCCGCGGTATCGATTGCTGAACTCAACATCGACAGATTGTCGGACTTCCCAGCGGTGGCACCGTGGGGATCATTTATGGCCTCTGCCTCCTTTTCCTGGCTTCGCTGTGTGTTGGGGCGACCCTCTCAGAGCTAGGGTCGGCCTATCCGAATTCGGGCGGTCAATACTACTGGACCAGTCAGCTGGCACCGCGCTCAACGCGACGGTTGCTAGCATATGTCACGGGCTACCTCAGCTGGGCTGGGGCAATCTTCACAAGCGTTTCCGTCGCCATCGCTGTTGGACAGGGCATTGTAGGCATGGTCCAATACAACCATCCCGAGCTCGTCATCGACCGGTGGATGGTGTTCCTGACAGCCGAACTCGTAAATGTTGCTGCTGCGTTATTCAATCTCTACAGTAAGTTCCTGCCGACCATCGCCACCGTTAGCCTCTACGTCACGCTGTCTGGCTTCATCGTCACTTTCGTCACCGTCATGGCGTCCTCATCTGGAAAGTACAATTCGTCCGACTTTGTCTTCACGCACTTCGTCAACGAGACGGGCTGGTCGAACGATGCCGTTGCCGTAATAGTGGGCCTCATCAATCCAAGTTGGGCATTTCCTTGTCTGGTGAGTACTCTCAAGTTGCGGACATTTAGCTTAGATTTGGCACTGATACTTGTGGAAGGATGCAGCAACACATCTTGCCGAAGAGTGCGCGAGACCGGAGCGCGCGATTCCGATTGCCATCATGGGAACGGTTATCATTGGATTTTCCACGTAAGTAAAGGGTCCAAACGCCACGTTATACGGACGGTTCCCTGACCAATCTGCCTATATTAGTTCATTTACCTATGTGATTGGCATGTTCTTCTGTGTCAGGAATCTAGGAGACCTATCGGTTTCCGCCACTGGAGTACCAATTCTTGAATTGTTCTCGCAATGTATCAATTCCCGAGCCGCTGTCATCGTTCTGGAAGTTTTGGTGACAATGTCCGGCATGGGTACCTTGATCTCCAGTCAAACGTGGCAATCCCGTATTGCTTGGAGCTTTTCACGCGATAGCGCCCTTCCATTCTCCCACTTCTGGTCCCAAATACATCATAGGTTGCTGGTCCCGATCAACGCTCATATCCTGAGCGTCGTCCTTACGGCGATACTTTTATGTCTTTACATGGCATCCTTAACGGCTTTCAACTCCATGGTGTCCGCATGCGTGGTTTTCCTGTATCTCTCATATCTGGTACCCACGGCTTGTCTGCTCATCAAAGGACGATCAAATCTCCCACGAGGCCATTCTTCCTGGGAACCTGGGGCATGCTGGCCAATTATTGTACGATTTTCTGGGTCATTCTGGCGACAGTGTTCTTCTCCTTCCCTTATGTTATGCCAGTTAGTGCTGGTAACATGAATTATCTCTGTGCGGTCTTGGTGGTGTTCATGATTTACGTATTCGGGTACTGGATCTTCGCTGCGAGGTTGGCTTTTAAGACCCACGTGATCGAGGGATGACAGCCGCGTATTCACTAGCTAAAGACAATAGCATGAGCCGTTGCTACATTGCTGTTACTATGTGTTTCTCGATTCCTCGTATCATGTTTACCAGTATGCTTGTGTTTCCAAGAAGCGTGAAGCGTATAGCGTTCCTAGTCTAGGGATCGAATCTGGGTTAGTTTCCTTGGGCAAACCTTCCCAGAATCAAAAACTTACCGACCGGATCGCGCAAAAGAGTGATGGAGATGTGGCAATATTGCAGCGACCGCAGCGCGATTGGCCGGTTGGCCGTGATGAATGCGCCTTGCGCCACAGCGCGTTTTCGATGTGATATCGCCCGACCTCATGTGTGATTTCGTCTGTGACCAGGTTCATGACAAGCAGGAGCTTCACGTCGGTCGAATCCGACAGTTCCTTGGCTTGTTTGTGGTCACTCATTCAGCACTGCTGGGCGAGGTTCTCAGCATCTGTGTGCAGCCGTCATCCTGCGTTTCACTCGAAGCGGAAGCGCGGTCGCCGCACGATATGAAGAGCCAACTCTACCATATCGTCGCCTCAAGCTCATGGCTCTTTCTCTGCTCTGGGCTGTGGTGCGTGAGGTATCAGTCTTTCGTGTATCCAAAGATGTCTTAAGCAGCCTTATGGGTTTTGTATACCTGCTATCCAGTATGAATTAAATGATTCGGGAGTGATTTCTGGGAGAGGCTAGGCACACCGATGCTTTCCGCTGGAGCCTCAAGGCATCCATACCCACGAAGGTAGGTACATAGTATAAGGCTGGGCACCTGATTTCGGCTGTAGGAAGCGAAGATCAGACCCTGTGCGTACGGCTTTCCGGTCATCTATGTAGCATACAAAGCGAGGTTCGTACGGTTGTGAACAATGGGATGATGTCAACTGTTCAAGTGCCAGTGTGAAGGCCGCCTTGGGGATCTACCAAATACGAGAATAGTAGTGACCTTGGCGGGGTTGACATCACTGCTCCAACTTCTAATCACTCGCCATAGTACGATTACCAGAAGTCATACTTACTCCTACACGCGTTTAGCAGCACATACTCCTCCCTGGAGCCAAACTGGTCTGGGCACCATGTCCGCCAAAATCGCAAAGACGATTGCACGGCAGAAAGAGAGGATCGCAGAAGGCAGCTACTACGAAGCACACCAACAGTTCCGAGTAATCGCGTCACGGTACCTCAAGACCTCCGACTACGCCTCCGCCTGCGACGTCCTCTACAATGGCGCCGTCCTACTCCTCAAGGCCGATCAAGGCGGCTCGGGCGGTGACCTTGGCCTGATGCTGCTAAAGGAAGTGTACACCAACGGAGAGTACCCATGCAACACAGAAAACAAGAACAAATTATTAGACATCCTTAAGGCCTTTCTGAAAGACGAGCCAATACGCAAACGCTACATACAAGAGATGATCGCCTGGTCGAGTAAATTTGGCGACCTAGAGCGCGGTGACCCAGACCTGCACCACGCTGCTGGCCAAATATACGCCGGAGGTACGTCTCCCCGCTTTGCTTCCGCTTTCATTCCACGAGAACTAACACCATACTCAAATAGAAGGCGAAGCTACCCAGCTGAACAGCACCTCCTCCTCGGCACCCCCCAATCCTCTCCGCTCCTCGCGACCCTCCACTACAATTGGTACAAATCCGACTCTCCCCATCAAGCTGCGCTATACGCCTCGCGCTCCGTCCTTCCCTACCTAGTCCTCGGCAACCTAGCCTCCGCCACCACTGCCTTTGCCCAATTCACCTCCCTCCTCACGTCCACCAATACATCCCTCCCAACACAGAGCATCGACTCCGCCAAGTCCTCCGTACGGATCTTCCCTAGTCTACCGCTCCTCAATTTTCTCGCTTTGATCCTCCTAGCGGCCCAAAAAGGCGATGGCGCGTTGTATAGGCAATTAGGGAAGCACTACGCGAGCCACCTGAAGGAAGTGGAGGAGTTCTGGGGCGAGGCGTTGGCGAACATCGGGGAGGTCTGGTTTGGGATCAGGATACCGAAACAGGGCGGCAATCCGCTGATGGATATGATGAGCAGTATGATGTTTGGAGGCGGGGGAGCGAAAGCGGCAGCAGGAAGTGGAAGCACGCCACGTGCAGGCACGCCGAAGCCGGTCAAGGGTCCGGCGGCCCCAGCGGCAATGGACCTGGATTAGTGGCCTGGTCGGGGACTGTAGTAATTCCTACAGCATCCTTCCTAGGCCGGAAGCACAGATCAAACGTCTCTTGTGAAGTGACGCTCCAGTGAGGCTCGTCTCAAACCCGCCGACTCGATCAGCGAAGCGCACGGGACTCTCAGCGCCACCCCTGGCTGGAAGCGCAACCCAAACGTATGATCTAACGCCCAAGTGAGGCTCATCTCGAATCCCCGATTCGATCAGCGAATTGTACCAGACCTTCAGCGCCCTCGTGACCCGCTAACCTGATGAGCTACTCCAGCTTCTGAGCAACCTGCTCCTCAGTCACTTCAGATTTCGCTGCGCACACTCTAGAATTAGCAGGCGCGCCTTAAAGAACGAGACTGGCTCCTGTCACTGAAACTCCAGACCCGCCCACCCCTTGCCTTTGACCTCTTCACACCTCCGCCTGAACTCCACTGCACTCCCACTATACCTCGCCACACTCCTCACCGTCTTCCCCTTCACATTATGATTTACTCCTGTCATCCAACTATCCACCTCGTTCGACAACAAGCCTCCACTCGCCTCGTGCACATGCTTCGTCCACTTGTCCACCGCGTCCTGCGTTGGCTCGACGTAAGTAATTCCTTTCTCCTTGCAATGCGCCAACAGATCCGAGACAACGTCGACGGCATGTTCGATGCTGCGTGTTGCGTTTCCAAAAGGCTGATGCGGGCCGAGGATCATGAACGTGTTAGGCATGCCTCGGATAGTGAGGCCGAGGTAGGTCTGCGGACGGTGGTCGAGCCAGATGGCGGTGTTGCCACGATCCGAGGGATTATCGCTGCTGGAGCCGATCAGGGGCCGGTCGTCTTTGGCGTGGAAGTCGATGGCATTATACGCGCCCGTTATGGCGTCGAAGCCGGTCGCGTAGATGAGAATATCGAGGTCGATGTGGTCGGTGGAAGTCTGCACGCCAGTTGCGGTGATTTCTGTGATGGGTGTTTCTTTCAGGTCGACGAGATGGACGTTCGCTTTGTTGAAGGTTTCGAAGTACCCACTTTCCAGTGGCACGCGTCTGGTGCCGAAACCGTGGTTCTTGGGAATCAGCTTGTTGGCTGTCGCGGGATCGTGTACACGTTGGCGGATCTTGTCCGCCATGAAATCTGAGTACAGTTTGTTGGCCTCGCGGTTGGTATATGTGTCTTTGAAGGCCCCAATCCACTTGCCGAAACCTGGTTCCGAGTACAGCTTTTCCCACAACTCTCGCCGATCGGCTTCGCTGATGTCAAGTGACACGCGGGGGTCTGCTTCGTGGATGAAGCACATGGGCGTCTCGGCACAACGTTTGAAAATCATATCATACTCCGTTCTGAATTTTGCCATCTGTTCGGGCGTGATCTCGGTATTATGGAGCGGCGCGGACCAGTTTGCTGTACGCTGAAATAAATGAAACGACTTCAGTCCGGGAACCTTGGCGATCTCCGTGACGCTCTGTATAGCTGTCGCACCTGTGCCTATCATCCCAACTCGTTTGCCAGCAAAGTCTCGATTTAGGTCCAGATCTCTCGGCCAGCGCGAGGTATGGAATGACTGACCCTTGAATGCCTCCACACCTGGGATGTTGGGCAGAGTCGGGGCCGACAAGAAGCCAATGCAGCTGACGAAGAACCTCGTCTCGTACTGATGGCCTTCCTCGTCTGTGAACAGCCAAGTCCGCTGCTGCTCCTGCCACTGTGCAGACTTGACTTGAGTATTAAACTGCATATCTTTGTATAGCTCATGTTTCCGGCATACCAAGTCGACGTACTTCAACGTTTCTGGCTGTGGTGAGAATGACTCCTTCCAGTGCCACGTGTCAAGCAGTTCCTTATCCCACGAGAACGCATACGATACTGATTCGGAATCGAATCGGGCTCCTGGGTAGCGATTCCAATACCATGTCCCACCGCTGCTGCTCCCAGCTTCGATGACTTTGATCCGCCAGTCAGGGAAGCGCTCCCGTAGATGATGAAGGGCACAGACTCCGGAAAAGCCGGCACCGACAATCAAGATGTCATAAGGCTCTGGCGTGTGAACCGCACCGTTCGTGACTGTCGTTGCGCCGTTAGACATTGTTCCATGCGAATGCTGATCACGTCCTCCAGATTCGTTCGTCGAAGCCTTCTCTTTAAGCGCGGCTTGTATTTGATCGTAGCGATCTTGCTTCCGTTTCTCTTCCGCTGTGAACAATTTGTATGCTTCCAGAGAGCCTCCCATGACCGGAGGTCCGCCGGACTGTGATAAGCTAACAATTATTACAGCCAGCCAGTGGCAAGATATGAGCACAGTACGATATCTGTTGTCAGCAAGAACGATGAAGAAAGCTGCAGTACATGGGGAATGGGAACACTTCGTGGTCCGCTCGAATATCGAATGGATAAGATACCGTATCGCAAACTGTGCATGGGACCGAGCACGCCACGCCGACTCGTGCAGTGGTCTACTCCGACATGCATGCTGTAAGCTTCTTTTCCCCGCACTCGATCAGAGGGCGCGCGAAAGGGAGCCAATAGCCAGCCCGTCACGGCCATCTTTGCCTTCTCATGGAATAGCTGCCGTGAGACAGGCGGTGGCTTCACGTAGTCGTGTCTGCCCCGAAACCAAATGTCGAAGACTGCGCGCGAGAGAGAAGTTTCGATGGGGTTAATCGTAAAGCCCAAGCGCAAGGCAACGAGGCAAGCACGAAGATCGGAACCAGGCTCCGGTCTTGGCAGATGTAATGGAGACGGGAGATAGATTGCCACTGCTCCTTACAAAGTTCTTCTAGGATAGATTCATGCCTTCAGAAAGACTGTGTCCGAAGTCAGAAGTGGCATCACGATAGACCCGTCACAATTCTCTGTCGTAGCTTCCCCGCTCTGCGGCCGCTTTGTCGCGCGGCGCTCCCTCTGTGGGCTACGGCAACCATGGCCACATCTACGACCACCAATGGCAGCCATAGCGCGGAGAAGAAAGAGATCGTGATCATTGGCGGCGGCATAATAGGCGCCACCACTGCTTACTTCCTTACGCGTCACCCTGCCTACTCGCCTTCCACTCACAGCATCACCATCCTTGAAGCCACTGGTATCGCCTCTGGTGCGAGTGGCAAAGCCGGCGGCCTGCTGGCTCTATGGGCGTATCCTTCATCGCTTGTTCCTCTGAGTTTCAAGTTGCACAAGGAACTCGCGAAGGAACACGACGGTGCGAATCGATGGGGGTATCGCGCCCTAGGCGTCGGCCAGATTGAGTGTGTTGGTCGGAAGATAGGCGACAGCAACGTTGAGGGAAAGGGAGAGGAGGTCAAGGGAGTGCATGATGTTAATGTCGGCGGCGGTGCTACTGGAGATGGAAACGTCAGTCTGCAAAAGCGGAGTAAAGACAGCTACAAGCGATTGCAGAAAATGGGGCTTCCGGATGACTTGGACTGGGTGTCGGCGGACGCAGCCAGGGGCTATGAGGCAATGGGCTCGGAGAAGGATACTGCCCAAGTTCATCCATACCAATTCACGACTGCGATGGTCGAGCTCGCAAAAGAAAAGGGCGCCAAGGTCATTATCGGACGGTGTACTGCCCTCGACACCACCTCCAAGACTGTTACATACACAAGTTCCTCACCGGGTCAGCCAGATACAGAGACAAGGACGATTGAAGCAACAGATATAATTCTCACCACCGGCGCCTGGACTCCCACCATTCTCCCGTCCGTCCCTATCGGTCACACCCGAGCACACTCCGTGGTCATCACGCCCTCTCGGCCTGTCTCCGCGTACGCACTTTTCACCTCCATTTCCTTGCCCCGGGACTACAAGCAAAACCACAAGTCTCGCCCCATGCACGTCACGCCGGAGATTTATGCTCGGCCTTTCAACTCAGTCTATGCCTGCGGCGAGGGTGATCACCTCGTTCCACTCCCTGCCACCACAGCAGACGTGGAAGTTGACGACTCTCGGTGTCAAGACGTCATCGACTATGTGTCAACTATCTCGGACGAGCTACGCGACGGTAAGGTTGAGGCCCGGCAGGCATGCTACCTGCCGATTGTGGAGTCGGGTGGCGGGCCGCTCGTGGGTCCTACAGGACACGATGGTGTGTGGCTGGCTGCGGGACATACCTGTTGGGGCATACAGAATGGGCCAGGAACTGGCAAAATTATGAGTGAGTTTGTGATGGATGGGAAGGTGACCTCAGCGAAGAACATTGGCGGATTGGACCCAAGGAGGGTTCTGTGATCGCCATGAGATGCTTGGCGATTTGGCTGGATGACCGACCGTGGAACTCCAGACATGTACTGTAATGTGTGACGACAGCTGTGATCAGGAATGAAGCACAGCTGAAAGGCCTTCTGAATGGCCATCGACCACTTCCTAAGCTCAAGATTTGCAGCGACTGCCCCGGGAGTGGCAGCCTACGATCTCCTCGGCGCCGTCAACCACCCCAAAACAGCCAGTCCAGTCATTGCTCCGACCATGCCCATCTCCGCGTCATTGTACCACTGCCCATACAAGCCTCCACCAAACCCAAAAATCGCAAGCGCTAGCCCAATGTTGCGCGTCGATGGTCTGTACAGACAAGCCGCAGCGATGAGGTCGAACGCACCGAACAGTGCCTGGATCTGAGGATACGTAAGGTGAAGGAACCAGAACGCGCGATGAGAGTTCGGCGTCATGGTATCAACGTTCGCGGCCAGATCAGGCGTGAAGCGGTCGGTGTAGTGGGCTTGGCCGGCCAGGGTGTAGAGGATTGCGATGGAGAGGGCAATCGCGTTCGAGAGGAGGGTCAATGGTTGGGACATGCTGAACTGGGATGTCGGATCGCTTCAGGCTTTTGCAGACGTCCTCTGGTGGTATATATCCTACTGCTGCTGTAGGAACATGTATGAAGGATGCTCAGAGGTGCACTGGTTCGGGTTGCTTTAGAACACGTCTCAGGCATCCCGTCTTAGCTCGCGAGAAGACGATGTCCACTGCCAATGACGCACAGTCTGACTTTGTCCTTTTGCGACCAGACTGTATCAAATTGGATCGAGATATTCGCTTATGCATTACCTATTGGCGAGCTCACGGGTATGCACTGTACCTATCCCATGCAGGGTCGAGATGCCCAGCGACGCCTGGACCAGGCAACCTTCTCCACAGTTTGAAGATCTGCAGATGCCCCTCACCTCGGCAAGATTGACAGTCTCATAACCGACAGCGGGCATCACCGGCGCCCATAGCAATTCCTAGCGTACCTCGAGTCTGTCGACTTGTGTCTGCGCTGTGGTATCAGGCATCGCCCGTGCCTCTATCGAGATGGATATATCTGGCGTGGCCTTGATCACCGGAGCGGCATCCGGCATCGGGGCAGCCACGGCAATCGCGCTTGCCCGCGATGGCTGCAGCGGTCTTGCTCTGGCCGATATCAACGAAGAGTCAATCTCCAAAGTCATGTCGCAGGTCCAAGCTCTAGGTCTTCCCAAGCAGCCACGCATACACTCTTACGTCCTCGACGTAACGGATGAGAAGGCAGTTGATAGGATAGTGGCTGAGGTGGCCCAAGCTTTCGGACGAATAGACTATCTGGTGAACGCTGCCGGCATCGCGAAGAAGGTACCAGGTGGTGCAGCGTTCACCTCAACACCGGACTGGCAGCGAGTGATAGACGTCAATCTCACTGGGAGCTTCTTTGTGCTGCGTGCCGCTGCACAAGTCATGCTGAAGCAGTCACCGCTGTTGAGCACAATCGATGGGCGGGAGCTACAGCGCGGCTCCATCGTCAACTTTGCATCCATCCTCGGAGCGGTTGGCGTACCTATGACCACGGCATATACCGCGAGCAAGCACGGTGTCCTAGGTCTGACCAAGACAGCAAGCGAGGACTATGCTGCCAAGGGCCTAAGGATTAATGCCATCTGTCCCGGCTATACCGAGACTCCAATGACTATGGGCAATGAACTTGTCAGAGATGTCATGGCAGAGAAGGTGCAGAAAGATGTGCCGATGAGGAGGATGGGAAAGCCGCAGGAGATTGCGGACGGTGTTGTATATCTCTGCGGTGGGAGAAGCAGTTTCGTGACCGGCACGGGTCTGTTCGTGGACGGCGGATATACTCAGCGGTAACACCGTGGGCCTTCATCTTGACGCTGGCGAGTCCTTAACTAAATGACCACGGTTCTGGCATGCCACAACTTTCCGTCGACATCCACACTATGCGAGAATGCTGCTGGCGAAGGCGGTCTCTGTCATCGGATCGCTGTTCTAGGGTGTCATTGGCGGGCATTCGGCCTCTCCATTTGCTCAGACGCAGTGTCAGAGCATCACCAGTCAAAGTGTCGTACCTCTCAGTCCAAAGGTCATCCCTCAGCCATAAAAGGCTACACCGTGATACTTCGCGGAAGCATATAAATCCTACCACCCCGAAGGCTGACGAACCTTTACAGGTTCTCCAGGAAAATGTCCTCGGTACCTGCAATGATCCTGAAGCTTGACAGCATCAAGAACTCTATTCCGTGACAAATTCGCTTCTGATTCGTTGATCTCGTGGAGCTGGACCTCGACCTTCCCGAACAGGTGTAGACCCGAGCCCGAAGGTTCAAAGCCGATGACGAGTCGACCGTGGCGGGCTGGTAGACATGGCTACTACGCGGTGAAGCTGTCGGGATACACGGAGGACTTGAGCTCTCGGCACAGTTGGTGTGGTCGCATTGAACCACGTGGCGATGGCCGAGCTGTACGTCCTTCATAGAAGAAAGCTGGTTGCGAGCTTCGAGCTGGAGCCCCCTCCGTTTTTGCTCGTCACTTGGAAGTGTTGTGTCTGCCGACAAGTGACATTCAACTTCTGACGTGCACACAGATATCTTCAGCATCTTCGATTGTGAAAGCTACCGCACCTCGCGCAGCACTCATACAGCACATCGTCGAAGACCGCTTAGGGCGAATCCAACATGACATACTCTTTCACGAGCGTTGCTTTGCTCTGCTGTGCTGCACTGACAGTTGCAGTTCCAGCTCGACGAGCCAGCAGTGCGTACGCACCCGTCGGAGCTCCTTGTCCAGCCCAGCAACTCGTGCGTCAAGCCGACGGCGTGTCCTCTGCCGAGTCTGATTGGGTCGCCAACCGTTACGGGAAAACATCAGAAGCTCTCGCCACGTGGTTGCAGAATATCGACTCCGGCTTCGAGATCAGCTCTGGTCACTGGCGCGACTGGCATGGCAAGCGACAGTGGAGTGATCACGGATCGCATGGTCAGGCCCCGATCATTGGTCTGACCAGCAGTGGTGGTGGTTACCGTGCCCAGCTATCAGGTGCTGGCGTTGTTAAAGCGTTCGATGGTCGCGAGGCTAACACCACGAAGGTCAGTGGCTTGTATCAGGCTTTGACTTACCATGCTGGCCTCTCTGGTGGATCCTGGCTGCTGTCGTCCATTGTTGGCAACAATTATCCAACGATCTCGTTCCTGCAGACCACACTGTGGGAGACAGCATTGCAGGAGAGCCTTTTGGTTCCCGCAATCCTAGTCTCTGAGGCTGCTCGACCGATCTATGGTCAAGTGGTGGACCAGATCCAAGCCAAAGTAGCTGACGGATATCAATCTTCGATAGTCGACCCTTGGGGCAGGTTGTTGTCTTACGGACTCTTGCTCGGCACAGCTGGAGGCGTGCAAGACACTATGAGCGGTATAAGCGCTTTGCCGAACTTCACATCCTTCAATGGCCCGTATCCTATCATCACAGCCCTTGGGTCGGACCTGAACATTGACGGTACCTGCATTCCACAGGTCAATGCTACTCAGTATGAGTTCCATCCGTACGAGTTCGGGTCCTGGGACCAGGGTGTCGACGCATTCGTGGTCACAGAATATCTCGGTACAAGGTTTTCTGGAGGCGTTCCCGTTGGCAATTGTATCACCCACTACGACCAGCTGGGCTACGTCCTTGGAACCTCATCCAATGTGTTCGCCGCGGTGTGCAGTGCAATACCCGCGAACATGACTGCCGCAGCGACTGCAGTCTCGTTAGCCGAAAACCTCGCTTACCTAGCCAATCCCGGGGCGCAGGGAATTTCCGAGGACCAGATCTTCGGGCTATGGCCCAACCCCTTCCAAGGCTACGGACCATCATCTCATGTCGCGGCCCAGAAGACACTTGACCTCGTTGACGGAGGCGTCGGTGTCGGCTTTCAAGGCAACCCCATATGGCCGTTTTTGCATCGCGACCAGGTAGATGTCCTCATTGTCAATGAGAACTCAGCAGATACCGTCGGAAACTACCCCAATGGCAGCGAGATCTACAACACATACCTAGCCGCAAAGGCAGCTGGGCTAAGCCGTATGCCTGAGATCCCCACTGCGGATGTGTTTGTCGCTCATGGCTTGAACAAGAAGCCGACATTCTTTGGTTGCAATTCGGCCGATACATTGACCATCATCGACATCCCGAACGTCAATTATACTTTCAACAGTGGTGAGCCGACAGCTAAGATCCAGTACTTCAAGAATGAGACCGAGGCAATGATCTCGAACGGTGTGTTGATAGGAAATTATGGTGGTAAGGAAGATTGGCCACTGTGCTTGGCTTGTGGGATCATGAAGAAGTCTGGTGGCAGTCTGCCGAGCGGCTGTGAGGCTTGCTTCGCGGAGTATTGCTATAATTGACCTGCTCTTTGAGTCACCGAGCCAAGGGGAACGAGGTCGGGCGTGCGAGTTTGCGGAGGGGCAGCTAGCGTTAATGATAAGAAACGTACTTAAGATCAGCCTCACATGAGCGCCGCTGACAAGTAATCCGGGCACAATTGTACTCCTGCGAAGCTTATGCCGATCTGCTCTATCTGTCTGGGTATCTGGGTATCTGGGTATCTGGGTATCATTGAGGTAATTTTGTACAATTAGATCGCATCAATACGATCTCGCACAACGCCACATATGCCGCCGGCATCAACACTGCACATTGCAGCTCGTAAAACAACTTCCTGGGTTGCTGACCCTTAGTCGAGGAGATCCACGACTTCCGGCGCCTCTTTCTTGGGAGCACTGATCACCTCAAGGCCATCGTCGTCGGTATCTTCGTCGTCGGAATCGAGCAAGTAGATTTTCTGACCATCGGCACCTTTGATCGATTTGAGGTGGGTCGGGCTGGGCGAGTCATTGCCGTCTCGCTCGCGCTTGACGGAACCGCGCTCTTTCTTCAGAGCTTCAGCCGCCTGTGACCAATGTCAGAACTTCTCCATATTGTGCAGAGACGTAAACGCAGACGTACCCGTCGTTGTCGTTCCAGTTGGAGGAGCTCCTGCCGTGTCAGTGTCTCCGGATCGCGCTCTTCGAGCGGTACAGGCGTCGGAGAGCGTTCGATTATCAAGAGAGCCTGGAGTGCGCCTGCTCGAAGTCAGCCACCGTCGTGAAGTCCGTGAGGTTACATACGGCGTGTGCGGTAGAGAAAGTCGAATGTAGCGAACGGATGGTGATCTAGCCTACGTCTGTCTTGGGTGCGTGGCCCAACTCCAGCAGTACCAGCCATGAACCTGTCTCAGCATCAGCACGAGCCGCTCAAGTCTGATGCAAACCTACGAAGTCGTAGCGTCTAATGGTCGACCCTTCAGAGCCTTTTCGGGCACTAGGTCTGTTTGTTGTCCAACAGCAAAATAGTTGTGAGTGGTCTCTTGCTGAGCTCCTATTTTCTGACATCGGTACAGCTTGACGGTCAACTTGCCCAGGTCGCCGTACTTGTTCTTCCACGTTGCAGTGTCATCGGAAGCAGTCTTGTCTCCTATCTCTCATCAGCTCGCCATCAAGCTCATCGGGCGTCCGCCTCACTGGTCTCGAGATCAGCAAAGACCCATCGATGATGTTTCGCAGCATGACCAACACCGGACCAGGAGCCGTCAAGGTGACTGCTGAACGAGAAATGCTTCTTGGGATCGAAAGTCGGCTTGCCAAAAAGGATAACTCGAGCAAATTTCCCGTCTAAGTACGCCGCAGCTTCAATTGCGTCCGCGCCCTGCCAGGAGAACTTGCGATGGATATGAATCTTGAAGCAGAATGGAGTGCCTGACTCAATATCGATGTATCGGACAATATGTCTGGGCTGTTCTGGATCGTCTGTTTGCTCGTTGTCCTCATATTCTCTTGCTGCATGGTCATCAGGTCGGTCTCCCGTTAGAACCCTCACGGTGGCGCCTTCAAGCTCAGGCATAATGAGCGATTATCGAACGCATAGATTGTGTAAAAGCGAATGTGAGCAGTGGTCGAGCAGGAGTTGTGTCCAAAATGAAGCGAGTTGGGAGGGGCCTAGTCTATTTACAGGCTAGCTAGTTGCCTTGCACGCGTCGCGCCTTCCCGCCTGGAGACGCGTCTTAAGGTTTTGTGGGCCAGCTTGGGCAGGAAGACACCACACCTGGGCAGGCATATGTGATGGCCTTTTGATATCATGATCGCTTGGGAAGGCTTGACAGTCAGTGACTTTCTGAGACTATGACCCAATGTCTTGAAGCAGGAAAAGTGCCGCAACATTTGCCGATATTATGGACAGCTGAAGCGTAAAGTGAACACCTTGGGCAGGACACGGTGCCCACTCCCCTCAGCCAATATCAGACAAGGGACTCGCCTCTGGACGAGTTTCCTCCGGTCGATCAGTAACTTCGCCATTGCCTGTTGAATTGTGCCCGTTCGCGATAGGATTCGCTGCGAGCTCAAGCTCTGTGGATGGCATTGACAGCTGACCAAGCGTCCGCCATCTAAGGAAGGCTTCAGATAGTATGTCACCAGTGCCTGTCTCCTCTACCTTGAAGACTTCGAGATCCGGAGAGCGCTCGCGTTTGCGGATCCGCCAAGTTCCCTCCGATGTGATGATGGTCTTCAGCCAAGCAAGAAAATCGCTGGTGATATTGATACACATCTGAGTCCACGTGCGCCTCCCTCGCAGCACTCTGTCTGGAATGGTCTGTGTGTCGATCTCTTCGAGTCGCTCCAGCATTCCTTGCGAAGACCTATACCCAACTATGACCTTCGGCACTCCAAGCAGAAAGGACTGAGCCCAGAACTTCAGCAATTTGCGCTCGAACTTCACGATGTCGCGATCGTTGGAGATCTCTGCAGTCGTCTTGAGCTCAATCCAGTTGATCGGCTCCTTGCTATCCTCGGGCTTGTAGGCTTCGACAGCGTCCACCTCACCACCAATGATGAGCTTTGTCGAGCCAAAACCCGTGCGTACGATGGAGCAGTACTGAGCATAGTTGCTCACTACTTCTGTCTCCCGTGACTCGATGTATTCTCTGGGCGTCTCTGACCAAGTCTTTGGCAGCAAAGAGAGAGTTTCAAACTTATAGCCCCAGAACGACATCAGATCTTGAGACATTTGCCCTCTGTGTGCTCCGGCCTGATTTTGCTTTTCCCTGCTTTCCAACTTCTTGTCTCGGTTTTCCTCAATGAAGATAGTGCCTTGAAACAACGTGGCATTCATCTCCCACTCATCGAAGTTTGCGTAGGGCGCCGTCATGATCTGTACGTCTCGAATCAGCCTGGACTGATCCATCCCTAGTCGAGTCTCTTTTCACCTTGGTCATCATTCCCCGCCAGGTCAAAATGTCGACGTCCAGCTTCAAACCTTTGTTGGCTTCGTGAGCAGCGACGGCGTCGACCAGGCCATCGAGGTGGTCATCCTTGCTGTCGTCGAGTTGCCGGAAGGTCTCAAAGCCTTGATTCAGATCGGCGGGCAAGGTTGGGCGATAAAAGTACCGAAGGCTGGACGCATCGAGTCGGAATCTGTGATCGTCATCGAATGAGAAATACGTGATTTCCTGCAGTCGTCAGTCTGTGGTCGGCACAAATGCAACAGCACATACTCGTGGCCGCCGAATTGCGGCGTTGCCCACCCCAGCATGATGCGAGGGCAAGATGGAGAAGGTGTGAATCTCGACCATATCAACAGCAGGTCGACCGAGGAGCGGCCATCGGGATGACCAGCTCTATCCGCTGCTTCTTGCAGAAGACAGTCTCATCATGCCTACGAAGGGAAGATGTGGTAGATCAGATCGTTGTTGGCGAGCCGTGTGAGCAGCAGCGTCATTGGAGACAGGTCACGTGAATACGCGTTATCGACGCCGTCGCGTGTATCTCTCAGACCCCTGCGTGTACCCTGAATGGATCAACTTCAAGGGACAGAGAACGCGTCGTGATGTTGCACATTTTGCTGATGATCTGTCACGGGTCATTGGTATGCGGTGCTTGAGAAGTAATCCGTCAGCTATAGACCGCCAAGCCTCTAGAAACTGATATCTTGGCACGGAGTTTGTACAGGTCGTCGTCGTCAGGCCGCTTGAGACGTCTTCTTCGATCTGTAGTCCCTGATACACTGCATAGCGACGGCGCATTTCCTTAGCATGGATGAGCGGGCGGGCAGGCTGCACGCTGAATCAACGCCCATGCGCACCTAAAGATCGACCTGAACTGCCGACCCTGCAATCGTACCCAGGATAATGCCCGCTGCTCAACGTGTGGCATCGATCATACTTGCAAATATTTTGCTTGTAATATCCATTGCCATCTTTGCAGCTGGTTTCTTTCCGTACAAAGCCTTCATTCCCGGACTTGCAACATGGCAGCCGGATTCCAGGCGGACGTCATCACGACCTCCGTTTGACAAGGTGGTTTTCATGGTCGTTGATGCTTTGCGGAGTGACTTTGTCTATTCCAACACGTCCAACTTTCACTTCACCCAAAGTCTGATTCGAGATGGAGCTGCGATACCATTCACAGGGCATGCCAGTCCGCCTACCATCACCATGCCTCGAGTTAAGGCCATCACAACAGGATCGGTGCCAAGCTTTGTCGATTTGGTGCTGAACTTCGCAGAGTCAGACACCACCTCTACGCTCGCAACTCAAGACTCGTGGCTGGCACAACTGCGCGCGAAGAAGACTGGCAAGCTTGTCATGTACGGTGATGATACATGGTTGCGACTATTCCCGGGCTTCTTCGATCGGGAAGATGGCACAACGAGCTTCTTTGTCTCTGATTTCACAGAGGTCGACAACAATGTCACAAGAAATGTTGGACCTGAGCTTAAGAATTCTGACTGGTCAGTAATGACGTTACACTACCTTGGTCTGGACCACATTGGGCATAAGACCGGTCCTCGTGGTCCAAATATGCCAGCTAAGCAAGCAGAAATGGATGGTATAGTCCAAGAAATATACGAGGCGATGAAGGCGGAGAAGCATCTTAATTCAGCGCTTCTCGTCCTCTTGGGTGATCATGGCATGAATGAGGGTGGCAACCATGGCGCCAATTCTGCTGGAGAAGTGTCGACTGCTCTTACCTTCATATCGCCCAAATTCAAAGCCGTAGCCGGATCTCGGGATTGTCCTGCCACAGCGCGTGATGACTTTCAGTTCTACCAGACGGTCGAGCAGTCGGACATCGCCCCTAGCCTCGCCGCACTGATGGACTTCCCAGTTCCCAAGAACAACTTAGGGGTGATCATCCACCGCTACTGCAGCTATGGGAAAGGCCTGAAGACCGGTTCAATCTTCTCTACGAAAATGCCAGGCAAATATGGGACATCGTCCGAGGAACGTTCCCTTTGGAATCCTCTCGTGAAGTTCAGGTCACCGAGTGCGCTGTAGCCGAATCTGATGCCGTGAGACTAACCTGCCTGTGGCAGGCGGCACAAGCACGGGCTCAGGGCACTGCCTCTACACGTATTGAGGACGAGAAAGCCGTTCAGAACTTCTTGTATGAAGCTCAGAGTGTTCTCAGTGGCACTGCCAGCAACTACGACACCACGAAACTGCTCGTCGGGAGTGCCCTAGCTCTGCTGAGCTTCGTGCTCGCCGGCACTACTTTCTATCTCAGCGCAACGCCACCCTCAGCACTGACGGCTAGCATCTTCGCGCTATTAACAGGTCTATACGCAGTCACAATGTTCGCCTCCAGCTATGTGGAAGAGGAGCACCAGTTCTGGTACTGGTATTCTGGCTTTTACATCCTCCTACTTTTCTTCAAAGCCAGTCGCTTCACGAACCCTCTTAGATCTGCATCTTCTTCATCAAAGACACCTCTACTTCAGCCCACGCTGAATCAGAAGTCTGCGAAATCGATGTCAAAACAACGACGATCACTCTTCCCAAGCCTCGACCCGTCACCGCGAGCCCGCCTTGCACTTTTCCTGCTTCTGACCTCACTCACCAAACGCCTGCGTCAGACCGGCCAGAAGCACTCTGGATCGCCCCACGACCTGTTGACTTCACTCCTTCAACCTAATCCAACGCTACTCTGGATCCTCATCCTCGCAACTTACACTCTATACTCTCGCCGCCTTTCCTCCCGCGCCTCCGTCCGCTGGCTGAAATCAACGTCCCCGACAATCGGCGCCATTCCTGTCTTGGTCGTCATGAGCACTCTCGTATTCAAAGTCGCCTTTACGGCGGCTGACGCGCCAGAGTTGGTGGACGACGTCATCGTGCTGAAGCCACTCCTGGCTTTAGTGAGAGGCTACCCTCTGGTGAAGCTTGCACGGCTCGCGTTCGTAGGCCTGGCACAGATGCTCGGATGTGCGATCTGGTACGAGAAGCCATGGGCTGGTCGAGCAGAGCTGACGGGTTTCGTCGAGGCTTTGAGTGAGATTGGTGGACTTGCTTTGATGATGCAGACACGAGCTAGTTACCTGGTAGTATACTTGGCTTGGGAGCTTGGCGTGGGATTGCTGCTGAACATGGATGCACAGCAAGTTCACAGGAAGGAAGATGTTAACACGTCAAAGCAGAACAGCGTGCAACAGTCCTCGCCGTCCTCGACCACAACTAGCCGGTCGTTGACAACGCCAGCCCCAGTCCTCGGCCCTCACGAAATCACCGTCCTCAGTATTCTCCTCCAACAATCCTCCTTCTTCGCCCTCGGCGGCACAAACGCAATCTCCACCGTCGACCTCTCCAACGCCTACAATGCGTTGCCGGCTACAATGTCGCCCTCGTCGGCTTACTGACCTTCGTATCCAATTGGGCTGGACCAATCTGGTGGAGTCTCGCCACTGTGCGCTTGCTCCTCAGCAGAGTCCCTACCGATGGAGACAGGAAAGTGCGAGATGTGGTGTTTGAACATTTTGTTATGTTGACGGTGTTCACGGCGGCGAGTGTGGCGAGTGTGATGGTGGCGTGTTTTGTGTTGAGGGAACATTTGTTCATTTGGACGGTATTTAGTCCGAAGTATTTGTATATGGTGGCGTGGACGGTTGGGCCGCATGTGGTTGTGAATGGGGTGTTGGGGACAGGGCTGTCGTGCTTCAGTGGCGCGTGAAGATGCCGTCTCGCGGATTGCAAGCCACAAAGGCCACGGCATCAATTGTTGCGAACCCGTAGCAAAAGCCATATAGGAAACGGGCAAAAGGCGGAGACTCCTAGCCACGCAACCGAACCGACGAGTCAGAGCCACTACACCATTCAGCGAGCTTAGACCGGCACCAGAGACCTGTCTTCTACATTTAGCCCTTTCAGTCACTACGTGCAACAGCAGCGGACGACGCACGCTGCACGCTACTCGCTGCAATGCTTCGACATGAGGAATTGGCCTCATTCTCCCAAGACATTTTGCATGAACGATAAACTGTTCAACCCTGACGCACCTGCTCAAGAAGATCGGGGTACAGTCCTTGGGATCGGAGCCTTACGGCAATGTGCTACGAGTCGGCGACTGTGCTGGCACACACATCAAGGTCTGCAAGAACCGGATGCTGGGAGATTTCAGAGTTGATGTTCGCAAAACCATGCCACGTCACGTCAAAGTGGCTCGTTCATGCAGACCACATGTCAGTGGGGCTGCGCAGATCGGAAAGGTCGTGGAGATTCGGATGCGTACAATGACTAGGCGAACTACTACTGAAAACTCCTCATGGGAAGCAGCCTGAATACTTTCATATCAAGCGTATCTTCCGTACTTCCGAGATACAGAAAGCCTTATCATCTGGAGAGTCGTCTACTTGGCCGATGCCAATCCGTCGATATGTTTCAGGTTTCACGTTCACTCTCTTCAGCAACAAGAACGTCTCCATGACTGTGTCGTCACCTTCCCAAAAAGAAGTCGACAAATGCAGGCAAGTCAACTCCTCCGCTGGTCTTCGGTGCTCTGTGTCCCATCTGACCAGCGGCTGCAGCTCGCGCGAAGAAGTAGCACCGCTGCGGGAGAGCATTTTCATCAAGCACCGAGGTGTGGGCCCCTGCTCTTTCAGTGCGACTTCTTCAGTGTACACGTAGACACCTTCGACCGGCCCCCGGACCTCCATGAATGCATGCTCGGGCGCTGCTTTGAAGGGGACGCCTTCCCAAGACGTATGCCAGTTCGTTACTCGCGCGTGGAAGTCATGTGAACCAGCATATTGTCCTCGCGCTATGACCTCGCCTGCCCAGTGACTCCAGACCCCTACAGGACACGACAGCCACGTCCAAGAAGGCAACCGATCGGTACATTCGTTGACCAACGAGGTCCCATCCAGTGATCCACAACGGGCCCACCCCAGATCCTGGTGGATGTTTCCTTTCCACATCCCAATGCACGGTGAGTCGCCCGTTGCTGCTCGGAAGCGATTCACGAGCCCAGCGAAAGCGATCAGGCGGTCTTTCGGATATGTAAAATTGCGCTCCGAGTAATCGTCAATAAGTTTTCCCCAGAGCGTGTCGACATCGTGCATTGGTTGATTTTCCACGTCGAGCGCAGGTACATTCCAGGGCTCATTCCATGTGGCAGATACGGTCAGTCCGCTTTCGTTCTGGCATCCTTGATTGCAACGCCAGTAGAGCTCAGATCGATAGCAATGCACAACACGCTGGCTCAAAGTGCTCTCAAGCAGAGTCCACCCTCTTGTCCGCAGTAGAGGGAGTGCTTTGTCTGGCCGGCCGCGGCTCGGCAGCCCCCTATCATGCACCTGAACAAATAGAGGCGGTTCTGACTGGTCGTCGCCAGTAATAGCAAGATGCACCCTACCGGGAGCCTCATTACCTGACGGTGCTTTGTGGCTCGCAAAGAATCCAGAGGAGGCAGAGTGACCATCACTGGCGGCGATCGTGAGTGTAGCACCCAGGTAGACTTGGTCCATCCTGGTGGCTTCCCGTTTCCATTCGGCAGGGTCGTCTTGTAGGATGCATAGCGAGTCGATCCATAGGTATCCAATGTCCAGCGTCTGCGCAATCTGCACGGCATCTTGAAATGTTCGAGGCAAATCACGATATGGGATCTGCGAGCGGTGCTGAAGTTCGTTCTCGCGCGTTGTCCGGAGTAGTACACCATTACTTCCCCAGCAGTAGCTTAGAGCTGCGTATACTACGTCTTGCTCCGGCATACGCGCAGTGTCAACGAGACGGAGTTGAGGATCGGCAGAATTCTCTATCTGAAGCAATCTTGTTGGCAGACGTTGGCTTCGTGGTACACAATCTGCGTGTTCCAGACGACACGCATCAAACCATATTCTCATCCGTCGATACTTCTCGTCGATTGTTGTTGGGAAAGAACGCCATACTGGCAAGGTGGCGCTCGAGTCTGAACACACGTATTAGCCACTCGATTCACAATCAGATCACGCGAGTGGTCCGAACCTGTATCATTGCATGAAACGACGGTAAAATAATAGTGCATGCGCTCGACGTCGGTGTCGAGGCGCAGGTCGATGAGTCGATAATATGTGCCGCTGGTTGCAGCAACAACATCCCTGACATTGATCTGTACCCGATTGTCATCAATCGTATGCTCATCGATCCTCTCGTCCTGTTCGCGAGCCGCTTCTAGCACGACTTGCCGCCTAGCCAGAAAGATCGCGCACAAGGAGCACGACCCAGCTTTCTCTCTGATCCGTCGAAATGTCGTTTCCCGGTGGAAGTCGGTTTCGGTGGTCGCCATCCGCCAGCAAGTCGTACACAACTTGCCAGGAATCGGCTGAATCGTCGCCTGTTGCCCCGTCAGGGTCACCGGTTCGCTCTGTCCAGTGGCCTCCATAGCTAGACTGCTTGTACCTTGTGTCGAAAGCTTGCTCGGAGAGCTTCTGCGGATTACATGCCGAGTCTCAGCGTCGATTCAAATAAGCGGTGTCAGCGAGCAGCAGACGCGTGATGTCGCTGGGCGGAAGGTGGGAGAAGGCTCATCATTTCAGAACCGCCGACGGAAAGCGTCGCCTTAAAGAAAGCCTTTCTCCCTTCTCTGCGAGATCATGCTGCCTCCACTCTCGGCCAGCATGGCTGGCGGTATGTTGTTAGGGGAAGTACATATACCAAAGGCCCACAGGAACTTTTGCGCGATAAGGTTCAATGTTGACAGCTGTCAGCGGGTGGCGGGGCGATCTAATCGCGCCACAAACTGTTAACATCGTCATATTTGCGACCCAGTGAGCTTTTGTGAAGGCGCGACCGCAGAATTTTGACTGAACAACTGTGAGCAAGCTCGAATGCTAGCAGTCGGCGAGGCAAACTCCGTCTGATTTCTACGGCTCATTTGCCTAGCGCGGCCGACTCAGCCACCTCACTCCACACAGAACATTGAGCGTCGAACATTGAGTGGGTTCTACAGAGCGATCTAGATGCTGCAGTCTGCCTCGTAAGCTCATGCTGACACTGTCCGACTGGGTGATCCCGAATTTTCGATCAGATGACAACCGAACCTTTGATCGGATTCACAGGCAAATATTTTGCAATCGAGAACGCGCCATGAGGGATTAGTCTACTTCATTCTGGAGCATGAGACAAGATACATTACAGGTCGCCATATGAACATGATGTCTATCAGGCTGGCTGATCTTTCCACGCCAAAAACTTGCCAATCTCACCACCCATGGTCTTGACATCCAGCAAGAACGTATCGTGTCCGAACAAACTCACATCTTCGCCCAGCTCATGATGCGCGACCTTGTAGTTCCCCGTCGCACGTATCGCTTCAGCGATCTCCCGCTGCTGCCACGCAGGAAAGAGGATGTCAGATGCTACACCCATGACCAATACCGGATGATTCTGTAGGTTCTTCAGGCCTTCGACCAGGTCCGCGGGAGGACCACTCGCTTGAGCAGAGGCCACCTTCTCGTCCATGGGCGCAACTGTGACCGTTTCCTCGTAGTTCTGCGCTGGCAGACTCAGCGAGCAGGAAGGATCATCTCTCGCGGCTTTTGTACGCTCGAGGAGACGCTTCTCATTCTCTGCCCTCCGTTTTCGTGTAGCTTGCTGGTGTGCCGCGCCAAGATCGAAGAGGTCCATCGCTTTCGATACGTAGAGCAGAGAGTTGGGGTCGTACTCGAGACTGAACTTCTCACCAGCATGGTCCAGATATGTTTCAATCAAGAAGTCAGGGCACAAAGCCGGTGGTTTGCTGGGATCAGCACGCTGGCGTCCGAAGCGTTGTTCCCATTCCGGACCACTGCGGTACGTGACTGTGGCGATCTCGCGAGCGAGCTTCATACCGCTGTGTGGTGGTATAGATTCGTAATAGAATCCGCGATTCCACTTTGGATCCATCATGAGCACTTGTCGTTGGGTGTGTCGCATCGCAATGCTGTAGGGATGCGAACGAGCACAGCCGGAGATAGACACAATGCGGCCTACGCGTTCTGGAAAGTGCACGCCAAAAGCGAGCGATTGCATGCCACCCATGGAAGCTCCTACAGAAGCGTACAGCTTCTTGATCGACAGATGGTCAAGCAAGCGGGACTGAGCACGCACCATATCGTCCATGGTCAGGATCGGAAAGCGTGTCGCATACCGCTGACCGTCAGATGGGTCGATGCTGGACGGACCAGTGGATCCATAGCAGCCTCCGATTACGTTTGTGCAGATGACGAAGTATTTGTCAGTATCGAGAGCTTTGCCAGGACCGATGAACTTCTCCCACCAGCCGGGCTTTGGGTTGGTGGCTGTACTGTGGGCGTGACTCGAAGCAGAGAGACCAGTGTGAACCAAGATAGCATTGTCCCGACTGGCGTTGAGCGTACCCCATGCCTCGTACGCGATGTCGAACTCGCGCAGCGTGCCGCCCCAATCTAGAAGAAATGGCTCTTTATTCTTGAACACAAGGTGCTTGCCAGTGGTGTAGGATGGCTCCGGCCCTGACTCAATGGATCGATTCTGTAGCGTCGCAGTCTTTTCCTCTTGTGCGTCGAGGCATGGGAATGACATGGCGGGGTTGGAGGACGAAGACGATACATCCTGCTCGACCTCGGCGACTGCTTGCTGGGCTGCTCGGAGCGGTGTTGTGTGTAACGAAGATGCCAGCTGACGAGATCTTAGGAGAGGTGCCCTTGCAGACCACTCGATACGCCTTGGGCTTGGTCGAGTGCCGCATCCTAGCAGCTTTATAGCAATCTGTGCTCCCCGCGATGTCGCTGCCATGGCGTTTTATACTCGGGACACAGCTTGAGAGGCGTGCTTCGGCGGATCAAACTGCCTACACAACTTCTATAAGGTGTCCGAGGGCGTATATGTTGTCATGTTGGTCGAGTATAAGCTGATGTCGCGGTCGGAAATCCGTGAATATCGCAACGAACTGCTTGGAAATATTTTTGTAGGCCAGGCCTCAAATCGATGTTGACGCCATCGACCGCGGCTGTGAGTGGCCCCGCCTAAGCTGCCTCTTCCGGGAGCTTGTCATCGGTAGGGGCACCCTGATGCCCAGGCACCGTCCCACCATTTACCCCAAATTTTACGATGTTTGGGTAGACTCTGCGACCACTGCATGGCACGAGGATGCCAGTTACCGAGACCAATCCATGCCGATCCTAGCAGCAGCTTCTTGCCAACTAACAAAAATAGAATGTCCATCTGGTCGTAGGGCAACTCCATGAGCTTAGCTTATGGATTCCAAAGACGCGCCGGTAGGTTTTGGTAATGTTGTCGCCTGGAATGCGTACCGCTACCTCGAGCTACAAGTGAGGTATACAAGTACTGCTAACCCAAAGTTGCGGAGGATCTCTAACATTGCCGTCCCGTGGGTTCCATTTCAATGGCTGCCCAAGTAGCGACTATCAACACGGCTCTCGAAGCCTTCCGCGATGGTGACAAGACCAAGTTTCGGTCCATGTTCTGGACGCCATATAAGCTGATACTGACTGATCATCGGGCCAGCTCAGTGTTTGATCTATCCACTTTCATGCTCGGGCCACTCAAGTCGTGGACCACACCAGAAATACACAAAGATGGCTACATCAAGCAGTACAAGACCATGGCCAAATTCGAGCGAACATACCAAGCCCTGACCTTCGGCATCTGGGGCAACTCACTGATGGGTCTAGGCATCGGCAACGCGATGGACCTGGGCCTAATACCACCGTGGAAAGCCCCTTCATACGTAGACAGCAGCTCCTTCACCGAACAAGACATCACCATTCGCCCCTCCTACTTCCAACCCGCCATAGCCGGCACCCTCACCCTGCCCAAAACATCCTCCCCGGACCACAAACTCCCCGCCATCCTCCTCGTCCCTGGCTCCGGCCCCATCGACCGCGACGAAACCGGCGGCGGAGGCAAATGCTTCAAAGACCTCGCCCACGGCCTCTCCTCCTCAAATCTCATCACCCTACGCATGGACAAACCCACCACCATCATCCTTCTCAAGCAACTGCTCACCAAAACCCTCACCCTCGAAGATGAATACATCCACCCAGGACTCGCCGCCCTCCGCTACCTCGCCTCACACCCCAACGTCGACCCTACCAGAATCTTCATTCTAGGGCACAGCCTGGGAGGGCTGGTCGCGCCCCGTCTCTGCCGCGCAGCCGCCCAAGCTAATCCTCGACTCCCCATCGCCGGCCTGATCTGCTGCGCCCCTTCAACCCGCAGTCTCGCCCAAATCATCGCGCGCCAAATGCGGCATTTGAACACGCACTTCCCCCGCGCCGACCCCGCACAGCACGACAAAGAAATGGCGCAGTATGAAGCCGTCAGCCGACTCTTCGACACTACCGGTGGCGTGCTGGGTCCAGGCGACGCCGACCCGACGAAAGATCTCGCTGTCCCGCTGCCCCTGAGCTATCTCAGGGATATCTGGGAGAACGACCCGATTGCGATCGCGAAGGAATTAGACGTGCCTCTGTTGGTTGTGCAGGGGAAGGCGGACTGGCAGGTCACTGTGGCGGATGAGTATACTGCGTGGAGGGAGGGCCTGGAGGGTTCGAAGGCGAAGGAGAGGATGGAGTGGAAGTTGTATGATGGGGTGGGACATATGTTGGGCGAGGTGGATGCGGTGGGCAAGGTCGGGAATTTCCAGTATGCGGAGCCGTGGAACGTTAAGGAGGAGGTGGTGAGGGATATTGGGGGTTTTGTGAGGCAGGTCAGTGGGATTGGCGTAGAAGGGGAACAGTAGGTGCAAGCATGAAGGTAGAGGAAAGGGAGTCGGGACAGCTCCTTGTGCTGTAGAAGTATCAACCACGTCCTCTCAATGTACAATACATATTCATTCGTCCATTCGTGCTGCCGGGTACACCAATCTCCCTGAATCTCACCCTGGGTAAATACTAAATCATCAACCATAATATCTGAGAAACTACCCATGAAGAGCACCTGACCAACCACTCCCTTCGTCCCCCATCAGACCTGCACACTCACCCCATCCACATCTCCCTTCCCCGCCTTACCAGCAGCCACCTGCGTCGGCGTCCTTGCAAAACTCGGCCGCACATCCAACGCCGGATTCCTCAAAAAGAAATTCCTCGGCCGCAACAACAAACTCATCGGCTCCGCCGGCATGACAGGAAAATCCTCGGGAGCAGGGAAATGCGTCAGGCCAAAAGTGTGCCACAATACGACATCGGTGTTGGCCAGTGCGGCGGAGGGATTGGCGGATTGCCACAGAGGGATGCCTTGTGAGGCTCGCCGGATGTTTGGGGGACGTGGCGGCCGGCGGGGTGGATCTGGGCGTCGTCGTCTGTTAGGGATTAGCGATGAATGATAAGTTATGGATCGAGGCCGGTCCGAGGCAGAAGAGAAGATGGGGAGAAAGATGGAGACTTACATTTGGTAACATGCACGGCATGCCGCGCGAACCCGGCGCGTTTCCAGACCAGACTGTTCTCTTTGGGCAGCAGCTTTGGTACTTCACGGCTTACGAGCTTGTAGCTGACGGGCTTACCGCTGTATTTGTTGAGCTTGCTCTCGTTGGACATGTCCCACGAGCGACTGGTGTTGCCGTCGTAGTCGCCGAAGCCGTCCTTTTGTGTCTCGAAGCGGGTCTTCTTCGCGTAGAAGGCGTTTCCGTAGAAGTTCTCGGCGGAGCCGACCTCGCCGGCGCCAGGTGTGGCGTCGACTTGGAAGATGCTATTGCCTGTCTCGTAGCCGTCGATGGCTGGGTTGATGCGTAGGCAGAACAGATGCTGGTGGTTGTGTGCGTTCACGCCGGGGTAGACTTGTGTGCCCCAGCCTTTGGTGTCCTCGTCAGGGAGCATGGCATAGGTGTTCAGGATTCCTGTGAGCTTGATCTCCAGCTGAACAGTGCCGTCCTGGTGGAAGATGTAGTAGACGAGGTATTCGTAGTTGGCGGCGGTAAAGACGTGGCTGATGACAAGTTTGCGCGCGCGAGTGACCACGACGCTGTCGTCGCGAAAATCGGTGTGCTTGAAGAGAATGCCGGCGTCTTCTTCGTGGATGCAGATTGCGTTTTTGATCGTGCTGGCGGCGCCGGACCGGGTGACGAAGTCGAAGTCCATGTAGTGGATTGCGCCTTTGCAGTCGCAGCCGAGCGAGAGAGAATTGGTCATGTAGCCGCCGCCGTACTCGCCTAGGTCGAAGGCGTGCTTGCGCTGATGGGGGTGTTCGGGGTTGCCGTAGGGTACGACCATTTCCGCGAGACTGAGGCGGTAGAAGATTGGTCGTTGCCGGCCTTCGTCGCGGTCGTAGAAGGAGATGTCGTTTAGGATCAGGCCTTCGCGATAGTTGAATCCGACGTGTACTGACCAGTTCTGCCAGGTGATTGTGCGGCCGGTCACGGTGAAGGAAACACCTTCCGGCTGTGTGATGTGGAGAGGTTTCAGATCTGTACGGTAGCCGCCTTCCTTCTCGATGTCTGGGACGTGGTAATTCTGTGGCGGCGCGCGAGAGATTGGACGGCGGACTTTAGGAATATCGATGTGGATGATCTCGCCCTTGGTGGCGTCGTAGATGGGGCAGAAGTCGAGTGGGAAGGCGTATTGTGAGTCGTCGACGTGCGGCCGATAGTACATTAAGGCTTGCTGGAGACGAACGCCGCTACCGAAGCGTTCGTCGTAGCCGATCGTCCAGGGATCGGCATAGACCTTGTGCATTTCAGAGGCAGGGATGCCGATGATTCCGCACTGCTCGATGACTTTGGGGTCTACACGGCATACGTGCTCGACGGCTTGAAGATCCTCCATGGTGATCAATGGCTGTACATCTGGCGTATGTTCCCATTTCTCGATTGCACTGGTTTTCAGATTCACAACGCCGTCGTAGATCTTCCCATCGGTGCCAATGCACACGATGTCGGCCTTTCTGTCTGGCTTGGCGGCGTCCTCTGGACCCGTGAGCCACTTGACCATCTCGGCCTTAGGCGGCTCGAAGAGTGTGACGGCATTGTAGTATAGCTTGCCATGGGCGCTGCGCAATATTGAGACTGCTGATTCAATTTCTGTGAAGGTTAATGGGTCAAGTGGATGGCTTGGCCTGGCAGTGCCAGTGAGCTGCTGGGCGATCTGCTTCACGCGTTCGAGCACCATGATTGCGGTCAGTACCCGGGTGAATCTGAGAAGAGGATCAACAACGACTACAGCTCACCAGAGGTCGAACGCGATGTTTTTGGACCTGGCGTGCCGCTTCATTTTGTAAAGCGGCCAAGACCGCAGTAACACGAGCATCTAGATGCAGCTCATGGCGTTCTCCAGTTGCTGTTACGAAGAAGTTGAAGATAGACGATAACGCGCAGCCAATCAAAGCCATGATTTTGCCGTCCTGAGTTCTCCCCACAACTCGTTGTGTCCTTCCAGAACGGGACACAAAGAACAACTGACCACGGACGAATCACTCTCCTCAACAGCTTGGGAAGTAGTCATTTAGTTACTGCATACTCGGAGAGAGCGCAACTACAGACCGAATTCTATGCGCTGCATTGAGGATCAACGTCAAAAACAAGTACCTAACTTAGGTACATCAACGGCCATCGGTCCCGAGCTAGTGGTACACTATCATCGAAGGGCTACCCTGCTGCAGCGAGATGCAAGCAAGTGGGGTCACACCACGTGTAGTCGGGCTGTAAGACCCTTCCAAGGGCTGTCGACGCCTTATGACTTTAATCTGACCCAAGAGATTCGTGGCGCGTGGGACACCCTGGCCGGCCAGGCACACATGCCCGACTGGCACGGTCAGTGAGCCGGAGGTAGGTTCCTCGAGTTGGGATCGCCTTTCATGAGCCTCATAGGAGACGCTGTCGCTCACCAATTGATGCTAGCAAATGCGCTGGCAGACTTATGCTCGCTGGCGATGTCTGAGACGACGATGGGCTAGGTCCCTCTTGCTAGACACCTCGCAAAGGCCACAGATAAGTGCTGCTTGACTGGATCGAAGAGGACAATGACGATTGCCGGCGACTAGTTTGACGACGATCAAAGCATTCCAGCGCTGCTCAGGTGGACATGTTTGCTGTGCTCTTTGCTGCGTCCATCGTGAAGGCAAGGGGATGTTCCATGGAGTTGCATACTTTGTGTGTCTTCTTTGACGCAGGAGGCCAGCAAACATGGGGTTGAGAGGCAACATCTCCCAAGTTCTTAGATCCTGCAATGTTCTGGCCGGCTGACGACTGCATACACCATCTGCCACTGATCAATAAATTCCCTCGATCGAGAAAACATGCTACGCAAACCATTTGCAAAGCTCTCTGGTGGACTAGAGGCAGAGGACGAGAGCAGAAACTCGTCAGTGAGAAGTGGCGACTCACAGCAACCATTGCTAGGAGGACCGAGCAATATGGGTGTATCCAAGGCAAGGAAAGCACAGCAAGTAAGTGGACCGGACTGCAGGTGCTCTGAAAGCGCAGCGCTGACTTCTCGCTCTTCAACAGGCACAAACATGGGACACAGTGGCTCCCCAGAGCAATGAAACCCGGGGCCATAACATCTGCGAATTTTTAAACAAACCCTTCGGTACACCAGTCCTGGACCTATTGTGGTACTCTGCTGAGGAGGCCAAGGAGTACTATCACAGCCTTCCCGAAGACTGGGCAGAAGTAAGCAAGTGGTGGGCCAGATCATTGCCGGCGGGAGTTGGGACCGACATCGTGGATGAGGCTACGGTAAAGCCTGCTCAACCCCTGACTGATGGCGGAAACAAGGCGCAGGGCTGGCTCGATCCGAATGTCCAGGCCTGGCACACAACACGATGGAACGACCCAGAGTCTGCCGTTGATGTAGCGACACGGAGACTGCGTGCAAAGCTATCATTGTCCACTCTGCGTGACGAGGAGAAGAGCGAGGCCGATCTATTGAGAGAGCCTTTGAAGCTGGCAAGAGCTGCATCGATGCAGAGGCTGTCGTTCGGGCGAGGCGCTGACATCACACATGCTGTCTGGGCGCTGGAACTCTATCTTGGCAACGGCGTTCCATCGACGGCGGTACCGGATGCTCCGTCTTCCGACATGAAGGCAAGTGCCGTCGGTGGCGCAGGCGAACAGCTGAAGGCGAAAGTATCGTTCAAGAACAATACATACGCGATGCGCTTCCCTCGGGATATAGGTCTGGTGGCGCTGAAGGACAGGTTGAAGCAGAAATTGAGGATTGGGATCACCGAAAAAATGACAGTGAGGTACGAGAATCGGGGACGTGGTGACTTTCTGGTGGAGTTGGACAACGATCAAGCGTTGGATGCGGCGATCAATCAATGTGAGGAGGCTCTCAGAATCCACGTCGAGAGTGGTGGTCCGGGGTCTGCAACACCCACAGAAGACGAGGCTCTCCGCATTGCCGAGCGCATGGTTCAGAAGGTCGACATATTTCGCCGTCGCCAGCCAGAGGGGCTTGTCGCGGACGAATACCTCACGGAATCTGCCAAAGGATCCAGGCTCGTTGAGAATGCGGTCAGGACCGTCCGGGTCTGTAAGGGTCTCAGCAAGGTAAAGCCAGAGTCCATCGACCCACGTCATTGGGTCAAGATTCGAGATGCGGCTACATCCGTGAGTACAGCGCTCCAGGCCATGGAACAAGCTGCGTTGGATGTCACCTTCGAGTTGGGTGACGTCGCGCCAGACATCAAGAACATGGGGTCCCGGGTTTTTCGCCAGCGCGATGGATTGGCACGCCCAACAGACGATCAACTCAGGGGCTGGAAGATCAAAGTCGAGTGAAGGGAGGAACGCGAGAGTGTTTCCTTGATGTTATCGCTAGGCAGAGAGGGTGTGGTTGTCAAGGTGGCTGTCTGATACTGCGCAGGAAGTGCAGCGTGCCGATGATGAGTTACCCGCGTCGAGAGAGTGCGAGACGACTATGGATACAGTAAAACAATGTATCTGCGTGATATTGTTGATGGGAAGGAGTTCGCGTATGTATGTCATGCCGTGATACGTGCGCAACTTTGCTCGAACTTGCCTGTTTGAAGATCATACTGATGTTGTGTATCAAGTGATACGACTTGTAATTCAACATCGCCATTTCTTGCATGAGAAGGGCTGGTAGAATCTTCCCATTTTATTGATATGAGACGCTATTCCGTATTCACTTCTTCCACTCCAGCGCTTGGTCGTGGAATCCTTCCTCGTTTCCCCAAGATCTTTCCACCTAATGATGGCTCTCCCCATGACCGTCTCCATGCCCGTGTGTATCCGGAAAGAATAGCTGCTCTGCGACGACGTATACTCCGAATGCGACTGCAGCTATACCAAAGCCTGGGAAGGCGCCCTTGAAGCGATTCCACCTTGTGAAGGGACCAGTGTATCTCCAGATTTCACTGGTTGACTCGTTAGTTGCTCACGGAGCTTCAACATGGTTGTGCTATGCATACTTTCTCTTCCATGGATCTTTTGACCTCCACTGCGCGCTTGTTGAAGCTCGTACGAACTCTTTGATCTCGAAGCCGGTCGGGTTTGGTGGTGCCATTTTTGGGAGGCCGAGAGGCGGGAGTTGCAGCGTGCTATGAGAGCGGGCCCCGAGACCTCTGTGAGCTGCCTGAAGGTATTTCAGGCACAGTCGTAAGTTTTGTAAGCTCGACGCAGAGGGTGTGTCCGCGAACGAGGTCAAAGAATGCAGTGTACTTCGATAGTGAAGTCACTCCGCGTGGAGTCGCGCCGTGCCAAGACTGCGGCTTTCCTCAGCCCGGCCTCGATCTCCGCTGAGGTTGCCAGTTGGTCCTTCTGTTTTATCATTTCATTCAGGTCGTCTGTAATTCGACTGGTTGCCACAGGGCGGGCTTCGTCGCGATGAATGGCTCTCGTGAGGAACCGACAGAGTAGTTCATACTGCTTCTTGTAAGATCTACTTCAGACATTCACTATGCCTCCACGATATGCTGGTGGGCTCAACCCGCCTTTCCACCCTCAAAACCACTTGCAGTCGTACCACCCGACTCAACAACAATCATTTCTGCCACCTCCAGGCCATTCAAACTCTCAGAACAATGCGATCTCGAGTCCCTTCTCTTCGATAGGCCAGTCCGCCGTAAACAACTTCGAACGCGGCACACCCGACACCATGATGAGCGGCCAGCTTGGCTTCGGGAGAGGCTCATCAGTCCAAAACCACCAGGGCTATAGTGAGATGGGCCCGATGAGAGATAGACCCGAAGACAGCCGGATACGAAATGTATGGAAGCACAACCTCAAGCAGGAGATGGAAACGCTGCGGAGTCTGGTCGACGACTATCCATTCATTGCTATGGACACCGAGTTCCCCGGCATCGTAGCCAGGCCTATTGGTCAATTCACCAACAAGAGCGACTACCACTACCAGACTCTGCGTTGCAACGTCGACTTCCTCAAGATGATTCAGCTGGGCATCGCTCTCTTTCGCGAAGACGGCTCCTTACCTCCCAGCGATCACAACGCCAGAAACGGCTACGCAAGTACTTCAGTCACACCATACGCCTGGCAATTCAACTTCCAATTCTCTCTCGAAGAAGATATGTCTGCCAACGACTCGATCACGATGCTCTCGAAAGCTGGCATCGACTTTGAGCGCCACAACAAGCAGGGCATTGACCCTCACGAATTTGGCGCCCTCCTCATCTCGTCCGGTCTGGTGCTTGACCCAGAAGTCCACTGGCTCTCTTTCCATTCCGGCTACGACTTTGGCTATCTGATGAAAACGATGATCTGCCAAGCCCTGCCAGGAGACGAGGATAACTTCCACATGAGGATCAAAAAGTTCTTTCCCTCGCTCTACGACATCAAGTACATGCTCAAGCATGCAGCTGCCCGACAACAGGTCAACGACAACGTTCCGCTTTCTCAGGAGGCCGCCCATATTATCAAGCAGATGTATACCAAGTCTGGTCTACAGGACATAGCCGACGAATTGGGCATCGCTCGTGTTGGACAAGCTCATCAGGCAGGCAGCGACTCGTTGTTAACAGGCCAGGTCTATTTTGAGATGAAGAAGAAGATCTTTGGCGGTAGCATCGACGAAACCAGGTATTCTGGCCAAGTCTGGGGTCTCAACGCGCAGATGCCGCCAATTCTGAACAACATAGCCCCTCGCGAATTGAATGGTGCCACCTTCTACCTTCTGGCGCCCCCAGCACACCCCAATCGACTGCAGCAGGTGTCGCTAACAATCTCGGACCTTCGACCCCGTTCGGCAATTTCACTTACTCTGGTAGAGGCGGTCTAAGTACTTAGGATGGACACGAACCAGTTCGCCATGAAATAGCTGGACGGCGGGACCCCAATGACCACCGGGCGGCCTCTGAGGGCTCAGTGCTACCACCAGGCCTGAATCGGCCACATCACGCGCGTCCACCGCAGCATTTGGTTTCGCCACAGATTACAGGCCCGTCACATAGTATGGTGCCCGCCCCGCGGATGGAACCGCAACAGCGTATAGGCCCGCCGCAGCGAAATGGCTTTGGGTCTGATATTGTTAGAACTACGCAGAACGTCGGGAAGCTCCAGCTGACAGGGAGGGCACCAGATCCGCAAGTTCGTGGGTGGGATTGCCCGTCATGCGACTTTTACAACTTCGAGCGACGGCGACGGAGAGCTTGTTTGAGGTGCTTTGCCGCTCGACCGACCCCTGATGCGTACAGCGGTGGCGACAACGAACCGTCTCCCAGTGCAGACGCGCCCACCCTGCACCATGGGCACGGTATGCAGCGCGCCGGAAGCGACCCTGTTGAGATAAAGCCGAGAAAGCGTGGCGCAAAGAAGAACAGCGAATGGATCAAGGCTCTAAATTTGAGTCGCCGGGAGGCACTGGCTGATAGTCTGTATTATATAAGCTAGGACACAAGATTCTACGCCCTTTCGAATTCCACGTATGTCTCCTGCATCGTTCTCGCGTACAAACTCGACTCTCATCGCTCGGAGACACAGCCGATGGTGGGGTTTAGTTGGGGTGAGGGGAGATATCCGACCAACGATTCGCACTTTGGACTGTACGGGATTTGTGCCGACGGCATTGTAGTCTTTATATGAGGTGATCTCTCGGCTGATATGTTGTCTCTGGCATCCTGTCGTTACTGTGCGTAAACCTGCTTTCATCGTTCCGGACCCATCACACCTCTGGCTGCCGTGGCTTAGTAGAAAATTCCGACACGGAAACCACACAATCGTTCTCCCGGCCAATATCCGAACGGTATACTTAGGCCAAGAGCTATAGAGTGAGCTTCATACCGTAGCAGAGACTTTGACCACCAGCCCGCGAGTTCTTCGCTGCTCATCCTCTGCACGTTCACGGTCACGACATCTCGCGTAAGTCTGCTCAATCCATTACTCGAACATTTACTGACTGTCCTAGTGCTCGGCCAAGGCAATGGCAACCCGGATGTCACCTCCCTGAACTTCGCCAACCCAGCCCGTCGTGATACCATCATGCTCAACGGTGCCCGTGGCCCCAATGCTCCCGGCGGCCCCGGCCCTCTCGGCTACTCCATCATCGGATTCGAGACCGACAACCCAGGTGCATGGTTGATGCATTGCCATATCGTCTGGCACGTCGAGGGTGGCATGGCTCTGCAATTCGTCGAGCGTCCCAAGGACATCAAGGGATACGCCAACAAGCCCGAATTCAAGAACGAGTGCAAGGCCATGGCCAAGTACGAGGAGGATCCAGCCAACCGCAAGCACGCTGGCCAGTCCGGCTTGAAGATCCGAGAGATGTTTGGTGGTGATGTCGTCCGTCGCGACATCCACCGACATGCCCATAAGCACAACTTCTAAATGATCGGGTCCGGGTCCTGCTTGCGAAGCAGGATTTTGGAAGCAACAATGTGTTCATAAGCCCCGTGGGTGGACTTTGTACAACACTCAGGCTCCATTCACGCGATACGTGTCCACGACCATATCAACCTGAACAATATTGTTAATAACTACACACGGTACATCCTGGACAGTGCATCATTGATCGGTATGTCGACAAATCACAGAGAAAAGGGGCAGCGCTCTCTTGGAGCTGGGAAGAGGGCCAAAGCTTTGTGTTCTATGGCAGCTGAGCATGATAGCGCTCAATTAGCCACAGGACATCGGACCTTTCCAGCAGATTAATTCTTTCAGTCTCCTATTTCGCAGCCTGCGACAGGTCATGTCGTTAATCTATATATAACAAACCAAATGCGTTTTCATTTCTTGCCGCCCCTATTAGCTTTCCACTGCTCTTCGAGAAGAATACACACTTGACGAGAAATTCATGACCCGACGTCTCAACAAGCACTTCCCACGCGGCACAATGGGACACGCCCGGTGGTCAGCACTTGGCCTCCGTATGACAACATTTCCTTGCATGCTCTCAAACCACTAGCGTTGCGAAAGCAAGCCAAGGCCTACTCTACCCCCTTGCGGAGCGGAAGTTTGGGAGCTGCCAAGCCTGTCCTTGCTTACCATGACACGCTCGCGTGAAGACAAGAAGGTGAAGATTTCGCTGTAAGGGGTTGTCGTATATGGCTGTGCCAGAAGTTTGGTGTTGACCGGAAATTCCGGGCCCGAGGGCGGCTACTTGCATGACAGCAGCTGCTTTCTCAACGCCAAAATGCAAGAACCAAAGCTGACGCGGTCGGCGGCTCTGTGTTCGATATCAGCCGTTGTGTTCAGTCGCCTTAGCTGCTTTGATAGTGCTTTTTACGTCATGGGTACTAAAGTATCGATCAAGATGCAGGCATTCAACATTGCAGCCCACGATGCTCACCTCTTCAGAAACTTCGAAGTGCCAGGCCCCCGGACTCATCCCGGGGAGGGCCCCACATCCGCCGCCTAATTAGGCACCGCACCCGTTCGAAACTTCAAGTCTTGGAGAACCTTGGAACTTTTGAGTTTCGAAGCTGAAGAAGACAACTCACAGATGTCACTGCGCATATGATTCATAATTCTAGGTAGTCACACGTAGAAACTATGCAGAGCCCTCCCTGGCATGGAAAGATCAAGACACCTAATTTGCGTACGTACTTGAAGGCCTCCGTGGCGGAACTCCGGAGAACTTCATCTTGAAGGTCCAGCAACACCCGCCACAGCAGGCGGGATGGCAATATTCACAGTCCGGCCCTCAGTGCCGGAGAAGGATCCATTACGGGGAGTCCTCCGGGCGAAATTGACAGCCGCTTCGCTACTTGGACTCAAACTCAAGCCGGGAGACCTCTGTACCATACGACATGAAGGCAGCACGGGCGTTCCGCAGGGAGACGAGAAGTTTGCGATAGCCTGGGAGTACTCTGGCACTGGAATGAAGGACAACATCGTTCAGACGTCGAAAGCTTTACAGGAAATGCACGGCCTAAAGTTGGGAGACCGCGTCATTGTCGAGAAGGCTCAACAGGAACTCCAGGATGCTGGAAGCGTACAGCTTCGACCACTGTCTGGAGGCACCATGGACCTACCGCAACAGTTCTGGGAGCACGTTGCTGCTATGAAGCTGGGCATATCTAGTGACTGCCTAGCGGTTGGACTGAGCATAGCGCTGGAAGTTGCACCCCAGGTGCAGGATTTTGAGGTCGTGGAAATATCAGCGGTTGGCGGGACGCCCGCCCCACTAGCACGCATTACAAAAGAGACGGTGTTTTCGATAGCAGATGGAATCGTAGCCGCGGCTGCTGCACAGGCGGTCGACTTCAGACCGACGAACATAGGCGGAGCAAAGTCACAGCTCGAGGAAATCCGCCTGATAGTCGATCACTTGTTGAGACCGCGATCAGGCAGAGCACCGGCTCAAGGCTTGCTACTATACGGCGCAAAGGGCGTCGGCAAGTCGTTGATCATCGATGAGCTCGCCGCATCGGGCTGGAAAGCAGTCATAAGATGGCAACCAGGCGCAAAATTGCCTACGACCTTCGCCTCGAGCACACTGATCATCATTGATCCCCAAGATGTGCCCTCATCAAGGGGCGAATCAGCATCCAGGGTCCTCCTCAAAGAGATCCTTCAGCTTTTCCACAGCATCAAGGGCAAGCCAGTGATGGTAGTGAGCGAGACAAGACATCCGAATGACGTGCATCCAGATCTGCGGAAAAGAGCATTGTTCGCGACCGAGCTCGAGATCCCAATTCCCTCAGCGATCCAGCGTCGGGAGATACTGCAACTAATGGCGCAAGATGAGCCATCGCTGGACTCCGATATCCTCGATTCTATGGCAGAACGAACCCACGGTTATGTGGGTGACGATCTGGATGCCTTAATTTGCACAGTCATCGAGCTGGCATCTGACAGAACCGAAGCCGACACCAGAGCCCACCCCAAGGCTGCACTCGCACCTTCGCCACAAAATGCACCCTCGATCAACGGCAACCATGTGCAACCCTCCTACTCGACCGCTCCAGCTTCACCCAATACCTCACGGCCTTCAAGCCCAAAACCGCCATCAGTCAAGGTCACTCTTTCTGACTTAGCGGCCGCCCTGGCGAAGATTCGCCCCTCCGCCCTCCAAGAAATCTTCCTCGAAACACCCACCACCCGCTTCACCGACATCGGCGGCCAAACCACCCAGAAATCCCTCCTTATCAACGCCGTCACCCGGCCCCTCTCCCTCGCCGCAACCATGGCCAAAGTCGGCCTGCCACCCAAGAAGGGTGTCCTTCTCTACGGCCCTCCTGGATGCAGCAAGACCCTTTTGGTCCGTGCGCTTGCCCGAGAAGCTGGGCTCAACTTCTTGGCGGTCAAGGGTGCAGAGTTGATCAGCATGTATGTGGGCGAGAGCGAGAGGAGCATGAGGGAGCTGTTCCGGAAGGCGAGGGCGGCGAGTCCCAGTATTATTTTCTTTGATGAGATTGACAGTATTGCGGGTGCGAGGTCGGGGCCGGAGGCCTCCTCAAGTGGAAGCAAAGATTTGAATGTTCTTACGACCCTTCTCACCGAGATGGACGGATTCTCCACGATGTCAGGAGTCTTTGTCGTTGCTGCGACCAACAGGCCTCATGCCCTGGACTCGGCACTACTCCGACCAGGAAGATTCGATAATGTGGTGTACATCCCACCCCCCGATCTGGATGCCAGAAAGCAGATCTTCCGTAGCCACTTCACAAAGTACAATTACGTGCCAACGGCAAGGGGCACGGAGGAAGATGTGTGGTACTTTGCGGACAAAACCGATGGGTTCTCGGGCGCGGACGTGGTAGCAATATGGCACAGAGCAGCAGAGTTGGCTATTGATGCGGGCAGGGACAAGGTGACGTTTACGGACGTTGAAGAGGGCGTCAGTAGCACGCCGCGGAGTATCAGTAGGGAGGCATTGAGAGGGTTCGAGGAGTGGGCGGACAGCCGGATGACTGGTGGCGGTGGCGGCTGATTGTAGATGTGGAACGTAGCGGAACATGTGATGTTGACGCCCCCAGGGCGGCCTTCAGGGCGAGGATAATGCGGACGATCCACACGAGGCATCTATGGAGGACTTGAAGATCAACAAACCTACTGCTCATCAGGAAAGAATTGTTCATACGACCTGGCAAGATTTCATCCCAAGTCCAGCCACCCTGCATGTCGTATATTGGTATCTATTGTCGATGCCAATGTTCGCTTGATGGTGATATGAGTTTGCGGTATCCCGGTTTGCGGTATGTCGCCCGCATTTTGCGGCATTCTGAACTGCGGTATGTCAGTCACCGCTTTTCCTCTCCGCCTTACCCCGAGGAGTCATCTTCATCCTCATCCCACTCTGCTTAGCAAACCAGTACGTCTTCACAGACCACTCCCGATTGCTTTCGTCCGCGAATTCGACTCGAAAGTTCCTCAGAATCTGTGGTACAAACTTTCCCATCTCCATGAGGGAGATGTGTTTTCCCGTGCAGAGGCGGTGTCCTGCTCCGAACTAGCGACTATCAGCATGACTCAACGGAGGTATGGCCCGGGGTCGGCAGTGAGTGAGCTTGAAGATGCTGCGCTCATTGCCAGGCATCACGTGTTGCGTTCACATCAACTTGAACCACTTACCGCAAGTATCGTTCTCTCCATCCTTCTGACCCTCGCCTCATCCCCAGCGTCTGATACATCAACGAACCATCGTTCAGGCCGGAAGTCGTCTGCGTCCGCTCCAAACACATCTCGGTCTCGCTGCACCACTGCCGGATTGATACCAATGACGGTACCAGGGGGAACGTAGTATTCCTTCCCACAGACTGGAATGCTCGTACAGTCTGGCGGCACGACTCGTTCCAGGGGAAAGGCTACCCCGGGATGCATGCGGAGTGCTTCTTTGATGCATGCTTGCCTGAAACGTCTCATCAGCCACCACCATCCGAAAAAAGCACAAGCAACAACCGAGAGCTCGTACTCACAAATACTTCATCTCCAAGCACTCACTATAACTCACGAACTCGCCCAGCCTCCCCTCCGCATCCGCCTTATCAATCTCCCGTTGCAAGCACTCATACACCCTCCCATCCTTAACAACAAAGTAAAATACCGCCCTCAGCGCCATAGCAGTAGTATCACTCCCCGCCAACAGGTTATTCATCAGATGATTCTGCAATTCGCTCTTCCCAAGCATCTCCCCGGTGGACTTACTCTGCTGTCTCAGGTATGCCAGGAAGTCCTGCCTTCCCGCCACTTCCTCTGAAAGAGCAGCATCATACTCCCTGACAGCCTTCTCCACCATTTCCGTAACAATCATCAGCGGCCCAAGATCAAACACCCCCACCCTCATCGCAAACTTAAGCACAGGATCAACCCAACCATGCAACCAAGGAATCTGCCCAACAACAGCCGCATACCTCAGAATCCAATCCATCCCACCAATGATCCCGCTCACATCCCTCCTACCCTTCACAAACCCCGGCGACGTGCTGAACGTCATAGCGTAAATAGCATCAAACGCGTACCATTGCAGCCAGACGTCCAAGTCAAGCGCTTCCCCAGAAAGATCGTGCATACTGTCGAGGAAGACTCGGGTGCAGCTGTCGACGAGGGGCTCGAGGGTGCGGACGCTGCTCATAGAGAATTTCTGAGCGATGGGGCGTTTGAGGTTGCGGTGGCGGATTGGGTCGCGGGTGGAGAAGAGGGAGTCTATAGTTTTGCCCTCGTAGAGCATGGTGAAGAGGGAGTAGAATTCGGACTATGTCTTGAATTAGTGCTTAAGGTTCTGAGAGGGTCAGGGGACGAGCGATGCTGACCAACCTTCAGGAAGGGGCTACTGGCACCGTAGAGGATGGGGATTGCAGCGGGATCTGATATGTCCATCGCGGATGGTGCTGTTCGGACGATGGGACCGTACTTGTCGTGTAGTGCAAGGTAGTCTTCGTGGGCTCGGCCGCGGGACACGAAGTGTACTCTCCACGCATCGGTGAAACGGGCAAGTCTTGGTCCAGGAATGCTTCGAAGGCCATGCTTGTAGGCAATTGAAATGCGTCGCAACACAATTCCAACTAGCAGGGACGCCAACAAGATAGTCGAAACGGCGGCAAGCATGCTTTTGGTGAGCTTCCAAGTGTAGATATGGGTCAGATGTTGCAGCAGAGTGCAGGACGTCCTGTGGCAACGACACGCTGTGCTGCTTGAGAACCGGAGACGCAATAAAAATCAACACCGACGCTGAGTTGGGGATGGCAGTTCATGGCCGTAGCAAAACAGGACTGCTCATGGTCGCATGATATCCGGCTGTAGCATGATATCCGGCTGTCATCGGCTGAAGACCTCATGTGCAAGCTTGTTGAGATCCAGCGATAGTTCCGTGTTGCGGAAAGCAGAAGCCGCAATCGCGCTCTACTTCGTCAGACGTTGAGGCGCCGCTTGCAGGCATACAGCCAGTCCTCTAGTGGTTGCGGTATCGAAATGGCCGCAAGATTTACTCCGCGTGAACGGACCGATCACCCTGCAGGGGCTGCGCCCTTTAGCTGAGGACAATGCCACTACCACTGTCATAATGTAAAGGTATACCGTGACCAGGTCCGTAATCTATGCAATCAGGAATCGGCGCAACTCACCAGCAGGAGCCTCCTCTTCATTCCAGTACCCCCAGATAGCTTTACCGACGACAGTGTAGATCAGCTCGCCGGCATCCGTCAGCTCGGATCCAGGGCGAATGGCGAAAAGGTCATGAGCAATCCATCCGGAGCTGGTTTTACACAACAGATCCCCGTCAAAAAGACCTGAAGGACCAGACTCGCTGCGACCAGACTTGCTGGAGCGTCGCGGAGCATCCATGTAATGGAATGTCCAAACTGCAAGGTCTGTGAAGTCCCTGGCCTCCAGGCGGGGTTCTTCTTCGAGAGCTACCAGCTTGGGCCAGCACTTCGCTTGTAGATCCACGAGCGGGATCGTGTCCGGACCGGTATGCAGGCCCAGGACTGTTGTCAGGACATCTGCTGGGATGTTGGGGCCTAGCAATGCCCAGCCGTTGTGTATCTCGATGGTGCCAAAAGTAAGAAGCGAGCACGACAGTCTGCCGTCGGCATCCACGGTAGTATTGGTCGCGGCTTGGGAACCTTCTGTGACTTCGATCGCCCGATCGTCGCTTCGTACTTCGATGCTCAGATCCGGCACCCATGACTGGAGGTCAAGGCGCCGGGTAACGCCATCGCGCAGAGTGTCAATCTGGTTCAATGCTGCAGAAAGGACTGATTCGAAAAGTCCGGACTGTATGCAGACTCTGGCGAACTGGAGGCATACTTGGGATACCGACATGGTATAGTCCGGTAGCAGCTGGAATCTGCTGTCGAAGCTGAGGAGTGAGAACAATCTGTCCCTCACATCTTCACATTCGGCACTATTGAACATGAGCAGCAGGTCCAGCATGACTTTGGCAGGAAGCTGGCCGTCTCGCTGCTGCGTGCGCCAGGAAAGGCTCACTTGAGTGGTCGCGGCGGTGGGAATGTCAAATTGTAGTCTTTTTATACGATTGGCCACTAGCCCGTTGACTAGCCAGAGTGAGCGATGCGATTCTTCGAAATCGTACCACATCATGGACTGCTGGCCGCAAGTGATTTGTGTGCTTTTTCCGTGGAAGATTTCCTGCAATACCCACCGGCGGGAAAAGTACCGTCTGTCGAAGAACTTTTGCAGCATAGTGCAAACCGTCACAATCAGCGGGTGTCTTGTCCCCACTTTGTTCAGATTGCGAATGAAGCCCTGATCCTGTAGCTGAGTCGCTCCTTCCTCGATCACTTGCCATGTCGGGGACGATTTCAAAAGCGAGAATGGCCCTGTTGGTTGCAAGATGATGTCCACGAGCCTTTGATCGAGCTCCTCAAAATTCGGTTCATACCCTGTATGGTCCCGATAGGCTTGAATCCATTTTTGTAGGCCAATCATCTCCTCTCTGTATCGACGGATGGACTTCAACAGCGTGAACGTGAAATGTGCATCAAGGTAAGCCGAGTCGTGTCCCAGCCAAATGAGCACCGATGTAGCCTGTGAATAGATACGCGCCATCATAGCCACCTGTCGCGAACGCTCATCCATGTCGTCCTGGTTGATACAGATAGCGTCTACCCACATTTGGCGTGCTCGCGGGGCCCATCTGAATCTCGTCAATGCATCAAAGAGATTGCCGGTGACAGTAAAGATCTGGCCTGCTACAAGAATCTGCTTGTCGTCAAGATGCCGGCCTTTTATGGGTGGTCCCCACGTGTACGACAATGCCGACCACTCTGGATGGGGTTCCAATAAGGACATCACCTGAAGCTCGCATCTGATGGGCGCTTCTGGCGTTGACGCAGGCTCCAAAATAAGGACTCGAATCTCATCTTCCCGGAGAGGATATTGAGCATATATGATACTAGACCCAGTCATTCTCGATTTCAAAGAGGCTCATTATGGATGGATAGCCCGCGAATGAGTAGGCCGACCCGTTGGCACTGGACTTGTTGCACCACCATCTCGAGGCGGCGCTTGACAAGCACTGGAGTGAGCGGCGGCAAGTGAGGTTAATGTCTTATGTTCCTCACCCGGTAACTTGAAGCAAGATCTGAAGGACCGAGAGTACCGTCCTCCTCGAAAGTCCCCTCAGTACTTAAGTACTCCACTAGCACGCGTGCAGCCAATGGGAGGTAAGTACTACCAAAGAACCATTGTGGATGCAGGGGATGTTAAATGTCCATCCATGGATCCGACTGATTGATCCCAACCTGCATTGATTAGAGCTGAAAGCCCAGACCTCAAATTGCTGCGAAATCTGGCTCAGCTTGGACCACTGCTGCGTGGGCGTGATGCAAGATTTGGGCAGTGAGGCCCTGCATTTCGATGTACATGTACGCACCAAAATTCGATGCTGCTATGTTTGGAGCATGACAGACATGTACGCCAATGTACCCAGGTAACGGAAACGACCAGAAGCATTGCCGGAGCCATGCTCACAATCACATCTTCGCAATCATGCCCGAGCCGAAACGGACACAGTCGGGCCGATCATTGCGTAGCACATAATGCTCTGCCATTGGCATGGACCAACTCTCATGTACTATAGCCAAGCCATGTATCGAAGATATTCTCATCTGCGAACAGCTTATCCGTCACAAGAACTGCTTCTCTAGCTGCAGCACTTACTAGCAACCAAATTACGTCGACCAATCAACCAAGCTTGCCCGCCGCACGACACTCACAACATAGTTCGCCTGGTTCCTTCCCTTACGCACCTTCGCAAGCAACCCCGTGATGTCTGGTCGCATCCGTCTCCAACCCACGTCGTTCGCAGATCAATCCCACACATGCAAAATCGCGCGGCCTGAGCCAATGCAAGCACCGACAGCGCTCGGGACGTCCGATCCGATCACCAGCTAAGACGAAGAAGAACTGCAATGCTCCTTGGCGAAGTCTTCACACTTGGCACATGCCTCCTGTAACAGATATCGTCAGTCCGAGTACCACCATGGGAGTGCGCAAGTACATACCACCTTACAGCCCTTAGCAGCACCACAACTCGCCGCACAAACAGCCTGGTTCAGGATCTGCTGGTAGAAGCATAGATTGTAGCAGAGCGTGTAATTTGTGGCGCACGCCTCACACTCATCGGCTCTTGGCTGCAAAACTGGCAGGTTGTCGAGCAGACCTTCGGGGACAGGGTTTGAAGCGACGAGAGCGAAGAGGGCGAGGAACGGAAGGAGGAGCTTCATTGTTTGAAGTGGTTATGGTGAGATTTGGGAAGGCTGATGGTGGTAAGCTCTGACCGAAGCAGCTTCGAGCAATAGGGCGGATCGATCGATGGTTGGGGTAGGGCTCGAGGTCGAGTGCGGGCGTAAGAGAAGGACTATGTGAAGCGGTAGAAGAAATTGGCGGGCTCTTGTTGCAAAGTGTTGTGATTTCACGAGGTATGGGACAGTGCATGTTTAAGTGCTGAGAGGATGAAGTCGAAGTCTGTCCACTGCAGATGATGACCGCCCTCACACCTCCTCTGCTTTCTCATCATGTTCTCCTCCCTCTTCGCCGAGCAGCTCCTTACTCAGTCGAGCGTCAAAGTTCAGCCATCTGACGTACTGTACGTCGTCAGGTTCCGGGAGTCCGGGGAAGCCTGTTCGCCCGAGGTGGTGGCTTGGTACCCCGCAAAAGTGTCGAATCGAGAAATCGAGACGAAAGTTGGAGATCGCCGGACATCGCGGTACTCGGAGTAGAGACGCGTTGACGCGCCTTTTCCTGCGGTGAATGTCTCATAGCGAATGTCAACACGCGTAAGTCAATAGATGTAAGTCAACAGCAGACTGCTGGCGTCTGCGACGACAGCTCGATCCCTGGGTAGCCAAGTGCTTGTTCGCTCCTTGAGGATGACAGCCGTCAACATCACCTGCCGACGGAAGCTGTTGGGTGGTGACCTAACCCGGCCATTTCTGTTCATGTCTGTCGCTCCTGGCCCCTTGTGCCTTCCGAGCATCCTGACTCGAGAAAGTAGACCCAAGTTCGAGATACAAGGCCGGACGGAGCCGCGATCCTTCTCCTGATGGGCTTTAGCTAGATACGGCCGGCGATGAAGGCGTCTACAATGCACCAATGTCTGTCGAGCTATCCTAGCGATGCTCCATGACTGCATCCGATGGTGGACGCAGTCGCAATATGGAAAGTCCTTTACTGGCGTAGTCCAGCTTTAGTCGAAGCAGCTGCTCGCTCACGACTCGTCTGTTCAGACAGGCAATTCAGCATTCCTAGTCTGATAAGATATTCTGCGCAATGCCATCTGAATATACGGTCCCACAATGGGAATATTGCCCGCGAATGATGCGATCGTCGCAAAGAAGTCGCCAAAGAGCACAAAGATGCCGTATGTTTCAACACAGAAGCCGATCAGCGGCCATCGCATGAGGATCAACAGTATTCCGGCCATGAAGGCAGCCGTGCCCTTCAACTTCTGTTTTCGTGCGAAGAAGACAAAGGTCTTTTGCACGCCGATGATCAGGGTGAGGCCGATGAGGAAGAGGATCTAGGTTGCGTTAGAGGGGGGAGGCGGAAGCGGAAATGGAATGCGCACGTTTCCCATCGCAAGCCTGGCAAGACGTCAGTACGTTGTCGCGCCGTATGCAGACGCTCGTGCTTACATAGAACGATCAAAGAACATGAGTACGCCGCCAAAAAGGAACAAGCCCCCTTGACTCGATCAGCATGAGTATAGATAAATGCGCCAACGAACTCACCGCCGGAGCAGAAAGCAACGCCAATCTCTATGCGCAGGTCAGCCATAGTCGCTTCTTAGTCTCGTCGGACGTACTCTGCATATCTGTGAGCCACATGCTGGGCATGCTAGCGGCTAGCAGTCACTCTGGTGGTGGTTCAAGGAAGTGATGGCTGAGGACGACTTCGGAGAGGTGAGAAGTGCTCCGGTAAGGGACGCGTCACACACAATGTCGTAGTATTCGAGATTCGTGCTGCCTGCTTGTTATCAAAGAGCGTATGAGTGAGTGGGTGAACGAATAGTGACTGCCTGCAAGTCACCCAAAAAGTTGGGATCGCGCCTCCCTCACCCCGTGATAAGGCTGTGAGATAGCCTTACAGCCCTCGAGTAACTTTCGTGCGTCATACGATCACTTTCCTAGACCACCCAGTAACACTACATACACCCCACACAAAGCCATGAATGCGCCTCGATGACAGTTGAGGGTAGCTCTGTCAGTTGAACATTCAAGGCAGCCGTTGCAGCACTAGGACAAGCGCGGTTGGCGTCAAAAACGCCGCCATGTCCTGGCTTTGGCGAGGCGACGACACTTCACCAGCCTCATTCGAAAAGGCCTTGTCCAAGCTGTCAACGCAGATCACCGCCGCAAACCTATCTCTCGACACCAGAAGGACCCAAGCCCGGCGGATAAAAGGCCTCTGGACATTATGGACTACCATACTCTACCTACTATATGCTCTCGTTGTGATACTGGTACCTACCCCAAAGGATACACCACTTTCATACTATGCTGGTCTTCCCGCTGGTCCAGTCCTAATTTACGGCGTCCGCAAAGTTCTCACCATCGCCTTCGACTGGACCATCAACCGCCGGCAAGCCCACGTCAACACTCTTCAGAAACAACGAGAAGGCAAGATCGCCGACCTGAAGAAAGCAACCAAGTACGACAGCACGCAAGAACTACTGCAGAAGTACGGCGGCGCTCCACCCGAGGACACGGCGAAACGAGACACCAAGCAACAGAAGACAACGCCTCAGAAGCCCCAGCAAAGGACAGGCATTGCACCTCCACCAACAGCTAACATCCCCAGCCGAAGTCCGCCATCCGCCCGACCACAAATCCGCCCGTCTTCACCACAAGGGCCCCCGGGTTCTCCCACCAACTTCTCCCAATCGCCTTCCGCGTTCGAACCTGACTCGCCAGGCTTCGCTCCCAATGCCTTCTCCGGACCACCCTCCGCCTCCTCGTCATACCAGACCAAGACAAACTGGTACGACCGCATCCTGGACGTCATGATAGGCGAAGATGAGACGGCCGCTAAGAACCGCCTCGCCTTGATCTGCAGCAACTGTCGGCTGGTGAACGGTCTGGCACCTCCAGGCGCGAGAACACTCGAGGAAGTAGGAAGGTGGAGGTGCAGCAGCTGTGGCAGCGAAAATGGCACCGATCCGCGAAGGGCGGCGAGAGAGATGGTAGAGCGAGTGAGGCGGACGGAGGGCGTAGCGGCCTCATCGCCGACGGAGCACGTCCCTCCGGCTACTGCTGCTGGGACAGTGGGAGATGACAGCGGGTGGGAGCAAGTCGCCCAAGGCGATGACAATGAGGAGAGGGAGGATGATGAGTTACGACCAGAGCCAAGAGAAGAAATCAAGCTGAAGAGCCAGGAAGGCTCAACTGGTCGGCAAGCATCCAACGGAGGTAGCGCGCCTACGAGTGCTACGAAAAGGGTGACTCGAAGTATGGCAGCTGGTGACGAGGAATAGGTGGCAGTCCATAGGCAAAATTCCAGAACGCGAATTCCAACCTCAAAAATTGCTATGAGGAGTCCTTCGTAGGTCCTAAAGAAGTTTACTCCTATGCTATGCTATGCTAAAAAGCTTGTCTTTGCCATGTGCTGTCCCATACTTTTCACATCCAGCTCGAAGAAGAGATTATTACTAGATGCCCACTGTCCGATGAATCTACCACTTAGGCGGTCCCAGCCTCTAGTGGTGCCAAAGTCCTCCCTGAAGTACCTTTGAAGAGTGCAAATTCCCATTCATTCCGTTCTCTGCCGTGCATTCAGTTCCCATCCCGCCCTGCTCAGTGCACTCCATTCGTGAGTCCATTGGTCTGAGGCTCAGCCAGGCCAGCAAGCACGCTGAACTGCCCACCACAACCACTCCAGACCAGCTTCTTGCCTCTCACGGCCGTGTTATCAATCCACGTCGCAACCTCGACGTCTTCGTCTGTACCCAAGCCCGTCTGATAGGTCGTGCTGAAACCCCAAGCGTAGGCTTTCCCTTCCTTACTAACTGCAATGCCGTGATCGGAACCAGCCGAGCATGCCACCGCATCGATGCCCGGAATCTGTGTTGGGACCTTCAGAATGCGAGGGTTGTTGGATGCATCGTAGACGATACTCTCCTTTGGCAGGCTCTTGATGTCGAGACCCAATTGATACCCATCCAAACGACCCCAACCCAACAGTTCACCGCGGTCCGTGACAGCGATGGTGTGATGCGCGCCGCCTTCGATACAGACGATCTTGCCGAATGGTCGTAGTGCTTCGACGACGGTAGCTTGGTGCACATCAGACTCGCCGCCCTCCTCCACATCAGCAGGCACACCTGTCTCTCCAAAACTATTCAGTCCCCAAGCATACACGTCCCCGTTCTCGTGGATCGCGAAGCTGTGATAGCTCCCGCAGCCGACATTGACCATCTTGCTCGGCACGCCGACTTTGGTGGGGACCAGAGCGTTCTTGATGAAGCGCTCCAACACCCGCCGACCGAGCTGGTTCTGTTGGCCGGAGCCCCAGGCCCAGACGGCGCCGGTGGAGGAGAGGGCGAGGACGTGGTTAGCTCCCGTGGCGAGTTTGGTGATTTTCTTGAGCGAGGGGATGAGGGTTGGGCGGGGCTGGATCAGAGTGGTGGGGTCGAAGCCGAAGATGCCTTCGTTGGACTGTGGGAGGGATGTTAGCGGGTGTTTGAGGGGTAGGGGAGGGAGCGTATAGTGACTTACTCGGAATGTACCCCAGCCGTAGACTTGGCCTTCGTCGGTGAGCGCGAATGTGGCGGAGTCGGTGCAGGCGACTTGTGTGAAGATCAGGTCTTCGAGACCGGTCATGTCGACGTTGGTAGGGTAGATTCGTGTGGGTTGACGCCAGTATCGGAAGCCTCAGAATCGGAGGAGGAGCCAGCGTCGGACTTGTCGTCATCGATGTCGCGAAGACCACCATCCCAGTTGGTGTCTCGTCCAAGAGCGCCCTGGTCGTTGACACCCCAGGTTTTGATCTCATTGTTCTTGGTCAAGACCGCAGTGTGCATGCCACCAACTGCTGCACTGACCACACCAACCTTGTCTGCGTCGAGAAGTGGGTTCAGTCGTGGTCGCTTGACTTCGATCTGACCTTTGGCGGAGCCGAGACCGAGTTCGCCTGCGCTGCCTTCACCAAAGACGTAGACGTTGAGGGGAGCGGTAGGAGCTGAGTTGATGGCAGGGCCTTTGACGCGAGGCTTCTTCGCTTTGGGCTGTGCGATCTTGCGTGCTTTGGTGGGAGCTTTGACAGCACCGCCAACTTCGGCTTCAGCGGACTCTGACTTTGACCTTTTCGCGTTCTTGACCTCGGGTTCCTCAGTAGCCTTGCGTTTGACAGCCGTGTTGGCCTTTGCGGCTGGCTTCTTCGCGGGCTTAGTCGCAGGTTCTTTCTTTGCTGCGGTTGTCTTCGGAGCAGCAGTCTTCTTCGTTGCGGGCTTCGTTACAGCCTTCGTCTTTGCAGCTGTCTTGGTTGTAGTCGATTTCGCTGCAGCAGGAGCTTTCTTTGTTGCGGCAGCCTTCTTGGGAGCAGCTTTTGCTGGAGCAGCCGTCACTCCGTTGGTGGTTGGTTCCTCTATAGCTGCGATGGCTTTGCGCGCCGCAGCTCTTTTGGGACGCATCGCGGCGAAGTAGGTTATCCAGTCGTAGTGTGTTGAAAAATTGCTCAGTGAGCAGAAGGAGCGGGCAAGTGTATTAGAATGGCTGAATTGATTCGAGATTTGCGAAAGTCGAGTATGGTGGTCGGCGGAAGTCGAATGGAGGCGGGAGTTGTAAGGAATGCAGCAGTGCTCAAAGACTTTGTGCTTTTTTCTGCCAAGGCGAAACAAACGGCCCCGGACTATACAGAACGACAAGGCAGTGTGTCGTCGACAATAGAGCTGGATGTGTCACGCCTATTGAAAGGGTGAAGGTGAATGACGATGAATAGAAGGATACATCATTCATCCAGAACTTCAGGCGCGTCCTCCCCGAAAAGTTGAAGTTGAAGGCCCAAAAAACAATTCAAGGCAGCTACTCCGATTGGTCAAGGCATCAGCATGGATGACTCAGCAGTTTAAAGGTGGAAATTCGAGGTCTGGAGGATTAGGACCAGCTGGAGGCAGCGAAGTGGTCTCGATCGATCGTAAGTTCTCTATAGCTATTCTCATTGACTGTACTCGTATCTCATAATCCATGTCTTCGTGAAACTGCAATCGACAGCATGCCCCAATGCATGTTGTGCGCCTCCTGTGCTAGATATGCTGAATAGAGACAATGCTATTCGTACACCAGGTCGTCGATTTCGACCGTAGCAGCGCTGTCGCACCAAAAGCCAAGCACGGCGAGGAGTGACCTGGTCGTCTGGCTGGCTGACATTCTTTCAATTACCAGAGGCCAGATCTGACCTTCTGAGTCAAGCCGGGAAAGACTGAGCCTGATGCCTTATCGTTGTCCCGAGAAAGCCAGTATAGTGCGTTCATACAACCATCTTCAACTCCCTATTTCCCTTTGCTCTCGGATTCGGCGCATTCTCGTTCTCCTGAATGTAGAACCGCCTCAGCAGCATGATTGCTTCCTTCCTGTAGACCCCACCGTAGCTCGGGTAAGGAGGATCCAGATTCTCATCAGAATGCACCGACAGCACACTCCCATTCCCGCCAAACCGATCGTTACCACAGCCGTAGAACACCGTGCGAATACCATACTGTCTCAATGCAGAAGCACACATGATGCAGGGCTCGACCGTAACGTAGAGATCCGTGTTCTTCAACTCGCTAGGCGGGAACTTCTCAAAGAATTCAGCCAAGGCAAGAAATTCTGCATGACGGGTGCCGTTGAGTGAGCGATTGGTGTCGTTCATGCCTCGAGCAACGACTTCACCACCATGGACCAGGACGCAGGCAACGGGTGTCTCACCGCCGCGGAGTGCTTCTTCGGCTGTGTCAATGGCTCGCTGCATGAATTTCTGGTGGGTTGCCAGGTTCTCGAGGACGAACGGGTCGAGGATGTCTTTTGGGTTGATGGAGTTGCTGTCAGATGAGAATGAGTTGGGCGTGCTGGTCATTCTGGCGGCGAGTTTTGAACGACCAGTGCGAAACAGAGACACTATGTATATGTCGAAGCTGGTAGCCGTGAATGTATGTGAGTCAAAGCAGCTTCAGCAACGAGGTTAGATCAAGGTAGAACCCTCAAAACATCAGGGAGTGACTCAAGGTGGACATCAGACATTCTGCTCCTTCCAAACAACGTTGGCGCGAGGCAGTCGTGGACAAGATACATTTTCGCTTGGTAAGGAGGTCGATGTGAAGAAGGAACGACCAAGAGCCAAATTTCGAGTCTCTGCCTTGGACCCTCTCGGCTAGGGTTCCGGTTTGAGAGACCAGTCAGCCGGCGACCGCAACGACAGACTATCTGATCAGCGCCAGGCCAGAACACCTCACTGCCAACACTACACACGCAGCCATGCGGCTTCCGTCTCTCATAGCGCGGGCAGCGCTTCTCCTGCTCACCTCCTTTGCCATACCTATCTCCGCCGTAGACGTCAAACACCCGTCTACCCTCGTCCTCTCCTACGAATACGTCTCCTCATCCACCACCAGCACACCCTCCCAACTAGCCATCATAAATTACGACCCCAAGTCCCTCCGATACTCACTAACGTCCTGGACACCACCGACCTCCGCACCCGACGCCAAACCTGACGAAACCACATCCACGGCTCTCCTCCGCATTCTCCTTCCCAACGGCTCCTCCACCGTGACCACCCTCTCCACCTTCTCAACCGCCCTGAAACAACACGTCAACCTATACCTCTCAACCGACGGCACCGCACTTTCTGCTTCAGTTACTTCGATAAAGCCGGCTCCGCCAACGCCGGAAGAAGCTGCCTACCAAGCCAAAGTCGCACGCGCCAAAGCCCGGGGTAAACCTATCCCGCCACGACCCAAACCTGAGAAACCCAAGAAGCCCAAGAAGGGCACTACCCCGACCGCAATTCCAGTAGCGCAGAAGCCCGTCGTGCCGGAAGAGGACATTCCCGAAGGCCAGCCACGGGTAGTGTTTGTACAGGAGCAGCCGGGCCCGAGTCCGAAGCTGTTGAGCCGGGCGCCGCCGGTGGTGGACGCGGATGGGAATGAGGTCGTGAGAGTCGTGGAGGCGGAGAAGAGTTTCTATCAGAAGTATTGGTGGGTTATTGCTGGGGTGGTCCTGATGACGCTTGTTGGTGGGGGTGGTGGGGAGAAGTAGGACTTCCCGAGAAGGAAACCGCCGCGGGACAGGGCATGGACAGAGGGTCAGCAGGCGGGATTGAGGGGATCTTCTTCACGAGCAAGGACTTACGCCCTTTCGCCGTCTGGCCGCCCAATGTTGCGACCGAAGTCCCGCAGATTGGCTCAACACAGACAGCTTGACAGACCACACACAGAGCACATCGCTGCGGACTCAAGCTCACCAAACACGACCGATCTCAGCTGAATTGAGGTATGTGCGAAGGAGGTCCGATCTCTGTATGATGCAGCATCTGCCCACAACATTCTCCAGACCACTTCCGCGACACCATTTCGTCGTTACCCAAAACTGATTGCATCGAGTTTCTGCCCAGCAGATAAGCATACTTCCATCCATTTCAACTTCATTCCGACAAGCCGCAACGATGAACCTCAGTCCGGAGTTTCAAAATGGTCTGAAGGCCAAGCCGGCGAAGGCTGAACTTCCTACATGTACCTGTCTCTTCTCCCATGAGAATTGAGACCGAGGACGATAAGACAGGACGATGGTGAGATTGGAGCACTGTTAATGCTGGTTGATACACTGCAGTTTGCTACAGTGCCTTTGTACAGTGCGGGGCAGAAGGCAGCAGAGACGGAAGGCCACTTAGGAGGCTTGGACACCCAGGCAAATGTGTATTTTGCTATTATGAATGAAGACACAATGCATTCATCATTCCATCTTCCTCTGGACCAGTCTCCAGTGCACTACTGTCCTGCTATGCACAGCATCAGCAGCAACACAAGTCAGCCAGTCTTTGTAAAGCATGAGTCAATTAAGGAAAGATGGATATTCATGAAACATAGCGCTGGAAAGTTAAGAATGCCGGGCACCCAACATGGACGTCCACCTTGTCATCCTGAACTTCTATCTGTCCCAGCAGGATGAATAGGATGAATGTTGGATCGACAGTGAGGTCAAGAGGTGCACAGAAATCTTTGACCCGGCTTGTGCACTCATACACATGGCTAACGTGGAAGGCAGTTCCAACGTCCACCTCAGATCCTGACTTCTGTCTTCCGATCACTGGTGTTCATGACAGTCCAGCTTCTCTCAATCAGTCCATCCATTCTGCTCAAGCCAACACCATCAGCAAGGTCAACCACCACTGACCTTGCATGCATGAATACAAACCTATTCTGCAGACTCCAGCACTTCAATCATGTGCCGTGAACCCTGACACGCCCAATGCAGGCGTATACCTTCCCAACCTGAACTTTCATCTGTCCATCCTGAAGTCGGAGTCTTTCTCACCTCAAAAAATCGTGGAAGTGGTTGCTGCCTCACCTCGAAAATCACAGAGGACATGTAATCTGGAAATTTTGGGATGGGCATGTTGTTTCTGGAGGCTGCCGGCATATCAGCTATGCACAATGATCTCTCTCATAACCCTCGAAGAGAGCCTACGAAGTCAGCTATGCCACCCAAACTCCATGCTCAAATATCCGCTCAATGTCAACATTAATGAGTCCCAGTACAGTCTCGTTGTGATCCTCCAGGTGGCTTGGCTCCTTTCCCCAACCTCCAGCCATTCTCACTCTCACACCTTCCTCGCCACCTCCGGTAGTCTGTCTGCTCCTCTCACGCTACTCCTCCTCGTCCAGCACCTTGGTCGTCCGCCTCCCCCGACTCATAGGCCCCAAATCCCACACCATCACTCCACGGTCCGTCAATACCACCAGCTCATCCTCCGTGTTGCGCTTACGTCGCGGGCGCCGCCATCGCGTGCCCCTACTCCGGCTGCCTCTTCGACTTCTACCCCAGAGATGGGGCGACGTAGAGCGGGAGCGTGATCGGGATGATGGCAGGGGATCAGGGCGGATGGGTTGTTTACCTTTTGGTCCTTTGAGGGTGGGTTGCTCTTCTTCGTCGGCGTCTGGCGTCTCTGGTTCCTCTGAGATTTCTTCCTCGGTCCCGTGTGAGGCTGAAGGCGAAGTTGCGGCGGGCGGTGCGGTGGCACTCGGGCTAGTTGACGCTGTTGAGGGGAAAGTGACATCCGCTGCTGTTGTTTTGAGCGTTACCTTAGGGATTGCGCGGAGCGCTGCTGCAGACTTCGATGTAGGATCTGCGAGGATCTTGGCCATTGTGGCGTAGCTAGGTATGTGCGCCGCGCCATGGGTTTTGGGAAATTGTGCCTCATCATTCATGACATCGTCCTGTCTGCCTGCTTCCCTTGCTGCTGCTGCTGCTGCCGCCTCTGCCTCCCTCGCAATCTGCTGGTCGATACTCTGCTGGGCCCGCAGTCTCGCTGCGGCGATGACTTCGGACTGCGACATCGGTGGTGTGATCTCTCGGCGGACCCTGGGACCAACAAGTTTCCTTTCCATGTCAAGATCGTAATCTGCCATTGTGTACGGTGTGCCGTCGGGTTTGTAGATAAGTTCAATATCATCGATGTCGATGATATCTTGGAGCTGGCCATCGGTTGCATCGACATCCATTGCGTCTTCAGTATCTGACATTGCATCTCCAATCCCTGTTTCGTGAGGTGAGTCCCGCTCGTCGACATCTGGTATACTTTCGAGGTCTCCTTCACTTAAAATGTCATCGAGTGTTGGGATCTTGTCCGTCATTGCCTCATCGAGCCGTCGAATCTCGTCAGGGAGTCCGCTCCAGTCGTGCTCCTTCATGTCTGGATCGTGTGATGGTATCGAACGCGGGCTCGGTGTCCAATCACGACTTGCACTCAAATCTTCCTGCTTCGCCGGCCAGACCACCTTCCTCGCAATGGCACCATGAGGAAGCTTCAGCTCAATCGGCCATAACTCGACAATCTCACCGAATTGTGGGTGCTCAGCCAAGTCATAGTAGCGCGACGCTTTCACCATGGTTCGTTTGTCGATTTTGCGATCGATCCACGGTTCGATAATTATCTCACCGGCGGAAGAATTGTCATCGTTGTTGAGTGCAGGCACTATTCCAGCGGCGTCATTGTTTGACACGGAGTGAGACGAGCCAGTACTGCTGCTGTGGTCGCTTCCAGCTTGGCTGGCAGCGTCACTCTCGTCGTCGTCTGGGTGCGTCCAGTCCTCGACCAGTATTGCTGTGTCCAGGGTGTAGACCAAGATCCGATCCCACATCGCGATGGCAATGCGTGTACCTCTCTTGCTGACCGCGATGATATCAAGGGCAGTCAAATTCGTTGGCCTCCAATGTTTCGACCACCCTCGTAGTTGTGCCACGACACGAACATTGAAATCGTCACAGTTCAGAGAATATTGTTCGGTCCTAACGAGATGGTCGGGACCACATCCATCCTCAGGATAGTCGTCGTGACTCTGCACAATGAAGATCCCGTCCTCTGCAGGCCGTCCAAAAGACACGTTGTCCCCAAAAAAGCTTTCTCCCGATTCGACCGCGAGCTGGAGATAGCTATGCACGCAGTGAGGCGTCCCAGCGTCATGCGTAGGGCCTTGACTATGAACACCAAAGAACGGCTTCTCAGTCCGTAGCTCGACCCCATTAACGACAAAGTGATTGAACGAGTAGGCTGATGCGATCCTTCTCGTTTGGTCTCGCTGCATCAAGTGCGTTCGAGTCGATAGAGCACCATAAGGGTTGAGCATTCCATGGGCATAGAGCTTCAGGCGGTTGCCATTCCGGATGAATGCTGTGGCTCGAGGCACGAAGCGGCGCATGTACTGCTTGGCCTTCTTCTGTGAGGGGTCATTGCGGAATTCTTCGAAGCTGGGCACTTTTGCGTTGTCCTGTGGAATCCAGGGCCACACTTGGATTGCTTTGTAGACTCCGACTTCGTCAGGAGGTGGCGTATTGTCTGCGACATAGACAATCACTCTTGTCGAGCCTCCGGTGCGGTCGATGGAACTTAGGCAGTCCCAGATTATCGCACACTTCAGCCTGCTGTGGATCGCTATATGGAGCGGAACAAGCTCGCAGTCCTGACTGGTAGGAGGCGCCATCACAGCAAATACAACAGCATTGACTACAGGGCTGTGGGGATTGTAGTGTATCAGTCGGTAACTCACGCTAGAACGAGGCACAATCTTATGCTGGAACTCTGGCTTCGGTGCCGATGATTGCTGCGAACGGCGGAGGAAGTCTCTTGCGAGAGAGTTTAGGTCGGGTGGTTTCGGTGCAGGGCTGGGGAGCTGGGGAGCGCCATCGTCGATCTCCCATGCATAAAGTATGCTAATGATGCACTCGTTGTGTATGACCTGGAGGACTTCTCCTGATCCATCGGCATCAGGCGAAGGAGTGGCCGTACCGATGTCAGCGCAACGAGACCCATAGTGCCGAACAGTCGCGCTACCTTTCGATGCAAGAGAAATGTTGAAGTATTGGTTCGTGTTCGAGATACAAGATGCTCTCGCATCAAGCGACCCATTCTCAAATTTCGAGAAGTGGCAGTCGGCGTGATGTCCAGCGCCGAGGAGATTCAGAGATGCTCGTCGATGTAGCATACGAAACAGGTCCAGAGTAGACACTTTCCGGTCGTCCAAGCCCAGCTTGATACCCGGTACGTTGTCGAGATGACGCAGCAAAGCATCCCTATTCTGGCTTCCGATTTTGTAGAGCTGCTTGCATGTTTGAGTCAATTGGACGAATGCATCTGGTGACAGGTGGAGGAGGATTTGCGACAGGACTTCAGCCGGCAGCTCGAGTAGAGTTGAGGGCCCAGCCATGAGGTCGTACATGGTCGTAATAGGTCAGTAACACCAGATATGTTGTGCCGAAGGAGCGGAGACTTGTGTGATCGAGCAGTGGCCGGGTAGACAGGCGCTGGCGCGATGCGCGCTGAGAGGTTGGCGCAAATGCGTGTGCTCTACCGATGACTTGAGCCAATGTTAAACATCATGTTGCAGGTGTCTAGCCACAAGATATACCTCACGACAGGGAGGGTCCTGATTCTTGTAGTGGGCGTGGTGGTGGCAGACCGAGTAAAGCATCCACAGGAAGGTGCGAGTGGTGTTTGCGGCGCCTAATTAAGGCAACCACGGCTCCTCTCCAAGCCGCCGCTGCCCGACAGCAGCCTCAGTTCTGCGTTGCCAAATGTGTTCGTACAAGAGCCGACGAAATGCGTGGATGACAGTTCGCGGGACGTAGAAATCGTGTCAAGTTTGCGTTCGTGGTGGGATAGCGAGTTGTTTGGTCGCAGAGCGACCAGCGGAACGCTCTTGAGGCTGAAATACGGGGCTTGGCGAATTATGTCACGTCGAGATACAGTATGTGTTGACATTTAGTTCATGCGGCCAGGGAGGGCGCTGAAGCTCTTCCGTCGTCACACTCATTGAATTGATAGGCTTGAGATGAGGCTCACTCCAGCGCCAGTCCAAAAATTGCTATCTCATAGACTTTCTGGCTAGGGGAGTGCGCTATAGGAAAACCCGCTCAGTACTCCCAGCAAGCGGACCCGTCGCCCGACAGACAGCAACAGTTCGAATGTCCACTGCTTCGCACTCTTCTTGACCGGGGCGGTCTCTGGTGCACCAAAATCTTGTCAAGGGCACGAACCAGGTTCAAATGGTCGGCGGGACCGCGCGCCTAGGACTTGTCCCAACCCACATAATCCCTGCCCATAACCCTCCAGATCCGTACCTCACCACTCTTGAGGTCCTCCAGACGGTAGCTCTCATCCCTAACCTTTGCGCGCTTCTTCTCCTTACGATCTTCCTCGCTACGCTGCTCCCAGACACCCAGCTTTTTCTTGCTGCCGTCCCATTGCACCACAACCGCGACGTGGTCAGGCTTGCCCACGTCAACGGTATACTTCTGGTGCATCTTGCCCTTGTGCCCGCCAAACTTCGCGTTCCGGAAGCTGACGATGTCGCCAGCGCGGATTTCGTCGAATTGCTGTACCGACGCATTCGACATGTTTCCATAGACGAGAGCACCGTAAGCACGAACGCCGACTGGACGAAGGGCCGTGGGCAGGGTTTTGATGAGTTCGGAAACGAAAGCAAAGGGCGAGCCATCGCCGACTGTTGCACCCTGATTGCCGTAATTCGTAGCTGCTGAAGCAATGGGGGCGCCATATCTCTCAGACGCCGCCTCAAGCTGATCTTTTCGTGGAGGAGGCGGTGGTCGGTCGTGTTTCTGCTCCAGCGTCACCTGAGAGGGGTCTGCTTTGTCGAAGGTAGCGTTGATGGTGGTTTGGCTGTAGTCGCTGTAGAGCACGTAGACATCTTTTGAGACGTTAGCTTGGCCTCCTCGCTTGTTTGATGTGTTCTCTTCCATCTCGTACAGTATGTCAGGTCTGTTTGCGAGACTCGGAGGGATGAGATTGTTTTGAGTCCACCAGAACGAGGAACGGTGCAGGTCGATGTCTTGGGCCATGAAGCCCTCCCCGCTCGGTCGAGGTGCCTCCATAGAGCGCCTGGACATCGTCCCAGATCGCCGTGGCTCTGCGGGCCGTGCTATTTCAGCACGAGGAGAGTCAGGCACAGGAGGTGGAGGTGGCACAGATCGGTCGGAGGGCGGAGGCGGAGGAGCTGCCCGCTCCACGGGTGGCCGTGGCGGTGGTGGCCGGTCCTCTCGTGGCGGTGGTGGAGGCTGTGTGGGATGATCTTGAGCTCCGTACGTCTCGGGCTCTTCATGTTGATCTCTCGATAGAGTCTTGTAAACATCGTTCAGTTGCGGTGTTGGCAGACCCTGTGGCGAGTTGTATCGATACGGATCGTAGTCGTCATCATCATGCTGTTGGGGCATAGCTGCCGGAGGTGGCACAGGTGGAGGAGCTCTCGGTGCATCCGTCGACTTGCGGGACGGCGCTGGCGCTTGGGGTGGCGGAGGAGGCGGTGCATTCTGATGAGCTGCTATTGGCGGAAGAGGCGGAATGCTGCGATGCGGTGGATTTTTTGGCGACTTCGTCGCCTCGTCTGTCAGGGTGCCCTCGTCGATACTAGAGTCACGTTGGTGAGCCTTTAGCGCGTCTTTATGCTTCGCTGATGATGCAATGTCTGTGTCATAGTCTCCGTCGTATTCTGACACTTCGTTCTCGCTATCCTCGTCAGCCTGCAGACCTGATGTCTCTGCTGTTGAGTGACGACTCGGCGGCTGTCCTGGTGGTGGAGGAGGTGGCGCTCGTGTCTGAGGCGACTGCATGGGACTCGACACAGCTGGATCGGTGCTCTGCTTTCTTGTAGGCTCTGGTCGAGATCGGTTTGGAGGTACAGGAGGTGCTCCCGCTGAAGACAGGGGACGGTCCGTCGATCGTCTCGCCGGCGGAGATCTCGGTGAGGCTGCACTAGCGGCGCTGTCAGGGAGATCCTCAGTCACAACGGGTGGTTGTGGTGGCACAGCTCGATCTATAAATGTCAGATATATGATCGATGGGCAGATTGCAGACTTACTAGTTGAAGGCGGAGGAGGCGGCACAGCCCTTCCTTCCTGATGAGCCGGGGTAGGATCCTGAACACGTTGCGGTGGAGGCGGTGGTGCCGGTCGATCGATACTGGCGGAAGATCTCATTGTCTCCGATCTTCGCGGCGGAGGCGGCGGCTGCGAGACATAGTCATCGTCAGCATCGCTTTGGTGTACCTGCTCTCTCGGTGTCGGCTGCTCCGTCTTATCGTCATCTTCTTCGCTGTCTGATTCCACAGGCTCGGCGGGTCTCCTGGGCAGCTGATTTGACATGCCGGGCAATGCCATGATAGGCACAGGCGGCGCTCGTGTGGCTTCCTCCTGAGCATGCTGTTCTGTCTCCCGACTGTGTTCTTGCGATGCACGCGGTTTCCGAGGAGCCGGTGCTGCACCTCCTGGCGAGCCAAACATGCCCATCATGCCCATGCCACCGCTCATCTTAGCCATGCGCTCCCGGAGTTCGCGTTTTCGCCTGACCTCTGGATCCTCTTCTTCTTCTGTGTCTTCTTCCTCGTCCTCTTCGTCTTCTTCGTCATCCTGTGGCTCGGGCTTCTGTATAGTCTGCTTCTTTGGTTCTGGCAGAGTACTCGTGACCCCACCTTTTGATCGAGGACGCTCTTCCTCGGTCGAAGTCTCCTGTGCATCCTCAGTATCAGCTGCGCCGGAATCGTCAGCATCGTTTGTGTCACTGACAAGCTCCCTCGGCGGTTGTGGAGTAGCCTTGACACTGTGAGCGGACTCTCCTCGCTGAAAGGATGGACGACCGCTGTCAATATCCTCGGTCAGATCGGAAGACTTCTTGCCCACAGTCTCGTTGGTGTCTAGTCGTTCGAGTGGAGGCTCTGCAGCAGGCACTGGCGCTTCTTCTGAGGGCTCAGTTCGTTTCTTGGGCGGCTTTTTCGGCTTCTCTTTCTTGGTGGCAGGATCCGCCTGCCTCTGAGCTTGCTCCATCTGCTGTTTTTGTAAAAGCGCGATTCTTTCTTTGAGACTGGTAGGCTTCGGCTGATCCTCGTCTTCTGCTTCTGGCAGGGGTCGTGGCGGAGGGGGAGCACTGCGTTCTGCTGATGGCTCGTCCGCCTGCTCTTCTTCGCGCTGGTAGACTTTTTGTGGCGGCGGCTCACGCGGAGGTGGAACGTAGGCATTCTTGCTCGGGGGCGGAGCTACAAACGGCTTCTTGATGAACCCCGAAGCAGCAGAACCGCCAGGTTTGAACGGGGCGATCGGGGCCGCCGCTGGCTTGTTAAACGCAGCTATACGATCCATGAACGCATTATTCTTGGGTTTCGATGCGATAGGAGGAGGTGCTGCTTTCGTAGGAGGTGACTTCGGCTCAGCAGCTGGAGCTCCCTGCGACTGGACAGGTTCAGCGGGCTGTGGAGGGGCTGCTTCTTCCACCTTGGGGACCGCCTGAGGCGCATCTCTCGCTGTTTCGGGTTCATGCTCGGGTTCGGCAACGGGCTCTGGTGTAGGATCCGCGGGAGGTGGTGCAGATGGTGTAAGAGGTTCCGGTTCCGGTTCAGGTGCTGGCGCTGGAGCACGCTTGGCTGCACGAGCTGGCCGGGAGGGTACGGCGGGTTCATATCTCTCGACGAAATTGCGCGGAAATAGACCTTCCACATGCTCGCCGGAAGCCGCAGTGTACTCTCCGGTGTACCAGTCCTCGTCGGCATCGTCGGTGACAGTGATGATCTGGCCGTTTGGGAAGGTGAGATCGTCCGGTTCCGCCGATTTGTACTCGTAGACCGCCTTGACCTTGAATGGAACAGTCATGGCTGCAGTAGAGGTGCACTCGCCGTCCGGAGGCCGCTCTGGAGGAACGACAGAAAAGCAACGCTATGAGAACGGCAAGAGTGAAGTGGACGAGATGGTGGGTAGGTGCCAGTGAGGTTGTTCAAGGTGGGGACCCCAATCTCGTGGGCTGTTCAAGTTGCCGAGCCCCAAACAGCGCCCTCCGTGGCCAGAAGGTCTGCGACGATCTTTTGTATGAACTGGCGCTCAAGTGAGGCTCAATAACATTCACCTGCTCGAGCAGCGAAGTTCTATCAGACCTTCAGTGCCCTTCCTGACCAGAAAGCGATCAAGCTGTCGCAATGCTGGAGATGACGCACTTCGACTAAACACCGCCACAACCTCACTCACCACAAATGCCGTCTGCTGACTACGAAAAGCCTTGCGTCAAGCACGAGGTTCGACTACAGTGAACTTCACGGGCTCAGGGTGCATTAATTGTGCTAACAACTGCCCGCGGCCCAGCGGTGTCTTTCAGGACGTTGTCGACCTAGCTCAGGCAGCTTTCGACTCGGAGGTAACATTAATATTCAAGTTCAAACGTGGGGCCAAAACGGTGCAATTTTTGCTATACCGGACAACCAAACGCATGTCTACCTCATGACTCTGATACAAGCGAAGAGCACCGGGCGTTTCGGAATACATGCAGGACAGCTGACGCGCTGATTTCACCAATACGATCGCGTTGTGGCAAAGCCAGGAGAACTGCCTGACATCTTAATCCTGCGACATATATCTGGCTGCCTGATTTGCTTATCCAGCCATGACTTCCGATCGCCATAGAGAGACTGCCATCAAGCATGCCCGAATCATTGAAGATCAGAAGCGGGTCAAGGAGCAAGTCATTGACCTCATTGTTGAATGCTTCGATCTCCCCTCAACACCTCAAGCAATCCCTAGCACTGCTTCCGCGGGAGACGTCAGAACATTCAAGAAGGCCCTCAGCCTATTCCAAGCAGAAGATTTCGATGAGCTGACCTCTGAGCGCAACATCGATGATAGATGCGGCTATGCCTTATGTTCGCGGCCGAACCGAAAGCACGCTAGTGGAGGTAACAAAGTCTGGAACCACAAAAGGGGTAAGGACTTCAAGTTGATTGACCGGCGCGAGGTCGAGAGATACTGCTCATCAGAGTGTGAAGGACGTGGCGTCTTCGTCCGGTCTCAATTGTCATCAGAGCCGGCTTGGACGCGTGACGTGACAGAGACATCTGTCGTCTTACTGGACGATGTTCAAGAACAAGACGATCTTGCCGCTGCAATCAAGCAGCTGACTCTCGATGAGACGGCCAGAGCCGACTTGTCTGAAAAGATGAAGGAACTGTCCTTGGAGCGTGGAGATGGCTCTAAACCTCAGCCCACTTCTCTGGAGGTCGCTGAGAGGGAGGTGTCCTCCGATGAGGTGCCTCTTCCACCCGACCCAGGCGGACTTGACAGTATCGAAGGGCATAATCCACGGAAAGTGAGGTTCGCGGCCGGAGCAGACTGAGACAATGGGCTCTCAGAGGTGGTTTCTGGGAGCATGTTGTCTGGCGTCGCGGCGCTTGTCCTGTATCATCAAAAAGCGAAATATGCTCTTTCCAAAGGTTGCCGTTCTGTTTCCCATGCCAACCAGTCACTCCTTGTCGTCGGCAGTAGACCCATCGAATTCACCTTGTAAATGCCCAGGCACAACAGCAACAGCTGCATTATCACATAAGCCGCTCTGATGCCGAGCATCTGACCATATGTTCCTGCGCTTTCGAATTTCGAGAAGACCGTGTTGGTTTGCGTCAGCCCTTGGATGGGACTCTTGAAGAGGTTGTAGACCATGAAGATCGAGAAGATCTGTAGAGTGTTGCCGGACATGTACATCATGATCGCTTGCATCGGTATCTGTTTCGCGGGTCCCAGCGCTATCTCCCATGCCTTCTTGATCTTCAACGTGTTCATCTCTTCCGGCGTCGGAGGCTTTCGCGCGACTGCTTGCGATTTCTGCTTGGTCGACATGGACTGTGATGAGCCATAACCTGGTGGATTTGTGATGCTAGAAGCATTCTTTGACTTTGGAGGAAGACCGTTGTTCAAGTCAACCACCCATTTCGGCGGCGGCGGGACACTGCCCGCCGATTTCTGGACTGACATGCTGAGATGTAGATTGTAAGCGCCTTGTGGTGGATCTATCGAGTATGCTTTGATATCAGGCCGGAGGACGTCGTGAGCATATGTCATGCAGGACGAGGTAGGAATAGCAGATTGAGTTGCAGGTGCACTTTAGCCCGAAGCCGGATAGGGGTAGGGCTGACGACGTCTTGGCGTGCCTGGAGCGAGATCACTTCGTCCACGATGTCAACCACTAGTCGTAGGCGGAGAGGACTTCGAAATGCATTCTGTAACATGAGTTGACGTGGGTGCACTAGCAGCAGCAATCGAATGAAAGAATGTCGTCGGGGCAGGGAGATGCGAAGCTGTTCGCAAGGGTGAGTACAGCCAGGCTCCTTTTCTCTTCATGGATCTGTCAGTTGGGCTACGAGTGGTCCCGCTGCTTCAGGTGACTCCGCAAGAGTGCTTGCTGGCAGTCGAGGACACTTGAGTCGTCTCAAGAAAGGGCCGCGGACGCCTCAAACGACACAAGATATCACGTCTTCTGGCGACCACATTCAACGCCCAGCGATGACATGGATATACTGGGCACATCGCTGATGTTACTACAGGGCAAGGTGGCCGAGCTGCGGCAGGAGTTGACCAACAGCGGAAAGAAGGACAAAAATCATGCCGCAAAGAAGAATGCTCTCAAGAAGATCGTGGCCAACATGACCATGAGCAACAACGACATGGTGGCTTTATTTCCAGATGTCATCAATTGCATGGACCTACCAGTCCTTGAAATCAAGAAGATGTCAGTTTGCCATGGCATCGAATTGGTAGTGATTGACCCATTGCAGGTGTTTTCTGTATTTACAGAACTATGCTAGGACAAAACCTGAAATCGCACTACGAGCACTGCCGATTCTTCAAGAGGTAACAACCTTTTGATGTGTTAGACACCGAGCAAGTCTGACCAGTACAGGACATGAAGGACGCAAATCCTCTGATCAGAGCTCTTGCACTCCGGACCATATCATATGTGCATGTAAAGGAGTTTGTCGAGGGCACCATACCTCAATTAAGGAAAATGATGGAGGACCCCGACCCATACGTCCGCAAACATGCTGCGCTGACCGTGGCTAAAGTTTACGACCACGACAAAAGACTTGTCGAAAATTCGGATCTGATTGATCGGTTGAACAGAATGCTGAAGGACGAAAATCCAACTGTCATTGCGGGCGCCCTATCTGCGCTCACTGATATCTGGGACCGAAGCGAGAATATAAAACTCACGATCGACTATACCAGCGCCTCCAAAATCGTCTCCATTCTTCCGGACGTCAACGAGTGAGTGGGAAGCCATTGCGCTGAAGCAGGTGCTAACCTCCGCAGGTGGTCGCAAAGCTACATACTTGAAGCACTGGTTTCATACATACCACAAAGGACTGACGAGGCCCTCCTTTTGGCTGAAAGGATACTCCCACGTTTGTCGCATTCAAACTCTGGAGTGGTCCTCAACTGCATTCGCGTCATTATGTACTTGATGAATTATATCGACGACCAGAAACGGATCGGCGAGATATGCCGAAAGCTCTCTCCACCGCTCGTCACACTACTCTCGAAGCCGCCAGAGATCCAGTATCTTGCTCTCAGGAATGCGATCTTGATCCTTCAGCAACGACCTGAGGTTCTGCCATCCGACATCCGAGTCTTCTTCTGCAAGTACAACGATCCAATTTATGTCAAAGTGACGAAGCTGGAGCTCATCTTCATGCTTGCCAGCAAAGACAACATCAGCATTGTCCTCAATGAGCTCAAAGAATACGCAACGGAGATCGACGTACAATTCGTGCGCAAAGCCGTCCGCGCCATCGGCAAGCTGGCCATAAAGATCGAGCCTGCGGCACGACAGTGTATCGAGACCTTGTTGGAACTGGTCAATGCGCGAATCCCGTATATTGTTCAAGAAGCCACAGTCGTGATCAAGAACATCTTTCGGAAGTATCCGAATCAGTACGAATCAATCATCTCTACAGTTATCAAACAGATCGACGAGCTTGATGAGCCCGAAGCCAAAGCCGCCATCGTATGGATCATCGGCCAGTACGCGGACCGCATCGATAATGCCGACTCACTGCTACAAGACTACCTCGCCACCTTCCATGAGGAGCCAACAGAGGTACAGCTTGCTCTCCTCACCGCCACCGTGAAGCTCTTTCTCCAGCGCCCAGCGAAAGGTTCTTCGCTCGTTCCGCAGGTACTCAAATGGTGCACCGAGGAGATCGACGATCCAGATCTGCGCGACCGAGGCTTCATGTACTGGCGCCTGCTCTCGTCTGACCCGGAAGCGGCAAAGAAGGTCGTCATGGGCACAAAGCCACCCATCACTGCAGATTCCGAAAAGCTCGACCCCAACACCCTCGAAGAGCTCTGTCTATGCATTGGCACTCTGGCAACCATATATCTCAAGCCGGTGCAGCAGGTCTTCCGCACCGCAAGAGCACGAAAGCTTACTCCTTCGCCAGCACTCCAACGGCGGAAAGAAGCCATATCAACGGCGATCAATACGCTTCAGGTCAACACTGCCACAGCAGCCGCGAACGCGAGCACTGCAAACGGCGCAGGACAACAAGACGCGATAGCTGCTGCGGACGAATACTTCAAGAATCTCTCGTTGAGCAACAACGCAGATAATTCTAACCAGTTCGCAAGTCCTACGGATACAAGAGTTGGACCTGGTGGAGGCATGTTGGTAGGACAGGGTGATCATATGATGAACAACAACGTCTATGGGATCAACCAGGGCGTAGCGCCGCAGCCTGTGAGCTCGCCTGTTACTGCTGGTGGACCTGGTGGACAGCAGGATTTGTTGCTGTGAGAGCATTGAACTCAGCATGTCAATGCACCTGAAGACACACGCTGCGAGTTAATTAAAGGTGCCGGTCTGTCAATAGTTGTATACTCAGGGACGTCAAAAAGTCACCCAGAAACACGTGCATGTTCCTGGAACGCGCAAGCAGGAGCCTTCACGGAGCCGGAGCTGGGTCCCGATAAAGTACCGAGGAAGACCGTCCCACTTGTTTCGCGGGAACTTTCAAGCAAGGGAGGAAGTTGCAAGTCGATCACCGCCTCCCGACTCCAGATCTGCACATCCACAAACCTGCAGGAGCCATCCTCGTGCAATTGATGTGGCAGACAAGAAAAGCCACATGCGCAACGGCAGACTTACGAGGATGAGACTTTCCATTGGCATGCATATCTACCTCCAGGCCTGTGATTGGCCGAAACTCGACGACATGTCTTCACCTTGCTTGACTGACACATTTGACAGCGGTCCCATTGGTATGGACGGGCTCGAACTCGACTTCGCACTATTTGCCATCCTAGATGACCCCTGAATACGGCTGACGATGAGAATGCCTGATAGCCTGCATTCTAGTTGGAATCAACACAGTGAAACCAACTATGGTTGGCTTCTACGCCTGACCCATGCAGTCACTGCGCGCCGAGCAGCGCGTTCTACCGAAGAACAACCCTTGGCATTACGTCTCCTTCGTGGGCAGATTCGACGGTCACAGCAGCCATCGAAGCCAGGAACGCCGACCTGGGTCCAGAGTGCTCGTGTAGGAGGACTTTATGGTTCCCGAAAGGTGATGAGCCTGCCCCTGTATGCGATGCATTGCGTCGGAACAAAAATACTGCCACACCGAGGCTACTGATAGTTCCCAGCTGTGCGGCCGCCGTCCGAGACCAGTTCCACGTGAGACTTGATGGTGGCATTCGAAGTTCTGATTGTGTATCAATTGACTATTCTGTGGTTTTCGAGCCGATGCTAGACACGTGCTCCACACGCTGCCCATGACCGAGCTCCTGGACCATAGGAAGGTCACTGTGAACTTGTCCGACCAGTACGCCTATGCAAGCACTCCATGATCAGCCTCGACAATTCTGCTCAGGAGAGCACAACCATCATTCACGACATGATGAAGGCCTCCTCTGACTATGCTGGAATATGTCTAGAGTCCTGGGGATTTTACAAGATTTTCTGTCAAGAGACTGAAGCATACCACGCGAAGTCAAATCATGGCACTGGATGTGAACCCCGGGCGTATGGGTTCACGATCATGACACAGCTGACAGAACCTTCCAACGCGGCTCACGTTCGACTAACACCCCTACAGGATAAGCTGGCATCGTATTCTTGTCAAATCTCTGCTGGAGATACTTTTCCGCTAGTTCAGCAATCCCAGCATGTCTGCCAGTGTCAACAAACGTCGATTGCTCCAGATGTCACAACATTGGATGTTGAATGCTCATGGCAGGCTCTTGGCTCAGCCGCGCAAGCCATGCCATTATGTTATAAGAGCTCTCCAGGACAGCCAACCACCAACTATTCCTCAGTCGCTCTTTTTGTTTCATCCCAGCACCTTTCCTGGGTATCCTTTTCCTTTTTTTGCCTTTGTATCTCTCGTCTAGGCGCTTATCGCCATGATGAAGAAGGTCGGGCTAGTCGCTCCTTTCCTGGCAGCCAGCGTGTCTGGTCGCCACAACGGCCTCAAGGCTCGCGATGTGGTCATCGTGGACCCCAATGGCTTCTGCTGTCCTGCTCCAGTGACAGTGGCACTTCAGCCAGCATACTACAGCACCGTCATCTATTCTTCGACAAAGTATGATCCCTGGGGATATGGCAAGTGGCACACCGTTGAGAAGGAGCAGTGCCCTTACACGGTGGTCACTTCCACCACGCTCACGTCCACGATTACGGGCTCGCTGCCTGCTAACTGTCCTTCTTCGACATTGACGACATCCAGCTCCAGCAGCACGACATCGTCGGCAGTTACGAACAGCCTGGGTCCAATATTGCAGAGTACTTCGAGTTCCTCCTCGTCTTCTTCGTCCTCCTCGACCTCCTCGGCGACCTCCTCGGCCTCCTCGGTGTCCAACACGCTGGGACCGATTCTGCAAAGCACCTCGACTTCTTCCTCATCTGCGTCGTCAGCTTCCTCAACATTCACAACAGCAAATGCCACCAGCATCACTATTGCGTCCACCGCGTCAACTGCATCAACCGCGTCAACCGCGTCAACTGCGACCGCCTCGGCCAGCGCCTCAGCCTTCTACTTGGCGTACACTGACCTGACGCCCGTCGCGAAACGAGACGAGCCGCACAAGGTTAAGCGGCAGTTCCTGCCAGGCCAGACTGGCGTGCCTGCCGTTCTTGTCGACCTGGCTACCAACCCTGCTGTGCCGCAAGGAAACTCGGTTCCCGAAAACCGCTGTAACGAAGCTACATTGTTGACTCTGGTCAGCGGAAAACTTTCCATAGCTGGAAGCACCACTGCCATTGCGAAGAAGCAGGGAGAAACACAGCCTGTCTTCGGCACTCTGATTCAACCCGCTGCCAATGATGTCAGTGGTACCTTCAGTCTGAATGCTGGTGTCCTCGCCTGGGTCTCGGACGACGGTCTGGGTCAGGCCGCTTTCTACGCCTGTGCCAGCGGCATCTTCGCTGGCTTTCCCACATTCGCTGGTGATGGCTGTGTTGCAGTTCAGGTCCAAACTTACTCCCTTGGACAGTGCACACCCGGCGGCAACACTACATCTACGACCTCTACGTCGGCCTCTACTTCTGCTTCTTCCGCTGTGACTGCCACTCCATCCACCACCACCAGCAGCAGCAGCAGCAGCAGCGAGACCACCACTACCACTACCGTGGCTACTAGCGACTCTTCAAGCTCTGTGTTCTCGACCATTGCTCCCTTTGCCAATACTACTTCGAGCACGACGACGACCTTCAACTCCAACGATGTCAACTCTGGTCTGCAAAGTACGACGGTCAGCTCTTCTAGCTCTTCGTCGACCGACTCCAGCACGACGACGACCACAACCACGACGAGCGCAACTGTTGCAGCCAGCTCGAGCACGACCGACTCAAGCTCAACGAGCTCAAGCACAACTGAGTCAACCTCAACCAGCTCAAGCACAACTGAGTCAAGCTCAACCAGCTCAAGCACGACTGATTCGAGCTCAACCAGCTCAAGCACGACTGATTCGAGCTCGTCCGTCTCAAGCGCGACAACGACCTCGAATTCCAACAACGTTGGACCAACGCTGATCAACACGACCGGAGCCACTACAAGCACCCCAGCGAGCTCATCGGAGTCGTCATCGGCGTCAAGCTCAACAGATGTAAGTTCTGTAAGCTCGTCAACATCTGCTGGACCGTCTTCTTCAAGCGCGTCGTCCGCAAGTGAGCCTGTGTCCTCGTCAAGCTCGAGCAGCGCCTCCGAGAGCACAATCATTGCTTCAACGACAATTACCACCACCACGACCACCACGTCGGCGTCGACTTCTGCGACAACCAGCAGCAATTGCGTTGTCAACCTGCCCCTGGCCTGCCTCGACCTCGAGGTGTCCCCTCTTCTTGGAGTTGCCCTGGCTCCATTAGGCCTTGCTTGTTCCCAAGCTCTGAGTCAGACCGTCAATATTGCCGCACTTCCTGGATCGCTGGATTGCTTGACCTCTGCTCTCGGATTGACAGCTACTGGGGCCTCGCTTACTCAATGTATCGTCAACTCGGGCGTTCTTTGCGGAGCTCCTCCTGCAGGATCTTCTTCCACTTCCAGCGCGAGTGCTTCTTCCGTTACAGGAATAATCTCGTCAGGCACTGTGTCCGTTACGACATCCACTAGTGCAGGTACAGCCACTACCGCGTCGTCCACTACTACACCGAACTGTGTCGTCAACCTGCCCCTTGCCTGCCTCGATCTCGAGGTATCTCCCCTTCTCGGAATCGCCTTGGCTCCACTAGGCCTATCGTGTTCCCAAGCTCTGAGCCAGACTGTCAATATTGCTGCGCTCCCAGGATCCCTGGATTGCCTCACCTCCGCTCTTGGACTGACGGCTACTGGGGCGTCGCTCACGCAATGTATTATTAACTCCGGAGTTCTCTGCGGAGCGTCTCCATCAGGCATCACAACTTCTCCTTCGGTTACAGCGACTCTGCCGTCACTATCGTTGTCGGTGCCATCGCTGTCATTGCCGTCTCTGTCGCTATCAGTACCGTCTCTATCGCTGTCAATACCGTCTCTGTCCCTGTCAGTACCGTCGCTCTCACTTTCGGTACCATCTCTATCAGCGTCAGTCCCGTCCCTCTCGCTGTCAGTACCGTCGCTCTCGCTGTCAGTACCGTCGCTCTCGCTGTCAGTTCCGTCGCTCTCACTCTCGGTACCCTCTCTATCAGCGTCAATCCCGTCGCTCTCGCTCTCGGTGCCGTCTCTGTCAGCGTCAGTCCCGTCGCTATCGCTGCCCTCGATTACGCTACCATCACTCGCACTTCCAACACCAACATCAACAACAGTAGCATGTGTCGCCAACCTCCCAGCGGCCTGCGCCAGCCTCTCGCTCCTGAACGGTATCGACCTTCAAATCGCCGCCGCCAGCTGCCAGATCGATGTCCTTGCTGTTCTCAATGTCGCCACCTTGCCTGCCTCCCTCAACTGCCTCCTCGCATCCAACGTACTCACAGAGACGGGTCCACAAGTCGCTGCCTGCATCGCCAACTCAGGCCTCTTGTGTGCCGCCCCACCCACTACCGTCTCCACCTCCATCAGTGCTTCCGGTACCTCCTCCGGCTCCGTCACCAGCCCAACGGGCATAGCCGACTTGTGCCTCACGGTCCTCCCATCCGCATGCTCCAACCTCATCAACTTCAACGGCGCGCTCCTACTCACCAATGCAGTGGCTTGCACAACCAGCTTGACTGCCTTCGAGAACGCAGGCCAGTTGTCTGACGCTAGAGTGCTGGCGGCGGCGAATTGTGTTGCGGCCTCGGCTGTCACGCTGACGAACCCGAACCCGTTGGGCAGCACTTTGGTGCAGTGCCTCGACACCGCGGTGCTCTGCCCTTGATTCGGACTATCCACGACCCGGTCGAGTTGAGTCCTCGCGAAGGATTGCATTCACCGACTATCAAACAAACAACATTGTCTTACTGACTGACTGACTGACTAACGGCCGCGCGACTTTTAATGCATTTCCGGTATTTTGATGAAATTTGGGGGGGTAACTAGATGAACACTCTCTCGCAGCAGGGGCAACTTTGCCTGTAATTTCATGATGGACCTCGAGGTCGTCATAGTATATAGCAATAGTACATGCCCTATCACACATGTTCCAATCTAGATCGCGCTACGTGTACCCTCCCTCAAACAAACTGACACTCATGCGCCATCCTCGGTCGAAGCCGTGACAGCGCGTTCCCACGGCTGTCCGTCGTGTGACTTCGAAACTGTAAGGGGGACGGTGGGTCTTCGCGGCCACCTCCTGCCCACTAGTCGGTGTGTCTCAGGGCAAAGGCGAGCGCAGCGAGCTGTGTGCCACAGGCGAGTATGAGAGTATGGTAAATGCGAGGCAGGATGGTTGATAGACAGAGAACAAGGGATTCTACCGACTGTCTTGGCTTGCGAAAGTGGCTGGGAGGTGGAATAGTGTAGCACAAGGCGAGGCATGTCTAGGAAATAGAAAGTGAAGCTGTTGCTTGGCTATGCAGCTACTCAATATGGCGGACCACACTCAAGATGAGTAGGATAGAAGCAGGTTCAGCATTCTTATCATAGCCCCAGAATCCAGTGGAGCGAGCGGCACCTTCCGTGCTTCTAACGAGCGTCTCCAGGTTTCCTTTGCAAGGTCCACAAGCACCACTGAAACTGTTCACGCCACATGATGCTGTGGGACATGGTCAATCCTTAGTAGCCCGATCCGCGTCCGCAAGCACCGCATCAAAAACCTCCATATTCAGCCCCCTCCAGTTCTTCCTCGCCCATGCAAACCACGTTACCCCGGCAAAGATCCACACGCCGACGTTGATTGGCAGCGCATAGTTCATGTACTCGCTCGTGATCGGCAGATAATTCGGAAACACAGTAAACGTGCCCACCCACGCAGTATAGATCATTGCCGCAATATTGATCGGGTACCCCCATCTGCCAACGACCAGCCCGCGTCCTCCACGCGCCCTTGTCTGCGCGCATACAACATGCAGCCGATAGCGATGAAGTACGACTGGAACAGCCCGAATGTGCCAAGAGAGATAACCACCCCGATCGCGACCGCGCTCGCAAGATTCAGGAGTAAAAGAATCGCAACAATCAACACACTCACCCACAAACTCCGCACCGGCACGCGGTATTTACTATCCACATACCCAAACCACTGCGGCAGCGCTCCATCCCTCGACCACGCCCACGTCAGCCTCGAGCTAGACGCGATGCACCCCAGCATGACGGCTAGCACAGTAATCATAAAGCAGCCGATCATAGCGGAGCCAGCTTGGACGGACCCCGTGGCGTTAATAACGATGGGGACGAGGCCATAGTAGGCTGCGAGGACGTCTTCGACTGGACCCAAGAAGTAGAGGTAGATGATGGTCATCGCGAAGGCGAGGCCACTGTTGAGGCAGATAGAGAGGAACATGGCGCGGGGCACGGCGTGGCGGGCTTTGCGGACTTCTTCGGACATGTGGATTGCGCCGTCGAAGCCTGTGAAACAGTGTTAGTCGGTCAATCTATAGGGTTTTAAGGAAACGTACCAACGAAGCCCCATGTGATAAGGATGATGCCTAGATTAAAGGATACGAAGTCGTTGTTCCAGCCTGATAGGTTTGACTTGCTGAAGAAGACGAAGTCGGAGGAGTGCCGCTGACCGAGGGTGGCTAGGACGGAAGCGAAGACGATGAAGAGGATAATGTGCAGGAGTCCGGCTGCCATTTCGATCCATGGAATCAGCCAGAATGCGAATTGATTGAGCAGAGCGAGGATCATCAGGATCGAGTACATGATCAGGAGTGTATGCCACGATTTTGCAACGTAATCAGGATACGAGACCGTGACGAGCGTGGTGATGATATTACCGATAACGTTGGCCGTGCCTGCGGTTATAGCAATCCACGAGAACCATGTGATCCAGCCCTGGACCCAAGTGATCGGCCGTTGGAAGTTTTTGGGTGCGTAGTAGTGTGTCCAGACATATTGAGCTCCAGCGATGGGCTGGACGGAGGCCATCTCGGATATGGACGCGACCTGACATAGTGTTCCTGGTATGACAATGAAGAAGCCCCAGACCAAGGCTCGTGGTCCTCCGTTGTAGAACGCAACTCCGACGTTGGCTGGTGAAATTTTAGAATCGTCGTCAACGGATCATTGCCTGAATACCTACTGCCTATAGCCTCCCAGCTATTCATGAATGTCAGGGCGAAGAAGAAGATTTGAGCATGCGAGAAGACTTTCTGCACGGACGTCAGTGTAACGTTGTGTGAGGTTGGAGCGGTTGGCTTACTCGCACTCTCGTTCTCGAATTCGACTGGACAGAGATCTCATGGCTATGACCCGTTGGGCTTGCTCCAGACGTCTTCTCATTGACATTGACATCTGTCGAGTTGCCTTTCGGCCGCGATGTAGCAAAGCGGTTCATGGCTATCAACGGTGAGCCTGCGGGCGGACGGTCGAAAAAGAAGAACAAGTAGTGATTACCGTATCAGGAGTCGCAACGAGCCGGACTTGACGAAAAGGTGAGTGTGAAGAAAGTGAAGTCAGGATATTGCGGGAGGTGAAGATGGAACGCCTTCGTCAAGGGAGACCACTTGGCCGCGAGAGCATTGCGAAGAGTCCGGATTGAAGCTCAAGTCGCTAATCAGGTAGATTGTTCCAATCCCAGGGGAGGTAAGTTGCTTCCGGGGCCACTTGGCAGAACTTCGCTTGTACTGACAAGTTTCCTTACACGAGCAAGTGATGTTGATGCATGTCCAAGGATAGCTTACCTGTAGCTTGACAGCGGATCAGAGAGTTCTCCAGGTGTATTCGGTCCACTTCGTGCAGTCACGGCACATGTTTGCTTGTTCCGGTGCTGAATTGGGCATCGTGAGTAGACCAGGTCTTTCCCACGAACACTGGGTGTGCGGCTTGCTATTGACGTGGCTAGGGTGAACAAATACTTCTGAGCAGACGGGGAGGTCCTGGACCCTGACTCGCTCGGAGGAAGTCCCACCGACTTGAGCAGGGGTCGTAAGTCAGGGATCTGCACTCCGCCAAGATCCCATGCATGGTCATGCAGCTGCTAAAGGACACGCTTCTGGCTTAGGTTGCAGTTCATGCGCAGAGTGCAGGACGCTGAAGATCTTATCGATCTATGCTTGATGGTGCGAGAGATCAAGGGCTGCACCACGCTGTAAACTCTGACTGTGAGAGGGGCTTGAGTCAGGTACAGATGTGTTAGGGTGATGGCATTAAATTTATTAGGCTTGAATGCCAGGTAGATGCCATTGGCGTTGTCTTGCCTCTGGCGTTCGCCTCGGACCTTGCGCTCTGCAATGACTGCGCGTCTTGAAAGTTATGCATGAGTCTTAGACGGCACGAGACCCGCCAGATACTATGTGCATGCACTGGCCGGGATTTCATGTCGATTGTGCCGCTTGCGCCTGCGCTAGATGCACAGTAGTACATAGCACGGACACAGAAGCATGTCGGAGGGGCCGCAAGGACTGCACGGCTAATTCCAGGTTGCTCTTTAGGACTTAGAGAAGACATCTTGGTTGTGGCTGAATTGAAGAGCCGTCGATAGAGAGTTTCATCGGAGCAGATTGGATCGCAAGCTAAAGGCACTTATGATTGGCTGCATCTGCCGAAATGGGGCCGGCAGATCGACATGCGACGCGGAAGGAGCATCTTCATCATCCGCGTCTTGGCTGTTCAGGAAGCACGAACCATCCCGGAGACATTCAATATGGGGGTACTTCGTTCTAGGAGAGCGCTATGGGGCGGTGGCTGACGATTCTACTGGCTAAGCCACGACTGCGAGCCCCGTGCTCTAGTCAGTCGTCTGGTTGGTAGCAGCACTACCGTCCATTCACTGAAGATGCGACAATTCAACCACGATCTTCGGACCACATGGCAGGGCATGCCTCTGCAGAACTGCAGCAGTGGCCTCGATCGAGTCGACGTCGAGGAGAAACGAGCTTCTAAACCAAGCTGCGTCGAGATTGTTGCTTCTGTTTGATCAGCGTCAATGACCGAAGTCCATTTCTCTTGGTTTTAATGATGATTCGCCAGGTAAAAGGAAACTGGATGTGGAGGCCGCCTTTTTAGGGCGCCATAATCTTGAGCAGAAGTGACATTGACCAAGCTGAGTAGTGCAGACTGGAGGTCGGTGGCAGATCTGCCGCCCATCCAAGGAATCTCGCGAGCTTTCAGCTCCCGCCAGGGTAAACCCAGAAGTCTTCTGTCTGGAGGTACCTACAATTGACACGCTCAGACGGTTGCATACCGTGTACGGATGCATGTCCAGAGTGGCTAGTAGGACAAGGCGCTCGACTGCCGGTCCCGGAACGTCTGAAGTTGTTTCTGCTTCGGAAGTGCCTAAGTCATAGCGCCCAGGTATTTGCCTTGCCTCGAGCCGCTAGCCAGCATAGTTGGTTGGGTCAGTTTCACTGATGCAGAGTAGCAAAGACCAGGCTACCACTGAGCAGGAATGCTCTTGGCCTTGCCGTCGCAGGGTACCCGTTCGACTGATATCATGCCGCTGTGAGACCCAGCTGCCGCCCTCAAAATGTGAGTCCATTTAGTCGCTCACGCTGGAAGGCTGAGCAAAGTTGTGTGCTGTCAGTGGGATGGCAGAGCTGATCAGTGGGAGCGAGCCATACGGCAACATATTTGAGCCTCTGCTACCACCACTTCAAAGCATCTCCTCAGGCCATCAAGGACCTCTGCTCATCGTGGTCTCCACTCCCCTCATCATCATCGCTGGCCTGATCGTGTTTGTGAGGCTATATACAGTCGTGACTGTCACGCGCACGATAGGACCGAGCGAAGTATCGATCGTCGCTTCCATAGCCTGCTTCATAGGCTACATTACATGCATCAACAAAGCCGTCGGAAGGGGCCTGGGTAATGGAGGTGACCAGATCCCCGACTTGATTGACCCGGAGCTGAGAGGAGTACGAAACCGTCTAAACCCATCACTGAACGCATGTGCTGACGATGCTCAGCAATTCTGGAATGCCAATATCCTGCTGATTCCGACCATCGCTTTCGCCAAAGCCTCCGTCACCTTGTTCTTCATCCGACTGATCGGCTGGAAGTCAATGTGGAAGACCGGTCTGTACACTTCGAAAGGACTCCTCGCGTATACTGCGGCTTGGGCAGTCGGCAGCATCACTGTCACTGCTCTGCAATGCTCGCCAGACCGATCGGCCTTTGGACCAACTCCAGCTCCTGAGAATGGCACTTGTTTTAATCAATACGCCATGCAGCTCGGAATCAGGATTCCAGACATAATCAGCGATCTGATCATTGCTGTACTGCCGGTCTTTCTTATGGCAACACTGCAGACGAATCGAAGGAATAGACTACTAGTCATCGCTCTGTTTGGCGTTCGAGTAGTGTAAGTACCAGTTTTTCCAGTCCACCTGCATGATAGCAGCTAGCTGTGTACCACAATCGATCAACAACACTGACCTTACAAAACAGAACTATAATCCCCAACATTCTCTCGCTACGCAGCCTCCATACCTACTACGATCTCCGTACTTCTTCCCGCCAGCGAGCCGCAATCACGCCCACAATCTGGACCACAGTCTACGCCTTCACTTCCCTCGTCACAGCCTGCATCCCCGCGATAAAGCAACTCCTTGCCGACTGGGCCGCCGGCATGTCCAAGGCCACCATCGGCGAAGCGCTTGACGCTGAGTACTACGGAAACAGCCGCAGCGGTCGAAACGACCGCTCCAGAACAAACCACAGTTCCGGTACAAGGAGGAATGACAACACGACCAGTGCGACCAGCGCGACTGCGTCGCAGAGAAATATCGATCTCGCGACAAGACTAGGGTTTCATCGGAGTGGGAAGGCGACGGTGTTGAGTGGACCGCGGGCTGGGTTTGTGAGTGGGCCAGTGGGTTCGGGAAGGGAGCGCAGGAGGGAGGGGAGTGGGGAGGGGGAGGAGAGTGAGAGCATGAGGGGGTTGACGGAGGGTGTGATTTTACATACGAGGGATTATGCTGTTGAGTATGAGGAGCATGAGATGATGCCGATTCAGGGTGTTGATGGGAGGGAGGACGGGGGTGGGTATGGGGCGAGGAGAAGGTCGTAGAGTTGGGAAGGGGCAGCGATGAGTGGTGGGCCATACACATGATGGCACGAAACCATAGATGGCCGTGTCAGGCACACAGGTACACGATGGTTTCGCCTCAACTGTCTTCCATTTTTATTATTTTGTCTAGCTGAGCCTCGACTGTAGGCCGCGTAGGTAGCTGATTGTATTGATTTGCGAAGCCGGCTCCCGCCCGCGGTCTACCAGGAGCGGCAGCCGCTGCGTCGAGAGGGGTCGGGATGGCGTGCATCTTCTTGGTGATGGGTCTGGAATCTCAAGAGGCCGCATGAACTGATTCTCTTCTCTGTCCGCGCAATGCCTGTAGCGACCCATACCGCCTGAGTTTGTAAATCCTGTATAGAATCTTGTCGATCAAAAAGCGCCTGCTCTTGTTGTTGAGATCCATGAAAGAACGATGAGAAAGTCCTCGACGTCTTTGTATGCTGACAGGTCAAAGGCATGTGCGCCTTCTGCGAAAGCATCATAGTAACGCCATTTGTCTAGCAGATCAGATGTACTGACATAGTCAGCAAGCTTCAGTCAGTCGGCTCCGGGCCTAACTTACGACATGATAGCGTCAGGTTCAAATGAGTGGTACAGCAGTTTCGTCGTCAATGAGTCTTGGATAGCGCGCCAGTCCCGAGACGTACTTGTAGTCGGAAGGTCGGTGTTTGCAGGAAAGGGCAGCTCCTTTTACTCTTCCAATTCTACCACTGAAAGCTGGTATGCTCTTGCCCCGACTCACACCTCTTTCCCATTCCCATAAACCTTCCTTCCTCAGAATGTGCGCGAACGACGTCACAGCAGCAATGCATCTTTATCGGTCGGAGATTCAGGTCTCTGTAGGCATCATTCAGGCCCGTTTGGTGGTGATCGATTGCTGCTACCTGCAGGAAACTTCCGGCAATCCGTATTGGTCGATCGGACAGAATTCTCTAATCAGCCGACCTTTCGACCAACATTGCCAATGCCATTGCCGACAACGCTGACGACTACTTCATCTGCCTTGTCCTCGCCAGCTTCTCGGAATCCCCATCCTGCTCCACCAAAAGCTTGTAGGTCCCTTGCGAGTTGAATCACGTTCTCGCTCGCGACCACATCCTTGCCTAGCTGAACTCTGCCAACATCCTCCGAGCCCATAGCCATGAGCGTGAGTATTGTCGGAGCAGCCTCGGTGCTGACACATCCGCCACGTTGGACACTTTCCAGCAGCTTGAACGCGCAGCTTTGGCCGATGTCCTCGGGTGGCACTCCCCCTTCTGGTGGTGAAGACATGTCAGCCGAGAAGAGGCAGCGCGTGCTGGATTCGGCTACCAGACTGAGGCCGAACCCAAGATTCATCTTCCGCTTTCCAGCGCCCGATGCACCTGCATTCGGAACAGTGGCCATGGGTGCAGAACTGACGTCTGAGAAGACGTAGACATCTCCACATAGGGCATTGAGCACTCCTCGAGCAGCCTCGATGCTGCGAGCGTTATTGCCTCCACTGACACCGGTAGAGTATGCGACACCGCGGACCTTCTTTATGCGTCCTGGAGAGAGCATGTGAAGGGTCTTTGGCAGACGGATCTGGTGATTGAAGATGAGCTGCACCTCGCCGCCAGCATGCGTGCCCTTCGATGACGGAGTATTGGCGCGCTGAAGGACACGCAGCTCTATATCGCGCTCGATCCCGAACTTCTCATACAAAGGCAGTATGGCTGTTCGTACGGAGTCTACGCTCATATCGCCCCATTTGTCGACACTCGACGTGATCACACCTGGGCCGCTGAAGAGGATGTTGAACTTGGATTTTGAGAAGGGCGCAAGTAGACATATTGGAAGCAAAAAGTAGCTCAAGCCCCTCGTGTTGCTCGCCGGGACCTCATGGCGTAGCACGCCTGCGGCATTTGCGCCCGAGCCTGGTGCTGAGCCTGTAATCAAGCCAGGTTTGTAGAGCAGTACTGTGCCTGTGTATGAGATTTCGATGTGCGAGCCATTCGTAACGGCTTCGAGAAGACGTAGGAAGGAGATATCTGAGGGTGACAGACCCGGGGTGGTAGGTGACGAGGGTCGGATCTGCGATATGTGTACTGTTCGTCCGAGGAGGGTAGAGAGGACGAGACGGTGTGGAAGACAGTGGTGCGAGGTGAAACGCAGAGGAGGCTGCTGAGTACTCATGTCGACCGCTACAAGCGTGAGCTCATGATCTCGGTCACAGCACCGTCGTGTAAACTGTGAAACAACCTAAGAATCTTGATACGCTGGTCGACGTTCAATTTCGCGAACCCTTTGGAAGCCGCTGAACTTTTTTCCCCGCACCATTTTTTTACCCCACAGCCTCGTTGGATCAGCCTAGCCTTGCATCGTCGACCCATCTGCAGCACGCTTCGAGGTGAGTTGACCTCGAGTTGACATCCTCGACACATCAATAGCTCCTGTGTCAAAGCGGATCTCGTTGAGCTGATGTCGCCAGCTCACGAAACGAGATTTGTATCACCTGACTCCTAGCACGCATACACGAGCTCTACAGTGCTGTCAATTTGCCACCGCCCGTGTCCGTGGATTTGAGGAGCCCTCGCTGCAGTTCCGCCCGCTACCGTGTCCGTGTGTACCGGTAGCGGTAGCATCGGACATGGTCGGATGCTGTTGACACATAAAGCTGCTGGTTAAGCAGAATCATGCAGGTCAATGTGTTCTAGACAAGAACTATATGCTTTCCACCCAGGGATGTTCTGCGGGGTAAGGTCCAGCGGCGAAGGTTGAACCCGCCGGACGCTGTCACTTTCCCCAATGAGAAGCTCTGCGTCAAAGACTTTTGACCAGGTACCGATGTCTTCGACATATCTATGTTAATCCGCAAGACTTGTGGCGTTGTCGACCAGGTACAGCATGCTGGCAAGCCGTTCCGAGGAACAGCTTGCCTGCTCGGGCCAGCGCATGTGTAAGTCTACTCATGCCGAGAGCAGATCGAGGCATAAGTACTCATATGCCTGACCGGGAGTTCTTTGTTGAGGAAGTACTGCTGTCGCCAATATTTCATTCCTCGCGAAGACACATCAGCAGCAGTCTCCCAATACCACCGCCATGTTCTCAAAACTGATCTGTGCTCTGCCATTCCTCAGCCTGACACTAGCCCAAAACAGTGTTGCAAATAACAACTATCTCGGATCTACGCCCTTCGAGCGTCATTCAGTCAACCATACCCAGACATTGTCAATCATTGAAGCTGCTGTCGAAGAGTCCCTGAATCTGTCCATACCAGTCAACATCGCAGTGGTTGATCCCTCTGCTCTGGTAAGCTCGTTGTTTGACGAAAGGCCAGTAATGCTGACAACCTCCTAGCTCGTGGGGTTCCTGAGAGTCGACAATGCCTATCCTGGATCCATTGACATCGCGCAGAAGAAATCACGGACTGTGGCGTTATTCAACGGCGCCTTCCCATCAGCAGGTCTGTACAACAGCTCCCAGCCCGGTGCAGCGCTGTATGCGATTGAGCAGACGAACGGTGGGCTCGTTGTGTTCGGGGGCGGCGTCCCGATCTTTGCCGATGGCTACTTCATTGGTGCTGTGGGTGTGAGTGGTGGCACCGTGGACCAAGACATCCAGATTGCCACGGCAGGCGTCAATGCTGTGGGGAGCACCACCTGACGGCGTCATTCGTATAGGATTGAAGGTCAGGTTGACAACATTGCAAGGAATGCAAGCAGGAACAGCAGACCTTAGTCGAGAGTAGCCTCCTGTACCAAGTGGACGTCTTTCCAATCCTTCTCAATGACGCCCTCATCCAAATCCGCTCTCCAGGTTTGCATCTGCCATCGCTTCTTGCCGTCTTTCTGCTTGACGTGATACCGTATAGGGAATAGAAATAATGCCTTCCAACCGCCTCTCTGCACACGACCTTTCTCCCACGCTTCCTTGAGAAACCCATACCCATGCTTCGTGTTGATAGCATGCGTGACCCTGACCATAAGTTTCTCATCACTCAGCTCGTCCGGGCTCTCGACTGCATTCGGCACGTCGATCGTCCAACCTTTCTGCCACGGTCCGAAGGTGATGCTGCGCAGTGCAGGGCCGAACACATTGGTTTCAACGAGCCAGCTTTCCCTGATGATCTCAAAGACATTGACTTTGATGTGCCTCACTTGCCGCAGCAAAGCATCGTTGCCGTTGGAGAGGTATCGAAATCGCGCGACAAATGCTTCGAAGGCTTTCTCGCAATGAATCTCCCACAACGCCTCTCCGATGAAAGCTCTGCGAACTTCATAGCTCAGCTCGCCCCATCGCGGCAACTTGAGCATCCAATTCAGATCATCACGGTAGGGTCCGGTTGCAACGGAGCCACAGTAGCAACCCCGGACAGATGTCACTGCCACGCGATTGCCCTGGAAGGCATGGTGATAGATGCGTGCACGTATCTCAGCAGGCAGCGTCAGTAGCTTGGACGTTATCTGGGCGAGGCCTGGGTGTGGCGTATATCTCGACACCGGGTCGAGTGGGCGGTGAGTCAATGTGTGCTCATAGTAGGCTGCTTCGGCAGTCGCTGTTTCCGACATTCTTGGTTGCGATCGCAACTGCTCGCGATAGGTGCATGCAACTACGATACTAGGCAAGAGCGATGCATCAAAGAAGGCAGGTGTCAACAGAGAATCTAAGTGGTGCGCGTTTGGGGATCTCCAGGGCTGAGGGGTGCTTGCCAAGAATCGGCTCCAGGCGCGCCTGCCCGCCGAGGAATGATGAACTGCGATGTCACGGTCGTCCTCCACCTGGGCAGACTACGAACGTATCACTAAGAAGGGTTCACACTTAGCCAGCGGACGACTTCCACGTCTTCAGATATGGACCATTCGATGTCTAGAACCCTTAGGTCTCGCCCGAAGTACACATCACTCGGCGCAGCAACCACATTCCGCCCCCAACGACACCTACTAGCGGTTGCGAGGCAGCCACGGGGCGGAGTCGTGTTTCAGGCTCGCTTGTTACTGATTAGCCCCTGATTAGCATTCAAGTATGAGGTCGACAAGCAGTCTGCATCGCCACAGTGGTCATGTATAAGGCAACGAACAGGACAGCCTCTCTAACAAAGCGATCTTTTCGCAGCGCTCCCGCTCTTGAAATGGGTCAGGCACTATAGCTCCCGATGGATTCCTCAAGATCCCCAATGCATGCATCCGACAAGCCACTGCTAGAGAATCGCAGCTTTTTACGCCAGCGCTCGATATCCTCAGCACAAAACTCGGCGCCAGAGATCGTCTCTTCTCCCAATTATTCGACATTCACGCTCAAGTCATTCCATCTCCATGCTCTTGCGAGGCTTCTCAGGATCGGACCAGGCACCGAGAACAAGAAGGTCGCGATCTATCACAGCCGATTAATCGCATTGATCTTGACTCTGACGCATTGGGTCCCTTTCGGAGCGGCCTTGACGCTCTTAGTCCTCAACAGCAAAGGCATAATAGTTGCTGACGAGGTAGATGTCGTCCAGAACAATTTGTACCAATTCGGAGCCAAGCTCTTTGAGCTTCTTATGCAAGCATCGATAGCGACAATAATCTTGGGAATCGTCCGCAGCCAAGCTTTAGAAGGTAATGACGGATTACCATTGGGCATGCTCATGGCGTCCGCCCGAACTCACGATGTCTCATACCTGTGGTCGTCGGAATTCTTTGGGTCTCTTACCTCTACAAAATCACGATGGATGCGTCAATACGCAAGAGTCTTCGCAGTCGCCCTCCTCATTCTCCTGGCTACTGTTGTCGGTCCTTCTGGGGCTATTCTTCTGCTACCAAGCCAGTCAGTCTTACTCAAGGCAGGATACTCGCGCTGATGCTGCCCCGAGACGTCATGTATCCGGCCCAGGTTGGGTCAGAACATATGGACATCTTCGACAATGCTTCTTTCAATCGCAGCCTAGCTGTGATCAGCGACCGCGACGTCGCTGCCGACAATTCTGCCCAAAAGATGCCCGATACTTTTGATACGCCTGAGATGACGTTGACCGAACAGGTGTACATGAACACATTCCAGACAAACGACAATCGGAGCACAGAGACCATTGTACACTCATGTCGTCAGGTACACTGGGAACGTGAGACAAGTAATATGATGTCTGCGACTTTGTACGCTTCCGTGTCGAACGCAGTAGTCTCAGCGATCATGCCAGGTATCGCACATTGGGCCGACGGCGGTGATCCTGTCGATCCATCATGGGCTGCTTCCAGGCGCGTCAGCCTCTGGTGATGACAGACTGGTCCACAATGAGAGTTTTCTCGAACGGCACTGATACCTACGAAACCGATGGGAGCCACGCTTCACTGGCGCAATCGCTCTCGAAGCAACCCCCGTATCAAGTCTTCTCGTCCCATGTCGACTTCTTGCGGAACAATTCAGCCTTTGGCAACACGACCAAAATTTTCGCATTCGACACTCCAAACGCTTCCACGGGCATCGTGTGGATCAAACCAACAACTAGGGACTATGCCGACGAAGTCGAAAATCCGATATGGTCTGTCACTGCTGCCACACTAACGGCCACATGGGCCATGGTTGACATCAACGCCACATCCGATGCGTGCGTTGGCAGCACATACAGCGCGATCAAAAAGGCACACCACGACGCTGTCTTCGATATCTCCTATAGACGAACGAAGCCCATTGAGATCGCTTCGGAGTGGTCTCAAAGACTGGCCCAAACAGCGTACGAGATGCAAAGTTCAGACCTCGTCAATTGGAACAACAACACAAACGTCACCATCTCCCAACAATCCATTGCCCCAACCTTTGCGCTTGGGCTGGCCACCATCGCTTACCCCTACATCGACTCGGGCTACCCCATATCAGTGAACTCGGATGGTGTCACAGATAGCTTCATTCCGTCTAGCGACAGCAAGTACACCCACATACCACTCAAAGCAGGCACGTCCTACTTGGAGGACTTCATGGACTACTTACCAAAGTACGTCGACTACGTCTCCACCACAGCCCGCAACACCCTCGGCTCCTTCTCGCGCTATTTCTTCGTCGTGGACAATACCGACAACAGCACCACTACAGACCTCTCTAACCTCGAAACCATGGTCATAACAACCTACCGCCGCGGCATCGGTTACTCCCCCGAAACACGAACCGTGAAGTTCGCACTCGTCATCATCGGGCTCTATTGCCTCGTTGCGCTGATTCACATCGTCTGGATCCTGACCTCCGGCAAGGCGAGCACGAGCTGGAATTCGGTCAGTGAACTGGTCATGCTGGCTTTGAATTCGAGGATGCCGGAGGGGATTGAGAACACCAGTGTTGGTGTCAACTCGAGGAAAACGTTTGAGGAGAAGGTGGGCATCAGGGCGAATGAGGTGGGGAGTTTGGAGTTGAGTTACTTGGGGCAGAAGGGTAGTGCGGAGGGGAGGGTCGCTGTTAATAGGGAGTACTAAATGCTTGTATATCTCTTGGTGGATGGCATAGTGGAATGAATCGCCGTTCAATCTCTAGTACATACTCCCCTCCCGGGATACGACCCCACAACCGCTCTCGTCCTCTCTATCTCGCGCAAGCCCCCTTCCCAACAAGCTCAAACCCAATCTCAATCCCCTCCGGACAAGAACACAAATGCCGACTCTGCTCCTCCCCAGGGAGCAATAACCTACCCGCAGAAGCACAGGTCACTTGAAAGCCCACATTCACTGTCCACCCACGCTCCTGACCAGCGGCGAGAAGGCTCAGAACGCGTTCGGATACATCGGTGTTGAGGTGGCACATTAGCGTTAGGATTAGGTCGAGTTTGTTCAAGCCAGCATTCTGTCCATTCTGTGGCCGTGCCGTGCTGAGATTGCTCCCAAGCTGTATATCCTCACTGCTCCCGCTCAAGATCTCGCGTCGGGCGTCCAGGCGGACGAGGTGGTTGTGTGGGACTGCTAGGCTTAGGGGCGCTATAGTGAGGTGATGGAGGGCGTCGAAAGCGGTGTTGAGTGTTATGGCGTCGTAGTAGCCTCTGCCGATTAGATTCGGAGACAATCGTAGTCGTGCAATGGCAGTTATGTGGGGGACCCGGTTTGATGACTGTGTGAGGAGGTGGTGTTGGGCCCAGTGCCGGAGGGAGAGGGTGGCGGTGGAGGTGAAGATTGGTAGGGCTTCTGAGTGGATTTGGCGGCAGGTTTGGAGGATGGCGAGGTTGGGGTGGGCGTAGGTGATGGAGCGGATGGGTTGATTGGGTGGGAGGGTGAAGAGGGAGTCTGCTGGAGTGATGTATAGGTCTTCGAGTAGGTTTGCGTAGATTTGCTGGCGGAGCTCCGTGGGTAGCGAGAGGAATGAGGTGGGATGTGCGGCTGCCATTGGGGTGGATTCCTGGGTAGTGAGATGCTGGAACAGAGGGACTGGACAAGGATCGGCGAGCTGATAAGGACGATGTTTGCTCTAAATGTGCTGCGAGTCTTGCTCCCAGCAACTTGAACAGGAGTTTTTGCCTGCGAATCAAGACTACTGTGACCGTGGTGCATAGGGTGAATCAGGCACACGACAGTGGTAAGACTCGGTTTACCGCGGGGTCGAATAAGGCAATCGACGTGATCGATTGCCTCGTCTTGGCATCTGCTTTAGAGGGGGATTGGTAACCTTCTCGAGGTTTGATGTGGACAATTGTCCAACTGAACATGGATATGTATTCTGCCAAAGGGACTATCTTAGTGGAAGAACGGCCTCAGAGATGCCTGCTCGTTCATCATTCCTTCTCGCTTCTTGTCTGGCTGGGGCCGACCTGCAAGCCCCATGACAAAGTATCCAACGGCCCCTGGGATCCACTTGTCCCATCGATAGCCGGCCAGCTGCACTCATCCAGCGCAGCGACCATTTCATAGGAGCTGGCACTCAAAGCTGGAGATGGTGGAATGGGAGCCGCTGACAAACCTATAGCCACCAACCATCGACGCTGTGGAAGCGGTTTTTGGGGCTCCGCAGGAGTCATGCCGAACCATCGTGGGTGCGTCTCTTTGGCTTCGGCGGAAGTGTTGAGGAATCGAGTATGCTTGCCAGATTGGAACCTATGCTTGTTTCTGCAGCAGTTGGAGGTACATGTGTATTGGTCATGCGCAAAGCCTACCACCTTGGAGTCCCTTTTATGCCTCCCTTCTTGGCTGTCCGCGTGGTCCAGCCCAACGCCAGAGGGTGTGTCTATCCAGACGGACTTGTGCTTGTCAATAGCGCTAAGCAACGTGGGATACAGCTGCTCGCTGCTGTCGGACCATCGCACTAATTTAGCAGCCCGGCCTTCATGACCATGGGCGAAGCAGTGGATCTTCGGTCTTGCTTTCGCGACGGCTGTGAAGAGACTCTGATTACCGGTATGTATGCCGTAGGAAGGGCTATCCATCATGCCTCTTGGAGCGACTTGTGTTATCACGATATCCGTATCGGAATCGATCTCGAAAATCCCTTGACGTTTTGGGTTGTGCCCGTCCGGTATGGCTGGTGTATGCGGATCGGCATAGATCTTGAATTGAGCGCCGTTCGCCAGGTTGAATGTGTGCGAGCCTTTGCCTAGCAGAGACACTCCAATATGCTCCCACGCCTTCAAGTCAACCATGAAGGAGTCATTACTGCGAGGCATGACCAGCTTTAGTGGAGCATTAAGAACTTCCATTGTCGCCATGATATTTTGGTAATCCTCCAGCTTCGAGCCGTCTGTCAGGTTGCCGCAGTGTATAATCACGTCAGGGCGCTCCTTACGCGGGTCCTGTGGTGCTGGTATTGTTTCATGAGTGTCTGGTAGGAACAAGATCCGGGTTTTGATGTTGGCTGCCATGGCACCGGTTATTGGAAGGGACGAGGACGATGCACAAACGAAGTTGATAATTGTGAAATTCACGGCTTGGAAAGAACACGTCTGTTGAATTTATGGCTATCGCCTCCCGCTACGCGCCAAGGCGCACGTGTCGTGAGTCAGGCACCTCTACCTGCGAGGTGGCAGGTACCAATAAACCTACAAAGTTAAAGAGGCTGAGTTTGAGCCAAGCCATAATTTTTCTGCCATAACATTCAGCCTCGCAAACCGAGATCCTGTCGAACCTGCCGTTCAGGACTGGAGGAATTCAAGCAGTGCTTGGTTGACCTCATCGGCACAGATCGAGGGAAGAGCATGAGGTGCGCCAGGAAACTCCTTGATCGTCCCAGTCTTGCAGAGTTTGATCGCACGTCTTGCGCTGGTGTCGATCGGCACGACTTGATCATCTGTGCCGTGCAGGATCTGAAGAGCGTTGATCAGCCAAGCTTTGTCAAACAGAACGAAGTTGATGAATGCGACTTACCAGGATAGGTATATCAACCTTTTTCAAGTCCTCGCTTGTGTCTGTCTCAGAGAACGCCTTGATGCAATCATAGGCAGCCTTGAAGCTGCAATTCATACCCTGACGCCACCAATCCTGTATCCGTCCTTGACTGATTTCAGCGCCTTCACGATTGAAGCCGAAGAACGGCCCTGTCGGTACGTCCAGGAAGAATTGGGCACGGTCTTTGTTCATAGCAGCACGAAACCCGTCGAAGACCGAGATGTCCACGCCTGTCGCGTTGGTGTCGGTCTTCAGCATACCAGGAGCAACTGCCGAAATCAGCACAGCCTTTGAGACTCTGCTTGTGCCATGACGGCCAACCACACGGGTGACCTCTCCACCACCAGTTGAGTGGCCGACCATCATGACATTTTTCAGATCAAGCTTCTCGAAGAGCTCGTACAGATCATCGGCATACTGGTCCATGTTATGCCCATCCCATGGATGGGATGAGCGGCCATGGCCTCGTCTGTCATGGGCGACGACTCTGTAGCCTTTGTTGACCAGGAAAGTTGCTTGACTGTCCCAGTCGTCGGATGATAACGGCCAGCCATGAGAGAAGGTCACGACTGGTGCTGACTTGTTGCCCCAGTCCTTGTAGTAGATTTCGGTCCCATCTTGGACGGTGAAGAAAGGCATATTTGGCTTTGAAGTGTCAAGCTGTATTCGAGATGGAAAAAATCGCGTGTTTCACGAGGGTGCCAGAGAGGATTCTGAAGGATTCATCGCTGCATATATACCTTACTCACCTACTAACATGTTCACTTACCTACGCGCCATCACTCGAGGTGCCTTAGTCTTCGCACCTTATCATCAGGTGCATAGTATAGCTAGCTAAGGTGAGCTGACTAACGAGTCCCTCGTAGAATTTGGAATGTCTTGGCGAAGCTATGACGTCGGGCAGCAGCGATCAACAACACCAACTTTGTTAGCGACGAGAAGCAGGAATTTATTTGGCTGCGATTCTTCCTTACACAAATACCTCTCGCCTTCCTACTCCGGCATTCGTACTTTCCACGTAATCGACCTTTGTCAAGCGCCATCCAGGCCCGCCGCTTTGTCCTCGCACTTCTCACCTCCCTCGAGGTACTCGAAACGCGTCTGCCACCTACCGGATTTCTTTTCCAACATTTCGAGATCTCGACGACAACGCCTGCGAAATGGTTTACATTCGGCAGCGCAACTTGCCAAAGTTGCACGAATACAAGTATGCCGGCGTCGATAAGTCGCTGGTGTCCAAGTACATCCTCAAGCCGTTCTATACCAATGTCGTGATCAAATGCTTTCCTATGTCCATGGCGTGAGTTGCTCTTCCTGCACCCCTCGAACGACGAACTAACGCGTGTAGACCGAACTTGGTAGGAGATATGCTGTCTCGAACGCGTATTTCCGACTGATCTGACATGTGTAGATCACCTTGACCGGCTTCAGCTTCGTCATCCTCAACTTCATCACCCTGCTCTGGTACAACCCGACCCTTTCTGAAGATATGCCGCCCTGGGTTTACCTGTCCTTCTCGATCGGCCTCTTCCTCTACCAGACATTCGACGCGGTGGATGGCTCACAGGCAAGACGCACACATCAGAGCGGCCCGCTCGGCGAGCTCTTCGATCATGGCGTCGATGCATGCAATACCAGTCTCGAGGTGCTGCTCTTTGCTGGGGCCATGAATCTGGGCCAGAGCTGGAACACGGTACTCACCCTGTTCGGTGCTGTTCTGACATTCTACATCCAGACCTGGGACGAGTATCATACGCACCAGCTCACACTCGGCGTCGTATCTGGCCCTGTCGAGGGAGTGTTGACCCTGGTTGGCGTTTTCTTCGTCACCTATTTGAAGGGCCGTGGGAGCTACTGGCAGCAACCAATGCTTCCTGCCATCGGCGTGCCGAAGACCGCAGCCGTGCCGGACGCCCTGTACCAGCAATCGTGGGCGGAGTGGTGGATGCTCTTCGGCGGTCTTGTCCTGACTTACAACACTGTGAGCAGCATCAGGAACGTCATGAAAGCCAGACGCGAGCGCGGCCAAGACCCAATGAAGCCACTGCTGGGGCTTGCACCTCTGGCTATCACCTGGACTCTGATTCCCGCCTACTTGTGGCTCAACCCGATCATCCTGCACCGACACTTGATCCCGTTCGTCCTTTTCGCTGGGATTGTCAACGCCTACTCCGTCGGTCAAATGATCGTACGACACCTGGTGAAGGATAGATTTCCGTACAAGAACATCCTCCTCCTACCTCTGGCCTGGGGTGTCTTCGACAGCTTGGGGCCAAAGCTCGGACTGTGGCCCAGTGCACTTGGCGGTGATACCTACCAGGTGGCGTTTGTCTTCATGATGACTGGACTTGCCTTCGGAGTATACGGAAGCTTTGTCCACGATGTGATCACAACCATCTGTGACTTCCTCGATATCTGGTGCTTGACCATCAAACACCCTTACAAGGAGGGAGAGCCCGATGGTGAAGTCAAGAAATCCAAGTAATCAATGTGACCAACACATCATTCCGAGATCGCAACGCTTTGTTTGCGGTCGTTAGTCGTCACGTACCGGCAAACGAGGCATTCCGACCATAAGGTACCTGCCACGCCTTCGCCACAGGTTCTCCTTCAGCACTCCTCAAACTCAACCCAGACGACAGTCCACCCTTCTACCACCGAATCCCCAAGGCATCTGTTCACGATGACAGACTCTGGTCACAACGAGCAGCCCGCTGCTGACGGCGCTGACAGTAAGTCTGATCACCTTTCCAAGCTGCACCGCCTGCGAAGAAGTCTTTCCAAGCTTGTGCATCGTCGCTGTACGCACGATAATGGAGAAGGTGTCAAGTCAGCAGACCTCCCACACCCGCTATCCTCCGCCGAAGGTGATCATCGGCTCACTCACTCACGCCAGTATCATATGCTGACAATGATCTCACAGGCCACTCCTCTGCATCCGGAAATACCTCTAGCAACGTCCTAGCCGGCTACAAAGGTCCCGTTCACAACGCCGAAACAGGCCAGACTGTCTGGGGCGGCCAACCAAGTGCTGCCGGCGCTGCCTATGCCTCCCCCCAGATGCACCCCGAAGGCGGCCGCACAGCCCACAGTCAATGGACATTCACCATGACCGGCGGCATAGCACACCACGTTCCCCATCAGGCTGGCTCAGCATGGACGCGGACCAGCAGCGAGCGTTCGACAATGCTGGACGGCTGCCGATCAGGAACAACGCAGGCGGCGGGCTCATGATTGCTGGTTCAGGTCCTCCAAGGACTGCAATCGAAGCAGGAAACAACAGTGGAGGCAGTGGTGGTGGGTGTTCTGGCTGCGGCAATGCCAAAGGCGGCAACGTCAAAAAGTTTGCAACAAACGGCGGACTGATGCGACCGCTGTGTGGTGATTGTGTGTACGATCGTGTCGGGGGAGACCAAGCGGCCTATGCTGCGGAGTGGGCGAAGGGGAAACCGCTGTGAGCAACAAGGACGCTGGAGAAGGGTGTCTGAGCTGTTTCTCCATGGCTCTGCGCACCGCCATTGAAGCGGCAAATCATGCTGGTCTCTGCGTTGATGAGTACGGACTGGACAGATGCGACCAGGTCAACACTAGTCGTTTTCACTTACGTTCTGCGCAAGCGCGATATGCATATTCTTAGTGAAACATGTACTGCATTCGGAACACATCAGTATCTTACAATCTCAGTGTCTTTATACCTCCAACACATCCAATCGCTTCCTCCTGATTCCGTTGACATTGAGAGAGACATTCGTCTTTGCCAAGAGTGGTCATATTGTTTATACATCTAGAATTCTTTTCTACAGATCTCCCTCAAGTCATTATACAGTACTCCTGACCGGCTTAGATGATTTCGGCCGCCGCTTGCCGTCCTGCTGAACGCCTCTTGGTGGCTTCGCGACGACTTTGTTCTTGGCCCTTGCCTTGAGGTCAGCATTGCCATCCGCAGGCGCTATCCACGCTCTCGGCTTCCGTTCGCCTTTCTTGGCCCCCTTAGCCCCAACCCATACTCCCTTTGCAGCAGATCCATCCCCAGAGCCCTCTTTCGGGATCGGCGCGCCCTGCCTCTCCTTCACATCCTTGTCCACCGCACCCCAAAACTTCTCCCGCTCTTGCTCATCCATCGCCTCCCTCGCCTTCTGCAAATTCCGTTCCCGTCGAGCAGTCGTCCGCAGCGGTTTCCCGGTGCGGTCGATAGGTCGGTTGTCGGAGAGTTCGTCCTCCCAGGCGCGGAGTTTGGCTTCGATTTCTGCTTCGAGGGGGTCGTCTGGAGAAGGTTGGTTGAGCGTTCGCTTGATGTGGTCGGGGACGGGCGGGTAGAGGGCAGAGGTGCCGAGGCGGGCGCGAGCGAAGGCCTCGCGGAGGGAGGAGGCGTCGTCGTCTTCTTCGTCTTCGGGGTCGGGTTCGTCGTGGGGGTTGGAGGCGTAGCTGCGGTTGTTGCGGCCGGCGACGTCCAGACGGTCGAGCTCGCGGTCCATGAAATCTGCTTCCTCTTCAGCGGCGCGATCAAGCTCTTCCCGCTCACGAAGCTTGGAGCGCGCATTGGCTAGCTTCTCTTCTCGAGCCGAGGATTTGCCCTTCCCTAGGATGTTGCTGAGCTTGTCACTGCCAGAGCCCTGCCGGACGGTTCGCGGGATGCGGGTTTTCGCGCCGAGACCCCACAGGTCGCCCCATTGGGCTTTGCGGGCGTCGCGATAGGCTTGTTTGCCGAAGCTGCGCGGGACGGTCCAGCGCTCGATGGTGCCGCGGGGGGTGCAGAGGTCGAGGATGACGTGTGAGCGGCGTTTGAGGGGTGGGAAGACGAGGCGGGGGAGGTGATGGGTTGGTGTAAACCGAGCGTTTTGTGTGGGGAGGTTGATGTTCACGGAGTCGTCAGCACTGTCAGGTTCAATAGAAGCGTCGGGCGTGTGGTTTGACAGACCGGCGCCGATGTGGTCTAGGAAGGCTTCCGTGTTGGATTGAGTGGAGTGAGCAAAGGCCTCGCTATTGGATGGCTGAAGAGGCGCGGAGGAGGCGTCTGCGATATGGTCGAAGGCGGAGAAGTCGGAGCGGCGCAGATCACGCCCTCGCATGACGGAAAGGTAGGAGAAGTCAACGTCATCGTGATTGCGGGTCTTGGCGCCGAGCACGCGTTGCAGCGGAGGAGGACGAATATAGCGTTGTTGAAAGGAGCAAATATCTTTGCGGCCGATGGACACGCCTTGGATCTTGTACATGGGGCACCCTTCGTGGTTGCTGCATGGGCCAATGATCATGCCGGGTTCAGGCGTCCATGGTGCGCCCTCTTGGATGTCTTGGTTCTGGACCGCACTATATTTTGTTTCTTGGCCAGGTGGGATGGCGATGAAGCGCTCCAAAAGGTGCTCGCGGGCACTGGCGATAGCTTCGAAGCCACGAGGCATGCCCTTCTCGATGAAAATGAGCACGCCACCTTCAGGCGATAGCAGAGACCAGAGATTCGAGATGTACTGCTTCCGTTCCCATTCTTCCTTGAATGGCAGTAGAGAGTATGAAGAGAAGATCACGTCGAATGACTTCCGTGATTGTGCTGGTCTATCGTCGTCTAGAGTTGGCTTAGACCTGGTGGTGCCGAAGTCTGGCAGACGAGGGATGAATGTTGTGTTGTCTAATAGTGCTGTCCCGCGATGGCGCAATGGATCGGAGCCAGCTAGGACGACGGCCTTGCTTGCAGGAACCGGATTGGGCTCAGTTTCTGATGTGTGCAAAGTGTTCCAGTGGGCTTCGGTGATCTCGTTCCATGCTAGTATCGCAGCACCGCCTGCACCAGCATCCAGAACGCGAGGTCCACCTTCTTTGGACAGCAGACTGGTCAGCCAGGTCGGGCCAAGTCGTCTTCTCGCATCAACAAGGGCTGCAGAAATGGCCGCATATGCAGGCGGCATCACAGCGGTAAGAAAGGCGTTGGCCGCCATTTCTCCCATAAAGTTCTGGGACGCTTCCATCTGCACGGCAACTTGGCTCTCTGTCTCCCGCTTCTAGGCGTCAGAGGCGAGTCTGGAAGCCCAGGACCGCCAAAAGTCTTCTCACAGACATTTGTCAATTGCTTGTAGCTGTGGCCTAGCATAAGATTACTCAACGGTTTGACGTAGTTTGCGATAGGCATGCTAAGGGTCTTCGGGGTGGTCGCAAACTTTCCCAATGCCGTGAGAGGATGTCGACGTTGTGTCGGGTCGGACTCTTCGTCTTCTTCGGCGGCCTCTTCATCAGCATATTCTGCTTCCTCGAAGACATCTTCGTCCTCGAACAAGTGGTCTGGCTCTTGCTCGAGTTGCTCCCTACTTCTAGCTTTATCTTCGAAGTCATGAAAGTCCAACGAGGCTTCGTTCTCTTCCTCTGTGAAGCCGAGATGATCTTTCAGGGAGTCATAGTCCACCTCTTCGCCGCTTTCGTCAAGGAGAGTCACGGACTCTGAGATGGCTTCAGGGAGTAGTGGGTCGTCGAACAGGCGCTTGTAGATACTGAACTCGCTTGCTTGCAGCGCTTGCAAAGGTAATCGATCTCCAAATAGCTCACGTGCCCTGCCTGCTATCTCTGTAGCGCTCGCGCCCTCCTCTCGTAGAGCGTGCAGCTCAGCTAATGAGTGTTCATGGCCACGTAGGGAGGGACTCTCCGCAAGTGTCTGATCTTGCTCAACGACAATGTCCTCGTCTGTAACCTTCACATCCTGCACAGCAATGCCTTTGGGCCGACGCCGCCGGGTCGGGTCGCCCTCGTCCGGGTCGGCGAATTGCTCCAGATGTTTTAGCTCTGCGAACTGTGCGTTGAGCTCATCATCAGAGAGGAATGTCTCGGATGGCGCTTCAGTACCGGAGACTGGCGCCTGAGGCTCGCCATTTTGCTGCAAGTCTGCAGTGCTACGGAAGGCTCGATGCTGCTGTTGCCACTGGTTCCTCCTTGAACTCGGTCGAAGAGGCGACCTCAACTTGGGCACTGCCGGGCCACAGAAGCCTCTGTAGAAGAGTGTCAGGAGATCATGCTGACACCCTGAGCAGAGGGCGCGTTTCGTCGCCAGCATCGATCCGTCGTTCCTATGATATATGATGTTCCCTGCGCATGGCCTCGCCTCAAAAAAAGTGATAGACGGAGATCGCGACTGCTCCACAGCGGAGATCTATTCCGAAACTCAAAGAGGAAGGCAACTTGAACGTTGATTCACAATTTGTTTTTAGCAAGAACGACCTGGACTATCTCAGATCTTCGGGAAGGAAAGGATCAATCGACGTTTGACATGGCGCTTCCTCCAGAAAAGATCAGCGTCAAACGACGACGCGAAGAGCCTGCTATCGAAACGTTCTATCTCCAAGATCATGATACTCATAGAGCCAAGAAGTCACGGACTGATGGCGCCACATCCGGATTCCAGTTTAGACTCATACGCGACGGAACACTGCTGCCCAGATCTCGTCAGCAGCCTGATAAGACGCAAGAACCTCGTGTCAATGGCTCAGCTGTATCTGATTCTTCCAACGGCATTCCAACGGTACGAGCCACGGCGCCGGGCGACGAAATCGCCGATTTTGTCAAGTTCAAGAAACAGCATGAAGCAGCCTCTGGTGTAGGAGAAGCGACTGGACAAGGACGACTAGTTGAGAAAGACCCTGTGAGGTTGCCACCGGCCATTGCGTCTAATGCTCGTCGGTTTCATCTCACGCGTAACATATCCTCATCATACGACGCTTCAACGATAGCTTCTCCACGATTTGCAGGTCGAAGCAATGGTGTTCGTCCTCCTCTACCTACTTTTGTTGAGAGACAACAGTCGAGAGACTCGAAGCAGATCCATACCGCTGTCGATCAGGCCACAGACAATGCCGCAAGAAGTACCGGGCATGGAGTTTCTGAGAGCCATGCTAGTCAACTTTCCGATACTGCAAAGATCGGCAACTCAATCAGTGATCCTCCTGGGACTTGGAATCACGATTCCGATCAGCTGGCGGACGAGCTCGCTGCCCTAGCTATGGCTATGGACCCGGACCACGAAGATTCGCGAGATGAGCCCAAGCCTGAGCCAATCCCAGCACCAGCTAGCAGTATGCAGAAACCTCGGCACGAGGAAGAATTCATCTATGAGACGTATGAACGCATGCCATATGACTCGACAGACGACACTACCATGATCGATGCACCAGATCTCAATGTTGGCGTTCTGGTCATTGGAGAGGAGGACGAGGACCTGTGGCAAGAATACATGGAGAACGATGATGACGAAGAAGATTGGGACGAAGAGGATTCGAATGGTTCGTAGAGTGCTGCACCCTTCCCGTGAACGTTACTGACAAGTACAAGCTGAGGATAACCCTGCTAACGATTACCCGGACGAGGAGGTTTCGTCTGATGACGAGTATGACCGAGATGCCTACCGATACTATAGAGACTATGATGACGACTATGTCTCTGACGAGGAATAATGAAATGGACCCGAGTCCCGAAATGTCCGAAAACGACGGCGTGACTGATGGCAACGCGATACCATAGCTTTGTCGGAACCAATGCGACAGAAGCTGACATAGCCGACAACGCCGCTGCTTTTCCAACTCTGTGGCCTGAATATGTCAAAAGTAAAGCAAGAAATATGAGATAGCTGACCCGAAAATCTGGTTCCGTAAGACAGGTACAGAAAGCAAAGACATGTCCTGAGGTGGTCGCTCAAGTACAGAGGTGCATCACCTCCTCACATCCTGGCTCTGTCCGGCGTTTCACGTCGGACGCGGGTAGGGGGCTCTAGACGATTACTTGCACCGCGGCGAACGGCACGAACTTGGTGTTCCGGTCGCATCCATGGAGACACACAATCTGTGCGTTCCTGTGAACGTCAGCGATGATCACTCTTTCCGCGACGAGACTCACTACGACGCCATATGCGGCGGTGTCAGCGTCAGCTGGATCGTTCCTTCCTGTGCGGGAATGGAACTGATCTCTGACTTTCTCCACGCCCCAGTCACTGAGAACGCGGTAGAATCGACAACGCAAAGCTCCCAAAGAGCGCTGGTCCTGAAACACGCTGTTGTACTTTGCTTCCACAATGTCCCAATCGAAAGCCATGTCCTTCCGGAAGTACCAGATTGCAATCTGTTTCTCATTTGAGTATGGGCGGCAAGGCCGCGGAGGACCCTTCTTGGTCGATTTGCCATGTGTTGACTTAGTCCTACTTCTGCGGGCCCGTGGCGGTTTGGGCAAACGTTGGCTGTGAGAAGTCTGCGATGATGGCGGCGGCGGCGACCACGATGATGATGCTGTCGAAGGCGACGTGGATCGGTCGGTATCATCGTCCTCATTGAGGACGGTGCCAATCCTCATTCGACTCCGAATTTGCTGGGGTCCGTTACTTGCACTGGAAGGAGTGGCGGCAGGATATGCCTGCCTTCTGTATACCAGTGGCATACTCCAGGCATCACCGGGGCTGTGCCTGTTGGCTGGCTTATTGCTTGATGATCGATTGTTTGTGTTCGGGACGCCAGATCTACTGAACGGGAAGTCGACGTTTGACTGCATTCTGAGAGCATAGGAATACCGAGTTGGTGATTGGAATACAACGAGAGGTCAGAGGAATGAAGCAGCACAATCTCCGTCACTCAGAGACCCGGGACACTCCAACGAGACTGATATATGGCTTCCACGAGGGAGCCAGTGGTCAGTGCACACCTCTTTGCCTCATCGTGCTCAAGACTCCACCTGCAGTCGCAGCATATGAAGAAAGCAAGGTTGTTTGAGCCCCTGCAGACCTGCCATAGTGGACTAAGGACTTCTTCTGGCAGGGTTCGTTGTTTTGTGGAAGGAACTTCCTGCAAGCATCCACGCTTAGCGCGAACGCCCCCACCCAGCCTCGCTAGCCTGCAGGAGTTTGATGCACGTGAACATCAGCTGCAAGTGGCAAGGTGCTCGAGTCGACAGCCCCGATACCACCAACAAGCCATACTAGTCGCATTCCCCAAGCATCTGATGAATCAGGGCAAAACTTGAGTGCTGAAGAGGCGCCTTGTCTGCTCCAACGGAAGCGACCTGCCATGCTATAGCCAGATCTGGAAGGAAACGCAGCTATAACGATCACAGAAAGGAAGACGCGGGCGCATTACTTTGCTTGCTAGTGAGGCGGGTTCGCGCTTAGGGCATACATGAGAGCTAGGTGTTGGCGTCTCTTGCAGCCAATCACGATTGCTCGGAATGGCCGACCCGGACTGTGCACTACCTAGCGTTGTGTAACCACGCCGTCCTTGCGCCAAAACGAGTGCTATTCACTTTGAATGTTTCTTCCTTGAGAACGCATCATCCCGTTACGACTGTTCTCGCCAAAACTACGCATTTCTAGCCCTTCTAATGGTCGAACGAGCAAATCTCTTCGAGCTCTGGGGAGAAATTCATCCCCAGAACGCAAAGTACGCTAAACTAGCAGGAGTAGCGGAGTGACCTGTCAGAAAACCCTCTGACAAGTTGCAAGCGCCGCCATAGCTTCTCTACCTTCCTCGCTCGGAATACTCGCTGCTCAGCTGCAAGCAGAGCGATCAAGGTTTACTCGAATATCGGATCTTTCGTTCAGACACGATCATTGTCTCGCATCGGGCCAATCCTTGTCCAAGGTCTTCTTCACCCGCCCTTAGGCAATCTTGATCTGCTCCTGGTGGCTTCTCTCTAAAACCCGGATCTTGAACTCTGGGACAACTACCGTTCTGGTCCGAGTTCCCCGCCAGGTCCAACGCTGCATCTAGCACGTTCTTCACGAATGCTGGCCGATAACTTGCTTTTCGATTGGAGGATAAGAGCCTGGCGGCACTGAAACATGACATTTGGCTGCATCAGTGGCGAGGACGCTGCCGAAAATCATCAGTTGAATGGTCCCTCGAAGCTGTTTGACCGGCGAGTATGTCCGCCAATGGCACAGAAGTCGCATTTCAATCTCAACCGAAGATACCTCTAGACGTCAGTGAAAAGCGGAGGTGACAGTGCGAGATGATGTTGATCAGCAAAGAACGAGCCAGTCGCCACATTCGAAGTCACGTCCCATTTCACTTTGACAGCTTCAGCTCCAACCCACGGGGTGTTCAATGTCGCACGACCGACGTTGGGATTCGTTGCTTTTGAAATGTTGACACGCGCATAGTCCCATCATCCTTCGAACAATTTGTTCGTTGCAGAATGCGCTATTTCCACGCGCACACCTGCCCCAAACTACCATCTCCGCTTGGGCAGCTTTGTGCCGACTCCGTCGTTGTTGCTATCGCAATCTGCAGTCCTGTTCGCAATGCAGATTGTGGTGACGAGTTGCCATCGAGTCTGACATTCCTGGAATTTCCACTGCTCTTTATCAAGGGGAATTCGAAGCTGGCTTTCCTGATGGCACTTGACTGACATTCAACGAAGTGGTCAAAGGTCAAGTGATGGAGGCTTCGGCCAGGCTAACGTAGAACATTCTCTGCAATCAGCGATCTCCTGGTCCGCGCGGCAGAAACCCCAGGGCGAGCTACATGTCAGAACCCCTGCTTGAGTCATACATCCCTGGCCGCATCACGAACCTGAGTGCTACACTGTCCGAGCGCGCTGCAGGCGAGTCATGTCCAACGACTAAACAGGAAACCGAGTCTCTGCGACTGACTGGAGGAATTCAGCGCTCCTCGAGATCAAGTAATGTCCAGCCTAACTTCTGTCCTTGCGTCACCGCTCGCTTTCGAGCATGTACCGTGAGGGTGGGCACAGTCATCGGAAACCATGAGATGGTACGCAATAAATCCCAAGCTCTTCGGAAATCTAGAGTAGCTAGCCGGGGGGAATCTCTATTTTGGAGTCAGACTGCCAATTGTCCAGCAGCAGCGTTCGTCGGCGCGTCTCGAACCATCAGCTTTTTGTCTTGCAGACTCGCAGCAAGCAATGTGCATTTGCCTGACCTGACTATTGTACAACTCTACCTTGCTCTATCTCCCATTGATAGGGCGTATTCGATTCGCGTATCGAGCAAACTCCTCTTTCGCTACTAGGCGCCTCCACAATCTGCAAGACTCGAGATCAGCCTGAATAGCAGTGACAGCTGCACCGACCGGGAACTCTGGAGTTTGTCAACACTAATGCATTGCTACAAAAGTACCCCTCCCATACTGCATGTCCTCCTTGCGCTCTTCGAGGTTCACTCAGCTTTTCGAAGACTCATGTCGCCTAGACATTTTGGCTCCTGCCAAAATGCGTCTGCGCAGTAGGCACGTGAAAGCTGAAGGACCGACGCGCCTTCCTCATTTGGGTCCGACAACGTTACACAAGTCAAACTGCTTCAACGTCTGCAATTGAGACACTCATTTCCTTACATTCTACAATTCTCAATTTCCTAAACAGCCATGGACAGGCAATTCTCACGAGAGACGTATCTATAATGTGTTCGACACTGGACCATCCCCATCATCCTTAGCGATTGCTTTTCTTCGAAGAAGACAGATCCATCTTACCTAATTCTCGCCTAATGGCCCCCTTGTCCGAAACACGAGGCTTAGCACAAGGCGTTCTTCAGCTCTTCGTATCGGTCAGGCCTGACGATCCAACGACAGACAACAGCAAGTTCTCATCACGACTGAGCATGTGCGCGACGATGCTGCTCAGTGCAAAACCACTGACTTCGGCGACGACAGCCTCATCCGTTCTACTCATACTTCTGATCATCTGCTAGCACTGGATACACCGCAACAACATGCCTTCCACGCCAATCCCATTCACCTCTGATCCGATGGCCTTACTGGCCATCGAGGCAAAATTGTTCCTTGGCTTGATTTTCGATCTGACAAAACTGGGCATTCTCAGCACGATCTGGCCATTTCGCTCCAAACATGCCGAGGACGAGCTCTCATTGACGCGAGGGAATGTCTGGGCTCTTTTCGTGCACGGTGTGCTGTTCTTCCTGCAGACATTGTTCTTGTTGTTCATCGTGGTCTCGCCTTTCGGCGGCGTGCCTGCAATAATCTGGACTGCAGTAGTTGTGGTTGGCATTCAGCTGAACAGAGGCATATGCAATGTGTTGCTCAACAACTATGGGCAACGCCTGTTCTATGATGGAGGCGAATACTCCCTGAACGAGCAGGACGCTGAAATGAGATTGATACCGAGCAAGCCAGGCTCGCACGGCGAGAGATGGATCTTCATTAATGGAGTGTCGGTTGGGTAGGCCATCGTTCCGTACACAACTCAGACCCCTATGCTCACACGTATAGCTCACACTGGATGGCTGGAAATCTGAAAATGATCTCTCGCATCTTCCAGCGTCCGGTACAGGGAATACACAACAAGACCTACGGCATACTGTTCGATCTCATCGAATGCACAGTGCAAAGAACCTTTGGGTATCCTACTCTCGACATCCGCCTGGCCTACGAAACTGTTTCAGCCTTGGTCGCCGAGCCAGAAGTCACGAAAGTGGTTCTCTTCGCTCACAGCCAAGGCGGCATCGAGTCCTCTCTGGTGCTCGACTGGCTCTTCGCAACCATGCCGCCGGAGCAGGTGGCCAAGCTGGAAGTTTACACGTTCGGCAATGCCGCCAACCACTTCAACAGTCCTCAGCGAAAGGACGGCACCAGAGTCATCCAGCACATCGAGCATTACGGCAACACCAGCGAAATGGTCGCTCGCTGCGGCATGATGTTCTTTCGCGGCGTTGGCTCGAAGCTGGCGCGTGCCGCCAATGGAGGCGGCAAAGCAGTCAAGCGCTCGTGTCGAATGCGTCTATGGCGTGCAAAGACCGCGGCGGATGTCACGACGATGGCTCAGTTGCGTGATCGCTTCGTGGGGAAGTTGTTCTTGAGGGATGCGTTCGGACATATGCTGAATCAGCACTACCTGAGGAATATGTTTGAGTCGGAGGACAATGATTTCATGAATAGTCCCGTCAGTACTAGCAACTTTGAGGGTGATGGGGATGCTGCTGTGCCCGAAGGACTGCTGAAGGATAAGAGTCGGCTTTGGCGATACCGGAATGGTGGCACGCCTGAGAAATGAGCATGCGGACTGGCGACATAGCTGTCGGTCTGCGAGCCGCCTTCTCGAGGTGTCGCTGACGGTAAGCAATTGGCGGAGCTGGATCTTCGGAGTGGATGTCGTTCATTCAAGCCCCTTTTGGTGTTCATTAGACTTTCTGGGGTACCTTAGTTGCAAAGTCTATACATCATTCGCCCGATTGACGCAGGCCGTGGTTGTTCAGAGATCTTAAGTCGATGACTGATATATTGATATACTGATATACGGACAGAAATGGGATGGGTGTGTATACAATCTGCACTACGCAGGCACCTGATCGGGCAGGTCAGCAGGTTCTAGTGTCTGGCAGTCAGCCAGCACCAGTCGTGAAAAGCAGATGTCACAAATATATCATCAATCCTGCGATGCAAGATTTTATGTAGCGCCATTTTCTGCCGGTACTCTCTGCCCGTCAAAAGCCATGCATTACATAGTCCAGCACAGGAGAACCGCTTGTCACTCCGAGCTCACTCGATCCTTCTATCAGAAACTCATACTTGACAATCCGTGAGATGTGCAAATGACACACCTGGGCAACGTTCTGAAGTGAAGCCGGATGACACATCGCCGAGCTTTAGGCGAGTTTGGTTGCCTGTGACGCTGCCTGCTTGGAGATTTATTCGGCGCGTGCTTTTCGCATTGAATTTATATCCTCCCTTCGTACACCCACGACGCCAACATCTTCACCATATCGTCGCACTGTCGCAGTCTCAATTTGAACATGGCGCCCTCGCGATCACCCTCCCGCGGTCGCTCACGTACCCGCTCACAGTCACGCTCTCCGCGCCGCTCACCATCGCCTCGATCCCGTTCGCGATTGCGGTCGCGCTCAGACTCACCTCGATCGCCTGCCAACAACAATACACGCGACTCCCGCAACGGAGGCGCACGAGGTCGCACGTATAGTCGCTCACGGAGTCCCGACGTCAGAGACACGCCGCGAGGACGCAACAACAACTACCGTGACCGCTCATCACGAAGTCGGAGCCGTAGCCCGGCACCAGGCGGACGCAATGGTGTGCAGAGCAGCAAGATTGTGGTTGAGAAGCTTACAAGGAACGTGAATGAGGCGCATTTGCGCGAGATCTTTGGGAGCTACGGACGGATTGAGAGTGTGGATTTGCCTATGAACCGGCAGTGTATGTCTTCCCCTACAAATTCCCTTGAGGCCTCGGCCGAGTACATATGCATTGCAAGGTGCTAACAAAAATATCACAGTCAACACAAACCGCGGAACAGCCTACATCCTCTACGACCACCCTTCGGGCTCGGAAGCAGCGATCGCACACATGCACGAGGCGCAGCTTGATGGGGCGGTTATCACGGTTTCAATAGTATTGCCACGACGAGCGTTCTCGAGGTCACCAATCGGAGCCAGGAATAAGAGATTTGGTGGTGGTGGACCGCCACGAGGAGGAGGTGGGAGGAGAGGACCGCCGTCAGATCGCTATCGCAGTCCGCCTGCAAGAGGTGGTCCTCGAGGTGGCGGCGGTGGGCGGTATCCGGACAACGACTTCTACGCGCCCGCCAACGGTGGAGGGAGGTCAAGATATTCGAGGTCGAGGAGTCCGGTCGGAAGGGGTGGAAGAGGAAGGAGCTATTCCTACTCGCGATCGAGAAGTCGGAGTCCGCCAAGGAGAGGCCGTGGTGGTGGTGGAGGTGGCAGGAGGAGTCCACTGGGCAGGAGAAGGAGGAGTCCGAGCTATAGTAGCTATAGCAGTCGCAGTCGGAGCAGGAGCAGGTCGAGGAGCAGAAGCTTGAGTCGGGAGCGGTATGGTGGAAGGCGGTGAAGGTTGACATTGGGACGCGGAACGATCAACAATACGGACAGCGATGGCCTCATTTTGCACAGCAAGTGCCGTTCAGGAAGAGCGCTGGAACAAAGCGACGCGGTCCTTCGGGCAGCAAATGTACGACCTACATACGACGAGTGAGGGAATGGACCAGATCTGTAACGACGAAAGCCATGTCCACGACGGATTCTCGGACGAGAAGGTCCAACCCGAATCAAAAGTCATTCACAAAAGTTGAACCGCATGAGCGCACGAGAAGCGGCAAAGGCATAGCTTGCAAGCAAGCTGAGTTGTCAGGGAGGATTGTTGGTTGAAGCACCTACCTCGATGCTCGATGCTACCACATCTCTAGATCGCTGCCTCTGTAGTAGGTAGTGGTCTCACGAACCTGAGTTCACGCCCAGCTTCACGTCATTTCGCGTAAACGTCGTCTCGAGAATCTGCTACCCCTGTCGCTCTGCAATCAAAAGGCTTGGCAACGATCTGCGAGATGAGGTGCGGTGGATCCACGTCTACTCGAACCTTGCAGGCATTCACTTTAGACATGTGAGAGCCGATTGACTTGACCATAACTTTTGGCAGGAGCAAGTGTATAGCGACTGCCTTCTTGTCTTTTGAGCGTGTCTGATCATTTTCCACATTTCGGAAGCTGCGCGACACCTCCAGGTGGACTTCAGGCGTAGGTCTCTCGAAAATTCCAGGCAACCCACGAATTCAAATTATCTGCTCAGAGCCCGCCCTGCCCACACGAACCTAAACGCGAAACCGCAAATTGAGCACGGCTTTCTTGGGCCATGGCGGCGGCCGCCATGGACAGCGACCACGATATGGAGGACCGGAGTGAGGCAGACGAAGAAAGCAAAGGTGACATCCAGTTCGACGAGGGCGACAGCCATCTGAATGGTCAAGATGTTGCAGAGTCAAGTACACCTACCGACTACAGCCTCTACGACCTTCCGCCTCGGCTCGCTACCCTCCGACAACAAACTCACGACCTCGAGCACCAGATAGAACTACCTAAAGTGGACTGGGAAGCACTCGTGCCATGGATGGACAATGTCTGGAGAAAGCTGAAGTCCTCCGAGCAGACAGAGACCTCACACAACGTCGAGCTGTACTGGTGCAAATTGAAGAAGCCGAGCAATGTCAAAGTACACCACCCACGGCCAACACCAGAGGGCAAGCAGGCACGGAAGCGGAAACCAAAGGAAGAGAAAGCCTGCAACATGGCCATGAAGGTCACCTACAGCACCGGCGCACTCGACAAAGTCACAATACAGAAGTACAACGCGAGCGACACGCACAGTCACGATCTTGACTTCATGGACGCCCAGAAGCGGAACACAGGTATCATGAACACCGCCAGGAGAGAGGCTGTAAAGGGCTTCCAACCCGCTTCAATATGGTGGAAGATGCAGACTGAGCCGGACAAGCTCGATGCCGCTGGAGGGAAGTACATGAAGATCTCTGATGTTCGAAATGTGCAATACCAGTGGCGGCAAGAGCATCCAGACGCGCAGTTGAAGGCCCACACTGGCTACAACGCCGCAAGGACCACGCCTGCTCGACCAGCACAGCCAGCTGCAGTGGCCAGACAGAAGTCGTCTCCGCGGAACGTCGTCACACATCCAGTCCAGCCACAGCCGCAGTACTATGCGCCTCCTCAGCAATCTCCTGCCCATCCAGCACAACCTCCACCCCCATCACAATACCAGCGCAACTACGCCCCGCCTCAAGTAGCCTCAGACGTACTTCGATACCCGCCAGAGCTTCGCAACTTTCTCATACCATACCTGCCGAACCCGCCAGTAATCGCCGCCCAACAACGGCCACATGTGACCTTGACTTGGGCACAGGGCCTTGACGGTCGCATAGCCAGCAGACATGGAGTGCCTACCGCCATCTCATCCCAAGACACCAAAGCCATGACCCACTTCCTGCGCAGTGCACACGATGCTATCCTTATAGGCGTACGGACTGCCATCGCCGACGACCCTGGCTTGAACTGTCGCTTAGAAGGCGCTGGTGGATATGGCGGTGCACCAGGTCAGTGGCAGCCTCGACCGATTGTAATCGATCCAGCCGGCAGATTGATCATAAGGCCGGAAATGAAGATCTTGCGGGTAGCGCAGGAAGGTCGCGCTCGACCACCTTGGGTGATAGTGGGTCCAAATGCGAACCTGCACCCGCAAGCAGTTTCGACGCTCAAAGCATTCGGTGGGGAGTTCTTGATGGTCAACGAGATCGATGACCAGGGCAAGTTCAGCTGGGAAGGTATCTTCCAGATCTTGTATCGCGAAGGCATCAAGAGTATAATGGTAGAGGGTGGTGGCCTCGTACTATCTGATCTCTTACGAAAAGTGCACGCTCCTGCCATAGACAGCGTGATCATGACGATCGCGCCGACGTTCTTGGGTTCAGCGGGCGTGCAGGTCAGTCAAGAGACAGAGTACGACTCAAATCGCAGTACAATCCTGCAAAATCGGCTGCGGGATGTCTACTGGCAAGCGGTAGGAAGAGAGGGAGATGCTGTCGTTTGCGGCAGGCTTGAGCAACCGGCGAGAGGCCCGCCCAAGAGCAATGGTATACTGCAGGGTATCGTGGAGATGGCACAAGCGGATGGCAATGGGGATCAGCGGGACCAGGAGCATGAACGGCGGCAGCAGCAGCACCCACAGCAGCACCCACAGCAGCACTCACAGCAAGCAGGGGAGAGACTGCCGCCGATAAAGCAATTGCCACCGCCGCCACAGCCACCGCAACCGAGTTCGCACTACCAACAACAGCGTGCTGCACCACCGCCGGGCAGTCCCTACACTAACGGCCCACAAGCTCCGAATGGTGACTCTAGTCGACGATATTCCGGTCCGCCTCCACATGCGCAGCAGCAGCATCAACAACCTCCAAAGTCGCCTTACCAGCAACAGCAGCCTCCGAAGTCGCCATATGCACACCCTCAGCCACCACCGCCTACCCGATCGTATGATGAGCGTCAGCAACATCTAAATCCTGCACCGAGACAGCAGCCTTAGCATGGTCTGTCGTCGACGTTCAGTATCGTTTCTAATGAAGCCAGGGGTACTTCAGCGCCTTCATGCACTCGAAAGGAAGACGCTTTGCACCTTACGGAGCACTCATGCTTGCCATCATGACTACAGAGGCCCATGGGAAAACGCTTCGGTCAAAGCGGTTGCTCAACAGGAAGCATGATATTTGCATACATGACAGCAGTAGCGGTCTTAGGCGCTGACTGGCCGGAGGGATGTGACTCTGCTGAGTGGTCACTATTCATCCACGTGTGCAAGCGACACGGGACAAGGAGAAGTCAGATCGGTCACGATACTATCGTTCCTCCGACCAGATCTTATGAGCAGCAGCAGCGGTATCAGCAAGGGTAGGCCGCAGCAAGGGCAGGGAAGGAAAGAAGAGAAGCATCCTCCAAGCTCGAGGATCTTCGGCTTCATGTTGAACTTTATGCACATATGCGCAGACAGCAGGTAGCATCATGGAGAGACATGACTAGGTAGCCAGCACCTGCGTGCTTACCAAGTAGCTAAAAGCCAGAGACATTGAACCCAATAAGCCAGATCGAACTCTCCACATTACAACTTCTAGCAAACTTGAAGTATGTCCATCTAGCCTGAACGCTTTCTCGGACCGCGCGGACAAGTAGTAGCTTGGAATTACAGGATTGAGCAAGTATGTAGAGAACGAAAGGGAGGCAAAACAAGACAGGCCGTCTCAACCGTGGAGACGACTGTCAGGTTTCCTCCTGTCAATGTACAGTCTTCTGCGTCCGCTGGCTTCGCGTCTTCATGTATATCTATCTCCTGCTGCACTCTGCAATCTCGTGTGTAAGTAAGCATCGAAAGGCGATGGGATGCTGGCACAATAAGCGTGAGCAGGGACAATGTCACTTGCGGGAGATGTCACAAGGGAGGAGAGTGGAATTCGGTTTCCGTGCTGAATTCGAAGAAGTGATTGATTCAAAGCAATACATCTACCCTGCTATCCTAATTCCTCGCTAACAAAGGAGAACTCGCATCTGCAACGAGTGGTGTGGATGCCGATGGTATAAGATATGTTGTTGATCAGATGTGGTTGAGGCGGCCTCTGCGTAATATTCCACTGATTGGCATGCTCATAAGGAATGCCGCGATCTGATCTTCTGCACGACCATTAGTTTGGCGAACACAGCAGTCATCGTGCCGAGCAGCAAGAGAATCTCGCGATGTCCCTAATCACCAAATCGCAGTGCTGAGCCGTGAGTGAAGCCCTCGAGGATGCCAACGATGGTGCCGATGGCGATGGTGGTCAGGAAGGTTTTGTTCTTGACGACCTTGGCGATCTCGTCCTTGGCTTCCTCTGCTTCGGCTTTGTAGTCGACCTTGCCTTCCTTGACGTCCTTGGCGGCGGCTTTGGCGGATTCGGCGTCGGACTCGGGGGTCGTGGAGGAGTCGAAAGTGTAGCGGTGGAAGAGGTACTAGATGCGTTAGCTGGGCAAGTATGGGATGAGGCGTGTGGTATGTACGTAGGCAAGAGGTCCGAGGAGCTCGATGGGAGCGAGCATGTCGGAGCTGTAGAGGAGGAGGGGAAATGATGCGACGACGGCTGTTGAGGCAAGGTTCCTGGAAGCTAGTCAGCATGTTTGTAGTTGGAGCAGGAGCGTAGGCACATACTTGGGGTTGGAAAGAACGTTCCAGATCGAGTCGTCCACGGGGCTGGAGCCTGGCTTGTCGCTTGACTGAGAATCGGCGAGGAATTCAAGGGCAAGGCCAGCAGTGTAGAGGCCAACAGCGGTAGACTGAAGGATTGGGTGGTAGCCCGTCATGACGGTTCCCTGGTGGCGGAATGGCGCCGTGAAGGGAAGAGCGACGACGGTCGCAACCACAGCCTCAGGTAGGTAGTACTTGAAGAGGGCGTTGTTCCAGAAGCCCTCCTCTTGCTTGGTGGTCAGGTACTTGGGGTCATCCTTGGAATCGCGCTTGTTCCAGGCGGAGGCTGCGGAAGCCACACGGTAGCCAGCCCAGAGAGTGACACCACCCAACAGCAGCTTCTCGGGACGAGACTGCATCTTCAAGACTTGGCCGACTGGTAGACCCATGTACCAGACTCTTCTGAAGACGGCGCTCCACCATAGGTTGAAGACATGGTAGCCGGGTCTGAAGATGTCCTTGGTCGCAAGCGTGTCCGTGCTTCTTCCCAGGCCATAGTTTAGGACGGCGAGGGCGGAGCTGTAACCTAGAGTGGGGAGGATGGTATCTTTGAAGATGCCGACGTCTGTTGGCAGCGTCAGCTTGCTGTTGGTACACAGAGATGGTCCATCAAAAGGTGATCAGTGTCTCTGGGACAGCTATTTCGCCGGGTACGTCATAGAGTGACTTACCGAACAGATTGTTCGTGGAGGGCTCGTGAATATGGAGCGTTGCTCCCGTCGGGGTGTACGCCATTGTTGCAAATGACGAAAACGACGACGACGGTGAGATAGTAGATGGAAGTCAGAGGACAACTCTCTGATCATGATCGCGGTCAATCTAGCTTGGAATGGCGAGCTCGTCGAGTTGCTGGCCAGGTGAATGCGGGGGTTGGCCAATCACCACGCTTTCATTATCCTACGACTGATTGGCTCAAACGGCAAGGGCGACGCACCGTGTTTCATCGCGTCTTCACCTACAGGCGCGAGGAGTCGCGACTTAGCCTTCTTCGTTGATCTTGCAGCCACGCTCATGGAAAGCACGAAGTGAAGGGCGCCGACATACTCCCCTGAGGCAGGCAGCGACGAGCCATAACGCGAAGTCGCCGATTGTGACTGATTGATGGACTAGAAGGCTTGAGACACTCATCCCTTCACCCAAGTCCAAGGATATTGTTCTGTGCTGAAAGCTCGTTGGAAGTATCCCAGGGCTCAAAAACACCACCAACGGGCCAAAGACATCAATCCTGGAGCTCTTCGGCAATCGCGACTTTTCCCCGTGGCCAAGCGTGACGAGGGGCATCGCCTCCAACGCGTGGGGTTTAGGTGAGTCCACTCTAGAACTTTTTGGAGGCAACGGCTACGTCAGGGTCAACATCGTAACCACAAGACATTGTTGAAAGAGCTCCAGAAATTCATGGCTTTTTGATACGTTGATGGTGCGTTGCAAGCACTCTCCTCTGGAGACTCTGATCAACACCCTGAGCCAGTCTTGTCGGTGGCTCAGTCAACATTTTCATATCGTGCCTTTTCCGTTCTGAGACTGCCCCTCGTCCTGCGTTTCCTGTCTGTACAGAAACTCCTCTCTTTGCATTCTTGACCTTCACGCAACCACTGTATATTGTTCGACATGGCACTTCCATACAGAGGTGCCAGCCAGAGCACGGGCGGCCACCAGACGCCGCAACGGAAGGGATCTGGCATGGACCCGAGAAATGCCATTAATCCCAATCAGACACATTACATCGGTATTGATGTAGGTACTGGAAGTGCGAGAGCCTGTATCATCAACGAGTCCGGCGACATCGTCGGCCTCGCGTCAGAGAATATCGGACTATGGCAACCTCAGACGGGGTGGTACGAACAGTCCACCACCGATATATGGCGCTGCATCTGCGATTCTGTGAAGCGAGCAGTTACACAGAACAACATCGACGTGACCACAGTCAAAGGCATTGGCTTTGACGCCACCTGTTCATTAGCTGTGTTCACGCACGATACCGACGAGCCTGTCTCGGTGACCAGTCCCAACTTCAACGAGTCCGGGAATGACCACAATGTTGTGCTATGGCTCGACCATCGGCCAGTGGAAGAGACTAAGAAGATCAATGCCACCAAACATAACTTGCTGAGGTATGTCGGCGGGACAATGAGTATAGAGATGGAAATGCCAAAGGTCTTGTGGCTGAAGAACAACATGCCGAAAGAGCTCTTTGATCGGTGCAAGTTTTACGACCTCACAGATGCTCTGGAGCACCTGGCCACAGGCAACGAGAAGCGAAGCTTCTGCTCGGTCGTGTGCAAACAGGGCTACGTTCCTGTGGGCGTTGATGGCTCAGTGAAAGGATGGCAAGAAGACTTCCTGACAGAAATTGGATTGCCAGACCTGGCCGAAGACAACTTCAAGCGGATGGGAGGAGTCAATGGAGTAGTACAGCCTTCTCAGTCCATAAGCACGAGCGTTTGCTGACATTCATACAGAACGGCGAATATCTGTCAGCAGGTGAACTCGCTGGCTACCTCTGCGAGAAAGCTGCCTCAGAGCTCGGCCTGCCCGCGGGCATTGCAGTCGGCAGTGGTGTCATCGATGCATACGCTGGATGGATTGGCACGGTCGGCGCCAAAATCTCCACCCTGGGCGACTCACTGGACAGTACCGTGGCCAAGAACGATCAGTCTCAGGCCTTCACCCGCCTTGCTGCCGTGGCAGGCACTTCCACATGTCATTTGGTCATGTCCAAGGATCCTGTCTTCGTCGATGGTGTCTGGGGCCCATATCGCGACTCCATTATCCCTGACTATTGGATGGCTGAAGGTGGACAGTCGGCAACAGGCGAGCTCCTCAAGCACGTCCTCGAGACACATCCCGCATACTCAGCGGCTCTAAGCGGAGCAGAATCGTACAACACCAACATATACGACTTCTTGAACGAGCACCTTCGCGACATGAAGCTACAAGATCCGCCAAAAGCATCGCACACCTCGGCAAGCACTTCTTCCTGTATGGCGACCTCTTCGGCAACCGCTCACCTATCGCTGACCCGACAATGTCCGGCTCTGTGGTTGGTCTGTCGTCCGACAAGTCAGTGGACGGTCTGGCGTTGTACTACTACGGCACAATGGAATTCATCGCACTACAAACACTCCAGATCATCTCGACCATGAACAAATCCGGGCACAAAATCAGCAGCATTTTCATGTCAGGCTCACAGTGCCAAAACGATATTCTGATGTCACTTATCGCCACGGCTTGCGATATGCCAGTGATCATTCCACGATACGTCCATGCTGCGGTGTGTCATGGAGCAGCTATGCTAGGCGCAAAGGCAGCATCAGCGGACCGGAATGGTATCACGGAAGATCTATGGACGATTATGGATCGGATGAGCAAGCCGGGGAAAACCGTCACGCCCACCAAGACTAAAGGTGTCAAGGGGTTGTTAGATGTCAAGTATAAGGTGTTTTTGGAGATGTGTGAGCGGCAGAGAGTGTTTAGGTCGATGGTTGATGAGGTTGTTGATAAGGAGTGACGCCCGTCCACGGTGGAATGCTACGACGGGAAGAGCCTGAAGATGGCCGGGAAGAGACTTCAGCGTTTGATGAAAGGCCCCAGGCAAGAGGAGGACTCCGCTACCCAAGCGCACGCCTTCTCAGACAAATGATTGGAACAATCGAGGAGCGTGCCTGCCTCGCCATGTTGCTCACGTGACATGATCTGGGGGGTTGCGCCTACCCCACGGTGCCTGAACGACGTTAGTGAAGGTAGGTACGTGCCGACCTAGGTCACCCATGCTATTCAAACAAAGAGCACCAAACACTCATCATGCATACTTTCGTTTGATCATCCTTTAAGGCCATAGAAGCTAGAAGATGCATTGTATCTAGTGCCGTCTGCATCCACGCTCCTTTCGTTCAAATATGAAGACCGCAATAGACCTGCCGGACGAGATCTGGCAGCCAATACTGGAATACCTTACCCCACGCGACTCCGTCGCCCTCCAGTGCGTCTCGAAACGCTTCCTCCGACTTGCACGAGATAACAAGTTGTGGCGGCGGAAGTGCTTCGAGAAGAGGCCCAATGCAGGCAACAGAGCCTACAGCCATCGAGACCCTGCAGTCTGGGATCCTTCAGCTCCAGGCGAGGATGTTAACTGGTACGACGAATACATAGCCCGCCATGCACCGTTGCACACCGTTTGGAGCGAGGGCACTGGTTCAGAGTCCCACGAGATTCTCGGCGTGGCCGTCGATGAACATTCAGAGCGCGCCGTTGGCTGGCAGGAAGATGGAAGCATACTCATATGGGACATTCGCGAGCAAGAACTGGGCGGACGCAGGATCCAACGCGTTGCGAATAGCAGCACGGGAGTGCTCTTCGCTACAAATGCAGCACAGTCGTCCACGTCGTCTGGGTCCCGATCCTTCACAAGTCCAACCGAGTCCATTGCTTTGGATTTTCGCCAAAATCGAGCCTATATCGCCGTTGGTCCCAACCTGAACGAAGTTGATCTGGAGACACTGCAGGTCATATCACAACAAGAGTATGCCTGGTCGATCACTGCTCTGTCCCAACATCAGACATCTGATCTGCCACTGTCAGTCGGCACTTTGTATAGTCTACATCTTTACGACCCGCGCATGACTTTCCGAGATCGCTCGCGTTCGCCGGAAGACATGATGCGACCAACGCCGGGCGAGCCAGAGAACTCGATTGCATTCCTACCGAATCACGCTAAATTCGACCGGTTCCGCGAGCGAAAGGCTCTCCAAAATTGGGCTCCTTCGCAACAAAACGCGCACTTAGACTACTCAGCGCCTCGCCATGGTCGAGGAGGAGGCAGTCATGCCTACGCTCAAGTAGAGCCCGGCCCACTATCTATCCTACACTACGAGCAGCACGAGATCTTTCTCGCCGGCCGCTTTCCTAGCATCCTATCCTATGACAGGAGATACTTCCCTCGCCTTCAATACGTGGTCCACTCAGGAGCAACCCTGTCGTCGCTGACGAGCGTACCGTACGCGCCGAAACCCGCGCAGGGAGGACAAGCTACCCTCATCGCAGCTGGCGAATACAAGGGTCGTGGCTCGCTTGAGTTGTATTCTCTGCCGTATGCGACAGGCCAGCCGACCGCAGCGGCAGCGTCTACGGACGTGGACGAGATGATCAATGCTGCAGCTGACGCTGAAACTGCTGAGGACGATAATGTGAGGAATGTTGATATCACCCACACCGATACATTCAAGAACAACATCGTCAACTTCATGTCCCGCTCCCCCTACAGCTACAAAAATCGCCAAGACGCCGCCCCTGCCAAAATTCTCTCCGTCGCAACACAAGGCACACGCATCGTCTTCTCCGACGCCAACGGGTGTGTGCACTGGAAAGAGCGCGACAGTCGGGAGCTTGTGAGGAGGTGGAATATCAACGACGCTTCGTCACACGCTCCTTCCGCTCCACAAGAGCCATCTCTTGCTGCGACCAATGGCGCACGCAGGACTAGTACCAATAGCGGCGCTGATCGGGAGGAAGAGCTCGTCGTGCGCAAACTCGTCCCTCTGAGTTACTCCTCGTCGTCCAGCACCAAGCATGACATCCTCCTCCATACCCCGGCTAAGCTTTGCATCCTCACCACGCAGCCCCAATACGCCGACCATGAGACCCTAGCCCGGTCATTTGAGGCACAGCTGTCCACCGAAAGCAGCGAGGCGGAGGAGGAGAGAGAGCGGGCGGAGGAGTACGCACGGGAGATGCGGCGAGCGCTAGAACGGCAGGCTGATGAACGAATCTGGATGGGACGCTTTCGGTTGCGGGGTTAGTGGCCGTTTTGTGGTAGGTCCCAAGGAAGCCAGGAGGCAAGCAGCGCGAGTTGAGAACTTGCGGGTGTACTATAGACCAGAGACGATCATATACGGTACTGGAAATACTGGAAGCTAGAGTCTAGAACCTTAGGTAGAATACCACGAATTTCAATACTACTACTGGGAGTTCTTAATATCGTTGATCTCGTAATGCGTGTTTCCTTCACCATCGACACCCCACAACTGATCAATGCTCACAGAGCCCGGCGCGGATGAAACAGCGCGCCACCTTCGACAAACACTCCACACCGACCCCCGCCTGGATCTACTACGGCAGACTCCCAGGAAACGGCGTCCCTCTCGCCCCATCCTCCCAACCATCGTTCCTCCCATCCACGTACGCCACCTTCCACGTACCCAAATCAAGCCCATTCTGCGGCTGGTCCAAGCTCCCGACATTGATCTGGAAGAACTCTCTGACTTGGCCCTGGAAAGCGAACGTTCCCGCGGCCGCGATTTGCACGCCGCAGGTGGGGCAGAAGTACTTGTGTACGCCGCCGTTGGGCTTGGGCTTGTAATCAGCGAGGTCGTTGAGTGAGGGAGGTGAGAGGAGGCTGAAGTCCGAGTGGGGAAGGCCGTAGTATGTTGTGCCTTGTTTGAGGTCGACTGTGCAGTTGCAGCGGCGCGCGGTGCGAGTCTGTAGGGTTGATGAAGGGAAGGCGACCGTGTACTTGACGAAGCCGCAGTGGCAGGGGCCGTACAAGGTGTGGTCTGTGCCGTCTTGCTTCGATCCGGGGGAGATTGTTGCTTTGAGGAGTTCTATGCTTGGCGAGTCTGTCATGGTTGAGGACGCTTGTGGGGAAGTGATGCGATGCAAACGAAGTCGATGGCGGTCCTAGAGCAATAGGATATGGTGATCGAGACATTGTCGTTGCTAAATCTTTCGTTCGTTCTACTAATGTCGCTTTCTGGGCCTGGAACGCCTGAAGACTCCGGACCAACTTGACCTCGCAACAGGGAGATGACTATGGGATCAGGCCGTATCCTCGAGGTGCACTTCTTCACGGAGACCAGTCGCCGCTGGGCTTCATGGCCTTCGAGCGCTTGGGATGTGGGTAGTGGGGTGGGGGGAACATACACCACCAGATCGACAGCATCACAGATCGTGGGGCGCACTTACAGGTTGGAGGAGCAAGCGAGAGCGACGAGCTACTGAACAACGCGTAGACGCTCCCCAGAGAAGAAATTGTTCGGCAATGCCCCAAGCAGCGAGCATTGAGTTCATCGGGAACCTCATGGCGGCCGCGCGGAAGGCATCCGTCAATTGTCGTGCGGCCTCGTTCTTGCAGCGACGACGGGAGCAATCCTCGGCCTAGACAGTAGTCTGAATGACGATGCGAAGTAACAGATTGGACCGGACATATCGACAGTACAGCGCAGCGGGAAGCGCGAATGCGAATGCAGTGATGCATGCATGTACATGTTATAGACCGGATGACAGAGTGTCGTCAGGCCGGTTGACACGCCAGAATCGCCCAAATGAGTGACGTCCATTCTCCACTATATTCCCAAGCACTTTCTATCTGTCATCGAGTACAATTCGAATTGACAAAGATCTTCTCATCCGGTCCTGTGCCTCCTTTGTTGCACCTGCTTTCTCTCTATATCCTTCCTCGGCTTCAGAGAGGACCCAACTCTAAGGCGCGCTTCTCCGGCCCCGAGAGACTGGGAGCAACAGAAATTTGAGTAGACGATAAGGGGCGCTCCCTTTGCAGCCCTAGCATGTACACATTCATCTGCCCTACTAGTGTTTTCAGCTCCTGGCATTCACACAGTGACTACTGTTTGGAATCGGACAGCCACGTCGTTCGTACTGTAGCAAATATCTTGTTCCCAGATATGGCAGGAACCCCAAGACATGGCAGCAGGCTTGTCAACCGGTAAGCTCTACATCTTGAGGTCAAGCAATCACGCAAGCATAGGCTGCAGGTTATCCACCTATACGTACCTTCCATGGAAGGCCTTCTTGAGTAAGGTAAGGCATAGCGATCCCGCGTGGCATGTCAACATCAACCAAATATTTCATGGCGTGCGAAATCAGCATCATAACGCCATCCTCCCAAAACTCCACCTTGGCGAGATTCTCCGACGAAGTCCTTGCTCGCTACCGCATATCAACACATTGGAACCTCTATAGGGTCCTCGACCATTCCGCTACGGGTAAGTCAACTTGTATGGTTCGCTGTCTGTGTCGATTCAAGCCTCGTGGACGACAAGGATCATGATCATAAGACCTGCGCATTGAAGGCCCACGCACTCGGCACGTTGGCCGGTCATTGCCATATCGAAATGATGCGATCTCAACTTTTTCTGGACATCAGCGGCTCGAAGGGTGAGAGCGATCGGCCTGGTGGATGACTATAAAGCACTTGCTCGCTCAGGTCCCATGGTGGGCTCACCCTTTGTACCACACACACCCGCTGAGCCGCTCCCGCCACCATGCCCAACGAACCTCTGCTTTCCCAAGCCGATGGCTACGGAATCATCGTTGGATTGTCGATCCTGTTCTGCTTGATCATTCTCGCCGCCGTCAGGATGCAGAAAGTCTACCTCTCGGAAGACAGCGACCAGTCGGAAATGTTCATGGTAGCTAACCGTTCCGTTGGAACGGACTGACGGCATCTGCGGTATTCTCAAGCTGGTGAGTCCCTGACTTAGTTTGTCGTGATGTACGTGCATGCTGATCACTTACTGTGTACAGGATGTGGATCAACGAGAGCGTCTTCTCGGCCGCATACACGTACAAATGGGGCATCGCGTTGCCCGTATGGTGGGCAGCTGGACTATCGTTTCAGATCGCCTCATGGCTGTCCTCGGCATCATTGCGAAGCTGCGAGTTCCATATGCTCACACCTCGTTAGAGATCATTAAGATGCGATATGGTAAATATGCGCATGGGGTATTCATCCTGCTTAACCTGATCAACAATATATTCGGGTGCGGGAGCATGATTCTCGCTGGGTCGCAGCTGGTGACGGGAATGACCGGGATGCATGTGGTTGCTGCTTGCATCTTGATCCCTGCTGGAGGTGAGCATACAACATGTTCCACTGCCGATCGTCGTGACTGATTCCTCGAAGTTGTCACATATACGGCAGTCGGCGGACTGAAAGCGACCTTCTTGACCGACTTCCTCCATACAACGATCGCGTTGATTCTGCTCATCTACTTTTCTCTGGCGGTCCTAACCAACGAACATGTCGGAGGCGTCTCGGGCTTGTACCACAAAGTCAAGGCCAGGACGATCGACCTCAACATTCCGGGCAACTACCAGGGCTCACTTCTCACCATGAAGTCGCGAAGCTGTGAGTCAAGAGCCCGCCGCCGTCGATATGTCGCTAATTCAGTCCAGCTCTGATGTTTGGCCTCGTGCTAAAGTTTGGCAATCTCGCTCTTGTCCTCATGGACACAGCATTCTGGCAGAAGTCGTTCGCAGCGGAGGTCCACTCGACCGTGCCTGCGTATGATCTCGTATCAGTCGTGATTCTGGCCATCCCCTGGTGTACTGGTACCATCATCGGCCTCAGTGCTCGCGCCATCGAGAATACTCCAGTCTGGTTCGATTACCCAAACACGCTCACTCTGAAGGAGGTCAATTCCGGAATGGTCATGCCAGTGGTTCTGCGCAGCCTTCTCGGGCGTGGTGCCACCGCCGGTCTCCTGGTCCTTATATTCATGGCCATCACGAGCACGGTGTCCTCGTCTATGATCGCGGTGAGCAGTATCATCTCACAGGACTTCTTCCGCACATACATCAACCCGCGAGCGTCTGATCGGAAGGTTCTCAAGGTGAGCCATTGGGGCGTCGTGTTCCATGGTGTGTTCATGGCGGGGTTTGCCATCATGTTGCAGTACGCCGGAGCCACTAACAACTGGTCAACGTATTTCCGTCCGATCGTGGCTTGTCCTGGCATCCTGCCTATGATCCTGACGCTTTTCTGGTCTCGGCAGACAACACTGGCCTCGATTCTGGCGCCTCTTCTGGGGCTGGCTTCAGGAGTTGCAACTTGGCTTTCCCTGTCGGCGACGTGGGCTGATGGCGTAATCAACATTCAGACTACACAACAGCAGATACCAGGTTTATACGCAGCAATCGTCTCGTTCTTCTCGCCTGCTCTCTACTCCGTCGTCATATCGCTGGCTTGGCCTAGCAGATTTGACTGGCGTGAGTTCCTTCGGATCGACCTCATCGGTGACAAGACTCAATCCAGCAGCGTCCTACAATCAGAGAACACCAGTAATGAGGATGTCCGCGAAGCACCCCAGCAGGTGGCAGAACACCAATATAGCAAATCGACAGGGGATGCTATTGCGAGAAACAGTACTCGAACTTCGCTGGACGACGTGGTGCACCCTTTCGACGACGCGACTATCCGCCATATCAAGAAGTGGCTCAGGATAGCATGCGTCTACTTCGTGGTCAACGTGGTCGTGACCTGTATTCTCTGGCCGTTGCCGCTGTACCGGGACTACATCTTCACGCAGACGTTCTTCGGTGGCTGGATCAGCATGGCGATAATTTGGCACTTCGGTGCTATGTTCGCTGTCATCGTGTACCCTATCTTCGACGGGCGACATGCCATCGCGAAAGTGCTCCGTGGTATAACGAGCGACGTCCGGGGACGACAGCGGCATAGCGCTCCTCAGACCGCTGGTGGGGAAGCGATCGAGAAAAGGTAGACGTGGTTTTTCCAGCGGTCCAATGGGATCTGTGTCACAATATCTGGTGGCTGATCTGCAGGTCGACTGCGACATTGATACGCTTCTCGTCAGGGAGGCGTGCATGAAATGTATGCCATCCCGCGAAGCGTACCTGGTTTCGCCTCGCATCCTGATGCTGACTCACGCCTGCAGCGCATAGATGGGGTGCGTTTGTTCAGAGTCCTCCCGGGGGTGTCTGCATTTTACAGCTGATGAAGCGGCCACCAGCTCATATTAGACCACCCGCCCAGCAAGCAGCCTGTCGAATGCATCGAAATTCTCCGTTCCCTGCCCTAACACCGCAAATATCACATCCTTCCACCAAACCCCATCCTCGAACTCCTCCTCTGCGAACACCTCCGCCCACATCCGAGCAACCTCATGGGCCGGATTTTGGAATGCACCACATCCAAACGCACCCAGCACAATCTGCCGATGCCCGTGTGTCGCCGCTACGCGCAAGATAGTGCGCATTTTGCGCTTCATGAGCTCTTCATCTGACTTCCTGGCGTAGACCTCTACGGTGCCGTGTTGATGAATCTGTAGTCTTCTTGTTTCGGGGCGTTCGATCGCAGCTGCGCTTACCACGCTCAGGACAGGCAAAATAGCTGGGTTGCGGAAGTCCAGTAAGTTGTGACCTTGACTCATGTCTTCGCGTATGACGAGTACTCGGGGGGAGTAGATGGCGCCTGTCTCTGGGATAGGGTAGTGCTTGATCTTGAGGGTGAAGAACAGACTCGAGCGGTAGCATAGTGCTTCTTCCTGGGCTAGGGCGCCGTGCTTGAAGCCACCACCTGCGTGTCTTGCGTTGGCCATGTTGAGGACCAGGGGTGGAGGATGTGTTGAGCCAAGACTTGGGAGCGAGAGGGCGGCGGTGATTGAGTCGGAATCTACGACGCGGATCTTGGTTGCAGGGAGATGCAGGCCGGTCGTTGAGTCGAGGGCTATCGACGTACTAGATGGTGCGATGAGGTGTCCGTCACGGCCGACGTCCGGTCGAGTAGCGAGCAGTCCTGGGAGGAGGGAGAGTGTTTCAGCAGCAACATCGGCGAGAGATAGGCGTTTGGCATCTGAGCGAGGAGTCGGATTCTTGAGGGGCTGTCTCGTCCCTAGACGGCCTGAAGAGCTGAACGTGAGTAGCATTTGACGCCTGCCACTTGAAGCCGACTTGTCTTCGGGAGGACTTCGTGTGTGCTCATGGTCATCACCATCATCGTTGGTTTCGTGAGGCCTCGACTTCTCGCTCGGCCGCGAAGGCGCGAAGTAACGGGATGTCTCTGTCTTTCCGGGGCTCTTTGTCGATCTGTGGGACTGTTGGTGATCCGTTCTCATTCGTCTCTCCGGGTATAGATGACTGTTCGTGTTGTTTGGAGAAGTCGCCATGGCGGTTCCAGGTACTGGAGGTCTGCCAGCCAGGCCCCAGGAACGCGATGGGCACGATCACTAAGACACTCAAGATCAGGGCGTCTCTGACCGCCTCCTTTACGATACTGCGCACCATGGTCAGCGAGCTTAAGGATCTTGTCTCCGGCGGGCTCTGGCCTACGGAAGGTTTGTTATCAATTGCGAAGGAGACTCGAATACGTGCAACCAATCAGAGTTCCGACCGGAAAGAAGTGGTGACGTCCGAGGCGTTTCGACGGACTCTGCAAGGCAACAATAATGGTAGGAGAAAGGAGAGGCAGCCTGAATGCTTCGGGGCTGGCAGGCGTAAGCGACAGGTACTTGCAGGGCTAAGGCGGCGAGGAGCGCTAAAATGTGATGCCTAAAACAAGCTATTTAGAGGCAATTACGCCTAGAATTGCAAGCTGTCACGGCCTCACCCTTCTTTTCCTTCACTCTCACTTTCCTCTTCGTTTTGTGGTTCAAGCCAGTGCTGTAACAGCCACTTCGACTTCAACAGACTTGAACTGCTCTTACTTGCCCATCACATGTCTCAGCACCTGAGTACCGTGACCAGACTTCTCATTAGAGCCTTGAGTCGAACCCATGCTTTGACTGTCCTGTTCCAGCTGATCAATTTTGCGCTGCTCGCGTGCAAGCGCGACGGAGCCCATCTCGCCCAGACCATACCACGCAATAACAAGGCAACCAAGTATGCCGCAGATGCAGCTGAACACAAGCGCAACTATCCCACGAGCAGTGAAGCCTGATGGCAGTGGTGGAGCTTGGACATTCTCGCCTTCGAAGTTGAGCCAATCATCCTCATCAATGTCACGAGCACCGAGCACTTGCTCCTCTGAAGATGCTGCACCGTGGCCAGCAGCGTTGCCGTACGTCGGAACTGGCGGTGAGAGGGCATTGCAAGCATCGAAGTGATCTTGCGGAACTGTGTGAGAGGCTGAGAGGTTGGCTCTCAATTGCTCGGGCGCCTCAACGAAAGTCATGATCAGGCCGCTAGAGACATGCCACTCGATATGACAGTGAAATATCCAAACGCCAGGATTGTCAGCCCGGAACCGGAGAACGAGATGACCATTGGGCCGCATGAGAACCGTATCTCGTCGCATTGGTGTAGCCGGAAAGTCCCGGTCGGTGGCATTGTTTGGGTCATAATCACCAGCTTCCTCGTCAGATCGAATGATCGTCTGGAAGGCGTGACCATGAAGATGGAAAGGATGCTTGCCAGGATCGTGATTATTGACGATCATCTCGACTACTGACATGTGTGGCAATACGAAGGTGTTGGTGTTCGAACCATAGATCCGAGCTTCGTTGAGCATAGAGGGAGGTGCGGAGAGCACAGTGTACAATGTTGGCACCACAGGTTTCGTCCAAGTCAAGTTGTTGAAGAAGGCATAGTTGAAGCCATTGTTGAGGTTGTCCATCACGACGTCGAGCTGAATCTGCATATCTGGCTCTGGTAGAAGCTCTTCTTTGTCTTGAGGAACGAGGTAGAAATCATCGAAGGGCTCGAACTCGGTGATCTCCTTCGCTTCTGGCAGCGCGATCTCTCGTCGTAGACAAGATAGGATGTAACATTAGGATTCAGCCCGTCCGGAATTGCGTCAAAGAGATCGGTGTCCATAGAGCCGACGATGGCAAAATTCTCATTTGTGGTATTCTTGGTCGTCAGGAGCACACCGTATCTCTGTGCGGCAGAGATATGAAGCTGGTCCGCCTCAGTGGCTTCAGTGTAGATGCCGTCAACCTCAATAATCTTGAAAGAATGGCCTTCGATCCAGAAGTACTGTGGAGCAAAGGCTGCCATGTTGATGATGCGCAAGAAGTAGGTTTTGCCCGGCTGCACGCTGATAGTCGCATTCTGCGTGTCGTTCATGAGCGCGGAGTTGGGCACAGGCTCGGCTCCGGTGGGATTGGTCACCGATAGGAAGCCGGAGAGAAGGTCTGGCATCTCATCATGGTACCAGTCCGACAACGTCAGGACCAGCTCCTCGTCATACTGATCCTTGAAAGGATTTTCTGGATCATGAACGATGAGAGGACCTCTCAGCCCGTCTGGGTATTGGCCATCAACGTGCGAGTGGTACCAGTATGTGCCAGGCTGGTCGACAGTGAAGTTGTATGTGAAGGTTGATCCGCTAGGAATGGGACATTGGCTGACTGAACCAGCGCCGTCCATATGAGTAGTACCATTCTGGTACAGGCCATGGAAGTGGATCGAGTCGGTTCTGTTTCCGAGACTGTTCTTTGCGTTGACGACCACGACGTCGCCCACGTTAGCCTCTATCCTGGGAATTGGCCATTGTCCGTTGATGCCAACAACGGATCGTTCCTGCTGTCCGTCAGGATTGCGACGAACCCAGCCAATATCGAAATCATAGGTCCGCGTCTCAGCGGCAACAATACTGGTCAGAAGTGCTATTGAGTAGAGGAAGTTGGATAGAGACAGCGCCATGGCTGCACTATTCGAAAAGAAACGTGAAGTGAAGTGCGATGTGAGGGATAAGATAAGATCAAGAAATAAAATCGCTGGGAGGGAGGAGCGGCAGTATCCCAGAACGACAGGCTTTCACTTGTCAGAGGGTCTTGCCGCGTTTCAAGCCCTCAGCAGACCAGCAATGCACGCATACGAAGCTCTAGCTCTCCGATCATACGCCGACTACTCCTGGCTTCGATCTCGAACGGCCGATCGATAAGATAAGACAACAGTCAGGATCGCTTCTCTTTTCTCTTCAAGGCGTAGTCAGACAACAGTGGCTGCAGCGGAATGTGAGCCCCAGCAGAACACGGCAGTAAGCAGGGATCGGGCATACTAGTTGACAGCGCTGATGGTAGAACATGCAATAATGCCGCGGAAAGGGTGGGCGGAAACGAGGAGACTGCTAGAGACGGACACGGCATATGCCAGCAAAACAAATGGAGCTCGAACTTCTCACTGGAGGTCGGCCATGCACCACGATCCGTTCAGAAGTCAATGTCAGAGCAGACCTAGTCAGAAGCGTGGTGTGACCCGTCGGTGAAGCAAGTTAAGAGGTCGCAACCGAGGGGCAGGACGTCAAAATTTTTATCAGATCAAAGATCAGCGATGATCTAGAACCAATAGCAGAGGACCCTGAACGCCTTCGCTCGTGTCGGCGTGCAAAGTCAACCTCAACCAGTGTCAGCTTCAGCGCACTCCGTACCACAGTGACCGTGCCTATGACTTCCGTTCAACATTTTTCTGCTCTCATCGTACGAAGACGATCAGTGGGAAGTGATTCAATAGACCTTCTATTGTAGAAGATGTCTATCTCAAGCTTCGCCAATGCCAAACAAGAGGCCAAGCTTCGTCTGTCGAGATGCTTGGAGCTCGCGAAAATTGGTAGAAACGATTCCGGATGTGGGGTGAGATCCAGCGAAAAGCTTCCATGTGAGATGGCAGCACTAGTAAGTATTTCGGAAAGCATCTACAGCCCACTTTCCGGGTGAGGAATCGCAAGCTATGGATCACCTCCGAGTTCTCACCTTAGCACGGCTGCAGTGCTATCATCAGTTGATGACCTCGAGGGCTTTCTCCTTTCCCTGCGTCGCTTGGCTCTCACTAGATTGCAGCTCATCCTGACTGCAACTCTGAGGAGCCGTCTCACCCGACTTCGGCGCGAGCAGAGCATGTGCCTTTCTAACCTCGTGTTCCTGGACGTCCTGGTTGACTAGACCGGCCCTGAAACGAAACCTTGCCCTTTATCAGATCTTTTCACTTCTTGATCTTATCATATCTCTTCATCTCACATCTCGTCCTACTGTCTCAACGAGCAGATCACCAAAACCTGATCTCGAGCCATATACGGCTTCCGAAGTCCACCTCACTCTGCAGAAAAAGTGCACCATCCACAATGCCGAACGTCTTTGCACCCCAGATCTTCTTCATTGTCTTCCGAGAGACGCTTGAGACCAGCATCGTCGTCTCAGTCCTGCTCTCCTTCGTGAAACAGCAACTCGGCAAAGATGAAGATCGTGCGATATACAAGAAGCTTCGCAACCAGGTAAGTCAACTCTACTCAATTGTCTACTCCGTCCATCCTCCATCTGGTTCGGCATCAGCGCCATTGTTCTACCTCCAGCCATCCACCTCATGGCAACATCTCTGACAAGACTCAACACAGATATGGTACGGCACCCTCTCCGGCCTCCTAATCTGCCTCATCATCGGCTGCGCCCTGATCGGCACCTTCTACGGCCTCGGCGTCAACAACTGGGCCTCGATCGAAGAGATCTGGGAGGGCGTCTTCGCCATCATCGCCTCCCTGATCATCACCGTCATGGGCGCCGCCCTACTCCGTGTATCCAAAATGCAAGCCAAATGGCGCCTCAAGCTCGCCCGCGCCATCGAAGCAAAGTCTAACAGCCCGCTGCACCACCACAACAACGCTCAGAGTGGCGGGAAGATCGGGCTAAGGCAGCGAATGAAGCTGTGGGCGGAACGGTACGCACTCTTCATGCTTCCATTCATCACCATCCTGCGTGAGGGTCTCGAAGCGATCGTGTTCATCGGCGGCGTCAGTCTCGGTTTGCCGGCGTCAGCAATTCCGTTGGCCACCTTCACCGGTCTACTAGCAGGCTGTGCAGTGGGCTTCCTGATCTACCGCTTCGGGAATCTGGCACCGCTGCAGATCTTCCTCATCGTCTCGACCTGCTTCTTGTACCTCGTCGCCGCAGGTCTCTTCTCGCGTGGCGTGTGGTACCTGGAAGCAAACGCGTGGAACAAGGCCACTGGCGGAGATGCTGATGAGAACGGGTCCGGCCCGGGAAGCTATGACATCAGGCAAAGTGTGTGGCATGTCAATTGCTGGTGAGCTTCCTCCCACGACGCAGATAGTCATTCCCAAAACAAGCTTACTGACTGGACCAGCAACCCCGAACTCAACGGCGGCGGCGGCTGGGGCATCTTCAACGCCCTCCTCGGCTGGCAGAACTCGGCCACTTATGGGTCAGTCATCAGCTATAACCTCTACTGGATCTTCGTTATGGCAGGCTTCATTCTTCTCAGATGGCGGGAGAGGCGAGGTGGTAAAGCCGACTCTGCTGCTGTCGACGGCGGAGTCCTTGCCAACGAGAAGAAGCTGAGTGAGAGTGATGGCACGGGTAGTGGAAGCGAAGGCGCTATCACTGTCGCGCATGGAAAGACAGACAATGGTGGGGATATCTCGCCCGCCTGAGCAAGCCTGAGTCGTCAAGGAACGGCTGCATAGCAAGTCAGTGCTGAGGCCTTGAGCACTGGGTGAGTCCGGCAACCGTCAGACTCAATATGGGTAAAGTGTAGGCAGATAGCATGGCATGATCATAACATACTGCACTCTGACGACCTCCGGGGCTGCACTCCGTGCCTCTTACCTCCTACAAAGCCCGCCCGCGATCTCAGGTGGCAGATCCCAGTCCACGGTCTGCATCGACCTCTTTGCATTTGTCGCCTTCCCTTTCATGTTGGCCTCCACGGCGTCCCAGTGCCGCTGTTCCGTCTCTTGTTTGTGTCTGAGCTTCCTCTGCCACTCCTCATTCTCCACGTCAACAATTCTTTGATCATGTTCGTCTCCCTGTTCGAAAGCGTGTTCGATCGTGTTATATGTGATGAATCGCAGTGCCAGCTCCCTCTGACTACTACTGCTGCTGCTGCTGCTATTCTGTGCGGGCCGTTGTTGGCGGCGGATGATGAGTTGGGCGTGATGGACGCGGCGGTGTTCTGGCGGCAGCTGTACCGCTTGCGCTGTATTCGTTTCAAGGATGTTCAACGGGGTAGTAACGGATCCCTTCTTGGTCGGCAGATCATCGATGGTTGAGCCAAATGTGCCTTCCTCATACGCCACAATAGCCTCCGCAATCGTCGCAACGGGCAAGAACGACCAGTGCGTCTCTACACTAGGCGGCGGGATCGCCTTGAGCAGGCGCAAAGCATGGCGCCGTATGCTTGGATGCCGGCAGCGAGTAGCCGTGAAGAAGAGTGGTGGGCCAATACCGAACACGAAGGGCGGGAACGTGGAGAGCACGTAGGAAACATCTGCGGTAGTCGATGCCAGGGTGGTTGCATGCTCGATGATGGCTTGAAAGCCATCGATGTGCTCGTCATAGTCAGTCTCGGTGAGAGAGTGGCAGGTGAGAATCGAGATATGCGCGATGCGGAAGTAGGCTAGCAGGTAGGCACGTTGGATGAGCTCGTGGTTGTCGTCGGATCTGGCGATGGTAGAAGCGTCATTGTGGCCGAGTATTTTGAAAGCAGAGAAGCGAATGAGCCAGTCGTCAAGATGGCTAAGCAAATGACTGCTCAGCAACTTCATACGCTTGGTCTCTTCTGCTCGGTGTTTCACGAGATTGACTGAGCGAACGATCGTATGAGTACGGCACAGCAGATTGTACAGCTCCTGACTATATGCCTTTAGTGACGGTGGGTTATCCTTAGCCGGTGACACTGGTGTCGAGTGACCTGCCAGTGCATTCTCATCCATAGAGCGAAACATATGCGGGAGTCCAAGCGGAGCGATAGCCAACGCGACTTTGCTGTGAAATGGAATGAGAGCATCTACGAGTGACTCAATCAGTGATGAACTCCGCCTGGCAAGTGCCTCGGGTGACACGCATGCTCGAAAGAGACTCTGCGAGTGCTCGAGAAGAACGCCTCCTGCTAGGGTATTGCCGTGCTGGAACTCATAGCTGGCGAACAGGGAACATGACAAGAGGGCTAGCAGAGTCTGAGCATGGCCTTGCTCAATGACCTGTTGAGAGCGACTGACAGCACGTGAGTAGTACTTCAGAGCCTGGACGTGGGTTGGCGTCGTCTGTAACTTTTTTCCATATTCAGTGCCAGGATTCTTCATCTGATACTCGAAGAGGTGACCAATCGCGATGGAGGCATCCCACACGAACTCGAACCGCTGAGCAGCGGCTGGTACGAGCTGTTGCCAGAATGCATCGTCCAGATTGTTGGCCGCGAATAGCGGGCCAGCAGCGTGGTGGAAGACATGGAATGATCTGAGCTCCGTCTGTCCTTTTGATGGGCTCAAGGCCAAAGTCGAGGGCGGCGGGCTCACGCTCGGCGTGGTGCTGCGACTTTGCTTTGGAGTATTGCCGTTCACGAAGATGAAATTGGCTTTGTCAACTCCGTCGCATTTGCGACCTGTAGAGGTGCAATTGCGGCAGTTTGGGCTGTCCTGGTCGCATCGAATCCGACGCTGCCTGTCATATCATCATCAGTATGGCTTCTGTGATAGTCCATTATGTAGGAAACGCATTAGTGCCAAGACATCCGGCGCACCACGCTCTGATGCGCGGGCCTTGGACAGCCTCTCAGTCATCTGGACACTGTGTAGGCTGACTCGAATACCTTCAAATTGTGATCGACGTCAAGGCAGACTCGGCGGGGCTCACTCAGGGGCAGTAAGAGCATGTGTTCTTCATAAGATGTCGAGAGGATGTCAGACGCGTAAGGAAGGCCGGAAGGCGCGGCAGGGGTTGATACGCGTCAACTTACTTGCATGTCTTACAGCCTCGACGGCTGACACTATATTTGGCTCTGGTGGTGGTCACTTTTCTGATAACATCGTCGGACCGTGGCATAAAGTAGCCGGCTCAATCGATGGGCGCAACACTTATGGACAGATGTAAGTGGCAGCGATGGCCAAGGCAGGCGCGACGTAGTCAATTGGACTTGCCCGGGAGGGTACCTACTTAGGGCAGTATGTTCAAATTGTGAAGTGAGACTTTGGTTGTCATCATCATGGAGAAGACGAGACTCGGAGCAGTAAATGGCCGAATGCTGCGTCCGCACGGTCCGGCGCCGCGATCTTGTGTCGCATTGCTGAAGAACGTCTTCGACTGAAGGAGAAAGGTCTTGAGAATCATGGACGATTTCGTTTTGGATCTTCGTATATGGAACGGTAAGCTATTACGAGGGAACATCGCACGTAGAGTAAGCCTCAGAACCAGCCCCTCGGAATGGAAAACTCTTGTTCTGCATAAAACAGCCATTCCATCTTCTTGTCATTCCAACCTCGCTTTCTCGCGTCTCCTTCACTCACTGCTGATTCGCTCCCTCGTCATTCTTTCTTCAACGAGTTTAGTTTCAAATATTCTGCTGGGACCCTTGTCGCGGCTTCTTTCTGTGAGCCCTGCCGCGTGTCTTCCATGCTGACTTTCCAGTCTTTCTCACCCTCCTTGAGCCTCTCACAGCCACGCTGGTTGCTTTTGATTTGTCCAACCTGCAGGACATCCCTTCTAGGAGTCCTCTCAACATGCACGGAGGTATGGAATATCGTGAGCTTGTCAGGCCCAGTTTAAGGTTCCATGTGTCTCTCGCCTGCATTGTTCTTTGAAAGATTCCGAGGGCCAGTCTGCTGGGAGGCATTCGTATTATGCTGCCTGCATCGCCCCCTCTCTGTCTTTCATCGTGATCGATTCTTGCGTTCCTGCATATCTGTCGTCTGTATAAGTGTTTTCTGTGAGTTCTCGTCCACGATACAATCGCTTTTTTCGTCGTTCTCGCACGGAACAGCCCGTCGACCTGACCGAACTTTTGACGACCCCGCCATCGCGGATTTCTGCCTGCGCGCCGCTGCGAACCAGCCGAGGTTGATCCGCCGATCCGTCACCACGAGTCCACAACGATGGGCATCTCTAACGGCGCCGTGATTGTGATCGCTATTGTGGTTGCTGGCTTCGTCGTCATCACCGGCGCTGTCATCTTCAAGTTTCAGGCCGGACGAGGGGCCGCGGACGGCGAAGGGGACGGAGAATACTACAACCAGAGAAGCAACGACCAAGAACACTACAGTGAGTGCACCTTCCCTTGCCGTCATTGTCGTCACAAGGTATCTAACAATATCACAGTGAGAGAAGTCCGCGAGAGAAACAGGGCCTGGAACCAATATGAAGCGCGATACGGCGACAGATTCGGCACTACCATGACCGGAGCACCCTCGACAATATCTGGAACGAACGTCTACTCCTCGCATGTGTGAAAGGCCGGTAAATTGTGAGGAAGCGGAATAAGAAACCGGCAATGAGCACACAGAGACGATGCATGAGCCACTTTGGCTACGACTCGATGATCAGATACCCCAACACTCCCTTCGAGGAGATGAGTAACGAAAGCCTCAGAAGGCTACGATCATCACGCCCAGCCTTGACGAACGCATATTGATTGCGGCTAAGAGCCTGGACGAACGACCTACGAGCCGTCCCGAATGTCATCGAAAACACATCGGTCATCCAACCTGCGTCCAAGATTTTGCACATCATTGGAGCGACTGCTACTGGCACGGCAATGAATCCTCGCAGCATTGGAAGAATAACGACGCAGCGCTGCCCTACGACCCAGGCAGCGATGCTTCCGCCTTCATCAGCACATGGAGGATCCGCTGCACTCTGTCAAGTAAGCAGAAGTTGGAAGTGACGTTCCACAAGCAGTTCAAGGGCGCTGGAGACCATAGTCAACGATACGGCATCAAGCTGATCGTTTGGCACCAAAACAATCCTGCCTCGCTGAAGCAATTTTGTCGAGAGGCAGGAATTACGAAGAAGGCAAAGAAGAGGCGTCATGATGTCCAGCATGAATGATCACTTGTAAAGTGCTACCTGCATAAGAGGAAATGTACTATGTGACAAGCTATCGGGCTTTCCACCACTTGGAACGAGTTCATGGAACTAGTTGAACCCTGGCAATATTCAGGACCTTGCTCGAACATCTTCTGAGGCGCTTTCAAATTTTGAACCTCCACATGTGTTCCCGTGAGTCGACGATACCAACATATCTACCACTCAAGATCTCACTTATCAGCAACCCTCACCGTCTGCCGAGTCAACTTCCTCTCTTCCTCCCCCAGCCCACCCTTCTCCTTCATCGAATTCCACATCCATATGGCCAACACAATCGACAAAACCAACAGCACCACAAGCTGCCCACCCATGAGCGATGCCCTCCACACTGCCGACCGTGCTGCATACCACAACGTCATCCCGAACAGAAACTCCACGATCACCAGGTCTACCAGCACAAGCGGGATCCAAGCAATGGCCAGCTCCCTTCGCGTCGGATGCTCGTGCCCTTCGAACTTGAACAGCAGCATCGTGGCGATCATGACCGCAACCACAGCCGTGAGCGCCGAGGACGTTAGGAGCCCCGCGCTCGCTTCCATCAGCGGTTGGCCATGCTGGATATGGAAGTCGTCGAAAGTCAGGACTGCGAGAGCAAGGCTTCCGAGGAGGGTAGCGATGATGTTGAAGGTCTGGTAGAAGCGATGAACACGCTCAAAGACCAGCGTCGCGCGGATGTCGAGCACCTTATTCCCTGTTGGCAGTGAGTTATGCATTACCAGTAGTGAGAAGAGGTTTTGCTGTAGCCACTCCGTGGTCGCGCTGGGTTCCGCAACGTGCCCCTTGAAAAGGACGAGGACTTTAGAGGGATCGCTTCGTACTTACATCGCATTCTGGAGAACATCTTGGCTGGTTGCAGCTGTCGGCATTACATGTACCGGCGTTGCCCGACGGTAGGCTGATCCCAACTGTGCCTTGTCAGGCTGAAAGTCGAGTGATGGAGCGACAAGGGCGGTAGATACTGCCTCCGTCGTTACTCCTTCTCGACAGCGAACAGAAGCACTAAGAGGAGCGATAGCGCTTTGACTGCATTCGCGCGCTGCGTGTTAGGATGTCGTTGCAAGTGCAAGGTATGAGCCAGTGAGACAGGGCCTTTCCTGTGCCAGACTGACCATGGTGCCCTCGTCGTATCCAAGTTCGCTGCCCCTCATCTCGCGCCAGGCTTATTGTGACCGCTAGTCGCTGGGCATTACGATTGCTGTGACCATACAACTGATAGTCACCTAGGTATGCATGGCCTTCGCGTTGGAGCCCCGAATTGCTTCAAGACAAATATTTTACCAGCATAGTCCAGTGAGCATACAAATTAGCGATGCTGAATAAACAAGAAGGAAGACCTCGGTCCATTAGTACGCGATATTCTATCAGACTCTGTAAAAGGCATTTGACAATTTGTGTTATGTAGTACGCCTTCTCCGTACGCAAGACCACAAGGGCTCGTCTGCCCGAGCTCCGCAGCAGACAACGGGACATTCAGACGGTCTCGACGTGGCTGTCACCATCCTTCTCACCCATACGCTTCCGCGTGCCATCACCATGATTGTTGTCGCCAGTAAGCGTGTCCGGCGAGTCATCGCGAATGTGGCTGGCACGTGTCGTATGGCCCTTCTTTGTGTCCTCCGCGACAGAATCTGGGAGGTTCTCGTCGGACTCCTTGTAAAAGAGCTGTACCGTAGATCAGCGACGGTGCTCTCAACTGCTCCTGTCCCGGCCTCTCGGTGAGGACAGTAGGTGACCACTTACCGAATCAATCTCCTCCAAACTATAATTGCTCGTCTCCGGGTAGAACTTCCAAACAACGAAGATGAAGCTGTAGGACAGTACCGCGAAGAACAGGTACGTGCCCCATTTGAGGCGGTTGATGAAGATGGGCGACATCATGACAACGAAGAAGTTCCACATCCTTTGACATGTATTAGCGGCGGCATGTACCATGCGACCAACCAGAGCCAGAGCAGGATGGGTAGAATTACATACCAGTGAGCGGAGACCGAGATGGACACACCACGGGTTCGTGCTTCGAGTGGGAGGATTTCTGGGCCGTAGACCCATGGGACGACGTTGATCGTGCCGCCGAAGATCAGCATCCATCTATTTGTGGTCAGTCAGTGAGCCAACTGCAGCAGGACCAGGTGTCTGCTCATCAAGGAAACGCCTACAAGAAGAAGAAAGCCACAGCCGCTGAACTCGGCCCGGGCTTTTCAACAGCAAGCAGACCAGCCGCAAAAGTCATACAAATACCGAGTCCGAGACAGCCCCAGATCATGGTCTTGCGCCTGCCCATGCGATCGAGCGCCAATGCAGGTCCAAAATTGCCGATAACAAACATCAGCTGGACGCAGCCACCGAGGATCTGTGCCATTCGGGGTTCGAGGCCGACATTATCGACTAGGACTGTTGGGATGTAGTAGACGATGAGGTTTGGTCCGACCATCTGATTCATGAACAGGCCGAAATGTGCCAACAGGACACGCCGGCGCGTGTGAAGCTTGTCGCTCTTGAACAGCGCACGGTTACTCTTTACTGTTGATTCCTGCGCCAATGCATGTCTAATGGCGTTGATCTCGTGCTGGATGTACTCGTCGGACTCTGGTAGGTCGAACACCTCACACAGGACTTCGATAGCCTCTTGGTCGCGACCGTGCTTGAACAGCCATCTGGAGTAGTTCAGCCAATGAACCTCATGGCAAAGGCTCTTGTCAATGAACTGGTAACTCTGCTTACCTCGGTGATTCAGGAAGGCCAAATATCAGTGCGATGACAACGAACGCGAAGACCATCTGGAACGCAATTGGGAAGCGCCATGAAACGGGTCCTTTGACGTAGGACATTCCAAAGTCGAGCCAGTATGAAAACGAAATGCCAATGCCAATGAACATTACCTCCCAAGATACCAATCGTCCGCGTTTCTCAGCGCGGCAGAGCTCAGACTGATATGTTGGCACAGTCGAGCTGTCGATACCAGTTCCTATACAGACCATTAGCTAGGATTGACGGAATGGAAGAATGTATCCTCTTACCAAAGCCAGTAATGACCCTACCAACAACGAGATGCGCCACAGTGTAAGACGAAGCCTGCAGAGTCGCACCAACAAGGACAAACCCCATGGCAAGCCACATCGACTTGCGCCGACCAAGTCGATCGCCCGTGAAAAAGTTCAGAATGCAGCCTCCCAGAGCACCCAGGCAGTATGATGAGACGATTGCGCCTGTGTTGGTGTCGTTAGGACTGTTGAACTGTTCGAGCCAGTCCTCCATCTGCAGAATGCCGCCAAAGACACCTTGATCATATCCAAAGAACAAGAAGGCTGCAAGGCAAACCGTTGCTATACCCCGGCGGAGAGGCCTGCCTGGTTTGAACCAGTACTTGCCCATCGCTGTTGTTGATATTGGCGACTTTGGGGCTGGACACAGTATCGGACTGCGCGAGCGTCGACGGAAAGAAAATGGAGGCGACAGATCTAAGGCGATGCTGGAAACGGTGAGTATATTCAAGGTGATATGTAGAGGGAGTAATCCCGCGAGACGTCGACCGAGGGTATCATCGAGATGGTGTCGGTAGTTGCAACAGTGTCTGCACGATGATCGCGGAATGCTTGTTGGATATGACGTTGGAAAAGACAAAAGACACGAGCCCAGTAGTAGAAGCGGTATTATCATTGGCGGTGCCTCTTTGACTAGCGACGATGGCGCCGCCAAGCCGGCGGGAAAACATGGGGATCTGCGTGATCGTGGAGATCTGAAAGTGCGGAGGATGAATCGCGCAGGCTTGGTATCCTTCGCCTTCGGTCATCTCCTCACGATCTTTGTGCGGTCATAGAACCCATGACTCGACCACGAAAAAGCGGCACAGACATCGACTTCGCTTGCTGTATTTGGAACTCGAGCCTGGCGCGCATATGGGAGCTGTTGATAAGGCAGACGTCCGCGCGTAGTAAGGCAGCCATCCGCGCACTACGAGGCAGCCGTTCGGGCGTGGCGAGTCGGAAAGCGTCTTCAACTGGTCTCATAGTCATGCCTGCGCAATCGGTGACTGGGAGTGGTCGGTAGAGAATGTAAGCGCTCGCGCAGGATTGCCGCACAGTCGCCCTTTCTCTCCAACACTCGCTGTAGGCATGGATCTCACGGCTGGAGGTCTGCGTTTCGACAGGTCCCCGAAGCCATTGTGCTTTGCGGACAAGGTCTGCCCATGCGCTGGACTCTGAACCCCCAATCCAGTGAAACTAGTGGCATCAAGACCTCATTTGCTCGTAGGTTTTGATGGTTGCGACCGTGACTTTCCGCAGCAGTTCGTGTTCGCACGAGAGAAGCGACCCATCGACGGTTTCGGAGCCATCAAGTCGCGCCGCGTAATGCCATCGCTCCCAGTATCTGAGCCTCAAGATGCTCAAGGTCACTGGCAGAGGGGTGAACGCCGTTGGTAGCTTTGCTTGCAGACGGCGCAGGCAGCTTGTAGATCTTGCGGATGCGAGCAATGTCACTGATACCTTCCAGTGCCTCTTCGCGGAACACTACTTCTTCTCCTTTGACATTAGCCGAGAGATGCTCCGCGACTTGATCTTGTGTCAGATCAGCTGCTTCTGCGACCTTGACTACGATGAGGTTCTTGGTCGCATCACCAACGCCAAATCTCCGGAAAGCCTCCCCGATGTTGTTGTTCGACGACAGGCAGAACACGATCTCAGAATGCACATTGCGAGACTTCAGCCTGTCATGCAATAGATCATTGATAGCTCGAAATGTGGCGGCGAAAATCTGTCTCCTCGATATGACCTACCATAGTTCTCAGCAAGAACTGTTGAGCTTGCTGAGTGATTGACCTACCATGCTTGCATCGATGAATGCATACTCGAAGTCGTGGTTGCCTGCTAGAAGCTGTTCGCGGAGGAAGGCGGCATTGGAGACGTTTCGATAGTACGCGACGTAGACGGCCAGCTCCTCCGGCACATGAGGCAAATAGACTCGCTCGACCATGACAGCTGGTTCGATTGGTCCCGGGCGATGGACGTATTTGTTTGCTTGGGAGTTTGGTGTGAGTGGAGGGTAAGATTCTCGTTTCTTCGACGCTGCTCGGAAAGCACATCCGTGCTAGCCACTTCTGGACTAGTGGACATCGACATCATCGAGCGGCGACCTGCAGCTACTCTATAAAGCCTTCCTCCTCCTGCTCCCAGTGCCCTGCCTGCCGACTCCCACACCATCGTCGCAACCATGGCGTCCGTACTCCGGAGACCGTTCGCGGTGTCCTCCGCATTCAAACAATTCAGCAAGCCGTCCACGGTCATTCGAGCTTTCCACTCGTCCCCGCTCAAGGCGAGCACACACAACTTCTTCACCTCAAGAACGACCAGTCCAGTAACGTCGAACATCCTCAAGACCCAACCGACCCTACAGAATGCCTTCAAGCGGTCGTACCAGACACAGAACTACCCCGTCCCAACCCAGACCGGCAATCTCACTCAGCGACTACTCTACGGCGGTCTTTTGGTCGGTGGCGCAATTCTCGCTACCAACCTGATCTTCAACCGCGAGACACGCGAAGATGGCGGCATGCCGACGTACGAGCGAGAGTACCTCAACCAGACATTCATGCACACCGGCCTCGGAATCGGCATCATCGCCACCGCAGCCAGCGCACTCCACAGATCTGGCTGGTCCTACCGCCTAATGGCAACCAGCCCATGGGTCGTCATCATCGGTGGCCTCGCCGCATCTATTGGTACCATGTACGGCACTATGCAGACGCACCCTGACAAGTAAGCCGAGCATCTCATTCCTTCTACAACAAAGCTAACGTGCCGCGCAGCTACATCCAAAAATACGCCCTCTGGACCGGCTTCAACGTAACCCAAGCCGCCCTCCTCTCCCCGCTCATGCTCATGCAGCCCGCCCTCCTCATGCGCGCCGGCCTCTACACAATCGGCATGATGGGCTCTATCGCCTTCGTCGGCGCCACTGCAAAGCAAGAGAAATATCTCTACTTAGGAGGCCCGTTGCTAGCCGGCGTCGCCATCGTCGCTATCTCCGGCTTCGCGCCCCTCGTCCTCCCAGCCACCGCCATCCGAACACTCGCGTGGACTGAGAACATCTGGCTGTACGGTGGACTGGCGGTGTTTGGCGGCTTCACGCTGTATGATGTGCAGAAGATTCTGCACCACGCACGGATGGCCGAGCGAGGGATGGTGAGGAAGGACGTGGTGAACGAGAGCATCAGCCTCGAGTTGGACTTCATCAACATCTTCGTGCGGATGGTGCAGATTTTGGGCATGAGTCAGCGGAGGAAGTGAGCATACTCGGGCAGTCGAGCTGAGAAAGTCGTTGTACATCAGTATCACATGAGCTCCGTGCAGGGCGGGCTCTACTGGAGGACTTGAAATTGATAGTTGAATGCCATCAACATTCCGCTCTTCGCTGATCGGATCAATCTATGTACACTACCCAACTGCCCACTCCGCCTATGCACAAGGACTTTCTGAAAAGCGCTTCCTCCGCCCAGGGCGTTTTCTACCCCAAAACCAGAACATCTGCCCTTGCCTCCTCACGGCTCGCTTTCACCACCTTGCCACCCTCGCAAAAAGCTCAGCATATTCTCGCCCAACTTCTCAACGACATACCCGCCCTCCAGCACAATTAGTGACTTCGCCCCCTTTCCACCCTCCATTGCTTGCACGCCAGCCGTCACCATAGCCGCCATGGTGGCGTAGTCCTCCGTCGAGATCCTAAACTTTCCCAACGGATCCGTCTCATACGTATCGAAACCCAGGCTCACCACTACGAACTCCGGCTTGTGTTGCTTGAGCCTCTTCATCGCGATGTCCAATTTCTCGAGGTATGCCTCAAAAGAGCTATCTCGGGGTAAGGGGAGGTTGAGGTTGTAGCCCTCGCCTTCGCCAATGCCGGTTTCGGAAGCGTGGCCGGTGTAGTAGGGGAACTCGTCTTGGCCGTGGATGGAGATGTAGAGGACCGAGGGGGAGGAGTAGAAGAGTTCTTGGGTGCCGTTGCCGTGATGGAAGTCGAGGTCCAGAATCGCAACTCGTGAGGCAGTCTGGGCTAGGAGAGAAGTGGCGGATTGAATGTTGGGTAGGGCTGGCGTTGAGGAAGGGAACGTCCCTGGGAGCGACGGTATGGTGTGTTGCGGATTGTGTGGAGAAGTGAACGACGGCGACTGGAACGCTTGCAAGAGCTGGTCAAACGGTGCGCTTCGTCCACGGACAGAGCGTTTTGCGTGCCAGGAATGCTGACTGCAGGCGAGATCGTGCTTGCAATGAAGGCCATTTGGGAGAGGGACTGCGCATTGGGTCTCGACGTCCACGGAAGGAGTAGGTGCGGTTTCGGCTGTGTGACTGGGTTGTGACGCAGCGCATAGCGACTCATAGGTTGACACTGCGGCGGCAACGTTGTTGATGTAGCAGTATCCACCGGCATGGCGACCGTCGCAGTGATGGCCTGGTGGGCGGCAGAGCGCTAAGACCGTGTCAGGTGATGGTCTGGAGGCATTGCTGGCGCCGTTTGGGGATGTGGACTCTGCATCCCTTAGGTGAGGAAAGAGCATCTGCACTCCTTGATGTGCAAGATTCGCGGATGCGATAGTCGATGTCCATGTGTTCTTTGAGAGACCTGAGCTCATGTCGAATGCTACGAGGATCGTCAGTTTCAATGAACGGGGAGCAAGGATGGAGAAAGAGACGTACAGTAGTAGCCATGTCTCGCAAAGATATCCTTCGGAGGCTGCGGGTTGACGTTATAATTATTGATCGAAGTTGGAAACCTGAAGCATTCTGGGAGTACAGTCCCGTCGTCTGCCACCAGGTCGGCTGCATGCCACTCCGAGAAGTGCGTCTGCAAGTGAGCTAGATACCCGGCATCGTGATTGGTGCTTATCGTCTCGAAAAGCGCATGTTTCTCCTCCTCTGGTAGGGAAGTATAGTCGACATCTTGGACCTTGTGTGGCGACTGCTCCAATGCAGCAAGAATAGCTTGCAATCGAGCCGGAGACTCGAGTGCTGGGATAGCCTTGGCGCCGAGATACTCGACGGTCTCGTGCAGAAGACATTCCTTGTCGTGGAGTACTAGCATCTTGAATCGTCTCGATTAGTATAGGTCTATGTTATGTGCAGCTGGAAGTCGTGGTTGGGTATATATAACGTGATCGACTGCTATGTCAGACGATCATGATATGCATTGCGCCTGAGTACCTTGAGCTGCGGCCTGGCTCCTAGCCCGCAAACAGGTATCAGGTACAGCGTAGCCTCGCCGAGTACCATATACCCGGGGCGCGGGTGGGCGCACGAACGAGGTGAGTTTTGTCGTTGCTTTCGGCTGTTTGTGGGCTAAGGCGGATCCTTAGCTGCGGCAGGGACCGGGCCTTCGATCGGCAACCTTGTTGTGAGCACGCAGTGAGTGCCAACATTGGAAACTGCCGGCCTCTTGACGTAAGTGTCAAGACATGTTTGGCGCCATTGGAGCCATGGGAGGTTCATCTGTTGCCAAGTGAGGGGCGCTCAGAAGGTAGGTACAGGCGTTGCGGGCCTGGAAGGTACCTGCTCCGCCATATTGGTGTATCCCACGACTGGTCCAGAAAGCGAAAATCGATGGCCGAGACCAATTTGAGAAGAGCTGTGGTCGGTATGCACAGATTGTGCTAAAACGCGTCAGAGCTTGATCAAATATGATGTTTCCAATGTAGAGCCACGATCGCCAAAAAGGATACACAGGATGCAGAACTTACAATGTCGATGCACGAACGGCACCGTGCCATGGCTTTGGGTGGGATGCTTCTGCTCCATACGCTGCACGATCCGTTGACGCGATTGCGTAAAGCTAGACATGCTTAGATTGAATTTGTAGATGAATGTTCGCTCTGTCATCGTTAACCAGGGTACCATAACACTCTAGAGTGACCACGCACGGCAGATTTCGAGCTTATATCGCGTCTCCTGGTCCAGAGACGTCAATGAAAGTGCTTGTTGTATACCCTCGGTATACTCTGAGAGTATCATAGAGAAATCAACGGGCACCGACGAATCGAATGTGTCCGGTAACATTGGTCTAGGGTCAGGCGGAGGTTCTACCACCTGGATGATGGGCATGCTGGACATGCCGAAGCCAGAGTCCTGTTGAAAAGTGTTCTGCATCATGTCCATCGTGCCTTGATCTGGCATCGTGTTGCTCTGTATCAGGCCTAGATCGGTCCCAAAAGAGCTGTGGGTATCCTGTAGATGAAGGTCGTGTGGTGAGTTCCAACCACCAGTTTGCGCCTCGCCATTGGTAGGCGAAAGATCCATCGTGTCGAGTGATGGCTGATGGTAGAACGTCGGAGGCATTGGACTGCCTATATTGGTGTCCATACTCAAGGGCATGGGTGTGAAAGCGTCAAACTGGTCAGCTGTAGGAAACATTTGATCCGGCGTCAGATTCGGCGCCGACAGGAGTACTTCGGAATGCTGCGATCCATTGTTGAGATCCTGTGTCTGCAGCACGTGTGCTTGTACATGTGGATCATCAGAGGTGTGATAGGTCTCTTCAACAGGGATTGACAGGAGATCCTCGTTCCTTGAAAGCGCCGAAAAGTCCACGTTATACGTTCGCTCCGCGACGACAGCTTCGTCACCAGAAAAGTCGACGCCCGGACTTGAACCTCGACTCGCGTGGCCAACAGAAGGTGATCTTGACCGATTCCTGCTGGTCGATCGGCTCCGATCGAGTTCGCGCTTCGCAAACCGTCGAACGTTCCGGTCATCCTGGACAGGCAAGTGTTTTCCATGGCTATATTTGCGATGTCGTTGTCGTCCAGACGAAGCGACCTCTACGAGATCACGGCCCTCTGCTCTGAATTGCTCCAGCCGCTGATCTCGACTAACATACTTGTTGAGTTGCCAGTTCTTGATCCTGCGCTCCCACTGTCGCGGAGTTGCGAAGAAGTTATGCTTTTCCTTCATGATCGAAGCGGCCTCTTTTAGTGATTTGTTTTCCGTCATGTAATACCTGGTGAATGCTTCACGCTGGTCCTCCCACTCATTGTCGTCATGATGCTTGTCAGCCTCGGCCATTGCGGCTCGAAATTCCAGCGCTTGAAGCGTAAGGCTAGGTTGGTCCGGGTTTGTTATACGAATATGCTCTCCAGCCTGACCACAACGAAACGTTTATTGATGGCGCAAGCGCAGCACAGGTTGTAGGGGGCGGCGAAAATGCAACAGAGATTGAGGGAACGAAGAAAACATTTCTAGTCTTACCTCAAGTTTGATGTTCAGGTCGCAGCACTGACCGGTCGGCGGGGTGGTGGTACGCGATCGAAAACGAATGTTGAACGACACCAAATGCCTGTCACCAGTTTGGCCCGTGTTTTTGCGGCTGAACGCCTAGTCCTGCTATCGGACGATAGGCGGACAGGGGTAGGCGCCACGCGAGGTGCACTGTGCATGTCAAGTTCACGATGTTTCTGTCGCAAGAGGCGGCGTAGGGCACGAATTGAGTGTAGTTGTTGGTCGCCAGCATCAAGCTTCCTTGCGCAGTGAAGCTTAGAAGCCAACCGTGCCAGGTCAGCCCCATCGCGTGTTGATGAAGATAGCAGCACTGCCCTTGCAGAAGATGAGATGGAGAGATCTGAGTCGCTGGATAGCTTGCCTTGCGACATCTGTGGAACCTGCGGCACGCGCTTGCCAGTCAGAAGCTTAGGTGACTGCCCCCAATTCCGTGCCACGGGTAAGGCTAGTCAGGGCTTGCATAGAGCGAGTCTCGTTTCGCTAAACGAGCAAGAACAGGCCCGGTTTGGGGACACATTGCAACGCGGGCTGCTACACCCGTCGTCACTACGGCCAGCGGGCGAGGACGAGTATTGCAAGGATTTGCGAAGAGCGTCGTGAGCAACGATGCGCAGGGACAGAGCAGCAAGCTTCGTTCAAGAATCGAGATCTCGAATCTTCGAGGGACGCCCCGAGTCTCCCCCGGATTGCCTTGTGCTTCCAGGCTCGCAGCAGTCACTGAAACTTGTTACCATACCGTGTTCCAGCCCCTCGCAAGCAATGGATGTTATCCAGCCGATACCGGCAAGTGATGCCTTAGTACGCCTGGGCAAGCCATGAACGCCTCCGCCACAAGCGAGCCTTGGGGGCTGTGTTGGAGTGCTTTGCTGCGAGGCTTTCCTTGAGGCTGTCGAGGGTTTGGACACTACCACAATCACCACGCATTACTCTGCACACCTTCGATCAGACTAATGCTTCTGGTCTGACGCTTATCATCATGGTAAGTGAACTACACGGTCCGGTCGACCACACCGGGAAGAAATGCCTCAAGCGCTGTAGCACACGAGAGTGCGAGCCAAAATACAAAAGCGTAGCTTAACTGTCGATATCAGCGAGAATGCAGAGCTTGTCCATCGAACACCACTCGTGGAGTGAACCATTCATTTGCCTAATTAAAGCATTACACTGGTCGCAGTTCCTGTGACTCCTCAAGACGCCACCTATCATTACATGCAGCCTGCGTCTCCTATTGAATCCACATCAAATCAATGGCACAATAGGACTCTAGCACAGCCGGCGCAAGACAACCTCTCTAACGCCTTGAAGAAAGCCTGGCACACCACAGTCAGTTGTTTCGATGGTATCTTCAGCTGTTGTACAGGAGAGCGTGAGGCAACACAAGACCGAGAGACCCAAGTCATTGACGAAGGCATCCACGTCGGTTCCTCGCCTGCAGCAGTCGCAACACCTTCGAACAAGCGAAGTACGGAGGAACGTGACGAAGCCAACGCCGTCACAACAAACCCAGCACGCATCTTTTCCCAGCACCAGAGTGAACGAGGAAGCGAGTTGACCCTCGGAATCACCCCGGCTGGACCGCCACTTGAGGTCGACTCGAGTCAGACCGTCATCGAGGACCTTACAGGAGCACGTGCTGTACCCGAGGCGGATCTGAACGACAAGACATATCCCGAAGCCAAGCGACAACTGCAAGCTCTTCATCGCTTGCATCGTCCACCGCGCTGTCGAGTCGCTCAGCAGGCACACAGGGCTCCTGGCATCCTGTCCTCGACCAAGATCCTCGCTTGATGTTCGTTGGCGAGGTGTTCATTGAAGGCTTCGACCAGGACGACGTACCGCTTCCGGATCCAGGGGAGGCTCTGAGCATCTCGAACGACAGCGATAGTGGCAGATCAGAGGTCGAATGAGGAGGACTGCAGAATGGCGATGCAGCGAGGGCCCAAAAGTGATTCCATAGCGATACATCAAAAGTTATCTGACTTCCAACACCATGCGTATGCCACTTCCCAAATATTGCTCGCCCATCCTCAATGACACCCAGCGTTCTCCTCCGCGTCCTAGCCTGAGATTCTAATCAAAGAACCCGAACAAGCCCGCAATAACGACCACCATCACTGGCGGAAACGACCAATGCTGTCCCTCTCCACCCCCAATAAGCGCCCGACTAACAAACCCATCAACAATCGGTATCGGCAGCACGGCACATAGTGCTTGCGCCATGAGTCGCTCATTGCCGGTGCTCCAGATCAACGTGACCAGTGCAGATACCGCGATGTTGCGAATGCCCCAGATCCGCATCAGAGCGTAATTGAGTTTCTGAGCTTTTGGGTCGGTGTGTGCTGGGAAACCCAGCGCGACGAGATGTGCGTCTGGTCGGAAACTGCCATTGAGGCCGAAGCCTCCTAAGATGAGGCCCATGCCGAGAGCAGAGTACATGAATATAGGGTGAGGCATCGTGAATTGATGTTTGGACGAGGATCCGAGGTATGGTTCTACTGCTGTGCTGCGCGCGGATGTATTGCTATTGTTGCTGTGCGGCGATGATGAGTATTGGTTCACATTCGAAGTGCAAGCAGGTCCAACTATATATCATCATCGTTACCAGAGGTATTGCACCGAACGCCGACATGTACATCTCAGCTCTTGCGAGTCGTTCAACGGACTTAGCAAGTCGCCGTGCACGATACTTCGTGTTTAGCGCAAGGTTTGCCGGCAAAATGAGCTTTCCCACAGCTCGTATTCACCGCTTACCAACGAAGATTGGTTCGCGACACATAACATGATATATCTCTCCTTGAGCGGACAATCAATCGTTCCGTGGGCTTGATAGTGACGTTGCGAATAATGATTATCTCAGCGTCGAGTCAGTGCGTCACTCAGATGAAGCCCATCTCCCTGACGACAAGTGGCAGAAGAAAGGTAGTAAGTTGAGAGGGGGAATAATCGATGATGGACTCGAGGGCTTAGGGGTCAGCTGAACGTTGGAAGAGCTTGCCAGGCTTGCTTTCTAGGCTTCCAGGCCTGTGTCGTAAGCTGTGTCAACAGGTCTACTGCAGATTGTTCACGTGATCTCGCGATTTGTGACGCGCCTCCGATTGAATCCGCCTCGGATCTGAGATCCATCAAGATCAATGCACGTTGTTGACCATACAATGGTACCTGCTAGGCCCCTCCACTGCCTCTGACCTCACTGTCGCTGAAGCGTCGAGCGACGTCCTCGTCAAGTTGGCTATCTTGCCATCGCTACGATGGATTTGCAGTCTCCACGACGCCATCATGTCTGCCATCGTCATCACTTCTTCGCCACCGCCTTTGTTTGCGCGTGAGACCACACCTGTCTCGCCTTCACCCCCTTCATCCCAACGAGCTCAGTTCACTTGCAGTCCGAAGCGCTTCAAATCGAGTGCCGTCGTGCGAGATAGCTTCTCTCAAGGCTTTAGCAGTGCTCGAGCCCTGCTGGCTAGACCTGGAGCCGAGAATCTGCCCTTACGCAGTCCCAATAGCAGCCGCTTCAAGATTGTGCCAACTCCACCACGGCGTCGCAGTCCTCCATTTGTCACCTCACTGTCACGGACGGCTTCTAGTGACATTGCCTTGCCGCAGCTGCAGCAGAATACTGCCGAAGCAGCAATTCCTCAGCTTGCGGCGGATGTGGCAGATGACGTAGAGAAACGCACGCCAGAACCTCAGCAGCGAGCGATACCACGCAGAAACGACTGGACACCTGTGACTGACGATCCCCCGGCAGACGAAGCACCCGAAAGCCCTAATACCGCGGTGGACGACGGCTCCAAAAGCGGACTTATGGACAATTTCGGATTCAAAACGACCAAGATCGCCGTGAGCGCGCCTTTTGACGCTCTCAGAGATGACTCGCTCTTCAAGAAAACAAAGCTAGATCTGCTCGAGTATACTGGGCCACCGATCGTACAGCAAGCGGTGAAAAGCAAGAGAAGAGCCGCGGCTCCGAAGAAACCCAAGGCGCCTGCGAGGAAGATCCAGACTATTACAGAGCGAGTGACCTCACACCACAATGGTCCTAAAGTCGCGGATACGGGCCTCACAAGCTATCTCGCTACAACCCAAACACAGAACACGGATGGACTCCTGCCCGGCGGCGATGGCAAGGCCACGGCCAACAGAAGGAAACCAGTCAAGAAGACATCGGCTACGGTGAAAGGGAAGAGCAAACTTCTGTCACCGGGCTCAGCAATGAAAGCTCTCGAGCGGCAGCAGCAGCCTATGTTTGGTTCTCTGAGCCAGCTCGCGCGAGACGAGCCAGACTTGATTCTTAGCTCGGATCCAGTCTCGCCATTACGCACGCAAGCTACATCGATCGAGTCGACGACACCCCGAAAAGAGGCTGGTGTGGCAAGATTCATGAAGAGCCGCAATCTGTGGGGGGCTGGTGATAGGGACGAGAACAATGCACTCGTTTTCGGCGGCACTGCTGATCTTGATGATCCATTCGCGTTAGGCGGCGCTCTGGTCGGTCACGATACTTTGATCCAGCCTGAGCGGAGTGTTCTCAACGAGGGTACGACAAAGCGACCAACGGTAACAAAAGCCCGATCACCGAGCACATCGCCAACGCGCGCCATCCATACTGCTGTGGTGGTCGACGTGCACGACGTTCAATCTCCAGCTGGAGCCATGCTGCCTCCGCCACGGAAGAAGCCTCGTGAGACCGAGCCAGAGAATTTGAAGGCAACGAACGTACCAGTCACAAGTACAGACCAGCAGGAAAAGGTGGTAGACCAATCAAAGGGGCATTCACGGGGTAAGACTGATCTTACCGCACCACCGAGACCCAACTACATCGGCATGCATACTGATGACCTTAAGAAGGCCATTCACACCTACGGCTTCAAGCCAATCAAGAGTCGGGACAAGATGATCGAGAAGCTCAACCAGTGCTGGGATGCCAAAGAGGCAAGACGCGCCGCGAAGTCAGCACAAACGGAAACGGAACTCCCACCAGCCATGAGACAGAGCGACTTCATCAGTGACGTTCACGGCCTTGCGGCACGTCCAGTGCCGAAGGTTAAGAAGGCGAAGACGCCGAGGACCAAGAAGACCGCCGAGGAGAAAGCCACCACGACACCAAAGCCAAAGCAGCCGCGGAGACGAAAGACACCCGCGAAGACAGATGATGGGACTGAGGTTGTGGACACTGAAGCCACCAAGAACACCAAAGCGACCAAAGCAAGAAAGAAGACCACCAATGAAGCAGACAATACAGAGGTTGCAGCGGAGGAGAAGCCCAAGAAGCGCAGAAGAGCCGATAGTCAAGGCGCAAATCGTGTGACTGGGACCGATATTGCGACGGCGGCAAAGAAACCTCGAAAACGAGCAACGCCAAGGAAGAGCGACGATAGTGCGGCGAAAGCGACTGAAAATGCACTTACAGACTTAGCGACAACACCTAAGAAGCCGCGAGGCAGGCCACATAAAGTGGTTGCGACTCCGAAGGAAGATGTGTTGGATATTGATGATATTACGAGTTCTACGACTGTACGAGGAGGCAAGAACAGCCCGCGAGGCAAGAGCAATGCAGTAGAAATACCTTCATCACCACTTGCGGTTGACGACAGCGCACAAGCCGCGGACGACGTCAACATCGGTCAGCAAATATACAAAGCGATCATGCATCAGTCCCAAGAAGCAGCCATAGACAAGCAGCGAAACCATATCAAGGACCCGACCTGGCACGAGAAAATGCTCTTGTACGATCCTATTGTGATCGAAGATCTGGCAAGGTGGCTGAATGGCGAAGGGTTAGCAGGTATTCAAGAAGATCGCGAAGTGACCACGATAGAGGTCAGAAGTTGGTGCGAAAGTAAGGGCGTGTGTTGCCTATGGAAGGGTGGATGGCGCGGCAACAAGAAGGAGAGTGATTGAGGCTAGCCTTCCCATAGAAATGAAGAGCATGGCAGGTCATGACCAAAAATTCTGGGTGTTTTCCCTACCCACAGTGCTCTCATCAGCCAGCAAGTCCGCGAGGTATCAATCTATAGCACTGACAATTCATTAAGTGAGGCTCATCTCAAGCCCGTGCACTCGATCAGCGTAACAGTGCCATGAGTTCACCCCCCCTAGCCGAGAAAATCCATGATGAACAGCATTTGTGGCTCGAGACTGGAAAATGGGCGACTGAGGGGAACCAGCTACTAGTACTTACTGTCACAGCTTGCCTGCCCGTATGTGACCATACAGTGTATACAGTGTGGACGGGAAGGTCCGCTGCGCGACCCGTCCCTGCCCAAACAATGGATCAAATTCTGCCAGCCTGCCCAAGGCAACAAGCTCTTCAGGGTGGTTTCATGCCACTAAAGCCTGCATTTAGGACTTCGAAAATTGCCCCGTAGCTTGCAACAAGTGAACGCCTGGTCTTAGATAGAATATACACGAGTCAATATATGCGGGTATGTGCGTGGAGACTGGTGCTGCGAAACATGTAGTAGCTGTGCCCGAAGTGGGCGAGTGACTTGGTCGATCGCACGTATCTTTGGATGGTGAAGCAACTGTCAATAATAATTTTGGCGGAGGCGCCTAAGGCAGTGGCTTTTGGGGAGGACCTCGCGTAAAATTTTGTATAAACCTACATGTCAACCGGTCTCTCTTGAAACCCAGGTTAAAGGCACAAAATTTCTGGAGCAGTCGGTGGACAAGCCTCAACATTTTCCACTGTTATTCTGTGAGACTCGGGTATCCAGGTGTATGGATGCAAATCCGGAGTCGTTAGCAACGAGAGTTAATCAAGCCTGCGAAAGATGCTAGTGAAGAAGGAGGACTTTGCCGGACAGCCTTGTTGCATGTTCGTCGGGACACAAGGCACAAGTAAAGTGCTACTCCCTTCGTTTTTAAGCCTAATAGTTCTAAATAGCATCTTTGAAATTCTAACATCTATTCTCTCTATAAGTCTTCCAGTAGGACCCTATATAGCGAGAAAATAAAATCGAGAATAACTTGAAATTCAATCTCTAAATTGAAATCTATAAACTAAAATATGAATTCTGTTATATAGATTACTATAAAGATTGCTATAAAAATATCTTCATAAATTAGTGGTGAATAGAAGAATCTAGCTCAATTTAGTATAGCTTCAGGCATTTAGCGCCCTGGTTTCTGGCTGATCTTTGTTTGTCGCAACCTCATTCAACCCACCAACTTCCTAATACCTTACGACCTTCGTTAAATCGTCCTAAGACCACTGCTTTCCGGTCTATCTTAAGTCGCTCGAAAAGTGTGGGTGAGCATGCGGTCTAAAATCTGGAAATCGCGTCGCTAGGATGAGCGCCTTCTCAGTACCGCAGAAGCGTCGCGCTTCCAGAGCGCCTTCTTCAGTAAGTCAACTTCTCCACCACCACAGCGCAGATACCTATAATATGGAAAATATCTGGAAGGATAGCCCTACATTCATCCTAAGGTCTCAGCATTGATTTTCTGGACGATCGTCCATCTTCGCAGATGCACTTCTCCAGAAGAACTCGACCCTTGAAGCTCCGCGCTTTAGACCAGATTGCTTGCAATTTCAAGCTTACAACAAGCAGCTAAGCTAACAACTCTGGTCAGCAGTCCTCCTCATCGAACACTCTAATCGAGATTTCCGACGATGTCCGTACCCCTTCGCCCGCCATTACCTTCATCCTTGCGATGTTGGGTACCGTACTCACATCTTCCGCAGGATGAGCAACCTCGACCTCAGAAGCGGAAGAAGTCTGCTGCACCTCTGCACAGCACGAATAGCAGTACCAATGGCTTTGTCCAGGTGAGTGTGATGTGCAACCCAATGAATCTGGCAGATTGGGCAGAGCACTGCTAACTCCTCTAGCGCAATGCCCAGCCGGCAAAAGCCGGTGCTAGCGTGGCACAACTATTCTCCAGTCCTCCTCATGCTAAGCAGTTTCCATCACGTGATATCAAACCAGTATCATGGCAACCAGACCCACAAGGCAAAGTCATCAGCGAGGATGAGAAGGAGAGGGAAAGACTGCGTCAACTTCGAAAGTTCATACCGAGTATCAACAAAACCCTGTCGTCGCAGCCTACCATACGCAAGACGACCCCGGCACACATCTACCGACCCAAGACTATGATAGACGAAAAGCGCCAAGAGAGTATAGAGATTCCCTCTGACAGTGACGAGGAAGGACATGACTCATCGAACATCCAGCATGCCGGTCCGCCCACAATCAAGCCACAACCATCTCGAACGCAAGCCTATTGGAACCGGTCAAGAATGGAACAATCTCAGCAAGCTACACCTCCAGCTTCGTTTCCGAACGGCGCCTCCAAGAAGAGTCTAGACAATGCAATCGACGTCCGCCCAACTCCTCAAGCCACACCAGTCTCAACACCCCGACCTTCGCAGAACTTCCAATTGAGCGTGCCTATCAGACCGAGTCCATCACCTGTAAAAGCCCCATATCCAGTACCTGGTGAAGCCCAACATCATGGACCTACAAAAAGCCAACATCAAGCATCTGCAAAAGCTCGGCGTCCGACCACTCCTCTGCTGCAATCAAATCTTCAACTGGTCGTACCGCGCTCGCAGACCAAGGAAGACTACGAGGCGAAGAGGATTGAGGTTTTCGAGAAGCTCAAGGCCGATTCATCGTTCGCTGTAAACAACCAGGACGTCGTCAAGAAGTACTTCGGCTCGAATGGTTTCTCAGAAGCCTTCGCTGTGGAAGACCTCTCGCGCAAGTTTGAAGCAACAAACATCTACCAACGTCCGATGCCAGATCCCATTCCTCTACCTTTTCCAGAGTACAAGCCACCAAAGCCTCGGTACGACAAGCGCGGCAAGCTCAAACGCGTGCCTTCACTCACTTCCGAAGAGATGATCAAGGTTCTTGACGCCGAGCGTTTCGAGGAGTTCAGTGCTCACCCAGCTCTGACCTTCAAGAACGACATCAACGATCGCTACATTAATGGCCGTTTCCAGTTCACTGATCGGTACATCATTCGCCCAGGAGTCAAGCAATCACGCCTGAACAATACCGGCTGTGGTTGTGTTGATGAATGCCGCCCATCTACCTGCGATTGCCTGGTCAAGTCCTTCGAGGGCGAATCCCATCGAGTCAATACCTACATCGTGCATCCTGAAGATCCCGACCTTATTGTCCTGGACCCCGACTACATGGCCAATGAGCTCAATGCGGAAGCTCAGCACCACGAAATCATCGAATGCAACGAGTTCTGTGGCTGTGGCCCTTCGTGCTGGAATCGCACAGTCTCACGCGGCCGTACAGTCCCACTCGAGATCTTCATGACCGAGAAATGCGGTTTTGGCGTACGGAGCAGTGAAGACATCCGCAAGGGACAATTTATCGATCTCTACCTTGGCGAGCTGATTACGCAGCGAGAACTCGAGCTCCGTGAGTCCATCAAGCAGCCGGGACAGCCCTCGTACATCTACAGTCTCGACTGGTTCTCCTCCACTAACTGTTACCACGTTGACGGCGAGGAGTTTGGCAGCGCTATGCGCTTCGTCAATCATAGCTGCAATCCGAACGCCCGCAACTTCACTGTGCAAACGCATCGGGCAGAGAAACCTAAAGTCTACAGTCTTGCTTTCTTCGCTATTTGCGATATTCCTGCTGGCGAGCAGATCACGATCGACTACAGTCCGCAGGAAGCCCTTGCTATGCCACCTGTCGTTGCAGAGCAGATCAAGCGTTCCTCAAGTGACGTTGGCCACGACAAGGACATGTACGGCGCACCCGGCTCAGAGAGCGGCAAGGAAAACGTCAAGGAGGAGCCTGTTGTTCCCGAATCACCGCCCGACGGCAATGTCAATGCCATCACCGCTGATGACTGGTCAGACTCTGATGAGGGCGACGAGCCGGTACTGCCTAAGCAGGAAGAAGCTGCTGATGGTCGATCCCGCTGCTATTGCGGCGCACCTAATTGTCGCGGCTATCTCTGGCCAGAGGCTGCTGGAAGGCGAAGAAAGAAGAAGAGCACGAGAGGTGACTATTACTGAAATTATGATCTGGCACCAAGCGACACGAATCGAGCATTGGATTGCATCGGGTTTGCGTTGGATGAGGGAAGTCATGCGATATGACTGCCAGTGCAGTCGCTCAATTGGCTGAAGGAGCGCAAACAAAAAGTGTACAAACTAGCAGCACGCGAGTGGACGTGCACGAAGTTACGGAGGGATATGTACAATTATGATCAACAGATAGCAAGCGTCGGCGCTCCGGATTCGTTTGCATCGTCAAGAAGAGGTTCCGAATGAGAACACATCCAACATGATTCACAGCTTTAGAGTCCGCCCGGGTGCTCCTCTTCGTTTTGCATCTACTATTCTGTGGCTAACAGAGGACTCAGAAACAACATAAAAGGGTGACTTTTCAGGAGATAATATCCCTGTCAACCGGTCTGCTGAGCGACTTTCCAAAAATCAGCGACCAGTTTTGTGCAACTCATCTGATGACACCGGATCTCTTCACCGATCCGTAACATCATGGCTACAGCGCGAAGGCAAACTCGCTGCTTCGTATGTAACCCCAGCTCGAGACCTCGCAAGGCGGGCACGTCTCCATCCCACTTAGAATGGTGTACGCAAAGAGAAACTGCACGCCTGAGATGCGAGCATCATGCCCGATCTTCATGGACTTGTATAATTTTTTTGTATCCAACGGTGACCTGTGAGAGCATTGTCAATCGTCAGTCCGCGTCTAACACTGCCCGTGGTCGATTCCGGCTGCTATTCGCACGGATCCTCTGCTCACTCTAGAATGCATCTTCGCCTCGCTGATACCAACGACGCCCCACTCCTGTCCGCCATCCTCTTCCGCGCCTTCGCCAACGACGCCCTCATCACCGGGCCATGCTACCCAGATACGCCACTGAACAGAGCTTGGTGGGCAAGCCGGATTGCCGCGCAGATCACTGGTAAGGACGGGACGACGAGATGTTGGGTCGTTGTGCTTGATGAGGGGGACTTGAGTAAGCGTGGAGAGGGTAAGGGTGGCGTAGTGGATGAAGCGGAGGTGGGACAGGTTGTCGGGTGGGCGAAGTGGCTTGTTCACCAACCGTAGCTGCAGCAGAGGCAGTGGCCCCAGCCGACAAGGAGCAGTCGACCCAGACGCAGCGCCCTCGTCGGACATGAACCTCGACGCGTGCCGTAAGTTGGCGGACGCGCAACATCAGATGCGGGAACGGGTGTTGGGAACGGGCGACAAAGGAGATTCCAGGGCGCACTGGTGTAGGTGCCGCCTTCCCTACCTCTCATTTATCTTCTTTGCTGTCATTGCTGCGTGACAAGACGCCGGCTGACCAGTACCACAGGGCTCAACGCAATAGTCACCGACCCAGCCTACCAACGGCGCGGCGTGGCAGACATGCTCGTTGCGCAGGGCTGTCAAGCTGCAGTCGATGAGGATGGAGAGGGAACAGAGATCTTCAGTGCGTGTACAAAACAGGCGAATGAGAATATGAGTAGGGTTTGGGAGAAGTATGGGTTTGAGATCGTGGATAGGGAGAGTGTGAAGGCAGAGTTGGGTGTTGTTGCTGGACTTAGAAAGGGAAGACAGGGCTGATGTGTAAGATGAGGGATGATACAGCAACAACAATTGCATTGTCGAGCCTGAGACCAGTGACCTATTATGAAACTGCTTTTCTGCCTGATTTGCGCTCGCCTGATCCATGAGAAGCAGTGCTGTATGACTCTCGACGACTGACGACCACTCTTTCGACCTGTCCCATCTGCCGTTTGCCTTTCAGAAAGCCTCAGCAAGACTCAAAGCGATCGCATTATCAACTAGCTCCTTCCTGAAGCCAGGAGCTCTTCCTAAGCAAGCACCACCCTCGACCATACGTGCCAGAAACTTCTCGACATCGATTGTCACGTTCTGACCTCTCTGCTGGAGAGAGGCGAGAACGTTATTCATATTCTTGGCGCTGTCTTCAGCGGAAGTCGAAGCAGTGTTGTTTCTAGTATTGCTCTGCGACCCGCTTTGTGTCAATGGAGAAGCATTCGTATTGCGACCAGTTGCTGCCATAACATTGGCTGGCTGGTTTGAGAAGTCAGCGCTTGTCGATAATGCAGCATCCACGCCGTCAAGTGGATCCAGGTAAGAAGCCATCAAGTCCTGTGTGTTGTCCGTAAAGGGCTCAGATCCCCATGGCCAGACCTGTCGGGTCTGTACAGCCTGGACCTGTGACCACTGATCTTGAGCTCGCAGGTCCTTTTCGACCGCTGTGAAGTACTCCTGTGCAGCATCATTGTCGAACGAAGGGAAGAAGTTGTCTACACGCGGTGGAGGCGGCTGAGTAGCCATCCAATGCCCTGGTACATAATCAATCGTGGCACGGCCATTGCTGCCCGGTGGCGAGGGTGTGCGTGGCAAAGGGGAGTCGTGGGTTGACGAGGTTCGCGATGATCCCGTGGGATTAGAGAGCGTGTCTGGACTGCCTCCATTGCCGAACATGTTGATCGTACCTGCCGAGTTAGGCGTGGTAGTGATGAAACTCAGCTGCCTTGGATCAATCTCAATGAAGGAGCTATTGCCATCCAGGAAAATGCCCTTCGTCTTGAGATATTCTTCCACATCGTGAGAGTCGAACCACAAGCCGCCGTACCCAAGCTTTTCCAGCATCTCTTCAGTCGTGGCCTCAAATCGAGGTGTCTCCATCAGAGCCCATGCTGCCCTAGCTGGCTCAAATTGGGGCTTTTGCATTACAGTGTCAGGATCAGCCAGATTCGGAGGGAAGACCTTGTTTCCGGACGAATCTCGTCGTGGGAAATGGGTTCCAGCACCACCAATGTGGTAAAAAGGGACATTGAAGTTCTCCAGTGCTTCGCCGGCTTTGCGTCTGAGCACGCTCTGAAATCGAGCCAACAAACGCTTTCGGTTCGAAAAGCAGAATGTGAAGCGGAATGTGCGGGCAATGTACGATGGGTCCATCGCAGGGTTGGTAAGATGGCGGAATGCTCGTTCCAAGGCTAGGCGATGCAATCGGCGTGCGAAGGTCGTCTCCTGGAACGAGTATGTGTAGAATGGAGAAGCTGCATTCACAGGAAGTGGAAGAGGCTTCTCCGGCGCTGGGGACCACTTCGACTGTAGCTTTTCCAGAGACACGACATCATCCAGCGAGATTTGTGCTTCTGGTATCTGTACGTTGAACTGCATGATGTCTTCAGACATACCGTTTTGCCATGCTTGCTCGTAGCCATAAATGCCGTTCATATTAGAAGGCGGAAGTAGCTCAATGTCAGAATCTTGGCTTGTTTGGTCAGGACTGCCAGAGCCGCCGTTAGCTACTGCTGGTGCAGCGTCATCTTTAGGCGTAGCTTTCTTTGTTGGCTCCTTGATCAGCGGAGAGTCGAGATCATCCTCATCGTCTTCGATCTTGGCGGCTTGAGCCAATGTCTCGAACTCAGCCTGTACGGACTTTAGCTGCGAGAACAGTGTTCTTTGCCTATTGATGAGACCAGAGTCCATCAAGTTGTCGTGCAATGCCACGAATGAATTGTTCATCTGCTCTATCGTCGCCTTAAGATTACTGACTTTGCCCTTCAGGCCACTGATCGTCGTTTCCTTCCGGTTGCGATAGGCACGTTGAGCTAGCCTGATCTGAGTCCTCCTTCGATCGGCGGCTGTCTCGTCTTGAGTGTCGAGGCGAGGACGACCTCTCTGCCTCTTACCACCGTCATCTTGGCCAGTGCTGCCAATTTCGACTGCGGCTTTCTTAGCTCGCTTGCGAGGCCGGGGCTCAGGAGATTCGTCCTCGTCAGCGACACTGTTCTGACGTTTCGGTTCCGCCAGCGAGCTGCGTTTGCTGGGCTGAGTCGATTGTGCAGAAATTCTAGCACTCTTCGGGGCTGAGGCTCCATTGGTCGCGTTACTGATCAATGCGTCTGGGAACCTCGAAGACGAGATGGAAGCAGGGGGCATCTGACTTCTGTAGCCTGCCGACTCGGTGCCGCTGCCCTCACCAGATGACTGAGCATTTGAATCGTCATAAACAATGCCTCCATAGAACTGTGAGGCCGAAACGCGTCTGTTATTCGCATTCCCTCGGAATGCTGATGTTGTTGTTCCAGGATTGTATCTGTTGTTTAAAGTAAAAGGATACTGCGAGGCGGACAGGATGTCCAGCCCCTGCTCACTGATGGTTGGAGCTTTCGAGGAGGCGTGGCTTGATATCATGAGTTGGGTTGGATCATCAATGAGACCCTCAAGGTCGTCCAATGTCCGCTTCGAGATCTGCTGGCCCTTGTACTGGTGCATAGCGTGAGGAGCGGCCAGCATGTTTCTGCGTGGCGGAAGAGCTCCAAAGGGCTAAAGGTCAAATAGTGCAAAGACCAGGCGCTATAGCAGCCTGTGTGGAAGGGCTGGCTGGTGGAAGTTGTCGACGTAGGCTGACGAAGCAGTCGCAGCAACGTCTGATTGGCAGTGTGGTAGCGGACTATAGAAAGCCGCTTCTGGCACTGTGTTGTACAACTTGGCGTCCTGTAGTGACCACAGAAGGGCAATGGGTAGACTCCTGATGTGGGTCCTTCTTGAGTAAACTGACTGCTCTGCTGGAAGAGCTGCAATTGTCATCAGATTTTCAAGCGGCGTGAGATGAGTCCAAGAGTGGAAAGCTTGGACCTCGAGTGATGTGAGTCGCCGTCTATGTCGTTATATCGCTGAGGCAAAAGGTTCCAATTTCCCATAGAGACCCACAGTTGCTGCAGAGGCCGCCCAAAGGCAATACTGAAGGAGATGCACGATAGGGCTGCAGGGTTCCGGTACCGTGGTTTTGACCCTTCTTACTAGTAGTGAGCAGCTTGTGGTGCTATGAGACCCATAAGCTGGTACATAGGTGTGAAAGAGCAGCGAGGAGTTGAGGCATGAGGTTGAAGTGAGACGGAAACGCCAGGTTGAAGATGAATAGTAATCATTCTAATCAACAGATTCCGTTGGATGCGCGCTGACATAATCGCCAGATCCCCGTCAGACAGAGGAAGAGCCGCAGATTGGGCGCAATCGTGTCTGCCAGCATTGTAATGACGATGGGCTTCAATCGCCCTCGGCAAAGGACCTCCTTTGGTCTGGGCTTCTCGTGCGTACGGCTGAGTTCGAGACTTCAGACCCCATATTCGACTGCCCTATATTACAACATACTGCCAGACCGGGACAGTATCTACGTAGTTGCTCTCAGCCTGAGCTCAAAACACCTCATGTACGAATCACGGATAATCAATTGAGCCGCATGTCCATGGCGTATCTGGATCCTCATTCATCGTGTTTCGCATTACCCATGTTGCCGGCCTCCGCTGGCCTGCAAGCTATGTACAATCAGGAAAATTTCCAAGATCATGTCGTCCAAACCCAGAAAGTAATCTCAACGTCGACCGAAGTGATCCTGTGACCCAATGACGCCTTCTCCATGCCAAAGAAATAGATCAAGTCAGCCCCGACCGCCAACCTGGACCAAGTCCGCCGCCTCTCGGAACTTCGACGAGCGACCCAAGTACCGAAGTGAGAATCGGAAGATGATCGACGGAGCTCATCCCTCGCCTCAACACTGCTTGCGTGTGCAGCCGCTAGCGAGGCAAAGGCAGTCCCGTGATATGCCTGGCCGGAGGTGTTGAGGCCTTTGTTCACCGACTCGGCTGTCTCAGCTAACAGCATAGTCAACCCGCCTCACGACAAGCCTCCGCTCATCGGCCTCGTTCCAGAACCTCGAAGATGCCATCCAGCACAACCTCCCTGCCGAACCCCTCGTTTTCGTGCAAGAAGAATTCTTCCCAAGAACAGAATTCCCTTGGACTGCCACTCCCATCACTGCTCATAGTGCTCAGACTCCCACTGCTCCCACTGCTCACCGCCCGTGGCCGTGGCTCCAGCAACCCCAACCCAAGATTCTCCGCTCCACTTAAAAGCCCAGTCCGCTCAGCGTGCAGTGCGAGGTCTGCAGTCGATGGCTGCCGTCGAATGTGACGCAAGCGAGAGCGAGCCGGGCTCGGGCTTGATGAGGATGACATAGGTGAGGAAGTCGTGCTGAGTGAGTCGCCGCCAGGACTGGTGATGGGTGTGTGCGGGCGAGCTAAGAATGGGTAGGGCTGGGTAGACGAATATGCTACTGAGATGGGCACCGGTGAGACCGATGAGGACGGGGTGTTGTTGCTGCGGCGGATGCGTGAGCGCGATGAGCGTTCTTCTGTGTGAGGACTGGTGTTAAAGATTGTGGAGAGGGAGAGCTTCATGTTGCGGGGAGACATGGTGTTTGAGTCGGACTTGGTGGTGGTGCGATGACGGTAGGTCTGGTGAGGTCGAGCTCGGTGCTCAATTGTTTCGAAGAGGTTGATGAGAGACGCAACTGTCATGACCTGGCAGCGGACATCTGATTGTTTTGTTGTCTGAACGTAGTGTACAAGTAGCGTTGGTATCCGCTTGATCTGTCTCCAATTCCTAGGTATTGCTGTTCGATTATGTTGCCGGCAAGGAAGTCTCACACACCAATCTGCCAGCAGACAAACAAAGCCACAGAGCTGGGACCAGTATGTGTACAAGGAATGCTTCGGATCAGGTATTCCAGCTAGGATCTCTGCTAAAGAAGAGAAATCGTGAAGAAGAAGCAAGGGCGAGGTCCAAAAAACAAAGAAGCAAGAAGCAAGGTAAGTAAAGTACACTTTCCCGTCAACGCTCTTATCGAACGAACAGTCAGATAGGAGATTGCAAAAGTGAAGGTACGTACTCGTAGATTAAATGAAGTGTGCACAGTCAAGAAGATATGCCAATCCTGAGACACACATTCTGGTCCCGTGTCCGAACCAGGTACACGTTGAACAGCCAAGATTGCGTGAAAGGAGAGATCGGCCCCTTCATACCTTGTTGCTTCTGGGAGCGAGGTAGCTTCTGCCGGCCGTGTGTTCCATACCTTCTACGCGAACGGAAAGACCGAACGTAGGAGGAGGGTGACAAGCAATGGAAACCACGCAAGCCCGCTCCGCTGCTAGCAGGGAGGAAGCAGCATCGTCAACGTGACTCGCTCCAGAATGTGGTAACGAAGTTTTTGCACAGTGCCACCCTCGCGTTCACGACCGCGATGACACACCGTAGTGCACGGCAGGCGGGACCTAGAAAAGTCACTTCGCGATTGGCATCCAGGGGTCTCGCCTGCAAAATTGGGCGTGCTGATCCTCGATTATCAGCTTCTCCATGTTTGAAGATGTCCAGGCGAGGTCTTGCTGCTTCATCCTTCGTTTCGTCATCGTCAAATACCTAGGTACTCTCGCAGGATATTCGGCCAGTGATGCACACCTGTGTAAGTAGATAGCCCAAATTTCCCTCAGACAATCAAGTACACGGCGAACGAAGGTCTGTCTATTGAAGCCCTGTGGACTAATGCTGCGAACTGCTTGTTCACCCGTGCATGCTCTTCCCCACCAGATGCCGTCTTAATGCACGCAATTCTCAAGCCTATCGTTACAGGCCCCATTTACCCGCGAAAGTTTCAGGGCCTCAAAACGCGTTTCAGGGGCAGTCTCGTGAAGCAGCTCCACTTCTTCCATCTGTACGCCGCCCCAGAATGACGACCAGAGTACGAGAATAGGCGAATAGTGCTGCATCAGCCAATTTCATGCACTTGAGATTCTGATTTGTTCGCCGGACTCGATGCGGACAAGGAGTCAGTCGCAAGAGGGCTCAGGTATGCGATTGAAAGGCCCAGATTCGGGTGCAAATTTACTGACATGTGGTGCAGTCACCCGGCGCCATGGTTCCTTGTCATCCGGTCTTCCCAACGCTCCATGATCAAGTCATCCGGTCCCACTTAAGACCATCTCTCGGACCTACAAAACGATCCAGCAGGCTCAATCCTCATCCTACGCAGTCGCCCCTAAGTTACCACCCATTTCAGAGGCCGGACTCTCGATCTGGCCCAGATTCTAGATCTGTATCACCGAAACCACAGACCGCCTGTCAGGTTCACTAGGGAACCAATTTTCCTGCCCTGCTGGCCCCAGGGCATACCGCGCGCCCCGAAGACTTTGAAGCACTCTAGATAGTGCTCAGACACATCGAAGTCGATTGCAGGCAATTTTGAGACCGGAGGTGCATGGACACAGAAGTTGGCTTTTGGTGGTATCGAAGGGGAGCGGGCTTCTGTCAGGTTAACCGGTCTCAGAAGAATTCTTGTCATCCGGCGTTAGATGCGATTTACCTAGGGTATACACCCTTTGGTCTGAGCTAATTCCCGACGTCCTATGAATCCTCGCGGAACAGGTCGTAGGAACTGTATATCGTGACAACGGTACAAAGCTCCATGCATGTCAAACTCCTCTCATCCCATCGCAGTACCTCAGAACAGCTTCGGTCAGCGCTCGGTAAATCGTTTCCCGTTTCCTCTTCTCAACCCAGCAGCGGATGTTGTATGGCAATTTTCTCAAAGCCAGTCTGGCCATTGGCAGACGCATACATTGCATCGATCACTTCGTCAGCTTTGCTAAGGACACGAACGTTTGGCACTATATACGACTTGCCATACTCAGCCAGCGCCGACGCCACTGCTCTCTGCAGCACGACCTCACGTTCAGGCTGAGCTTTAAAGGGCCCTCTCGGCTCGGGAAAATCATGCCCTCGAGATGCCACCACCATGTTCCAACGAGTGTCCTCGAAGACAGGAATCGTACACGCATAGACGACTTCGCACCTGGACTTCAGTGCAACACATTGCGCCGTTGATGAGACATCTCCAGAAGACACCACGGTATCGAAAACATATTTCAAATCTTGCCCGGACTTGTTAAGTGCACGCTGAATATTCTCGACGACGTGTTCATCGCGATAGTCGAAAACTTCTGTCGCTCCGAGCTGCCGCAGCTTTGCATGCCGTTGGGGCGATGCGGTAGCATAGATCGTGGACAGCCCAGCTGCCCGTGCGAGTTGGATCGCAGCCACGCCGACCTGAGTGGCACCGCCCCAGATAAGAATGGCCCCGTGTACAGCTGGCTGAGGTTCGGCAGTGCCTTGGGGCAAGGGCAGGCGGAAGGTGTTGAACATGGCATCAGCGGCCGTCCGCAGCACAATCGTCGTCCCTGCCGCGTGCGAGAGTGGTACTTGTGGCGGCACACGATCCCACATGTGGCCATTCTCAGCAACTGCGAACGCCTGGTGGGCACCATGCGCCCAAGGCTTGTGTTTGTTGGTGGCATTGGATCCGCAGATCACGTCGCCGGGTTTCCACTCCGATGACGACCCAGCTTCGAGTACAACGCCTGCTAACTCATAACCAGCAATGTACTCGTTGAGCCCAAAGCGTCCGTGCTTGATATCAGCCGGATTGATGCCGGAGGACTCTACTTTGATCAATGCCTGTGTGCTGGTTGGCTTATATAAGTCCAACCCATCTCGAAATTCCAACTTGTTGTCAGATCCAATGTATATCCCCACGTTCGCAGTCATAGCCTTCTCTGCCGCCGGCTCGATCGCTCGTTATGTTGAGAAAGCGCCGTCTGACTCGTGTTGCCAGAGATTGTCACCACCTTAGAAGGCAAAGACTGCGTCGTAAGCAAGACAATGGAGAATCTCGTATCAAGACAGCTGTGAAGAACGAACGTGGGCGAAGCCTACCAACTTACTACCTTTCGCCAACAGGCTCGCAACAGAACCCAAACGCCGTTCAATGCCCTGATCTGCCATCAACATCAGCTCAAAAGCCAGGCGTTATGCCGACTCAAGCCGCGATCATATGCTTCCGACCGGCCAATCTGGGCTGAATTCTAACAGACCTCGCCAGCGCCAGAGTCAAAGTTTCGGAAATTCCGTGATATCCCGCGAACTTCCCACATTTCCCGCGACGGCATACCGAGGGATCCGGCCTACGTTGTGTCGAACATGAACCAAGAGTTGCTCATTTGAGTCCTGGGGTCGGCGTCCAAGCCTATACAACAAAGCACAGATCTGAGTCGAAAGCTCGGAGCGATATAACACGACTCCGCTGCAGAACTTCCCGGACGGCCTATAGCGTCACGCCCGGGAGACTGTACCGTCGACAACCAAGCCTCCAACGCAGGTCTAGTAGTGTGCAAGAACAGGCGAGTTAATTTTGCAAACATCATTCATCTACATGCTCGCTTCTTGAATCGATTCCCTCCCATCTTGCAGTCGTAATCGCCAATGACTATCACACACCTCCATCGTCAACTGTCGGAAAAACTCCGTCGCTATGCAGTAAAGCAAGATACGTCTACCCTCAAAGGCCTCCCTAGACAACTGTGTAGTCGATGTCGAACCCTTGAACACCGCCCGTAAATGCACCCAATGCACCCAATCCAAAACACCGTCGCAGCAATCGAAGCCCTCCCCGTGGGGCACGTCGCCTCTTTCAGACCACACGCATCTAAATCATTTCTGAGATCTCTTCCTAGTCAATCCTCGCCTAATACTCTCCCCCCAAGCCGAGTTGTCGAAACTCTCCATTACACCCGCATCACCCACATTGCTATTGTTTCTCGAATGACTGGGTGTGCCGCCCGTTGTTGTCGGCGTCCGCGGCGGCGTTCGGGCAGGCGAAGTTCGCCCCTCCACGCCGCCCGAATAAGATGTATCGACGCTGTGTAAGCGCGGCCTGTTCTCGCGAACAGGACTGATTCGATCACCAGTCGGGAATATGTCGAAGCTGCTTCTGCTGGGTGAGTCTCTCGCCCAGGCTGATGCCATGCTTGTGTCGATGCGAGGCAGGCGAGGCGAAGTCATGGGCGATGTAGGCCGCGCCGCACTGGACGGGTGCAGGAAGTCTGTCGGTTCCGTAGCGGAGCTGCCGTCCTCCATCTCGTCCACGATAATCTCAGGCACCGGCATCGAAGGCGGCGCACCCATGCGAGAGTTGCGTTTGTGCGCGATAGCCTCGCGGAAGCGGCGTGACCAGAACATCGTGTCGAAGAAACCGACCACGATGTTGCGCCGTATTGACTCATGGACACGCTGGAGTCGTGCTCTTCGCCGTAGAAATTCTTCGAGTCGCAGGCTGCGCGAGTCTTCGATGATGTTGTAGTGCGCCAGGATCATAAGTGTGGATGTGAAGTTGATGCCTAGATCTGGATCTGCGGAGAGCATGACTTCTTGGTAGAATACTTCCATCTGTTGCTTCTTCATACGGATGTCCTCAAGTGGAATGTGGCTGAGGCGGGCGTTGAGTAGATCGAGATCGATCCCATCAACGACACGCCTTCGTTTGTGTATATCCCCTGGTTCGACTCTGCAGTCTTCCATGAGGGCGCGGATCGTGAAGTCGCCGTCGTAGATTCGCATCTGGAAGACGCCAGAAAGTTCCTGCTGATGTTAGCACGGTCGAGAGTCTCAGATAGAGTATTTGACCTACCCCGAGTAAACGAGGGAACTTCTCCTTGGGAATATAACCACGCCCCCGAGGGTCAAATTCCGCCCAAGCTTGCTTAAAGCGCCGAATCTCGTCACGTGTGATGACCTGTAATCCGCTGCTTCGCTGGTACACATAGGAGAAGCTCTCGAAGATGAGCGACACGAACAACGACACGAAGATGTACATGCTGATGATGTTCCACGAGACAAATAGAGCTCGCGCCCAAGACGCACTGCCGCAATCTGAATTGTAGAAGTCATCGTCCTGGACACAGTATGGTGGCTCGATAGTCGCGAAATCTTCCATTACTTGATTCCATCCTTCGCCGATACTGCATCGGAAAAGCAAAATGAGAGCTTTGGGAACATCACGGAAGTTGATGTTGGTGGTCGTGGTGCTGCCGAACCTCGTCAAGCTGAACGTCTGCGTGAAGGCGATAGCGTACACCAGGAAGAGCACGAACCAGGTAGCCAGGAGATTGGCTATGAGTGGAAAAGATGCTGCCGCGGTCTTCAACAGCTGGTCCAGCTGATTGTTCCGCGGTATGAGGAGGAACACAAGAGAGACCATGAACAGCTTATGCAACATGTCAATCTCGCGTATGTCCTCGGTGATGACACGCATTATTGATGTAGCAAGACAGCCGGTGACAGAGACGAGAGAGTACAGATCCCACGTGCTGCGGCGGAAGCGCGTCCAGGATAGGCCGATGATTCTGATGACGATGTTGGCCACAAGGATCAGGGTGAAGACGAGGAAAATGTACTCTCGGGTCTGATCCCACCAGGCAGGCTCAGGATAGAACTCAACCAGAAGGATGCAGAGATGCAGCAGCAGTAGACTCGTAATGAAGCGCTGCCACTTCCCGCGTTTCTTAATCGACAAGTTGTAGCACACGCGTCGCAGGCCTTTGCTGTTTTCGCCAACAGATCTCTTTGTTGGTGAGATTTGCTTCAGCAACTTCCGCAGCTCGAGCCAAGATCGCTGTTCGGCGGTCAGGAAAGCCACACCAGTCTGCTCAGTGTAATTGCGCATGAAGACGGAGATGAAAAGCGTCAGCACAAAGACAGCGCCAAGCAAGTTGAACACGATGAAGTAGACCGCATTGCCTTGAGAGGCGAAGTACTCGTACTGCAGACCTTTGCCTGTGATGCTCATAGCAGAGCCCATGACGTCTGTCCAACCTTCCTGAGAGGCGATCTGAAAGAGCACAAAGAGCGAACTTCCAAAGTCATCGAAGTCGTAGTATGGGTTCGCAACCTGCCGTGGAGCAAGAACAGGCCAATTGAATGGCGTGGAGTTGAATTCGCCGATGCAGTTCGTGAGATTGCCGCTAAATGATTGATCATTGCAGAGATCCATCTTGCCATTGAACAAATTCAGACCGAGGATGGCGAAAGGCACCAAGAGACTCATAGTCACGAACGCCGCCGCCAACACCTTGTAGCCACCAACAATGACTGAATGGAATGTTCTTCGAGCGGTGTCGCTGATATTGAGCAGTCGCAAGGCTCGCAAGGCCTTGAAGGCACCAACTGCACGAGAAACGCCATCATCCTGGAAGATGGTTGTCAAGACGTTGATCCAGAGGGTGATTACCACTACAGCATCAATGACACCCCAAACGGTCCGGTAATATGCGTGAGGCGTGAAGAGGAAGCCATCAGCAATGACTTTGATAATAGCCTCCGCAGTGAAGATGACGGCAAACCCGAGATCTGGCCACACGAACCAGTTGGTAATGCTTCGAGGGTGTGTCTCCCAGTATGTTCGTTGATACAGTGGTGTGGTGATGCAGGCAAGGACGACCATGGCGACGATGCAAGCATACGTGAACGCTCCGACTCCATACCAGACCGGCTTGTATGGCGCAACACCTTCGATTCGCTCCTCACCACGTCCAGGACCGACAACAAATTGGCATGCTCGTCGGATGGGGTTGCGCGGTCCGAAGATGAAGAGCGACACATTGTACTTGGGGTGCTTGATGAGGTATTGCCGCTGAGCTCGTCTTCTTTGGTCTGCGTTGGCCACGAGCTGCTGCGCTACCGAACGAGGATCAAACTCCTCATTGGCTCGATCAGTAGATGTACTGCTGTAGAATGGGTTTGGCTCGTGGTTCGATCGGCCGAGTAGCTTGCCCCAGTATTTGGAGAACATTCCCGGCTTCACGTTGGCCCCAACAGTTGGGATGCTCGACAAGTGCATCGAGGTTGGCCGTCTCGACAGCGGGTCAGGCTCATCTCTTTCGTCCAGAAAGTCCTTCACGACCGCCTCTTTCAGCAGCTGCTCTACAGCAGCCGAGCCATACTGCAGGGCATCGCGGTGCCGCATGGAATCGCGTCCCATTTTGAAGATCGACGACAGCGACAGATTGGCATTTGATGATCCAGTCACTTCTTTCTGCTTCAAAAATGCTTTGACTTGCTGTAAGCGCTTTTCATCCTCAGAGACATCGAAACTTTCCTGTATGACAGCAATAAACATATTCAAGATGATGAAGTTGGCAATAATAAACCAAAGGACGAAGAACATCGCTCCGAGCCAACCAGTCATGTACATTTTGTTGAATTGCTGCACATTGTATAGCGGCTCTGTCCAGTTCTCGCTGGAGAAGATCTGGTACATGCCAATGAAAGAGTTCCAGATATCGAAGAATTCAACCAGAATATTGTTGCCACCCGCGTCTTCTGCAGGTATGTCGCCTCTGAAAAGCTGCGATCCCAAAATGGCTGCGAGAAACGTGAAGAGGAAGACGAATATGATGAGATTGAAGAGACCACCAGTGTTGCCGAAAACGATCATAAGCAGCTCCCTCGTCACTCTCACGGCCAGGACCACGCGATAGATACGTGCAATCTGGAATGCCGACATCCAAGCATAGACCTGGCCGGAGTTGCGTATGGGCGGAATCTGCATGACAAGCGTGACGACAGCCAGGAACAGATCGGTCCAGTTGCGTTTGCTGCTGAAGAAATGCCTCCAGTCCGAGGCAAATCGTATAATGATCTCTACAACCAGCAGAAAGGTCACGGCCGTTTCTGTATTCATGATGAAGTGCTCTCGCGATGGGCCCATGCTTGCACTGCGCAGCGACTGTACCACGAGGTCGAAGGTGATCACGGCGATCCAGAACAGATGCGTCTTGTCGTATAGCTTCTTTAGCTGAGAGACCCGGGGTGCGTTCTCCTCATCTATGACTGGCTCGTCCATAGGGGTGGCATCAAAAGCACTTCTCTTGCTTTCCTCGCGAATGATCTGGAACGACGATGTGATCACTGCGATGAGTAGGCCAACAAGCCAGAAACTCAACACGACGATGCCTGCCATGAAGTAGAGCGAGGCCGAAAGGTAATCCGAGTCGGTCAGGTAGTACATCAAGTCAGAGAAGGTGTTCGAGCTCATAATCACAAAAGCCATCTCCAGAGAGTGGTAGATGTTGTCGAAGCCGATTGTGCCATTGTATGGACCTTCGAAGTTTTCCACGCACAGTGAGCCGATGGGGCAGATGAAGCCTTTGGGATGGGACGTGCCATTCGAGCCGTCGCTTTTCAGCCATGGCATCTCGGCAGCTGTCGTTGCATTGAGGTACCCACCGCAGAATTGAATGTTCTCTGGCGCAAGGTTCTGCGTGTAATTCTGGCCAGAGCCGTCATCGCCGACCCATACGCAGGTGCGTCGAAAGCTCGACTTAAAGCTCTGAACACCAACGATGCCAAAGATGAGCCAGAAGAAGCTGATCAGGAATGCAACATGCACGAGCAGAGGTGCTGCTTTCTTCAGACTTCTCAAGATGATGGACGTGCCAGCGGTGAGGCCGAGTAGGCGCAGGATACGTAACGAGCTCAGCATATTGAAGATGTAGACATGCTCTCGAGCTTCGTACCCAGAGAGCTGCATAGACAACGAAATCCAGTACGAGACCACCGCTATGAGGTCTAGTCTGTTGAATGAATGTCGGAGAAAAGCACGACGGGCGAGACGTAATCGCTGCTTGTGCTTTGAGTGCCCTGGGCCAATGGCTTTGACCTCTGGCAGACCCGTAAAGGTACGCACGATCGAAGGCTGGAAGACTTGCTCGGTTGGCTGTACAGGCGCTTTCGGAGCTTGCTTCGTGTGAGGCGCAAATAAGCCTTGCGCTTTGTCCACGACAGCTTTGCGGAAGCCCAAAGATCTGTCTAGTGTGCTGTACTCGTACGGATTCATCAGAAAATTGGACACGATGCTCCTTGCTACGGCTTCGATCGTGTAAATGATGAAGAGACCAAGAATGCCATAGTCAAACTTCGACGTGCCCCATGCGTCGCCCCTCGACTGGTGGTAGACCGCATCCGCGGCCGCGTTCACGGCTAGCATGACAGTCTGAATGACGATCAAGACCAGAATGATTGGCTCTGTAAGAGGATGGATGAGTAGCTCGCACAGTGCTTTGCGGAGGCCATTCTCAGGACCAAAGATGCCAAACGATTTACCTCGAAGCGGGTTCTCGTAGATCGTGGGTGGAGGAGGTGGCGGCAAGACCTCCGCGGAAGGTGTCTTCTCTAGAGGGCTTGTTCCATGTACTGCAGATTCAACATCTGCCTCAACGCCATCGCCTGAGCCTGCGGCCACTGTATTGCTCCGTGATCGCTTCACTGTTGATCGCCTCCGGATGCTCCGTTCGACGACATCAGTCTCGTTGCTCAGATTGACCACACGCTGTGACATCTCGCGAAATATCGAATTGGCTCGAGCATGGGAGAAGGCGATATTGAGGGAGATCGAGATCGTGAACGCGACCTGGCCTCGGCGGAGGAGACTTCGAGCCTGCTGATACCGCTACTAGAGCTCATCTTCCGGGCAACGCCTCCACCAGTATCCAATGACGGTAGATCGTCGCCGAGACGAGACGTTCTACCTCTCTCCGGAGTAAGTGAGGCTGCGCCATCGACCCAGTGTACACTTGATCTCTTGTTTTGTCTGTCATGCCGCTGCCCACTGTTTGTGTGATCTAGAGAACGAGAGCCGATCCGTCGTCGACTGTCGGTCGTCAGAGGTGTGGTGTCTGTGTCAGGTGGTGAGAAGGGTTGTTCATTGTCCTCGTCGGCACCTGTAGTCGTGATAGTCGGCCGTCTCAAGCCCGAGGGCGGAGTGCTGGGTCGCAGTCCACCGAGTGCAGGGGGGCCGAGAGACAGGCCCACAGAGGCGGCTGCAAACCCTCCTAGATCATCAAGAGGAGTAATCTCGCCAGAGCTGGGCCGGTCGTCGAAGTCACGCGCACCGCGCGACGGACTGAGACCGCCCACAGGCGAGTCATCTTCCTCTAGCCTGGCGTAGTCGGACGTAGGATTAAGCCCGCTCAAGATCGAGCGACCACGGCTGTGACGAGGCTTGTGCCCACCATGGGACTCGTCGTCGGGAGGGCGCGAGAGATTTCTGAGAGGTATTGACTGTGGTACACGGTGTCTTGGAGGGGTGCGATCATGACCGTCGGCCATGGCGACCGCAGATCCGTTGAGATCTTGATGCCCGCTGCGACATTATCCTATGCCATCGCTGCCGTGTTCATGCCGACCCTGCGTGCTCTCCAAGGGGCGTTGTGTGGATCGAATGAATCGCTATCAGAGTCGTGCGCCGTGGCTGCGATCGTAAATCGTGGAAAGGGTCGTCTAGTCGTTGGGAATAGAATATGGAATGCACAAAGCCGGCTGATTGATTGGTGCTGGACGTGGAAGAGTGGATTAACGAGAGTACTATTGAACCATTGAACGCTTGCTGGAAAGAGAGAGAGTGTGTGTGTCAGCGCAAGAATGATTTGCTGTCTACAAAATGTTGTAAGACCGGCATATGCTGAACGATGTACGCGGCGGTGCCTGAGCACTCTACACTAAAAATCTCCGGGAGGCCGCGCGGAATGGAGGGCGGGACGTGGCGGATTTCAGGCACGATCACTGTGGTACCTCGACAGCACTCCTTTTATCAACACTACACCGCGTTTCCCAGTTATGCAGATGCTATCTTGTCCCGACGCGTACAGCTTCTTCTCGAAGCGACCATCACGACCATGGCAGGTACACGTTTGACGTCTCAAAGACCTCACTGCAATCAAGCCCTACGAAAGGGGCTTCAAGGTTTGCCTCCAGCGCCGTGGCTGTGCTGTACACAACGACATCAATGTCTTTCTTTTGGTGTACCTGGCTGTGCGAGGGATGCTCACAGTAATCAGGGCTAGTTACAGGCCCGGCATACCTCGTACGCAGAAATCCGGCCCCATATCCAGCACGAATCGAAGGAGGGCCTCTCATAACTGACTTAGACACGCATCAAGGTACACAATTCGCTTACGGGATACAGCACTTTGCAAAAGAATGTATTCAGTCTTGTCTGGTAGCAGTAGCCAGGCAAGGAAGACGGAGATACTACATATATCCCATCGTCGCCATGTTCAGTCATATCTGATTCGGGCGAGAACCGGATGTATGACTTGTGTTTCAGCATCACAAATGCCAGCCAAGCCTCGCGCTCTTCAGCAAACGTTTCAAGTTCATCGGCACTACAGCCTTCGTTCTTGATCCCAACTGCCGAAGAGTATGAGAGCCTCGACTCTGCACATGTACATCTGTCCACATATTGGTAAGGATGCATTCCACCTCACGCTTTGCCTCTATCGGACTCAGAATCAATGGCACTTCAACCACCTCTTGGGTGACCTGCTTGTGGCGAGCAGATCTGTCCATGTGGTAAAGCGGCGCCAGTGCATCATCCCACGTGCCGCTTCGCAGAGAGCAATCATCGAAGTCGAACTCATCAAGCACCTTCCGATGGGATCTCACAAAAGCCGCCGCTTGGCTCGCATCCATGGCTGCATTGCGCACGCACATCCTTCGCAGTCGTCGGAAACGTAACGGCTTCCACGAAGGCAGTACAGGCAGCTTTTCACAGCTGTTCAGGCTCGACAGTGAGGGCAGCTTGTACATACACGGCTCTGCATCCAATGAGAGAGGACACGGCCCTTTCTGGCCGAGCCATTCGAAGTCGAGCTCCTCAATGGCTGGAAATGACTCCAGGTAGGTGTGTAGAATCTTGAGATGATCTGCCGGCGCGTCGTGGCCGTATTCGAAGCTGGTCATGCCGATCATAACTTTCTTGATCCGGCGCCATACCCTGGTCGATGCGGGCGACGAGCCAAAGCTTGCCTGGGGCCGCAAAGAGAAGGCTCCTCCAGGATGGATCGGATGTAGACTGAGCGTCTCAAGTGACACAGGGTTAGCCTGCTCGATAGCGACCCGTAGAGATATCAAAGCAAAGTCCACCGCATCTCTGCGGTATCGATGGGCAGGTTCCTGGCCAGGACAAGAGACTAAAATTTCGCGAAGGTGTGGCAGTGCTCTCAAGGCACGACAGAACGCTGGAATGTTCGTGGCTGCATGGAAGATTGGCGGATAATGCTTGATAAGCAGGTCTTCCACGTCCCAGCAACCGTACCGCGATGAACTCGAATATGAAGACGACGAGCCAGACGATGAAGCTGACACAGGTCGTGACGTGACAGTGTGGGGCTCGTACACGAAGTTGAGCTCTTCGAGAGTGTCTGGAGCAATAAGAGGCGGTAGAAAGGTTGCGGCAGTATGAGCCAAGGAGAACCGAAAGCTCCTTGTATGGTGGCCAACTCGTTCCAGCGCAATCAGCCGAGCATTTCGAGAGAAGGTATGCGTATTGAAGTCCACGCTTATGTGGCGGAAGAGCGTTGGCGCTACGTCGTTGGCAAAATCGTGGTTGACGAGGCGCAATGTTCCGAGGTCTGCGTTACCCAGGTATGTCAGGCAACAATCTCGGATCAGATCTGTGGCCCAACATTTGCTGAATGCTCCGGCAGCCATGAACAAGAAACCTGCATGCGTATCCCTGCGAACGATTGTGAGCACCCCCGCTGGCAATCGCTGCCGGCGAACAGTTCACGGTTTTCGGACAATATCTGAGTCACAGGCCTGCTGTATGCCAAACTCAACACCAAGTTCTTCACAAGGACTTAACACAGCGATCGAGATTACTGTGCTGTCAGCTTGGTAGCCTGAGGAGAGATCTGGAAAAGAAAATTGAATCGAGATCACATTGAAGCGGAAACGGCCTTGTAAACCTACCATGGGCCAGCATAGAAGGGAGAACTTGATGCAGGGCAATCATGGTTGCTGTTGCATTCATCTGCAGACAATCGCATCCAACCAGATTTGTTGATCTCAGAGAAGTCGCTGTGAGCATCGGGACTATACCACGACTTGTACGCGGTATAGAACGCGAAAAGCATGGAAGTGGATGATCATAGGCGCAAAATGAGGATGGCGGGGAAGCTCGTGCAGCGCTTGGCGTGGATACGTGTGGAAGTCGCGACTCGCGAGTCTCGAACTTGTTGACCAACAACGCTTCCGCCATGAAGGGACAATGCTTGTTTGTTTCTCCAGACCTCTGGATGACCCAGCAGACACCTCTTGAACAGTCCGAGTCTTATGCGATCTTGGCACGCTGCACTGATCCTCGAAGAGGCGGCGGTCAGATTTAAGGAACACAGCCAAGAACAATTCCATGATCATGATTCTGTAGGTGTCTCAAGAACCTCGACGCGCACCGGGCGACCTCGGCGCGAAGGGCTCTAGCAAAACACATTCACGCGAAAAGCAAGCAATCTTTAGGGGTCGAGATGCCCCCGTACCAATCAGCGCAGTGAAACCTGCCTCCGTGTGGACATCATCTTCGGCTCCAAGCCGGACCGGCGAATGAATTGGACTCCTGAAGTGCTTCACCTACTTCGTATACAATCGACATTCTTCCACTAGTGTTTCTGCAACGCCGTTGCTCAGATCTCGGCCTGAGCACAATCCGATCTCTTCCAAACACCTGTGCAGCTCCAGAGCCTCTACTGCTACCCTAAATTTGATAGAGAACCAGGGTAGGTCCTCAAGCGTCATCCGCTAGGGGTTCGTAGGAAACCCTACCTCTAATGCGATCAGCGGTAGCACAGCGGTCCCTGCACTTCCGCTGTCCAGCGCACAAAGTCATTGCGCTTTTCATGCTTAAGAGATCCAAGTCGATGTGTACAGTTGGTAAGATGCTACCACTGGATGCACTTCCGTTATCAGGTCATGCGACGCCGTTGAGTGAAAAGAAAGAACCGTTCGCCAGAAGACATCTAACTCAACGGTGCGCCACTGTGATACAGACTGAAGTCGGAATCGGCAACTCATGTCATGAAACACCAACCCCAATAGCGAGGTATCAGCCATCTCACTCTCCCATCTGCCGTTCCGTGGAGCACGGATCTGCACTACCCAGAGACAAACTTCATATATAATATGTACTCACCTAGCGATCTATTGTTGTTGCCACCACCACAGGCTGAGCCTTGCATTCTCTTCTAATCCAACTGCTGAACCTCCACTCTTTCACTTCGACGTCCTCAGTTCAGGTAACGGGGCTATTAATATACGATCTTTACTACTTCGAACTGCTTCCGCTCTTTGGTCAATATGAAGGTCTCACCACTCACTCTTTTGCCACTCCTGGCCGGTGTCGGCAGTGCCGTGCCAGTCGGCATGTCCAAGCGTCAACAGAACTTGGATCTTGATATATTGCAGTTTGCGTTGACGGTAGGCCCGCCGATACCCTAGTGCATGCACGTCTGACATACGCGACAGCTTGAACATCTTGAGAACGTCTTCTACAAGGAAGCACTCCAGAAATTTGACCAAGACGCGTTCGAAGCAGCAGGCTTTGACGCACACTTCTTCAACAACATGCTCTTCATCGTGCAAGACGAAGAGAAGCACGTACAGCTCCTGTCAGGTGCTCTCACTGCTGCTGGTGCCACGCCAGTGCAAGCCTGCAAATACAACTTCGGCATAACCGACATGTTCGTGCACCACCATCTCTTCCAGCCGGAGGTCCAGACTAATTGCAAGCAGTAATTCATTCGTCACTCTTTCAACAATATTAGAAGGCGTCGGCACATCCGCCTATCTTGGAGGAGCACCATTACTCCAGAACAAGGACATCCTCACCACAGCTGGGGCTATTCTCGTCGTGGAAGCACTGCACACCTCACAACAGCGAGCACCAATTGGACTCGTACCTGCTGCTAATGACCTCGGCACCCCTCTCGATGCCAATTCGGTCTTCACCCTTGCTTCTGCATTCATCACCGAATGCCCAGCAGGCAACGCACCATTGCCGTTCAAGGCGAACCCGAAGCTATCAGTCGATACTTCTAGCTGCCCTGCTGCTGGAGCTGCACCTCCGGCTCCCGCTGGCACGGTGTCACCCGCTGTCCACTCCAGCGGTGTTGCTCCTCCCGCAGCCGCATCCACCCACAGCGCAAAGAACAAGCGCAGCATACACATTCAGACCGGCCTCGTTGGCCTGATCGATCCCACCAAGGTGAACAACGCCGCAGCTGCTCCACCAGCACCCCCTGCTGCTGCTCCTCCTTCACCTCCATCGCCGCCTGCTGCTGGCAACGGCGGCAAGGTCACCGCAGCTCAACCCTGCCCCTTCGCATCCCAAGGTCAGCAGATCTCATTCAAGGGCGAGTCCGAGATTCCAGCAGGATCATTCGTCACTTTCGTTTCCGGCCTGTCGGTCACCAGCACGCAAGCCACCATTTCAGGCCAGTCTGCTTCGGCCTCCGTGCCAGCTGGCATCATGGGTCAATCGTATGTTTTCATCACGAACAAGGAGATTACGGATAACAAGCTGGCGGCGGATGCTATTCTTATGGGTCCTGCTATTCTTGAAGGTATGCTGTCCACTCTACCAATTGTATCGGTGCTTAGCTAACACTGTTCTCAGTCCAACCTCCTGCAGCAGCAGTCGACTTCAGTGTGTTGTGAGTGAAGAGCGGAGGTGAGAAGTAGCAGTTGGAATAAGGAGCATTCTGCATGCAGCTTTGGATGATATATTTACATAAGATACCCCAATGGTTGATAGGAATGACCATGGCGAAATCGCCTTCCCATAGATGGGGCGTATAATCAAAGTGTTTGTATCGAAGACTTCCGTAGTGTTCATGCTGCTTTCAGTCGCTGAGGAGCATTCTGATGCATTTGAACTTGTTCACTAGCAATGTGCTCCGGAAGACCCTAGAAGGCAGCTACGATGGAGCACCCAGCTTGGCGTGCTTGCCTTGAGGACGGAGTTCGTTTGCCTGACTCCTCTTGATCGCAATTTTTCTTGTTATTAACAATGTTCATCGCGTGCTTCCCTCTGCATTGAATATGCGCTTCGATCTGTACGCAGCATCACCTCTGAACACAGGAGGTCGATAAGCAGGCCGCGCCCGCGCTTTGACGATCATCGCAATGCGTTGTGTTTGCCTTGTCGAAAGGCATCTTAGAACTCTGGAATCGCCATTGTACCTGGTTTCGACATGCAGTGTCCACTGCAGGTCGACATTGAAGAACACCATGGAACACTTGGCTTCATTCTAAACCTTTGCGCTGCCATTGGTCACTGGATCTGTCACCTGGATGGTTGAGCCCGTCTAGCGCCCTGCAATACGATGCGCCGCGAACCGCAAGGCAGACCCCGCTGTCTGTCTGCTTCGATGCGTTCACTCTTCTTTCTCTGGCCTCGCGGGCACGATTCTGCCCTCGGTGAGTTGTTCACGCAGCATCGATGCACTGACTGTCTTTAACTTTCACGGCCTTACAGCAACATGCCTGAGCCACTCACAATCGTCACATCCTGCTTCGGACTGTTAGGATCCATCGTTAACATCTCGAAGGAACTCACGAGTTTCGTTTCGAAAGCTCGCGAGGCTCGGAAGGACATCGATGGGTTCCTCCGTGAGCTTCAATCACTGAAGCTCTGTGTCGAGACACTCAAGGACGAGCAGTTTCCGTTTCCGGAATCTCACCAGAAGCAGTTGATCACAATGCTGTACCACTGTGACATAATTGTGAGAGAGATGGCAAATATAATTCAAACGAAACAGTCGTACCACGACCCATCCCAGAGCAACAATATCGCTTCTTCGTCGCCTACCTTTGTAGGAAAGATCAAGTGGTCCTTCAAAGATCGGGATCAGGTCACTAGCCTGCGAGGACGCCTTGAGGCACACAAGACAACTTTGGATATCGTGCTGGACATGGCTATCATCACGACAACGGCACAAATCAAGGATGACACGGGCATGTTGAGAGAAACTACAACCCTCATCAAAGAAGATACAGGATCGATCAGAGAAGATGCTTCGAAACTCAGACAAGAAGTTGAAAAGCTACGCAAACAGCTGGCGGCACTGTCAAGTGACCGACCAAGTGAACCACCCATGCTGCAACGATTTCTTGAGGAGACCTTTACATACACCGAAAGTGTGCTCGGCGCATCAGGAGATGCGCCGGATGCCGACCATCCTTCCGATGAAGTCAAAAGCTTTGAAAGCAATGCCGACACTATCTGCGCCCCAAATGAAGTGCAAGACCCTGATGATTCAGCATCAGCGCATATCGGAAGCCAATCCAGGATCAGACCTACAACCGGGCATCACATAATCTCCGTGGACCCCCCACCCACTCGAGCAAATGAAGTGGCGCAAACAGCGTCGAACAGTCCCAAGGGCCGTGAGGAGGAATTGCTAGAAGCTATTTGGCACCATAGCGCAGCTGACTGCGAGCGCTTGCTCCGACAAAGAGTAAAATTTGACGCTAGAGCCAATGTACACAAGATATTGAGTACAAAGCCTGACTGCAGCAAGGAACACATCGCAGTGCTGAGAATCCTGGCGACTTACAACCATCGTCCTGAGTACAGCAAAGCGATAGTGCAATACGCCGCTCTGGCCACCAACGAGAGGCCATATGAGTTCGATGTTGTTGAGTATCTTGCAAGCTGTGGAGCAGATGTGAAGGCAAAGCTGGATCAAGATACGGTGAAGGCACTTTGTGAGCTATCGGAACGATCTTGGGCTACTCTTAGAATAGCTCAGAACGACTCGAACTTGGAGTTTGTGGCCAGATACCGCACCGGGGTTGGCTGGATTCCGCGCCTCATTGCTCTGGATCGCACCATCGTTGCAGATATCAACCAGAACTTTTCGGTCCGACTCCAGCTTCTCTTGACACCAATCTGGTCGGATAATGTGCCAGCAATAACGGAGCTGATCAGCAGGGGAATATCAGTCGCTTGGCCTATGGCTTTCGAGTTATATGTTGCCGCAGTCAGGACGACAGCGAGATGGCTAACATTAGACAATAGACTCTGGGAGAAGTGGAAGGACCGCCATATCGGAAACGATCGTAGAGACCACGCGGAAGAGCTGGCCCGGCGGCATGGCCTAGAGATCAAGACGACTAGACAGGGCGGCAGCAATGATGGTGAGGAATTGGTTTTGCGTTGCAAAGCTCACCAGGTGCTCCTGTATGCTTATGGTGATGAAGTGCTGCGAGCGCTGTTGTCAGGCCAATGGCAGCGACCCGCAGGTGCAGAGCAATTTTCCGATCCTGGGGAAACGCTCGTATATGAGCGACTCGAGGCTCTCTCGAGTGGGAATTCGAAGGCTGTCTCCCCACCGTTACTAGAATGGTTTTATGCGCCTCCTCCGGTGTCAGCGCCATGTCCCAAGCTTGAGCGACCAAGTCAAGCTCAAACCAAATCACAAGTCACAGAGCCTACTCGACCGATCACCTACCTCACGACAACCAGTTGTACGTACCGCTCGGCGAAGCCGTGGTCGCGCAACCGATTGTAAAGCCCAATTCTAACTTAGCGCTCAAGCCAAAGCCCAGGTCAAATCCTCAATTAGTTCCCAAACCAACACCCCGGCCGGATCCTCAGCTGGTCCCCAAACCAACGCTCAGTTCGGATCCTCAGCTGGTTCCTAGACTAAGACCCACGTCAAACCCTCAGTTAGTTCCTAAGCCAACGCCCAGGACGGACCCTCGGCTGCTCCCTAAACAAACGCTCAGTTCAGATCCTCCGCTGGTCCCCAAGCCAAGACCCGTATCTAATCCTCAAATGGTTCCGAAGCCAAGACCCGTGTCGAATCCTCAAATAGTCCCCAAGCCAAGACCCACGTCAAATCCTCAAAGGGCCCCCAATCCAAAGCCCACGTCAAACCCTCAAATGGCTCCCAAGCCGATTCCCAAGTTGGATCCCAAGCCAGTAGCTAAGCCGACTCCGAAACCAGTCTCTAAGCCGGCTGCCAGGCAAATGCCTAATTTTCATCCTAGGCCGGCTCTCAACTTGGACCCCAAGCCGAGCCTCCAGCAGATTCGCAAGCCAGTTCCGAAGCCGGATCAGAGTTGTCAAACTCAGTAGGCTAGCCCTCTGGTGTTACATTAATGAGTAAGACCCGACTTCCACGGCGATACCTTCAACCAACGGTTTTTGCAAGTCGGCACCCTCCCTGCATGCTCGATCAACAACCGTTACTTCACGCCGACCTAAGAAGGTGACACGATTCAGCAACGATCGCGTCGAAGCACTGGCAAGCCATTCCGCAGCTCGATGGGTACAGTCATGTCTGCAGCTTTACGTGCCTGTCAAGAGTCTCAATACTCCCTGACCACATTCCTTGACCTCCGCGCATCCGTGTCTCTGGGTATCTCCCGTGCCCTTTTAAGGTCCTAACATGCAGCTTTCCGAGATAGGGCTCTGCGAATATTTGTGTCATAGCTTTGGAGTCGAATCTCGGGTCTTTGACAAGGCGCCGATGGGCAATTCAGTCAGGGCACAGACGCTACCTGGGATCGGTGTCCGGTTCTTTGTGCGTACGGGTCAGGGGCATCAAACACATGGATGATGTTGAGCAACGACGGCTCATTCCTCATATGGTTGGTTGCACGGACATTGGCAGGGTCGTGGCCGAAAGTGCGCAAGGTATTGCGAATGGAGATGCAGACCGAAGTTGCGGCTTCCTCAAGTGTTCTGCTGTATGCGTACCCAACTTGAATTCAACGATGGTCTGTTTCGAGTACTCACACATATATGATGCGTCCGTGTGATGCCTGCCGCACTGTTCTTCGACTCCCGCGTGCATTGACTAGCTTATGGTCTCGTTTATGCATGCACAATCTCGATGTCTGGCCTCGGATGTGACCGATGAGCGCAAAAAATATCTCGATGCAAAAAGCAAGATTTTCCCATGCGTCATTCCGGGCGAATCGGAGATCCCGACTGAGAGAAACGTACTCCACAATAAAGGAACAGGCGAAACAGCACGAGACCATGTGGCGTTTGTCGACGACATGTGAAGCTTCACAAGAGTCGTTCCTTGCCTTCACTTCCTCTGATTGTAGATTTTCCTTGTACCACCAGTAGCATCGATAGAATTCAGCGCGTCCGCATAGCGAGGTTTTTGTTCGTCCTTCTCCCCACTGTCAACCACAATCCGTCAGCCTAAGCTGCCACCAAAAGTCCCGTTCACCATGTGGTCAATTCGACCGTCGGTCCCCAGATTTTCAGGCCCCTACACTGTCGGCACAACCGAATATGAAATCCCCATATCAGAGATAGACACCCAAACAGGCCCACCAGACCCAACAATCACGACACTCAAGTTCCGCCTCTTCTACCCTACCAGCACACCCTACACAGGCCAAAAAATACCCTGGGTCCCAGCGCCACAGCGACAATGGACAGAGGCGTTTGGCAACTTCCTTGGCGCGTCACTCGGATGGTCGAAGATCGTCAACCCAATGCTGTCGCTGTTGTCATACATCACCATACCAGCTATTCCTAACGCGCCACTGATCTCCAGGAAGCGGCCGTTCCCACTCATGATCTTCTCACATGGCCTGGCGGGGAATTGCAACACGTACTCGAGCTTCTGCGGGTCGATGGCGAGCTGTGGGATGATTGTTGCGGCGATCGAGCACCGTGATGGGAGCTGTCCGATCACTATGCAGCGCGGGGCGGATGATAAGGTCGCGTCACATGTCGACTACCGGAAGTATCCGCATACGAACACTCCTGAGGTGTTCCGGGCGCGCAATGCGCAGATGAAGACGCGGATGTGGGAGCTGGATCTTCTCTTCACTACACTGGGCAGGATCAACGGCGGAGAAAAGCTGCAGAACTACGCTTTGGCGAACGAGAAACCGACCGGACCAGCCTTCTCATCGACGATGGACTTCCGGCCCGGCCGCATCACCTGGGCAGGACATTCCTTCGGCGCATGCACCATTACCCAATTCATCAAATCAATCTACTACAACGACTTCCTCCCCGACCTCAAAAGCACAGAACACGAGCACGACCCAGATTGGCAACCTCTCTTCGTCCCGCGCGCCAACAGCGATCTCATCAAGCAGATCACTCCAACATCCCCCGTAACACTCCTCGACGTCTGGACGATGCCCTTCCGCGCTCCCTCGATACAATGGCTTTGGGAGCGGCCTATGCCATGCCATGACACCAGCAAGTCGCATGTTCAGTCTTCGACACGACGCCCGACCACAATCAGCATAATGTCCACTGAATTCTACAACTGGACCGAGATGCTAAACCGCACGCGCATCCTCATGGCCGCCAACCCGCTCGCCGCAACAGAGGAGATCGCGCGCCAGTCGGCGCCACGTAGCCCAAAGATGCCGAAGCTAGAAGACACGACCGCGTCGAGGACGCCGAAGCTCGCCACACCACCTAACAAGCACGTGGAGGACAGCGATGGCGAGGGAGCTGCGGAGTTGGACGCAGATATTTTGCCGCCTGCGAGCTTGCCGCTTGAGGAGTCGCTGTCCGCAGCAGAGCCGGTGGATCGGTCTGCTTCCGTATCGCCTTCTTCGTCACTCTCTTCGGCATGCGCACACGATGAGGCGGACTCACCAGAGGACTCACCGACGAGCAGCACAACATCTCTCTCACCCTCACTTACCGCCAAGCCGGCACCCAAGGCAACTGCAGCCTCAGTGTCCTCTCCTGACTCGGCTACATCCGATCCCCCAGCAAAACTCTACCACATCCCCCAATCCGCCCATCTCAGCCAGTCCGACTTCGGCCCCCTCTTCCCAACCCTCACCCGCCTGCTCATGAAAGCCGCCGACCCCGTGGGCACAATGAATCTCAACGTCCGCGCCGTCGCCCAATCCATCCGAAACGCTGGAATAACAGGCATCGAAAGAGTCGACCGTCCCTTCCCTCAAGGAACGACCAGTGACAAAAGCGCAGGAAGCAAAAGTCATGGGTGGTTTTCGTGGCTGCGCGGCCAAGAAGTGCAAGGGGAGAAAGTGACTGGCACTGAGGACGAGGAGACGGAGGCAAGATTTGAGGAGATGAGGCAGGACAGTATCTTGCAAGAACCTGGGTTGGCGAGGTGGAAGGAGTTGGATGTTCCTGTTGTTGCGCATTACTCGCCTTCGCGATAGGTTGTTGTTCTTGGATTGTTTGTTTGGGTGGAAGGGCAAGCACGGCGTTTGCATAAGCGGGAGTGCTGGGCGGGCGGATCTGGATTGGTTTTGGGATTTTATAAGCTCGAACCTGATCGTGCTGGATGTGGGTGTTAATGCAGCGGGAAAGCATATGCACCAGCGAGCGAGAGTGGGCGGGGATTGATGTAACAAGCGATGATCGAAAAGAGGGCTGCACGTGCATATATAAGGTAGACCTAGAGCGTCCGCACGCATAGACACGAGTACAATCTCTGAGTATGGAGACCATGGGCGCTCAGTGAGGCCTCCAGCGCGACACGCCTGATGCTGTTCTGTCACATCAGAGTCTTCGTCATTGAATGCGGCCAGATATTGTCTTTTGGTAAGTGGCACCCATAACTGAGGGCTCCCGGTAGACCGGATGACGGCACAACTGAGATCTATTGCTACCTACGGAAGTCACAGGGGACGGCTTGGGTCAAAAGCAGCAACAGATACGGTTTGAGCGGGAGTGCCGTAGCACCCTGACCTACCTGCTTGGGTCAGGGAGGGCGCTGAAGGATCGACCGCTCCTCACTGATCCAGTCAGTGGGTTTTAGATGAGTCTCACTGGATTGTCACTTCGTAGGGAATCCGGACCCAGAACTTTCCAGCTGGGGAGGGCGCTGTGGTAGCTGAGGTAGCCGCTGATAATGCTTTCATTCGTCTGATCTCGATCAGGACCATATGGATATCTCTCTAAGTCTGCTTTAGCCCCAGGTAGGCCTTCGTGTGCCACGATGCATGTTCAGTCAAATCCTGCGTATGCGCCCCCAGGGCGGCCTCTACGGCGCAATTTGACATTTCGTCCGTTGTTGACAATCTACAGATCCGCATCATCCTCGTCTGGCAAGGGCATAGCGGAAGCATCGTCCATCTCCTTCTTGTACTGCTCCATTAGCTCCGGGTTGACCTGAACCTCAGGAGGCGCCAGAGCGGGAGCAGCGACGAACTCGAGTTGTGCGTTACCGACCAGCTTGCGAGCGAGCCAGAGGAAAGGCTTCTCGAAGTTGTAGTTGGACTTGGCGGAGATATCGTAGTATTGCAGGTTCTTCTTGCGGTGGAATGTGATGGTCTTGGCCTTGACCTTCCGCTCCTTGACGTCGACTTTGTTGCCGCAGAGGACGATGGGGATGTTCTCGCAGACACGAACCAGATCGCCTATGTGTTTGTTAGTGGGGCATCTTGCGATGGGGTGGCTGGAGAAGACGTACGATGCCAGTTGGGGACGTTCTTGTATGTGATTCTCGACGTAACATCAAACATGATGATGCCGCACTGGCCGTTGATGTAGTAGCCATCTCGGAGACCACCAAACTTCTCTTGACCGGCGGTATCCCATACATCGAACTGAATCTGGCCAAGGTTCTGGCAGGTATTAGCTTCGTAAAGGTCTCGTAGGGGTAAGTGGACGTACGGTGGTGAAGCCGAGAGGGTGAACCTCGACACCGAGGGTAGCGATGTACTTCTTTTCGAACTCTCCCGTCAGATGGCGCTTGACGAATGTGGTCTGCGACGCTGTTAGCTTTGATCTGTCTGCAACCCTACCCATCGACTCAACGAGCGCGCCGCTGCGCTGTCGTAGCACCATGTGATCGTGAGCTTACCTTGCCTGTGCCGCCATCACCGACCAAGACGAGCTTGAAGGTTGGGGGACCCTGGGTCTCCGCCATTGTGTTTGCCTGTGGAAGAGGCGGTGGGGGATGCCTTGCTTCGAGGAGTGCGTCGGCAGTCGTTACAGATGGCGGAGATCGGCGTAGAACGAATGCGCAACTACTGAAGAGTTGGCGAGGTGGATGAGAGAGTACTCAAGTGGAGGAGGGATGGTAGATGGGGAAGAGGCAGCAGTACTAGGCTTTCATATCAACAATCATTGAGAGATGGCAAGCGGGTCCGGCAAAAATCAGAGGCTTGGCATTGGGTATCATATCACGTGACTGTTGCCTGATTGCAAGACTGCCATTCAACATTCCATACAGCGGCCGCCCTGATCCGCTTCCATCACGAATCTGTTGCCACAAAGTGACTCTGAAATAACGCTCATCCGAGGTTTCACGATTCGATCGGCGAGATAAATCATGCCTACAGCGGCCTCCCTGGCACGGTTTCCACGATTATTTTTTGGTACCAATTTCCTACTCATTGACGCTCAATCTTGACGCTCGAGTGACGGTCATTCAGCAACACCGACTCGAGTAGAACGACACATCATACCTACAACGCCCTCCCTGACTAGCAAACCTTCAAGATATCGGTCCTACGACCTGCCGCTCAAATGAGGTTTCTCTCACGCCTGCCAATCCGACGACTCACGTCACCTTGCGGCAACAGCGACCTCCGTCACCCTCCATGGCCAGACAAATTTGCTATCATCCTTCTCCACGATTCACCCTGCTAGTGAGGCTCAAAGTGAGGCTCATCCCAACCTTACTAATCTTAAAAGATCCAACGAGTTGAGAGCCCAGCGCATGCCCCGGCTGCAACTTCTATCATGAAGTATCTCCATCAAGTGACGCTCAACCCACGCTCGTGCCGAGACCTCGAAGACAGCAGGCACTCATCGACGAAGCAGAAGAATGCATGAATCGTGCGTGGACGTTGAAGTCGGTTGCTAGATGGTATTGTTCTTCGACACTGTGCCACCACAATCGATATCTTCTCGCCCTGGTCCATCGCCGCTGGTTGATGATACTGCTCCACGGATAGCTCCTTGCAGCACAATATGCTGCCTTCGACTACCCTTACCCTGAACTCATTCTCGCACCCATCGCCAGGTGCTTCACTTCGGGCCGCCACTTCACTCGAACAGCAACAGGCAGCAGCGGACTCCTGAGTCATGCAGAGAATGGTGAATTGCCTTGTCGCCAGTCACTGGCGTCGTGGCTTCGGGTTCTCCACTTCGTTGCAGAGGTATAAGTAGGTGGCCATGCCCTCGACTTCTTTCTTCTCTTTCGCACAGCGCTGGAGCGAATGCTGCTGGCCAAGCGAATTTGCCACACCATGATAGCAGCCGTTGCTATCTCGTGGGGCGAAGACCATCTTGTAAGTCTCGAATGTCAGTTAGATCTCCTCGAGTAGCGCATAGACCGCGGACGACCACCATCAGTGCCTACCGTCCACGGCGGGCGGCTCCATCCTCAGATCGGCACAATATGACACCCCAAACTTCCCCTCCCACCCCACCCCTGCCGTGGCGTCAATCTCAGCTCCATATCCAGCTCCCCAGCACCACCAAGCACCTCCCGAACCACACGCACCGGTATCGGCCGTCCTGTACTCCCCTGTACCACCTCCCCTACCACTCTCAAACCCTCGTGATTCGACCATATCGCGCGCCCAAACCTCCTGATCTTGTCGCCTGGTTTGAGGCCAGCTTCGTTCGCGGGGCTGCCTGGCTCGACTGAGCGTACTTTCGCGAAGGGGACATCGGGAACTTCGCTTGCTGGTGTGTCTTGAGTTCGGACTGGTAATTGTGTATTCGTGGCCGGTGCAGCCTCTTCCTCCGCGCTCGCCGTCGTGCCATTCACACCACCCTTTTGCAGCTCCGCGTGATGTTCGTGTAGGCCTTTCTCGATCCGGCTCATGAGTGCTTTCCAGTCGTTCCGCATCTCGATGATTCGCGCACGTGTGACGCGTATTTGCGGCACATCGATGTCTGCTCGGGGGAATCCGTCCGCGTCGATCAGCGGCGTCTGCATGTTGACGCCATGGCTGTCAAGGACGGAGCCTAGGGCTTTGAGCTCGGCTTCGAGGTTGTCCTTTCGAGTGATCAGTTGGTGGAGGGATAGGTTGTCTAACGAGGCGGCGTTGTAAGAAGTTGAGGTTGGGCCGGAGGGGACGTGTATCGAGGAGAGGTTATCGTCTGATTGCATGTTGAGGTTCATGGGGCGGCCCATGATATTTCTCCAGATCGATGTAGATGGAACGAGCAGGTGATGTGGGAGGAGGCAGGCGTGACGATAGAATGAATCAGTCGCGAGGTCGAGAAATGTTTTCCAAGGTTGTCAGTCACGATCGCGCAAGCAGTCGCGGCCTGTTGCGGGGTGAGTTGTGGGGGGCGGGGCGACTTTCTTGCTGCACGTGACCACCTCAACGAAGTGAAGCACTGGAACCCTACGACGACGACTGCCAATGGTGTAGATGCGAACGAGGAGCACTTTCAGTGAAATGGTGCTGATAGCGAAATCAAAGCCGGTCTCAGCAAGTCGAATGGACAACTTTCTTATGAGGAGGCCTCTGTTGGGTATTCCTCTCGACATTATCTATGGATGAGTAAACCCTGTGTAGAAATATCTCACGGTGCTGATGGTCCCGTGTGCCCACAATTAATACATCCACAGAAGCCATCCGAGCACACTATCACACTATCGTAGCTGTTGTGCTGGCTGGGTTCTTGGAGGCATCGAGATCTGAGGCCACGCCATAGTTCCGTCAGGGTGGAAATAGTACTGTTCTGGCATCAACGGCACGAAATCGATCATGGTTCCATCAGTTGTTGTGGTAGGCGCAGCAAGAGCCGTGTCGTAACCTTGATAGCTAGCTTGCGGGCCGTTCAGGATTGTGGCCATTGATGTGGGTATCTGCTGTGGGAACGATGGCTGTAGGTGCTGTTGAGTCATCGCCTGAGTATGACCTGGAGCAGGTATGGAGGCTTGCTGCGGGTAGGCGGTGTAATTCTGTCCGGCTGATGCTGGTGTGTACGGGAGAGCGTAAGCAGATCCGTTGCTTTGCGGTGGTGTCATGACCATTGGGGTAGGGATCGCCGACGGGACAGTGTTGTACGTCGACGGCATACTGGCAGGACGGCCAGCAATCTGCCCATGCTGCACGGATTGAGGGCTAGGTGTAGGCTCCTGTTGGACCCCCGGCAACGACGCGCGGTGTGAGGTCTGTGGCGTGCCGTTCACGCTCGCAAACGTTTCGGTAGTCGGGTTCGAAAATCTGGCCATGACCTGTCGATGCTCCGTCTCCAGACGCTGTGCTCGTGGCGACAAATTGTCCCGCAAGTGCTTTCCAGACTTGAGACCTTTATCCGCCGCCTGCCACACACGGTCCCACGCATTGAGCTCCTTGCACATCTCTTGGAAGTGTTCTGTGAAGCCTTGACCAAGTCTTCGCCGGTAGTAGCCAGCGTGAGGCCAAATGCCATCGTGAAGGGTCCGATACAATGCCAGGTATAGTCAACACCTTTGTATCTCTGGTGTAAGGTAACAAAACAATTAAGCAATCTTTTTGCTGCCGCATGACAAATCTGTAGGTGCTTGTCCCGGATTTGCTGATCATCGGATGTGCAGCACGATGGATGATAGAGCATCATTTGGTACTCTGCTGTCCACTGCTCCATCAAGAGAGATGCAACGTCGAGGTTGATGTGCTTCTCACCCTGTCTCTCCATAGCCTTGTCCCAGTCGCGCCGCCAGGCTTCAATTTTGCCGTTCAGCGAGTTCACAGCTTCCAGATACTCTTGTGCAGGAAGACGAACAGCTAGAATGCGGTTGTACAGTTCCAGAAGTAGCGGAACTTGCATAGTCAGATGCCGTGCTGGGTGGAAATCGCATTGACCGCTACGTACAGCAGCCAGGCCATCAACCGAGATCTCACCATCCAGTGTTTCGACAGGTAAGACAACCTCCAGGTCTATTGGCAGTTGCCATGCACTAGCCTGCCAATCTGCTGGCTGTCCAAATCGGCAGACCGTACTCATGCAAAAAACCAACAACGCATTGTAAATGCGCATGCGGAGCTCTTTCGCGAGAGCGTTCTGCTCATGCTTTGGCAGCTCGATCTCGTCCGGATTGCGGTGGTACTGCAGGTCGGTGGCGCGGAACAGTACCTGCTTGCCCAGCTTCCAGCCAATGCCAGGTTTTGGTAGGTTCCGCATGTACAAGATGATAAGTGCCAAGGCTTGCATGGCTTCCAGGGTTTCGTCGACGTACAAATGCCTCCATTGACCGAGGGCATAATGTAGAAATTGGTGACTCTTCTCGTAGTTTTCCGCCGCCTTTTCTTCGTTCCGGACAGCGACTTGCTGATGGAAGATAGCGAGAACCATGTATACCTGAACCCGCTCGGCCATGCTAATTGTGTCAGGCTTATCGAACAATCGGGCCACCAAAGCCTGGAAACTCGGACGATGAACGACTGGAAAGTATTGCACCATGATCTCCATGATGAAATTGGTGTTCTCTAAGGCGGCTTCCTTCGACGGTAGGGCAAAACGACCGATTTCCTGGAAGCCGATGATCGTATTCTTAATGGATGTTCCGGACGCATTGAAGAGGATTTCATCTGGCGCTGGTTCTCGCATCGACTCACAGTCAAAGTCTGCCACGTCGATCGTCTCGCCATCTGCCAGATCTACCACGGTCATATTCATGGGTCCTTTGCGCAATGGTCCTGTGCGAGGAGACCGCTTTGTGTCGTTCTGGCGGGCTCCCTGTGGTCTCGGAGGGACGTCCACAGTGTACTTTCGCGGTGAGGCGTGCGCGTTCAAAGGACCGTACCGTGCCCTGTATTGGTCTAGTTCTTCGCGCAGTCGTCGCATTTCTCCTTCATCGCCTCGTCGTCGCGACTGACCAGTGACTCTATCAGTGCTGAGACAGTCCAAGCCCTTCTGTCTGCATGGCCCACAGCATTCAGGATCTTTGTCACATTTCATCTTTCTCTCCTTACAACGATCACAGGCCTGGCCTGTTCGCGCTGTCTGCGCCATCTTATGTCTGACAGCATCGCTGTACTGCTCGGCCGATTCGGTATGCGTCTTGAGCTTCTTTTTGGGAGGTTCGTCATCGTTACCGCCGTTGGCAGCGGCGCCATTCTGTGGTGGTAGAGATGCCATCCATACAAAATGTTGGCCCAGTCGGGCGGGCGCTGCAGATGTAGTGCTACAGGAAGTTGCCGCGTCGGTTCGCGCTAGAATGTCGTATGAGGTCGATGGGACACTCTCGGGTGTAAAAGCGGCAGGAAGAGGACAGGGATTAGGGCGGTAAAAGAAGCAGCCACGCCTAAGGTACTCTGGAGAGCCTGCCATCCTCGGTTTGGATGGGGCCTTCGGGGCGCCTGCCATTTTATGCTGCAGGCTGAGGTGGAACAGACTTCATACGCCCAGAGACATTCAAAACATCTCTTGCACGCCCAGGTGAATGTCACTCCACCTAGGTATGCCGGAGGACTTTGAAAATTAAGGGAATTAACACGCCTGGTATCGCTATGCCAACTGAAAGCAGGCACGTAAACATCTAAGCTGAGCAACTTCCTAACGTGAGGGCACTCTTTACAATATGCAGCTGCTGTATTCTGAGCGTCCTTGGGTCTTGAGATGGCATCTGGCCCCGCCTGGAAGTCAGACCTTCGAGGCGACGTGAACAACCTCCAATATGGATCTCTCGAGAAGTCCAAGATACCAAAGTATCGCCTGTCCGGTCATGGACGGGTGATCGGTCTTGACAGGAGTTTTCGCATCTCTACACACTCTCAAGAGCACCGCGAAGTCATCACCGGCAGTTTTGACTTGCCTTCTCGTCGGAAGGACCAGTCTCTCGCTACCGCAAGACTTGGACCAGAACAGCAAATCACCAGCGCTCAAGAGTCATTGCATGACCCCGTTGAAGAACAATCCAGCTATGTCGCTTTTGATCATCCACGCAAGCGAGTCAAGCTCTCACCTGGGCATGATCCACGATTCTCGAAGGCATCAGTGCCGATGCAGATACCGACGATGGGAGCTCGACAGAGGATGACGACACTGCCGTCATTGGGCTGAGCCCGGAACAGGCTTCGACGAGGATCCAACTGGACGAGGTGCATATCCGGCAAAGGAAGTTAACGAATCAAGTCACCGATGACCCAGAGGACGTCAAATCCTGGCTAGATCTCATTGACCACCAAGCGCTCGTTGTACGAGGATCCGACCGCGCTGATCTCAAACTCACTCGAAGCCAACGGCAAACACTCATCTCTATGCGCATTGCGCTGTATGAACAAGCCCTTGCAAAAGTCACTCAAGCCACTGCACGCCAGACTCTTGTGGCTGGCTTGATGAAAGAAGGCAGCCAGATTTGGGACCACGAGAGGCAAGTATCTGAATGGGAGAGAGTACTCAAGACCGGTCCATCGTTCGAGCTTCGACTGCTGTATCTCAACTTTCTCATGAGCGCCTCTCGGAGCTTCTCCTGTGAGCATGTTCTGGAAGTGATGTCAGGATACTTTGGCTTGTACAGGCGCGAGTCTGCTAGCCGCGTACGCGACAGGCAGCTTATTCATCTACTCTCCCGTCTAACTATGTTCTTGAGTCAAGCTGGCTTCCGAGAGCGGGCGTTTGCAATCTGGCAAGCCAATCTAGAGCTTGCATACTACAAGGACGAAAGTCTGATCGATCCCATCACCGAGTTCGAACACTTTTGGGACAGCGAACGTCCACGAATCGGTGAGGCTGGTGCAAAAGGATGGACTCGGTCGACCGATTCTGTGGCACGGACAGAGGATTTGAGTGCTGAGGCGATGTCGCATTCGGGACAAGATCAGCTTAACGACTACGCATCGTGGGCCGCATCGGAAGCGCAAGTTTCCAATCGTCAAACGCTTCCTGCGCGAACGAGTGAGAATAGCACAGATCCATACCGAGTGATCTTGTTTGCTGACATCGAGCCATACCTGTTCTGTGATTTCGCACCCGAGGAAGACGATTTGCTCAACGCCTTTCTGAGGTTTTGCGAGTTACCTCTACACGATGCTATCGACGGCGATAGTGCAATCGATACTTTTCTGTGGAATAAGTCTCCCTTCGCCGACGGCAGTGCACCAAGTGACACCTTCGGGCTCGCGCAATATGTCACTCCAGACACGAACGAACGCATGTCGACGACCGCGGCTTCGCCTGTGCCAAAAGACAACTTGCAACATACTCCACTAGTGAAGACAGCAGTCGAAGTACTGCAACAGATTCTGAGCTCTCGGACCGGCGACGAAGATCTGGCAGACTATATTTTGACTTTTGAGTCTTTTGACTCAAGGTTGAACCCATCAAAAGCCCGGAAACTAGCGAAGAAGTTTCTAAAGCAATTTCCATCCTCGATTCGCCTTTACAACACTTACGCCGATATTGAGGCTCGGTCCAAAGGGCTTCGAGCCGCGGAACAGATATGGCTCACAGTCTTGTCAATGCTTGGGCGCGCAAGCGTTGGCCGCATCCGCGAGCGTCTGTCAATCCTGAGATCATGGGCATGGCAATGCACTCTAAACGACCAAAGTGGAAGAGCCCTGCAAGTGCTGAGCAATGCCCATTTGACGGCACCAATCCTTGACGCGACACAGCCCACATCAGATCATCAGCTTCAACAAGCAGAGTCGTTTCTATGGTCTGAGCTGTCCAGAGCACACGCGAAGCCCGCGCTGGAGGAGCTGGTTCTGATCGTTCAACTGCTAGCCTTGCTACAGTATCACTTCAAGGACCGTGATCTCTCAACCAGCTTACAAGTCTACGAGCAGTGTCTCGCGCTTTCGACATTCCTGTCAGCGCACCTGCCAGCGACGACCAAGCGAGCACTCGAACAGCTACATGTCCACCGCAACGAACTCATTTCACACCATATGCGCTCTCCTGGCACGCAATTCAAGCCAAAGCAGATCATAGCCTCCCTCCAAGACTCATGTCGAGCGTTTCCGCACAACCTGGTCTTCCGCAAACAGTACAACATCTTCGTCCAAAACCACGGCGGCATCGATCGCCTGCGAGCTACCGCCATGTCTCTGCAGTCCACGAGCGAGATGACTCTGATTGACCATCTGTCCAACGTCCACACAGCATTGTCTCTTCCAAGCTATCAGGGCGGAACTGAGCATGTCATTCGAGCTGCATTTCAGCACGCCGTACTCCCGCCAGGAGAGAAAAATGACGACGTCTCGGCTTCTCGCAGCACGTCGACCAACATCCGTTCCTGTCCAGCGATCAACGTTGCCTTCCTAAAATGGGAGCTGTCACTCCTGAGAGCACTTCCATCTCACGAAACCACGGTCTCTCGACGCACGAGTCAGCCCTCGGCGAAGCGCGACCAAAAGGTCCGGAACCGACAAGTCCAGAATGTGAGAAAAGCATTCCGTGTCGCAGTTGGGAATTGTCCCTGGGTGAAGGAGATCTACCTGCTGTACTTTGACGAGGCGCTGCGGGATGAGATCTCGGTCAGTGAGTGGGAAGAGGTATATGAGAGTATGCTTGAGCGTGGGTTGAGGATCTGTGTTGAGCGTTGATGCCGAAATAGTCGAGGAAAGGGCTGTGAGGTAGTTCATCGACATCGAAGGCGATCGACGATCAGGTGCTTGACCAATCAGTGCCTTGACCTGACTCTCAATACTCACTGTCGTGTAACTTGGCACACTGTATTAGAAAGCATAACGTGACAACGAATTTGACGCAGCACAGTCGTCTGAGAACAAAACACCATCAAGTAACCTCCTCGACTACGCTCGCCCCATCAAGTAGCAATAGAAGCTATCTTGTATGGCAAGGGTGAGCAGGGTTGGTGATCGGCGCGCCTGAGGAAAAAGAAAGGAGAAGAAAGGTCGAGGGCAAGACGACTACTTATACCTCTTCCATGCGAAGTGAAGATCGGTGACGCACCATGGTAATCCGCTGCGTGACTCGGTCAGGATATTCACTGTTTGCTGCATGATTCAGCCCAGGCTGCCGCGCAGAGTGAATTGACCTATTGACAATGTTTCACCGCTGATACTGACGAAAGTCTCACTCGAGGTTGAACCGGTGACCATCTCGACGGTATCGTAGTTCCGATGAGGACTCGCAACGTAGTCTAAACGCAATTCGCGATTATTTCCGCCATTTTTGGTCTAATAGGATGGGCCTGTTAGACCGCATGCGCATGGCTGGCATTCTCGGAGCGGCAAAGTCGCGTCGTACATCTACAGGAGTCTGTTGATGCAGGTAATCGGCGGTCGTCTTCGACGCCAGACTGGCTGAGATGGCGTGCGGGTAAGATCTCGTGGGTTGCGGTGATGGTAGGCCATAACAGACCGATCAGGGCTATCTTGGTTGTGAAGACTGTTCGATGTGCAAATCAATCACTTGGCTATGGTATCGGGTTGCGTTCGGTAAGGTGCCGAAGCGGAAGTCGTTGTCGTCGTGTGATCGGGAGCATATGCTGAGACATAGTCAGCAAACACGGTGAGCATCTGCTCAGGAAAAAGAATGCGCATGTAGGTAAGGGCGATTATTGGTAGGAACGCCAGCAGGTCCGACAAGACTTGGACGGACGAGGTCTGAGTAGGCGCAAGAAGTCCTACCTGGCAGTCTTATAGGATGAGTGGCCCTGATGTCTGATGCGAACTAGGCCTCTGGGACGAAAACGCCAGGTCAGGTCGGATCCACAAAGGACGTGCAGACACGAGCCCAAGAGCCATGTATCCTGGACCCACGCCGTTGCAGCGTCACAGTAGACCGCAGCTGTCAAAGTGATGTGCAGTGCATGATGTCTTGCATCTGTCTAGAGCAGGTCGCCTAGTATATGCAGGCATACGAACGACGTTCGGATGGTGGGTAGTGCCGGATAGAGGCTGCATATGCTACTCAAGTCAGGCCTGCGTGGCCAGGCACCGAGAGGGGTCGGTGGCAAGCCCCCTCCTTTGACGCTCCGGAAGAAGTAGGGATAGCCAATAGTAGAAGTGCTGCGGCCGACCCAAGGAGCTGGTCTGCCAGTCAACTGCGAGGAATTGCGAGTCTGAGGCCCAGGGGACGGCAAGGATCGTGCCGCACTGCAGGACGCAAAGCGTCTGTATTTGGTTGCAGAATCGTCGAGAGTCAATCCTTCAGAGAAGTCCAGTGAGCGAAGCTTTTTGCTCTCGCTTTCCTGCTTGGAACACTGAGGTTGCAAAGTGGGTGTGACGAAGACATTCGCCGCTTGAGGACGTGGGGGCACATCAAGCAAAGGAGCTCTCCTCGTAATGATCGTGCGGCAACCGGATTTGGAAGCCTCCTGCTTCATAGTGAGGGTACGATTGGATGGATTCAACGCTTGCGGAGTGTTTGGACTGATTGGCGTGCTTTCGGCTGCTGGGTGAGATTCAATGCCCTGTTCTAGGATACCGCCGATATTCAATCGTTGATCGCCAACGGTAGCTGGGAAATCCAGGCATAGATCCCATGATAGCCGCGATGGCATGTTCGGTTGGCATGTGTCACATGGCCATGTGATCTGGTGCGTGGGGCCGCCGGTGCCACCAGTAATCCGACAGGGGTGTCCAAGAAGTCCGATCCGATTTTTGGCTGGTGATACAAGATCTGGCCACGGCGCAGCGGTGCAGGTCCAACGGCTCCCGTGGATCAGGTCACACAACATGAACAGACGAGATCGTCAAGTCTATGGCCGAGGTGACACAGCATGGCGAGGCTGGATGGCGATCTTCTGCGCCCGGCAGAAGCGACGAGAGCTTCATTCAACGTCGTGATTGTAGCGCTGCAAACACTGGTAGCTTCTTTGATGTCTGAACAAGGTTGCGCCGTGACCTGTGTACCATGTTATGTCTGGCTCAGCTTGACGACGATCTTTGGTTGTTTGTGGGCGGTCCGGACCGGAAGCAAACGTGGTTATCGCTCACCGCTCAGATCCCTTGAACGAACGAACAGGCGGTGTGACTTGCATGAGATCGAGCATCCGATTACTTACATATGATCTGCAGATCTATAGATCTCTCCGATGAACTATAGATCCACGTCAAAGAGCCGCATCTTGCCATGTACGTGCCATTTGTGGACAAACCAAGTTCAGGTTGAAGACGAAACGTCTGGAGCAGCCCTGCGAGCCTGGTAGGTGCACACAATTAATTTCGCAACTGTCTTTCGAAATTGCGGTGCTTAGTCATCACGACGGGATATTTTTCGTTCATTCTTCGATCATATCAGTGCTTGCACCTCACGTCTTAGCATACTTGTTGATCTCCTGAGCATCGAGGTACCGTTGAGGCAGCGCAGCTACGAGTTTCGTCATACCAGGATGAGCACACAAGGCCTCCAAAGTCACGTTGCGGAAATGTGTCGCAGTCGACAAGATCTCGCATGCAGCTAGACATTGGAAGCGGGTGAGCCTCTGCGGAATCTGTAACGTTGACCTTCGGCAGTTCTACACTCGACATCCCCGCCGGTCTATGACTCGACGACATTGCGCCTTGCATCTGTAGCTCGATGCATGATGTCGTGAGGACATGTCGACCAAGTACGCCATAGGCCATTTTGTGCCGCGTACCATCTATGCGCTGTCAAAACAGGGGCAGAGAACCGAGCGAATTTGCGGGAAGCCGCAACGATCGCACGTTTACCGCAGGACCTGGTGGAATCTGCTTGCATGCTCATGCGGAGTTTCGTCGTCGAGCTGGAGCAACGAGTTGGAAAGCTGGCGGGCGAGCTGCGAATGCGTCACGACAAAGATCTTTCAACGTGATCCTGATGGATACATCGCAAAAACCTTTACAAGAACTGCTGTGTTTGGTGAGTCTGCAGAACGGCGAAGAGCCATGGGCCGGGCCACCGAACGGTTCCGGTCTTTTATCGGGTACCCTTTGCTCGTGTGGATAGCTGGTTTTCGTGTTGCATCACGCCGTTGCTAGTTTGTGTAGGCGATGGACCTCTCTCACAGGGCAACATAATACCTCGTCTCACGGCTCGCGACACGGCATCGGCAGGAAGCTGCAAACCGCTTGTCCTTGCATGTCAGATGTAAGCCGAACAAGCCAATGTTCTGTAACAGCCAGATGCTCGAATGGTCTAACCTCCAGCACGAGTTCGTCAGTCGTAGAGGGGGAAGATTGTGGGGTTGACAGGTCGAAAAACGCCACGATAATGCAAACCTCGACTAAGGCAGCCACTGGCCAGGTTGCCCCTCAATGGCCGGGATGATGGCCGAAAATGAGGCCCACTGACGATCTGCGAAGAGCTCTTTGATGGCATATGACAGCTGATCGAGGATGATCGCTCGAGCTTGATCGTCATGCCCCAATGGTGAGAACATGATTGTTAGTTGACTTCAATAGTGCATGATTCAGACACAGCATCACGAGCGTTGACCAAGCTCATCGACGATTCACATGCTTTTCCTTTAGGCTCATTGAGCACAACCTGGATATTCGTCAAGTACAGCGCAGCAGAATATGCATATCGTGTGTGTCGTACGACTGAATGTTCAAGGAAGTATCATCCACCTAGCACAGGACTGCTTCCTGGCGAGCAGTCTTGGCTGGTCATGGATCCAATTCACAACTTAGCACCGCTACACAGTCAGGTAATCCTGAGCATTGCATATTCTAGCTGTCAATAGTTTATATGGCTAGTTGAAAGGCTACCCCAAGCGAAGTTCGCGAGGGAGCGAAAAGAGAGCGGGAGAACGAAAACAGCAGCTCGATACACTCTGTGCCTAGCTCTGACCAGCAGGTACGATAAGCCTAGCAACCTGCGTGAAAGCTTATGCAGTGGCGGGCATGTGTGTCCACGAGCAATAGGATGCAGATGATGTGAGGCCGAAGATGGCCGCGTGCGTACTGTCAGATCATTGAGCTGCCATCCACGAAGCTTCAGACTTAGCTATTGCACTGAATAATGCACTGACCAGCTCGTCCGAGGACGTGTCTCTTCATCAAAGCATATCTGTCGACATGGCGGGGGTCCCAGATAGAAAACGATAGTTTTCGATTAACCTGCGGGCGAGGCCGCTCGTGAGTTGCATCACGCAACAGAGCATTGCGCCATCTGGCGGGGTGGGGCAAAGAACTGGCCGGGTTGGCGGGATAGGTTGGACCCTGGACAGGCCTGCTGCTCGAACGCATCGTTTCGCAGATAAATTCTTTGTGGCTATCATGACCGATTCAGGCCAATGCAAATGGGTCTGCTACGTGAATTGACACTTGGTAATAATGGCTATGAAGACGCGTTACCTGCGTTGCCTGCTTCCGTGTCTGTCTGAGAAAACTCGTGCAGGGACGGCCTCGGTCATCGGCTATCGGAACCACAGGTTCATCACAACCCAGAGTAATCGTTCAAGTAAGATTTTGTTGAGTCAAACATCTCGCACGAACGCTCGAGCATCTGGAGAGTGTTGGTGGGGTTGATGGACTTGGGAAGTCCGAGCGACTTGCTCCGTCGCCAGTGCTCGCCTGAGCTACTTTGCGAGCTACTCTCACGAATGTTGACTCGTCTCGGTCTGGAAAGTCATATCTTCACCTTCTTCATTGAGTGGTTTCCTTCTCTCAGAGGCTTGGTAGATATGCTTATGCTTGTGGTTCGGCCTTCGCGGTCGGACTTGGATGTATGTGACTCCGTTTGCATGTGGCGGAAAAATGGCTTTGTGGCATGTGCATACTCACGCTGTATCAGAATATGTACACATGAGGATATTCTTGATGTTCAGAAGGACAGGCCTGCAGTCACGGTTCGTGCTCGGCTGATCTCACAACGTCTGGAAAATAATTCCCTGCGAGTCGTGAAATAAGGATCAATATGACATGGGCACATCCTGGCTGAGGCCGTATTCGCTGCAAAACACACTGGCGCTGAACTCGAATAGAATAACATTTGCGATCATCAGCGCTGGAGCGTGCTGAAAGAAGTTCGGGATTATTTGCAGGGTGCATATTCGTATCTTTCTGAAGTGTTGATGGTCAGCAACGATAACAGCTTCGAACCACAATAATAAGCCGCCCCATGTAATTCCTGACGTGTTGCTTGCCTTTCCACCGGCTGCTCTGTGAAGCAGTCGCTCAGCGCGTTCCCCCGACCACTGTACCCCTCCACTTCTGCCAGGCCGCCGTGGCTTGCAAGAGTCGAGCTTAGCGCGAAGCAGTCGACAGACGAGGGCTAGGTCCAGCCTAGTTTTTAGCACGAGCGTCTTCGCGCCTTGTCCTTGGCCCCACTCTTCTTTTCGACCTCTCGACCTCATTGCCTCTCGAATAATTCCTCTCCTCCACCACGGCGCTTCCCTCCACTGCGCATCGAGAACTGCTGATTTAGTTGCATGACCAGTAGTCTTTACTAGAGTCCATGCAAGCAATCCTCTCGATGCTACTTTTTGATGCGCAGCGCTCCTTCGAGACAATCATGGGCCCACCTCCATCTCACATCGCATCCTGTTCCTGGTTTGTGACTTGAATCAATTTCTTCACTTGAACCTCGTTTGCACCTCGCCTCTTCCTGATATTGCCCCCACCAACCAATCATTCACCCCGCCTTGTACTTTTCGCTGCTCACTGCACACTGCGAGGCGACTCATCAGACACCACGCTGCGGCTAATGGTTTGACGCTATCCTCACGTCTCCAGGGCGTTCATGCCAAACATCTTCACTACTTGACTACCCTGTCACGACGTACATTGCAAGGCACTACTTCACGCAGACACCCCAGTTTGACTAACTTAAGTTACTTTCAAACACATCGTTCTTTTCTGCTCGAACGCCGGCCGATCATCTTCTTAATCTCGACTACGCACCTCTTCCCTTCGTCACTCACCACCTCTTGTCGTTCGACCACCTCCGTCGGAATCAGTCTCGTGGTACTTCAGTCGAGTGGTTGCCTCTTCGCAATTCACTCATTCGGTCGTTTCAGAGGTCACATGCACACCTAACTCGCTATCCTCCATATCACGGTCTCAAACGACGTAGTACCTGGGATCCGCCAATATGCTGGGTCTAAGCTACTTCCAGGGCTTCTGTCTGCTCTTGTGAGTATAATCAGTCCGAGCTGTGACATGTTGCTGACCTTACATCAGTTTCTATCGGTACTTCCGGCTCATCGTCAACCTGTGGTCTTTCTGGACCTTCAAGCCAATCCCGATCCCCGACAACCCTACTCTGACCAACAAAGATGTCACAGTCATTCTACCATCACTCGATGGCGAAGGAGAAGAGTTGGAGCGAACCATCAAATCAATCTTAGCCAATGAGCCATTCGAGTTGATCGTGGTCACGGTGGATGACAACTTGGAGAAGGCACAGAAGACCATTGCGAAGACACCTGCGGGACAGCAGGGTCGTCTGCGATGTATGTCGATCAAGCAAGCCAACAAGCGACGTCAGATGGCCCGAGCTATCCCAGAAGTCAAGACTGAGATCGTCGTCTTTGCTGATGATGATGTGGATTGGCCTGCTAAATTGCTGCAATGGATCCTCGCCCCATTCGAGAGCAAGATCTACGGCGGTGTGGTGACCTGTCAGCGCTTGAGAAGAGCCGAGAACCCGTCCTTCACTCAGCGCATCTATGGCTTCCTCGGTGCCTGTACCTCGAACGCCGCAACTTCGATTGTGCTGCAACATGCCACATGGATGGCGGAATGGCTTGTATCTCGGGTCGTACCTGTGCCTACCGGACTAGCATCCTTCAGGATCACAAGTTTACCGATGGCTTCACTACCGAAAGCTGGTTCTTCGGACGCTACCAGCTCAACGCTGACGACGATAATTTCATCACACGCTGGCTCGTCAACCACAAGCACGAGGTTTACATGCAGTATCACCCTGAGTGCGAGGTCAAGACCACCTTGGAAGACAACTCGAAATTCATCAACCAATGCCTTCGCTGGGCACGCAGCAACTGGCGCAGCAACTGTACCAGTCTGTTCGTTGAGCGCAATATCTGGTAGTAAGTCACGTCTCTGACATCCATTTCAGGATTCAGACTAACCGATGTTCTTAGTCAGCAGCCATGGAGCACGTATGCGGTCCAGCTTACCACAGTCACTCAACTTGCTGCCCTTGGTGATGTCGGTCTTTGGTTCTTGCTCTACAAAGGTGTCGCCGATTGGCCTGAGGCTCGTGCCCATCAAGCGTATTGGCTATTGGGCAGTTGGATGATCTTCTCCAAGTTCATCAAGCTGATCACGCACTTCGTTCGCTATCCCGTCGACATCATGTTGTGGCCAGTATCAGTCTTGTTCGGTTGGCTGCACGGCATCATCAAGATCTACGCACTGCTCACTCTCAACGAGGTATGTCGTTCTAGTATCCTGCGCACACAAATGCTGACATATCACAGACGACATGGGGCAGCAGAGCAGGTGCAGATGCCGACAACAAGGATCGCATGATTCGCGGCAATCGAACACCCTTCCGACCGGAGTACCAATACTTCTACGAGGATAACAACGAGAAGATCCCGCTCCGCGAGGACATGATTTCCTACGAGACACGACTCTCCGCTGTGGCTGCTTGAATGCAGGTCCGGCTGTAATTACTTTCACGACCCCTTAACTCGATCTCCAGTGATCAAAATTCTACCCCAGGTCTTATGAGGCGTCCTTTGGCAGGTTTTCGAAAAGCATTGCTTGCAAGCGAAATGTCTGCGAATAATGCAGACGAAAATTATGGGCGGCATTCTATTCTCACCTTCTTCGTTGCCAGCAGCATCAAGCTCGGCGAAAAGCGGATTACCCCTTCAGTTGCAGGCGTTAGTGGAACTGTGCTCGATAGACCGAGGCGGCCCCTGGATTGGATTCATTCATGCACAAAGACTGCATGGCACGGCGTTATTATGGCTAATTGACGGATATGTCAAACGACTGGGATGAACGCATGGAAGGCACGAAATGCTTCATGACTGCGAGTCAAAATGAGAAAGCACCTGCACATTTTCAATGCTATCCGGCACTCTCATTCCGGTCAGACCTGCCTTGGCACTAGTCACTCTTGTATCGCGCTTGACACCCCTGTGCGTAGGACTATGTGTGTCGAGAGGTATGCTCTGCGCCTCGACGTAATTGCTCGACAGGCCTACGTTCCCATCGTTCAAATGTGATACAGGCTCACTTCGACCGGCACCATCACTTGCTTTTGTTTTTCGAGAACGGCACGTGGCAGTGCATCATACTACAGGAAGCATTCACGACCGTGCTCTTTTTGAGGAGTCGTGCAAATTCAGCCCCGATCTCAATCGCTTCAGATCGCAACGGACGGAAGCTGAGTGGATGGCCCGTACCGCTGATCGTCCTACTACCCGATGAACTCCCCACCTTCGATTGCAGATCTTTTCTTTCCGCAACGAACCTCCGTTCATCAAGTTTTCGTACTTCGAAACCACCGCCGTGCCGAGAGCGGTCGCCCTCTAATTACAAGCTTCATTCAGAGCTGGCCCATCGAGCAGACCACGACGAAAAGCCGGAAGTACACATCCACAGCAATTCCCTGATTGAGATCAAATTGGCAAATATACCATAGCATTGTTACACAAGCATGCCCGCCGGAACATCAGATGCAACGCTCATGCAGTCAGACCAACCTCGCCAGTATCTTTACCTACTGCAGGCACTTATGTTGTGCAACCACACCTCCAGGAGAGCATGCAGTCGATGCGCTTCCGAATTGGCTCTCGACGCGCGGCAATTCGATGCTCGTGCGAGCAATGTTGCCGCGAGCAGGTAAATGTAAAATAGGCAGGTACCTTGCAGCTGCAGGTACAAGGGTGTCCTGACCAGGGGGAGAAGAACGAGGGAGAGCTCTGCGAGGGGATCTGCAACATTTTCTTCTTAAGCTTGCCGTACGTTGCATGCTTCATTTCGTCTCTGAGTATGCGAGAGAGGCTGGCATTTGTTCCAAGTGCCGAGTTCCCAACATTTGTCGTTACGTGTGCAAGCGAATGCCAACGAGATCAATGGAGGCTGGGTGTCTCGACTTTCGTACCGCGTGTGCCCAAGAATGACGTCGTTAGAGCCCGGAAGAACTTGATACCGGCTCGAGCTCGATCAACCTACATGCTTGCCGCCAGCTACACGACATCGACGATAATATGGAAGTCGTCGCCACATGTCGCGCAACTCGTCGGCGAGATCTATCCTCGAGTTGCTGCTGACTTGTTCCACGACACTGCGTCATGCGTGCCAGAGCGGCGAGCGATTTGGCCAGCAGTCAGCGTACGCGTTCACAGGACATCACGGCAATCGTTTGCAAACAGGAAGACATGATCATACATCTCTATGCAACGCTACACATGACCGTCTCGAGCGCATCCTGAGGCACGCTGTTCGCGCGAGACACAAAATAGGTCTGATTCCAATTTCCATGTTCCCCGCCCTTGCGCACGAGTTCTTCCCCTTCGCTGGAATGCGTGTGCACAGACGACGATCGTGCCATGCCTCGGCGGTCGTCCTCATTCCAGGCCTACGCAATAAATACAGACTTACCCAGCCATGTTCATGATTTTGTCTTAAGTGGTGAAGGCTTCCACAGAGTTTCTGTCTGATCTGTCAACCTCGTTGTGGCACTATGGCTCGCCGCAGTCTTTCCGTCCTACTGGCGGCATGTGCAGTCTTGGCACAATGGGCGCAAGCGACGCCAGTACACAGTCACCGGGCAGCGCATATCGCAGCGCGGCCCAGACACTCACACGATGCTCCATCAATACGGCACCTCGAGATACCTGAAGAACCAGAAACCAGACTTGGCCGAAGATCAGAGAACGACACCTCAGACGATGTCGACGATCGAACGTGGCTTGATGACCATTCCGATCTGCAACAAAGCGATCTCGCTGATTTGCTGGATGAGCTAGGCCTCAGCTACGGTGACGTGAGAGAACTTGTCAAAAGATATGGCGCGGGTCAGACGCCTCCACAACAATGTACCAGCACTGTCACGACGACCCTACTGCCGACAGCGACTGCTTCTCAGCCATCAAGTCAGCCGACGAACAGCAGGCCACCTCCAAGTAGCGGGACCGGAGCCAGAAACATGAATGTGGTCTACTACGCCCAGACGCCAGCCACCGCTCAGGTGCCTCTCACAACGATATGCAACGATACCAACATAGATATCGTCATACTTGCCTTCGTCACCGATCTCTTCACTGCCGGAGGCTATCCAACAGTAAGTTGACCTGTATACCAAGACCATCTCACAGAGGACCCTAGCCGTGGCTTCCACCTTTCCCGCACCCGAGCCTCATTTACCCACGGGATGTTTTCGCTAACGTTTCGATTTCCCAGCTGAACCTCGGCTCCAAATGTTGGGCCGCCTCAGAAGCCCAAACATCTCTCGGCGCCACTGGCCTAATCGACTGCGTTGGCGATGGCTTTGCAGCTCAAGTCAGCCAATGTCAAGCCTCTGGCAAGAAGTCATGCTCTCGCTAGGCGGTGCGATCTCGAACATGGCTATACCTTCCGCCTCGGCCGCCTCCACTGCGGCCCAAAACATCTGGGACTTGTTCTTGGGCGGCGGACAGGGCAATTCTGCCGTCCAAGCTGCGCGTCCCTTCGGCTCCGTCGTCTTGGACGGCATCGACCTCGACAATGAGACTCCCGCTGACGCGACTTATCAGCCTGCACTTGCTACAGCGTTGCGAAGTCTTATGGACGCAAGTGCGAACGCCGGCGGTAAGCAGTACTTGCTCAGCGCAGCGCCACAGTGTCCACGTCCAGATCAGAGCCTGCCGATCGCGCAGATGTTGGGGGTGTTGGATTATGTCTGGGTGCAATTCTTCAATAACCCCAGTTGCAATGTCAACGCTGGCTCGGGTTTTCTCGCCAGCTTACAAGCTTGGTCCAATGACCTCGCGGCTGGTGCACCATCCGCTGCGTCGACGATAACGACCGGTGGAGTGGTCAACGGCATCATCGGCGAACCAGTGATGCAGACTGGCACACCACCACGCCCTAACAAAAGGCAGGATGGGCAGGATATCGAAAGCCGAGCCCAAATGCTGACTCCCGCCCGCGCACCGCCCAAACTTGTTATCGGAGTGCTCGCCACAACAGTCGGGACGGGCAATGTCGATCCCCCGACCCTGTCCGGGATCCTGACACAGGTGAAAGGCTTGGGCGGACTCAGCAATTTGGCTGGGGTTATGTACTGGGATGGCAGTTACGAGGAACTGAGTGGTCAAGGGGGCGCGAAGAGTTATGCGCAGGTTGTGCGGGAAGTTTTGGCTTGAGGGCCCCGGCAGCGATACAAAGCCTGAGGAGTGTGAGTTCTCTAACGCATGGAGATGGCGGTATGGCGGTGTCACTCGGGTGGGGAATTGCATTGTCGGGTCTGGGAGAAGGTCTCACGAAGGTGAGTGCATTTCGAATTCATATTCCCCCTTGCATGGCTCAAGGCATATTTGGATAGACAGCAATGAGATTAGCGTAATGCATGCTATGATGTCCAGGGCTCGCTTGCGTACGTGTAATGACTCGGAAGCGTGGAATTGCTGTGTCACAACCTCAGCATATCGTCTCAACGCTGCCACGATAGGGTGCCACTTGGATCGGGGCTGTGGGCGCATTACCACCTCTTGCACGATGTAAAAGATGTCGTAGAACTTCCGAGATCAGCAGATGGCTTCGGCTGTGTCACTCGTGGACGAACTCAAATTCCCTCCGGCACGTAGCTCCAATCCCTGGGACTGAGCCTCACCTCACCTTCGACACCCCCGAAAAGCCCAACCGCAACATACAGATCCCCCTCGCCTTCCAATCCCGCAATACCCTCCCCACCGCCGACATCCTTATCCCGCTCCTCGTCCACATCCCACCCACCAACCTCGCTCCCATTCCGCGTCACAAAACACCGCGTCTTGACCGTAACATCCGTCTTCGCCTCTGTGCTAAACCGCATCCCCACCCCGAACGTCTCGCCTGCCACGAGCGGCTGCTGGAGCATCTCAACACCACCGCCAGAGTCATTGACATACCGCCTTCCATCGTCGGAGTGCACGCCGATAGAAGCGCGGTTCCAGCCTGGCAGGCGCCATGGTGGGTAGGGCTTGCCGGCGAAGCCGATCCCAAAAGCTGAGTTGGCGTCCGCGAGTTTGATAATCAGGAGCTCGAAGTAGATGGTCTTGGGGCGTTCGGTGTGTAAGGGGTGGTGGGCGGCGGCGAAGTACAGCGGGAGGTTGGAGAGGGAGACGACGTCCCGGTGATGGGGTTTGGTGCGGATGTGGAAGACTTGTGGGCGGGGTTGGGTGAGACTAGCGGAGCGGGCGAAGGGTTCGGGGCGCTCGAGGATTAGTTGCTGGTTGTTGGAGGCGGTGATGAGGGAGTCGGAGGGGGCAACGGGGGAGTATGGTGGGAATTGGGCGCACCATTGGTAGGCGGCGTCGGCGGCTTCGTCGCTGGCGTTGTTGGTTGGAGAAAATTCGCTGGGAAAGGAGGGTGGTGGCGGGAGGAGGGAAGTGTCTGGGACGGAGGTCCAGTCGTGGTAGGGTTGAGGATTGGAGGTGGGTGGTGGGTTTGAGGGTGGTTGATATTCTCCTTTGCCGGTTGAAGAGGGTGGCGGACCAGAGGGAGGTGAACATGGCGGCGCTGAGGATTGTGCTTGTGGTTGGTTTGAGCGGGATGAGCCGCCGAACATACGCCGCTTGTCGTTGGCAGCGGACAGCTCGTCGTGCGTGCCGGAGGTGTATTGTGGATTCTCGTATTGCTGGTCTGACGTGCCTACGTCCACTTTCCCCTTGAGCGATTTGAAGAAACCCATGGTCGCCGTTCGCGAGGTGGAGAGAACGCTTGTCTGGCGTTACCGTGTTAGACTTGTATCGATTATCGCTATCGTCAATACAGATACCGAAACCTAAGCACACGTGCCAATTTCTTCGAAGATCAAGCAACGGAATATATATGCCGGTGTTTGGGGTTTGTTTGCTAGTCGAATTATTTGCCTTCGTAGGGCGGTCCTGATCAAGTCGCCCGAGGAGTCCACGGGCGAACTTACTATCACAGCGCTGCTCGTCGTCTTGAAGCAAAGGCGAGAGTAGAGAAACGTCTGTGCTGGCACCGAAGGCGATATCTTGATGGACGTTGAGGCAGTGCCTGAAACGGGGGTCTGTCATTGGTCGCCCAATATCGCGGACTTCGCTTTGACCTTCATGACGAAACGAGACGACTCAAGTTCACTCATCACTTGCAATGTTGACAAGCACAAAGTCGATGAACCTTTCGTAGCTTGACGGCTGTCCAGCACACTTTCAAGACTACGTTCGACATTTCTTCAAACTATTCTGCCGAGCTAGAGCCCACGGACAACGTGAAGTTGCTGAGCTAGGAACCTTTTGGCATCCTTGGAAGGCAGTGACGGCCATGTCTCGATCACATCCGCTCTTTCAACGCTTCGATTCCACAATGTCGAATTTGGACGCAGTAGCGACTGATGCCAGCTTCTCCACTACGGCGGGCGTCCACGACTCATTCAGGCACCTTGCTTCTCCGCGAGGACTGTCTCGGCCTCAGGCTTCTCGCTGGAAGGTGTGACCCGACCACCAGGGGCTGCCGAAACCAGTCCAACCTCCCTGTTGATTTGGTCCATGCGCTCCTGATCAGCAGCTGCAACACCGCTGCTTCCGAAGACGATGTCCATCTCCTCAAGGGTCAGTTGCTTGGTCTCAGGTACGATGAACCAGACGAACGCAGCACCAAGAGTAATGAGGCACCCGAAGAGAATAAATGTGCCTGGATTGGATCAGTAAATTCACATGAGGCTCTAGATAACGCGGCCTACCATAACGGATACCATCGATCATGTCAACAGTGACCTGTCCGACGATGAAATTGTTCATCCAATTGCTAGATGCGCCCAGAGCAATACCGTACGGGCGGGCAGACAAGGGCCACACTTCTGCGACGACGATCCACGCGCTATCTCGTTATCAGTGTCTGTCCGGAAAGGATGGCGATCCAACTTACCAAGGTCCCCATGACCATCCAAAATGCACAACAAAGAGCCAAACCATGACGATGGCCGCCCAGCCAGCTGCTTGGTGTGTCGGCCATTGATTTTCATTCTTGGCATAAATTATGGCGACGGTGAAGTGGCTAAAGGCCATGCCCAGAGCGCCAAGAGCCAAAGCTGGTCTTCTTCCAATGCGATCGATGTAGATCATGGATGGAATAGTGGCTAACAGCATCACGATTCCAACAACGCCAGTCGCCAGCAAATTCGTGGTGTTTCCGGAGAGACCGAGACCATTCTTGAAGATAATCGGAGCATAGTAGAGAATGGCGTTGATACCTGTCCATTGCTGGAAAAACATCGTCACTGTTGCAACGACGACTCTTCGAAACATCGGCTTGGTCCTAAACAGAGAACCGATGGCAACAAATTGGAGTTTGATGGTACTCGACCAGCTCTGATCGGCGAGATGAGGGAACTTCTCCTGTGTCGTGCGCTTCTCAAACAACGACTGGGCTTTGATCTCCATGAACTCGAGCTCCACCAGTTCGTGATCTTCGGGCAGTGATCTGAGCATCGCCAGGGTCTTTTTCGCCTCCGCCTCCCTTCCATGATGGGCCAACCATCTAGGAGTGAATGGCATGAAAGACATCCCGACCAGCAAGATCACGGCAGGAATGAATTGAAGTGCAAGCGGCAGGAGCCACGCGGTCTTGCTTTGCGTCTCACCAGTACCGCCGATATAGTTACAGCCATAATCGATCCAGAACGAGATCATGATGCCGAATTCGATAGCGAATTGTTGGATAGCAATCATGAAGCCGCGAAGTTCGGGTGGTGAGCACTCGGCCACGTACCTGACTATGTCAACAAAGCACGCGAAGATTGGGCAATTGCACTCACATGGGAACGATCATCGACAACGAGCCGACGCCCAAACCCACTATGAATCTACCACCAAGAATGGCCGAGTGGCCAGCCGACACAGCGGTGCACTGGATAACGACGCCGAGGATGAAGATGGCTGTGTTGACGATGATAGCATATTTGCGGGAGATGATTTCAGCAAGGAAGCCAGAATACATTGTTCCGGTCCAGGCGCCAAGCTCGAGGATTGAAGTCAGCCAGCCGATCTTTGTGCCGTTACCAACCCAGTCGCCCATGTATCGCTCGAAGGCGGGCATGACGAGGATGCCAGAGAAAACACCTTGATTGTATCCATAGAGCAGTCCGCCGAGACAAGCAAAGCAGGCCACGGCGAAAACTCTCAGACTCTTCATAAGCGCAGACATGCCGGCGCCCTTGGCGCCACCCACCAGCTCCAAGCGGTGCTGGAGGGCGGCATCTGAGAACTGGGACGGTGCATTGACCTTTGGAGCCATGGTGGGAACGAGACGGTGCGTTCGAAACCGCGAACACGCAAGGACTGCTCGACGGCTTACAGCGCGAGCCACGACGGGTGTCTGCAGTTTATACAGCCATCTTACGCGTCTGGATGGTGCCCGGAGTTGTTCAAACTGTCACGGCGGCCTCGTGATTTCGCTTCAGGCTGATATTGACCCAGCATCGGTGTGTAAATACCGGAGAAGTACATCGCTAATGCTCTCTAGCAAACCACGTCTGACAATCGCCATAGTTTTGCTCCATCGTAACGAGGGCATGAGAACTAGGCTCACCAAAGATGGTTAAGCAATTTCGAGCATGGGCTGGAGACCCTGGCCCGAGTCTTGAGTCCCCAGTGGCGGACGTCGATCTTCCGTCGACACATTTGGATTGAAGTCGCTGCAAGTCAACGCCGAGCCGTTATTCGGTTCTAACGGAAGTGTCAAACTCCTTCTGGATCATGCATGGTAGTATTCAACTCACGTACGAGAAGCCCCTAGAATGTTCTCGGGTCATCAACACGGCATTCTTACTGGCGCCCAATCTGTCACTTTACCGGCGGTCGGCCCTATGCGTTCCCCATGGATTGATCCTATTGCTCCCCGCAGCATATCCGGGGTCATTTAGCCGGCATCTGCCAAGTTGTATATTCGCCTAGCGAATGGGCTGACCCCTTACTATACACGGGGTATCTCACCTCTCACAAGGACGACTTGAGAAATGTGACTCGCCTCGTCAGCAATCATTGCGAGTTCGACAGGGTGGTATCGCACGCCGTGTTGTCCGCGGAGCTGCAGGAAAGCCCCAACATATGCCCGCGCGCTTCGATTCGGGAGACAGCCACCAGCTGGGTTCTCGGTCATGGACTGCGTTGCAGGTTCTCTCGATGGACCGATCTCACTGCCTGTAGCTGGAGGTCCCGCGACGATCTATGATGATGCAAATTCTTGACGACAGCTACAATTTAATATTGCTGAGCCTGGACTCTGTCCTTGGGCTGGCCGCCATCAAGCTGACGATGGCTTTGGCGTGAATACCGTTCTTCGAATCCACGCAGAATTGGTGAGTGCATTCTTGCGAGAGGCCGGACGTGGCAGATTTGATCAGCGCGAACGGTTGGCAACACACAGCTACTGGTCCAAGGCATAGCAATAGCAGATGCTAGCGCTCTCGTGCTGTGAGGCAGACTTTTTAGAGGACCTCTGGTGGCTCAGCAAGGCGGACCTCAAGCTGCAAGTGCGGTAAGTAGATCAGGTCTAGGTTCAGACCGATGTTGCACACGGACCTATTCACCAGTGTTGCTCCGATGTCCTAGGGCTGCACGGATTCGTCTTTGCCTTCTAGAAGAGCACGACGGAATAAACGATGGATACTCAAGATGCCGTTCAGCCGGTTAGTGTCCCTCCTACCGAGTTCATGCTCAAGCCCTCCCTGCTATCCGCAGACACTGGTACAACTTGCATGTTGTTCGCAAAAGTTGCTGCTACCGAGGTCTACCAGTGCACATTTGTTCCGATGGCCACGCGTTGCCCATCGAGGCGTCCACAGATCTGTGGAGCACTCGCGGGCTCAACTGTAGTCCATGCGGAGGCAACCATTGGATTCAGTCTTTGCTACTCTTCGACGGCATTGCGCAAGTGAGTCTAGCAGTACGGACCACCATTCGTCACCGGGCACTTACTTGTTGACTGTTTGAAGACGTTCCGTGTGGCCGTTCCGTGAGCTCAACGCAATGCCAGCATAGTCCGGAGATTGTGCCAAGTGAAGCAGAGTACCCATTGTCACTCGACGGAGACAGGTCTGGCAAACCTGTTTTGCTAGAGCTGACTGTACATCAGCCTTCTATCGTCAGCGCCGGGGTCAGAGAAGTACCCCTAGCGGGCAGAGGTATGTGTACAGCAGAATGCTGGCAACACAGGGCAGCTTGGCACTCTTATGAATATCTACGATCTCTCCCGAAGTACTAACATCGAGCCAGGCCTTTGTGCCCACCGCTCCCGACCGATGTCCATTGGGGGGGCTGGCAAAGACTCATGGTCAACTTCATACATGAGACGTTGTAGCGATCGACCGGCGCGATCCTGCTCAACGAGTGTTGCAGTCGAGGTCCGTGCCGCTGCTAATACTATGATGCAGAGGAGACAGGACATCCTCGCCCCACGTCGTGCCATGGGGTTAAAAAGAATTCACCTGTCTCAGCGCAGTCACGGCACTCGTCTCCCAGCCCATCTAATATTATAACCCATTCAGGCGTGTAGAAACAGAGACGAGCAACAAGCGAGCCTCGAGGATGCCTGCGAGGCGGCTATTATTGAGGACGACGCAAAGATCCTGAAAAACCTTTGTCAGACCCGTGACTCAACATGAGCATACCTCCGTGGCCAAAAATCACCGAGTCCTTCAGACAACGTCGCCAGACCCGACAGCCAAGCCATCAGATAAGATTAGGTGGGCCCGACGATCTGATAAAATTCTGCTTCCAAGACTCGCCATGCCTCGGGCCCCCTCTGCTCAGTACTACCACGGGGCCTCTCGTCACCATAGTCGATTTCACAAAGAGATGACTCACAACCTCAGACCATGCTCTTGTGGTTTTGTTTCCAGCATATGGCGGACTCACAGAAGCGCCGTGCCCCCAAGTGCCCACGCAATTGCTCCTCATGCGCCCACACTTGGGGCTCCTTCAGCGCTCGATAGCACCCAAATAATAAGTACTCCTTAGCTTTGTGGACCGCAAAGCGCACTGCGATGTCGGCTGCCGCCCGGCACGCCGTGCGCACGCCACTCGCGAACGCTTTTCCCCTCTACGTTTCCGAGCCGTTGTGTTTGGACTTTGTGCGAGATTATCTTATCTGATCTGATATACATGTAAGCATATACTGACAAGTCGTGCACAGCGTTGATTTAGTCCTGGTACACATAGATTGACATCGAATAGCTCTCTGCCGTCCAAGGTTTTGCCTGCGCCATGGCTCTACGAACGTTGACCACAGGGGGAGCTCCCTGGAGAGTCCTGATCGCAGGAGGCTCATATGCCGGCCTCTCCGCGGCATTGAATCTGCTAGACCTGTGTGAGGGTCGTCCGCCAAGATTCAACCCAGCGTTCAAGTTCGAGGACATTCCGGCAGTTTTCACAGGAAAGCTCACACGCAGGATACCTGTTGAGATCACCATTGTGGATGAGAGGGATGGTTACTGTGAGTTCAATGCCATGAACATCTCACGCTACGACATCTGCTGACATGCACAGATCACCTCATAGGCTCTCCGCTGGCCCTGGCATCCAAGGAGTATGCGGCGAAAGCATGGGTCAATTTCAAGAATGTACCAGCACTGCAAGACCCGAGCATCAAAGTCACCCAAGGCTCGATTGAGTCGGTCGATTGCGAAGCTCACAAGGCTACAATCTCGCTGCACGCCAGCCAGAGGAAAGAAACCTTGCAGTACGACTACTTCATCGCCGCCACAGGTCTGCGCAGGCCATGGCCAGTCGTCCCACAATCATTGACTCGAGAGACTTACCTCGCCGAAACGGCAGGCAACATCGAGTCCTGCCAGGATTCCGTGATAGTCATCGGAGGAGGCGCGGTCGGCGTCGAGACGGCTGCGGAGCTCAAGCTGGTGCGGCCTGCGACCAGGGTCACTCTGGTACATTCTCGTCAGCAGCTGCTCTCGGCTGAGCCTTTGCCGGGTGAGTTCAAGGACGCTGTTGCGCCTCTGGTCCGTGAGGCTGGCGTTGAGCTCGTGCTGGGTCAGCGTGTTGCTTACGTCACTCCGGATGAGTCTGACCTAAAGCAAATAGTCAAACTTACAGACGGCAGTACGCTGAGCGCAACTCATGTCCTGAAAGCAATCTCACACTCCACACCGACGACAACATACCTTCCGTCTGCTGTCCTGGACGCAGAGGCTATGTCAAGATTGAGCCAACACTGCACTTCAGTGGCGCTGATCACCACTTCGCCATCGGCGACGTAGCACGCTGGTCCGGGATCAAGCGCTGCGGCGGCGCCATGCACATGGGCCACCACGCCGCACATAACATCTACCAGGAACTCGTCTCGCAACGAATCGTGCCTGACGAAGCAGAGGCGCATCGTAAGCCGGACTACCTGGAACTCAACGAGTTCCCACCTGTCATCGGCCTCGCGGTCGGAAGGAAGGCGATCAGCTATGTCGCTGAGCAGGGCGTAAAGCAGGGTGAGGAGGTGTTGCAAATGATGTTTGGTGATGATTTGGGGTGGAGTATCTGCTGGAACTATATGAAGCTGGGTGACAAGAATCTGGTGCCAGGAGATGAGCAGGATCTGGGGCTTCGGGAGCTGGAGTTGGGAGGGACGGTTGAAAAAGAGAGGCTGGAGATGATCAACGGGAAGGGCGGAGAAAGGGTAGCGGTGAGTGAGGTTGTTGCCGCTGTTGCTTAATTTGATCTGGTGTTGGAGGTCTGCGATGAGTTAGATATCGTTGCATTTCCCTTGAGTAGACTGCGTCAGTCATGGGTTTCAAGTCGGGTGCTTTCTCCGTTAGCACAGGCAACTTCTGCGTCCCAAGGTGGGCAGGAATAGTAGCACATATGCAATGATTCGTACGTCATCGGTGGTTCGATCCGACGTGGCATGCTTTGTTGATTTTCCTTGAGTCACCTGCTCAATAGCGGGACAAAGGAAAGAATGGAGAGTGGTCTGATCTGGGTTATCAGATGGTCGTCTGAGTGGATGGATGACGGATAATTGTTATCTGATCATGCAGGAGGGTCTTGGCTGTAATGGTGACCCTGTACGACGAGGTATCGATCACTCTACCTTCTATGAATAGGCGAGCAACCACGTAGGCAGCAGGGTGCGAACCATACGGACCAGACCAAGGAAGAGCTTGAAAGTCCAGAGTCGCTCGCTCACGAGACTCGCAAGATGCAGCTCTTTGACGTGAAGAACAACCTGCTGAGAGCAGAACGTCAGCTTCGCAAGTGAATGGTATCTGACAGCACCAAGCAACAGTGACGTAGAAGGCCACCGCCCTGTGGTCGTTGTGCCTGATACAGGTCCTCGCACAATGCCTTCGCTGGGCCTGAAGCAGCAGCTGCCCTGAACCAGAGCAATGCCGCAAATTGCCGGCGTCGATATAAGCGTCTCACCTCGGTCCTGGTACGGGCATGCAGCATATACGGCACTGGAAAGTACCTAAGAAGGCAAGAGTGTATCGCATTATGACAGAGGTCGTATTCGCCAAGCACCGACAAAAGCTTGAGGAGAGATGCGAGCATCGGCCGCGGTGAGGGGATCTGATAAAACAAGCTGGCGACTTGTAATCTAATCTGATCAAATTTTCACTTGGGGCTCCGCTGTTGTGCGAATTTTGAACTATTAGCGCCGGCAACACACTCCTTACCACGATGATCAGCTGCAAGCCAGCGGCTTAGTTGTCGAGCTGTACGCCAGCAATTGGTCTACTTGCTCCAGCGACGTGGTGCGCCTGTGCAATGGCGTCAAAGCTGTGGTTCGCAGAGGCTCCCCCACGATGCGGGAGTTTTGTGACAAGCGGGACCGTCAGAATGTTACAGCATTCGGTCCCTCGTCGGCTTGAGAATGAATATTCGAGCAAACTTGTGCTGCTCGAGCAATGAGCGACATCGGTAGGAACGTGGTTTTCTTTTGTACTTTGCTCAAATTCGCAGCGCTCTGGTCTGGAGGCTCACCGCCGTAAGTAGGCTCGAGCAGCTGGCCGCTACGTTACGCACATATGTCTCAATCCTGGCAAGTCGGTTCATAGTCCAGCACATTCCTGCTGGCAAACATGAAGGGACGAGGCTTCTTCCGAAGGCTGACAAGTTATGCTCGCTTGCTGGTATATGCCAATCCCTCGAAATTGGATTATGCTCTGCTGGTGGTAGGGACCATTGCCTCCATTGCAGCTGGCGTCCCTTTCCCGGTCCTAGGCATTCTTTTTGGCGAGCTCATCGACGACATTAACTCAGCGACATGCGCGGTCGATCCATCGGGCAGTCCATCGTACCAGAATGCTGTCAACGACAAGGTACTGACAGTGACCTATATCGGTCTCGGCCAGTTGTGTTTCATATACACATACATACTTTGCTGGAACTTGTCCGGCGAGCGACTGGCCCAGCGGTTGCGCGAGACATACTTCCTGAGCCTGCTACGACAGGAGCCATCATTCTTCGACGACCTGCCGTCTGGGGAAGTTTCGTCGAGGTTGAACAATGAGATAACCACAATCCAGGATGGCACTTCGCAGAAGGTCGGCATTGTGCTGCAAGCATTGAGCTTCTTCGTTACTGCGTACGTGATTGCTTTCATCAAGGATGCGAAACTGGGCGGAATGCTCGTGTCGCTGGTGCCTGCCTTCATGGCCATGACACTGATTGGCAGTTACTATATTGGCAAGTACTCAGGCGCTGCTTCCAAATTCGTGGCGGCTTCGGCGAGCATTGCGTCAGAGGCACTCTCCAACATCCTCGTGGTACATGCATTTAATGCAAATACGAAGCTCGAAGCACGCTTCTCACAGAAGCTGATCGGCGCGAAAGAGTCTGGTGTCAAGAAAGCTGTAGCGACAAGCATACAGTCCGGAGTACTGTACTTCGTGGCGTACGCCGCAAATGCGTTGGCATTCTGGCAGGGTTCAAGGACGATAGCTGCTGCAGTCGCAAACGGAAATTCTGGAGCAACAGTAGGAACCACTTACACAGTCATCTTCATCCTCATCGATGCCACGCTTGTGCTGAGCAGTGTTGCTCCATTCATCCAAGTCTTCGGTGCGGCTCAGGCTGGGTTCTCGAAGCTGGAGGAACATATCGACCACAAATCGAAGATTGACGGGACATCTGATACAATTGGAGTCAAGCTTGAGCGGGTGCACGGCGATGTCGAGCTTCGGAACGTGTCCTTCACATACCCATCGCGACCTGACACGCAGGTTCTGAAGGATGTGTCGTTGATATGCCCCGCAGGCAAGCAGACAGCCATCATCGGGCTCTCTGGTAGCGGAAAGTCCACCATTGCAGCGCTTGTGACCCGCCTGTACGATCCAGAGCGTGGTGCGGTATACCTCGACGGGCATGATCTCACGCAGCTAAACGTCAAATCCTTGCGCAGCCATTTCAGTCTGGTGCAGCAAGAGCCATCACTCCTCGATCGGTCGATACTTGAGAACATCGCACACGGCCTGATCAATTCTCACAAACATGCCCATCTTCATGCTACTCTTGTTGGACCCGCCTTGGCAGATTTCGCGGCTGACTTGCGGCGTGGCATGAGCATGGAAGAGACTGCCAGACTGAGAGGCAAAGAAGTCGTCGAAATCGTTGATTTGGTGGTCGATGCAGCAAAACTAGCTGACGCTGATGGCTTTATCAGACGATTGCAAGCTGGGTACGGGACCACGACGGGCTCAAAGGGCCTCCTCATCAGTGGTGGCCAAAAGCAACGCATTTCGATTGCGCGTGCCCTTGTCAAGGACCCAGCAGTACTTGTACTCGACGAAGCCACGGCATCTCTTGACTCAGTGAGCGAGCTGAGAATCCAAGCTGATCTCGAGAAGGTCGCGGTCGGGAGAACCGTGATAGTTATCGCACATAGATTGTCCACGATCCAGAACTCTGACAACATCATCGTAATGAGGAATGGTGGAGTCGTCGAACAGGGCTCTCACACAGTCTTGCTTGAGCAAGACGGCGCCTATGCAGACTTGCTGAGACTGCAGAACCTCAGCAAAGAAGATATGAAATCCTTGCACTCGTCTCGATCGACGCTCACCCTCAACGAGGACAGTAGTGGGAAAGTGAAAGAGGTTGTCACGAAGAAGAATAGTGCACCTAGTGAGGATAACGAGTCTGACCCTCCTGCAGTCGAAGACAGAGTAAACTCCGACGATGTATCTGGCGGCCTCGGCAAGAGCCGGTCACTATGGTCGATCATCAAAGCCCTAGCTCCGCTGTTCCGTCGGTACGTTATCGTTCTTATTTTGGCCTTCACGGCGGCTTTAGTGGTTGGCAGCACTTACTCGGCATCGGCTCTGATCTTCGGTAACACGGTCGGCGCACTCAGTCCCTGTGAAGAAGCTAGCAGCATACGATCAGCCGGCCGTTTCTTCGGCCTCATGTTCTTCGTCTTGGCCTTGGTTGAGTTCTTTGCCAACATTGTGAGCTGGTCGGGCTTTGGCTGGATAGCTGAGAGAGTGCTTTTCAAGGTCAGAGTGCTCATGTTCCGAACTCTGCTTGAGCAGGACCTGCAATGGCATCAGAGCGAGGGACGAAGTCCGCTCATTCTGCTCAACTTCATTACGAGAGATGGTGGATCCTTAGGAGGTTTGACAGGATCCATCATTGGCACCATCCTTTCAATCCTCGTCAATCTGGTTATAGCTATCATTTTGACGCATGTCGTTGCTTGGAAGATAGCAATTGTCTGCCTGGCTGGTGTACCGATTATTCTCGGCTTTGGGTATATGCAATTGGTGGTGCTTGCTAGATTCGAGGCTAAGCATCAGGAAGCATTTGCGAGGTCTGTGGGCATCACTGTCGAAGCAGTCGAGCAGATCAAGACTGTCGCCATACATGGACTTGAGGAGGAGACCGTGGGGAGTTATCGAAGGTCGTTGCAGGGACCGATTCGTGAGACCACCCGTCGCACTGCGTACGCAACCATGTGGTTGGCACTTGCCATTGGCTTCCCCACATTCATCTATGCGCTTGCATACTGGTGGGGGACGACGAGAATCATCGCCGGAGACTACGACCAAGTCCAGTTCTTCATCGTCGTTCTGGCCTTGCTCATGAGCGCCCAGCTTTGGGGTCAGATGTTCGCACTCGCCCCAGATGTCTCGAGAGCGAAAGCTGCAGTGAGCAGGATCCTGAATCTCCTTGACCTGGGATCAGAGAAGAAACTATCCGGTCGCCTGGAGGACTTTCAGATAGAAGATAAGGACGAGGTCGATCCTGAGAAGGTTGTCAACATCGCAGAGAAGGTCCCTCCAGCGTCAGGAGGTGTCAGTGTGGGCATCAACTCTGTCGAGTTCGCTTACCCAGCCAGGCCAGAAGTACAAGTCTTGCACGGAATGAGCATTGATGTGAAGTCAGGCCAATTCTGCGCTTTGGTAGGCCCAAGTGGTGCAGGGAAATCAACCATTATCGCTCTTCTTGAACGGATGTACCATCCCAGCTCAGGCAGCGTACACATCGATGGGGTAGACATTGCCACAAGGGAAGGATCAAGTTTTCGCGACCAGGTGGCCCTTGTCCCGCAAGACAGCGTTTTGTTCGAGGGTACAGTCCGGTTCAACGTAGCTCTTGGCGTTCGCCCCGGAGAGGAAGCCTCGGATCGGGATATCGAAGAGGCTTGCAAGCTTGCCAATATCCACGACACCATTATGAACATGCCGGACGGCTACAACACAGACGTTGGCCCCGGCGGCAGTCAGCTGTCCGGTGGACAGAAACAGAGACTGGCAATTGCGCGCGCATTAATTCGGAAACCTCGATTGTTGCTCCTGGACGAGTCGACAAGCGCGCTGGATGCGGAGTCTGAGCAGCTTTTGCAGGCTGGGCTGGAGCGAGCCGCGAGAAACATCACGGTGATTGCCATCGCTCATCGTCTGCACACCATTCGCAAAGCAGATGTGATTTTCTTAATCGAGAGCGGCAGATGCGTGGACAGGGGCACTCATGACGAGCTCCTGCTACGAAGTGAAAGCTATCGTGTGAACGCGATGCATCAAGCGGTAGACGCATAGACCAAGACGAGGACAAGACAATAGTAGGAAAGTCGTTGCTCTTATCATGATGCACGAGCAAAATGATGTTCCTCTTGACGCCGATGTTGTCTCACGTATAAAATGATTGAGGTTGTCAGCGGTGGCTGTGGCACCGTGGCGCTTTCGCGTGCACGCGAGAATGGAGTCGATCTGCCCCCACTATTTTCTGTATGAAGCTAGCCGCCCCGAGTTGTGGCGTCAATAACAAAGAACCTTATCATAGGGGCTAATCTCCCGTTCGCGATGCCACGTTCCAGCTTTCTTATCACACCCACTTCATGAGATTTTCAGATTGTTTGCCGCCCATTTGGGATGGTCAGCACAGGGCCTCTGCCGCCATGGAGTTCGCTCGCCTGCTCGGGACGAGAAACCGGATAATGCCAGCAAATGAGAATTCAACGGCTGCGCAAAAGTGCGGCTGACGATGATCCACTGCTTCTATCTCTGGGCAAGCCACGGTAGGGGTTCGCGAAAGAGAGTCGACTACGCCAGGGCTCGGCTCGTGTACTGTGTGAGAATTCGCGGTAAGCGGCATCCATGACTGGACCACGGGAACATAGCACAATGCTGCTGACCTTCCCATCGATCTTTGTTTCCTATGTGTAGGTAGCCAACGACAACTCATCCCAAGTCATTCGTTCTAGCAGAGGTAGCAGCCATCCACTCATTATGGCACTCCTCAAGTCACTCGTTCTGCTTTCGATAACACAATCATTACTAATATCGTGTCAAACACTGCCGACGTGGCCCTCGCCCGTTAACGATGAACTGGAAGACATAATGTACCTTAGTACAGGATATCGAGCACGAGGCTTTGCTGATCCAGTCACACCGTGCTCAAAACAATCAAGAACCGGAACCGGGCCAGGTCGTGTCGCTGCGGCTGGCTGGTTGAGGACCGCTTTTCACGACGTCGCCAATACCAATCAAGTGCGTGGTCTGACCGGCGGTATAGATGCGTCAATTGTCTACGAGCTCGGCCGTTCAGAAAACGAAGGATCGCAATTCGTCGGCGCAATCACGGATTTCGAACCTTTCTTCGGTCCCAGAGCCCCTATGGCCGAGCTGATTGCCATTGGCACCTACACATCTGTTCGCAGTTGTGGCGGTTTGCCTATTCCAATCCGGCTTGGGAGAGCAGATGCGATAGTCGCTGGTACGGACGGACAGATTCCTCAGCCTCAAAACAAAGTGGGGACCTTCGTAAGCCAATTTTCACGTCTGAACATGGGTCCTTCAGAGATGGTCCAGCTCGTGGCTTGTGGACACACGTTAGGCGGTGTTCATGCAAACAACTTTCCACTCATCGTAACACAGCCCAACACATTCCAGACTATGGACTCAACTGGCGCAACACCAGCGGTCTTCGACCAAAGAGTTGCCTCAGAGTTCGTGGCTGGTACTACTACGAATCCCCTGGTCGTTGGACCCTGCATTGGGTCCCAACGATGTTCGGACACGACTGTGAATTCGGCTGACGGCAATGCGACGATCACCCAGATGGCGGACCTTACTTACTTCCAAACGTCTTGCAAAGCCGTGCTACAGAAGATGATCGAGTGTGTTCCTGGAGGGGCCAAAACACTGGCTACAAACCCGTTGACGCCATATGAAGTCAAGCCGTATGCGTTGTCTCTTTATCTTCAAGATGCAGGCGGTAGCGCTCTGACTTTCAGTGGAGACATCAGGGTTCGAACTACGAATCGTCCACAGAGTAGCATCGCCTCTGTCTCACTTGTATACAAGGATCGGTCTGGTAACGCTGGAAGCACCAGTATCACCACTACGTTCACGGGCACAGCAGCAGGCCTGGATGATACCTTTGCATTCTACAGCTTCAAGTCCACGTTGCCCAGCACCTCGTCGATCTCGAGCTTCACCGTGCAAGTAAGCTATACCAGCGGGAATGTCGACACATTCACCAACAACGGCGCTGGCTTCCCCGTCAGCGACACGCTTCTGCTTCAGTATCCTCAATCGTGCTCTTCGGACCCGTCTACAATCACTGTGACGGCTGCCGTCCGGAACTCGATCTCTGGCACACCCAACCTCAACTTCCTCGGACGAACATACACTAGTCCCATCATCGTGCCCAAAATCACAACAACCACGACTGCTCTGAACTCGGCCTCCCTCAGTGTTGGTCCGTACACGCTATACAGCATTACCACCTCCCTCAACACAGCCCAATCTGCGAAAGGCTACTTCAACATCACTATCCCGGGCGTCAGTGGAGCGGCCGTCGACCTCGCACTCCTCTCGAGCCTGCCTACAGCTTGCAGTGCTCTTGCACCAGCCGTTAGCAGTACCACTACCACAACTACGACGACCATGACGACCACGACTGCCATCGCAACTACAACTTCTACCGCCTCCGCCATCGCAAACACCACCACCACTACCACCGGCATCTCGACTACATCCACCGCAACAACCACCACTGCCATCCCAACGACTACCACCACCACTACCACAACGACCACAACCACAACCACCGCCTCCCCATCATCAACCCCCTCAACATACACCTACCTCTCCTGCGTCGCCGATCTCTTCCCTTCCTCCCCACGCGTCCTCTTCACCGGCCCATTCACCTACTCCTCCACAGCCACCACCACCGAATCCTGCGCCGCCTTCTGCTCTACCTACGAGTTCTTCGGCACCGAATACGGCGCCGAGTGCTACTGCGGCGGCTCCCTCACCTACAACACCACTCTGTCAGAAAGCTCGTGCAACATGGCTTGCTCTGGGAACAGTGCAGAGAAGTGCGGTGGGCCCGGCGCGTTGAGTCTGTATCGGAATAATCTGTATGTGAAGCCGAGCTATCCGGATGTTGGGACGGGGTGGAAGTACAGTGGGTGTTATACTGATGATGTGGGGAATCGGACGGTGCAGGGGTATCGGGTTAATGACGATAAATTGACGTTGGGAAGTTGTGCGAGTGTGTGTGATAGGGAGAGGTATGGTGTTATGGGAACGGAGTATTACTCGGAGTGCTATTGTGGCGCAGCGCTTGGGGGCACAGGAATTAAGGTGGACGATGTGCAGTGTGATACTGTGTGTAGCGGGAATGGTGCGCAGAGCTGTGGTGGTGCTGGCTATATCAGCGTGTATATGAAGGGCACGACGAGCCAAAAGTCTAGGAGATGGGAGGCTTGAGTTGGAGTGAGACTTGGTGGAGACCAATTTTTGTACACTGATGAGGCGATGGACAAACAGTACGATCGGCTTGATCTGTAAAATAAAGGCTAAAACGCTTCCAAAGTACATACACCTGGTAACACACTGTGTCTGTTGTACACAATCCTTGCCTGAGGCGGCCGGAAGATGGGTGACTATGCCACCACGGGCGCAGTCCCACTCGCTGATCTGACAAGATTGTCCATCGAAGCGCTCTTCTTTGACGACGTCGGCTTCGGAAGCTGAATCTCACTCGACAAACCCCTGACCAGCTTCTTCACTTCCTGCTCTTTCTTATCCGACGCCGCAACACTCTTGTGGCCTTGCGTTTCTTTTCTCTCACTCTGCGCCTTTCTCTGGGCCGAGAGTGGTGTTTCCAAACCCTGTTCTTCCCACTTCCTCATCGTGTCTCTGAACATCTTCTCCTGCCTCTCTCTACTAGGCAACGGGCGCCCTTTCACATCCCTCCGCTCCCTGCTCTCAAACGTTTCCACAATCCTCGCCTCCATTACCGCCTCAACCTCTTCGACACTCTCCCCGTCATATTCTTCCACTCCGGCTTCGAAAACATACGCTCTCGTCTCGCAGTTCTTCCAACCCGTCCCGTGGCTTTCCGCCGCACCCTCCCAGTCCTCCGTGAGGAAGTGCAGGAATCCGCCGTGGGTAGCGAGTGCGATCTCAATGTCTTCTCTCCCACCGGTTTCGCGGACGAGGTCGCGCGCCTTGGCACGCAGCCAGTAGCGCACGTCCCTAGCGCGTGCTTGCACAGCGTCGAGCTCGGGCGAGTAGCGCGTCCCAAAGGACTTGTCGGTCCACTCCGGCGTGATCAGACCAAGGTACGCGGGCCACTGGTTCATGGCGACGTTGAGGGACAACGCGGCAGGGGAGGAACCGGTGTCGCAGGAATCGGCTGTCACTTCCTGCGCGTCTGGCAGGGCGATGATCTTGGGGTAGACTAATTTGCTCTTTGACCCGGCCACTTTCTCGTGTGCTGGGTGATTTGGATCCAGGAGGGGCTGAAATGTGTAGTATGCGGTTTGGATGGTGCGTGTCAGTGGGGAGGCGGCAATGAGGCGGATGCGGCGTTGGGCTGATGCGGGAAACCATAGACGTTGGAGATCCAAACATTGGGCTTTGCCCTTTTTTGTAAGGGAGGGGTCGGTAATGTCTTTGTTAGCATCGGATATGTTGTGGTGGCCCTGGCCGTGGCGGATGAGGTGGATCGTGACCTGAGGCATATTGGGCGGTGTCGAATTGGCAGAATTTGGTCGCTGGTGTTGTGCTGAGGTACGCTAAAGGTGACCTTAGTGGTCTTGGTACTCTGTTGTTGTATTTGTGGAGGCTGAAGCATTCTCTGATGTTTGTGACTGATGATTGTGGGGGATGAACGGAGGGTGCTGTGTTCTATATACTACTAAGGAGAGGTTGGGACAAACCTGACCTTGAAGCTCAGTGAACACGTGGGGACCATCGACGAGACCAGAGGGGCAGCATCGTTCTCAAACTCTCCCACTCCGATTGCCGTCATTCATGGCCGACATACATGTCTCAACAGGTTTGCAAGGCAGTCGAAAGTATATCTCGACAACACGACGCCGGGATGTCGTTTGCAGCTGCTCTTTCGCTGCCAACGCTACAAGAGCGCCAACTCGAGACGAAGCTGGAATGTTCCTCAAGGCGACAAGCAGGTCTCCACCAGGTCGCTGAAGCACACCCCCCAAGCTTTGGCCACGGAGACGACGGAGAGGATGCCTCGTCCCACAAGATGAGCAGTCAACCTTCCCAATCCATAGGCTGCGAGAGTATTCATACGACATCGCAGGAGGAACCCCACATAGGCACGATGATGGAAGACCGAATATAGTTTGAGTCTTCCGGTGCGGGATGACGCACCAAGAGGCTCTGCGATGACTGTAGGGTTTTGCCCACAATCAGTGCCCACGAGAATTCAAATGATTCAGGGTCCGGAAACAACGGCGAGAAGAACATTGAGTTTCTTCTTTTTTGTCGTCTGTCAGTGCTGTGAAGTGTATCGACGAGGTGAGCATGCTGATCAGTCGACGCAACCATCGAGCACTTATGCGTAAGGTTGACTTACGGAGATGCCACAAACCGTCTGAACGACTGACCACAGCCGTCAAGGTCAGCAGAGGTTGCTCAAGTGAAACACGAATGCAAGGCCTGGCTGCACATATGTGTTGCGTGCGTTCTGATATGCTGGGCTTTTACGTGCACGCTCGATGGAAACTCCCATGATGATGATTCGAAGACGACACGTGTGCTTGCTGGCAAGGAGACAATTGGCGTCGTTGTCGAAACCTAGGTCGTTGGGGCCCTCCTTCGTCATCGACTGGCCAGAGAGTGGCAAGCACTTGCTGAAATGGTTTCTGAAGGTGCCTGCTGCTGCGGGAGTGCAAAGTCCGTCTGCAGGCAACAAAGGGATGATACCGGTAGGTCGGAAGGCGCAACAATGCTTTCGGGGCGATTCCATTCTGCCAAGAGAGCTTTCTGCCAAGCGCTAGGCAAGGATTCCCTGTCACGATCTGCGACGTCTTCAACCTCATCGTAGCCTCACAATTTGAGATCGATTCGAGTTTCGATCTCTTTTAGGGCTCGTCGGCGTCGCTCTCATCATAGATGTGCAAGTGTGTCGTCTCGGTGCCCGCCTATCGTCGCGACACTAAGCGAAGTCTTGGGCATGTCGCATAGAAGGTCTTGACGGCCATGGCTGCCATGGCAGCTCCAGAATCTCGACACTCTCTGACATGTTGGTATGGCCTTCCGACGTCGCCTCCACGGCTGGTCGAGAGCTTCAACCAATCGCGCAGTCTGGCAGGTCTGGTACACCTCGGTCCGCAGGGATTACCGGTTCCTTGAAGCCTTCCAGATGCCTTCGTCTCTCCTGTGCCTGCACCCAAGCGTTGGACCTCTGAGCAACAGATTTGAATGCACCTGCTTTGGGCCCTCTCCGCCTCAGTACACCCCGTATCGGCTCAAGTTTGATCAGATCGAGTTTCGTCATTCTTCTTTCATCCGGCTGTGATCAGTTTCAGACCTGACAGACGGTGGCTGCGCAGCCAATGACAACCTTTTCATCATCTGAACGCCGAGGGACGAGATGGCAGCGCGGCAGCTTGCGACCTTGTCGATGACAATTGTGCTAAATAGCCATCTATAAAGATGTAAGGAAGGTTGTTCATCAACTGACAATCTGTTATGCAAGCAACGACTTTACGAATCTCCCAGCTCGCTTTCTTTCTATTCATTCGCTCTGTTGACCGGATCAACCTTCTATAGTACCAGACTTGCCAGCCATTCGTACCCCAGTCGCTCAAGCCCCAGCACCTTACTTCAGCCACAGACATGTATACTTCAGCGATTCTTGCCACTCTTCTTCCCCTCCTAGCGACCTCTGCACCAACGAACCACCTCCAAACCCGCCAAACAACCAGCAGCGATGACATCCTCAACGGCGACTGCGGGACCGTCAACTACATTTTCGCCCGCGGCACGACCGAAGTCGGCAATCTTGGAACTGTGATCGGACCTGGATTCGGCCGCGCCCTTGGTCAACGCATGGGAGACGTCGCCGTTCAGGGCGTCGACTACCCTGCCAACGTCGCAGGCTTTCTAGCTGGCGGAAGCAACGATGGTGCAGACACCATGGCAGAGCTAGCAAGACAATCAATCTCCCAGTGCCCCGGCGTGCCGATCGTGATGAGCGGCTACAGGTAAGCCCCAACCCACCCCTTCCTTGACTACATCTCCCCCAAATTAGAGTCGCTACACCCCATCCACCCGTTGTGTTTCCCTCCCACCGCCTCAAGCCGCACAAGATCTGCCCAATATCCACCTACCCTCCAGTCCTTGCCTGCATCGCACGCAGACTGGCACCTAGCCCACCTTCACTGCCCTTCTCCCCCAGGCCTAAACGCTCGCTAACACCCACCACAGCCAAGCGCCCAAGTCGTCTCCAAAGCCATGGACCAACTGACCGCCGACGAAGCCTCCAACGTCGGCGCCGTCGTACTCTTCGGCAACCCGAACGGCAACGATCCCGTACCCAACACAAACGCGGCGGACGTCGAGGTGTTTTGCAACGTTGGGGATTTGATTTGTGCAGGGACGGCGACGATCTTGCCGGCGCATTTGACGTATGGGAGTGATGCGGATGAGGCGGCGGATTTCGTGGCGGGGCGGATCCAGGTTTGAATTTGACAGTTGTATCATCAAAGTGAAAGACTTATCATTTGCATTTTGCGTATGGCAGACCTGAAGTGCGTCCGTAGTTAACCTGACCCCGATGTGTTGGCCAAGCTCTACAGTGTCCTCCCTAGCCAGAAAGTCCACCAAGAGTCGCTACTGCGAAGTGATGCTCGAGTGAGACTCATCTCAACTGTGCCGATTCGATCAGCGACGCGAATCCAGACCACAGCGCCCTCCCTGGCCTGCTGCAGCCCTCGATTGTCGACTTTACAGCATCTCCCAATCTTCATCCTCAGAGTCCTCCTTGGTCTCCTTCTTGGCCCACTTGACCAAAGGATTCGCAGCTATGACCCACGGCTCCTGGCCTTTAGCATCGTTCTTCATGCCCTCCATCATCTGGTCAATCTCCTGAAGCTCAACCTCACACCGCAACACAGCCTCAGTCCGAGCATAGCCTTTCTTGGCGAGATACTTGAAGACGATGTCGTTGAGATTGCGACGCGATGATGCTTGCTCAGCCGCAAAAATGCGTGCGGTGTCGCGAGTCATGTCCCAGGTGTCCTCATACTTCGGAATGACGGGTTCGGTAGACTCAGCTTGGAGGGTAGCGACTGTGCGGTTGTAGCCGCGCTTGGCGAGGTAGTCGATGACGATGTTGTTGAGGTCGGCCTGAGTGAGCTGGGCTGGTGGACTGACGGGTTGAGGTTTGCCGGGTGGGGTCTGAGTCTTGCGCTTGTCGCTGAAGCTGAAGGAGCAGACCGTGAGTTCGCGGCGGCAGCGGATACAGGGTGGGATGCCGCTGGGGAGGCCTCTGTTGTGCTTGTTAGAATGTAATTGTATCATGAGAAAACAGTACGTACAAATCGCACTTGACATTTTGCGCTTTGCACCCTTCACAAGCTTGCATCATGGAGGCCGCCTTGACTGGCATTTTCGCAGAATGAGTGTGTCTATGGATAATGTAGGAAGTTGATGCTCAGGTGTGCTCTGAAGCTGCAGGTGAGGAAGAAATTGTGACCTTTTGAAGCCAGCTTCATTGTTGATGCCTGCATTGTGTGTAACTCCGTTAAGTACGCGAAGAGTTGAAGCAGTTGAGTGCTGTGTTGCCAGGTCAGGTGAAGGGCGTTGCTATGCTGTGACGTGAGTGTCATCTTGGAGTGAAGGAGGACTGTTTGTCATCTTTACCATGAGGCCATATCCTTTCGACCCACCTGTTCTTGCAAGGGGCTGTCAGTCTTATCGAACATCGACCACGAAAACAGTTGATTGGACGTGGAGGCTGTCTCTGGGAAGCGTTGCTAGGATTGCCTCTTCGCAAGCAGCCTGCCGCTACTTACCTACCAGATCCATCAGGATCAACTTGCCATCTTCGCGAAGACCCCAACACCAAACCTCCCAAGAGCACTAGCACACCCCACGGCGCCCGCACCCACACTTCTCATCCTCTCAACCCCTCCCTTGTCCTCAACTCCACCAACGCCAATCACCAGAATATCCCTCGTCTCGGGTTGCTGGTCCAGCAGTCTTCGGAAAGTCGCGACGTTGCCAAGTGCGAGCGGGTGCAGGGCTGCGCCGGCAAGACCGCCAATACCGGTGCCGGACTCGCTGTTTAGGGCGGGCTTAAGGTCTGCGTCGAGTATCAAGGAAGAGCCGAGGGTATTGGTGCAGGTACTATCGGATTTGGGGCCCACGTTAGCAGATGGCTTACCCAAAGGTGATCGACTTGTCGACGTGTGTGACTGTTGCGGCCGAGGTAATCGTTGTGTTTGCGGTCGTCCATTTTATCAAGGTATACCAGAGGACTCAGGGGCCAGGGGACCAAGATCAGATGCGGAAACGGCAACGCAAACTCACATGAAATCAACCACACTGCCCTCACCCGGCTCCGAACTCTTCGCATGCGCCAGCTCCTTGGCCACCATCTCGAATTGCCCACTGTACGTATACGGCGGCAACTTCACACCAACCCTCACCTCACTCTCCGGGCCCGCCATCCTGCCCCTGTAAGTGGCCTTACTGTCCCCCAGCGCGCCCAAATACTCCCTCAACTCGCCCGCATCATACGCAGGCGGCGGCTTGCCGGCAATGTTTGGACACGAGAGGTTCACTTCCATCGCCAGCCGCAAGTCTTCGTCCATCTCGGCCGCGTTGGCGATCAAGGCGTACGCCATGGCTATCTCATCGGGTGTTCCTGTCACGGAGAGGATGAAGGGCTTTTTGGGGACGTCGATGTTGGTGCCTAGGTGTCGTTGGCCGACGATTTCGTTAATGTGGCCTAGGTATTCGGAGAGGGTGATGGGGGAGTAGCCCAGGGTGTTGAGGGTGGAGGTTTGGGATGATGAGGTGTCTTCATGGTTGTGTTGGTGGTTGTTTTTGGGCGCATGGAGGGTAGGCTTAGGGTCGTAGTTGACGAGAGAGCCGGCGGGAACGGAGAAATTGTTGTGGTAGATGTATTGGTGGATGGAGGGGTCTTCGGCGAAGCCTGGATGAAGTGCTCGTCAGAGATTGCAAGGAAGAGAGAGGGTCCTGGGGCGGAAGTGGCATACCTTCGAGGAGGGACGTCCGTATTGTGACAGCACCTGTGAATATTCTTCAGCGCAGCTCTTGGGTGGATACGGCTGCAATTTGCATACCGGTATGCTCGCATTCGTACAGTTCCTTGATCTGCTCAATTGTTGTGGCCCAGGGACTGGCCGAGTTCCTGCATCAGCTAAGTTAGCAGATGCCTAATGCTTCACGCGATTCCATATGCTCGCTCTGCCTTGCGATTGCTATCTTCTCGTGGTTGGCTGCCGGGCCGAGCCATGTCAGCAGCCACGCTTTCCTCGCTCACGCTGATGCCAAGACCCGAGCATAAAGGCGAGGGTCAGAGTGGATGGTCTCGGGTGTTGATTCATCTCTTTTGGACTACACGGCGCGCAAGGTACTCACAGCAGTGGCGGCGAAATCTTCAGCCTGTAGTTCCTCGTGTCTTCGGCCATCTTTACGTCACGCTCTTCGCGCAATCCCCTTCTGGCACGCAGGTGGTGTTCGGAAACAGGCTTGGCGGAAATTATGCTGCTTGAATAGCCGTCTCTCCTCTCAGGCGACTTCTACGTTGCTGGAACCGCGTACTCTGCCACTCTGGCGCGTCGCAAAGATGCATCAAGGTGAGGTCGTCGAAACAAAAGTCCGAACGTTGCTCTTGTTTTGGGATGTCTTATCCCAAGTCCGTAGGCTAGGAAAACAACCAATCAGGGTGAAGCCTTCGACAACATCAGAAAGTCCCACTCCAGCTTTCACGAGCGGGTGTCCATCCTTCTCAGACAATATATGCAAGCTATTTCAACTGTGGTGAAGATACATCGTGGAATTTCATGGCCAGGGAGGACGCTGAGGGTACCAAAATACGTGGGGCTGATACCGCCAGCAAGGCTCATTTCACTATCAAGCCATTTTGTGTTGAGGCCCAAGTCATGAACATTGGCCTTGAAGGCGCGTCAATTCTACCTCTACCGCTGGAACCTGAGAACATGCATTTCACCGCCAGGGAGGCCTCTATGATGTGCTCGGCCATGCTGCGCATCTACAACTTCTGCATAGCCGCGACGTCGGTGGACTGGACATGGTCCTCATCCTCCTCAATCTTAGCCTGCAAATCATCAATAGACACCTTCTCATCCTCGACGACCAAGTTGATCTGCAGCTTCTTGATACCGTAGCCAACAGCGACCAGCTTGTGACCACCCCAAACCAGACCGTCCATCTCGATAGCCTTGACGTTGGCGATGAGCTCGTCCATGTCAGTCTCGTCGTCCCAGGGCTTGACGTCCATGGTGACGATGGATTTGGCGGCTGGCTTTTCTGCAGGGTTGTCAGTGTGTTGTAGGACAAGGATGCCCACAAAGCGGGTTCCGTACCTTTCAGCGCCTTCTTAGCCTTGTACGCAGCCAAGTTCTTCTCGCGCTCAGCGACGACATCTGGGTCTTCCTCCTCCTCATCAGAGCCGAAGAGATCGACCTCGTCGTCATCATCCTCGGGCGCGTCCTTGGGGTTCTGAGTGACGGCTACAGCCTCGGGACCGTAGGTGGAGACAGGCTTGGAAGAGTCGCCAGGCAGAGTGCCGAACTCATCGGTGTAGGAGGCGACATGGCGGTACCATCTGTAGGCTACGAAGGGTCAGCACGCTTCGGGATATAACTTATGGGAGAGACACACCATGAGGGTACTTCTCGACGGCGGGCTCCTCCTTGACCTGCTTGAAGCAGACGACATCGGCTTGAGAGGGGGTGTAGCTGGTGAATGTTAGCAGTCGCTCGCTCAAAGTATTGTAGACTTCGTGCGTATTCCACAGATCAGAGGTGCACCAAAATGCGATTGGAAGTAAGCATTTGGCGGTGTCTTAAGCCGCCTCATCAACACGGACCAACAACTTCTCATCATACGGAGGGATTGTCGTTGTAGGAGAGTCTTACCCGGCAATGTAGGTGTGATTCTTCGCCCAGTTGTTGAGCAAGGTGAGGCCAGCATCGGAAACGAAGTCGGTGAAACCCATGATGAGAGTAGTATTTGCTTGAGGCGGGCTCTGGTTTGGTGTTGGTGGATGTGGTTGGTGTGGTGCGAAAGTCGAGGCGGGCTCTGCGACAAAACCAAAAAATATCCGACGCAGTCACAATGCGGCCTTGGCACGACGGAGATTCGGTGCATATCACCGAGAATGACTCCTGTTGAAGCCCAACTCGTTTTTACCCCTTCATCGACCCTCCCTGGCCCGAATTCCATGATGAATCTGGGGCTACCGAGTGAACCTGCATTGACGCTTATCTGAAGGCTGCAGATACTACCAGCAGAGTAATTCAGATATTCAGCGTCCTCCCTTGTCCAGTCTCCATATCTCTACAGCGGCCTAACAATGTCAATTCGTACTTACCTTCGTCGCCCGAGGTGACACGCTGACACAAGCAATATCGCAAGAATCTATGATACGGTGAGCACAAATAGCGCGTCGGCAAGTTGGCGATGGCGTCTAGAATGCGGCGATGGAAGCTCTACCTCTCGAGGTCTGGAGTCCTGGCGGACACGAAATACTTTCCGTCCAGCTTCTCGCTTGCGGCACGCAGCGACTCTGAAGGGCGAGGAAGCCGCCGTACCGCTCTGAGACTGCTTTGCTAATGTCAGTCACATCCTACGCCTAACCGGTCCTCCATTGGTCATGTATCGGTTGAAGGGGTGCTAGGTAAATGCTTTGATTCATCCAGCTCAACACGGCGGGTTACCCAATACCCACATGACCGTATGTGCTGCGGAGCGAGATATCGTATAGCCACAGGACGATTTCGAGGCCTGGTGTTGGCTTCACTCCGGAACGGTGGGCCCTGGCTGACGCGCATCCCACACCTGAGTCTGCACAGTATGGCACTCGTATTGGATTATGTTTGTGGTTGCTAGTATGTATGAAGGCAAATGGTTGACTCACAATAAGTCTAGCAAGCATAGGTTGCAAGCCTTTTTTTGACTTCTGATACTTGCAGATATTGTGACATCTATAACAAGCAGGACAACACCCATGCCTTTGGTTGGGGATCCATCAGTTATAGATATGGCTTGGAGATGCCACCAAAGGAAATAAGAAGGCATCACTTGACGCAAAGTTCTGGCAATGTGAAAGTCACGTTTGCTGCCTCTTCACTCTCTACTCGGGTAGTTAAGCGGCGTTTACTAAAAAGGAGCAGCATCAACAATGAACACAGCAGCTTTGCCCATCACTAGGCTACAATGGCCACCTGCTCAGCAACTTCGATCGTCGGCCGCTTTCGCATACTTTTGCGCCTCCGAACTCAGTCTGCAGGTCGGGAAGAGTTGCACTCTCGTCCGCACATCGCTACAGATCCTACAGTGCTGCGATGATGGATGACCACGGTGACAACAACCTCACGGAATCTCAAGCGCTGCCTCCGCTGCCGGACAATGACATCGACAAGGAGGCCTCTGATGGCGTCAACGACTGCACTGGAGGTCTCTACAACGGCACTCCTCTAGTCCGCAAAGAACCCGACCACAAGATCTGCACCAAGATTCGACGTTGTATTGTCACAGGCAGGAACTGTCTCGAGGACCCCACCCACCCCAACTACAAAGCCAAGACCGAAATCTGGGCTGCCGAAGATGACAAACGACGCGAAAAGCACGTCGCCCAAGCCAAGGAGTACGAAGATCTCGTACTCTTGAAGTACCTCGAGCATCAGAACGCCGAGGTAAGCCGCGGCAGAGAAGCCGAGAACAGTGTCCCCTTGAAAGCTCAAGACCCTGCAGCCGAGCACCAGTCCACCAAGAACACGTCCCACTGGTGGCTAGACTACAACAAACCATGGCCCCGTGACCCTAACACTGTCCTGCAGGGCCCAAAGAAGCGCTCCGTGGACACCGTAGTCGATACCGAAGCCCTCAACGGTAGCAGCAGCATAACCGTCAAGAAGCACAAGAGCGGCGACACTGATATGAGACCCCCATTGGGCACTCTCGCCAAAGACTGGGAAAATGCAACCCACGCGGCCCTTCATACCGAAGACTGGAACCGTCTGGTCCTTGAAAGACCACCTCCAATGTGCGACTTACTCGACAATGTGTGCGGGACCAACCTCATGTCGCGAGGGTACAACGGCTCAACGGATAAGGATGGCAGAATCATTTGGCCAAATCGGCGTAATTCCTACCCAGAGCTTCCCAACTCCATGCCGGTGCTTGCCAATGCCGGCGTTGCTCTCGATCCGTTTGCGCTTAGCAGGTCCCGATGTTTGACAACTACCACATCCAAAGGCCTCCCGAGTTGGGCTACCGGCTGGGCCGAGGATACGTACAGCGGCGCGGCGAAGGTGCCCTCGGCAATCAACGCCCACGCTGCCCGAAACGCGAACGGCAGAGTCATCCTCAGTAGTGCTTCCAATGTTGCTCGTACGACCCTTGAACCTACAGATCAAGTTGGCCAGGCCAACACATTCATCAATCCGGCATCCCCAAAGCAGAGTATTCCCGGCAGTATCTCAGACGCCCCACTCTGTTCGGGGGAGAACCGCGACGAAAAGCGCTGGGAAGTCGAGAACGGCCCAGGCCAGCTCGTCACGTGGCCTGAAATTGTATCAGGCGGCGAGGACGAGGGCGAAGCTGGCCAGAACAAGGTCAAGCGCGACTGGACCCACGTGAATGATGAGGGCAAGCAGATGGACATTGGGGCAGGCTGGGAGCTCATGTGAGATGCCCATACTGGCTGGAAGATATCTCTCGGGTGGACTCTGTGCAGATAGACGACTTGGGTCTGATGACTCGACGTGCAGCTGATGTAAGTGATCAGGTTTGCCTTGAGGCAGGCGCGATCAGGCAAAAGTGGGGCTTCAGAGTCAAAAGAGTAATGTTGCTGCCTTATCAGCATTTCAATAGATACCTTTACATCACACTTGCAATAACCATCGTCACCCACGCCAACAATACTGTTGCATGCCGTTCTCGCTAGCTGGAGATCACTATGTACCGATGTCCTCAGCCTGCCAGCGTGTCCTCCACACCCCAGAGCTCCTACAAGCCATCCTCCTGTTCCTGCCAATACATGCCCTCCTGCACGCACAACGGATCTCCCTAGCATTCAGCCTTGCAATCCAGTCCTCCTCGTCGCTCCGCCAACACCTGGTGCTCGCAGCCGCACTCCCCTTTCTTCCAGTGGACGCACTCCTCCAAGCACAGCGGGTCTCGAAGGCTTTTCAGCACGCGATACAGTCGTCTAAGAGTCTCCGCCAAATCCTGTTTCTTGATCCTGATCCGCCGGATAGTAAATCAAGCCCGAGGCTTAACGAAGTGCTACTAGAATGCTGGCTCCCACAACTACGCCCCCGCTTCAAGAACAGCAAGCCACCAGGCGTCTGGACCATCTTTTTCGGCGCTCTCGACAATTTCGAAGCCAGCCGCGTCGTGCATCTACTCAACATGGACGTGAAGTGGCGTGTAGGTAACGACCACAGGATCGTGGTTGGGTGGGAACGTTACCAACGATGCTCTAGGACTCCTGACTGTGACGCTTGCATGGAACATCGCGACGCAATGGAAAGCAGTGCGAAGGACATGTACTTAGCACAGCCACCTTGTCCACCAGTGGTGTTCAAGTTCCCTCACGACTTTGGGAATGCATATCGCCCGACGAAGCCGATTGAGAGGGTTAGCGACTTCGTTGATTCTGTTTGGCTGTATGATGGGCAGTGCGACAAGGATGGATCGCCGCGGCCTCCACGCCTTTGAACTGTCTGGAAATCCCCTCGGCGGTCCATCAGGAATCGCGAGGGATCTGAAGGACGCCGCGTCCCGGATATCAACTAGAAGTGATCCGATGAAACTTTGCATTGGCATCTCGCTCAACGATTGATACTGCTACATCTCATGGTACCTGAATAGCGTCGTCCTCACATTGTTACCTCCTCAACGTTGATCACTCGACCCCCATCACCGCACAGCCCACCTCACACACTGCCCCATCCGACATCCCGAGCACCAGCATCCCCTGGTCCTCAGATCCGTCCTCCACACCCACTGCCCGTCCCAACGAGGAGGCATACTAGGCGCCCGACATCTTGATGGGCATTGATACTCCTAGAACCCGCGCGCGGCCGTGCTGGCGGTCGCGCTGGTGGCGGTGGGCGTGTCGAGACCTGGAATCCCGTTGGCTGGCCCATTATTGGCTTGCGTCTGGGGTAGAGTGCCGTTCATACCACCCGACGTATTCCGCACTCCTCCTCTGCCGAGCCCCTGCTGTTGTTGGGCCAAGGCTGCCTGTGCCTGCACCGCCCCGACATTCGGCATATCATCCAAATCCGCATACCTCAACGTGTACGCCCTCCTCACCTTCTTCCACAACCCCTTATCCCACCAAATATAGTACCCCTGCTCACTCAGCCCGTTCTCTAGCGTTGTGTATTGCCCGCCACCAGTACTTGGCTGTGCCCCGCCCGCGCCAGCAGCAACAGTCGTTCCCTCGTCCCGCATCATCCACATTTGCTCGTGAACATGATACCGCCATTTGCGCTCCATGAGTTCTTGTGCCACGAGGATTTGGATATAGTCACGGGGCATGCTGTAGAACATGTAGAACAAGGTCTCATCACTGAAACAGTTTATTCGGCTGCTCAGGGGCGCGACTTTCTTCACGGTGTAGCATTCCGGCGTGTGGAACTCGCTGTCGAGTGGTCGGAGGGGTGGTTGGTGGTGTAACGTCGGAATGGCGAAAGGGCCGGTGTAGGAACTCAGCAGTGGCGAGTCGGTTTGCGACATGTTCAGACCTAGGGCGGAGAGGTCCTGGCCGCGGAGCAGGGAGCGGTAGGTGAGGGAGGAACCTTCGGCGAGGGCGAGGTAGCCTTTCATGCCCCATTTGTCCTTCTCGGAGAGGGTGGAGAGGAGAGCGGCTGGGGTCTGGTCGGCGGTTGTGGAGGTTGGGGCTGCTTCGAAGGTGGAGGTGTGGGTCGACGGGGCGAAAGGGTCGCGGGAGGGTTGCTGTGCGGATGCTGGAGAGGGGTCGGCGTGAGGGCGGTCTCCGCCGATTGTTCCGTTGAGATGTTGTCCGATGGGTGAGCGCGAGTCTTGTGGCATGCCGGCAGGAGATGTCACCCGGCTGAGATCGGTGGAGTCGTTGAGAGCGGACTGTCGTGGTGCAAGACCTGGTAGCCCTGGTGGGCCGTTGGTCATGGTGGCGGCGGACCGATCGGCGGGAAAGAAATCTGCTGTTGAGCCTGGCGGAGGTTGCCTCGAGCCGAGTGTTCTTGAGCCTCCTATCTGCTGTCCTCTCCGTGGTGGTGGCTCGCTCTGCTGCGGCGGTCCTCCTTGCCACGCACTAGATGGGGTGGTTGTTTGTGCGGGTCCGCCGCCGCCATTATTCAGACTTGGGAAACTCGACGAAGAGAAGTCGAGTGGTGTTGTTCGTGTGCCGAGTGCCTGTTGGGCTTGCTGTGCCCATGAACCTTCTGGTATTGATGCATCTCGAGCGGAGGTATTCGATTGTGTTTGGAGGCCCGGCTGACCCCATATCGTGGGTTTCGATGGCTGTGCTCGACCCGTCGATCGTGGTTGCGTGCTTGGAGGATTCATGTTGGTGACGTTGGAAAGCGGTCGTTGTCCTGGAGGGGGCTTAAGTCAGTATATGGATCATGTCTAGCAGTGGTAACAATTGACCGGCCGTGCCTTGAGCGTTCCAGATGCCTGCAGTCTTCATCCTTTCGACCAAGTCAAGGATCCTGTCGTCGCCCGGGGCCAAGTTGGAGGACTGGACACGTTTGATTAAGCGAGTCACTTTAGACTGAAGGCGCTTGAGTCCGCTTCGTGTCAACGGTAGTGTTGGCGTGCCTTTGTACACCGCTGCCTGCATGCTTCGGATGAGGTTCTCTGCGAACGATAAGGCAGGGTCTGAGACGTATGTGGTTGATGGCGGTCCGGGCGGTAATGTGGCAGCGTCCATTGTGGATTCTCCCAGCCAGGGTACGTGGTGCCTCAGATATGAGATAGCCAACGATTGTTGGCGGACACTCGCGCCTCGAGGTTGATGGGCGATCGCATCTGTGTCGACTGCCGACTGGCCACGGCCTACGCTGCCTATAGACGACATCTTGCATAGTCCGGAGGCCACGCTGATCGTCCGCTGCACAGACTGACATCTATTGCAGCCGTCTGTAATATTCCACCTTCTTTGTAGCGTGTCTTCCGTGCTTCACTCTTTCGCAACCGCACCTTTTCGGCCCTCCAGTATTCTCTCTTATCTCTCATCAACGTGTCACCGGAGCCTTTTCGAACCGCATCGTCCAGATCTCCAGCCCCGCTGATCACCATTTCACGTCGCCAGCGTCCAGTCGCAGTCACGTTCGAAAGTCACCAGTCGCAGATGGGGGCATTGTGGCTTACCTGGTCGATTCATAGTCAGTCTGCACTATCCCGAGTGCAACTGTCGCGCACACCTCCGTCCAACGATAGAATTTGGAACGATCGTCTGCTATATCACTGTGGTAAATTGAACGTATGTACTTCTGTCTCTGGCTGCGCTTGCGCGATCTCGAATCTTGGACCCTGCGGCTTCAGCTGCGGAGAGATGGCGCAGGCACAACCGGATCATATTTCCGCGGATGCAACTCTTGGCATCTCAAGATTGACACCGGCACGCAGAGGTCTCGATATCAACACCACAATCCAAGCTACGTCTGGAATTGACCTGGCATATCTACAACTAGCTGTATCTACCACTAGGCATCTGCCGCCCAATCTTCCCTCCATGCCCACCCTCCTCAACGACATCAAGCTGCCTCACGAAGCCCCGGTCATGGTGATCACCCGAATCACCATCATCCAACCTAACACTATACGCAATCTTATATCCCTTACCACCCAGCACCCTCGAAATCTCCTTCACAGTCATCAGCTTGCCCTCCGGCCCCAATTTCTGCACCACTGGCTCCATCAAATGCGCTGTCTTCACATAGCTCGGCTCCAAGATAACAACCTTGCTGCTAAACCACACCACCGCGAGCAGCATGACAAACTCAATGACCGGAACAGCAGCGAGGATAGTGCCGGCATACTGCCACTCGACTCGCAGGTACTGTGCCGGACTAGGCCTGTAGTCACCCGTCATATTGACCCTCGGCCCCCCGCGCTGATCCATCGCCGCGATCGCCGTAGTGGTGAATCTCATCAAGTTTGACGCCACGTACGCCGCACTGGCAGTCCCATTGAGATTATACCGATTGTCTCCCGGGTTGATTTGGTTCTGGTAGTCCCTTGTCTGATTACCGAAGGTGAGATCGATCCCTGACCACCCAATAGCGCCAGCAAGCAACTGAGCCTGCTTGTCAGGCAGCTGTAGTCGTGTTTCATTGCTGAATCCACCTTTGTCAGTGTTGGTCACCTGTGAGACTGTATTGTTGCACTCCCACAGCCGGGGTTCCGGCGCGAACCGCGGAACGCCGTATTGTTCGGCAATCTCTTGGGTGTAGTTGTTGGCGCTCAACAGCACCAGCACTTGGCTGCAGCGAGGTCCACAGATATCTTCTGTCGTGACGCCGATGTAGGTTGTTCGTCCGGTCCCAGCATAGGTCACCCTGATCGAACGAAAGTCGCCCGCACTATTGTAGTACACCAACGCGTCTCGAGTGTAGTTTTCCGAAATGTAGCCCTGATTGCCCGCATATCCGCCGTATTCGATTGTCAGGGGTACACAAGTGGCTGAAGAATTGACTGTGCGCTCGGTCGGGAATCGCGCTTGCGGATTGTCGGGTGAGACGTCAATGAATCGATACCAGTAGTCCGTCTCGTCCGGGCAATTTGTTGATACGACTGGCTCATCCGGCAACCATGTGTCGGTAATGTTTGCGCAGGGTGCGTGAAAGTTCTGGCCAGATTGCCCGTACAGGTTCGCGGCATTCTGCTGAAACGCGAGATTCGTGTTGGCTTCCGAACCATCGGACGGTCTGGATGCCAGGTATGATAGCTCAACCACACTGACATTGCCTCGGTCGATCAAGACCCAGCTGTCGGATACTTCGAATGAGTACGTAAGACCCAATAGCGCAGTGCACACGTTGAAAGCAATGAAGAGCGCCAACCAACAGAACGCAAGCACCTGCATCGAAGTCGGCAACCAGCTGCCCTTTCTCCTGCTGCGCACCATGAGCCTGTACACCGACCTCCACGAATCAACACCAAGGACCTCCTCAAACTCCTCAATCGTCCTATACTCCGACGCAAGAATCCGCCACCTCATCATCTCCGCAAAGCGCTTGAACTGCGCCGCAAACGCCAGTCCAAGAAGAACGGATAGCAGAGTGATCAAGGCGTTGAAGGTGTACCGAAGCTGCCGACGCAAGAAATTGAAGCTGGAGAAGCCGGCGAGTGTGCCGGCGAGGAGTGCGCATGCTAGGACTGTCCATAGCCAGATGCGGAAGCAGGAGATGAAGACGCGGAGGGCCTGACGTTTGTGCGAGAAGTAGCGGGTCGTTGAGGCATCTTTGGTGGGGGTTTGTGAAGCCGCATGCTTTTCATCTGGTTCGTGCTCATACGGATTGCTTCGAAGTTTTTGGAGGCTTGAGCCTGTGGTAATTCTTTTCAGGAAAGGTACTGAGGTGGACATATCGTTAGCACAAGTCACACTTTTATGCTGCCACTGGCACAATGCCTACCTTGACGCTTCCTGGTCCCTTGTGGTCTACCGTCACCGCTGCCACCAGGTATCGAGTTTGAGAACACGAGCGGTGTTTGTCCTTTTGGAGTGGCAGCATCGTCACCGTCCGTCTGGCCGACCGAAGTATAACTCATTGTTGTACTCACTCACTCGGCCGGACCACGAGAAGGTTCTTTGTTGCGAGGACGTGCTGCTGACAGCTGCTCGTGAGCTACAAAAGACTCAAGAGCGAGCCGTCGAGCATCACTGACAGAGGCGCTCCTGCAACTTAGTATGTGTGCCATACTGCAGACCCTTGAAGTGCTCGTCGCCAGGTGCACAGGCCGGTGTGTTAGCCAGCTGTCTAGTGCACGTCTTGATGAGATGGAATCCTTGCCGCCATCCTTGTCGTCGCATTGACAAGGTAATTTGCTGCAAGCATCGATAGCGATCTCGTTCAGGTGGCGAATGAGCCCGACGAAGGGGCTTCAAAGGCGATCGAAAAGTTCAATGTCCAGCATGAATCTGAGACTAAACTCGTAGGCGTGTCTGGGGAAGTTACGTAGCAAGTGTTGACCATGGCAGGCCCTACCAATCATTTCAGCCTTTGACCGTGCTCTTTCCCGGCCGTCACATATGTGACGAATCGGCAGGCGCTTGCCTCCACGATAAATCGTTACTTGCCGGTAGTCTGCTCGCTTCCTAAATGTACGAGGATAGAAAATGAAGATATGGGGTCCAAAGCAATGAGAACCACGAAAAATCACGAGACAAGCTTTTCCGCCCGTATCTGACTTTCCACTACATATGCACCAAGCGGGATTGGCGAGCGTTCGATTTCGGGGATCAACTGGAGCTCGTCGGGGACTATTCGGGGACGTCTCAAACCCTGCCTTGGCTTGTTGGCACGGTTTGCAAGTCGGCCGAGTCGGCCGAGTGCGATTTCAGTACTTACGCCGTCATGGCCTCGACATGCTACCTATGTACCTAGGTATGTATGAAGTGAAGATAGCTGGGCAACACGAATCAGGGATGGATATTCACAGGTATGTACAAGCCAAGGAAGACTTCTGAGGTTTGAGAAGATCTCGTCTACATCTCAATCTGGACCTAAAAGCTCAATTACGTTGTGAGTCTTGTCGGCACCAGCGTCCAGGCTTCGAGGCAACTCGCGATCAATCCTCGCTCTCACCAGTGTCCTCGACAACATGAAGGATGGCCATCATGAAGGCCATCCTTCATGCATCAAGCCGCGCGAGTACCTCACACCGTTCCCAGCAGCATCCGGAACTCAAGACAGCCAGAACCTCCTCTACATGTGGCCGCCCTGCCTACACGTCTCTGTTGGCTAATCCCCGCACCTATGACTCTCCCTAACCAACACAACTCTTGCCCACAATGTCCCAGATCCGCACCTCACTCGCGATCGTGAGCAAGATCGAACACAAAGCAACAGAGCCAGAAGACGAGTCTTGTCAGCTACAAAGCGGAAAGAACAGCGCCCTCCACAACTCATGTGTAGCGCAATATAATACTCGTTCCCACTGCACCTTCAGTGCTCGCCCTCTCTCACATTCAGTGCTCGCCCTCCTTGACCTCCTACAGGGAACGCCTGCGGCGCGACCCATTAACTTGCTCGCTGCGCTCGCCAGAGGTAGTGTAGAAGCGGTGGCCCTTTGGGCCCACCGCCTGCCCACCATCTCCCCCACCCACCCCGATCTCCCAAACGATACTCATTTCTCAAAGATTATCCTATTCCTCATGGTCCCAATATTCTCGATCTGTGTCTCCAGAACATCCTGATCCTGGAGCCAAAGCGGCGGCTTCCGGTAAGCAGCAACCCCACTAGGAGTTCCCGTCATAATGACAGTCCCCGGCTGCAGCGTAACGCCACGACTCAGATGACGGATAATGCAGGGGACATCAAAGTACCAGTCATCCGTACCGCCGTCCTGACGCTGTTCACCGTTCACGAATGTCTTGACACTTAGGGCTTTTGAGTCGGTTATCACCTTGGTCGAGGTGATCACCGGCCCAATTGGGGCGAATTTGTCAAATGATTTCGCAATACCCGGTTGACCATTGCCTCTGTGCGGCTGCTGCCAGAACCTGGAAGATAGGTCGTTTCCAGCGGTATAGCCAAGTACATACTGGAATGGGTCGTCGGTCGCGGACACGTTCTTGCATTTCTTGCCGATGACAATGGAGAACTCAACCTGTGGTTGTAAAATATCTCGGTTAGATCGAGAATTCGTTGAGAAGGCAGAGTGTTGCATGTAGGAACAAACCTCGTAATCCAAGTCGTGTGCCTCTGGATGGACCGGTATGTCCTCAAATGGACCGGCAGCCGCGCCTAGCTTGTCAACAGGCTACTCAGGTTGCGCAGGGGGTTAAAGCCTTACCGGTTGGCTTAGTGAAGATCAAGGGATATTCTCCTGGGGCGATTGCCTTGTGAGTCTTTTTAGCAATCGTACGACAAAAATATCTCCTGATGATTCGCCTACTCCAGCTTCTTTGACGTGGTCTTTGTAGTTCAGCCCGACACAGTAGAATATCGGCACATGTTCGATGGGAGCCAAGACCTGAAGCGTGTGTGAGACTAGAAGTTCGAAATTTCGCTTGAAGGAAACATACCTCTGAGATCGTCCTCCGGCTCTCCGTCAGGACAAAGCCTGGAGTCCACGGATTCTGGCCTTCAAATATAGGCACATCAGCACCCAGGAGACCGTCTTGGGTGATGTCTTTGAGATCTCCGGCCTCGCCGTAGTACACCTGACCCGAGGCATCCTTGAATCGAATGAGCTTCCTGAAGTCTGCCATCGTAGGAAAGCTTTCCAAGTTGAGTGGCACCGTGCAGTCTGAATGATGCTAATACGGCCGAAGTTTTAAGAGACTTGTTCGTCGCTCAGTCACAACGATCGCTTGGTGTGATGCAAGCTACATCATTGACTCACGGACACCGCAATGCTCGCCATGGTTGCTGCTCAATAGCCGTGTGGCGTGTCTCAGGGCACCGGCGCTGCTTCTGGCCTCGCAGCCTTCAGCCAAATACGCGCTACGTTCGCGGGGCGCACCACCTCCCGCACCCATCCAGTCGGCAATCGAGCACCTTTCACTGAGTACTGTCTGGGTAATCGGGGCCAAAAATTATGCGGTTGTGGTAAGTCGGCAACTCAAGCTCGACCCAGAGGGCAAAGTCAAAGACGTATAGGGTTTTCTAGGCAGCTCAGTATTGCCGCAGGCTGTGGGCAAGTCGCGGCGGCTCACCATTTGTTCGCCGGCCACCATATAGATGACGAATCCGCACGAGCCTGCCGCCGCGACAGGTGTTTTACAATTCTTCCCCAGTGGGTTTCTCGCTTCGAGAACGAACAAGGATTGACGAGCGAAGATCACTGGGGCGGTACAAACGAACCGACGATCATGAGACAAGCTTTTCCGCCCCCGTATCTGACCTGACCCTCCACCTGCGCTGCACCAAGCGGGACTGTCGAGTGCCGAGCCAGCGCGACCTGGACTCAATTCGCTTCACTCACTCACCCCCACCTGTGCGCACTCCCATACTCGCTTCTCTATAGGGAGCGCCTGCGGCGCGACCAGGATATTGCTCGCTTCGCTCGCCTATGGCGGTGAGGAGGTGGCGGCCCGGAAGGGCCGCCTCCTCCCCACCGCCTCCCCCACTCACCATCCCCGGGAGCTGCTTCCGGCCTCACGGCCTCAGCCTAATGCTCGCTTCGCTCGCGAGACGGCCGTGTGAAGGTGATAGCCCCTTCGGGCCCGCCACCTCCCCATTGCCGTCCTTAAATCGGATCGGCGGCCATGAATGCTCCCCCATGTTGCGCCAGGACCATTTCGCTGATTCCGTAGATTGCCCAGCCAGGAAGAGCGCCTGAAGCCACGAGAATGTTCTCTGCCGATTGATTGACAGGCTTGAGGTAAGCCTCACTTTGAGTAAGCGTCACTGGCAGGTTGAGTCGTAAAACTGGATGATTGTAGATTGGATCATTGTAGGATCTGTGCCTAGTAAGAGCGCTGAAGCGCCTGGATCTGTCTCGCTATTTACGACACTGTACCCCTCCATCTAATTGAACAGCAGTCCAAGAGCAAGTTCAGGATTGCCTCCTGCTGCCTCCAACAGTGCAACGGCTTGGGCACGATCGCAGCTGCCATGCTGCATCACCGTGTTGATCTTTTCTTCAGTGATCTGATTTGAGCGCTGGGCCGGCCTTTGTGACTGAGTCTGAGTCTGCGGTTGTGATGGATTTTGTGCTGACGATGATGATGCCGCATGTGGGGCAGACCCTGATGCAGCGGCCGGTGATTTCGAAGACGTATTGGCTGAGTGTCCAGGAGGCAGTATGGTGCCGGTCTCTGTACCGATTGTTGAGCCCCCCGGACCTGCTACTTTCGGCTCGTTCTCCAGAATGTTGTCCATCATCTTCGGCAGTTGATGCTCTGGTAGAAATTCGATCTTGGTGCCCAGTACTTTCAGACAATTCTCCTGCAAGTCGATACACATCTGATGGCGCTTCAGCATATCGAGACCCAGCAGTAGCTCGACGTCCTTTCCCTCCATGACCATGAAGCTTGCCGGAGCCTCGTAGTCGCCAAACTGCATGATCGCATGATGTACTCGTCCGAGGATCTTTGCTGTACCAACGCCTCGTGCAATGCCGCCCCATTTTTCGTCAATCAAATGTGAAACGCCGCACTTTTCCGCTGCACTGGGACTCATGATGGTCTTCTGTGCGCCTGAATCGACAAATGCCTTGATGGGTACTCCGTTTATCAGGACATCGATGTACAGCATTGTGACGGTACCGAATGACTCTGGATTCTGTTCAAAAGCCTCTTCTTGGTTCTTTGCAATCACCTGCTGTCTGATACGTCGTAGGATTTCTGCTTGAGAGTCGGGATTGTTGGTGTCGTTGTCGAGTCTATCGATTTCCTCCTGGGCTCGTCTCTGCTCTTCCCGCACCCGGCGCTCCCGCTCTGTGAATAGCCGCTCAAACCGAGCAGGATCTGCGATGGCTTCGACCAATTCGGGTGCTACTTGGCGGACCTGTCCTTGCATAGCCGGGTTGGTCAGTAGCTGTTGACGAAGTTGTTCCGATGCCTGTCTTGCAGCTGGATTTGGTGCTCGTGGTTGACCACCTTGCTGAGGCTGTTGCGGCCGTGTTACACGTAGACCCAGTATGTCATTGTGATTAATGCCAAGTTGACGCAACGTCTGGCTAGCGTCTTGTAGAGCTTGACCCTCTCTTTCGAGTGTCTGAATCTGGGCTGGCGCACCTGTCTCGCTCTCGATCAGTGCTCGGAGGTCTTGGAGTGTGAGATCTGGTGGGACATCGAGTGTGAGGAGCCCCGAGTCAGGGAAGTTGAGTTGGACGTTCGAGAAGATGACGGATATCATGAGCAGCCTGGTGGTCTGTCAGCATCATGGATCTTCGGCCGGATATGGCGCTGAGTCGGTTGCAAAAATGTCAAGGCGTCTGCAGGACTTACATCTTGAGAGAATGGTGACCTGATGGCTGACAATTGGCACTACCGTTTCAATGGAGTTGCAGACGCAGAGTCGTGAGCAGTGGATTGAGAAATCTATGCCAGAGAGGCTTGCAAGATGAAGCACAAAAGAAAGGAACCGAACCCGACACCGTAACGCCTGTCCGTGAGTGTTTGGATTACAGTGGTGGCGTGGTCGATGGAATTGCAGAGCATCAAACAGATTATTTGTTCATTAGGCATGACGCACTTGCCGATGTCGCCTAATCCAGGGCCCGTCTAGCGCCTACTACCGGAATCGTCCACTTGCGCCTGCTGTTTGCCTTGTGTTTGCCTTCTGTTACCATCAGCTGCTTTCGTTTCTGCCCTTGTCCGTGGGTATTTGAGTTGAGATCGTAGAAGTATTCTGTCAAGACGCACGTCGTTCACTCGGTCTACGAGATGTACCCATCATGTCAGGTCTCTCATCATACTACTGCAGGCGGCATTATTGGTACATGTCGTAGCCACCATCTTGTGCGAAAATTAATGTTTTGAGATGGTCTAGTAGGTACAGCAACGGAAGGCTTCGTGATTGCTTGCGGGCATATGATACTCGTACGGTGGTGATACCGCTATGGTGTTCGCAGGACTGCTTCGGGGTCTACATAGCGCAAGCATCTGGTGAATGCTTGCGTAGATGCTGCGTGTTCTCGGTTCGTACTGGGCTGCCAAAATAGACCACATTCCGCTGCAAGAGAGCCCTCTCAATGCGATCCGAGGCAGCTTCTCGTCGCAATGCCATGCAAGCGCCACCAGACCTCACCACAGGCCTCCCCGATGCAGCTTTTGCCTCCCCTTCTCACTTCGCACCATATTTCGCCTTCCCAAAACTGAAGGGCACATACCGATACTTGATCATATGCTGAAGCTGTCTCCTCACTGCCACATCGTCAGTACCTCTCTCGCCTCGACCCTCATGGGGTGTATACTCACTAGTCAAAACCAGCAAAATCAACCAATAAACCACCAACACAGGCCAGAAAACCGGCAGATTAAAAATCTCAAAAAACGTACAAAACAGCCCAATCACCACCGCCCTTGTCGCACTATGCCAGAACTTAAACTCCGGCAACCGCCTGATAAACGGTCGAAACTCCTCGTCCGCTTTCGTTGGCAGACTGCTTTGCCCACCCTCCAAACCCTCATCTTCAGTGGACTCGAGGTTCAGGGAAGGGTCGAATTTGGGCTGGAGGAAGGCGAGGAAGAGGTTGAGGAGGTAGATACCGAGGCAGTAGGCGACGATGTACCAGCCTTGGACGAGGAGGATGCGGACGAAGAAGGCGGTTAGGAGGAGGATGGTGACGCCCCAGCGGTGCGGGGTGTAGGGGGTTGAGGCGTCGAGGTAGGATTGGTAGATCTGGTGTGAGGTGTATTAGCTATGCTGTCCGAGGTCTTTGGGCTCGCCGTGGAAGGGTCGCTGGTAGGTGGGACATTCAACATACCCGTACGAGCTTGTTGCCCTGCAGCTGGATGGCGTCGAAGGGCGTCGTCTCTGGCTCGGGGCCGTCCATGTTGCCTTTTCAATCGTACGTTTGGTCAGAGCAGTAATCAGGTGCGACAGCAGATAGAAGAGGCGAGAGGTTGGTTGGGCGTCAATCCCAGCTAGTTGCCCTTCGCCTGAACGCCTCTTCTCCGCGTCGAACAAAGTGTTGCACAGTGACTCTCTCAGATGTCGCAAACAAACCCTCAGCAACGTGAAAGAAATTCAACGTCAGCGACGAGCAGTGAGTGACTTGAAGGTAAGCAGGCACACTCAAAATGATGTTGACGCGAGAAGGAGAGGGAGGCGCAGGCGCAATTCAAATTTCTCGAAAAGACACGTTCTCCCCAAAACTTTACAGGTCCGTTGGAAGTCGAGCCTGCCGGAATCAAGGACCTTTTCTCCTGGCGAGCTTTAAATCAAGGACGAAATCACGTGCAGGATATCCGAAGCCGAGGGATCTGCGGGCAGCTGCGGAGGGATTTCGATTTCCGTTTCCCCAGTCCTACGGGCTGTACCTGAAATTCAATAAATTCACCGGTCGCTTGACGAGCTTCACTCTTCTCTTTCGGCGACTGCTCTTGTATAGTACACTCGCCCCTCACCCATCACTACCCACCGCAGCCATGCCACTCCTCAACCGCCTCGCCCGCCCAGCAGCGACCGCCCTCCGCCGCCCCTTCTCCCCCGCAACCCTCCCACGCTTCTCCTCCACCTCCTCTGCCACATACGAAAACATCATCCTCTCCCACCCCCCGACCCGGCGTCGCACAAATCACCCTAAACCGGCCGAAAGCCTCACGCCCTCTCCTCCGCCCTCTTCGTCGAACTCAACTCCGCCCTCGCAGCCCACGAGGCGGACCCAGATGTCTCAGTAATACTCCTAACCGGCAGCGAACGCGCCTTCGCCGCCGGCGCAGATATCAAGGAGATGGCCACCCTCACTTTCAGCGAAGCATATACAAACAACTTCATCGCGCCCTGGTCCACAATAACAACCCTGCGAAAACCCGTCATCGCCGCCGTAAGCGGCCACGCCTTGGGCGGAGGCTGCGAGCTGGCAATGATGTGCGACATCCTCTACAGCACAAAGACCGCCAACTTCGGGCAACCAGAAATCAAACTCGGCACGATCCCCGGCGCCGGCGGCTCACAACGCCTCACCCGCGCCATCGGCAAATCAAAAGCCATGGAGTTGATCCTCACCGGCAACAGCTTCTCCGGCGCCGACGCAGAAAAGTACGGCTTGGTCGCAAAGGCATTCGAGACGCATGAAGAATTGATCAACGGAGCGCTGGACACAGCAGAGAAGATTGCGCGGTACAGCAAGGTCGCCGTCGTAGCAGCGAAAGAAGTCGTCAACAAGTCGCAAGAGTTGAGTTTGAGGGAAGGCGTGGAGTTTGAAAGGAGGGTGTTTCATGGGTTGTTTGGAAGTCAGGATCAGAAGGTTGGGATGAAGGCGTTTGCGGAGAAGAAGAAGGCGGAGTGGACGCATTCATGACGAGCTCTGGCTGCATGACGGACGGGATAGTATGGTGCGCCTGCAGGAAGTATGTTTCCCTGGCCTCGGGGCGGAAGCGGAACTGGACTGCTCGCCAGGGAGGTATAGACAGGAAATTGTAGATCAGCGTTTTTGATTCGAAAGCCACATTCTCAGGAATCGTTCTCCGAGCCTGTTACTGTTTGACTTGCAAGCTTTTCGGCCATTTCTACCGTGCTCTGCTGTAAGCATGTATGTACATATGAAAGCCCACCCTGACGAAGCCGTCCGTCCCGCACTGAAAAGCAATGGTGGCCGTCCCTATGTGATAACCCTTCCGAATAACGCTGCCGTCATAATCGAGCTCAGCCTGTCCCTCGTGCATCCATGTCTGCTTTGATCAATCCGTTCCTAGTCCAGCCCGGCTTCGGTCCTACAGCCCAGCAATCCCCCGTCATTTCCCCGCAGAATCCTGCCTCCCCACTCAAAGACTCAACCGATCCAAACTACTGACCCTCTTCCCCGCCCCCTTCTGCACCAGCCCCAACCGATAGAACGTCTCGTCCCCATTCCCATTCCTTCCACCAACATACCACTTCTCTCCGCTCCCCAACGCGTCCATGAAGCCGCCACTCGAGTTCGAGCTATCGCTGCCTCTCCGCTGTCGCCCTCGGTTCAATTGTGTGGGTGTATGTGCGCCGTTTCCGCCTGGCGAGGATGTTCCGGGTGATCTTGAGAGTGGAGGGGCGCCGTATGAGCGGGTTGTGGAGGTCGGGCTGAAGGGTGTGTTTGTTGTTGTGCGGGTTGTGGGGGATGTGAGCGCTGTTTGTGCGGCGATTGAGTCGGAGGTTTTTGTGGTTATTGTTCGGGGTTGGGAGGTGGTGGAGGCGGAGTTTGTGGTTGTGGCGGAAGTGGTGGTGCTCACTGAGGCGGTGACGGTCTTCGCTGTGGGGTATGTGGGAGGTGTGCGGGGCGCGGAAGGCGGAGAAGAAGTTTGAGAAGAACGGGCTGCGGCTTGGTGCCATCGTTGGTGTGTTGTGTCTGGTGAGGGTTGAGAAGCGGTCCAGGTATTGCTTTTGTGGACAGTGGATGTCCGCGGCGGTTGTACAGCTATGAAGTGAGGCTCGTGAAGTCGTTCGCTCGCTTGGAAGAGGTAAAAAAGGTTCGAAGAATGAAGTCGGAGAACGTCGTGAACACAAGCGGGCGTGAGGTGGGTTGCTTCAAGGTTGTGACATGGTGTTTCGGGCAACGGTCGGCAACGCGGAGAAGGTTTGACTTTGGTCTGGCGTTCGGGGCTGGTCAGCTTTTCAAGTGCCCGGCGCAGCAACTTCTTCAGTTGAAAATCACTCTGGTATCCTCACGGATGGGCCCTGTGTATTTGAGGAAGTGAAGACATGACTGAACCGGAGATGCGGGATATTTCATTCAATCGACGATATCAAGATGGCAAAGGCGGAGAGAGGCAGTCAAGGAAATTCCCGGGAAAGCGTAACCGACTGCGCCAAGCCCGATCTGTTCCTGCTCCATTTTGCTGCCCAACCAATCGTGTCGACGCTGTTACTACGGCTATGCATTATGCAAGTTTGCTCAGTCATTCTCAGCTACACGGATATATAGCAGGTTGCGAGATGAGGCACGCACACGGGCCCTATGCGGACGCGGATAGGATTCGGCCGTTCTAGTGCAAATTCCCATTCTGGCATCGACCCGGCTAGAATTTGGGCTTCAGACCGAGCATGCATCGAACGAATGAATTTCTAACGCAACAAGACCGTCATGGCCAAAACCGTGGATATCGCAATCAGACTGTACCTTCCCGAACGTTTCGTCGTGATCGTTGCCGCACACCTCTATGCATCCAATTTTTTCCAGAGCTCGCCATGTGATGCACTGCTGCCAATGCTCACAAGCCGTAAGCCGCAGCAAGACGTCGGAATGAGCGCCAGTCGGGCCTACGTCTCCGTCTCGTCTTGGGTGTCTAGTCCTCGTCTTCGTTCGTGAACTCCATGATCTAAATCGAATGTCAGTGCCCGCTCAGCAGCTTTCAAAAAGCTTCCAACATACCATATTATTCCAATTTCCCCCACCAAAAGTCGCAGCGCTCGGCCCCATGTCCTGAAACCCCAGACTCGTGTAGAAGCTAACGAGGTGATCATGCGCAAGAAGAGCCATTCGCTCAGCACACTTCGAGTCCTTGATCCGCTGAATATACGACTTCATCAGCACCGTGCCCAGACCCATGCCCTGATGCTCTTTCGCAACCGCCAACGAGTGGACACAAATGGTGCCTCCTTGCTCTTGGTGACCCTGTGGCTCCGAGTCCGATTGTCCTGGGGCGGGTAGTGATGATCTGCGGTGCTTCCAGTCGGCCGGCAGCGCCATACTGGCGTCGGTCACGCTCGGACTTGGGCTTCGTGTAGCGACAACGTGCGCGATGAGTCGGCGCTTCGCGTCGCCGGCTGTGCCAGGTGCTTCGCTTTCTGTCGGGCGGGAGAAGAGACCTAGACTGAGTTCTGGACATCTTGCGAGGCGGTATTCGAACTGTTCACCCCAAGTCAGCATTGTTCGTAGTGAGAAAAGTGAGCACGTGACCCGTGCTCAACAGCAGTATCGAGCGTCAATGACCCATAGCTGCGCTTGCAGGCTCATGGTCTAGGCTGGGGTCATCATACCTTCTCACGCGAGCAGCGCTCCTCCTCAGGAAACACCTGATCCTCCAACCTAGTACAATCGTCCACATTCCCAACACTCAACACTCCCGTGACAGGATGCAACGAATCCCACTTATGCGTACTACCGCGTCTACGCTGTCCCATCCTCCCAGTCAACATACTCAGCAACGGATGATTTGCCATGGATTCGTGTTCCTCGTCAGAACTGTCGTCAAGATCGTGGTCGGCAGAGTTTGCGGAGAGGCGGTGGAGATCTAGATCGTCTTTTGTGCTTCCTCCAGGTCGTCTTGATTGGTTGGTGTCGGCGTCTCGCATCTCAGTGTCCTCGTCGCTGATATCGACGTAATCGTCGTCGTCGTCGACGATCTCGCCGTCCTTGTTGTGTGAATTCGGAGGTGTTGGATTCCAGGGCGGGCTTTGACTTGGGTTTTGGTTTTCAATGCCTTCTGATTGGCTATTTGTTGACATGGTCAAGTGATCTCGGTGACTGATGGGTATGGGAGCGGCTATGCAGTTGTGTAGTGAAGACTAGTCTACACGCAACTTTGCGAATGTCTGATATAATGTCTGGATCGATGATTGTGACAAGCACAAGCACAAGAGAAAGAACCAAGGCCTGAAAGTCATCAAAGGCAAGCACTACCAGCAGACTCGAAATTTCTCCCGGTCAATCACCACTAGGTTTTGATTGGTCAACTCAAATCGGCGTAGATCTGAGTTGCTTTTGCGAGCGTCACTCCCACGGGTTCAACTTGCCCAAAAATGCACAACTGCTGCATTCCATCGTCCGCACTTTAGAACTCGCTGCCCGTACTTCAACCCTCCCTTCCCTATAGGGAGCGCCTGCGGCGCGACCAGGAAATCGCTCGCTTCGCTCGCTTGAGGTGGTGAGGAGGAGGTGGCCGCGACGCGGCCACCTCCTCCCCACCACCTCCCCCACCCACCGTCCCCTTATCTGCGAAGGATCGAGGCTCTTATACGGTGCTTTGTTACAATCAGATGGTGCAAGGCCGAAAGGCGACGTGGATTGTTCGTCTATACCTGCTCTGCTTTGAACGGCTCACTACTCGCCCAGTCAGTTATTTCCGATCTGCAGATTCTGCTATGGCATTCTACTCCTGCATTTCCTCATCACCATCCTCCTCATCCTCATCTTCACCCTGCTTGACATCAACCTCAAACGCCAAACTCTGATCCACCCCAATATAGCTATCACACATAACCAACAAGCTCAGCCCCTTCTTATCCCCCGCGATCTCCGGCGCCGAGAACGGTAATTTGTACTGCATCTCCTTCTTCGCGATCGTCACCCGCTTGATCCCCAACAGCGACCTCGTAGACTCTTCCGACACCACCAGCCACCAGTTCTCGATCTTGGACGCAGGGTAGAACGGCGCGTGCACAGTCGTGTCGATCTCGGCGTCTTCCTCGTCCTCGTCGTCCGTCTCACGCGTGATCTTGACGTTCAGGACTGCCTGTTCGCCAGCGGTGATCTCGTCTTTGTCGAGGACATCGAACTCGACTTCGATGTTGGGGTACTTCTCGTTCGTGAACGCTGCAGCAGCGACGAGCTCCTTGTTCCCGAGACCTAAGTTGCTGAGCTCCGCAACGAGCTTCTTGTAGTCCTTGTTCTCGGACGGATCCATGGCCGCCATGAATTCCTCCACGTCATTGATCTGGTACTGCTTTGACAAGGTATTGGCAATGTCAGATGTGAAGTGCGGCAGCTGCAGGAGAGGACTATCGCGGTCGAGCCACATGGACTGTACAACCATTTGTGACAGCTCCATCGCGGACAGTGCATTGAGGTGGCCTTCCGATGAGAGCACGTCGACTGCGGCGGACAGCAACGGCAGAGTCTTCAGCAAGATCGACTCTTGGTCCTTGGCGAGATCGATCGGAAGAGCCAGACGCGAGAAGTGTGCCTGGAGGAGCACGAAAGCTTTGAAGGACGGAGAGTCAAATTGAGGGTCGGACAGCTTCACGGGACATCGATCGTAGATGCGTCGTAGCAGATGTGACTCGTGACGGCGGAGTTGGATAGTCGATTCGAACTCGGTAGCGGATGTAATGATTTCAAGCAGAGCTTTGAGCTTGGTCCGAGAGGTGAGCGATAAGAGGAACGTCTGCATGGTGATGAAGCTGATATTGTAATATGCAGCGATCATGGCTGGATTGAGTGGGGCCACGGAGTCGTCAGAAGAGTCCAGCTCGACAATTTTGGCCTCTGAGAGCTCGTTGAGTGTGGTTTCAACAAGGTCTGATAGGAAAGTCGAGAGGCCTTCGTGGCTGGCGTCGTGCAGGCCGTAGAAGGATGGGTTGGCCAGCAAACGGCGATAGAAGTATGTATAGGTGGACCAATCCAGGGCTTCTTGTGTAGACTGGATGGTCTTGGTGGAGATCTCGGTGACAAACGCGTCGTGTAGGTAGAGCTGGAGATGAGACTCGATTGGGAGAGCTTCATTGAGGAACTTCTTGTAGTACTCGCGACGGACTTGTGGAACCATAAGCACGGCTTTGCTTATTGCTTCTTCAAGAGGTCGTGAAGATCGGCCCAGCATTTGAAGTATTTCGGCGATTGTGTAGTCGATATATCGATGCTCGCGGCCATTGAAGTACTGCGTACCCATGATGATCACCAAATGCGCAGTGAGAGTCAACTCCCAGCAGACGTCGCGGGACGCCAGCAAGACTTGGATGGCACCTTGCTGATACAGATGCGACACGATCCGCTTGTCGGTAGACGAGAGTGCTTCATGGTAGTAGCCAATGCCGTGCGTAAGAGACTCAGCAAGCGACTTCTCTTCAATTCGCTCCAGGAACGGTTGCAGCTCTTCGACAGTAACGTTCAAGAACCGCTCGTCATCATCGTCGGCGATGCATGCAGACAGAATATCAACCGCTGTAAGGCGGACTTGCTTCCGGTTAGGAACGAAGATGATGGCAGGCTTGTCCGAAGACATCTCCACCACAGCGCGATAGGCAGGACGAGCCATGGCCATCATGAGTGACGGGAAGTGTGGTATGCTGAAAGACTGCAGATGGAGCTCCAGGGCCACAGGCCGAGCAGCAGGGCTGAAGTTGTAGATTGTCTGCTTCGTTGCGCCCAACCACTCGCCCACATCTCGAGCATTGGAGAGCGGAACGCTGAGACCAATGATGCGCATGCTAGACTCGAGCTGAACCTTGATGTAGTGCATGCGCGAGACCACAGCTTCGTAGACATAGCCGCTTTCGCCACCAAGGAGATGCAGCTCGTCGGCAATGAAGAGGTCAACAGCTTGGACGCCTTTGCGGCGCTGCCACTGGCGCGAAAGTACATCCCACTGGGAGGGAGTGGCGAGGATAAGATCAGCGCGGTCAAGGACCCGGATGTCGTTGTTGGTATCACCAGTGAGCTTATCAATGACCTTGCCGCCGTGCAGTTTTGCCAGACGCTTCTGCCAGTCCGTAAAAACGTTGTCAACGAGCTCTTGAAACGGTGCCACGTACACAGCTTTGCCGCTTTCGGGGTTATTCCAGCTGTGCAATACTGCAAGCTCTGCACATAGCGTCTTGCCGCTACCGGTTGGTGCTCCAACGAAGACACTCTCGTTTCCGTCGAAGAGCGCCTTGAACGTCTGAGTCTGTATCTTGTTGAATCTATCAAAGTCTGGATACAGCGAGATGTAATCTTTCCGTCGTAGCGCTTGCACGGGAACCGGCTGCATATCGAGAAGCTGAGTATGCGCCGGGAACCGCTCAGGCAGGATCAACTTCTGGAATGATACTGGAATTTTGGTCTCCGAGTGCATCCATCGATCTGACACAAGCGAAATGAAGTAATTCGGCGGCATGGGCTCGGTGATGGGCACGGTAAAGTCAACGATGTGCTCCGTCAACTCGCCCTCGGCGAAGTCCTGCCGCAGAATGAATTGATCATGAAACAAGATCTCTTCCCCGTCGCAGTCCTCGACCAAAATCCAAAATGCTTCTGCTTTGCCATGCAGCGACTCGTCCCACGTGAAGTTGGGTGTGATCATCAACTCGATCCTCAGCATGGATCTGGTGATTGGCTGCACCTGAGCTTGCACCTCAAGACGAGGAAATTTGCTGACCAGCTCGCACACCATTCTGCCGGCTTTCGGAATGCCGAGGAGCTCGCCCATTCTTGGAGGATCAAGATCGAAGTAGCTCGACCACGGGACATCGATGCGCTCAGCTTTCTGCATAAAGTCTTTCGGACAGGACGGGAACTGTCTGAGCGGCGTCATCGTCGGCCACATCCTCTTCTCGGCCATCTTGCAGAGATCGAGCGCTGTCCTCGCGACGTGTGACCAGCCTTTGCGCAGGCATATCTCGAAGATCGCACGCAGAATACGACCAGCGGATTGCGTGACATAGACCATGTCAGCCATGAGGGCGAGACCTTCAAGCTTGAGTCGCGAAATGTATGCTTGTAGCAGCACATTGATCTTCGCTTGAGGATCTTCCATGCTTTCTTTGACGGGAATAGGCACGCGCCCGAGCAACTTCGCAAGCTCGAGCTTCTCGTCTTGTCGAACTGGAATGTACTTGAACTCGTCGCTGAGCGTGAACAGTCGGAAGAACTCGATAGTGCCCATGGCAGGCTGAAGGAAGTTGTTGTACGTCAGCATTGAGTTGTTGGTGATGTAGTAATGCGATGCAATACGTCCGAGGTCCGTGGCTTGGAGCTTGCCATTCTTCTTGTCGTAGCGTACAAGGCCAGCTTTCTCCAGCACGATTGCGGCAGAATGGATGAGATCAACTCGCTTCTGCTCGAGCGCGTCATCGGACTCGTAGTCTGCGCCAACTTGATAGAGACCAGGTGACCTGATCATCCGAACGAACAGGTATGTATAGCCTAGCCAGTCAACACCTTCGTTGCGATTCCGGATGTTGCCAAGCACGATTTCGGCATTGAGATTGTCGGCCAGCTTGCTGATGAGCTGACTTTCGATGGGCAGTTGCTGATTCATGAGCGACAGATAGTACTGTATCTCGTTCTGCGAGGTGATGATGATGCCCTCGCCGTACGAGTCGTATTGTGGACGACCTGCTCGACCAAGCATTTGAAGCACGTCTTGCGGGCTGAGTTCAACCCAGCTACCTTTCTCGGGCGAGTATACTTGCGTACCCTTGATGATGACTGTATGTGCTGGCAGATTGACGCCCCACGCCAGAGTCGCTGTGCAGACAAGCACCCGGAGATCGCCTGCTGCAAAGAGATCGGCCACTGCTGTACGATCTGTCACATTCATGCCAGCATGATGAATGCCGAATCCGTATGGCATCAGGTCCTTCAGATTAGCATCGTTGGATGCATCTGCTTCTTCCGTGAGGATGGCTCTACTAGCGGCATCCGTACGCATTATCTGTCCGATAGTCTCCATCTCAACCGCCTTGTCGCGAATGTACTTTGCGGTCTTTGCGGTCTCCTTCCGAGAATGCACAAAGATCAGCATCTGTTGTTGATTCTTGCCGACATGCTCGAGGACCTTGGTGTAGCACACATCGTTCATGATCTTGAGCTGCTTGATCGGCTTTTTGTCTGTGACGCCAACAAACTCTTGCCGCAGCGGACAAGGTCGGAACGATCCATCAAAGTGGAACATATCTTTCTGCTGATCGACTCTCAAGAAAGTTGCCACGTCTCTGTAGTTTGGCAGGGTTGCGCTGAGACCAACAATGCGGACCGGATCGCCAGTCTGCTCCATTTTTCGAATGGTTCGACTGACAATGCTTTCTAGAACGGGTCCACGATCATCGTGCAGTAGATGGATCTCATCGATGATGATCAGCTTCACTAGTCGTGTGTAACTCGAATCGGTAGCCTTGCGAGTGATGACGTCCCATTTCTCAGGTGTCGTGACAATAAGCTGCGTGTCTGCGATCTGCTGTTTTGTGAGTTGGCGATCGCCCGTCAATTCTGATACCGTGATGCCATACCCCTTCAGTCGGGCACCAAAGTTGCCAACCTGCTCCTGAACGAGCGCTTTTAGAGGAGCAATGTAGACGATCTTGAAGTCGTCAAGCATGATCTCGCCGGTTTCAGGATTGCGATGCTTGCCGATCTCGCGTAGCATCGCGAGCATGGCCACGTTCGTTTTACCTGATCCAGTGGGTGCACAAATGAGCATGTTGCCATCTCCATGGAAGGCACTCGGATAGCACTTCGACTGAATTCGATTGAGTGAAGGTGCTGAGCCAAAGCCAGATCGAGCCCACTCCGGAAGGTCAGAGGTAGGAATCTTCTTCTCTCCAGGGTCAATTTTCGCCTTCGGCACAGGCACGTGGATCTCTTCATAGCCCTTGAAAGTCCGCTTGGTAGAACCTTGAGGTAGAACGACCTTCGGGTTCGTCATAAGATGGTTTCCCTGCTCGAATACAAGGTTCTGGAGATTGATGGTCTTCTGTGGCTGAAGATTGCGCTGGAGGCCGTCTCCGTTCTGCTCTTCCTTCTCGGCCGCTTTGGGAATGTCGACGTCCATCAGGTCCATCTTCATCTTCTTCGACGGTCGAGGATCTTCCTGCTCTTGGGCACCACCCAGCAGCTGTGCAAGTATTGACCGCTGGCCGGCCTCGATCATCTGATTCTCGACCTGCGTACGCAACTGTGCGTCCTGCTCAGCTCTCCGCCATCTCGTAGCCCAGACGATGCGATCCTTGCTGTTGAGTAGTTTGGAGACAAGGTCGGGCTGCTCATAGTCGAATGTTTCCATCAGATCATTTTCGATGTCTCGCAACGACAATTCTTGACCATCTTCTGTGACGCCGGACAAGATCTGGAGCGCTTCTTGCGTTTTCTGCTGCTGCTCGTGCGGATCATCGTAGGCTGTGCCGATCTGTCGTTGCAACCAATAGGCATCGATCTCATGAAGCGGCACGACCTCGACCTGCTTTTCGCTTTTTGACTTTGTCAGACCACCATCCAGGACCATGCCGGCATCGCTGTCACCGTCATCAGGTTCTGGATTCAATTCTGCAGCCTCGTCCTCCTCTGGCCGGTCCTGACCATCGTCGTCATCTGAAGAGTCACCATCCCGAACTTCCAGATTCTTATCGAGACCGTCTTCGTCCTCGTCATCATCGTCTGCAAAGTCAACAGCAACTCCCTGCCGATCGTCCAGTTCGTCCTCGGCGTCACCATTTGCGCTTCCGTTCTGGTCGTCTTCTTGATCGTCGTAATCTGTGATCTTCTTGCCAAGGCTGACCAGCTCATTGAATTGTTTCGGGGTCATGGGCGCGCCGATCAGCTCATCGATCTCTTTCTTGCGATCCATGTCTTTCATGTTCTCGTCCTTGAGGTACTCGAGCACCTGATCAGCAGCACTCCGCACGATCTCCTGCGACACATCACCGAGTGCCTGCGCCGTGACGCTCAGAAGTAGGTCGTAAGTGGCTCGTGTCGCTTGCGTCCGTGGTCGGTACTTCAGACCCTCAATGAATGTGTCTCCGGCTGCGACCAGCCCGCCGCGCTGTGTCTCGCCTCGCTTTCGCTTCTTGTTCCGCTCACGCTCGAGAACGTCTTCGCCTTCGCGTATATCGCCTCTCTCAGCATTCAGTGCAATCTTCTGTTGCCGAGGCGCCTCTTCTCGCCTGACTCTTGCGCCCATATCACGGATATTCAGCCGTCCAGCTAAGGACTCTGGGTCACCTGTTTGTTCTGAAGGGCGAGCGATATGTTTTCTGTCGGTCTGCAGAACCAGATTTGACATAGCCGAGTACTTGTACTGGGCGAGCTTGTTTGGTTCCGCCATCTTGAGGGTGGTGTGTTGGTGCTGTCCCGTTGAGGGTGGTCTCGCCTGCGGCGGGGATGTGTTCAGAGAGGATGGAGGCGTAGCCGCTTATGTGGCGCTTCCGGTCATGAAAGAGTGTAAGGGGATGGCGTTCCGGCAGTCGAAAACTATGGCCCCTACGTAGATATTGGCGAGTGGCGAGGGATTCGAACAGTTGTCAGTGTAGGCAGCACCGCGGCAGCACTGCGGCAGTCCGCGACAAAAAAGTCGACATACATCAACTCGATATCTTGGCATCTGATTATGTCCTCTTATTTCCGCCGTAGGTCCAGTCCACCTTCTCTCTACTCAGTACCTTACGCCTCCCGTAACTGCTCTTTTTGTTACAATACGAGCGGCCTTTCTTCGCAAGTTCCAAAGTTGTCTGTGCTATTCGCAGCAGCCTCATTATCATTGGGCGGCCTTCTTGAGCCCGACGACGTAGTCTACCATACACGGGCCGTCGACGTATGCTCAGCGATAGCCATGCCACGGGCAGGCTCCTGAGCTGACCACGTCCAAAGGAGACACTAAACCTCGACACACTTTCAATCATCTGGCGATGGACCATGTCTACCAGACGATGTGAATATACTGCTCGGAACAATTGTTGCCGACCAAACCTTAGCAGTGGGCGGAACATGCTTCAGACCCCTGCCAAGATCGGCCTCGAGGATGATATCACGACCTGCTGTGTTCCCAGTGAATACTTTTTTATGGTGAGCCGAACCTGACTGACGTTGTCGTATGCAGTATTCGCACCTGTAAGTCGGGACGTTTTATTCCGAATGAATGAGATGGTAAGGATATATATCCATCCATCAAGGAACTTGTAGTATTGCATTTATATTTCTGTGACCGGTATTGCCATGATACACAGCAAAGACAGTAAACGACGTCACTCAAAGCAACTCTGAAAGAAGAGACAACAGATCGCCGTTCTCGATACTTTCCAACGGTAGACTCAGGAAACATTGGACCAACAACGTCCGTGCAACACCACCGTCAACCATGACCACCCTAACAACCAAAGTCCTTCAAGTCACCGGCATCACGACCTCCCTCCTCTCCGCCGGCGCGCTCCTCGCCTTCAACTTCTTCGACATACCGATCCTCAAATCACAGCCCGCTTCTCGCTCTCTCCCGTCAGTCCGCTGGTTCTTCAGCCGTGGCTCGCACATCTTCCCGCAAGCAGCGCTGGTCTCCAGCGGCGCGTTCCTATGCCTTGCTTACACAGCTCAACCCGCTCAAAGCAGCGGACTGACAATAGCGCAGCTGTTGAAGCACGGCCGCGTCTCAGGCTATCTTGCGGCAGCAGCACTCGCATTTGCAATTGCGCCGTTCACAGCTTTCGCAATGGTCCCACATCCGAACTTCGATATCATTCAGCTCAACAAGGACCTTGGAGGCGCAGCGAGTCAGAAGCAGAGGAAGTTGCAGCAGCGGCAAGGAGTGTCGGATGAGCAGCTCAAGAACTCTGGTGGCCCACCGGATGTAGATGGAGACTATCAGCTTTCCGAATTCAAGGATATGAGCGGGCCGATGGAGAAGACGGAGCGGGAGTCAACGCCGGAGCAGGATCAGAAAGCGAGGACACTGCTCGAGGACTTTAGGAAGCTGAACATGGTGAGGGCGTTGTTGATGCTCGGGAGCGGTGTTGTTGGACTGGTCGTTGCGGCTGCGTGAAGCTGACATGAAACTGACCTGGATGGTCTCCGAAGGCAAGCTTTGGACATCAGCCGTACTGCGAGTACTCAAAGGAGGGTCGAAATTGTCGTTGAGCATACTATGATGCGCAGCAGACCCCATTCAGAGATCTTCGGAGAGGCCACGCTGGCGCCGTGCTAGTATGACATTCAGAACATGCAATGAGATGATGGCAAGCGTCTCCGGCCTTTTCAAAACATTTGGTATTCTTCCGAGCAGACAATGCAGGAGTGCCAACGCCAAGGCGATCCCTTCATATCACACACTACCACTTCAAGTAAATCTCCGAAGCCTCCATCACGTCACCAGCCTTCTCGATGGTCTTTGCTGTACGATACGCTATCTCACCTTTATGCGGGAACTTGAAGACCACTGAACACGGCGGCTGCGCTAAGTACATGTCCTTTGAACTGCTCTCCATGAGGGCGCGATGCTCTGCGCATAGCTCACAATCCGGCCTTCCACTACATCGTACTGCGACTCCCCACGTTATTACAATTTCCGGTGGCGGTGGCGGTGGCGGTGGCTTTGTAGCGCGGCGTTTCTTAAGCATGAAAGGTGGCAGTTCCTGCTGATGGCCGCCGCGCCAGCTTACATCGGCGGCGATCAAGTGCAAAGTGCGGTCGGCGTTCGTGTCACCGGCATCGCCGAAGAAAATCGTCCAGACACCGGATGAACTGGTCTTCCAGAGCGGACGTTGGGGCGTCAAGAGGCGTTTCTTTAGAACCTCATTCAAACGCGGCTTGTCCTCGCCGCTCGCCGGGTCGCGTTCGAAGAAGAGGTGTTGTCGAAGAGGCCTGGACGCTTGTATGGCAGACCGGAATGTTCCAGAGATCCGCTGGGCTTTGAGGAGTATTGTCTCCACTGGTAGGCAAAGAAGGATCGCTTCCAGGAGTTCGGAGGTCAAGAGCACGCGGTGGCATGCTGATGGTATTAGCGTCTCGGGGTCTTGCGAGCTTTGCATGGTCGTTCTTGTTGGGCGTGGGATAGCGAGGTTGTTGCAAGTGCAAGAACTAAAGGCAGCTGGGGTAGGTACTTCACACTTTCCCCGCTGAAGCCCCACTTTTGCCTGATCGCGCCTGTCATAAGGCAAACCTGATCACTTTCCTACATTCGAGCCAACCAAAGTTATTCCGTCCGTCTGACTACCTAGGTAGTTTCCCACGTCCAGCATCTCGAAGTGCGTCCGAGACATTCGACGCGTCACATTTGTAGGTCAGGCTGGGGCGGACCTCAGGGCGCTTAGCTGCAGACCGCCCTTTGGACCACTTCAAAACGATTCGAAATCAGGCAAACAAAGTTCCGTTGTCCGGATTGCTCTTAAGATGTCGTACTCTCACACGAATGTGCTTCCAACGCCGCCGCCGGGCTAACTAGATCACAGAATGGAAGACCCAATAGCTGCTCTACAGCATGAATACCGTCAGATTCGCGAGGCGGACGACAGACGACATCAGATATTTGACGTGAGTACTACTGCCCTGTCTGCAGAACACCATGAACACTCGTCAAAGCCCGCCCTACCATGTTATTTCCGCCGAGCCAACATCGTCGAAATCTCTCATGCGCTCGAGGTCTGCGAGTCCTGCTCCAAAGTACTGTACTGACGCGTTCCAGACCCTAATTGAACAAGTCTCGACCTTATCGAAAGAGCGAGATGATGCTGTTCGTCGATCTCAGCGTGCCGACATGACCTGCGATACCTATCAACAAAAGCTTGAAATGGCCGAAAAGCGACTAGATTCCTTGGAGAAGGCAGTCACCTTAGATCAATTCGCAGTGGTACTGATAGATGGAGACGACGTCTTGGTAAGTCAGCGCGCTGGGTCACGATGTTGGGCCATTGTTCTCTTTCTCAACGATACTTCAACTCTGTCTAAACGATGACTCGACTCTGTCTCAACGTTACATCGACTCCTTCGCAACGTCACTTGGGCTCTGTCTCATCGTCACTTGCACTCTGTCTCAACGATACTTTGACTCTGTCTCAACGATACTTCGAGCTCAAGGCTGCTGCCTCAACGCTTTCAGCATGGGTCCATGCCCAATTTTTATTCTGTCTCTGACTGACTCGTCACAGTTCAACGACAGCTACATCCGCGACGGCGCAGAAGGCGGTGATCGCGCCGCCACAGACCTCCACAACGCACTCGTCGAGCAGCTTAGACCACGAGGTGACTATCGGAAGAATATCCAAGTCCGGATTTATCTCAATCTTGCTGGTCTGGCCGGCACTTACACCGAGGCTAAAGTCATTCCACACCCTATCGAGTTCAATAAGTTCGTATCAGGTTTCAACAGACGAGGATTAATCGAGATCATCGATGCTGGCAAAGTGAAAGAGGCAGCGGATAAACAGATCAGAGGTGAGTAATTCTGTTGCCACAACCTTCTGCTTTTCGAACCACGATTGGGTTAGCTTCGAACCACGACTGGGTCAGCTTCGAATCACGGTTGGGCCAGCTTCAAATCACAGAGTACTGACGATTATGACAGAAAACTTCGAACTGTTTAGTCGCAATATTCAGTGTAAAGAGATCATTCTAGGATTTTCGGGTGACAGCAGTCACGCGGGTTTCCTCCACGATAACATGCCCAACGCCTCCACTGGTTTCCACCTGTCACTTCTGAAAGGACGCGATTTCGCAAAAGACCTCAAACCTCTAGCCGAAAATCTGGACGTGGTCTCAGCTCCGGAGATCTTCCGCGACACAGCGCTTCCGACTCGCACAGTAGCTGCTCAACAGGCCGCTCAGGCATCGGTTTGGTCAACGGCGACGCAAGCTCCGCCTGCTCGCCAACCGGCCTCATCATCATCTAGCGATGGCGATGCCACCGATGCTCTCATTGCACGGTTAACTATTAACAGCCCGAACGTGACCGAGCCGCCAAAAGCAGCACCAGTGCCAACCACCTCAGCATCCACTTCTCAGAAGACCGGGCGAAAGACCATCTTCGTTAACTCTCAAGGCCAACGTCTTGACAAACCTCTCAAGGATGTTGATCGCGATCTAGCGAAGGAACTGAAGCAAAAGAAGCTCTGTAACCGGCACCATCTCCGGGGCGATTGCGATAAGGGCAACACAGGCTTCTTTACTTGTAACCACTCCCATGCCGGCACGCTCAAAGAACGAGAGAAGCAGGCGTTGCGCTTCGTTGCCAGAACCAGCCCTTGTAAGTTGGGAACGGCTTGTCAGGATCCGGATTGCTTCTACGGGCATCGGTGCCAGTATGGCGAGAACTGCACGAAAACAGATTGCTGGTTCAGTGATGATATGCATTATGTCGCTCTGGAGGGAATTAAGGAGACACTGCCAGTTGAGTATTATACTGTCACGTAAGGCACTGGCGATCAGCTTTGTGACCGCTATTTCACCAGGATGTGCGCCTCGTAGGAGACGGGACTGAGCTGTCGCCCAGCAGGATGTGAGGCCAGTCCGAAGCGCAAAGGAAGCCGATGCCAACTACCGGCGAGTCTCAGACGAGACTATTGAGACCGCAACAGCGGACATGGGCGTGCGGTCAGTACTGTGATCTGTCTGCGTGGGAAGGATGCCTGGCGGACTCTGGACTATGTCGATGCAGACTCCGGTGGGTTCGACGTTTCCTCACCGCGCGCAATGCCGCCAGGGCGTCACAATACCGGAAGAGGTGTTAACTGCTACATCTGGCGAAGATACCACACGGATGGCTGCTGTTGCAGAGGATGCTGGCCTGAAATGTCAATGATCAAAGACGTTGCTTCGTGCCCAGTCTTCTTGCGAGCACCTCTTGCGCCTCCTCTACCATCTGTCGAACACTTGCCGAGGATATCACGGCATTGCTCTCATCGATCTCCTTCTTGATTGCTGCGAAATCCTTGCCGACACCTTCTGCTCGCCATTCGTACAGATCTCCTGCTCTCCGACTTGCATTCACGAGCCACTGGCCGCGCTCTTTGCGCACTTCGTTGAAGGTGTCGAATGCAGCTTCCACGTCTCTCACAGACTGCACGCGATCATCAGCAAGCAGCTCAGCGAGGACAGCGCTGTCTTCGATAGCCAGACCCGCGCCGGAACCCTTGTGCGGAGACGTGGCGTGGGCGGCGTCGCCAGCGATGAGGATGCGGCCTTTGTTCATGGAAGGTACGGGATGGTCGTGAAGGTCAAAGATTGCCCAGCAGTCGATGTCGTCTTTTGAGAGCTCGAGTAGTGATCGAATGCTTTGGCCAAAGTCGCTGAAGTCACGAAGCGCGTCTTCTCGCTTGGCTTGTCGTGTCAATCGGTGGTATTCTGGCCAGTCGTCTGAGTTGGTCTTGAACGCGACGACATTCATAAACTCGCCGTGCTGGACGAGAAAAGTGAGGACGTGGGCGCCTGGTCCCATCTGTTATTCCCCGTTAGTGGTCATTGTCGGCAGATATGTGGCTTAACACTTACATGCATACAGGCGTTCTTCGCCCTCTCTTCGCCCAGCACCGCAACTGCTTGGTCGATCGGCACCAAGGCCCGGTAAGCGTACTTATGAGTATACACTGGCTTGGCGATCGGGCTGTCGAGACCATACATTGCTGCTCTGACACGACTCTTGATCCCATCACATCCGACCACAGCATCTGCCTCTGCCGTCGTGCCGTCCTCGAACCGCATCGTCAACTTGCCATCTGGACTCGACGGCTCATCAATCGACAACAGCCTCTTCCCGAACACCGCCATCTCCTTCGCCTCCGGCAGCACCTTGACCAGCTCATCCAGAAAATGCGCTCGATGCACACCATTTTGGCCCAGCTCACTACTAATCACAAACTCAGCGTCCTGTCGCTCACCGGCCTTGGAACTCTTCGTTCCATCGATATAGTCGAACCACACCTTCTGCTTGCTCGGCCACGCGTTGACGGTCTTGACCTTGTCGTAGGCGGCGCGGATGTCCGGGTGGCAGATGTCCATGGATTCAATGGCATTGCGCGTGAAGGAGACTCCAGCGCCGATCTCACCGAAGGCTGGCGCTTGTTCGTAGATTGTGAAGGGGATGTTGCGGTGGGCTAGGGCGATGGCGAGGGTGAGGCCGGCGATGCCGCCGCCGATGATGGCGACGTGGAAGTCTTTTTGTGGCATCGCTGATTCGGTTGCGATCCGCTGGTCGAGGAAGTCGTGTATCTAGATCCTAGGGTGTGTTGAGGTGCCAGAATTCTCAATAACCTACCTACCGGAGAGGGGAAAGTCTCATATATCCAATGACGTTTCCATAGGCGTGCTGTATCCGACGATGAGCTGTATCAGACACGCCGTTGACATAGCTCTGCATTGCTTACCTGCGATGGGGCGCGCTTATCATGAACCGGATGTTGTCACTTTGAATGAGGGTTTCAAGTCTGTAGACCAGCACTCTCTATTGTCGACGTGCCTTCCTCTTTGGCGGGAGCCGGGAGTCGGAAGACGCACATGCCGTTGCCGACGGCGCCAAGGCGACACGTGAACAGCCGCGCTTGTGAGCAACCGCGCTTTCTGACAGCCGTTCCTCGACTTGGCGTTGCTGTTCTTACAACCTGTGTTGTACGTCCCGTCCTGCTTGGGAGTCTCTCCCGCTTGCTTGCTAGGAGGAGGACAAGGCCTTTATGGACACCCCGAACTCAATGGAGAGTCAAGCACTCTGGGGAAGAGCGTTGGAGGAGATTACTGCGGGGAAAACCCACTATCATACGATCGGCTGCAGTCGACCGACAAAGCATGCATCACCGCCAGGCATTCTGGGACACGGCAGTCACATTGTCAGTCCCTGACGAGGGCTGGAGTTGGAGAAGCCACGACGACTGTCTCTCAGGTGTCTTCGCAGAGCTAGATGAATCGAAAACGTAACTAATCTGACCCATCACATTACTGACTATTGTCCTTCACTAGCAGGCAAGAAGGCGACCACTTCAGGGAAGGCAAGAACAGACTCGACACAGCCCGATCAAAAAAGAAAGTGCTTGGCAAGCACACCCGAATCAACACGAGCTCGACCAACCTCTACACTCGAGAACCATTATGACACTCACAGTAGGCTACATCGGCCTCGGCAAAGCCGGCGCCTCAATGGCATCCAACATCCCTCGCGCCGGCTTCAAGCTGATCGTCCGGGACGCCGATCCCGAACGCGAAAGATCATTCGCCAGCGCCAATCCCGGCACAACAATCGCGGAGGCAGGTCCATCTGGCTTTAAAGATGTGGACGTGCTCGTTACTATGCTACCCCAGGGCAAAGTCGTTCGCGAGGTGATGCTGGGAAGCGACGGGATCGCCCAGGGCCTGAAGAAAGACGCCATCGTTATCGACACGTCTTCATCTTCTCCGTACGATACCATGTCACTGGGCGCAGACCTCAAGGTTCAAGGTCTGGTGCTGATCGACTCGCCTGTAACGCAGGCACACTTACATGATACCGATACAGGCGATGCAACATTCATGGTTGGCTGCGACGATCAAGCTGCATTCGACCGAGCACTGCCTGTGCTGCAGTCGATGGCCAAGTATGTCTTCCACATGGGCAAATTAGGCGCCGGTCACGCCATGAAGACGCTCAACAACTACGTCTCCGCGGCATCCATCGTCGCGCTGTCTGATGCACTGGTGACAGGCCAGAAGATCGGACTCGACCCTGTCCAGATGATCGACGTGCTCAATGTAGGCACTGGGCGGAACTTTTCAACCACGGACAGCTACCAGAGCGATGCCTTGCCGAGGAAGTATGCGAGTGGCTTTCAACTGGCGCTGCTGATCAAGGACGTTGGGATCGCGAAGAGTGTGTTTGAGCACGAAGGCTTCGAGACTGAGATGCCTGGTCTTGTGAACAGGTACTTTCAGGATGCCATGGACACTTTGAAGCCTGATGCCGATCACACGGAGCTACTGAAGAGGTGGGAGCAGCGCGCAGGGATCGAATTGAAGACTGGTCAGCCTTGTGGCGGTACCGTGACGGCCATGAAGAAGTAAGGATAATGTGCAAATTCAATCTAGTTTCACCATGGGGCCACGTCTCAGGCTCAATATACTCTCTAGCAATTTCATCAGGCACATCCCGAAGAGACGTGCTGTCGCGAGCAGTGCTTCGACGAGGGATAGTTTGCAATCGCTATTGATGCAATTGAGGATTGCCCACCCCAGCTTTCCGCTCCGCCCGAGGAACGCTCAGTAGAGTCTCGTGCTGATTTATTTCGGGCATCTGTTCTACTCTTAGCCGTCATGACACACGGTCGGAAAATTCCCGCTAGACACATCCTCCGGAAACCATGCGTCCCAAGCAAACGACGAAGGCGCGAGCCACTGCTGATTGGTGCCGCCGGACACGAGCTCCACGAGCCTTTTCGGCGGTGTCCAGCCGTCAAGGTCAACGTCACTGTATCTGCGAGCCGAGTCCTGACCTCTGGAGGCGCTAGCCATTACCCCAGCATTCGCGTCAACATACTGGTATGGGGAAATGCCACTTCGCTGGTTGAGCTGCCGTGATTGTGGTGCAGGCAGCAACCCATCTCGAGGCACTGTCATCGACCAGGTGAGTACGGTCCATGGCTGCCCCCGCGACCCGACCAGGCCCCAGCACTACCCATGGTCAATCGTGACATCCCGTCAGGGCCTGTACCACTCTCCTCACCCACCGAGCCCAACACTTCGCCCAAAAATCTTGCGCCTAGCCTACAGATCTCGCTCCTCCCCTCACCGGCTCTTAGGCTTTCCAAAGTTCGTCTCAGCAACGGGACAACCGCGGATCCCGCCACTACGTCTTCCTCCGCCGTCCCTTCCTGCCGCCACTGCATGCCATTCCCCAACTCCGAAATTCCTGTTGAGGGAGTAGTGCCGAGCCCAGCGCGGCCCGCGAGTCACTCGCCGCAACAATCAGCGCTGCGGCGGCGAGCAATGCGTGGAAAGCGCCCACACCGTGCACGTACCAGCGGTAGGGCGCGAAATCGGGGCCTGCAGCGAGCACGAGATAGTTCCGTAGGATTATCATCGCGGATTCGAGGATCTGATGCAGGCTGCGTGACGTTTGGGCTGTAAGTGGGGGCTGTGGCGAGGTTGCAGAAGGATATGAGGCGGATTCGGTGGTACGGACCGCCGCACTGTGTAGGTAGGGTCGGTGCAGAAGGATGAACAAGTGGTTAGTGTAGATTCTGAGGATGCGATGATGGGCTTGGTGGTATACTGGTAGGGAATGGACGTTGGCGAAGTGTGCTCGTTGCTCGGATTGCTGCGAGGCTATGCGGAAATGGATGGCGTCGAGCGAAGAAGCGGCGGAGGCGCCAGCGGATGGAGGCGGAAGCTGGCATATTTCAGCAGCGAGTTGGTAGAGTTTGAATTTGTGTAGAATATAGGCCATTTTGGAAGGACGTGGTGTTTGGGCCTCGTTGGGTGGTGAATGTAATGCGAGCGTTACTAAATCCTCGTCTTCGATATCTGCAGGAAGCTGGACGGACGCTGTAACGATGACAGGCGCCACATGCCCCAAGCATGTATTCTGGATGGTGTACAATAGCATGAGGCCTGCCCAACAACGTCGCCGCTCCTCGGACTCCACGACCGAGAGGCCTTCGAGTCGCACAGGGTCGACATGGCAACCTAGTGCGACCGCGATGTTGAAGGTGGCCCCTAGCAATGACCAAGATGGTCCTCGTGTATGGCTGAAGGAGTAGATCAGCAGAATGAGGCTCTGAAGCGTGGCCAGTGTATGCCGCCACATAAAGTTGTCGGTCGCAAGGCATCTTAATGCGGCAGATTGGTACTTTGCCGTCAACCTGCGCACCTTAGCGCTGGTGTTGGTGTCGTGGCCCAGTTCTCTCAGAAGGGGGTCGTCTTCCGACAGCGCAGTAGTTGCAATTGCAATGACTACGAAAATCAATGCCAGAGAGGAGAGGGGCGCATGCTCCGGAGATGCTCGAAAGCTCTGGTACAGGACATCAAAGCTAGGGTCGTGAAGGATGTGGAAGAGCGGGGAGAACACGTTACAGAAGACCGTCTTCAGTGCATCGCAGAGTGTCATTGACGGAAGCAGGTCGAGGAGATGTTGTTGGGAGGTAGTGCCACTCGTGAAGAAGGCGTTGCTGCATGAGTCGCCGACGTCCAAAATGTTGCTGTCAGCCGGGTAGATATGCTCTAGCAAGCTCGCATCGACACCCGTCATCATTGTGAGAGGAACATATCGCATATAGCCCTGCGAGTCGGTAGCGATCCTGCCAATGATGGAAGTTTGCGATCGCTCAGGAAAATTGTGTTGGATCGAATCGGACGGTGTGAAGACACCAGGGGGGGCGGATCGCTGTGCCTCGACATGTTTGTCGAGAAGTGCGTTCGAAAGCTCGATTTGTTGCCTCAAAAGCTGTTCGAGGCTCGAAATTCTGCTGATCAGCATAGCCGTCTCCTTCCCGTGCGCCGGGTTGTCTGACCCGGGATTGTCGTCCTTCAGGAAATGGCATGTCGTTCCCCTGCCTCGGCGCACGCATGTTTCGCATGGCACCTGAGTACCGTGACATCGGATTTTCCGTCGTCTACAGTTTTCGCAACTTGCTGGCATTCTTCGCACCTGTTGAGGAGGCATGGTTGGTTTACTCTTGTTCAAGGGAATTGCACTGTATCCGAATTTATGGCATCGAAGTCCCTTCACCCGAGCCAAACAGAGACTTGTTGTCACCAAGATTGATACATGAAATGATTAAAAGGCGCTGTGTGAATGGGATGGTGGAGCGACGAGACTTGTGTCAGAAGAGAGAAGCGTTGCAAGATGAAAAACCGACGCGTGGCGCCTAGGCGCACTCCGAACCCTTGGGGTTCAAGAAGTAGGCGTCATTTCCGGGGCTTGCAGGGCTTCTGATGCCCCCCTTTTGCTCAACTTTGGGGTCATCATACCGACCAGGCCAGTTCACGGAGTAGGCTTGCTTCATTGAGGTGCTTATTGCTGGCGATCAGATACTATCGCAATCTTGCTGTGTATTTTTCTACGATTACGACAAAGTTTTCGAGTCCAGTGATCTGAGGGCTGCTGAAATACTACGGAAACGATGCAGCTGCAGCAAAAACATCAAGTACATTTACAGCATTTCCGGCTCCCAACTATGCGTTTACGAAGTCCGAAACCAACCGCTGAACTGCCTGCACGTCCTCAAAGAGATGCCAGTGGCCGACGCCTTCGAGCGTCTGCAATGTGCAGTTGGCGACTTGACTCTGATACTTCTTGCACAAGTCTGGCGGCGAAGTCTTGTCCTCGGCTCCCGTAACTAGAGAGACAGGACACTGCAGCTTGGAAAACTCCAGCCCTGGAGCCGTGGAAAGCGCAGTGCAAGCCTTTGCGTACCCTTCTGGATCCTGGCCCATCAGCGAGAGACGCACGGCGCTTATTGCCAGTGGCCGCTCTGCTTGGCTCTTGGAGGATGTGCCTGCACTGACAATGGCATCGACAACTCCTGCCATGCCTAATGCTCGCACAGTTGATGCACGCGCTCGCACTGCCTTGGCTCCTGCCTCTGGCAGCGGCGATGGCGGTGGTCCCATGAGCAGGAGTTTGGCAACCTGCTCTGGATGGTCCAATGCCAGCTGTACCGCGATGAGACTGCCCAATGAGTGCGCAACAATAAGAGCCTTGTCGACACCTACTTGAGCGAGAAGCCGACTGGTGTCAGTTGCCAGAGACTGGAGTGACAACTGGCTGGAGGCTGAGGTCGCAGATAAGCCATGTCCCTCGAAGTCGAAGACATGTAGTGAGACCGACGAGCCCAAACTTCGTACCAGTGGTGTGAAGTAATCCGATGTCCCACCAAGGCCATGTATACATACCACTTGTGGTGCCCCAGCATCAGCGCTGCCGAATCGTTTGTAATAGAGGGTCTTGCCATCGATCTGAACAGACTTCTGACCACGAAGCCTCACCTCGTTGAAGGTAGGAACAACGGTGACGTTTGTTACCCGGTCAACATTGTAGTTCTTGGAGGTCATCGCTGCGATCCGATTCGAGAGCGTTCCAAGTCCAGTGACAGTGACACTGATCTCGTCGCCCGGCTTCAGGAAAATCATGGGCCTGAAACCAAAACCGACCCCAGCCGGCGTTCCTGTCGCAATAACGTCACCAGGCTGGATCGTCTGACCTTCTGAGAGTGTTTTGATCAGATGAGGAATGCTGAAGATGAGCTGTTCGGTGGTCGCGCTTTGTCGCTGTTCACCATTGACTCTTGTCTCGATTTTGAGAACATCAGGTAGATATGACTTTGGCACCGCCACGGGACCCATTGGGCAGAATGTGTCAGGACTCTTGCCGATGTAAAACTGTTTGTGATCGCGCTGGCGCTCTCTAGCCGTCATATCGTTGATGATCGTATAGCCCCAAACATAGTCCATGGCCTCAGATTCTTGGATCCGATAGCCAGGTTTTCCAACAATCACCCCGATTTCGCCTTCGTAGTCTACAGAGTCTGTGAACTTCGGATGAGGGTAAATTTCTTCTCCATGTGCTATGATTGAGGTAGCCCGTTTAGTGAAGATGACGGGATGTGTTGGAATGTCCACCTTGTCGGAGGAATCGTAACTGTCAGGACTTAGCAGGAGCGTGCGGCTCGCAAATGCTCATGCTCACCCAGAGGAGTTGAATTCTTTCGCATGGTCGACATAGTTCTTGCCGACTGCGAGCACATCCCGCCCCGATATAGGTGCCAAGAGCTTGACATCGGTGACCTGAAACTCCTCGTCCGTGAAAACAATTCCATCTTCCCCGACCTCAATCACTTCGTAGAGGTTGCTCAGTGGTGTGCCTGATTTAAAGGTCATAGCGATGAGCTTCTGCGCATCAAAGTCATAATGCCCAATGCGCGATCTCTGCTCGCCATTGACCTTGAATGCGGCGTAGCTGCGTTGAGCTATCTGGCTGGTGGTATGACCATTAGTCGCCATCGTTAATGTCTGCTGTGGATGTCTGTAAGTAGTACCAAAGGCAGGGAGAAGACGTCAGATAGGTAGTTTGGATGTTGACAGACTTTCTCCGAGAAGAGACCAGAGCCAACGACCCCATGCTTGCTAACGTCGCGGTATGCAGGTCGTGTGCGGGTCGGAGCATGTGCCTCAAGACGAATTCAACCGCGTGCAGCGACGCAACAAATCCGATGCACGGCCGAATTTTCCTCGTCTCCGTGTCCGCAAAAATCGAGTGATGGAGGAGTGTCGAATGCCGGAACCCCCCAGGAGATTGCAGAACGCGAACAGGGCGGGCGATGGCGCCGCACTTCACCGCGCTTTACCGCGCTTCGCCGCCCAGGATGCCGTAACCATATTCAGCTCGCCGCCTTACACCGCTCTTGACATCGGGCTACATTCACGGGGTATTTTCCAATTGATCGTTCGGAATGCTCCCTTAGGCTTGCCGAGGCTTTCTGGAGAAGGAGTAGTGGACAGGTGCTTCCGACACGCGTTTTGGCTTTAGGGACGTCGACGATGAGGACGCTAAACTGCTGTGAGTGGTTACATATGAGTAGGCATGTTTCCCATCAGTCTTGACCGGCTCCCACGATTGATAGTCAATCATACCATAGCTTATCGTCAACGCCATGTCGAACGGATACGATGCCACAGACCACGCTGAGAAGGCTGTGACAGACAACCTCGAACGCCAGCGCACAGCAGGGGGGCATGTCGATGACCGCTCGCAGCCATCGCTACCTGTCGTGCATCGCACATTCGCAAACCCGGCGCCGCTTGGTCTTCTTTCCTTCGCTACTGGTATCTTTCTCATTTCCATCTTCGGTGTACACGCTCGGGATCTCACTACGCCAAATGTCCTCATCGGTGTACTCATGTTCTTCGGTGGCGTCTGCCAGTTTATTGCGGGCATAATGGAGTTTGTTGCTGGTAACACGGTAAGTCTGAATGCAGTGTCCTGCTACAGCCCACTAAACATGTTGTAATAGTTTGGAGCTACCGTCTTCCCAGCTTACGCAGCCTTCAACTTCTCCTACGCAATGATTTACATCCCCGGTACTGGCATCCTGGATGCGTACATTGACAAAGACACCGGACTGCCGAACAGCCAATTTGGTAATGCACTCGCAATGTATTGCTGGGCCTGGTTCATTCTCACCGTCATCTTCACCATAGCTGCCATGCGGTCGTCCTGGATTCTCTTTCTCGACCTCGCTGTCTTGAGTATCGAATTACTTTTGTTGGCTGTCGGCTACATGACCAACACGGACGGCGTACTGACAGCAGCAAACTCATTGGGTTTCGTGGTTGCTCTGCTTTCATGTAAGTCATCCCGTACTGATAGGGGCGTGCCGTGGCTGACACAGATGCTTTAGACTGGGCCGGCTGTGCTGGGCTGTGGTCGAGTGGTCTGACACCGATCAACGTGCCTACATTTGCCATGTATCATGAAAAGTCTTGACGCGTCGGCTACGGTCAGCAGACGTGCACATCTGTTCTAAAAGTGCAAGAGGCTGGCTGGAAGAGCAGTAAGGGGACAATTGGAGGGAGATCATGGCGATACGCCGGCTCTCGCCACAGTTTGCGTTGTGGAAGAACAGTGCAGCCAAGTAGATCTCTGTGTATCATTGCGATATGTAGGCTCAATTTGCCTCATCTCCTAACCTCCTTAGGCCCACATATCTGGGCGTTTCTCGGAATCTATTCCTAGCGCCCCGAGTTCTGCCAATCCTCAACCCAAGCCCATACTCCGTCATAATCGCCCGACTGTGAAAACGCCAGAATTGCCACGAACAGTCCTCGCCAAGAAAGCTGGCAATCACCTGTCGCCCGCCCGGGTGCTCGTCTATGAATTCGGAACAGTCGTACACAACATCATCAACGACGATCCAGAGATCCGACATGTCCAGCACATCGTTGCGACGGACTGTCAAGCCTGGTTGGCGTTTGCTGATGACCTCGGATGTCGGGATGAAGGGTAATGAGGCATTGGCGACGTGGCTGGGCTGAAAAGGGTACTTCCTACCCAGTGAAACTCGCGTCGCCGGAGCCGGAGAAGAGTCCTGGGGTGCAACGGAAGCAGGCGAGAATTTGCTCTGAGCTTCTGTAGAAACGTCACAGTCTGCATGTTCAACATGGACGGCTTGCGCGCCTCCTTCATGCTTTGCCCGTACAACTTCGTGTGTCGCAACTGTGTTTTCCGATCGAATGCACCTACGGGGGCCGAGCTGTAGCCAACCCATCTCGAGGGACAAGTTCGAGGGCTGTACTGCAGTATGATCGGATCGAGCTCTGTCGACGACCGAAGTTTTTCACGTTAAGCAAGTCCGAAGTGATTTTCTGCTCACGTGTACCAGTGGTTAAGCGAAGCCGGGGCGAATCCCCGCCATCCTGTTATTCGTTTCTGCCACCACAAGACCGGTCGAGGCGCTCCGTGAGGGTTCAGGCGCATGCTCGCCTCGTCCAAGTCGCGGGGGCTTTTGCAAAGGTACAGGAGATGGCGACGGTGAAAGGCGGACAAAAGCGGTGACAGGGAGAAAAACGGACAAAGGCGGAGAAAAATGTGAGCCAATTTCGCAGATCCGGCCACGCAGGGATGCAACGGCCCCGCACAATTGAGATCCCGGGGTGGATTCGTCTGGGGAACTAGTAGATGCTGTGGTCTGGGGTCTATGAGGTGGTCCTTTTCATGATTCGGCTAATGAAAGTAATCGGGCACTGTAAAAGGAATGTTGAATCCCCAAGTTCCGGCAAGGTCATTGACCAGCAGATCACTGTCCTCGAATTGCTCCAGCGATGGCTCCCGCACGCATTATTGAGGAGGTCGACTGGACGTCGCCGTTGTACGAGCCGGCAGCATATGACGGCCCACCACGGAATCTCGAACATATAAATCAGCTCGACTTCGACCCATCGTTACAACCCAAGGAGTATCACCTACAGGGAACCCATCCTGACTCTATTATCCTGTTCCTGGATGTGGAAATACTCGAGTGCACTGGAAAGCTGCCATACAGAGGTGATGTACTCATCAAAGGCGAACGGTTTGCTTCGGTTGGCCGAGTCGAGGGCGTGGAAGAGCTCAAGAAAAACCCAAAGGTCCGTGTATTCAACGGCAGGGGAAGGACTTTGATCCCGGGGCTGGGCGATGCACACACACATCTGTCATGGAACGGCGGAGACCTTGATCGGCTTGGTGAACTCGGCGTTGAAGAGCACACTCTTCTGACTGCGCGAAGTGCGGCATGCTATATTGACTCCGGCTACACAATGTCTGTTACTACCCACCCATGCCGTTCCGGGGCGACGAAACTGACCGATCAACAGGTGTTTCGGGGCGGCCGCGGCAAAAGAGCGACTTGACATTGTCATTAGAGACGCAATAAATGCAGGAGACATTCCTGGCCCTCGATATCTTGCCAACGGGAAAGAGATGGCTCGGCGCGATGGAGAGCTTGTGGCAGGTATTACAGCATTCGCAGACGGCCCGGACGAAATGAGAGAAGTCATTCGACACCATGTCGGACTTGGCGTCGACAATATCAAGCTTTCGATGTCTGGAGAAGAGGTACGGCGTTCCGCGTGCCTGCAAGGGCCGACAACTGACTGATTGTAGATCACTGAGATTCGATCGGCTCAAGACTGCTACTTCACCGATGAAGAGTCGGCTGCTTGCGTGGACGAAGCTCACAAGGCAGGCAAGAGGCTATGTGCCCATGCACGAGCACGTGACTCGGTGAAGATGTGTGTAAGGCATGGTATTGATGTGATCTACCACGCTTCCTATATTGACCAGGAGGGTAAGTCGGCTGCAACTACGGTGTGCCCGTTGATGCTAATTGAGGCCCTAGGCATGGACATGCTAGAAGAAAAGAAAGTTAAACACATCGTTGCACCTGGCATTAATTGGCTCATCGCTACACTGAATGATGCAGGAGCCTTCGGTTATCACAAGGAGAAGGCCGAACAGGTGGGCTACAAGAAGGAGCTTGACCATGCTATTCGCGGCTTGCGGGAGATGCATCGTCGAGGAATTGTTGTACTCCCAGGCGGAGACTATGGCTTTGCCTGGACTCCACATGGCACTTGTAAGTCCTTCCTTGAGCACTCAGAGTCGACACTGATCACGGTGGAAGATGCTCGTGACCTTGCGCATTTCAAGAACCTCCTAGGATTTACATCTCACGAAGCACTGATTGCCGCCACATACGGCGTAGCGAAGCTCTTTATGCGCTCTCACGAAATGGGTCAGTTGAAGGCCAGCAACTTCGCGGATTGTGTGTTGGTTGACGGACGTCCACTTGAAGAGATCGAGGTGCTGCAGGATCATGATAAGCTTAATATCATTGTCATCAACGGAAGAGTGCACAAAGCAGGACGAAAGGAGTATGTTGCGCCACCAGTTGCTGGACAAGATGGCAATTCGCACCCTATAGTCCCTGACATGGACTTTCCGGAGGTGAAGAAGGATATGCAGAAGTCGTATTGAGCAGTGCATTGGTGTCAGAGCGGTCAACAAAACCAGTTTGTTTTGTGATTCATGGACAACGGGTTTGCCGGACACCGAGTGTACAGTATCATGGATAGTCGTAAGGCTCGTGCAAAACACAGCTATACTGTAGAGACTTGATATGCCCAAATGGAAGGTCACTTTCCCCTTGGAGCAAATTGCATGTTGGTATTTGCAGTCATATGTGTGTGCACCTATTGTCTGGCTTTGCTGTTGCGAAGCAGTTGGGTTTGTATAACGACCCGTGAGAGGAGTGAGGGCGATCTCGCTGTCGCTGCTGTAGTGTATTGCTATCACATGTTGCCCGTGCTTTTTGCTTGCGTGTTGTCGTCATACATTCATAGTCTCCCTATGTAGTACGTTGTTCCCGCCGCGTGGTCCGGCTGTCGTGTTCTCGACGTTCCATGCTGACGCGGTCTCATGCTGCCGTTGGCAATCGTTGTCATTTGTGCACACGGCTGGGGTCACGCTGATAAACAGCGGTTCCATCGTGCAGCGAACAACTGAGATGGAATGTTGCGTGCACATCTGGAGCTTGCAGTCTGCCCACTCCTCCGCTCTGTACGATCCAGTGTATCAACCTCATCCCTTCGCGCGGTCGCAAAGAAGTAATTTGGCTGCTGCTTAAAGCTTCCGTCCACCCACGGACGGGGACAGCTGGGAGCTGTCGACGAGCTTGTCCTCAGTGCGTCAGCCACAAGAACAGCTGAGGCGTACACGTATTTGTTTTGAGCTGGGAATCGCTCCGTCTACCTCTGCCGACGCAATGAAGGTGCTCGCAATTACGCAGATCTTGACACGGCCGAAGGTAAGGAGCCACCTTACACATCGAGCCTGCAGCACTGTGGTTGTTTCGGGTGTTCCGTCCTTGACGGTGACAGTGGACCGCTGTCGGTTACATTGATACCTCAACACCAGACGACGGCCTTGTCGTGACTGGCTTTCACCAGTGCGCTCTGACATGTCGAATATCCAAGTGCGGAGAATTGCAACGTCCGAAGGGAAGGTCGTTTCTTCCTTCGCGACGCTTCGAGCTTCAATTGATTCCCTCCGAAATCTCGGGTCTTCGTCGTTGAAATGCTGAGATGTTTGAGCCGTATCACTGGACATCTCGAAGAGCTCACGGCGCTGGTCAGCGACCCAGGCTACACCAGCTTGGCGTGCGTCGATCTAGGAAGCTCACCTTCTGCTTTGAGACTTCTATCTGGCAAACGGATCGATCGGTTGCCCCTGACAACGGTCAGACTGCAATTGTCGGGTGAGTGGTTGGAGGTTAGGCGGGCCTTGAGTTGAGCTGATGCCAGAAGTACCGTGAGCTGGAAACTTTCCGCTCCGCCCGACTCCATCACAACCAGAAAATGACGTCTTGGCGTGTCGAACAGAGAAGGCGAGTATCTGCTTTGAGACTTCTATCTGGTCCGAGGCAGGGATGCCAGCTGAGAGCCGATGCAGTCGGCAGGCGAAGCTGTCGAAGCATTGTGTGAATGGTTGGAAGTTGTGATACTGAGTTGAGCTGATGTGGGGGGAGAACAACAAGAACAGTAGACCAGAGATGAGTGACATGTGCTGGGCAGTAATGCGCTGAAGCTGCTGCTTTGGCTGAAGAGACAGGTTGCCTCGACTCGTCTTGTACCATTCATCCATCCCTCGACTGCAGCCCGTGCTTCTGAAGACCAGACACAACAATGCTTCAACTTCGCAGACGTAAGAATTCTGTTATCCGTCGGCTCACCCGTACGAATCCGCCATCATGGCCAACTTGTCGAGTCTGTGGTTCTGTCTCGTCTTTGTGTGCTTGTTGGCAAGAGCTCACGGGTCATCGAGACCCCTGACCAAGGACGACGATCGGGAATTTTCGCCCGTCGACGATAACCTGGAAGATCCGATTCCAGTTGCAAGCTATCCTCGCGCAAGAAGCAGCCTTTCCGAAGCCCAAGCGACGATTCAGTCGACGTCGAGAGTCACAGAAACTGCTCAAACAGTCACACCCCGCCACAGTGAAGTCCCTAATCTCATCGGAAAAGCGCATATCGCACCTTTCGTACCTTTCGCGGACGTGCTGGTCATGATACATCCATGAACTGTGGTACACGGGATGCTCGGATTGATGCTCGCAATGCGCTGTACGACCTCGATCTCAACGGCTGTGGCAACCGTTGTCTTCGAGACGCAAGCGTAGTCGCCTTCTTACGCGAGGTATTTCAGACCGCCATCGCTTGTCAAACTTCATGTCGCCGAAGGCTCGAGCTTGAATCGGACATCGACATCGCCCTTGCCAAGCTCGATTTTGTCCGATTTGCCGTCCCATAAGGTCCGCTCGAAGAAGCGTACATTCATCTGCTTGTCCACAAGTACGATACTCTGCTTCTGCGTTGCATAGATGCCATCGACTCCGAGCTCAGCCTTGCTCTCACCATTGATGATCTGGACCGTCTCCTCCGCGGTGGATGCAGAACGCAATTGGTCGCTGTCCAAGCCAGCCTTGCTCCTCCGGCCAAGTGGTGGCACAAAGATTGTCTTCCTCAGCTCTGAGATGTACGCATCCAAGCCTCCGTCCTCGAGACTGACGCTTCGCGGCAACGTATCGGTGCTCAATACGTCAAGGAACCGCTGCACAAGCTGATCCTCGGTTTCGCCAGCGGCAACACTTTCCCGAATAGCATCAGCCGTCAACTCCTCACCCTTCAACACCTTCTCCCACGTTCTGTTGGTAAAGGCAGCATTACTCAGTCCGACCGTCTGCACAACGTCGCCCGCGATCCACGGCACTGGCTCGCCTGGCTCCGATCGATTCGACATGATGGCAAGGCGCTCGCCGATCCGTCCACAGACAAGACTGAAGCCGCCGGCGTCCTTAACGATGCCGGAGTTGACCATTGAGCTGACAAAGTCCTTGGTAGAACCATCGTGTTCAGCTAGGAACTTCTTGATAATGGCCCCACGAGATATCGCGCTCGGAACGGGGAGGCCTTCGCGGTAGTTGGTGAGCACGGCGATCTTGCCGGACTTGGTGACGCCGAGCCACGTGCCTTGGATGGGTCGGAGGAGGTCGCGGGCGCCGTAGACGTCGGGATGAGAGGGCCAGAAGGATGCGAGAGAGGTTGGTCGGTTGACGTACTCGTCACGATTGTCGATGAGAATGAGAGGGTAGTCGGGGTGGGCGGTGGAGATGATGGCGATGCACATGGTCGCGTTGAGGTCAGTGACAGTGGATGAATGGCTTGAACCGAGCGTGGTCTGAATGATTGGGCTTCTTCGAGGGAAGGACGTCTCAACGTAGTAGGAGTAGACGATAGAAATCAAAGAGTCTTCGAGCTCAATGAACGACGAGGATGTCACATGGTTGTAATCATTAAAGCGATGACTCAATATGGACTCTCTTTGCTTTGCCTACCTGATCACCGCCACCGGCGCCTCTGCTGTGAGCCTGGACTGGCAACAGTATGTTGTCTTCGCAGGATTTTAGATCCCGACGTGCCTGTACCTCGGAGGGCCGAGGAAGCCCAGAAACGAGGCGTCAGGCGTTCTTGTGGCTTGGGAGTGTCGCCTATCGATAAGCCTAAATCAAGCTTATCGCACGCCGAGGCGGTGCCGAAATGCCCCGCCAAATGTCTTTGCGCTCTCCAGGCTGCGTAATTCCAAGCAATGTCCCGTGTCTCGTGCCGTCAGCTCATCAGCTCCTGTCAGTCCGTTCGAGAGCTCCGAGATACCTAGAAATCATATGCTCAACAGGCTACTTCCATCCATATCGACCACTTTGGCCTCAGTTTGCCCTTTATCAGCATACTCGCCGTTCTCATCGGCAACACCACATCGCCCACTCCAGTAAAGAAGACTACCAATTCCACAACCCGCCATGTTCAGCTTCGTAGCAGACCTGATCTCGTGAGTCCTGTCCATCGGTCACCACGCCTCCCAACTAACGCCACCAGCTCGGTGACCTGCATCATCCTCCCAGCCTACATCTCCTACAAGGCCCTCCGCAGCCGCGATCCAGCGCAGTCCCACCCATGGCTGATCTACTTCACCATCCTTTCGCTTGTCCAGCTGGCTGATTCGTACACCGACTTCATTACGGGCTGGATCCCCTTCTTTGGCGTCTTTCGCCTCTTCTTCATGCTCTACCTCGTCCTCCCTCAAACGCAAGGCGCCAAAGTCCTCTACTTGGACTACCTCGAGCCATACATCGTCCACCACGAGAAGCAGATCGACGAGTTCATCACACAAGTGCACACACAGCTCCAATCGATAGGCTTTGGGTACATCAATACTCTAATCGTGCTCATCCGCGAGAAAGTCCTGCGTCAGCAATCACCACAGCCTCCGCCCCAACAGACCGGTGCCGGCACCTACGCCAGCTATGCCAACGACTACCTCTCACGCTTCCTCATGCCACAAGCTAGACCTTCCGAGACCCAGCCCGTGGGCGGCATCTACAGCGCCCTCTCCGGCATGGCTGCGTCCGCAATGGCAGGCGGTGCCACTCAAGGCGGCAGATCAAGAGGACTAGACGACCACGGCGACATCTCAGACAGTCTGCGCAACATGTCCGACCCTCCCAGCGATCAAGCTACATCTCCACCGAACGAGAGCGCCTCCAAGCCCGTCTAAGAACACTCGAGAGCGAACAGCAGAACATCGATCTGGCGTATGGCTCTGGCGGCACAAGCGCAATTCCCAAATCCCGATCAAGCACATCCTTCGTCAACGTCGACCACGACGACTTCCAGCCCCCGCCACCAGTCACAGGCTCCAGCCCGGGAAGCCGACAAACCAGCGGAGGCAACTGGCAGAGCCAAGCAGCGCACGCGGCAGCTGGCTTCTTCGGTGGTGGCGACGACAGCAAACAACAACACCAGCAGTCCTCTTCTTCCGGCTGGAGCGCGGCAAGGGATATCACGGCGGCAATATCCAGCGGTCTCGACCAAGCCTACAACAAGAACAATGACGGCGAGCGACGGAGATAGAATACTCCTGCAAACCGCACAGTCAGTCTGGACATCAGAAGCGAAGACGGTGCATTGCTCTGCGATTCAGACCATCCTAGCTTCCCTGTCAACCACAATCAGAGCACGGCACCGGCACCACCACCTCCACCACCCTCGGTCACGCTAACTCCTCACGAGATCGACGCTAGCTTCAATTTGCCTGAAGATGCAGGTGGCAGCAGCAAAGGCCCGCCGCCCTACGAGCTCCGAGAAGACCCAGCGACGCCTATTCCGGCGACGCCGCGTATTGAGCCCCTCGCGAGACTCGATCCCAGGCTGAGCGTCAGCACGAATGTCAGAGAATGGGGCCAGTTGGATGAGGAGGTGCATCATCATGGCCATCGTGAAAGCGTTGAATGAGACCAATTTGTGTGCAAAGCTGGCGATGCTACGGACTGAGTCTGCCGCCTTGCGGTCATGGAAGATGTGCATACCCCTACCCCATGTACGAACAGTGTACAGATTGGAAAGGGCACGAAACGAACAAGACCGCGCATGGAATGGTACATTTATAGATTAGAACGCCGCCGCTGCTGGTTTCGTGTATTCGTACATAACTCGTATGACATATCCATATCCTGATCCTCATAATTCAAGATGCTGCATGCGAACTGTGCTTCGTGCTTCATACTTCATGCTTCGTTAAAAAAAGCTATACAAACCCATCCAGTTGCGAATGCCAAAATTCAAATCCCACCCATACATCCTCCCCCGCGAGATAACCAACCCGTCCGTCCATTTCCACATATCCAAACCTCGCCAACCCCCTACAACGGCCGCCCACCAACATGCTCCCGACTCCTGATCTGGCCCAAGGTCGGTCCCTCGTCGTCAACTGTGTATTCCGCGCCCCTGCCTCCCGGTTGCCTGAAATTCGGGCCACCTATGATCGTGCTCGCAAGGGAGCTAGAGCCTCGTCGCTCAGTCCTGACCCTAAGCCTTTCGCGCAGGCGTTGGGCGATGCTGAGCTGATGCTCTTCCGCTCGAATCGCAACCGTGGAAGCACTGGAGTTGCCCCCAGCAGTCGTGTTACTGCTGCTGCTAGCCGCGCCCTGCCGTGCCTCGCGCCGCGAAACAGCAGCAAAGTCTCTCAATGCCGCTATCCTTTCCTGCTGGTTTGACGATGCGAGGGCTTGGCGCAGGCTTGCGAATGCGCCCGTTGATGTTGCTGTTCCTGACGCGGGTGCACCGTTGCCTTGATTGGACTCTGCGGGAACGCCAGCAGCAGAGCTCCGCCTTCTCGTGCCCCTGGACCGCCCACTGCGTAACGAGCTAGCCATGATGAAGTCCTCTCCAGCTCTGAAGCCGGCTGTCACAGGTGGTCGCGCGTCGTATACCACCATCCCCGGCTGACCGATCCCGCCTAGTCCGCCTAGACCGTGGTATCGCCCTGCTGGGCGGACTCTGAAGAGCGCGGCTTCGGGATTTTGTATTGAGCCTGATCTGCGGGCGTCATCTGAGCCACCCAGCGCTTCTTCGTTCAAATCGGGATCGTCTGAGGTCGGAGGGCGCAAGTCGATGCGGCATAGCGGGCAGGTACCGGAGACGTTGAGGAGCCAAGGGTCGACGCATTCCGGGTGGAAGTGGTGGTTGCAGGGCAGGACGCGGACGTCGGCGCCTAGCTCGAAGTCGTCGGTGCAGCTGGAGCAGGTTGTTGGTGAGGTTGTGGCTGCGGTGTTGGTTGTGGTTGGTGGTGGTTCTGTGTTTGGCGATGTTGTATCGGTCGTGGAGGCGCTGGGGCTTGTGGTGGCGGCTTCGGAGGTGGTGGCGCCGGTTGCGGGGGCTGCGGAGCTGGAGTTGGTTTGTGGCGGTGTTGCGGCGAGGGTCTTTGGTTCTTCGTCAATAGGCGTGGGCACGATCTCTGTGGTTGTTGTGTCGGCTGCCGCGCCCTTCGCTGTGACTTCCTTGCCCGCCACAGGACTGTCGCCATCTGTGCCTGATTCACGGGTCATGCCGCCCGTCATCTCAATATCGCGATTCGCATCTCCATGACTCGTCCCAGAGACCGACGGCGCTTTCTGTACAGCCGCAGCTCCAGCCCCTCCGGAACCATCGTTGCGATCGCCAAACTTGACAATTGGGATAGTGTCCAACATCGCCCTCGCTATCCCCTTTGCACGACTCTGTCTGCCTCGTCCCATGACATTTCGCGGGCCGTATCTTTCCGGATGGCGATGTGCGCGGATGGCGCCGGTCACGATTATGGTGATGAACAGCGCTGTGATGACGCCTGTGATGGAGTACAGGATGATCATAGCTACGGCAGTGGTTGGTGATCTGTTTGTCCATGCTGTGCTGGTGTTTCCTCCACTCCATGGCTGATTGCCGGTTTGATTGCTGAACGAGCTCATGTCTGGCAGCAGCGTGGCTGTTGGTCCGTCCAACGGAGACGTGAGGTCGAGAGATGCGAGTTGGTCTGCAACTCTTGAGGAAGTGGTCGTCATGACAGAGAAGATTTCGGGCAGTTGTTCGAGGTTTGTCGCTAGACAATGATTCGATGTCCTGGAGTACAGGACGATCAGATACGCCTCATTGTTGTTGATCGCGATCCGAAAGACCTCATCAGCCGGTATGTTCCCACCATTGTAATCTTCGGGATCGCAGGAAATGTAGAAGAAGTTTGGGAGCTGGGACTTGAAGTCGCTGTTGGCGTTGGCGGCGTTGATGGGGATGAGGTGGCCGTTGACGTCTGTCGATACGAAGCTACGGTGACTGACAGCATTGTATGGTCCGAGAGCGGCGAGCTCGACCGATACGTTTGCCCAGAGTGTGCTATTGAGGGTGTATCTGGGCGCATCGGAGGCAGGAAAGAGGTCGGCAGAGTTGTTTGACGGCGAGATTTGTTGTGCAACAGCAGACGCGGAGAGTGCTAGCCATGTCAACGCCGCTGTCAGGCTCTGGCATCGTGTGGGGGGTGACATTATGCGGCCGGCTGCGTCACCTGCGCCGGTGTCGTTGTAGGCTTTTTCTCAACTCTTAGATCGTGTTCATGTTATCTAAGATCGATTGCTCGTCGCTTGGGCTTTGGCAAGCGCTGGTGACTTCGAAGGCACTATCTCGTGAGGCCGAGGACGTTTTCGACGAGCGGGATCTTGAGGTTTTGTGAGTACGAACAGTATGTGCGATCTGGAACGGGGTGTGTTTCGGGTATGAGCTGCTGACGGAGTTCATTGATGGGCGATGCGTTCGTGAAGTGCCTTAGCGAAGGAGGCGGAGCTGATCGTGCTGGACGGCGGAAAGAAGCGATGGTGCATGCAGGCTTGCGTGTGCATGCCCTCTATCGCCCAGCGGTCCTCTCACGGAGGAGGGATATCGAGGCCGAGGGGTGGCGGATAAGAATGCGATTGGTGGTTGGTGAGCCATGATTCAGCATGATTGCGGGGAGACGCACGCAAAGACGAAAGCCGAGCATGCCGAGCGAGATGCCTAGAACACGCTAGTAGCGAGGCACGACCGGTGAGTGTGAAGCAGTGAAGGCAATAAGGGCCTGTCTGAGGCCATTGATCTATACCCAGGTAAAGCACGATGTACTTAGGTCTTCCTCTTCACCAGCCCTTTGAAGAAGTCAAAGCTATTAGAATCGCTCTGGAGCTCGAAGCGCTTCCCCGTTGGACGATCCTGCCAGCCAAGCTCTTCCGCTATCAATAATCCATAGTCCCGAGTCACACCTCTGATCTGAGCCCGTTGACCAGACTCAGCTTCGAGTGTCACAATCTGATCCATGTGCAGCCAGTCGCGATAGTAGAGCTGCTCCATGTCTTCATCGAAGCCGGTGATGAGGAACGTGGCGTACAGCTCCTCGAAACAGGTCAGTATCCGTGATAGCAATTTCTCAACTGTGAATGGCGGTAAGCCTTCACTCTCAAGTGTGGAATCAACTGGTTGAGTGAAGTCGTCGGTGCTGCATTGGCTGTGTTGATGCCGCATCCGCAAACGGCGATATACTCCTTCGTGTTGTAATGCGAGTTGACCAGAATGCCGCCTATCTTAACATAGTTCTCTTTCGCCAATGTGTCCGATTTGCCTGGCTCGAGGGCATATATGTCGTTCGGCCACTTGAGTTTCACGGGCATGTCGCGATACTGGTTGCCTTCATACGACTTGATGCCCTGAACAATGGCCATTGCTGCGAGGTACTGAACAAACACCACTGGGGCAGCCTGCATCCTCGCCATCGGGTGCCGGATGACTGTGCTGAACATTAATTGTCCGGCTGGACTGACCCAAACATTTGACCCACGCCCACGACCGGCGACTTGTGACGTGGCTGTTGCGGTAAAGCCATGGGGCAAGTTGCGCAGTATGCGCGTGTTCTTCTCGAGCATTGTGTTGGTCGACGTGACCACCTCTCCGTAAAGAAGACGTGTTCCGAACTCGGATGTTCGCGTCTGGGACTGATACTGCTTCAGGTTGGCAAAGAAGGCGTGGTGATTAAAGTAAGGTGTGCTCTTCGCATCCGGTATGTCGTCTTCGTGAAGAAGTAGTTGCTTAATGATGAGATTATAGTCGACTATCGTCTCGTTGCTACCATCAAGCTGGTCAGCCGGTTCTCCTTCTGTAGGGAGTGCTTGGGCAAGATCGGCCATTTTCCAGACCGAAGGCTTGACAATATGAAATGTGTCGTTTTCATCTTTGATCAGCTCTTCGCCATTGACGTCTCTTGTGATGTGCTCCGCCAATGACTCGAGCACTCGACTGATATTGGAAGGCTGTGTTGAGGAGAGATGTAGTCGCGATAGGGAAGGCACATTCTGCTCTTCGCTTACATTCAAGCCCAATTTGGTCAGGACAGCCTTCAGGAAATCGATCCTCTGCTTCTCGTCTGCCGCTAAGTCTTTGATGACATCTGAGAACCCAGGCACTGACGGCTTTTCTTCCATGTTGGCGGGAGCGAATCTGGGCTTCGTCAGCTGCCAGTCATCTGCTGCTTTGCCAAGGTAGACGAACTCTGGATGAGGACCTGTGAGTAATGCTGCTCCCTTCCCAACTTTGCAGTAGACAATAGCGGCGGATCCTTCTCCGGCATCGACCGACAACGGATCTGTGTAGCTTGCGAGAACTTCTACACCTTGGTCCTTGTACTTCGCAGCATCGACGAACACACCACCTCCGTTGTAGTACGACTTGAACACATTCGGCACCGATCCTGCGGGCAATACCGACTTGTCCGTCTTCAACAGCACAGATCGAGCGCCCGTTTCGCTGTGGTAGACGAAGCCCGGAAAGGCACATCCTCGCGCAGTTCCAGGAAAGAACCGTAGCTCTCGATCGCCGATGACCTCGAGTGGCTTGTTTCCTACCTCGAACTCACATCTGCTGCTGCCATAGTAGCCGCCGGCGCAGAAGCCAATGTAGAGACCACCGTTCTCAACATACTGTCGTATTCGTCTGTTACCCGTACCGTTCAGAGTTCGACAGTAGCCTTGATCAGCGCCTCCGGGAAAGACAAGTGCAGCACAGCTAGCAGTCCAGGGCTCTTTGATGATCATGTCGCCAGTGACTGGGATGACGGCATAGTTGGGAGATACTAGCCGCCGAAGCGTGTAGAGGCAATGCCGAACAGACTCGACGGTACTGCCATTACCTGAAGCAATCATTAGATTTTCATTACGACGCCATTGTTCGTATGTGAGCGCACCGGAGTAGACCAAGATGTTCATTCGTTTCGTTGACATGGCGTTGGACTGACTTTTTGGATCAGGTCATTGACGTGCCGAGGAATCATTGAGCAGCAATTTCTTCTCTTCCTTCTACTATCGAGTGGCGATGGACAAGTCAACGTCGAACGCTGCCGCTACGGCCAAGGAAGAAGAGGATGAGGAGCTCGACGACTGGTTAGTGCCTCGGCAAATCGAGCTGTCCTTCAGGTGATGCTGACGATGAGCAGGGACAAGCGGATATTCAGCACTGGATGTGCAGGTAATGCCGTCTCCAGGAATACAGATGCAAAGCTGACTATGGTCTCTCAAGAGGAACAACTAAAGATGAATGACTGCTACTACGATAAGAAAGACTGGCGAGCATGTCGCAACGAGGTAAGTGGGCTTTGGATGTTGGATGTTGGTCGACGTTGCTTTCCCAACACTGCAGAAATATAAATGCCTCGGCGGAAGCCTCCAGGATCGTGAAGCTGACGTGCACCCCCAGATGGAGTTGTTCCGGCAATGCTGGAAGCGCAATGGCAATGAGGCACGTACTCAAAGCAAAGAATCGTAGTAACGAGTCCCGAATGCCTCATACAACTGATGTAGGCGCTTCAGTTGATGCAGATGCAAGCTTGTCAGCCGGTCTCAGGAGAAGACGTCACGGGATTTGGTGAAATCCGTCGCGATTTTCGGATTCGCCGCCTGCGCAGAGGAACGCGACTTGTACTTCATAGACCCTCAACTCAATCAATACTTCCTGCTCAGCGTCGTAATTGATTGTGTGCCGTGGAACAGTATCGCCCGCATACCACGGTATTCTCGCAGCCATGTCAGCCTCCTTGCGCCCCGCGCGCCTCCTCTCCCGACCAAGCTCATTCACATCGCATTGCACGAGATCAAGACCACGACATACGTGTAGTTCACGAACAGTGTTCACACGAACATCACCTCGGCAAGCAGCAGTCGCTTCTTCGGCATCTGCGACCACACCTCAAAGCGCACCGAAGACGACTCCTCCTCCTCCAAGTAAGCCTAAAGGGCCACTGGCTGAGCTCGGCGACGAGCCTATCAAACTGCAAGAAGATGATCCGAGCGGAATAGACTGGTCCTCTTCCTTCAGCGGTCTGTCGGTACAACCGTTCTCTAAGGACGCTGCAGACGTACTGATGGCACCAATCAACAAGGAAGACGTCGAGATCAAGCCTGATGGCATCATATACTTGCCCGAGATCAAGTATCGGCGCATATTGAACAGAGCGTTTGGTCCAGGTGCATGGGGTTTGGCACCACGAGGAGAGACAATCGTCACCGAGAAGGCCGTCACCAGAGAGTATGCGCTTTTGGTCCTCGGAAGGTAAGGAATAGCAAATTCTCTACAGCAGAATATCACTGACAAGGCCCAGACTCGTGTCCATCGCACGTGGCGAGCAAGACTATTTCAGCAGAGACGGCATTCCAACAGCATCGGAGGGCTGCAAGTCCAACGCCTTGATGCGGTGCTGCAAAGACCTGGGCATTGCAAGCGAGTTATGGGATCCCCGTTTCATCCGCGACTTCAAGGCTTCACACTGTCGCGAAGTGTTCGTGGAACATATGGCGACCAAAAAGAAAACCAAGCTCTGGCTGCGGAAGGGCAATGCAGTCTCGTACCCATACAAGGAAACAAAATTCAGCGCCTGAGCAGCAAGCTTACAGCCACGGCAGTAAACCACCGCGGCTTGGGGTGGCAGTGCGGAAATGAGCGGGGCCTGAAGACCGAAAATCTGGGGGCCAGCAGCAATTTCCGCCCTGCATCAGGCGACAGATCTTGTATACGACAACGCATAGGGTGTTTGCATTGGTGGTCTGTCAGGTCCTGCAGTCCTGGCCCGAGATCAACGTGCATGCCACGAGCTATGCGAACGCCGAACCGTTGAGTAATTCCCATGCTGAAGCCGTTTTCCCGTGGCTGCTTCGATGCGGCCACGCTTGCCAAGTAAATCATGGAGGGCCTGGATGCAAATATCAGTCCCAAATATCCTTTAGGTGTACCGAACCCTACTGTGTACAGGGGACTTGCATCCGGAGCTTATAAGGCAATCGCAAATCATCGCTCAGTTCTTCAAGCACGATCAATCGGATGACGATTATACCCCCGCCACTGGAGTCTGTCGATCCTAGTCGCGGAGTTCCAGATCCATTTCTTGACGGTACGAAAAGCCACCATCTCCAAGTCATGGACGTCACCTCAACCTATGTTTGGAAACGTCCCTCGCATGCCTGCACATAATCCATCGTTTGGTCGCGGAGTACCACTGCAAACAAGGCGATGAGCTGTGCTTATAACGATTTCTCAAGCTAGAAGGACCTGTTGATCCATGCCAGAAGAGGCAGCAGTGTCTCTCAATTACTGCATATGCTTTCTTGCTCCTCACATCTGACTGGTGTGCCTTGGACTGGACACTCCATCACGTCCATTCGCAACTGCAGACTACGGAGGTACAGACCAAAGGCAATGCAAGGTTTTCCCCAGCCAGCCATGCCTGCCTCGCTTGAGCTCTGGTCAGTATTGATGGGATCATCGAGAAGGTACACAAGACATTTTTCCAGCCATGCAAATAAAACCAGTCGTTCCCGATCCGCTGGCATTTCCGTCTCTCCCAAATCCTCCGCTCGTGACACTCGCTGCACTTCAAGATGCGTTCCGTTTTCGTGTGGGCCTCGCTTGCCCTGTCAGCGTTTGCTGCACCGAATCCTAAGACTACACCATGGGGCGATTGGAATGATTGGAGCCGCGAATGCAATCCACACAACGTGAAGATCCGCCGCGACTTCGACAAGCTGCCAACGCACGAGCGGAAAGCCTTCACCGATGCAATCAACTGCTTGCGCGACCAGCCGTCAGGGCTCGACCAACAGAAATACTCCGCTGCCATCAACCGCTTCTTCGACTACGCGGTCGTGCACACCAATCTCACCAGCCGCGTGCATCTTGACGGATACTTCCTGACGTGGCACCGCATGTTCGTGTGGCTCTTTGAGAAGGACTTGCAGGAGACCTGTGGTTGGAACGGGACAATGCCGTACTGGAACTGGCCTGGCACTGCCGGCAAGCTCGAGTCTGCGCCCATTTTCGACGGCTCTGAGTACTCGATGTCAGGAAATGGTCTCCCCAACCCGCTGCCGCCGGTTTATGCGCTCGGACCAAACTTCTCGCTGCCTCGCGGCTCAGGAGGCGGATGTGTCACGACAGGTCCATTCGCGGGCATGAACTACACCATGCAAGTGATTCCCAGCAATCTGCTATCGCAAGGAGCGCCTCTGCCACCCACAACATTCGTCAAGAACGAGTCCTGCCTCACTCGCGACCTCAACGACGCGGTCTCAACACTGTACCTCAACCAAACGGCATACGAGCAGGCACTCGCAGCCCCAGACCAAGCGACCTTCAGCGTCCTCCTCAACGGCGTCTTCGGCGGCGCAGCCTTGGCCTGCACTCCGCTGCTCACTTCTCAATCGGCCCTCCCTTTAGCTCGATCTTCGTCTCACCACAAGATCCGATCTGGTATCCCGCGCACACGTTCTTGGATGTCATCTATTCCAAGTGGCAAGACCTCCATCCCGAGATTGCGGATCAGCTGTATGGCACCATGACTGCGGTCAATATTCCTCCGAGTGCCAATGTCACGCTCGAGAGTGTCGTGCCGGACTTTGGGTACTTCAAGGAGGATCCGATTACGATTGGGGAGTTGATTAGCACGACTGCTGGGCCGTTCTGTTATCGGTATGAGTATCCAGGGCAGTGCTGTGGGTGAAGGATGGTGGTTGCTGCACAAAGGGAAGGGCATGTGAATGTACTTATTGATACCAGAAAACTCGACGTCGAGTATAAATAATGTAATCAGTTCGGGACGGTGGGCGGGGGAGGTGGTGGGGAGGAGGTGGCCACCGACTCACCACCACCTCAGGCGAGCGCAGCGAGCAATTTCCTGGTCGCGCCGCAGGCGCTCCCTTAGGAAGAGGCGAGCGAGAGCAGCCGTGTGCCCACGAGCAGATCATGAAGGGTAGCGAAATCTGTTCTGTTCGATGCAAAGATTGCTCGAGCCTGCCCATCGCCATCTCATCCATGTTCTATATGTGTTCGACGCGTAGCAGTGCAGTGTGAACCGTGTAGTAGCAGTGTAAGATGTTATGTACGGATATCAGTAGAAACCGAATTGAAAGTTGAGATGAGAATGAAGGGACGATGAAATGCCCAGCGCTCCCCTCTTGTTACCTACTCCGTCTTGCCGCAGTAAAAAAGATACGAAACGTGCCGCGCATCAATATCATGGCAAGTATCAGCACGCATTTACCATGTCCTACACGTGTTCGACGCGTAGTCTGGCAATGCGAACCACAAGTTGGCAATGCGAGGTGTCTCGCACGAGTATCAACGCGCCAGCATCCACTTCGAAACCATCGCTGGGCGCAGATTTTGAACCTCATGCGCCCATGTATGTACCTCAGGCAGACCGGTGCAATGCTGATGGCTCGAGTCCTCATCATTTCAGAAAGAGCGAGCTCGAGCTCGTTCCCCAGCCTCAGCTCCCGATGACTTGCGTCGGCCAACAAGGCGAATGCAAAACGTGACTCGTGGCTCCGGTTTCAAGCATTGTTGCTCATCAGCTGAGACGGCATCAGCACCAGAGCGCGGTGAACATTTGAAGCCAGGCGACGAGGAAGGCGGGGCCGGTCTAGGCATGGCGACTGCTAAAAGTCTGGGCGCTGTGGTAATCAACCCCGCCTAGTCTTCCCGCGACATCGTTTCCGAAGCTTGACATCCAACAAGAATTCTCGAGCCTCAGGTGATGGCTTAAAGCCAAGCAGCCTAACAGAAGACAAGACCGTCGTGCCGAAAGAGCATTATCTTCGCCCAAGAGATCCGAGAGTTGCTCTTGCCATCTTCGCTGTCATGCCTCTCAAGTCATCCGACTTGCTGCAACTTCACGCCGGCTGAGCTGAGCGTGTGAAATACCGCCGGAATCACACCACTGCGTATCGCAGCACACAACACCACTCCCGACATCAACGAGGACAGCGCCCAGGGAAGCACGTGTCAGGACCTTCAGCCGAACTCACTCAGCACGCGACTTTTGCACAGCCCCAATCGAGGGAATCGCAGAGAAAGATACTCTTCTTAATTCTACTGTACCAAGAGGGAACTGCCCGCTCGTGAAGTCTAACCCACCGACGCGTGCCCCGCATTTGGTGATCCTGTCATCACAGCACAGCTGGAAAGGCCCTAAAAGCTGAACCTAGGCCCGTTGAAATGGCTGCCACAGCAATCACTCCTACACATCCCACACCGTCAACCGACAAGTCCTCTCAGAGCATCGAAGCACAGGAGCTCGAATTCGGGCAGGCGTGGGATGGTGCTGGTCAGGCTCAATCCCCAGTCATTACCCGGCCTAACTTGGAACTTTGTGGCCGCCGCAAATCGTCCGTCGCATTCCATACAGCCGGCGCTGAGGAGACGATACGACGTGAGAGCATAATCAACCCACCTCCCAAGGTGCCCTCGCGAGAGTCGAAGCGAATGTCGTCGCCTCCGCCACCGTCGCACTACAGTCGAGGCGTTTCGTTCGACACATTCGACAACAAGGAAGCAACGGACGAAAGCTTCACCCTCATTTACAAACACCGAGACTATGCCAGTAGTGCACGGAGTCGGACATTCTTGTGTGGCACAGATGCAAAGGACTACTCAGAGTATGCACTGGAGTGGATGATGGACGAGCTGGTAGACGACGGAGACGAGATCGTGTGTCTGCGCGTGATCGAGAAGGAGGACAAACCAGCAATCCTGGCAAAATATCGACGCGAGGCAGAGAAACTGCTTGACAGTGTCAAAAAGAAGAATAGCTCAGAAGACAAGGCCATCAGCATGATCATGGAGCTTGCCGTCGGCAGAGTACAAGAGGTTTTCCAGCGCATGGTAAGTTGGAGCATTAGCCCTTCTGGCCAGTGACTGACATTTATAGATCGGTCTGTACGAGCCTCTGCACTCGTCGTCGGAACACGAGGACGCAATCTCGGCGGTATGCAAGGCCTGATGCCAGGATCCGTCTCGAAGTACTGCCTACAACACTCGCCTGTGCCCGTCATCGTCGTGCGACCTTCGTCTAAGAGAATGAAGAAGAAAATGAAACGACAGCAAGAATCTGGCCGCAGTCTGTATACCACGTTGACCCAGCAAGCAGCCCAAACGGGCGGGCGTCACCTACGAGACAACAGCATTGTTGAGTCACCACCCACAGCTGCGACCGACCAAGAAGCCGAAGCTGTTGCCAAAGCTATTTCACAAGGAAGGAGGAAAGGCGGCATCCTGAAGAACTACAATTATGGCGGGCCTCTGCAGCGCGTTACATCCAACCCGTCCGATGTTGCGTCTGATGAAGAAGACCCAGCGACCAGCAGATTCGCATTGCCGATTGGCTACCTGACGACCGAAGAAGCTCCTCGAGCAGACCTGGCGATGCAGAGCCGAGTATAGCAATGCTGGCAGAAGACTGGGACGAAGACAAGCCACGAAGGAGTCGGTCGCGGCGCCGGGGGGCAAGACGGAGCGGAGCGGGAGTGATGCGTTTATGTCGTCGGCAGGCGAGGAGGAAGAAGCAGAGGATGATGGGTTCTTGAATGTTGGACCTGCGAAGATCGTTGAGCATCGCCGACCGAGTATGCGAGAGACGACGCCTTGGCTGGCGGATATCCTGAGGGACAAGCCGGCGCCGAGGAATCGGAGCAGGAGTAGGAGTAGGAATAGGGATCCGAGTCTGGGGAGGAGTCCCGCGAGGGGGTCACGATGATTGAAGCACGAGCGAAGCGTCAGCCACCACGAGATTATGGAGAGAACCAGCGGTGTCGTTGAGGTGTTGCAATGCATAACATGGCCGGAAGGGAAATTGCATCGAGCGGCCTGACGGGTTCGTACGTTCTGGCATGCACAAAGTGAGCAGCTGATAACTCTTACGATGGGACTTACAGTATACGATTGAGCATTATGATGAGCTCCTGGCCACGAAGCAACGGAGTCATGGGCATGAGTCTGATGGGATACCCAGACAGTCTTCAACAGTGAATGAGACCGCTTCTTGCATGACTTACCTTGCTCGCTGAGGTACTCGTTGAATTTGTGCTCGAGCTGTGCTGCTAACCCGCGTTCTGACAGATGGGGACCTGCATGAGAAATGTGTGATGTGATACGAATTGTAACAAGGGGTTTGTGAGAGACGGAGTTGATGTACGTGTTCTCGGCCTCCATCCTGCATGGGTGGGTGGGGGAGGTGGTGGCTCCCGCGAGCGCAGCGAGCTGTATGCTGAGGCCGTGAGGCCGGAAGCAGCGCCGCAGGCAAACAGTGGAAGGTACCTAGGTAGGCGGGGGCGGGTCCCGTGTAGTACGTGAGTAGTGGAAGGCGCTGGGTCAGGGACGAGGTTGTAGACTGCGCGCGAGGATGCGCAGATTGGGAAAGAGCGTCTTCCTGGACCACTTAACACGAGCGCTGGAGGGGTTGAGCATCACACATGTCAAGTTTCCTCTAATGATGTTGATGCGATTGTATTGTGTGAGTATACCTAGTTAGAGCTCGAACTTATGACCCGTGACAGGCGCGTACCTGCATAGGATGTAAGATGTCGATGGAATTGTAACAAGGGGTTGTGAGAGGCGGAGCTGGTGTAAGTTACGTGTTCTCGGCTTCAAGACCCCTACGCCCCTCACATGTTTCTCGCTTCAACCCCGAGTTCCTGCCATTCTCGAGAATCTCTACGTTCCTCTTCCTGCCTCTGCTCGTCGCCGGTCGTCGAAAGCGCCAGACCTTCCACCATGCTGCCGCGATAACCATCGCTCGCATCATCATCCACTCACGACACCATGACGTCTCTCATCTCTTCCGATGACTGTGACGACTGCTCGCCGATGCATTCCCACTTCGGTCCTAAGGCGGCCTTCTCAACCGTTCCTTTCATAACTACGTTTGGTCTCGTCACATTCATCGCCTATCGAAAGGTACATCCACTCTTGTCACCGGCGGCCCCGACATCGAGCACCCAGCAGTCCTCGAAAGGTTTGCCACCAACGCTCCCAACACCCTCCACATACAGCGAACCACCAACGCAATTCCTCATCCGGCGGTTTGCTGCCCTCACCTTCGCCTCCACGATCGCGCTATCGGCCGTGCTCACAGAGCTACTGCTGTGCGAGATCTCCAACTCATTCAACCCGACTGCTCGTAGCGTTGCATTGCAGGTCACGGTCGCATCTCTGCTGGGGTTACTGGTGATCGCAATACCGGTATTGGGCATACACACGGTGGTGACGAGCAATGGACAGCGCATCAAAGATGCAAGCAATAGGAAGAAGAGAGTAGCATGGGTAGTCGAGGCTGTTGGTTATGCTGCGTTCTTGTGTCTGTTCTGGGCATTGGGCGCACTGTTGCCTGACGCAGCTACTCCCTCGGACGAGGTGAAGCGGAAGGGTTTGAATCTGTTCCAGGCTTGTCTGGACAGACTAGGCATCACAGGTGTTACACTCATGGCATTGCTCTCCGGCTTTGCTTCCGTCAGTGCCATCTGGCAGAACTTCGGTCCCAAAGCAAAGCTGGTAGCGGACGGGGATATCAAGAGAAAGGAGACGGGCTACGATGCGACGATGGAAATGGTTGACGAGAAGAAAGCACGACTGAATATGATCCAGCGCCGGATGACAGACCCGGCTTCGGCGACTAGCACGAATGCTTCATTTTGGAGTCGTGCGGCGGGCTCGATACTGCCGTTGGGAAAGAACACGGATTCACAAGAGAAGCAGACACTTGAAATGGAGATCTCGGGTCTGGAGACCATGGCTGCGAGCCTTGAGTCGAGCTTGAGTGTGCTAAGAGGACGAAAGGCAGACCAGATGAGAGAGAAGACAACATTTGGTCGAGCCCAGCTTGCATTCGGAGTGGCATTCTCCTGCTACTGTATCTACCGCATCATTGCGACCACCATCAACATCTTTCGGCGCGTCGCATTTGGCACGCACTCGAACAAGAGCGACACGGACCCAGTCACATACGGCATTGCGCTCTTCGCGCGACACGTCTACCCTTCGATTGACCAAGCGAGTTGGGCGCATCAGATCTCCTTTCTGCTGTCTGGAGTCATGCTCTTCGCGAGTTTCAACGCTGTCACGCAGACATTCTACCTCTTTGCCCGCATCATGCCGCATGGCGTTCTCCAGGCAACGAGGACGAATTTCGCGCTGCTCATCAGTCAAATCAGTGGAATGTACGTGATCTCGTCGGCACTGATGCTGCGGGGGATGATGCCGGAGAAGGTGGGGAGCGTCATCAACAGTGCTCTCGGGGCAGGGCTGCTAGAGCCGGCTTGGACGCAACGGTGGTTCGAGGGCTGGTATATGGCGGCGGTGGTCGTGACTGTGCTGGGTATTGGTATCACGAGGAGTTGGAAGTGGGATGTTGATGAAGGTGGTGGATGGGAGAGGGAGGCGTCGAGATGAAGGGCGCTTGAGCGACCGAAAACGCAGATGATGCGTCCAACAGAACGAAGATATGATGGATGAATCTGTAACAGTATCGAAGGCCGTAGATTGTAGCAATATATTACCAGATCCGGACTGAAGATTGATTTTACTGTCTGCGGTGGCTTTCTAAAAACTACACCTGCCGGCCCGCTGCCCTCTAACCACTTTTGCGTGCCTGTGTCTACAGGAAGGATCACATGGTGAGTTGGTCTGCTCTATGCGGTGGATGACAGCGACTGCCTCGATTTTCTCCAACTCGAATTGTTGCTCCAAAACCGTTGCTGGCGCATCTGATCAGGACACGACACCAACGACTTACTTTACCTTTGTAACCGCTACAAATCACATCAAACCACAAGGAAACGGTCTCGATCTGAACAAGGCAATCGAAATCTCCAGCTGATCGCGCAGAGCGAGCGCGAGTTCGAGTTCCTCTGCGAGGGCTCTCCGCCTGGGACCTCCGCCTGGGACCTCCGCTGGGGACCTCTGCCTGGGACCTCCGCTGGAACCTCCGCTCGCCATGGACATCACACCAACCCTCTCCGCAATCCTGATCCAGTCCCACGCACCGCCCATCCCAATCGCCTCCTCCTCGACTGCCAGACTAAGTCAGACGCTCGACGCGTTCCTCAAAGAAGCGAATCAGATCAACCAATCGCTCAACGAGCTCCTGAGATATCTGCAGAGTATACGCCAGCCGTACCTCTCGAACGCGCCGCCGCCTCGACGGCACCACCAGCAACAGCCAGCACAATCGGCGCGGAATGGCCTCCCAGAGGCGCCAACGCACTTGACCGATGCACAACGAGAGGATATCAACAAAGAGACAGCGAGACTATTACGAGATCTGCAATCCTCGATATCCAATTTGAAAGGCGTGGCCGATCTACGGCACGATGCGGTGACGAAGGTGCTGACAAGGAAATACGGTAGTCGGAAAAGCCTGCTCTTTCGGTGGGCCGCGGGTGAGGACAAGGATGCGGGCAAGTCGGCACAGCAGATCGATGAGGAGGGAAGGGAGAGGACGTTGAAGATATTTAGGGATGAGGTGGTGAGATATCTGATGATGAAGGTGAGTTATGTTCTTCACGGTGTCCATTCTGACCCTGCTTCGTCATTGCTGGGAAGAGCACTACTAAAGATTTGGACTACCAGAAAAACGCCGCCCTCCGCAGACAACAGATGATGCTCGTCACCCGCGCGGAACGAGAACGAGAGAAGCAGATGTCCAAACTCAGCGACGTTCGCAACAAGTCCTACGCAAATCGGCAACCGAGCACAAGCATATCAGACAGAGTCGTGACTACCAGATACAACAACGGCATCAGCAGCGCCGCTAACGAATACGCCGACGCCGACCTCCGCGCCCGCGACACCTACAATCCCGCTCTCGAAACCTCCTCCAGCGACTACGCCCACCAAGACCTCACACCCGCTCAACTCCAGCTCTTCGAACAAGAGAACGAGAGCATGACCCTCACCCTCCAAAACGACCGCCTCGCCCAAGTCAACAAGGTCGAAGCCTCCCTCGTCGAGATTTCGCAATTACAGGAGACGCTCGCGGGTAATATTGCGGTGCAGCACGAACAGATAAGTGGACTGGTGATGGATGCAGAGGACACGGGGGAGAATCTGACGAAGGGGAATAGAGAGTTGAAGAGGGCGAGTGAGAGGGGGAGTACCGCGAGGGGAGTGTTTTGGGTGAGTGTTGGGTTGTGCTCGTTCTTAGTGGTGTGGGATCTCATTTTCTGATGGATGAGGTCGGCATGGGCTGAGGGTGTCGGCGACAGCGAGGGCTCGGCACCAGGTTTCCATGGCTAAGACCAGGCGTGTACAGAGCCATGGCAGTTGCATGTAGCCGCTACAGCTTGCACCGCTGACTGGGCGGTCGAATGGACAGCCGACGCTGACTGGTGTAACCTCGAATTATCAGAACCTGTTTGCCAGCAAGACGCCGATGCTGGCTCATCAAGGTCGACACCGAACACGAGATACGTGTACAAGTAGATGTAATATACACAGAGATGGACGCATGTGGTCATGAGCAATATTTGGTTTGCTCGCGTCCTGCCGAGGCATGTGTTCTCGTTCTCGTCATCGAAGATCTTGCGGGCATAACGCGGTTGGATGGGAAAGTACAAAAAGCCCTGCGCGGCCCTCTCCCCGATCTTCCCCAAGCCCGTACTGCTCCAGAAGACCCTTCCAGAGCTCGAAAACGCCCGTCGCAGTTGGAGTAGCGGGGCAGAAATAGGTGTGAAGTGAAGTGCATCATTCATTGCAGTCTGGCCTCATTTCTGAAACATTTTGAGATGTCAAACAAAACCTCACCGCCAAAAAATTCCCCGGCGACCTCCTCTTCTACGTTTTCTACCTCTTCCATAACGTCGCCATCTAACGCAGCGTCGCGTCTTTCACAAATCAAAAGACACACTTCAACGCAAGCCAACATGGCTGCAACACAACCCCCGCCAACTCTCTTCGAGGAGAGTAAAGTCTCACAAGCCCCCGAAGATCCTCTGTTCGGCCTCATGGCTGCCTACCGCAAGGACGAGTCGGACAAGAAGGTCGACCTGGGTATTGGTGCATACCGCGACAATGATGCGAAGCCATGGCTCCTACCTGTAGTCAAGAAGGTATGCTAGCACGTCCAATAAAGAATCATTGACTGACACACGCATCTTCGCAGGCTAACGAGGTCTACAACTCACAACTCGAGAGCGGCGAGATCAATAACGAGTACCTGCCCATCGCCGGCCTTGCAGAGTTCACGACTGGCGCGCAGAAGTTGATCCTGGGTCCTGAGTCGCCTGCTATCAAAGAAGGTCGAGTATGTTGTCCTCCTTCACATCTACCCTTCCCGTCCTAACTCCTCGTGTACACACCACTGACAGTGGCTATCAGGTCTGCTCCCTCCAAACCGTGTCCGGCACCGGCGCAGTCCACCTAGGCGGACTCTTTCTCGCCAAATTCCTCAAGCCCCTCCCTGACCTCTACCTCTCGACCCCAACCTGGGCCAACCACAAGCAGATCTTCAGCAATGTCGGCATCAACACCGTCGACTACCCCTACTGGTCCGCCAGCACCAAAGGCCTCGACTTCGACGGCATGCTCTCCTCCCTCAAATCCGCCCCCGAACGCTCCATCATCCTCCTCCACGCCTGCGCTCACAACCCCACTGGTGTCGACCCCACAGAAGAGCAGTGGAAGCAGATCTGCACGGTCATGAAAGAGAAGAAACTGTTCCCCTTCTTCGACTGCGCATACCAGGGCTTCGCTTCAGGCTCGCTCTCGACCGACAACTTCCCCATCCGCCACTTCCTATCCGAGGGCTTCGAGATGGTGATCGCGCAATCCTTCGCTAAGAACTTCGGTCTCTACGGCCAGCGCGCCGGCGCGTTCCACTTCGTCGCTGGGCCCGTCTCGGACGCGAAGGATATCGTCAAGCGCGTCGCCTCCCAACTCGCCATCCTCCAGCGCTCAGAGATCTCAAACCCACCTATCTACGGCGCGCGCATTGCGAGTATCGTCCTCAACGATGAGACACTGTTCAAGGAGTGGGAAGAGGATCTACGCACCATGTCCGGTCGGATCATCGATATGCGGAAGGCGCTGAAGGGTCATCTCGATAAGCTGGGTACGCCGGGCAAGTGGGAGCACATCACGAGTCAGATTGGCATGTTCTCATTTACCGGTTTGAGTGAGAAGCAGGTCATGGAGTTGCGGAGTAAGTGGCATGTGTATTTGACCAAGAATGGACGGATTAGTATGGCTGGGTTGAATACGGGGAATGTCGAATATTTCGCGAAGGCCGTGGATGATGTGGTGAGGAACGTGAAGTGAGGGCGAGACTTCGGATGCTTGTTGCCGATAGCCGAAGTCACGAAGTGATATGAGCTGACGGAGACCTCCCAATGATAATTTGGGTATTGCCGCAAGACAGCGCAAGGAAGGAACCTAGATGGAAGGAACAGAGCGATTCGGAATGACAGGCAGCGACTATTGTCACGGGCTACTGCGCTTTCCAGAGCGAACAATGTACAGCAAGGTGCATGAGCATGAAGTGCTCCTGGATAGATAAAATCGAATCATCCACGCAGTCTGCTTCTTCCGTCCCTGTCTTCACTATGTACACAGTTCGCGGGTAGCAGTGAGGTCACAGTCACCCGGCTTCGATTCTGGTTTCGGACATGATCGCATCGCAGCGGGCCGATTTCCGCCTTCGCCAGCAAGGGGTCATGATGAGTTCAAGGTCAACTTCTGCTTCTACGGGCAATGATAAGGCAAAGACTTGAGTGGTAGCCGGCTACTCGACCTCAAGTCCTCGGAGGGTGGAAGCTATGACTCGTCCGAAGCACGCGCAGTGCAGCGACGAACAAATTTAGACGAGCGACATCGACGCGACACGCCATCCTCTGCATCACTCGCTTGTGGCACATCTACCATACTTTCACAATGGCGAACGACGCTGAGCGGCAACCACTGCTGCAGCCAGCAGCGACACATCCACGAGACGGAGACATCAATGATGTCAACTCGGATTGCACAGTCGAACCGCCAGACACGGCCAGCGCCTGGGCCGAAGCACAGCTATCAACCAAGCTCCCCACTGCAGTGCTGAGCTTCCTCATCACCGGACTCGCCCAATCGGCCGTCGGCGTCCTTCTCCCGGACATTGAAGCTACTACCATCTCAAAAACGGACCTACGGCATTCCTGTTCCCCTGTGCCATCATAGGCTACTTCATTGCTGTCGCACTTCTCGAGCGGCTTCATGTTAAGTTCGGACGACGGGGCATAGCTGTCCTGGGACCGGCGTTGAGGACGTTGAGCGCTGCTATCCTCATCTGTGCTCCCCCATTCCCGGTCTTCCTGTTTGGCAGCTTTATCTTTGGCCTCGGAACTGGCTTCACAGATTCGGGATTGATGGCTTGGGGAAGCGGCGTACCATACGCGAACATGGTCCAAGGCGCCATGCATGGGACTTGGTCCGTCGGCTGCGTGATCGGACCATTGCTTGCTGTTCGTATCTCGCGGAAGTGGCACTGGTATGGCTATTATCGACTGCTGGTAAGTGTGGCTTCTGCCGACCATCCCGCAGACTGTGCTAATATGCGACCAGGGCGTGTGCTACCTTCTCGAGTTGCTCGCTCTGGCAATCGCATTCCGTCGTGATAACGCGACGAGATACGTCGAGCACAAAGCGAAGCCAGAAACTACCGAGTCTGACCAGCCCAAGTACAATCCGCTCCGCTCGAAGCTCCCCTGGCTCTGCGCTCTATACTGGTTCGCCTACTGCAGCATGGAGTCCTGTTACGGCGACTGGATCGTCACTTACACGATCAACGTTCGTCATGTCGAGAGAGAAGTCGCTGCACGGGCTGCCTCGGTCTTCTGGAGCGGAATGTGTATCGGCCGCTTCACCCTGTCGCCAATCACGCAATATATTGGCATCCGGTCTGCTGTGCTGGGATACATTCTCATATCCTTGGCTGCTCAAGCTACTCTGCGGGGTGTCGAGAACACTACAACGTTCTTCATCGTTCTGGCTTTCATAGGAGCTTTCTTTGGTCCAATCTTCCCATCCGGAGTTGTGTTGCTGGGCCAGAAGCTGCCGCTGGAGTTTCATGTGCAGGCTGTCTCTGCTGCTGCGGCGCTAGGTCAGAGTGGAGGCGCCACTGCGCCGCTGCTTGTGGGCTACATCGCTGATGCGTTTGGGATTGGGAGACTGTTGGACGTGGTCATTGTCTTCACGGTTGTCCTCATTGGGCTTTGGATCCTTTTCTGTCGCTCGGCTGTGGACTGAAGGGCGGTGGAAAGCATTGCTGTGGTGTAATACTCACCAGTGTGCAAGCTCTGCCACCAGTCGAGAATGTTAACGTTACCACTGCTTATTACAGGCGACCAGAATCGTCCGGCCTAATGCCCGACCATCATGCCCTGCGAGGCAATTGCCCGGCTTGCCGCGGAGGTCCAACGCTACCGCACTCCCCACCTGCCCACCCACGGCATGTCTCCAAGCGGCGGACATCTCCCTCGATCCCATTGGAATCATACCTTGGCATTCCTTGGTATATGTCTTGGTACCTCTCCTTGCCCAATCAACGCCCTTACAGCACACAACGGGAGTCGAATCAAGCAAATCAACGGCGAGGCCCAAGACTTTTGTGCAGTAAAGCTCTGCAGGTCTTTTTACTGCAACGGCGAAGAGGGGCACGGTTGTCGGGTTCCCGACTACCGCTGCTAGCACTGGCAATGATTGCTAAGGGTCTCGCATAGCTTTGGCCGGCACGTGGGGCAATGAGGTCGTCTCTTCGGAGCAGTTCGTGGAAGATAAGGGTCTCGGAATCTCCTTCTACAGTATACCCTCTTCAACTCACTTTCAAGCACAGCCGGTCTGTTCACAGCATCAAACATGCAAGTCGTCAGTAAGATTGCCGCTCTGGCAGCTCTCGCCGCCACCGTTGATGCTCACTTTATCCAGTCCGTTCTGGTCTTCACACGCCATGGCGACCGCACGTCGAAGTTCTACAAAGGTTACGAAATGACAGCGCTGGGCGCCCAACAAGTCTACCAGTCTGGCCAATTCTATCGCGAGCGTTACTTGACCGACAGCAACACGACCCACGGCCACAGCCACCCAATCCGGGGTATCTCCCGCAGTGAAGCAGTCGCTTCACAGATCTGGGCCTCCGCTCCTGACCAGCACGTCCTCTACCAAACAGCAACGAACTTCCTACAGGGACTCTACCCGCCCATCGACGAAGCAGAGGAACTCAACAACGGCTCGTCCATCACCGGACCCCTTGCCGGCTACCAATACATCCTCATCCACGGCGAAGACGCCTCATCCCCAGACACGATCTGGCTGAAAGGCGACGACGAATGCCCCAACTACGACGCCGCGTCCAAATCCTACAAGCAATCCGCCGAGTATGCCGCCACCCTAGCCTCTTCCGCCGACTTCTACGCCCAATTTATCCCTCAACTCGGCAGCATCATGGCGGACGCCAATGTAAGCTACGCCAAAGCCTACGACGTCTTCGACCTCATCAACGTCGCAGCATCCATAATCGCACCATCGTGAACGCGCCGTTTGACTATGAGGCGTTCTCAGTCAGCGAGGACAACCTCGACCAGCTGCGCTACTATGCCGACGAGTGGGAATGGAACTCCAACTTCAACGCCTCCCAGCCGGATCGCTCGATTGGTGGGAAGGCGCTCGCGGGTGGCATCCTGCGGCAGCTGCAAGCTGTTGTGCAGGGAAAGGGAAAGACGAAGTTCAGTCTCATGGCCGGATCATACGACACGTTCCTTTCATTCTTCGGACTCGCAGACCTGCAGTCCGCGTCGCCTGACTTCATGGGTTTGCCTGCGTACGCGTCGAGTATGGCATTCGAGCTGTTCACCGAGAACTCGGCGGTCTTTGACGAAGAGGATCTGTACGTCCGCTTTCATTTCCGCAATGGCACCGAGTCGGACAAGGAGTTGGAGGCGTATCCGTTGTTCGGTAGCAATACAATGGACATGCCGTGGAGCTACTTTGTGGCGGCGATGGGCGACCGGGCCATTACGACTGTAGCAGATTGGTGTGTGGCTTGCGGGAGCGAGGCTGGGTTTTGCGTTGCGGCGAATGCTACAGCTGATGCGGAGAGTGAGTCGTCTGTGTCTGGGCAAGGTGCCTCTGGGTCTGGTGGGTTGAGTAATGCTGCCGCGGGTGGCATCGGGGCGGCTGTAGCGCTTGCTGTGGTGGGGCTTGTTGGAGCGGCGGTATGGTTGGCCAAGCGCAGGCGTGGTGGACGGGATTTCGGGGTAGCGCCGGCTGGGGACGTGGAGACAAAGAGGGTCAGTCTCAGTGAGTCGGGGAGTGATCGAGGTGTTTGAGTGCACACCTTATGGTGGGGCTCGGGCCACTCCGGTGGCGGTGGGTGGCCTGTTGCATCCTTTGAACGCTGCTAGCTGCTATGGTCAGTGTGCTCGGGGTTGGGGGCTAGGGTCAGGCCGGGCTAGGAAGGGTCAGGGAATGTGGTCGAATTCGGCTCATGACTGTCTTCGAGGGGAACGGGATGGGCGCATTGGAGACAGGACTTCAGAAAGAAGTGGCTCGGCTTCATTGTGGTTTGAGGCTGCTGCGATAATCCAGTCCTCTACATCTTACAGAAGACGTCGAAGCCTGTCCGAGCGCGGTCTGAACACCGACAGGACGGGGAGGGCTCTGCCGTGCTTCCGGCGAGGTAGACGGGTTCCTGAGGTGTCAATGTAGTCGCTGATGTAGTATGGTCTATCCAGTGTAAGACTTCCTTGTTCGCTGCCTCTGCCCACCATCGCTACACTCCTCTCGTCCAGCCTATCGTTCTGCAACTTCCCTCTCAACAGCCTCCGCCATCTCTCCCAAAGTCCCAAACCGCCAATCCGCGACAACGTCCACTCCTTCCTCCAAATTCCCCATCACAGCTCCCGGCCGCTCGATCCAGCAACTCCTGATCCCCGCATCCCTCGCGGGGTAGTGGTCGTGAAACTGGCTTTGCGCGGTCTGCAGCACGCCTTCGCGGCTGACGCTAAATTTGTCTGCTACTTGGGATAGCATGTAGGTGAAGTTGGCGGGGGAGGGTTTGTAGGACCCGATGTCTTGGGCTGTGAGGATGAGGTCGAAGGGGATGCCTGACAAAGGTCCGGCGTTGGTTTTGGAGAAAGAGTTCCGGTCAACGTTGGAAAGAATGACGAGTTTGTAGTGCTTCGAGAGGGTGTGGAGGGCGGCGACGGTGTCGGAGAAGGCGGGCCAGGTGCCAATTGAGTTGCCGAAGGTTGTGGCGGCGGAGGAATCGGCGGGCGAAGGAACGGAGAGGTCGGAGAGGATGAGTGGGTGGATGGTGGCGAGGAGTTCGTTGTACGGCATGGATGGGGTGAGTGCTTGTTGGGCGGCTTCGTGTTTGTGATATACCTCGAGGAGGTGGCGGCGGGAGAAGGTGTGGTCGGTAGGAAGGGAGGGGGCGAGGGCGGAGAGGACGCCGGTCTCCCAGTCGATGAGCGTGCCGTAGACGTCGAAGGTCAGGACTTTGAAGTCTGTGAGCTTGAGTTGTGTCATTGTAGCTTTCGTGGAGGATGGTAAGGGGTTGGTGTGGTGGTCGGTGTGGCTGGCTGAGAGTCTCCGGTACGAGTCGACGTTTGGTTGCGATGATTATGGAAGGGGTGTCTTAAAGGTAGATGATCTTCTGGTTGGGGCGTCACCGACCACCGGGTCATCTATAGGAAGGGCACACCGTATCTAGCCGCTACACGCGCCTTTGCTGCTCGGTTGATCAACGTCGAAGATTCTGGTTCTTCACAGACAATGTTTGATAGCAGAGATTGGAAGCTAGCCCGGGCCGGTCGATGGCCTTGCCAGCCTAGAATCTACCGAATGCGTTTAGGGCTTGCATGTGGCATAGGACTGTTGGAAACTGGCGCGAGACAGTGTGATTGTCTTAATGGTTCGTAAACACCCAGGAGGTGTAGACCTTCAGTATCCTGTTGGTGTGTTCGACGTGAAATTTTTGGTGAGGCCAGGAGCCCCGCCGCCCTTGGTCGTCCTTGGCATAGGAAACTCTGAATTCCGCTTCTGGCTCGGGCGGCAGGCCGACAGCTACACCATCCATCGTATGAATTGATTCAAGAATTACCCTTTGCATTCGAGCTCTCGATCTCTTCGAAGGAGAAGATCGCGGACCACCTTCAAGGTAACTTGTCAGAAAAGAACCCCGTCAATCTTGTACGTGCCACATCTTAGGTCACGAATTGTTACATAAAGCACTCCGGGTGTAGAGGTTCAAGCCTCCACATGGCCTGAGTTGAGTTCTACTTACGTCAGGTGTGCCGAACTGGCCCAAGGCCACTTTAGGGCGGGCCGGGCGGCGTCGGACCAGCCCTGGACAAAGGTGGGCATAGGTATGGCGGAGGAGGATTGAACACCTAACCTCCCCGCCAGTTCTACGAGCGCTTCGCGCAGCTCATCTGCCCCGCGCAGCTCATCTGCCCCGCGCAGCTCATCTGCCCCGCCCAGATCCAAATCTCCTGTCCTCCGATCTGCCCGAAGTATCTCCAAACTCCGCGCAACGACGACATTCACATTCGCGAGTTCGTCATCCTCGGTCCTCCGTTGCGATGGGTTTGATGCAACTCCCGCTCCGCTCCCATTTCCGCCATTACTCCGCTGCAAGAATGGGTCAACGATGCCATCGCGAAAGACCTTCATCAGCTTTGTCCGGGAATTGATGAGACCTTCTATCATTCTTTTCTTCTCGGCTGGCTCCGCGCGCATCGAGAGAAGCAGAGCTAAGCCAAAGACGCCCGCAGCGCGCGTGAGCTGGGATGTTGAGTCGAGTGTGAGGGCGAGAATTGGGGCAAGGAGGGTAGATTGAGGTACCAGAAGGGATGTCGCTGCAGAGTCCGGCGTGGCTGGTTGGGCCTGTGGAAATTGGGATTCGGGAGAGGAGACGTGGCGCAGAAGCTCGACGCAGAACAACCCTGCTTCAAATCGTATCGTAGCACTGCGACTCGTGGCGGCGAGCGCTGTTATTGCTGTTGTTAGCGCAGCGAGGACATTTAGATCAGCAAGGTTTTGCGGTTTTGAAGGCCAAGAGGCTTTCAACAGAAGTCGTGCGAGGGAGATGGACCCGCGCTGGACAGCCTGTACGTGTCTCGTGGTTGCACGAGATGGTGTAGATAGGACGCTAGGTGGATGGGCTCTTGCGTCTGAAGTAGCGCGTCCAAGTCGTGCACTAATGTGGTCGAGCATGTGGGCGTCACGCAATGATATCTGGCCTTGCGGATTAAGAGCCACGCGAGCTGCGAGCTCGATGGCGGGAAGCAGGATTGCGGCGTCTGTGTTGGCATCGTATATTTGAGAGATCTTGTCTGGCAGGCTCTTGCAGCGTCTCAGAGTCTCCATCATGCGGATTGAACTATCGGAGCCGTTGGCCATCAATACGAGCGCTGCGGCTAGGCGGTAGGAGTGAGCTGGAGCTGGAGCTGGATCGGTTTGTTCAAGCTCTGTAAGCAGCATTCGATACACGGCTCTGTTTCTGAAAAATAGATCGCCAAATACCTGTGGATGAGCTGACACATCGTAGATCATGCGCATGAATGCTTCTTGCAACTGGTGCGAGTCCTCAATGCCGTCTATTACATTCTGTAGCACTGACCGTAGCGTAAGCAGCACCCAAGGCGATTCGGCCAGAAGTTCCAATTGGCCCGAGGCGACACGCAACGCTATCTGTACCATGGCCTTCCCGCAGTCTTTGTCAGCTGCGCAAATGTACTCGACTGCGTTGCAGAGGTCCATGAAGAAGCTCCTGATATGATCGATTGTCTCGTCATCAACGGCTCCGGCAAACATCACCCGTACCGGAACTTTGCTGGCCATGTCGCATAACTTGGCAAGAAGGCTCAGTTGGGTCGCTGGAAGATTTTCGCGGATGTCAAGCAAGACCTGGAGCGCTGGAGTCCGCCTGACTGCTACATCTCCGTTGTAAGTCAATATCGAGCCCAGCTCAAGCTCAGTGGCGGTCAAGTCTGTAAAGTCCTGCCCTTCCTCGTCCTTAGCCAGGATATCGTATCCTGTGCATACATTGTATAAGGCAGGCACAAGCAGGTCAACACATCTCTTCTGCAGAGTCATCAGCTTCAAAGCTCTGATGGTGCCTTTCCACAGCAGATACGAGCGGTTGACATTGTTATCCGCGCAGACATTGGCAATGATTCTGAGTGCAGACCGCGTGACATTGTCGTTCTTGCCCCAGAAAGGGTCCACAGTCGACAGTGCCGCAACTTCCAAAACGCAGCGATAATTCTCTGCACAGCCATTGTCCCAGATTTGTCCAGCGGCAACTCGCTGCCCGAATTCGATCCGCAAATAAGGGTGAAGCCTCGTTGCTTCCGCGGCGATTTCGAGCGCAGCCTCGAGCGAAGGATTGCGCGTCTGTAGGTCGTTGTATAGACGTCTTTCGAGTTCCACGACGGGCGCAGCTCTGTCGTCTCTACTTAGCTTGTCCGGTCTGATGTCAACGCTGCCATGGTCGAAGTCGTGCGCTTGCGGAAGCTCCGCAAGTCGATCACCGAGGTACTGGCACGCAGCAATCCTTTGGCCGGAGTCATCTCGACCATCGTGCATCGCTCCCAGTCCGGCCCGCATGGGCCAGTGACGCCGAGGAAGGAAGCCAGGGACTTCGTGACGATTTCATAGCGGAGCAGTAGTTCTCGACAGGGACTTCACCAGAATGTCGTCCTTGGCGCGATGTGGAGTCCTCCATGCGGCATCAGGCTCAGAGGGCAGTCGTTGCCGACAACCCCACTGTACGTCGCGGCTTCCTTTGCTGTTCTTACGACGTACATATCTAGACGCCGCCCCAGTTGCAGCTTCTTTATCTGGCACCGCATGCGACAGTCGAAGTTTGTCGTCTGTCTGAGGCATGACGTTCGATGTGACGCCGAAACTGAATGCGCCGGAAGCGGGCGGAGACAAGCGACCCTGGCGGTCCACGACTCCACAAAAGGAGCACCGCATGATTTTCTCCTTGTCATGAGCTACCTCACGATCCTGTGCATCTACATCCCGGATCTTGTCAGATGTCAACACGCCGAAGCTTGATTGTAGTTCGCGACGCAATATGTGGAATCCACTGTATTCGGTCGGCTCTTATTTCGCCAACAAGTATCAGCGCGCTTTTCTGATAACGTATGCGACGCTCCTGGGTTTTATCGGCGCTGTCAGTCTGCTGTTGATTCACGCTCACCACTACCTGGAGCAGCCGTCTTGCGGCGACGAGCACAATGGGCCAAAGTCGCTTAATTGCTATTTCGCTGGCATCACGCTGTCGATCTCCAAAGAGCTGATCATGTTCAGCCTGATCATCCTCGGCTTCGTTTTGCCCCATGCGACTCACATCCTTCGTTGGATGGCGTTCTGGCTATTCTCAGCAGAAGCTGGCCGTTGGTAGTACAGATATGCGTCGCGGTCTGGCAACACAAGAAGTCTATCGCCGTCGGTACGGTGTGGGCTGTTGTTTTTGTGGTTGCGAAGCTGGCCAACGACGCCGGTCTGATGATACTGGAAGGTTTCGTGACTCAAGCCGCCAATATGACTGTGCCGAGTACTGGAGAAGGCATTTCGTGGAGTCCGGCCGAGCCGTTGTGAACCTGGGATCCTCAGCGAATGACAAACCAAAGTTACGGTCATGCAGCGTCTTCAAATATCCTCCAATGTTCACGGCAGACACTACTGCGTACCTCGACCATATTCTCTGGTCGCGCACGAGTGACTTTGATGATGCACAGAGATTTGGGTGTGTCTAGGGAACATCACGTCCGCACGGGTTACTGAGGGCACCCCATTCTTGGCATGGGAAGCTCACAAACTCACAACCCTCTGCAACTTCCCCAAGCGGCAATTGCTCTTACTTGGCGCGGACGATTTTCTTGCCTATATACGAGGGGTGCACCTCGCAGTCACTTTATTGCGCACGCCTTCACAAATCCTGGATGAGGCTACAGTAAGCCTTCAGGTTCTGGCTTGTCCCCTGAGGCCAGCCGACTATTTCGTCCTCGGCGCGGATCATCTCCATGCAATGCGGTTTCCAGCATCAAAAGCTGGCCGTGCAGTGCTACTCAATCACCATTGCTGCGGTCAGCTGTCACCGGGATTCACAGTGGTCAACTCAGCTTCGCGTGCCAATGATTTAGCCACACGGTCAATCTTGGTACGGGTGCGAAGAAACGTCGCAGGACACGAGTGATGTCCCCAACGGTCGCGATGTCACTCCTCGACCGCAATATTCGATCCTGCAATCGATCCCAAACATCCCGGGATATTTGTTTGTCTGGTAGCGACACCACCGTTGCAATCCAGAGCAGGCAATCTGCGTTTCTCGAGTCCTTCCATAAGTGTTCGGCTTCTAGGATTTCAAGAGCACGCTGGTGTGACTTCCTCCACACATCTGCGCCTGGATGGTCCCCGAGACGTGTGAGATCGTCCGCAAGGCATATCAGAGCCAGGAATAAAGTCCTCTCAAGATCGGTCAAGGTGTCGGGTATCCGTCGTCTCCACGCCGGACTCATTGTTGCAGCATCTGTCCAGAAACCACTCAGCCATGTCTGAAAATCAGACAAAACGACAATCATGTCTGACGATACAGACCCGCAATCGACTAGCGCTTGAACGCCGTCTGGCATCGCCGTCGTGCAGCCTTGGGCTGATAAGCTGGTTCTGTCCGTCCAATTATCTGGGTTCGAGGCCCAATGCTGGATCTGCGAACCGCTACATACGCTGAGCTTCGTGGTGGCCATGACATGAAGTACAACCTCGCGCAATACCCACCCGAGTGAGTCATATGTGGATCCGACTTCGCTGAGTCCGCCACGCAGCTTGATAAGCGTTTCCAAGCCGCGCAAGTGCGCCATAGCATACTCGAGAAGACCAAGATGGCTGTCCACCGGAATAGCACAACAGATGCTGTGAATCAGGACATCATCGACATTCCCTTCTGCCACCCGCTGGGCGACGAGTCTCAAGAAACGTACTCGCATCTTGTCAATCAACAGCCAAGGACCGCTTCCGGGGTCTTTTGCCGACGGCAGAGCACTGAGACGGTAGAGTGCCAGGCTTATGAGAAAGAGTTCGTCTTGGTACGCTCTTGGTAGCAATATTCGGCCGTACAGCAAAGTCTGCTGCTTGGATAGACCGAGCACAATACCGTCACTTGGGAGCATCATGGTCACCCCTAAAACGTCAGCGTCCGGCATACCACGGAAATCGAACATACACTGATGACACGCAGTCAGAGCGTGTCTCTCAATCATGCTCCGCGGCGTCGGCACATTCGGAGGCCTCGCCAGTCGAATTTCCAGTTGCCGCGGACCCGTTTCGATACGGACGACATCTTTGCGCACGGCTCCTGTCTCGCGATTGTCCTCAGACGATTCATTGTTCTCGTCTGTTGTCCTTGCTTTGGCAGCCTGTCTGCCACGCACCACAGCATTTCCCTTTTCTCGCCGCCTGTCTCTGCCGATCTGTGCGGCGTGAGAGTTAATGACTCGGCGGTTGTTGGAGTCTGGAGGGCCGTGGCCGGGTGACTCGAGCCAGACAAACCGCATTTGTCCTTATCAAACTGCACATCCTCCAGGCGACGGCGAGTCGAGGTGTGGTATCATGGTACTTGAGTATCTAAGCACGGCTACGTCCTTGGTCTAATGTCCACGTGCTGTCCGTCTTTAGTCATGAGAGCCAGGACAAGGCGATCGTTGCTGTCAGGCCAGACCCACCTCCACATACCACGATCATTGCGTTGAAGCCAAAACAACCTCCACATACTACATTGGGCAGGGGGTGACCTTGGCGTACCATTGGTTTGGGACCAACTCGAGGGGAATTGCTTTGACAGGATTGTTCGCGAGTAGCTCGGTCTCGAAATGGATAAATTCAAGAGAGGTATTGATGCGAGACGCTAGACGTGCGATTGCGACAATGACTGTGCAGACGAAGGCAAGTACCAGTTTCCCGACGGTAAGGACGAGCTCAGCCTGTATCATCTCTTGTCTGGGCCCAGCCAAGCGCAGCCGCCAACAAGGCTGATCCGATCGGACATGTGTTTCAGGCGTGGAAATGCACCAAGAGCAACGGTCATGAGTTGGGAAGCGCCGTAGTGCAAGGGCTTTTCCAGACCGAACAGCAAGCAGATACGGTGGAGGCGTGGATGTGGTAATCTTTGTCATCATGGAAGTTCTCACCACAAGGCGGAACCACCAAACTTGGCAGGTCCAGACTTGTCCGTCTGTGGACGCAGATGCCCGCTGAGCTGTCGATATCGTCTCGAAGCGTGGTGGGCGTCTCCCACGGGGTGGAAAAGAAGACCAGTTTCCGCTGTACCTCACTCGAGGTATGCAGGCAGCATGTGTGGAGTGGGCTATACCTTTCCAAGCATAGTTCTGTGCCTAGGCGCTTACCCAAGATGGAAGCACAAACTCGAGCTCGCATTGGCCCATCTGACTGCCAGCGGCCTCTCCGTAGACATTGAATCGAGACATGTTGTCATTGTGATGCATATGTCAGCGAGCAATTCCAGTTCAGTGATCGTGGCGTCTTCAAAATGGCACATTGCAACGCTTCAGTCTGGATGACAAAGACACCCTTTCGCGCCTACATGCGACGTTGCGGCGAGTTGGCACGTGGGGACTAGCCCTTCCAGGACCGACGCTGAGCTTTGCACTTAGCAGCCTGAATGCCAGCGCGCGTTTGATATGGCTTAGACGGCCACATAGTCCTGGTAAGAATCGCCGATATCCATGAACAGATGCCGCACCGGACATCCTCGGCATTGCTCGGACGTGCTCGAAGGTCGAAATCGGTGGGCAGATAGGCCACGATCGATCAAGGCGTGGCGCTGGCAAATACTGCCCACTTGAACCAGTTGCAGGACAGTAATAAACGATTTCTGGCCACTTTGATGAAGATGAAAGCAGAGTTGGGACGAGTCTCGTCTACTTCGGGTGGTCTCAGGCAATCGACTCCGTGAGGCAGGAAGAGACATCCGGTGCGACCAGGAAATAAGCTACAATGTCCGAGATATCGACGAGTGACGTTAACATTTGCAACACGACGTTCCACATGTTCTTGAGCATACAACGCGCCAAATGGAGCGGCATTGGCATCATCGAGTTGTCACGTCAACAACGCGTCATTGATGCGGATGAGCGAGTGTCTGGCCGGCTGGTCGCGCGAATATAAGATGCGATGAAGGCAAGCCGTCAGCTGTCTTTCTGAGGTAGGCTGTTCATGAAGCGATTGATCTCATCCCCAGCGATTCGATTGCCATTATCTCCCCCTTCCCGGTCTACGTTTGCAGCCATTCCACACGTAACAAGATCCCGCCGATCAGCCAGCAATATGTCGAACCCCAACGAGCCCAAGGTTGACGCAACCACCAATTTCCCCAAGCACAATAGCGACACGCCGGGAGAGGAATTCGAAGTTCGGCAAACCTCATCGTCCGAGGATTACACTCCCGACCCATCCAAATCAATCAAGCTCTCCCCTGCGCGGCAAGCTCTGATCGACGACATCATTGCGCTGTATTCATGTGAGCCCACGGTCGAGCGCGTGAAGCGATATACCCCAGACTGTGTGTACGATGATCAGTTCGTCTATGCCAATGATCGATATAAGATGGCTGGGCAGTGGTTTGCGCTGCCGAAGCTGTTCAAGGCCAGCAAGAATGAGAGATATGAAATCGTGAAGAATGATCGGGACCTGATCCAATTCAAGGTGAGTCTGCATAAGCGAGATGCCGGGCGACCACTGACATCTTGCAGAACGAACAGTCATGGACATTCAAGATCATCCCAAAGACCGCCACGATCAATGCTCTCGTTAGTCTGAGCCTCGATCCCGGCACAGTTGATTCGGACTTCATCCAGGTGAAGTACCACAAAGACCAGGCCAACGACAAGGACTACTCACATGAAGGTGTCGGCTTCAGTTTCAAGAAGTGGCAGGCAGACCAGGTGGCCAAAAATATGGACAGCAAGGAGGTCGAGCAATTCATCGGAGATAAGGATGCTGCGAAGAGGCCGGTGAAGAAGTACGGAAGTGGAACAGGTGATGCGCCGGTGAAGGATATGTAATCTGTCGTCGTTGAGAGCAAGCTATTGGGGCCTCATGTTCGTTGTTGTGCGCCGGCGTAGCGGCTGGCCTGATTCAGGTAGAGCCTAAAGTCGTTTGTTCAGTTCGTACGCCCTCACAACCGTACGTCTAATGTGCCTGTTGTTTCTTCACAGCCTGACGGCCACTTGCGGTATGCTTTCCGCTCATCAACATAGCCGTGAGAAGGAGCCCGAGCGTCTGGCATGATCGAAGGTCGCTGGCGCTGACCCGATGCGGCCGTTCCAGGAGATAAGCTATTCATATCGCCAATATCCGGCGGATGTTGCGCGTTTGTGCCATTGTCAGATCTGGAAACAACCTATCCCATGTTCGAGCTTACCAGGCCGAAACGCGGTTAACGGGAAAGCTCGACGTGTTGATGCACGTCGCAAGGCCGTCCAAGGTTAGCTGAGGGGAACTGAGGGGACTATTCCTGAAATAGCCGAGGTGGAACGAGATCATTTATTACGGCTGGAGGCGCCTTCGACAACTATCAGAATGCTGCATAAAACTCGGTAATTAACACAAGAGAGTCAAGATGTCGTTCCAAACAGATCTATTCATCAATGGAAAGGTAGTAGAGCATGACCACGTAGGAACCATGGCTGACTTGGCAGTACGTGAAATCCGCCAAGGGTGAGACGATCACGATCATCAACCCGAACGACGATACCGTGGTATCGAACAAGATTCAGGTCGCCGGCGAGCAGGATGTCGACAATGCCGTCAAAGCGGCCAAGGCGGCCTTCCCAGCATGGAAGGTGACATCCGGGGCGAAGCGTGCGGCCATGATGCTGAAGTTCGCTGATCTCCTCGAAAAGAACGTCGACCGTCTGGCACACCTGGAGTCCAGCGCCATGGGCCAGCCAATCTCGGTCGCGAAGAAATTCATTCTTGGTCCTGCTGCCGTCTGGAGATACTATGCTGGATACGCTGGTAAAATCGCGGGCGAAAGCTACCCCCCAGACGAGGATGGGCAGTATAAGATCGTGCAGTATGAACCACTCGGTGTGTGTGCCGGCATTTGTGCGTGGAATGGCTCTCACATCCTGGCTGCGTGGAAGCTGGCTCCAGCGTTGGCCGTTGGGAACGTGTGCATCCTGAAGAGCTCGGAAAAATCGCCTATTGCCCTGGCGCAATACGGCGAGCTGCTGAACGAAGCAGGATTCCCGCCAGGTGTGGTCAACATAGTTGCAGGCGCTGGCCCAACGGGAGCTCTTCTCGCCAGCCATATGGACATTGCAAAGATTGCCCTGACCGGATCTGCTACTGCAGGCCGAGCGGTGCAAGTCGCGGCAGCCAAGTCGAATCTGAAGCGCGTGACGCTCGAGCTTGGCGGCAAGTCCCCGGCTGTCATCTTCGACGATGCCGATATTGGCAACGCGGTCTTTCACACCAGCGAAGGCTTCCTGCGTAATTCGGGACAGATCTGCAATGCCTCGAGTCGAGTATTAGTCCAGGAGGGTATCGCGCCGGAGTACATCAAGACCGTCAAGACCGCCTTCGAGAAAGCAGCCGAGGCAATGGGAGACCAATCGCTGGCTGAGACGAAGTTCGGGCCATTGGCTGATAAGAAGCAATTCGACCGGGTCATGGGATTCCTGGACGATGCGAAGAAACAAGGCATCGAAGTCTTGACTGGCGGTGGGCGAAAGGGCGAGAAGGGAACCTTCGTAGAGCCACAGTCCTGCTCAACCCAGACCTAAAGAGCAATGTCTACACCGGTGAGTGCGCCGCCCCAACCTTTGCCCGTTACTGACGAGCTGCAGACGAGATTTTCGGTCCTGTTGTCAGCGTTCGCACATTCAAGACGGAGGAAGAGGCTATCCAGCTTGCGAACGATACGACTTATGGCCTAGGAAGTAAGTATAAGCACCCACTGAACCAGCAGACAAAGCTAATCCACAATAGCGACCATCTATACATCAGACATGCCTCGTGCACTTCGCGTTGCTAGCTCGATAGAAGCAGGGACGGTCTCGATCAACTCCGCTTTCGCAACATCGGTGCAGACGCCATTCGGAGGCTGGAAAGCGTCCGGGTACGGACGAGAATCTGGTGTTGAGGGACTGAAGACATATTGGTGAGTACGCAATAACGGAGCGCTACGACGCGATTCGTGGCTAAGACGCTGGTGCTGACGCGATTCTAGTCAAGCAAAGACAATCCACATCAACATGACGCTGCCGGCGAAGAAATGAGCAGCCATAAAGCGCGTCGGCGAGTTTGAGGACATGTCAAAAAAATGCGGAACCACTCAAAAGTGACAGGAGCTTTGTCAGGAAAGGGCGTAGGATTTAGTAGTGCTTAAACCCGCCCCGCCAGCAGCACTTTGCCCACCTGCGAAGCTCGATTCTCTCTCGCACACCACTTCGTTGTACTCTACATGATGCAAGCACCATTGAATCTGCCTCTTGTAATCCTGACTGTGTTCTGAGATCGGTCTACCTCCGCAAGAGCGCAATTTCCCGACTGACCTAGCGTCACCATGAGGACGATGTCACGCTCGCCTCGACGATGACTCAAAATGCATCCCGCACGCCCTTCTCTTTCCCTTTTCTTTTCTTCTTGCTACTCTGGTCAGGCTCGTCGTCACACTGACACAGCAGAGCTTATCGAGCAGCAGATACACTCGCAATGGCTATCCCTCTCCAGCCACAGCCCACGACCGACGTCGAACGCATGACTGACATCATCGTCGATGCCTTCGCCGCCATACCTCTGCTATACACATTCGTCGTTGAGATCGATGCGCTTCCGCCTCCCTATCCGTCCTCAGCTATCGATCGAGTCCGTCGTCGTGCCTTTTACGAGCAAGGCATAGCGAGTCTCATGAAAGACGGCGCTGTGGCTGTACAGGCTGGCAATTGGTCCGCAGTTGCGATCTGGGAGCCTCCTGGCTTTGCTGGCAAGCCTTTCACCAACGCCGGCTTCGCAGGCCCGCTGCGAACGGAATGGCGGGCTCGAGTAGCTGCCGCAAAGAAGAAGCATCTTGGAGACAAGCCCTTCTGGCACTTGGCATTCCTTGCCCGGAATCCCGATATTGATAGCATACCGGGCGCCATCTCTGCACTCATACGGCCTTATGTGGAAAGAGCAGTGGCAGACGGCGTACCTGCATGGCTCGAGGCTATCGATACAAGAGGTGTTGAGATTTACGAACACTTTGGGTTTAAGCTGGTAGACCATGTGGTGGTTGGGAAAGGCACACACAGCGCGACGGGCTGGCCTGAGGATGGCGGCGAAGGTGTTTCGGGATACTGCATGATCCGCGAGCCATAAAACGCACCATGGTCCGTTTACAGCGTCTTCAATGTGAACCATACCGCAGCAAAACGGAAAGGACTGCCCATGCGTTGTGCAAGGCAACCGCTTTACGGTCTGGTGGCCAATCTGGACAGATCTTGGCCTTCGAGGACAGCATTGCGCGGCTCATGACCACTACAGATACCTGAACAAGTTGCCAGCCTCGAATTCAGTAAACTCCCGATCGTCCAGAACTTTGATGTCATGTCGACCCCGCGCTCCTCCAAATTCTGTTGCATATATATTCCGGCTAGCTCACTGACTCCCAGGTCCTTACGGTACACATCAAGGTGAACGCTTTGCCTCCAAAATGGCCGACACGCATCTATCACATCAGAATGGCCGTGTCGCCGGACCCAAGCATGTCGTCATCGTTGGCGGCTCCCTCGCGGGCCTTTTCACAGGCGTGGCTCTCAAAACGATCGGCATCAACACAACCATCCTGGAACGGAACCCGAACAAATTGCTCGACAATCAAGGTGCCGGCATTGTGGCAGGAGGAGATACAATGGCGTTTTTCGAGAAGTACAATCGCTGTCCTCGAGACGTGGCCATCCAATCGCAGAAGCGACTGTACCTGGACCCAAATGGCAACATCGTGCACGAAGAAGTAATGAAGCAGACCATGACCAGTTGGGATCTCGTATATTATCTGCTGCGAGCAAACTACGACAATGTCGAAAGCGGATATCTGCAAGGCAAGAAGCCAACGTCATGGGCAAAGGACACCGATGGAACTGTCGATTATCGTTATGGATGCACTGTGACGGGCTATGCTATGCAGGCCGGAAAGGTCAAGGTCGCTTACACACGCGAGGGAAAGGAAGAGGCGGTGTCAGGCGATCTCCTCATCGGCGCCGACGGGCCTTCCTCGACGATCCGCAAGATCCTCCATCCCGAAGTTCATCGAGACTACTGTGGCTACGTCGTGATCCGTGGCACAGTCCCCGAGAATGAGGCTTCTCCTGAGTCCAAGGCTGCCTTCATAGAGCGCTTCACCTTCTATCACGGGCCTGGTGTGCAGAATCTCACATACACCATCCCGGGCATCAATGGCGCTACCGAGGTAGGTAAGCGGCTGCTCAACTTTGTCTGGTACACCAACTTTCCAGAAGGCAACGACGAGCTCGAAAAGCTCATGACTGACAAAGATGGGAAACGACGGCGGATCACCATTCCTCCAGGTATGATGACTGACGAAGCTTGGGAGATGGTGAAGGTTCGTGGCCGGAACAGGCTTCCTCCACAAATGGCCGAGATGGTCCAGAAGTCACGAAACCCTTTCGTACAAGCAATAACGGATGTGATTGCGCCTACGAGCGTGCATGAGAATGGCAAGGTGATCCTGATCGGTGATGCTTTGGCGGGCTTCCGCCCACACACTGTCAGTAGCACGAGCCAGGCTGCATTCGATGTATTGATGCTGGTCGAGGTGCTGGAAGGACGAATGGACATGGCTGAGTTCGAAAGACGGACAGTCGAATACGCGAGGAAAGTAAGCGAGATGGGAAAGTTCATCGGAGACCGCAGTCAGTATGAAGAAAGGTCCCTAAAGGAGTATGTCGAGGACCGAAACATGATGAGCACCCCGAGAAACAAGCTCGAATTCCCGCCGTGGACACAAGTGAGGTGAAAGATCTATTGCCACAGCTTCCCATGGCTCTCAAACTCAGTCTCCACCCAATCCCACAGCTCATCCGCATTGGCGACATTATTTATCAGCGGCCGCCCGACATGCACACTGCACACTGGATAATACACCACACCGGACTGCGGGCCTTTGTTGCCTGCGCCATCCCGGTCCGCAACCGCAGCCCACAGCTGACCTCGTGCGCCGTTGCTTACGCTCTGTCCCGCCAACGCGATGCCGGTCCTGTATATTACTTTCATCAACCAGTTCGAATTGCCGACACTGTGTCTGCCAAATCCGTCTTAACGCCACCGGGATGTACTGCCACGCATGTCAGCTGCGGATACCTCTGCGACAGAGCTTTGGTGAACAGGACATTGGCGAGCTTGCTGTGTCCATATCGCTCCCAAGTCCCTCTGTTCGGCATTGTTGTCTTTGCTTCAGATGGCAGGAAGCCGGCAGTGGGTGCGAGCTGCTCCTGGGCAATGGAAGTTAGGTTGACGATGCGGACGTCAGCACCAGGCAGATCCGACGTTTTGAGCAACAACGGCATCAGCAATTTCGTCAGCAGCGCATGACCCATGTGGTTCGTCCCGAAGTGTATCTCATATCCTTCCACCGTCAAACCCTCCGGCACGGCCATGATGCCACCGTTATTCATCAGCACGTCCATTCTGTCGTTCTCGGTGAGCACAGTCTTTGCAGCAGCTGCGACAGAAGCGAAGGATGCGAGGTCGAGCTGCAGGAACGAGATGTGGGCGTGTGAATGTTCAGTCTTGAGTTGCTCGATGACAGCGAGCGACTTAGACTTATTTCTGGCTGCAAGAATGACATTGGCGCCATGTCTGGCGAGTTGCCGAACGGATTCGAGCCCGAGACCGCTGCTGCCGCCAGTGATGAGGATGGTCTTTCCCGAAAGGTCTGGGATTTCGCGATCCGGGTCGAATGTAGCGCTTCCCCACATTGTTGATGCGTTTGCTCACGCACCGCAACTGGGCGAGATCTGTGTGGAAATGGATCGAGTTTTAAGACAAGCTCGATCGGTGCTGCGAAGTCGTCGAAACTTGATTTGCTTGCAGCCATTTGTGCATCCTTCGATAACTTGTTCATTATATACTACATTGTCGTGAATACAAGAACTCATTGCGGCCCCGAGATGCTGAATCGCCGGCACTACAATCGCTCCGCTCGACGCAGGTACAGTGTTGTGGCGCGGTTGGCGAGGCTTGTTGGTACTACGGCCGAAAGCTTCATTGGATCTGGTTGGCCGGCCTTCCGTTGGGGCATGATCGGTCCAAGTATCTCAAGGCTGCCGTTTATCTTGAGCCTTTGATCAAGCACAAGGAGTTGTCACTGATCGCAAAGCGACCCAAAAGCACACAAATTACCTAAGTATGTAAAAGAAGTGAAACCCGCGCTGGAGGTTCTTGCCCCGGATCCGTTTATACATTCGTGTTCTTGGCGCGACTGCCTACCCGTTGTTCTTACGTGAGCAGGTACCTGCTGTACTGCTGCGATCGTCACTTCCATATAGACATGCCGGCCGCTCTCTTGCGCATCTCCTATGGTTCTACAGACTGCGTGCGTCTGGTCTCGTCTTCTCAGAAGCGCAACGCTATACTAGGCCAAATGGTCTACCCGCGGCACGCATCCTGATCGCGCGACCGTTCTAGCCGTTCTAGCAAACCATGTACTTTGCTGCCAGTCTCGGCCTTCCTTGACAGCTCTGACGAATCTTAACATGTTGAGGATGCGCGGAAAGAATCGCACAGCAACGTTAGTGCATATACGCGTCCGATGGTGCGTGTAGTGGTGCCGAAGCCGCGAAGCACTCCGCCGTGCTCGACCAGAAGCGGCCATAGCGACGAGACATCAGGCTCGCGCGAAATGCATGATAGGTGTTCGAAGTTCAGCGACTCGGCATAAGTATGCATGAAAATTGATTTGCTAGCAGAGAGAAACAGCAATCGACTCGATGCTGTCGTTCTTCAACGTCGGACGCAGTCGAAACTGAAGCAAGCTGACACGGTTCAAGCGCAAGAAAGGTCGCTCGGAAAAGTGGTACTGGGATGACCCTGTCAGTATGGCACCGCCGGTCACAATAATCGTGCGTTGGTCACAAGCGTCAAGCTTCAAACGAGATGAGCCGGCCCTTGACGGATTGCAGCTTGAAAATTCGACAGCGGGACCGACATCCATTGTATCTGACACGATCGATCAACGCTCCAGAACTGCCAGACACGTGAACAACTTGAATGGAACTCGGCAGCTTTCACTCACGTGGATCCGGGCATACGGTGCACGCACTGCAGCGGGACCTCAGTCATGTAGAGAGCAAAGCGTCACGACCAGTCGACGACCATGCTGCAAAATGCGGATGCTTGACTCACGCAGTTCTTCTCTGCATCTGGGGAGCGTTGCATTCTCGGTACAGCGATCCACCGAGTGGTTGCTGTTGTGCGCGCCACTAGTCCTTTTTCTGATTGGTCACGGCGTGGCCACCTGATCCTCATGTCAAAAATGAGGGGAACGTTGAAAGGCACTGGTCCACCGGCGTGGCTGGATCGCGGCAACGACAGGCAGACGGCACGACGAATGACATTCAATTCGTTCACTGCCGCCCAGCCGGCATCGCTGGTAGCTCATCTGAACACGATCTGCTCTTGTCGGTATGCCTTCTGGAACGCATGTCATGCATACCACGAGAGTGTTAAGCTTCTTTGGCATCGGAGCATTGCCGGCCGCTCGGCACATTCAACCAGGATTTCTGTTTAGCCGTTCGCGAATGCAACGCTGGATGTTACTACGACGGAAAGATGCCAAAACGGGCCAAGCGAAGTGCGGAAAGGTGGGGAGATCAAAGTCGGGGAAGCCATGACCGTGCCCGGTGGTCGACGGAAAGTCGCTTCATTCGGTTTAGCCAGAGCGATCCCCATACTCCTAGCCAGTCTGGAGTAACACAGTATATTATGGTGCGACATCCACCGCCCAAGACTTGCTCTCTGTTTTCTGCATTTTCCTGTCCCTCGAAGGAAACATCGTCAACATGTCTGGCAACGTTATTTCCGAAGCACCTGGGAAGGATCCTGAGATTCAGGAGTCCGAGACCAAGGGCGAGATTCGCAAGGCATCGGCGGAGCACCACGATGTCTACGAGATCAGCGAGAAGCTCGGTTATGACAGGAAAGGTGCCATTGATGCTGAGAATCAGGAACATAACATGGGCGTTCTGGAGGCGGTGAGGAAGTACCCAGCTGCTTCGGGTTGGGCATTTGTGATGTCTTGCACGATTGTAAGTCTTGCGGACGACTACCTTGGTATCGCTGACCCGCATAGATTATGGAAGCATACTGTGTCTTCATTGCCGGCTCCTTCATCGCTCTGCCTGCCTTCACCAAGCGTTATGGCCAATACAGCGAGACCCAAGACGATGGAACGGTGAAATGGTTCGTCACAACTTCCTGGCAATCGGCCTTGCAGATGGGCGGTCCCGTCGGTGCCTTCATCGGTGTGTTCCTTGCCGGTCCTATCACAAGCTGGATCGGTTATCGGTGGGCCACAATTGGCGGCCTCATGGCTCTGAATGGATTCATCTTCATCTTCTACTTCGGCGACTCCCTCGGAGCTTTTCTGGGTGCACAACTTCTCGAAGGTATTCCGTGGGGCATCTTTATCGCCAATTCGCCCGCATACTGCTCTGAGATCGTGCCGTTGAGGCTGAGAGCACCTTGCACGCAGATGTTGCAGATGTTCTGGGCTCTTGGAGCTATCATCGTTGGTGGCGTCTGCTATGCCTACAACGAGGACCCTGGCGAGAGGGCATACAGGTGTGTGACGTCCATTACGGAGAGGCTTTGCTGACATGACCAGAATTCCAATTGCTCTGCAATGGCTGTTCCCCACTCCTCTTGCGATACTCATGTTTCTGGCTCCTGAGTCACCATGGTGGCTCGTACGCAAGGGCAGATTGGAGGAAGCAAAGAAGTCTGTCCGCCGTCTTGGTCGTGTTGGGGCTGTCGACACCCTCGATGAATCCGTCGCCATGATGAAGCGTACCATCGAGCTCGAGAAGAGCGACAAGGAGCCCTCTTTGATCGAACTGTGGAAGGGTACTGACCGCTACCGAACTTTGATCGTATGTGGTGTGTATGCGGCCCAGAACTTGACCGGTAACCTCATCGCCAACCAAGCTGTGTTCTTTTTCGAGCGTAAGTGCCCTCTTTCTTCGTGGACGACGTCGCTGACTCGCGTAGGTGCTGGCATGAGCACTGATACTGCCTTCGCGATGGGCTTGATCACTTCAGGACTGCAAGCCATCTTCGTCATGCTGTCTTGGATCCTCACTACCTATCTAGGTCGCCGTACCATCTACGTCTGGGGTTCGGCAATCAACACTGCAGTCCTGGTCGCAATCGGTATTGCGGGATCGGTCGCAGACAGCAATTCGTCCCAGTTGGCGCGGGCATCGCTTGGTCTTATTGTGTCGGTGCTCTTCTGTCTCGGCCCTGCTCCCGCCTCTTGGGTCATTATCGGCGAGACTTCGTCCATTCGTCTTCGACCTCTGACTACCGGTGTTGGTCGTGGCGCCTACTACGCAATTAACATTCCCTGCATCTACCTGTCCAGCTACATGCTGAACCCGGATGGCGGCAACCTTGGAGCCAAGTGCGGCTACGTCTGGGCGGCGACTGGTTTCCTCTGCTTCCTTGCCGCTTGGCAATGGTTGCCCGAGATGAAGAATCGTTCTTATCGCGAGATCGACATCCTGTTCAACCGTCGGGTTCAGGCTCGCAAGTGGAAGAAGACTATCGTCGATATCAACGACGATCACTGATCGATCTGCGATGGATGGGCAAAGACGGCATGTGGGAAGCATCTGCCCTTGGCTGTGGCCATCCTGCATTGCCACTAGGACGTTTTGATGGATTTGAATCGGAAATTCGGTCGCTCGTACTAAATTGAGTATCAATCTGTTGCAAAGGAAGTGCTGTTCCCGTGCGCTGAGCTGCTTTGACTGGGCGTGCGATGTGGCTTGCCATCGCCGTCATGAAAGGTCACGGTGAGCCACCAGTCCACGCTTGATGGCTGATGCGTTCGTAAAGTCCGGGTGGCCGTTCAAACCTGCCTCTCGTCGGCAGACAGACCAAGTCTGGTCGCCTGCCCGGCCTTCGCGTGGAACATGCAAGCAGATTGCTTCTATGGCGGATCGACTGATGCCGCGGCACCAAAAACGCGCGATTTGAAAAGCTTAGACGCGTCTCTTGCTGCCGCACGCCTGCCAAGCGCTTGGAATTTCACGTGAACAGTCGTGGGGCCCTCCGACTTTTGTCGGACTCTTCATCATTCTACACGGCAGCAAAGCTTCCAGTGATCCTCAATGCGCGCGGAATGCTCAGCTGCTAGCTGACAGTTTGCCTTCTGCTTGCAGTTCCTTGCTCACAGCTCTGCCACAAGGACGAGTCAGTCGCGTTGTGCATGGATTTCTGCTTCAGGCTCTGCGGACGTTGGCAACACGAACGCGTGTGGTCAAACCCATGGCTGGAATGTTACGTGGACAGCCTGGCGAAGGCCGTGCACTTGGTGATCTGAAAGACGAGGTTCGGCGAACATGGGCAGACAACGCTATCGCAATCCGACAGCCCGATCAGCAATATCGAGACAGAGGTGACCGTCGGCTCGCCTTTCCGCCGGGCTGAGTCCGCTCCAACTCTATCATGGACTTTGCAATCGTCGATCAATGAAGGCGACTGCCCATTCGTGAAGTATGCGAAGAGGAAAGCCCTGCAGTGCCCGATGTGGATGAAATGACGGAACCTCATGCCTCGTTGCTATTGGTATTCTTCAACGCGCGTTCTATTGACTCCATTTCCAGACCCTCAATCGGGTACGACGACACCCTGGCACAACTGCACCGGAACGCAGCATGTCTTTTCCATCATGCGAGCTGCGTCGCTTCCGCCATAATGCTGCCTTTCTCGTCTCCATGCTTGGCTGCTCTCTCTCTTTCGATCTCGTCGACTTCGTGGGCTCGGTCTTTGATGAAGAGTCCGTCAATCTGCTCCAAGGTGAGGCCTGAGGTTTCCGGATAGAAGAAGTACACTGCAGGGAGTGCCAGGAACGTGAAAACAATGTACACGATGTACAGCTTCCAGCCGATGTTGGCAAGTCCGATTGGACCAGTCTTCACGATGACGAAGGTGAAGGTCCCTGAAAATGGGTTAGTGAAGCACTTTGGCCCCTCACGGAGCACTTACAATTCGTGAAGGCATTGAGAGCACCGCCAATGTGTCGATATCGGACGGGGAGGAGTTCTGCTCCGTATATCCAAGGCCTGGATATGGTCAGATGGCTGTCGTCAAGTGGGAACTGCACAACTTACACTGAAAGCCAGCTCCAGCCGCACGCAGCAACGACCAAGCAAGTTGCGCCAAACGCCACCCAAAGCTGCGTATCCCCTCCATGTGAGATCATTGGGGCATACACGCAGTAGCCGATAAGCATGGTGATCGATCCGGAGTACAATAGCTTCTTGCGGCCGATCTTGTCGACTAGGAAGATGCCGAGAACAGATCCAAGCCAGAAAGAGACAGAAGTCACGCCTCCGAGCACCAAGGCCGTCTGATCGGCGATTCCAAGGCCGATGAAGAGCACGGAGGAGTAGTAGAACACCATGTTAATGCCCGGCATCTCCTGGAGCATCTGAATGGACATGGCCAGCAGGATGCGAATGTTAATCTTCTGTCCGGACTTGTCGTAGATGATGGACAGGAAGCTGAATTGGCCTTTAGCATCCTCATGTGCGATGGTGGTCAAGATGGCGGCTTTGTCGGCTTGCACTCCAGCATCGTTGATTGGTGCATCGGCGAGGGCCGCGAGAACCTCATCAGCTTCCTCATAGCGCTCTTTGGCGAGCAGGAAGCGAGGGCTTTCGGGCAGGAAGGGCAGGAATGCGAGGGCAACGAGCGCGAAGGAGGCTTGGAAAGCTGGAACGATCAGCAATTGTCCATCTTCTGGGAGTGTGGTCCATACCAACAGGAAATCGCCACACAATCTGACCCGTCAGGTGGAAGAAGCCGTAACTGCGACAGTAAGCACGTGGACCTAGCTTGGAGCGATGGTACTGACTTCATCCAGTAGGCAATGACGATACCGAAGGCGGCGATACAGAGTTGTGTTGCCACCATTTTTCCTCGACTGCCTGCTTTCGAAAGCTCGGAGACCCAGGTTGGGACGTTGCCAGTGTTCATCCCATTGCCGAATCCCTGGACTTATCAGTGTGTGCTTCGCGATGAAGCGGCACTCGGACTTACAGCAATGATGCGACCAACGCAGAGCTGGGCAACACTGAAGGAGGAGGCCTGGATGATAGCGCCTGGCGGAATTAGCTACGACTCGAGGACCCACCAGGGTTGGTTATCTTACCAACAACCATGATGCTGAGGCCGATGGTGATCATTTGCTTGCGGCCAAGTCTGACACCGAGAACGGCCGCGATGAGACATCCTATCATGCAGCCGATGTCGTAGATCGAAACAATTGTGGAGATGGTCTCAGCATCGGTCAACTTGATATCGATGGCGTTGAGGAAATACGGCGTTGAGATGATACTGCCCATCAGGCCTTGGTCGTAGCCTGGTTCGTTAGCATGGGCATGTGGCGATATTGTGGGTGCGTACCGAAAAGCAGGAAGGCGCTGCCCGACACACATGTGACTGCCCATGATAGAGCGTTGCCACGTAGGCCGAGGAAAGGTTTCCTGGAGGAGGGCATCGTGATGAGAGATGGGCTGAGGAGGTTTGCTCGAATGTGGTGATGTTGATCTCGACTCTACCACCCTGGGGCTCCCACATTATATGTAACATTGTGTGGAATGCTCCAGGTCAGTCGTGTATGGGGTCAAACCCCGGATGAAGGTCTTACTGCACATGGCAAGCACCCACGTTGAAAATGTTGTTCGTGAGGTTTCGATTCCCTCCATTCCCATTGGTCGGACAAAGATGAATCAGTTGCGCTTTCCTTGGCCCAGATCCGTCGAGTCTCGAACTTCGGTTCAGGGCGGTGGGCCCCTAACTTGTTCTGGTTTGGGGCGGACGGATCGAGCACTATAGGCCTGCATCCATGCCTGAAGGAAAGCTTGGGGCTTGAAGTTGGTCCACAGTACGCGTGGTGCCTAAATTATTGTTTCTTCCCGAAGTCTCGAAGGCTTTCGAGCTGCGCATGACTTTAGCACGCGCTCAAGTCTGGAGGATGGTGGGGAATTTCATCCCGCCTTTTGGAGTGCCTGTTCCGACTCAATGGGAATGCGAGGATCGAGCAGAACCCGGGGCGGAGACCCTTCATCGTTTGGACGCGGCTACAACAACGTGTCTGTACAATGCAGTTGCGAGGCGTCTGTGCACTCTCACCACCTAAGTACTCTGTGTTCTGTCTGTCGCTGCCCGTCCTGAAGTGCTTCGTCTGTACTTTTCACGTCAAGCACCACCTAATACGTCATGTCTACTAAAGCGAGCAGTCCAGCGATGGTTCCCGTGGATCATCCGCTATGCTATACTTCCAATCCGCGTTCAAGCGACTGGACTGGCCTGAGAACCAAGGATGGGAAGCCCCAAAAAGCAGATAGTGCTGCACTCTTGCAAAGAATGCTGGATCGTCAGGACATAGTCAACCTTCTGAACGACTACGCCTACGTACTGGATAAGGTGATGGTAGATCATGCGGCATCAGAAGAATGGGCCAACACGATGACGGAAGACGCAGTCGTCACTTTCCCTTTCGGTGTTTTCAAGGGTCGTGAGTCTATGGCACAGATGTGTTTGGATGCTGAAACAAGATTTGAGCGGATGATTGTATGTCGATCAAGCGATATTGCTGAGTGCTGCTGACTTCTGCTGCTAGCATATGTCTTCGAATATGACCATTGTTTTCGAATCCGATACCGTCGCTCATGCGCGCTCGGCCCTGTTCGCCGTCTGCGGCATTGATCCGAGCGACATTGGAAACAATTTCGCAGAAGGAGGATACTATTACTGGACGTTTCGCAAGGAAAAGACTGAAGGTGGAGACGAAGCTTGGAAGATCTCGTATCTGTTTCTGGATGTCCTTTGGGAGCAGGGCAATTCGAAGGGTCTAAATGAGGAGCTATATCCTGTTGCAGCTGAGGAGAAGCAACAAAGTCGTGTCGAGGAGCGGGAGCTGCCAGTGACGCAGGACTTAGCGGTGTAGTGGCATAGTCAAATTCAGTCTTGTCAACGTGCCGATCGATCTGAATAACTACACAACATAGGTGCAATCCGGTCCAGTTTACGCACTTAAATGACACGTGCCAATCCGTTCAAGGAGGCCTCCGTCTTCCGAAACGTACGAAATACTACACGTACTCGGATCACGCCACCCCAGAAGCATAGCAGACGGCATAGCAGAACCGAAGAGGAACTTGGCTATTTGGAACAGCCGTTGACAGGCTGGCTGCCATGTATCTAACTATAAACACTTTCATGGCTGGAAATGTCTTGCTTTTGGGCTTAACATAGCCGTCTCTTGCACTACGCGCCGTGCGTAAAGCCGCCTCCAACATCGAAGTTCTGCCCCGTAAGAAATTCAGCCTCCGGACTTGCCACGAAGCAGATCATATCTGCAACGTCGGTAGGCAGGCCGTAACGCTTGACAGCTTGTCGTGCCACTGCCCTTGAGAACATCTCCCGGAGCCCGGATTCGCCATCGTACTCTCATTATAGATCAGGGAAGGACATATCGAGTTGGCGGTTACTCCAGGTCCTGCTTCCATGGCTACAGCCCGAGTAAAGAGTAGTACTGCACTTTTGGCTGCCGCGTAGACTGCCAAACCTGCTTCAGGCTGTAAGGCAGCACCAGAAGTAGTCGTGATGATGCGCCCGTAGCCAGCCTTGTTCATGTGTGGTAATACGGCTTTGACCAGGTGGAATGTGCTATCCATGTTGACACTCATCGTCCGCTGGTAATCGCTACTTGTGGCATCGAGGATGAGTTTGAAGGGGTAGATGCCTGCCAAGTGAACAAGTACGTCGATCTTTCCTAGCGCTGCGATCACATTCTCGATTGTTTTGTGGACGGCAGCCTCGTCGGTCAAGTTGCAGACTTGGTACATCACTTTCGCTCCATCCGCGGTCAGTTTTGCGGCCGTCTCCTTCAATTTGGCCTCGTTCATGTCTACCAGCACAAGATGCGCTCCTTGGTACGAGAAGGAAGCTGCTGTCACCGCACCAATCCCTTGTGCACCACCTGTGACGAGGACCACATGATTTTCAAATTTGTCTCGATACCGCTTAACAGCAGGGATCCTGGCGCCCTCTTGCCGTAGAAGCAGCGGAATTTCGGCGGTCATGTTGTAGTATCGGGAGGGCGAGAATGATGCGGGTGAATTGAAGACGCGTTGTCGACGAGAATCATGGCGTGCCAAACCTTCGACGCTGGGTTATATGCAAAGGCGCGCTTGGATGTGGCTTGTCGGCACTTACGTTATCGCTGGGAAGGGGATGCCTTGTGCGACGAATGGGAACCATGGGAACTGAAATAGCCTGAGGAGCTCTCCAACGGGGCTCGGAGTGCGGGGCGTGCAGGCGTGGAAGATTGCCGAGAGATCGCGGGGAAGCTTGCTGGGCGCCCACTTTCAGTGGCTACACCGTGTCAGGAGAACCACAGCGTGTTTATGCGACATGTCTGGCTACCAGGCTGCGAATCCTTTGGACGACAATAGATCTCGAGATTCGTCTTATGGAGAGCTTCGCTCTTCGAGGCGCTTGTACATCGTATCAATGTGCAGGCATTGTGCACTGCAAAGCGGGTGAATATAATTGTGGGTATGACGTTTGTTTATGACTTGTTGAGCTTTCCAAGAGCCTCAAACAATTTCGTTCCGTCCATGAAGACTTCGTATCTCTCGATCAGGCGTTCTTCTCCTGCTTCAACAATTCGACACCAGGTTGCTGCTCTCGTCCACACCTCGTTCCCATCCACAATGTCGTACCTGACGTCCGCTGTGCCAACAATCTCCCATGCTCTTCCAGTCTCTGGCTGCATGTCATACACGAAGACAGTCTCGAGGAAGTGCTGAGATCTCAGGATTGGGCCATTGTGTTGATGTATCAGCCCGTCTCTTGCGGCTTTCCACTCCTTTCTGCCTGTGTGAGGGCCGCCGAACAGTAACACTGCATCGGGCTGGATGTAGTTCAGGTAGGTCTCCTTCTCATCCGCCGAGTCGTCCCATGCCTTCAAGAAGTTTCGCAGTACATTCACAGGAGCGTCTGGTTGCGAGTCTTGGTTCTTGAACTTGTACTGGTCTGCGGGAGATCGTTGGGTCATGTTGAATTCGATCACCGTCACTCGTGGCGGAAAGACTGTAAGTGTGTCCCGGGTTCAACATTTAGGGCTGCGAAATAGCGAGAAGTTTCTTGGAGGTCTCGGGTGGTTTATGAGGCCTCCTCGGAAGTTGTAGTGCTGTTTCACGTGTTCGATCCGAAAGGAACCATGGAAGCCATCACGATGTAGCACCCAGTCCAGCCTATTGGTCAGCCATGGGCAGAAGTATGGCGGCGGATAAATGTGTCTTCTAAGGCGACGCGTCGGATGCGGGCAAGTCGCTGTGCCCGTTGTCGCGCGGGCGTGGGAGAAAGGCGAGCAGACAAGGTGACGCGATGCGGGGTGTTGCCGGTGGGGCGTGGGCGCTTGTCCTTTCCAAATCTAGATCAAGAGAAAAACTGGACTGCTCATCGAACGCACAAGTCTACCATCATGATTGTTCGACAGCGCGAGGCCACGGCACTCTTCCTGTCTCTTGTATGGTGATGGAGGGCCTGTGGTGACACCCAATGTCAGGCCCGAAGCCCATCAGACCGAATTACTCGCCGGGCGAGAATCATGGAGCACCCTTACCGACTACGTTCTTCACAGCTACTACGTCACGCAGGAGAAGCAAGATTGAGCAAGCATGCTCACGATGCCGCTCTCTGCGCCGCAAGGTGCGTTGATGCTGTCGGCGACTTGACCAGCTCTGACGAACGCTGCTGCAGTGCGATGGGCTGAAGCCTTGTGCAACATGCCGTGAGCAGGCGTTCAAGTGTGAGTACGAGGGCGGGCGTGTGGGCTCTCATAAGCTCACGCTCGCTAAGGCGGTCTGGTGAGTCGCGGCGCATAGTGTTGTGACGTTGCAGCTTACGGTCGCGCAGCAGAATTGCCCAGCTCGAGGAAGAGCTTCGACATGCCAAAGCGGGCTTGCAGACATCAGAGACAAAACCACAACCTACCCCAGGCGATGAAAAGCCCAGCGCATCATCCATCGACGGCACGAATGCGCCCACGGACGAGTGGATGTCGATTCTTCTGCAGGGTGTGGACGGCCTTTCCATGACAACAGGCGCACCAGAGTTCTACGGACCTTCATCGGCAAATGCTATTATCGATGCCCTGGAGAGCTCCGAACAGGATTCGCCGGCAGCAGCTTCGTCCGATGGTGGTACCGACAGAGCACGGTTGTGGCTTGAATCTCCGCGTGACCTTACATTTGCGAAAGTTGCCCAGTCATCACTCCCACCCAAGGAGATTGCAGACGAGTACCTTGCTGTCTTCTACCAAACAGCACACCGAATATACCCGATCCTGAACCGCGCCCACTTCATGAAGCGGTATAACGACTTCTGGAAAGGCCTGCCTACAGAAGGGAACGGATACGAGCACTGGGTTGCGGTATTGTGCATGGTCCTGGCACTTGGTCACCAGTGCAGCACTGCCGATCCGGATGTTCGCGTAAGATCGAGGGCATTACAATCACAGCATGGAGAAGAATGCTTCGGTCTGGCCAAGGCGATGCTGGCGTGGGCTCCGTTCAGTGGTGGCGATATGTCCGTTGTGAACAGCTTTTTGTTGGCGTACCTTTGGCTATACAACCAGCAGAGACTACATGAAGCGTACACAGTCTTGGGAGCATCAATAAGGACCGCCTATGCGATTGGACTGCATCGAGACAGCGACTCTTCCGAGCATTACGCAGCGGAAACCGACGGCTGGACTGCTTCTTGGTGGTGTCTGTTTGCATATGAGACAGAACTTGCCGCCATTTCTGGACGGCCCAGCGCCATACAGCCGCGGGAACTCGACATGAGGCGCTTTTCTCAAGGCTTTTCATCCATCGATTTGCAGTACGTTGAGTATCTGAGGCAGCTCTCTGCCATTGCCTGGGAAGTGTATGAGCAAGTCTACTCTTTGTCACTTCAGCATGTTCGAGTCGCAGAGCGCATCGAAGCCGTTAAGCTCTCGGATGAAGGCTTGTGCGGTTGGTATGAGACTTGGTATCGGGAATGTGAATGGTCCAGGGAACCGCATGGTCTCCTCATTCGACTTCGGTACCTGAATATGCGCATACTGTACCATCGAGGATTCCTGAAGCTGGTCACACTCAACAAGGAACAGGTGCCAATCGAGGCCACTGTGCCGGCTACCAAGTGCGTTCACCTGGCGTGCGAACTGATCGAGACGATCACCGCGTCCGTGAATCGAGGTGGTAGTGGCATACTGCAGGCTGCTGTGTTTGGCGTGCTTGGTTATCTCTGGAATGCGACCATCACACTCCTGTTATATGCGCTTAGCGAGCGAGCGATCCGGCAACTGGATCTCGGTAGCGAATTCTCGGACACTGTTGCACATCTGCTGGATTCTGCTGTCTGGTTTTTGCCCAACATCAGGAGATGTCTGGATTCGCCGGAGGCGCCGCACAACGAGCCAGGCGGTTACTGGAACGATTCAAGGCGCAGAAGGCCGCGCAGCAGTCTGATCAACGGCGGACTCTACGAGATGTCCCTTCGGCAGGTGCTGACGATGTGCTGGAATCGTTCGGTATGCTGGATCATCTGCTGTCCGGATTCTCCCCCGGTAGCGAAAGGGCTTTCGATGCAACTCGTCAGTACGACTTCCAGTCCTCAGAATATGATGTGGAGAGCTGGATCAACGACAACAATGAATCGTATAGCTTTGACTTGCACGAGCCATGAAAGCTGCTCTTTCGGCGACTCGCAAGAGTCCTCAGCGATCTTCGCAGATATGCATTCGACGTGCGGTCACATCTGTGCCACGAAAAGGACGAATCAGCCAACGGGTCGATGCTTTGGTAGGCAGCCCGTGCTGTAGAGTATTCAGAAAGCGCTGAGATTGCAGCTGTAGATGTGGTCTAGCCGCGTCCCCGGCGCCAGCAGATATCGACCTGGCCCATCGCCTACCACTGTGGTTTCCTCGATCCTGGACAGAAGACAAGGCCGGATGAGTGAAATTAGGTTGCATTACCCGACCCGTGCAGCGACGATAGCAGCTTCGCTGGCACCCATTGATGCGGTAATTGCCTTTGTTGCAGGGTAGTAAGTCGCGGTCGGCTGGGAGGGGCGGACCGATGGTTTGCGCCAGGTGCCAAGTTCTTCCATTTCGGGCGCCGACCTTGGAGTCCGATGGAGCGCAGTTCCGCATCGGGAGTACCTCGGAGCTGCTGGTAATGGAGAGTCTCTTGGGCTGGCTAGGACAAGACTGAGAGATCCGGTCTTTCAGCCAAGGTCATATACACCGAGATTGTATTCTCGATAGGGCGGCCATCTGTGTGCGTCCACAAGCCTCGGATCTGATCCAACTTTGGCTTCCACGTGGCGATTTGAATAAAAGCTCGGCCAGCCTACCACTCTGCTATCCCATGCAGCCTGTCACTAATCTTGCGTTCCAACGATTGTCAAGTAAGATTGACAGGACAGGCCTGTGCACTGCATACGCCATTCAATCCATCTCGAGGGTGTCATACGAGAAGTGAAAAGAAAAAAGTCTGATTAAAATAGTACCCAAGGAAGAAATCTGCCCGAAAATAGTCCTTCTCAACACGCCCGGTGATAGCCTGCCCACGGTATAGCAATCCATCAATTAGCTCTCAATCATCTTGTCTTTAGTGAGATATCGTCGAGATAGAGATCCCTGTTCCCGTTCTTATCAGCATCGCCGTAGCATGTGACCGATATTGTCAACTTCTGCTGGGCCGCCGTCGAAGGCGCAACAAACAGTTGAATGTGTTCGTATGCAGTCGAAGAGATGCCTGTCATAGTGGCTCCAAGAAATTGGGAGCCCAAATTGAAGGACACGACACACTGTGCTTTCTTACTTGGCCGACGGACCCAAGCACTAAAGGTATAGGCGATACCAGGACACACGTTGACTTGTTGAGATATTTTTGCGGTTTCAGCACTGGCTTTTGACCGAACCAGTATCTGACGTCTTCCAGTATGAGTTGGATTTCTGTCGGTGTATTCGACGTTCGAGACGCTGATGCTGCCACTCGAGACCGATGACGTCCAAGGCGGGCTTCGTCCGTTGTTGGGGTTAAAGGTTTCGAAGCCCTTGTTGCTGAGAATGTTGGTCTTTGTCGGGCATGAAGCTGCTGAAGTCGTGCTTGACGTTCTGGAGCTGCTGGAGGTGGAAGACGAGACACTGGTGGCGAATGTGCTTGGAACGGAAGAAGTAGTGCTCTGAGTGGTGGCCAGTGAACTACTGCCAGAGGTTGTAGAGGAATCACCAGTGGAGGCCGTGGTAGAAGATGAGCTGCCACAAGATGCAGCGCAAGACGACTCGCCAGTGCTGGAGCTTATGGAGAGAAAGCTCGTTGTCGATTCTGTCGAAGACGCACTTGTTGACTGCAAAGCGGGGTCGATTGTGATTGATGGAGAGAGACTAGTTGTGGACGACTCCGATGTTAGGGAAGACGGGTCGCTAGTGCTGGAAGATGTCAAGCTTAGATCGGTTGTCGATTCCGTGGAGAAGCTGGTTGTTGATTGCAAGGTTGAGTCAATTGTAATTGATGTGTAGAAACTAGTCGTCGTTGACTCCGATACTGTGGAAGACAGTTCACCAGTACTGAAAGTCGTGAAGGAAGCACTGGTCATTGCTTCTGTCGAAGAATCACTTGTCGTTTCTGACGTTAAATCAATCGTGGCAGAGGGAGACATGCTAGTGATAGTAGACTCCGATGTTGTGTATGACTCTGTAGTTGTTCCAGGCTCTGGTAGCGTGAAGCTTTGCGATGTTGTGACCGTAAGTTGAGTAGGCGAGGTGCTAAAGAACGGTGGAAGATCGGAAGACAAGCTTGTTGTGGATGTGAAGCTGCTCGATATGACTTCAGTGGTGGTTGTCAGAACGGGCTCTATGCTCGGAGCAGCTGTGCTTGACGTTGTTATTGCAGCATTGGCGACATAGTTGTAAAAGCCTCGAATGCCAGGATAGTCCTGATATGGTCCGTCAAAGCTGTCGCTGGAGAAGTCGCAGTGCCATTGCGGAGGATTGTAATCGACTGCGTTCAAAAAAATGCGGAAAGAACCATCAGAAGACGTTGCCTCGGAAGCGCATCGGCGGATAGCGTCGCAGTCAGACACGGATGCATCATAGATCGAGGTTCTCTGGTATGAAGCGCCATATTTGCCGCAGCCGGCGAAAGTGCGACTGTATGTTCTTCCATCACTGCCGTCGATAGACTCGATAGACCACATGCTGGACATGTCGCACTTGGGGAGGCGAAACTAGATGTGCTTGTAGACGTTGTCGTGGTGACGTCTCCAATGGAAGAGCTAGCGGAAGAGAGATCAGAACTGCTTACTGTCGAATCAGAAGACGTGACAGGCTCGTTGGTGGAGCTGATCGTCGTTGTCAACGTAGTAAGTGAGTCGCTGCTTGAAGCAGACGTCGTAATGTCACTCGAGATATCGCTGCTCGAAGAGCTTTCCGTCACAAGCGACTCGCTGCTTGAAGTGGACGTCGTAACATCACTCGAAGCTGGGCTGCTTGAAGAGGACGTCACAACGTCACTTGAGGTGAGGCTGCTTGAAGAGCTCTCCGCGATCCCGTTGTCGGAAGTAGATGCACTGGATGAGGTTCCGATGTTGATTGGATCGATTATGACTTCAGTGGAGATGGCGCTTGATGTAGTTATCAGCTCGCTGCTACTGGACGAAGACAACTCTGTCGAGCTTGCGGATTCCGATGTGGTCGAACTCTCTGTCGTAGATGTGGTCATCGGTGTTATGTCACTCGTAAATGAGGATGTCGTTGAAGCCTCAGTGGAGAACGGTGTTGTCGAAGCCTCGGTAGATGACGGTGTTGCTGAAGATGTATCCTCCGTGGAAGCAGAGCTTGTCGAAGCCTCGGTAGTCGACAGGGACGTCGAAGCCTCGAAATCAGATGTTGTTGTTGAGGATATGTCCTCGGTGGACGACGATGTTGTCGAAGCCTCGACAGTAGACAACTTGGTTGAAGATGTATCCTCGGTGGAAGACGAGCTCGTTGAAGCCTCGGTTGACGACGATGTTATTGACGATGTATCATCGATGAAGGAGAAGCTCGTCGCAGTCTCGCTCATGGAGCTTGAAGTCGTGATATCTACCGCGATCGAGCTTATGCTAGAGTCTGCGGTGGTGGACATGGTCGAGGATGAGACGGAGCTGCTACAAGTCGGCGTAAAAGTGGTCGTTGTTGAAGTTACGGGCAGGCATGAACATGCGCTTGTGATGGATGGCCCGGGTGCTTGGTTCATTTGTCGCTTGTCAAGGTGATGCTCGGCGCTATAGATACGGTTCATGTCGGCCATGATGCCATTGACATCACGTTTAACAACACTATGAGTCTTAGAGTATGGATTCAAGAATGGAAGTGACTTACGGTGAAGGACTAGCAAGCCCTGTGGTACACGAGGCTGTCACCTGCACCGGAGTATAGCCAAGAAAAGCTCTGCAGAACTCTTGACCAGTTTCCCCTCCAGCTCTGACGAGTTGGAGATACAAGTCATCGTTGCACGTCGGCGCGGTCACTTGACGTCGAGTGATGGTGGATCCGAATGCTGGAGATGATTGCGATAATAAGACGCTGAGCATCAGAAGCTTCGCGAATTTAGCCGCCATGGTTGTCGATGTGTTGGTTGTCCCTCATGATGATCAGAGGGCAGTTTATAGGTGCGTGCTGTTGATTTCTTGCATAGGACAACGAAATCAACCAGAATGTGGCAGATGTTTTGAGAATCTGTTTTAAAACCAAAATGTCGTCGAGAATAGAGCCGAAGAGCCGCTTTGAGGTCTTCCACCCGGTTGACGTTTATGCAAGTTCCACTCAGGGAAGCGAATGTGGCATTGAGCTGGGCGTGTTGCTCGTGTCGATAGCTGCAGTCCGCTCGACGCATTCTTGTGAGCAGCGCGCGCTGCAGTTCAGTCGCCGAGAATGCCTTTCGTGAAGGTACAAGGAGACGAAGCTCGTGTTGCGTCGCCATTTGTGTTTGGCAAGAATTCCATGCCTGTCATGTCACCGAAGTTCGGGACAGGCGACCGGCACGTGGAAGATGCCATGTGCGCTGCAGACACTGCTAGAAAGATTGGTTGCGGCACGGACTCTCGAAGCGAGAAATCCAAATGTCAGTGTGTTGCAGGTAGGCTTGAAGGGTATGATTTGACAGCCAGCTTACATGCCGTCAAAGCTTTCGTAAGTAATGAAGTCACGTGTTGGAGGGAGCCGTCAGAAACTCTATCTAAGCGTCAAAGTGCGCCCACCGCGAATGGCTTACTGGAACCTTGGCGAATGGCCGGAACCATCTCCCGGCATGCAAAAGAACATGGATATCGAGATCCCCCTTTGTGGCTGACAGCGGCATCGTGGATTTGACATCAAGGGTCTGGGCCTCGCTTCCTCGCGAGCCGACAGGTTGAGACCCTGTATTTAGCGCTGTCAAGGAGGAACTGCGCAGGCGACTCACGCTGGCAGTACGTGCGCCACATTTCGTGATAGATTGGGCTGATACGGGCGACAAGCAGGGTCTGAAGACTGAAGGCCCGTGTACGGAACGAGTTATGACTTTGCTTGCACGCGGCATGGAAGCCGTTCTCCTGAGCATCCCGAATGATCCAATGCCACAAACATGCCATCGGAGGTGCGAGTTGAATCTGACACTAGGTGTGGCATCTACCTGGTATCGAATACAACCGAGGCCGAGAACATCACGGACGCTGCTCAACCCTCCGTAGCGACTCTTTGCACAACGTTCTCTTCTCCAGTCGATTTCTCCTCGGAGCCCACTGATTGTGCACCGTGATGGACATCAACAACGAGGCTGTGCGTAGTACGATCCACGTGAATGTCTTCGCTAAAGACCATGACTTCGTCTGTGTCGCCGAAAATTGCCGCAATCTCTTCCAACGGCACTCCCTTCGTCTCTGGCAACAGAAAGATCGCGCCAATACCACCAAGACCAGAAATGATGACGAAGACGAGGAAGAAGCGCCAGCCAATATTAGCGAAGGCCGTGGCCGTGGCCTGTAGATAGACAAGGTCGGTGAGGGCAATCACAGCGATCGACATAGCGACGCCCTTGGCACGGAGGTGGTTTGGAAAGATCTCAGAGTAGAAAACAACGCCTGCGACATCGATTCCACAGCCATAGAACAGCAGGAAGATGTAGAACATGGCGACGCCTGCCCTCAGTGCTGGAAGATTGGGGTCGATAGCCGGAACAGGAGAGGCGTAAGTTGCGATTATCGCAGTCTCAACCGTCAGACACAAGCAGCAACCGAAGATGCCTATCAACATAAGAGGTTTGCGGCCAACTTTATCCATGATGCAGGCTCCGAGGAGGTTGGCAGGAGTGCCCATGGTGATCCAGCCGACCTGAAGCTTCAATTGGCCTACTGTGTCGTAGCCCAAAGCCTTGTAGAGCAGAGGCCCATAGTTGTTGATAACGAGCACAGCGGTGGACTGTCCGATGAAAGCGAAGAAGCAGGCGAGGAAGGTTCGCTTGCGGTAAGACGGTTTCGTGAACATGGCCTTGTAGGTTGGCTCGAGTGCCTTGTCGAAGTCTGCCTGCTTCTGCATCTGGTAGAACTCCGCACGCGCGTATTCTTGATCTTCATCGCCTTGGACGTGGTGAATAGACATAACGATCTCGCGCGCCTCTTCAACACGACCTCGCATAAGCAAGTAGCGAGGTGACTCAGGCGCAAAGAAGTACACAAAGATGACTTCTGCGACTGGAAAGATGAGTGCAAGTCCAAGGGGAGCTCGCCATTGTGTAGCAGGTGACTTCGCATAGTAGAATGCCAGTCCCATGTATGACGCAAGCGAGTACCCGATTGTGATACCCATGCCGTTCTGACCGACGAAAAATCCGCGCAGAGCTGGGGGCGCGAGCTCAGCGCTGTAGACTGGGGTTAGTGCCAGAAAGCCCCAGGAGCCCATGCCTGCTACGAAGCGGAATGCGATGAACATGCCGATATGAACGGAGCCACAAAGACCAGCGCCGCCGATGATGCTGCAGATAGCGCAGAAGTAAGTTCCTACTTTGCGGCCCCATTTATCCATCACAAATGATCCGATGATGACGCCGAAGAAAGCACCGGCCTAGGACTATCGTCAGCGGCTCCGCTTCACGAGATCTGTGCAGGCAGCGTACCTGGAAAACACCAGACGTGGCACCAATGAGGGAATTGGCATCAGCAGTGAGCCCATTCGCGTCGATCAAGCCCATATATTCCAGAAACGCAGGCTGAGCTAAAGTCACTCCGATGATGGAACTGGGGTACCCGAAGGCCAGCTGCCCGAACCACGCCACGCAGAAGACAATCCAGAAGTTTTTCCAGTTCCATTGCTTGTCTTGTTGAAAGCCCTTCGCCATGATCCTCGTATGCGAAGCTGCTGCTTGTGTGTGATGGAGCAAAGAAGTTTTGACCGATGTGCACTTTCGAAAGAGGTCTCTGACTTAGAAGTCGACAGCCTCGGCTTTCAGCAGCAATCCGAGGTCATGGATATTGAGTTGCGCCAGCTTGCCAACTTGTACTTCGGCAGGCGAGTTCACGAGCGCGGCAGCGAATAACGGTGGCCACGTATTCCGGGGTAATTGAGGGGAAGACCAGTCTAGAATGCAAGCCACTCAGCGTTAGAACTTCGTCCAACATGATAATGCCCAGTACCCCGCTTGACACAGATATTCCTGACTTGAGCATGGACATAGGTACCGAAGTCGATCCTAAGGCGGCTTGCATCCAGCCAATACTCAGACATATCAGATGAGAGTACTAGTAACAATGTGCACGCTACGAAGCGTGTAGGCACGCTCTCACCAGGTTTAAAGAGCACAAGAGCTGCTGGCTTACATGTCCAGGGGCAGGCTTTGGCGGCATAAGTCGCCTTGGTCTCTGTGCAAATGCATTCAGCGTGCACAGTGGATCTTGAGTTATCTGTCGAAGACAATGCGAAGCCGCTTGCCTCCTAGCTTGTGGTGCTTGAGTTGAGCTTATTTGCACATCGGGAAGCTAATTTCACCGGGGTCACTATACTCACAAATAGCCAAAACCAGAATGTTCATTCTATATATCATTCTCTATATTTTAAATAGCTCAGTGAATATTAGAGCTAATTTAATAAAAAACCTACTACTAGGTGCCCTAGCTCCTATATTTTATAGCTATTACTAAAAAAGTAGACTAGCCTATCCGAGAGGTGTCAGTGCAAATAACAACATTGTAGTTATTTGTATGCCGTAATTGGGCTAAAACTACTCGCTAACCTGCCTATTTAGGCAGTCATGTACTTATTTTCATATTGTTATTTACACTCTACTTTACACTAGATTAGAGCCTAATAATCTAGTGTTTAAGGTTTATAAATAATCACAATAGTTAGCGTAGTAGTCTTGTATCTTTTGAGTATGATTGAAGTAGGTATAGTAGAGTGTGATAGATATGAAGTTTAACTACTATATTAGGAGGGTTTATAATAAACTGTATAAAGATATAGTGAGCATATCTATACTTACTACTTAGATAATCTATAGAGGCGGTATATATATTAATCTATTAAGAATCAAGTCTAGGGATACATCACTACTTATATTTAACTTAAGTGTCTAACATTGTTATTTAGTTTAGTAAGTTATAATACTTAACTTAATATTATTACTACACTATCTATATAGTAGTAAGCATATTAATAATAGTATTAAACAGTACTAAGTAATACTTAAGAACTAGATAGGTCTATTAAATATATTTATAACACTATAATAGTAGATATATTCTACACTCTTAGGCTTTAGTATCTACCTAAATATCAAGTTATTATTTACTTAGTCTACTACTATACTATTATTAATATTACTATGCATCTTTAGTAAGAGTATTAACTTATAAGAGTTAACTATTATTAACTTATCTAGTCTATTTAAGAGTGCTAATTAGTTGTGCTATCTAAGGTCTTATAGCTACTATTTATAACTAGTCTTATTATCAAGCTCTATTCACTAATCTTAGCTTTCTTATATCTATAGAATGATTGCTTAAGTATATTTAATAGTTATTAAAGTATTTAATACTATACTTAAAGCTAGTATTACTAGAAGGTAGGTAACCCTATTTACTAGCACTAAGTCCCTACTTAGATATTCTTTAGAGGATCTAAGTATTAATTATATTTTAAAGTTATGACTAATCTATCTAGCTCTATATTAAGTCTACTTAATCCTGTTATCACTCCTACTATCCCTATTAGTCTAATATCTTAGACTGCTTTAATATCTATACATAATACTAAGTAGTAATAGGAGCTTGACTTATTTTAAGCTAAATAGAAAGTTATTATTAACTACTATTAAGAGGAAGAAGCAATACTTAGGGATGAAGTAGTGAAACAAGATCATACTAGTTAGTGATTAATAATATAATGATCTAAGTATTTCTATAGGTACAATCTTTTATATCTTACTCACACTAGTTAGATAACTAATTATGATAAATACTTATTATAAGAAGCTAATTAGATTTATAACTTTATATTATAGATAGTTACTACTAAGCTTATTATATATTATTAGAAGACTTATTAATAGTTATAGAGTGTAAAAGTAGGTGAAATTACCTATTAATTATTAGTGTGATTAGCTAACTATAATAGTTAAGATTAATATTATAGGTATTAATAGTGGTTTATCTACTATACTCTCTATATGTGGGAGAGCTAAGTAGAAGAAAATCAAGGGGCTATAGCTTATTCCTATTTAGTGAATACTCATGTCTAAGTAGGATTACTACTAAGAAATTCCTATTCTAGTAATCTAGTTACTCTAGACTCTTATTAAGGCTTATCACTTTCTGATTATAATAACTTGGATAAGTATAATAACTATTAGACTAATAGTAATAATAATAATAATAATAACTTTAGTAATAGTAAAGATAATAATCAATCTAGTGTGTAAGTAAATACTATCTAGTCAGATCCTAAATATAATTCTGTTTATAAGATTATAACTAATTCTATAAAGGATATATAAACATTATTTCTATGGACTGATAAGTAAAAGTGCTATATAGAGTAGTTATATAATAAATTATAGTAGAATAATAATCCTAAAGATATTGTGTATATATAAGAACTATGTGACTTAATAAAGGAATTATATTAAACATTTATATTTTAGTAGTGGGATAAGAGTGATTTTAAATATATACTTATTCATTATTATACTATTCTTAGTATTAATAGCAAGTCTAATCAGCTTTATAAAGTATCTAACTACTTATACATAATTACTAGCATAATGTGGTGTGTATAAGTATTAGTAGTTAATATTCTAATATCTATTAGTAAGCTTAGTAGATTAAATTTTGATCAGAAGAGTTAAGAGAAGCTAATGAAAGGTTAATAGTTATTTTTAACTAATAGATAAGGGACTCTAATAAGTATAATCTTAATATAGCTAGTATATAATAAATATATTATAATGAATAGTGAGAATAAGAGCACTATACTATAGTCTACTAATAAGTAGGTGCTGATTTATTATAATATCTAGATTAAGCTAAGTTAGTTCTATTAGATAGTGCTCTATATGATTAAGCAAGTAACTGACTAGTTATAGAAAGATCTGATATAGATTAAATAAGTTATAGATTAGTTCAAGGTAGTGATAGTCATACTTAAAGATAACATTTTATTTACGGTTACGGTTACGGTTAGGGTTAGGGTTAGGGTTAGGGTTAGGGTTAGGGTTAGGGTTAGGGTTAGGGTTAGG